GTAGTGGTGGTAGTGGTGGTAGTGGTGGAAGTCGTGGTGGTGGTAGTAGTAGTGGTGGTGGAAGTAGTGGAAGTGGTAGTAGTGGTAGTAGTAGTAGTAGTAGTAGTAGTAGTAGTAGTAGTAGTAGTGGAAGTTGTGGTTGTTGTACTGGTAGATTCTTCATCTTCATCGTCACCTAAATCTTTATCTGTGTTATTTTCTTCATTCTTAAATTCATAAACCGGTGAAATCCCACCGACATCTGGAATGCCCATCATCTCTGGGATCATCTTCTCCAAACTCATACTCTGTTGATTTCTATCATAAATTCCAGGAAGCTTATCAAACAAATCAGAACTTAGCTTACGAAAATTATTTGAAGTATTTTGCACTCTTGGGACCTCTCCACCTAGCAAGAATGCATTGTTGTTAGGCCCATGATTGTTCTTTGCCATTTCTTTGGGAGTAGTGGGAGGACCAAACTTTTGAGGTCTGAAATACCCTCCCATTACACTTTCACATCTTTGGGTAATTGGGTCATATGTCCAATAAGAAGCAATTCCACCTCTGTCCGCAAGAACTTCTTTTAAGCAAATTTGAGGCGAAGGAGAAGTAGTGTTTAAGAGAGGATCTCCATTAGTAATTGCAAATCCAAATACTGGATAATCACATTCAAAGGTATTTTCTGAAAAATATGAATTGTAATCTCCGCTTTCATTATTACCATTACTATTATTTTCAATCTTGACATTCTTTCCAATCAAATTAAATAATTGATTTGGCATTTCATAATTACATTGACAATATCTTGGACCAGAAACAACATCAGGAGCAGATGTATAATCGAATGAAACTGCATTCATATGGAACGAACATTGTTTATTCACAATATTGTAAGACCATAACCAACAATGGGGATCATTTTGACAAAGGATATTACAATCATCAACACCATAAACATTATCAACAATATCATAAAGAGGTTCAACCAACTGAGCTCCTGGGAATGCACAAAATCCAGTAGTGTAAGTAGTGTAAATTGGACTGTCACTATCAAATGATGTCAAGTTTAACCCATATACACCTCCTGTAAATAGTTCTGGTGCTCCTTTCTTAAATATAATCTTTGAATCTAGTAATTCATCAGTGTCCTGATTCTGATTCTGGTCTAAGTCTTTCTTGTCCCAAATCATATAAGAGTTTGTATTGATGTTTTGGGCTTTGTTATTCACTGAAAGTGATATTTGTTCTGTGAATGGGAGTAAACTTATATGTACAAAAATTGGCTTTCCTGAAATTGTCTTATTTTGGTTTTCAGTAGATAAAATATTACTAGAATTAGTCTCATAAACCAATTTATGATCTGGATAATTTGGAAGGCCCATTGAAACAGAAAATGTCTCCATATCATATTTTTGTGTACCATATATTACATAAGAGGATGCTGTTTCAAATGGTAATAATAAATTTGAATTTGGTGTTGAAAATTTCATGTCAAATAAACTTCTTGGTATCATTTGAGTTTGAACATTTTTAAATCCACTTGTGAAAAATAACACCTCTCTTGATGGACAAGGATTTGGAAACTCAAAACTTCTGGTATGCTCATTCAAGTCTGTAGAATAGGTCCAAACTGAAGTAAATGGACCTAATCCCTTTACTAGTAATGGGTCATTATTAGATTTTTCCTGAAATATTAACCTTGACTCTACCCATGATTGAGCTGATGTATTTCCACATTTTAGACCTGTTGGGAGATTGATTGAATGTAGTGTTGGCTCAGAGCTACCTGTTCTATTTGGTAATAATACTGTAATCTTTACTGTTCCTTGATTACAATCAACTACTGCATAAGATAATGAATCCGAACAAACAAAACCAAATTTGGAAACTTTTGAATTCTCAACCTGTGCAATAAATTGAATTGATAAATATGGATATATGGTTGGAAGCAAGCTCTTTGTTATTGGAAACTTATATCCATATTGGCTTGTACAAACTTCAAATTCTGAGTCCAAGAATGATGGACCTGATAATACAGTAAATTTTCGATCACTATTTGCATACTAAAACATTTAAAAAAAAAAGGTTAATTTAATTTTATCGAAATTTACTAAAGTTGATGCATTAACTTGGTTTTCTTAAACTCACTTACCGTATATTTCATATAATCTTGAGGTATTGGATTACGTTTTGTTGGATTTGTTGTAATATCATTTAAATCTGTTTTTAACATTAAAAACTTCCTCATACAGTTATCTGCAGAAATGTCCTCATTAACCATCAAATTCCTCAAACCTAGAATGAGTGAATTCCAATTTCTTTATTTAAGAGAGCTTTATTCATCATATTTACACTTACCTTCTTGTTTCATTGATATTTTCTCGCAATATATTCTTGCTATTAACAAGAAATATACTATAATGAAACCGTTAAAAATCTTCGATTTAGGCAAATTCATCATTATTTATTTCAAACAACGAATTCTCTTTGAATATTATTTTGTTTTTTCTTTCTTTTTTAACTAATTTTTCTTGTTTCCTTAGTAATACTTATCTATTAATACAATCTATCTCAATATTAATACTGTCCAGCTCGAAATTATCACATGTAATTTTTTAATAGGAAATTATTATTAATATTATTAAAATATAATAAAAAATATTTATATTATATTTATTGCTTATCCAATTACTCGACTGGTATCTTATTATAAATAGTGCACCAAGTGGGGCACAAATGCAATCCTCACGCATTTTTTTAACATTTGTGATTTAAATATACTAATTTTTTGCACACCCCCTCATTATAATTCTGACTTATATTTTGATTCTTGAAAGCATTTATAGTTCTCAATTATCTAAATTTGGAGATAATCCTATTTTTTCTTCAATATATATATTAATAATTAGGGTAAATTTCTTAAATTTTTTTTAAAGCAATTAATAGAAAAAATCCATGTTTTTTTCCCAGTTTTGTTCAATTTAATTCTTGAGAAAGAAGTTTATTAATTATTCTGAGCCAGACTTTAAAAATTCTTTTTTTTTTCTATATTAATTAATTTTTAAGTTTCTTCCATATCAAACAAAATGAAAAATTATTCAAATTTTATTTGGAAATAATGCTTTTAAAAATTTCTATATTCCCTAGAACATGATTTAAAAAAAAATTTGTTGACTGGCCTTTTGTTTTTAATTACGTAACTTACCGGTATTTATACTTTTGTATTGTTTGTCCACATAAATGCATGCATAAATACAAATTACGTGTCAAAAAAAAGTTCCGAGAAAGAATTATAGATAAAGAAGGGTCAATACAATTTCAGAATGGAATATAATTAGATTAAAATTATGAAATTATTTTTAAAGGTTAAGTAAGAGATTTAGCAGGGTAGTTAGTATTTTAAAACATAATGTATCTGAAAACAAATTTTATACTAATCCTTTTTTCAGCAGTTGCTAAATTAATCAGATGGAAATAATCTTTTTTACCACCATTTTATGAACTACTGAGACTTTTGGTACTATTTCCTGTGCTGTTAGATGAGGAAACTAATTCCGTAGAATTGGTATCTTTAGGAACATACTTAACATTTTGTTTGGTGGAGGGGAATACTAGTGACATTTCGTATTTCCAAGAACAATAATCAGATTTTACAGACTAAAATGGAAGTTTAGTAGATAATAGTTAAAATGGGTTTTATTTTTAATAAATATCTATATTGATTAAAACTTACCTTAAATTTAGTCAGTTGTTCATTTCCTTTGAATTTCAGTCTAATGACATTTTTTGAGTTTATAACGATCTATATTAATTAAATGAATGTTAACTCCAAGCAATTTGAATTACGGAAACAAGTTAACTTACTGTAGAGAAAGAGTTTGTATCAATTCCAACAGCGAAATGAATTGTGTCATTTTTTGAAAAAGTTGTATTGTCTGGTAAGATGGCCTTATCACTTGTAAGATGCCAGTTTAAGTCATTAATTTCTACAGAATCTTGATTTATATTATAAAGTAAAGATGTATAATTTGCTCTCGTTGATGCCTGAATCTGAACTAAAGGATTTAGATTTTGCCCTTTCCCTACTTCTGGAATTTGACAACGTAGTGTGAGAAATCCTCCAGGGTTCATTCCTCTGTTTAATATGACTGATGTAGAATTCACACAGAGACGTCCCTCATCAAGATAACATTCCCCAGAATTATTCAAAATTATATTTTCAGAAAGTACACCGATTAACTTCTAAAAAAGTTTCCAAATAAAAACTGTTCATATTTATTTTCCAAGTTTTTCTTTATATTTCTCTTCTAAAGAAAGGCATTGGAAATATACTTCCAACTTACCTCAGAGAACCCAATTAGCTTGAGTAAAACGAAAACCAAAAATCTAAAATTCATTGGAGATAAACACAATTTTTATTGTATTCAATCCAGTTTTACATTAAGTAAGTAAATAATTATCTGTGTATGTATATGTAATTATATTTTTCTCTTTTTTTTTTCTTCTTTTGTAATTTATATATACTTAATTATAGGTATCCAAAAATATAAAGCAGCTTCCCGCCTAAACTGCATGTTCTCCCCACATCCTTAAATTAATAGAAGACATATCTAAGCAAAAACAATGAAGATTTTAAAGGGAAGGAAAAGAAGTAAAAAACACAAATAAATAAAAAATTAATGAAAAAAATGTGATTGGAACTTAATATTAGCTAAATAAAATCATGACGTAACATATATTGCATTAAGTAGAATTATAGCTCAAAAAAGACCATCACCTCCCCATTCATACTATCACCATTTTGAAGTTACAGATTCCGATTATTTTGGGTCTAAGCTTGGATTTTGGTTTTCATTTCTTCTCAAAGAGTATTTCCAGTTTCGTCTTCCTCATGAAGCTGATTATTTGTATCATCAGTATCTTGGAAACGCCTCTTTTTCAACCTGGATCTACCTTGAATCTCCTCTTGGCCAGAATTTTCCTCATTGTAAATAGGGTCATTGTAGACGTTTTCTTGGATATGTTTTTCATCCTTCTCCTCTTTCTCATTTTCATTGTAATTCTTCCCATCCTCATTCTCCAAAAGTGCAGCTGTCTGTTCTTCTAGACGTTTGAGTTTCAGTATTCTCTTTTCTTCTCGTTTACTTTTCTTAATATCATTCTGCTTGTTCTTCTTTCTATTTTTTTTTAATCTTGATTCTAAAAGACGTGATTCCGGTTCTGAATCTGAGTTTTTGGAACCGTTTTGTTCTAAATTGGACTCGCCACCTGAATTGGAAAAAATACTCTCACCAACAATGTTGCCAGATCTGGCTTTATTCTTATTTTTTTTACTCTTTTCTCTATGCTTAAGAGACTTAGAAACGTGTTTTCTTTTGTTTTCCTCTGTATCTTCAGCAGAGTCTAGATTTGATTGAGTATCTGACTGTGTGTTAGAACCCGAATATGAATCTGAATCACTCCTTACTTCTGACCCATCATCATCAATATTGTCATTATCATCCACATCTCCGTCTCCATCAAAACTCTCAAGGCCATCACTTCTGTCACGTTTAGAAGACTTGGTTCTTTTTTCAACTTGAATATCTGGTAAACTCGCTGCTATACTCTCAGCTTCCTTTCCAAGCTCAATAGAAAGAAGTTTAATCCTCTCAGAAGCGGCCTTCTCTTCCTCTTCCTTTCTTCGTCTCTCCTCCTCTTGCTTCTTCCTAAAATCTTCACTTCGAATTCTAAGCTCCTCAACGTCTCTTTGTTCCTTCTCATAAACTTGCTCAACTATAGGCAAAAGCTCCTCAAATCTGGAATACAACTTCCTACTCATTATTAACTCCTGCTTTGTAAGGTATTCAATATTTGGAAGAAGGTCAGTCCCTTCTAGTGGAATTGCAGACAACTTATATCTAAACTCATCTTTATTTTCAGTGTTTAAAACAATCTTATTATCCTGGTTATATCTCACGATACCTGGAACAAATTTCTGAAGTGAAGTAATATTAAGCTTATTGTTCTTGATCTGGTTGATAAACTTCATATCAACAATTTGAAAAGTTTCTTTGATAATTGAAAGCCAGTGATAAAAGTTTCCAACTGCTTCACATAACATCATCCAGTATTTTACCCTACCTGGATGTTTTGCTCTCTCCATATCTCCCATTTCCGAATAAACAAGCCTCTCTAAACAATATGTAAGTCCTATCTTAAAAGTCAAGTCACATGGCCATCTCAAAGTCGCTTTCTCTAGTAACTTTCTTGCATCCTCCCACATATTCATATCAAAACAACACCTGATTAATGACATGTGAATAATCTTTTCTGTAGGGTCAAATTGTAAAGCTTGCTGAAAAAGCTTCACTGCAGTTTTCATAATCCTCTTTTGCTCCGCAAAGTGCGGATGAGAACCCAACACCTCATTCCTTCTATCTATTCCACCCACATTATTATCATCCACTATTGATTTCAATGTCAAATTATGTTGTACTGGTGGCGGGTTCCTCTGAGTAGAAACTGCCAGTAAGGCTGCATGCAATACACCCAAATTAATTAGTGCCACGTAATGCATGAAAGAGGCGGCACCCTCCATAGCACTAGAAATATCTGTCATATATTTCCACATATCTTTAGATGGTTCGAGTAACCCACATTCAGCAACTTGGATAAGAATTAAGTTACTGGCAATGTAATTAAAGGTTTCATGCCTGAGAACTTCTGACAATACGAGTCTAGATTGGATACTTGTTGGGTTGTACATGCTCATTTCACTAGAATAGCCTGACTGGGTCTGTGACTTGGCCTTATTATAAAGCGCCAACCCAAGGAAAACTTTACCTATGTTAGAATAGTGTGCATTTTTTGATTTTATTACTTTGCTTAACGCACTAAAGCTTTTATCAGGTTTCTTTTGGCAAGAGTAAATATGAGAAAGCAAAAGGTTTGCAGATTCGTGGTTATTACCTATTCCTGGAGCCCAAGAATATACCGAACTTGAACTTGGGTCTGAATTTGAGGCCAAATTTAAAGATCCAATTTCTGGTGATTTTGAATTTAAAGAAAGCTCACAGTACTGAGCAGCTAGTTGAAAATCATTCCTTTCTAGTGCAAGACAAGCTCTTCTGAGCCAGGCAGAGGTGAACCAAGGAAATTCAGATGTAAGCCTTTTATATTCATCATTAGCATTAGCATAGAATCCCTTGAATTCGTAACAAATAGCAGAATTAAACCTGATAACGATTTCGATAACTTTGTTAGAGCTTATTGAGCTCTTTGTTAACCATTCTCTGCTTTGAACAAAAATTCTCAGTGAATCATTTAGCATTGTGTACTCATTACTCCCAAGAGAACAGTGTTCTGGAGATAAAGATGTCGCACATTCCATGATACATACTCCTAAATTATTTAGATAAATTCCGTAGTTCTCCTTGACAAGATCCTTATATTTAAAGTAAGAAATTGCATTCATTATTAGATTATCACTGCTTGATTTACTTTGGTTCTCATTTGATAAAGGGGAGGAGTGACAATTGACTGTTAGGTACTTAAGACAGGAAAATAAGAGTACCACTAAAGGTAGAGGACTAAGAGATGCTGAGTAGTTTGTATATTTGGAAATCAGGGTGAAAATGACTTTATAATTATAATCTGTCCGTCTAATTGTCCTCCTTCCTCTAGATAAAAGAGAAGTTGTAATTTTCTGTAAAAGGAAAATGATAACATAACACTGCTTTGAATCAATTTCATCCATCTTATCCAATATAAAAAATAGATAATGTAGACAGTTTAGGAGTCTTTCTTCAATAGTTAGCTGAGAAAAAATTGAGATAGTGGTTGGAATCATTGCGGGATCTTCAATACTCATAATAACTAGTGAAATTGTGGGTATTAAAAATTCATATAAGTACTCAATAGGTAGTTTATAATCTTTAAGGGACTCAACTGACCCCTTAATACCCATTGAATCAAATGCCTTCTGTATATAACGGGTTGCAATGTCCCATTTTTGGAGTCCACAACTAGTTTTAATGGCTCCTAACAGACAAGATAAGTAGAGATCCAGTAGACTTTTGTCTGTTTTATAAAAACTCTTGAGTGTATCAATAACTGTAGAATAATGAAAATGAGCATTTGTAATATCTTTCCTAAAATGCAGTCTTTTTGCAATTTGGAAATGGGCTTCTAGAGAACAATAAAAGTTTGAACATCTTTTTGAGATGTTGTGTAATTCTCGCTCAAAGTTGTTGTTGGGAGCAGAGCCCAAATAGAACTCAGCATTACTTGCATACAAAACAAGAGCTGGGTGTCTTGGGAAGATCTTAGCTACCATTTCAAAAGCTTCTTTCAAGCTTAAACCTTTGTAATTAGTGCTCTTTGAAAAACATAAAAGTAGGTCAGAAAGTGTTTGTCTTTCGAACTGGCTTAGTGAATCAATAAAAGCTGGATCCTCCAGTAAGTCCCTGTTAAGTACAGCTTCTTCTTGACCTTTTCTTGTAGTAAACAAAGCTTCCATATTTTCTTTGTCAGTATTATCAGTAGCATTAGTGTCCTCTTTACATTTGGCGCCAAACTTGGAAATAAAAATTGCCCTTTTACAACATTCTTGAGACTTTTTAAAGTTTCCAAGGCGAAGGTAGCAGCAAGCCATAGCAAGCCTGACAGTGTTTGGGCACTTTTCAGATCCCAGAATAAGGAGAAGAGTGGAAAATAGTCTTAAAGCTCTGGAAAAGGACATCTTTTGATAGAGAACATTTGCTAAACCAGATATGGCTTGAGTATCTTTAGTATTAGACTCAAGAGATAGACTGAATTCTTTCTCAGCTTGATCTAGTAGAGTGTTTCTTTGGGAAAGGTCAACTTCATTTGTGATTGTGCTTTTATAAAAGTATAGAAAACCCCAGTACTTGTGAATAGACTGAAATTCATTACAAGAGTCATAATTTTGACTGTAGAGCTTCATAAACTGTTTAAGCCTCTCTTCTGATTTTCTTAGAATAGACTCTGATCTTCTGAAATTAGTCTCAAAGCAGTCCAAGGCTAAGTTAAGTTCGAGCATGGTCAACATTCCAATTGTTTGCAGAGCACTTTTGAGAAGATTGATAGACAATTCAGATTTTTCGTTTAATGGCTGGTTCTGACTAAGTTTTTGATCCAAAAGTTCATACTCTTCAATGCATTCTTGTAAAAGAGTTTCACATTTCTCAAATTTTCCAGTGTTGTATAAGTGCAAAGCAAGTGAGTGCCAGGATTCTAATGTGAATCCCTCACTCTTAAGTTTTGAAACAAATTCCATAATTTCTAGCTATAAAAGTTTATATAGACAGGGCAATTAAGCATGGGCACTAATAATAAATAATAATAAATATATATATATTTATTTATTTAGGAAACCTTCCAGTCAGTTTCTGTGGTGTTTCCCTCACTTTTTATGGTGCATTAAAGTTCTTTTATACACAAATATAGGTATAGTTTTCTTCTGTAAGCTTAAATTCAGTAAGCTTTATGATCCATATTTCTGCGTTGGTTTCTCACTTACTGTTATATTCAATCGCTACAAATCAACTGGCAAAGTAAATATCATGCAACCAAACACTCATTAAAGCACAGTAATTTGCCCAAAATTAACCGGTCCTTCTTTTTTAAAAGTTAATGATTCTTGCTTTTGAATTTTGTTTTTTTTCAATGACATTTTCTATAAATAGCCAAAATAGTGCCGCCTAATTTAATTTAAATAAATAAAATGGCGATGTTTTGGCGCCGACAGATTTAAATTAAAGTATTTGGTCTTAAAGACCAAAAAGGGTTAACACAGAAGGAAATGGCAATTTAGTGCAGTTGAGTTTCTTATGGAGAATAATGAGAGTTGCAAATTCCTATTTTGGTTTTCTCAGGGTAAACAAAGAGGAGTAAGATAATTGGTAGTTTGTTAGTAGTATTTGTCTTTAGAGGCATATTGATAAGTTAGAGTAGTAGTAATAATAATAATAATAATAATAATAATGACAATATTAGTTACTCCAATTTCATGGTGGTTTGTGGAGAAGGAGCCAGACCGAGAGGAACAGGTGCGGAGAGGATCACGAAAGAGATTGGACTAAGGGAACGGGAGGAGAGGCACTAGATGAACTACAAGCTATTAAGAAAATACAATTGGAAGAACAAAATTTTCGCTAACAAGATTTGATGCACTTTGGAGACAAAAAAAGCACACATATTGATTAAACTTGTCGGAACATTCATGTTTGAGGAAGAGTCAGTAAAGGAGAATAAAGGGTAATGGATCTCGAGGTAGATTAAAAAATTGCGTTAAATATGGGCCTTTCAAGTTCAGAAGAAATAGTGCATACTAACCAATAGGTTCAAATGTTTAGCAATAAGGAAATAATGTTGCAAAAATCAAAAAGAAAATAGCGACAACCTCTAACACTGTTTCAACTAAGGTGGGGTGGGGATTGATGTCGGTTTGTGCGGGACGGCACCCATCTTTTCTGGTGTTTATTATGTCAGTATTTACCGGAAAATGACAATGTCTCCTCTTCCCCACATTGCCTCAGCTCTTTTCACTTACTTCACCAGCCCCCCTCTCCTTTTCCTTCTACTTTGTTCTCTCCCCAAATCCTTCCTCGTTCCTCCCTATGAGCCCCCTAACATCTAACTAGTTCTGTTTGTGTTCTTAACCTACTCACTTTCTCATTTTAATAATGAAAAATTTAATTTATTAATTAACAATAATAGTAATAATTTATATTTTTAGTATTATGAATTATTATTGACTTTTGGAGTAGACGGCCCGCTCCCGCCATTGCGACGGTACCCGCATGGCGCCCGTGAGGTTTTGGGCGCCGCCGACAGAAATAGTACTACATTGTATAGTAAATAATACAAGGTGTATATAAATAAATAGTGGAATTGCAAAGAAAATGTATGGGAGTATAAATAAATAATTTGGCAAAATTTTATTATTAAATGTATATGTACACTTTATAATTAATGGTATACGTAAAGTAAAATAATACATAATAAGATTCAAGCAAATTAAATAGCGTCCTTGATAAAGTCATAGTAAATTAGATAGTAACTGGACTAAAATTATTTAAAGAAAAATAAGAGGGGATCAGATCCCTCTAAAAAAATAATAAAGAATAAAATCCAAACAGGAAAAAAAATATTGTGTTGGTCACAAAAGACGTAGAATAACATCAAAGTTTTAATCTTATTTTTTCCCTCCCAAGTTGATAGGAATCTTCCTTATTGTATATTGAAGATGGTGTCTGATAAAAGCTGCCGTGTTTATGTTGGTAATCTTCCATGGAAGGCAAAGTGGCACGATCTTAAGGATCACATGCGACAAGCTGGAAATGTTATTCGAGCAGATGTCTTTGAAGATGAAGTTGGCCGTTCTAGAGGTTGTGGAGTAGTTGAGTACTCATTCCCAGAGGAAGCTCAGAGAGCAATCAATGAATTAAACAATACTACATTACTTGATCGTCTAATTTTTGTGCGTGAGGATCGTGAAGATGAATCAAGTAGATATGGTAGGAGATCAAACAAATGGAATAACAGGGGATATGGAATGAGAACAAGGACTCATGCTCCAAGACCTCCTCTGAAAGAAGAGAATAAGGGAAAACAGGTCTTTGTTACCAATTTGGCTTGGAAAACTACACAAGAAGATCTTGCTAAGGCTTTTAATGAAATTGGTGCTTTGGAATCTTGTGAGGTTTTCTACTTTGAAGATGGAAGATCACGAGGAATTGCCACAATTGTTTTTGCGGATCCTAACCATGCACAAATTGCTGTGGAGAAACTTAACGATCGTGAGATAGATGGTCGCGAGATATTGGTTAGAATTGACCAGTAAATTAACAAGAATTAGCCTATTAAAGACAATCTTTTGTGACAAGGATTCTTGAAAGGTCCCTGCTTGTCACTTTGGAGTTGGATCTGGAACTTCTAACTTTTAATTTAACTCGGTCTAAATAATTTTTTTTCCTCATAATATCGGATCAAGATTTTCAAAATACATAACGTTTATTCCAATAAAGAAACCAAAATTCAGTTATTAACACGATTATAAGAGATAATGATATCACTTTCATGGTAAAATACCACCAAGAATAACACTATACATTAAATACATCACATCCAGTTTAGATTATTGAATTAATCTTGTCGTGTTTGAATACCATATTTTTTCATTTTTCTATAAAAAAAACCCCTTTTTTTTGCTACATTACTCACGCCCGTTCCTTTTCCTAAAAATTCATCGTCAATTCGCTTTATTGCGACCTATCTCTAATGTAGTATTTCCCCCTTGGACTGGAGTTGAGTTAAAGCTTGGAAGTGTAGATATTTACAGATATGGGAGCGGATGGTGACGGTGGTTAAGTCCCAAAAAAAAAATGTTGAAATTCCTTTTTCTAGAAGGAATGAAGTAATGGAGATAGTTGAATGCTCGTTCTATCTTGCTAAATTAAAGAGTTAGCTTATTTTTGGTAAAATAATAAATTACGTGGTAAGCGGGCAGCTCATACTAGTCAACTAATTTTTAAAGGTTTAATAAGCATGCAAATGGTTTTTTAAAGAAGTATACAACTGACTTATAATAAAGCTGAGAAATATTAATTTTGGAAGTTTTAGTAACAGGCGAAAGATATCTAATTATTTGATTTTGCCCACCAAAATGGTGGTATCAACCTAATATGGTCAAATTATTTTGTAAAAGGTAATTATTGTAACTGGACCCAAAAAAAATATTATTTAGCTTCTTTTGTATTTTTATTAAACATACATATGCACTCACAACCACTAAAAGCTACTTATCACATCAAATATCATTACTACAACTACCACCAATATTATATTACTTCTGTGCTACTTAATACTTTGTTTATTGTGGAACGAGATAAAAATTGTTGATTTTTTTTTGGTATTTTTGATTGATTTAACGTATTAATTTGTTTATTTTTATTGGGTTAAATATGCAGGCACACATGCATGCAAGAATTACGTAATATATTTTATGCCATGTGGATATAGGATAACTTTTGAAAATAAAGACGCATTTAATATTCTTTTTGCAACTTTGGAATTGAATAATTTAAATATAAAAGAGAAAAAGAGGGTTTTTAAAGAAAACAAGAGAAGGGATTATGAAATAACAAGCTATAGCTAGAGAATGAGAAGGAATGAGTGAAATAAAGATAATTAGAAAATGATCTAACAATACAATATGAAATTTTCTGCTTTGATTGAAGTTAAAATAGCAAAGGGATTGGGATTGAATTGGGGACAAATTAAATAAAACGAGAATTTACTATTTTTTTTTTAACAAAAAACAAGGGTGGTATTTTTGTTTCTTATTTCTTTCTAATATCCTGTGTAATATATTTAATTTCCAAGAGCTTCTAGAAAGTAATACTGAAAAGTTTGAGTAAAAATATTGATTTATTTTTCTTCATTGCATCTTATTTAGAAAATCACATGCTAGCCAAATCTAAAGCAGCTTGTATTTGGTTTTGATATAACTGCGAAATTGAGCTTGTTGAAATCATTTATTGAATAAATATTTAGTTCTCGAATTATATTATTTATTTACGGTATATTTTTTTCATTTAAATTCCTTTACATCATTCTTATTCATTTCATAAATTAAATTCTTATTTACATGTTTGAATGGAAGAGAAAAGTGGCTTTGAAAAGTATTCATAGGTAAAGGCAGCTTTTTTTTTTTTTTTTTTTCAAAAAAGAAACAAGATTAGAAACGTGAGAGGAACAAGTACTGATAAATATTCCCCATTTATTCTACTGAAAACAAGTATAAATTAAAATATATTTATTTCATTCTGTTTATATTGAAAAATTCAATTTTCGCCTGCCGGTATATAAAATTATTGACACGTAATACTTATTACATTATTAATAAAAAAAAAATAATATAAAAGCTGATTTTTGCAAAAATAAATTTTCTTAATTTTTAATCTTGCCGTATTTTCACTTTTCTGATAATAAATTCGAAATCTAAAAACCAATTAAAAATTCCTTTTAGAGTTGAAATTTTTATTATTATGAATGCTTTGTGAGAGTAGAGAAAATTCAAATGGACAAGTTGCATGCGATGCATGCAAGTTTTGGCGCCACATCACTTTTAAAATTATTTGTTGGTAGGACAGAATAATTAGTCAAAGTTCGGGAGTTAGAAACAGAAAAAAATTGAAAGTGTTTGTAAGTAAAAATTAAGAAGCAAATTTAAGCGATAAAAATAAAGAGGTTGGAGCTGAGAAGAAAAGTAAGGAGTTAAGGTGGGACTGAGGTAATATATTATATTGAAAATATCAGTGAAAGCAGTAGTATAAATAAACTGTTTAGAAGAGAGGTTGTTCAAATTTCAGTGCATTTAAATAGTTTGAAATAATAACTCAATAATTTTTTTTGGTAAGAAAGTTTAAGAATTATTCTTTCGATATAATTGAAGCTTTTGCTACTGTAATAAAATATATATATATATATATGCACACACAAGGGAGAAGGGTGCAATAAATATTAAAAAAACAAGAAATAACGAAGTTTGGGATAGAATAAATATACTTTTTTTTATCCAATAATTAAACAAATAATTAATTGGGGAAAAATATAATAAAAAAAAATTAATTAAAAAAACAAGGAAAAATTGATAGTGAAAATTTTATGTTAAATTTTTAACACGTGTTAAATAATAACAAATTCGTAATTAAATTATTTGCATGCATGCATGCATGTATTGTGTAAGTCAGACAAAGATTGAAATATTGTGTGAGGGAGGAAAAAAGGGAGAGATAGAGAAGAGGGAGAGGAAGAAAGAGAAGTAAAAATAAATATAATAAATATATATTTATGTATAATAATAACAATAATAATATTAGCAGTAATATCAGTAAAATCAAGTAGGTGAGGAAGACAATATAAAACTTGAATAAGGCAAATAAATACATATGTAAATCAAAATAATCTAGAAAGAAACATAATAATAAAAGAAAATACATGAGAACTTAAGTAAGAGTAATACAGGTAGATTGAAAGATGTCATTGGAAGAGAGGAAAAATAGGTGTACACTCAAATTACCTATAGTGAATGAAGATGATGATATGATGGACTTTTTAGATATAGATGATGAAGAGTTAGTTCATGATGTAAAACAGGCAGTCTCTCCTACATCATCGAGATCTTTGGAAAATCCTGATTTTAATGGTATTAATTTGCTTCTTTCATCAACAAATACAACAAATATGGGAAGCGCAATAGGAGCTTCAACGTCCTCAGGGCAGTTCATTCCATATTTTGGCCAACCATTATTGTTTCCAAATAATAACCAAAATTTGTTAAATCTGGTGGCATTATGTATAAGTACTCCACCTCCTTTTAATGGCCTTCCTCAGAATAACCCTTTTTTTTCAAGCAATGGGATTAATGAACAGGTAAATTTTGTTCCATTTTCTACAGCAGCTCCACTATTCTATTTTGGGTTACCGGATGAAACTTTGATGGGAAATTCAGGAAATGCTCATTTAACAAAGTACCAAAGCCAACATCAACTTGGGAAAGGCGTTTTTAGTGGACCATCAAATCTAAATTTTCCATCAAATGGTAATATTCAAGATATTGAAAATGTAATTTGTAGTGGAAGCAACAATTTAATAGATAGTGAGATTCAGTATAATTCTGCAAAGCTTAGACCAAATATAGTGCAAAACCAAAGTTCAGTATTTCCAGGTTGCCCTAATGTTTTTGGAGAGGGGAGCTACGGAAATAATTACAGTAGTAACAATATTGGACTTAGTAAACCGACCAAGTTAAATCCAAATAATCAATTAGGATTATTTAAAAACTTGAATTTTAGTGGAGGGGCCGGTATTGGCCTTGGAATTGGAATAGGCTCTGGAACAGGTTCAGGAATGGGAATAGGGTTTAATTATGATATTGGAATTGAAAAGGAATATGGAATAAGTGGCAGTAAGCTGGAAATTAATGATTTGGGTAAGTTGTCTAACCAGGGCCAAAATAATCTCTACTTAGAGTTAAACCAGAAGCAATTCCAGCAAACTACGAATTCTAATTCCAAAAGGCAGAACGTTAATTTAAACAGTACATCTAACTTTGGAGAACAACCAGCTAACTCTAGTTCATTGAATTCTGGAAATAGTAATGAAAAAAAGAACAGATGGCAGCTTTCAGACCCACAATTCAAATCGGGATATAAGGGAGTAAGCTGGAATAGTAGAATGGAAGCCTGGCTTGCTTTTTTTGTAGAAAATGGTGTCAGGAAATCAAAGACATTTAGTAGCAGAAAGTTTGGATTTAATAGAGCAAGAGAAAAGGCTATCAAGTATTTGGATGCTCGCAGAAAAGGAATCATACTCACTACCCCTCCTCCACTTAGTCCCTCTAAAGGTATATATGATAGAATACCACAACAGAAAAAAATGGAGCCCGGACAAGATAATAACTACACACATGGGTTAAATAATTTTCCAACTTTTAATAATGAAATTGATAATAATAACAGTAATAACAATAATAATAATACTGGTAGTAATATAGATATTACCTGTAACTCAAACAGTAATAATGATGTATCTTCAAGTAATGCTGCATCCATTGTTTCAAACAATAATAACTCTCTCCTAGAGACTAACCAAACAGTAATGTGTTCTTAACTTCTATAATATTTACAGTAATTTCAAGATATATTTCAATGGAAAACTAGTCATTCATATTCCGTTTCTAGGCAGTTATCTTATTATGGGTATATCAAAGACACTAATATAATTTGGCTAATTATATGAAATGATTATATACGTGTATAATATTATTGTTATTACTATTATCATTATATATAGCTAATTTATTATTGAGAAAAATACTCAGCATAAAGGAAAACGTTTTATTATTATAAATATATATTTGTTCACATTTATACATAATTTGTGCAAAATTTTTTGCTAATATAACTTTTTTTTTTTCTAAAATAAATAAAATGCTGAAAGTATTTAAAATATAAGAGTTTTTGTCGATTATTAATAATAAAAACAATCTAATTAAGAAAATTTCATGCGGAAATTGAAATAAACAATTCATAGTATTAATCCATATTCTTTATAAATTTAGGTTTAACATTAATAGTGTAATTTGACATTGGCACTTTTCTAAATTTTTTTCCACTTGAATTTTTGACAACGGTATTGCATGCAAAATTGGCGGGATTACGCACTTACATAAATTCACTTTTGCATGTGGACTGAGTAATAAGTAGGCAAATTAACAGATAGTGGCTTGTGAAAAAATGAATTAAAAAAAGTTATGATTTGGTTAAACAGAAAAAGTTAAAAATAGGTAACCGACTAAAAAGATACGAAAGGAATTGTTTAAATGGTTATAAGGTAAGAATATCTGTATAATCGAGACATGAATTGTGAATAAGTTGGATATAATCTTAATAAATATGTAAATTCAAATCAAAATATAAACCATATCGTTGGCTGCCATGCATTTTAATAATTAATTACTTTTTTTTTCTGGCGTAAGATTTATAGGAAATGATTGAAAGTAATAGGTCATACTTTAGTGCCATAACTGGTGAGTAATACAATCCTATCTTTTGAATTTGAATAGCCAGTAACGAGACAAAGTCTGTTGAATTGTGAATAAAGGGAACTTTGGGAAAAGGGGATGTCACATTTTTCAACATTGTAAACACTGCACTGTTGTTGATTGCAGCTTTCTAGAGCAGAGTATAACCTCAAAACTTTGGTTTTAACTTTGTATCCACCACCACAACTGGAACTACATTGAGACCAAGGACCCCAACTACCAGGCGAAAATATCGAACATGTGATTCTTTGAAGTTCATTTCCACTATAATCGCAATTATCATTAAATGAGACTTCAAACAAATGAGGACAAGGAATGCCACCTGGAGATGGGATTTGTTGAACTGTTCTTCTCCTAGCTGTTTGACCACAACCTTCACTACATTTTGTCCAAGATGACCATTGACCTACAACACATGAATTTGCCATGCATGTGTATGAGCTAGTGCATTCTTTGAGATCTCTAGTTTTTGGACAGGCTACACCTGATCCTCTTGGTGAAGTTAAAATTGGTCTTGTTCGCTTACTATATGCCTTTCCATCAGTGCAAAGAGCGGAATCACAACCACTCCACTGTGACCATTCACCTAGGACACAGTTAATGTCGCAATCTCCGTATTTCACGGATAAATCTTTACTTCCACTAATCCAACCAATGGAGTGGAAACTACAGCCAATATCACCTAAAATAAGATAACACGGAGAAGATCCTGTACCGGTAGATCTGAAATTGAAATATTTACAGTCGGATCTTTGTTTACATCTATTTAAACAGTCTTGCCAAGTATAGCTTTCAGTTTTTAACAAGTTTCCATAATTCAAGTCATCATCCAAGGTACATCCCCAACCCAAAACTCCTACATCGTAATTTGGACAATTTGATGCTGAAGTGTCTCTACCAAGAGCAGATTGTAAAATTTTTCCACTCAATACATAATTTAAGGCAGAATTCTCGTCATTTAATTGAGCAGTATTCATTTTACCCCAGTTACGATCACTACAATTGACAACTTCTTGAAGATGTGGACACTTCTCTAACGGATATTTTGGCTTGTTTACAACTTTTCTTGTCCTATAAGTAATTCCACCATATACTTTTGGAATACAACTATCAGACCATTCACTCCAGGCTCCAACAGTACATGTCGTTGCACAGCTACCAGTAACATCAACATCTGGATAACCTGAAACGAAATTTTGATTATTTTCTTTACATTCTCTATCACCATTTTGTAAAGTACACATACCACCTTTACTATCCCACGCAAAAGTTTTACATGGAACCGCACTAAACAAGTTACTTTTGCATCTTTCTCTGCATTCTTGCCAGCTATTAGCTTCCCACCAAACTAATCCATTTGCTGCCCAACAAAATGTCCCTTTATAATAAGCACCATATTCAGGACATGAACTTTTTACCAAGATTATCAGGTTGTTTACAACAAGCACTACCAATATTGTTAGAATTTTGACAGAAATCTTCATTTAAAAAGCTCCACACTTTATTTAATATCTAAATCTTATTGGAAATCATTCAATAAATTATTTCAAGATTATTGACGTATTTGGCTAATTCCACCTTAATATCTTTTCTCTTGGTTTCTTATCTAAATCAGTTCAATTAACTTTCCAGATATTGAAATTAAGAATCTTTTTTTTATTATAAACGTATTTATTTATGCAAGAGAAAAGTTAAAAATTGTTCCTGATATTCTTTATGATCTCATCTATTGAATCACATGCCGATTGGTTTAGGCGGGAAATATGGATATTTTATTTATTTTTTAAAAATATTTATCAAGATCAATACCGGTACTTGTATAAATATAAATTAAATAATTATTTATATATAATGGAACTTGGCGGGCTTTTGGATATTAATAACTAATTATAATATACAATTGTGGGATTTCGTTATTTAAGTATCTAATTATATTGATGTAAAGAATTATTGGCTCACACATGCAAAAAAAGAAATAAATGTATTGTCTGGAAAATAAATTAAAGAGATAAAGTTGAGATTTATATTAAAGTAATAAATGAACTAGAATATATGAATTTAAATTAAGAAAGAAAAATTGCGAAAGTTTAAAAGACATTTAAAGAATAGCTGATTAGATTTAAAAGTTTTTGAGATATTTTGATTAAAGGTGGGAATTACACTTTTCGACCAATTTATATATATAGATATATGTAAATTAAAAATATATATTTATATGTATATTACAAGATAAGAGTTGCGGTGGATTAAAGTAAAAATATGTTTAAGATGAAAAGGCTGATACTAAATTTAATATTCTTTCAAATATATATTACTCAGAAATTTGTATTATGTTCAAAGTTGGTTCATTATTCAGTAGGCGGACACGCATCAACATCAAGAGTAAAAGGAAGAAGTAGTAATGACTATCAGGTTTCAGGATTAAATGGATATGCGTGCCCAAAGTTTGACAAGGATGTGAAAGGATTTGCATGTTTTGGTATGAATACTGCATATACAGTTAAGAAAAATAGTTGGCAAGAGTGCGCAAATCAGTGTTATTGGAGTAGATTTACAATACTTGGGAATTGCCAGAAATCTTTATATAATTCAAATAACCAAGATTGTTATATTAAAAATGGTGATACTGCTTGCGAGAAAGATTCTGGTGGTATGATTTTTTTAAATAGACAAAGTTATATGATTGGAGAATGCGCAACAACATGTACTGTATCAGGTTGGTCAGAATGGACTCCATGTTCAGGTGTTTGTGGTGAGATGAGATCAAGATCAAGGTCTGTGAAAAGTCAGCCAAAATATGGGGAATATTGTCCAAATTTGATAGAATATTCGAATTGTCCTGTAGCGAGTAAATGCCCAGAAGATTGTCCACAATATGGAGTTTCAATATTAGGATGGGGTTGTCAGTTTGAGTCAACATTTTCATTCAATAAAAATTTGTTTGTTACTTATGAAGAAGATTGGAAAGGATGTTTATCAACTTGTAAGCAGGATCCATTATGTGTAGCTTGGTCATATAATGCAACATTGTCAGAAGGACCAGATTCAGTTGGTTTTTCAAGAGAATATCGTCCATGTTATACACATAGATTTGCTTCAGGATGCCATGTTCTAGCTCCAGGGTGGGTATCAGGTAATAAGAATACAAGAGAAAGTGATTGTGAAACTGGCAGTTGCATACATAATGAATGGTCATCTTGGAGTAAATGTAGTGATCCTTGTAGTAATACAGAGACAATGAGTAGGAATAGAACAGTAAAAAGCGTAACTCAGAATTGGGCAACTGTACCATGTAGGGATGAAACTCAATATCAACTTTGTTCAGAAGATCCACAAAGTATTGCAACTTGTACGACTTGTTTAGTAAGCCAATGGACTGCTTGGTCGATTTGTTCAACAACATGCGGGGAAGGTGTTAGGACTAGAACACGTAATATTACTAAACCTCCTCAAAATGGGAATAATTCAACATGCCCCGAATTAATTGAAGAAGAAAGCTGTAATAAGGATTTGGAATGTTTAAATGCATGCGAAGTAGGAAAATGGTCAGATTGGTCACCATGTAGTGTAACTTGTGGATCTGGAACAACAGTAAGAAATAGAGAAGTAAAAGGGAGCAATTGCACAGAATCAGCAATAGAGTCAAAGAATTGTAATTTAAGTAATTGTGGGGACAATTCTCAATCATGTACAGCAGTAATGTCGGTTTGGTCAGAGTGGTCAGTTTGTAGTGAGAAATGTGATCAAGGATTAGTAAGAAGGTATCGTGATTTTGATTTTTCAAAAATTGGAGTTTTTGGTTATGATCCACCTGGTACAGCAGAAGAACAAAAAAAGGTAAGAGAAACTTGCAAAGATACTCCAACATTGGAGGAAGAGCCATGCACTTCAGGTACCGCTTGTACTCCAGGATGTAAATATACTGAATGGGGTTCTTGGTCAGACTGTGATTGTTCTGGGGAACAGACCAGAAAAAGAGTTGTTACTTTCCCCGAAGGTGTAATTGATGCAATTTGTCAGAATTCTACAGATGCTAGGTTATGTAGTAAACCTGAGGGTTGTACGGAAACCGCTCCAGATTCTGGAAACGCTTCTCTTGCAATTGCTATTGGATTACCAATTGGTATTCTTGGATTATGTATTATTGCAGGCTCTCTTTTCCTTATCGGCGGAGGTAATGAGCAGGAGGAGGATGAGACTAATTATCAATACTTTGATCAATCTTCTGATGTATTAGATCAAGACTCAGAATATGTTCAAGAAATTGGCCCTGAGAATCAGAACTGGGCTAGCTAAAGCAGAATAGTTAATTTATGGTAATTTTTTTTTAAGTAATACTTTCATTATTGCGTATATTAAGATATCAAAACGTTGTAAAAATTATTTTAATCAGAAGAAGGAAGAAGAAAAAGAGATAAAAGATATTGTGTATACCATGTATGCATACATGCATACATAATATATACCTTAAGATGATCATGATACCAGTATAATATTTCTAAAAGTTATCGAAGCAGAGAAAATTGATTATAGATCAATCAGTTCTATAGGAAATTAATAATATAGTTGACGATTTTTTAATCGAGTTTAAGTTTTACAAATTTTTCTTTTTTTTCTTTTTCAAAATAATTTTAAGTAATAAAAAAAAGATAAATTGAGCGCCAAAATGTGTGCATATATTTTTCCCCACAATTAAAAATATCGTTTCTATAAAACTTAAGAAAAAATTTTGTAAGAAAGAGAATGAATTCGATGAGGCAAAACAGTAATAGTAGTAGAAGTAGCAATTTTGATTATAAGTTGTGCGTTATTGTATGAAAATATTGATCAGTGCTATTATTTAATTAATAAAGCCTACTTGGGAATCTGATATATGAAGTAATAGAAAGATATTAAGTAAAAAAAATAAAGATTTGGTATCCATTATACAATTGTTTAAATTAAAAAAAATGTTTGATTGATATTATTATTAATTTTTTTATGATGGGAGAGGCAGGGAAAGCAGTAAACAAATAAGACTATTTATTATAGTCTGAAAAAATTATAGAAAAGACCCGCCATAAGAAAAAACATTATGCATGTAGTAATGCATCTGTAAAATGCAGTGTCTTGGAAAATATAAAATAAAATTTCGTAAATAAAAAAAGAAAATATAATAACTTTTATTATAGTAAAAAGTAGAATTTTGTATTTTTAGAGAAGTTAGTGTAACAAGTATAAAGATATGAAGACAGCTTTCCAGGGAGAATTGAATTTAATGAATAATTACTATGAGGGACCTCCACAACAAACTCCAAGATTATTAGCATCTGAATCAAAAATTTCAGACGTGAACTTTAACAGTTTATTCAGAGTAACATCTGCTATTGTTACATCATCTGGTTTTGACTATAGTTTATTTGGGATTACAAATGCAAGAGCAGCTTTAGCTACATCATATTTTATTGGACTCGGATCTTTTATTGGGTTTATTATGATTATAGCTTTAATTCGAATTATTTATTTTGTTTCTAAGAGAAGAAATAGCAGGGCTAACTACAGTAATCTAAATTCACAGAGATTTGTTGTTAGATCATCCGACGACATCGCCTCAAGTAACTATGGATCTAATGAATTCCCAGCAATTTCTAGCGGAGCCAAAGTTTAATGTGGAATACTTCAATTTAAAAGATAAATAGTATTAATATTTTACTGTTAGTGCTATTGACATTTCACTTTAATTTTAATAATTATCGTCATGCACACAAAATTAAAATATAATGCACACAAATTTAGAAAATAATTATTTTCTAAATTGATAGAGAATTATATATTTCAAGCCAATAATAATTTAAATGTATCATTTTCTACATTTCTTAGTTATGACGTGTTAATAGGAGAGGAAGGAGGGCGTAATGATAATAATGAGATATAGCCAACACAAAAAGATTTTTCAGAATATCTCATTCTATTCTTCAGGGAACTTTTCTAGTTATTTCAATAGTATCTAAATTTTATTCTTGATTTTCTTTCCATTCGTCTAATTTATTATTTAAATACACTTTTTTTTTTATTCCTATATTCAATTTAAAAAAAAAAAATTAATTATATTATAATAAAAGAGGTGTGCGCGCCAAACAACGGGACGGCGGGCTCAGCTGAATGAGAAATAATTTAGGAGTAAAGGATAAGAAAAACCAGTCAATAAAAATATTAGTAATATTGATATTAAAACATATAATCAGGATTGAGAGTAGTTTGATATAGAAGACAAAATAACCAATTGATCATTTATAGTTGGTTGAATAAGTAATAATTACTTTAATACTGGCTTGAAACGATTATATTATTTCAATATATATATATTTTCCTATACAAAAGAATTTATAAATATATATTAAAATATAGAGAGATATATAATTAGCGGAGAATAGAACCAAAGATGATACAACTGGTGTTTACTTCCAATGGAAATGGACGTTCAACTTCAATCCTTTTATGTGACTGGCTATTCACAGTTTTAGATTACTTGGATAAGACAAAATCAAATGAATTTTATGAAAAAGTATGTGAATTAGTTAGAGATGATATATCTGAAGTGAATATGGCATCTATATTTGAGTTACTAGTTAGTAATTTGGATGGGATATTTGAGATTTTGAAGGATGTAGAGGCAAAAAAGGAAATAATAATACGTGATGATGTTAAGAGAAATTTTGGTGAGTTATATAAGGAATCAGAAGAGTTCTTTATTCCATTAATTTCGATGCTTCTTCACCCAAATTTTGAGAAATCAAGAATTGATCAATGTAAAAAGATTTTTCTTGATAAATTAATGAGTGGAGGAGAAATCTCAAATTTGAGAATTAATGTCTTAAAGGTTTATTATGATATATTCGGTGAAGATCTTGAGCTTTTGGTTGATATATTGAAGTATAAAGCACAATATGGTTGTTTTAATAACTTTGAAAGACTTGAATCTTCATTAGATATGTTAGAAAAGAAGATTGCTAATATTGGTGAATCAAAACCTGAATTAAAAAGAAATCTTTATTTAGCTATGTATGATATTATATCATCAGAATCAAAAGATAATAAGACTTACTTAAATAAGAGGGCTTATGATTATTTGGTGGGATTTTTTGAGACTTTTAAATCAAAGGATGAGATTTCAAAATCAATCAAGTCAAATAGTCGAATACTTGATTTAGGAGTTGAGTTTTTGATTTCAACAATACTTTTACCAGAAATCCTATTTTTTGATTCATTGTTAACAATGCCAATTTATCAGTATATTAAGGAAAATAACTCTAAGGAATATAATATTTTATTGGAATTATTTGATATATGTTATCAAGGAACAGTTGGAGACTTCCATGATAAACTCCAGAATCAAAACCAAGAATACCAAGATTTCCTGGATAAATTCCCAATTTTAAAGACCAATGAAACTAATATAATTAATAAACTCCAATTATTAACTATTTCAACTTTAGCAAAAGGTAAATCATCTATTAAGTTGGATGAACTTGAAAAAGAATTTAGACTTTCATCTTTTGATACCCAAGACGCCGTAGTAAACGCAATAAGTGTTGGACTTATTGATGGAAATATCTCAGAAAATTCCAATACCGTTGATATTAATTGTGTAACTAAAAGACAGTTTGGAAAAGTTGAATGGGAATCTTTGGATAAAAAACTTAGCCAATGGATAGGACATCTTACTTCACTTTCTTCCATTCTTGCTAATAATAGCAATAATAACAATAGTAATAATAATAACAATGAGTAATTTAATAATTAAATATGCTGTGGGAGATTAGAATATTTAGAACAAAGTTTTCAGACAGAAAATCAGTCTCAAATTCCTGTTATTTTTATTAGCTTTTCATTTAATTTTAAATTTATCACTTATATATATTTGTATTTTTTTTTTCTTATATCATCTCATCATGTAGTAAAATAAATTCATCTTTACAATTACCAAATCGGATTGAATCTTTTTCAATTAACTCGTAATATCTTCTTTGTTCTATTTTTTCATCATTAATAAATGTACCATTTTTACTATCTAAATCTATTATATATATTGTGGGAACACCTTTCTTATTAATCCTATGCTGTATTACTGCATGTTGATCTTCAACTGATTCTTCTTGTAAACTTATATTCACTACTCTTGCATCCTTACCTTAAATAAATTAAAAACAGTTAATTATTAATAAATTATTTTATATTAATCAAAAATTACCTATTAAATAATACTCTTGATTGTATAGTGGTATTGTTTCATTATATACGTGTTGTCCACATGAACTGTCATGATTTACATGCGCAATACCGGTATTGTTTTTCCCCACACAATGTGGATAATTGTATTTGAATACATAAAACTTCCATTTTTTACGAGAATTACATGAGTCTGAAGGTTTTGTGTACTTAAATTGTGTTTATTGAAATTTGTATTATAGTTTTTAGTTTGAAAAGAGAAATAATAAATCATACCTTTAAAAACACTCCATTTAGAGAGTTTGATTCTTTAGCTAGTAATCCAGAGGGTTCAAAGTTCACCTTGTTATTATGGCTTTCATTGCCAAATTCATGGTGTTTGTGCAGTTGCATTTTTTTTTTAATTAATTTTATTATTTTCTGTTTTTTTTTCCTGGTAATTTATGTATAGGAAGAGGTAAAATTAGGGAAATAAATTAAGAAAGCGTATTCAATTAAATTCCAGTGATTAAATAATTATTTGATTCATTGCTGCCGTGTATAAATTAGTTTGAATTATTGTGTGATCATTTTATATTTATTAAATATTGGATTATTAAATTGAGATTGATATTTTAGTGTTTGGCGGGTAATTTCGAAAGAAAGGACGAAAAATTAGGTATAAATATTATTAGAGGGTAAGAAATCAAAGAATTACATTGTAATAATTTGCATATCAGTAGATCAAATCTTGAAAAAATCGTTAAGAGCGTGTAGTTGATTCCAATTTGACTTAAGATACCGTATATATCGCTTTTCATGTTATTATAAAGTTGGGGGGAAAACCATTGCATGCATATTACAGAGAAAAAAAAGCATTCAAGTAAAATACCAATTTGAAAATGAACTTAAATGGAAGATATTATGATGAAAAAATAATAAATGCCTTAAAGATTTGGTCAAAATGCCTCCCAAGTAAGACAGATAGTGTAATAAAAGAATTATGTAAGTTTTAGGAATATTATTTTAATATAATTAACTTAAACAAAAATATAGGCAATATATATTCAAAGTCATCTAGAGAAATATTGCAGAGAGTCGAAACCCCTTTAAAGCTAATTTTAGATCTAGAAACCAATATGTATTATTTAGGGTGCAATTCAAACAGGATAGAGAATTACTTTAGATCCCCATATACAAATAAATTTTACCTTGATCCCAATTCTGAAGAAGAATATGATTCCGAGAAGGCCAAAAGTTTTAAAGAGATAGCGAATAGTGATTTGAGCCATTTAAAAATGTTAGAGACAGAATTTCAAAAAGCTTATGAGAGTTATTGCCAAAATTATACATATATGAATAGTGGCTTAGAAGATGATATATCTGATCACGGAGTTTTATTGAGTAATGTTTATTGCTATGACATTGAGGGGGATTCTTTTGGAACTTGCTTTGTAATGAAACACCTAATTAACCCATTTAACTTCTCAACAGACGATAGTTCCAACGAGAAATTTAATTATGATTACACTGAAATGGTTTACTTTTTGGATATTATACATAATGTAGAAACTGTGTTATCTCACTCTTCAGGAATCTCAACATATAAAGTTGGCTCAACCTATTATTTTGGATTTAAAAACAAACAAAACGAATCTTTAGCTTCTGAAAGTGAAGAAAATAACAATGGTGAACAAATTTTATTTGACGGTTGCAAAACAAACTGGATTGAAAAAAAATTTGAATTTAATACCACCAAATTCTTAAAAGGCTTCTTAAGGTCAAATACCAAATCCAATATTAGTAGTGAAACTAATAATGAAAATAATCTGCAAAATGTTGCCATTGACAGAAACTCAATAACTATTATTAATAACCAAACTATTTATTACCACATTTCAAATATTGGGAAACTTATTGAATCTATAGATAATAATGTAATGAGGCAAATCCAACATGTAATGATCGACAATCTTTCGAATATATCCAACAATTTACATGATTAATACCAACCTCCATTATCTATTACTTATATTTTATTGCAACTCATATATTCTACAAAAATTCTTTTCTGTTTCAGAAATTATTTGATGCTTTTTAATATTTTTTTAAATAGTGAATAATAAAATAATTTTGTTTTGTCCACATAAAAAACAACTTTTACGTGTCAATAATTACAAAACTGCATGAAATTGTGCATGCATGAGTGCCGGTTTGTAATGAACGAATAAATTAATTATAACCTTTTAAAGCTAATAATTCTAATTCTTCCTGAATTAGTTCTTTAATTGGGACAATATTTCCGTTTTTCAGGTGATCATCCCAGGCATAATTTTGGTTCCTATAGCATCCTTGAAAAGCAATCATAGTATAATAGAAATTATCTCTTCCTAGTTCTGGGTCAACTCTAAACCTTATTTCATAGCTTCTGTTTTTTGTTTCAAAAATTATCATCTTTACAATACTTTTATTTTGTTTATGTTCAATCGTGAAAAAGAACTGATCGAATTCAAATTCTATTGACTTATGATAGCTTAACTTGTATTCTACAGGATTCTCATTATTTTTCGACATTTTAATTTTCTTTCTTTTTTCCTTCCTTTCATCTTCTTTAGTATTATAACTTATTTTTACCAACCCATCCATTAGCTGTGACTCGAATACTCCCCTATAAGTTTCCCTCTTAAATGCCAAATAGTCACCTTCTTCGTAGTAGTCATCGTCATCATTATGTTTCTGATTTTCAGGCAAAGAGTCCGAATCTGAGCCTAAATCTGGATCAGAATTTGAGTTGGAGTTTGAATTTGGATCCGATATTTTTTTTTCTTCTTTTCCATTCTTGCTAACTTTGGCCCTAGTTACATTCTTCACATCATCTTCGTCATCTTCCTCTTCATCACTATTTTCGTCTTCTTCTTCATCTTCTTCGTCTTCGTCTTCGTCTTCGTCTTCATCTTCGTCTTCTTCATCTTCGTTTTCGTCTTCGTCTTCGTCTTCGTCTTCGTCTTCGTCTTCATCTTCATTTTCATCTTCACTTTCATCTTCATCTTCGTTTCCATCACCTTTATCATCGTTATTGCTAAAATCATTTACGTCACCTTCATCATCAATTTGGTTTTTCTTTCTCTTGTTCTTCTTCTTCTTCTTCTTCTTTTTCTTTTCATCTGGATGATTTATTTTAGATTTTGAACCAGATTTTTTGGTGGAATCTCCATCATTTAAAGAAAATGAAGGCCTTGGACGGTCTAATAGAATTATATTACAGCATAAACTTTCATCACAAATAAAACCCAAAATCTGATGAGCCATAAAGTCCGGTATAAGGACAGGCCTAGATACGAGTTTAAGTTAAAAAAGGAATCTAAAAGCTATTAGGCTAGCAAACTTACCCAAGAATAGTTTCTTCTGTAATATACTTCTCAAAATCAGGATCTATCTCTGAATTCATTTTTGATTCCATAAAATAATCAGAGCGTTCTTTATGATTAAGTAACTTTTTCTTGCCATTAAAATGTAGATCTTTAGCTTGTATTGGATTAATTTGGTTCTTATTTATGTAATTTCCCCTAAATATAGTAACATTCAAATAGTGACCAATTGTTTCCCTTTCTATATACCATTCAAAACCTTCAAATAAAGGAATAGGGTCAACCAAAGAATAATCATCTCCTTCAGTTATAATCTGAGGAGTCATATGCCATCTAACATGCTTTATTGGGTTAAAGCTTCTATCTTCACTTAAATCTACTACTTTAACTTTATTATCAGCAGAAATATTTCCTTGTATCTGAAATCTGTTTTGGTTCATTCCTATTGGTCCGTGCCACTTTGCTGGATTTTTTTCAAAATGCTTATATAAGTACTGCCCACGAATATATGGCTGTTCTATTGTTTCTTCCTCTATCTTTTTCACCTCATATTCTACTGCTTCTATTTCTTCATCCTCTATTTCTTTAAATTTTACCTTTTTAATCTCATCCCTCAAATTAAAAGTCCCCTGAAACTGCACATTCTCAATCTTTTCTCTTACTGGCTTCTCTCTTTCTGGATACAGAGGAACTATGTGATCTTCAACTTTTAAAAATCTATATCTCTATAAAATTGATATCAAAAAACATTGAATAAAATTGAAATAGTTATTTTTCATAGTATTAACTTACCATGCATGGCTTAGTAGTAAGCTTTATTGCCTATTTTTTTTAAGTTAAATTAATTAATTATTCAAGAGAATACAGAGAAAAAGATAGTTTTAAAAATATGTTATTTCAATACATATAAGTCATTAGTTAAAGTAAATTTTTTATTGTATATATAAGAAGCTTACCTTTTTAGATTCAGAAAACGAAGGAACCATATCCTCAGTAATTCCAAACCTGGAAGTATTTTTCTTCTCATTATTAAAATATGGAATAATTTCAATATATTTCTTTAAATAGTCCATTTTTAAAATGTTAGTAACAATCAAAAGTGAATGATAACTTGATATCTTTTTCCTTTCATTTGAATTCTAAAGATTGTGAAATATATTTATTCAAGAATTGGATACGTAATTTATAATTTTTTTTTGAATTAAATGCCATGCAAATACAAATTTTTTTCACACAATTTACGAATTCCACGTCATTGTTACCGGTATGGGCGCCAAAATGTTTTCTTAAATAATAAAATGTCTTAATTTGACATTATAGGGTAAAAGGGAATAAAGATAAAATAGGAAAAGTAAATTAATAAATGAAAGTTAGTAGGTTTAAGTCGAATAATAGGGTGCTATTTGAGTTTTGAAAAGTGAGAATTTTAGTTTTTGATTACTGTAAGGTTTTAATATTATTAAAGCAAACTTAATTGAGAATTTAGCTTGGCCAGTAAATTTTCAAGGGAAGATGGTCAAAATGACTCCTTGGGAAAATTGGAATAAAGTATTAAAATCCCCAAAGACTGTTTTAGCTCCAATGGTAGATGGAAGTGAGTTAGCTTTTCGGCTTATTTGTAAAAAATATGGTTGTGATTTGGGGTATTCTCCTATGTATCATTCTGGGTTATTTTCTAAACTTCAAAGCTATAGAGAATCAAATTTTCAGACATGTATGGAGGATGACCCAATGATAGTTCAGTTTTGTGGAAATGATCCGGAAACTTTGATAAAGGCTTCAAAGTTTATTGATGATAAAGTTAAAGGTATAGATATAAATTTTGGGTGCCCACAAAATATTGCAAAAAGAGGAAATTATGGTGCATTTTTACTTTCAAATCCAGATTTAATGGAGAGGATCATTTCAGCTATGTCAGGAAGTGGTTTGAAATGCCCAATATCATGCAAAATAAGAATACTTGATCATCATGATTTACAATCAACTGTTAATTTAATAAAAAGGTTAGAATCTGCTGGTGCTTATATGATAGCTGTACATGGAAGAACAATGAATTCTAGAGGAGTACTTACAGGGCCTGCTAATTGGGAAGCTCTAAGAATTCTTAAATCAAGGTGTTCAATTCCTTTTATTGCTAATGGTGGGATTTCTAATTATGAAGATATTCAAAAATGCTTAGAATATACAGGGGCTGATGCAGTAATGAGTGCTGAAGGCATTTTAGAGAACCCATGGTTATTTCAAGGTTTTAAAGCTCCAGAAACTATTAAAAATAAACCATCACAATTTCAAATTGCACTTGAGTATTTGGATTATTGCATACTTTATCCACCTCCAAATGTGGGAATTATTCGAACACATCTTTATAGGATTTTCCACACTATATTTACTCTTCCAGGTGCTCATGTATTTAGGGATGAAATTAATAATTCACATCAATTACACGAATTTCAGATCTTTATTCGGAATCTTGAAAATTTCTACATATCCAAAATTACCAACGAATTGAGAGACTATTCAGGAGCAATTCCTCAAATCGGATTCTGGTATATTAGACATCGTAATGACAAGCTTAACCATAATGTTACAAAAGAACTTATTTCAATCTATAATTATCAACAATACAAACTTCCTAGCATTCTCCAATTTAATGAATCTGAAATGACTGATGTAAAAATTTCAAATAACCTGGAAATTCAGTCAAATGATGAGATTTCCAATCTTTTTTCACTTTATGATTCTTAATTTTATTGACACGTAATTTTGTTCATTTTAACATTGCATGTTTTTACCGCCTACACGTCATTCTTGATTATTTCCCCACAAACTTATAATTAATAAATAGGGGAATGAAAATTAATTCAGTTAAGCATAAGTTGTTATTTTTAATTAATTAAATTAAATTTTTTATTTATTTTTTCTAACTTAAAGTTTTGTTTCTTTTTTAAAAGTTTACATAGAGATTTCCAGTTGCAAATTTACCAATACAAGTCAGCGCGAAAGGAGGTAATACGTTTTTGGAATGTACTATAACGTTCTTTACAGGTACACGTAAAATAGGAGTTATAGAAAGTCAAATTGCTGATAAGGGAATTTAAACGAATATATGGAAGTTAAGTACCTGGCTCTTTTATTTAGCATATTTACAAGTACAGTGATAATTTCAATTATATTGTGGCTATCAGTTGTGAATCTACCATGTATAACTAAGAAAAGGAATAAGCATAAGAAACATTAATAGTGAGAAACATTTTTTGGGAAATTCCAAATTTATTTATCTTCAAGTTTAATATCTAAGTCACCATTTTGGATGTTTTCAGAAAATAAACAGTAAAGATAAAACAAAAGATCTCTGGATACACTTGGTTTGTGCTTCTTTTTCGATCCAAACTTCATGCTTTTAATCTCATCACATTTTTTTAAAACCTTTGAATACAAATCATCAAAAGTTATTTCACTCGACATTTCCTCGTACATTTTATAAGGAGTTGGCCAAATCTCAAGAAGGGTTTCAGTTGCTTCTGGACCACATCCCTTAATACTTCTAAGTTGTTTTCCAAAAGTTTCTTCAACTGTGAGGTTGGATGATTTTTTGCTATGAAGTTCCCAATCTTTGAATGATGGCCTATTTTTTGCAATATTTGCAATAACACGAGTTTTAAACTCATTATCTTCTAACTCTGAATCGCACCATCTATTTCTTACATTTCTGGTAATCATTTGATGCATTCCAATAAGAAGAGTTAAAGTATGTCCAATTGATTGGCTCTGTAGAATGTGGAAACCTGCAATAAATTGGGTATTAGCTTGAGCAGATCTCAAAACCTGTTTTGGAGCAATTCTACCACTGCTTATTGGTCCATTATTACTACTTGACCAGACTATATTTTCATGAATTGAGTTGAGATCTTCGAGTAAATAAATCACATTTTCAACACCAATTGACCTCATCAATCTATACTTTTGTTCTTCATATCTTCCATCTAATATACTTGAACACATATCACTTCCAGTTTTTCTTTCAATAATCCAAGGTAATACAAATGAATCATCGATTGGTGTTATCTCATCCTTATCTTCAAGTTTTGGTCTTGCTACCCAAATAATATCTCCAATTGGAAGATTTTTAAGTTCAATATTAATTCCTTGATCTTTTAATCTATTTAATAGATATTTTGGAATACCTGAAGATTTACTACCAAAATTATTACTATTGGTATTGGTTAAAGCAAACTCATCTATGTTCTCTGTTGCTTTATATTTATCATTTTTATTATCATAGTTAATACTTACACAATCTCTATTAAAATTTCCAACTAATGAATTACTATAAGTATTAACTTCTCTATAATCAATGATCATAACAATCTCATAATCTATGAATACTTTGGTCTTTCTTTTAGAATCAAAAGATTTAATCATTTCAAATAAATTGTTTTGGGACATAATATTATTAAATTGCTCTTTATTATAATTTGTAAATATATAATCAAATAATTCATTACATTTTAAGCATTCTATGGATATCTTATTTCCCTTATCAGTTAAGTTATAACTAATCTTTTCAGATTCTATGGGGAATCCTTGGATTTTAAAATGATGTTTATTAACTTGAATAAAATCTTCTTTAATAAGTTTCTTAATAGTCTTTTCAGCCTTTTTTATGGTCATTTTGGGCTCATAAGATTCTTTAAGAAAACAATATAATCCCTGAATACTTTCAAGAGTGACATCTTTTAAAGGTTTTAGAGCTTTAAGAAGAGCAATAATAACAATAATACTCCATCTTTCGCCATATATTTGAGGGGTACCTGGATTCAAATTTTTATTATTATTTCCTGTTCCAATGATTTTGTCCTCCCCATCTTGTTTTTCTTCTTCTAGTGCCTCCAAGATAGAATTATCAGCTTCGGGGTTTTGAGCAAGAATAGGATCTACAATTAGGTTAAGATCATTAATTTTATTCTTTCGATACTCATCACATTTTTGCTGATACTCTTTTAAGTCTTTTAATTGATCCATTCTATCGGATTTAATGAGTTTTTCAAGTTGTGATCCCAAGTAATTCCCAATACCCTCCAGTATTTGGAACTGCTGATGACTAATAATAGGTACCGGATATTGTTTAATACTATTAATGGCTTTTTTAATCATGGACATTCTTTGTATAGTTTTTGTAGTTTTCTTCATTCTTTCAAGGTAATCCAGGTAAATCAAGTTAAATGGATGAGCTTTTCCAATATATGGACTTTTTTTTAGTAGAATTTCTTCGATATTATTTTCTTCTGATGCTTCTTCCCTGAATTTTTTACTTTTCGTAGTAATGCATTCTTGCTGATCTTCAGACTCACAAATTTCCTTTTCTTCTTTTTGAGTAGAATTTTCATGGTTATTTGTGGTTGATCTTTTCTTCCTAATTTTTATTGAATTTAAAATCTTAAAATTCTCCATAAATGACTAAATATTCAGACTCGGATTAAATCACTTTTTTATTCCGTTCCTTTGGAATATGAGTAGTGAATAAAGTTCATATCACAAAAAGCATTAAAATAGTAATTATACAAGAAATGATGAGTATTTTAAAATATATTGAAAAGAGATAAACGCACAACCAAACTATTCTTATAATGTATACTTGTCATGTTCTCGAATTTCCCCCCTTTTAATATCCCTTTACCTTTTTTTCTCACTTTTACCATTATTTTCAAATGTTACCGCCAATATTTTCTACTGTTTCGGTACCCATTAAGTCACAAAAGTGCACATTGGCGCCAAAACCAACACTCCACAAAAAACAAAAGACGAAGTTGGCGCGCGCGGCTCATGCATGATGTTAAAACGGGTGAGTAATTAGTAAGGGAATTAGTCAACATAATGGTGATTGCTATTATAGTCATCTTCTTGAGAGGAATACTGTTGAGTTTGCATTTGAGTAGTAGAATTTATGGGAATAGTATTCATCCACAGATTTTGTAGATCGGAAAGGGTGTGAAAACATTCGTTGGAGCCAAAATTAAGCTCAATAAGTCCTAGATTTGTGACATCTAAGGCTTTAGGAAGAGTTAGATGTTTATAGTTTGCTTTAAGTTTAGCTTGTCTTCTATTAAGTAGATCTTGAAAAAGCTCTAAAGAGGGAAAGGTGGAAAAAATTAGAAAGATATGTAAAATGAAAAGTTGTAACAATGTTTAACCTAAATACAAATGGTGAAACTTACTTTTCACTTTATTCTTTTTTCCATTAAAAGGATCATTTCTGAGTTGGAAGTAAATATTTGCAATTTGATAGTAATAGAAGTCAATAAAGCAAAATGACTCTTGTCCAAGTTTGTCTTCATCCATAAGTAGTTTTCTCAGTCCCTCTTGAGTGAGCCAATTTGGAGGTATCAGTTTACATAAGTTTTTAGAATCCAAGTATTTTGCAATCCATAATGGTACTTTGCTTTTCTGATAAGGCACAAATGGGCCAATTTCAACCTAATAATAATAATAATAATAATCACTATTTACATTTCAAATAATATAAACTTACTGAAAATATTAACTTTTTTCCCATTTTTATGTTTGGAATTATCTCCACCTGAGTTTGTTCCTCTGCAATAAATAAACTTTCCTCAAAAGAGATAGCTTTATCACTTCTAGTTTCAACAGAAAAAGATAAATTCTTCATTTTCCCATATTGAAAATTTTCTGTTTTCTTTAGAATCCAAACTTTAAAAAAGCCTTCCAAAAATTACTAAAGCTTTTTTCAAATGTTCAATCTTGATTAGTTCGATTTCCCAGTATTAATTCAATGTTTCTATATATTTCAATTATTATAAATATTTTTACATATACACACATTTGGCGCCAAAATTATTAACAAATTCCTTTTTGTGGGGTAGAAGAAATAAATAAGGGACAAAGGTAACGGTAACTTAAAAAAAATTAATTTAATAGAAAAAAATGAATATATATATTTCTAAAATATAAGAAAATTAAAAAGTAATTGTTTGAGAAAAATAATAAAATAAACTTCTCTATATTATATTATTATTTAATAGAAAAGAAAGTTAACAAAGTAACTTTTTTAACTTTCTCTCTCCAAGACCTGCTTCATATGTAAGACCAGCAGAGTATGCCATTTTAATTGCTTGATTTAATTCATTTGCATTAGTTGCCATTCTAAGTAGAGTTCTTATCTTTTCACCTATATCTTCGATATCATCCTCTTTTTCACTTTGATTCTTGCATTCTTCTAAAACATTCATCTCTTCGGTATTTTTTTCAGTATTTACTTGATATTTTATATTATTACTTGAATTCTCCTTTAATTGTCCTAAATATCCTAAATTGTTCGTAGATGTTGTTGTATCATGTTGAACATTCGTCATATTAGTTCTGCTATTATCTTTTTCATTTTCACTGGTAATTGAGATCTCTCCATTAATTTTATTAGTAGTATCTAAATTAGTATTGATTGTAGTATCAATATTAGTATCAATATTAGTATTAGTATTAGTAGTGGTAGTAGTAGTTGTAGTAGTTGTAGTAGTTGTTATTGTAGCTGTTGTTGGATTACCAGTAGATACAGATGCTTCTATTGGATAAGCAGAATAAGAGGATGGGGAAAATGAAGGTGAGTCACATATAGCAGATGAAGAAATAGTGGCAACAGTTGCTTCATCTCTGGAATTTTCAACCTGAATATTCAATGTTAATGGAGTCATTGAGTTTGTTAATAATGTTGAAGTTGGCTGCTCTAGATGATGGTTTTGAGAAGAAATTGGAGCAGATGTAGTATTAGTATTGATAGTGGTGGAAGATGATGCAACAATTCCATTTGTTAAAGAATGCATTGGTTGTTGAATAATTGACTGCTGAATAAATGGTTGGGCCATAATTGGAGACTGAATTGTTGACTTTTGAATACCTGGTTGTATTAAGGACTGGATTTCTGGTGGAATTGGAGGTTGTATTATTGGATGTTGAATTAAAGGTTGGATCTGTGGCATTGACTGTATTTGTTGCATTTGTTGAATCATATTCGAAACATTTAACCCAACATTACAGTTATTATTTGAATCAACTTGTGATATTCCCGAATCATAATCCATAGGTTTTTCTAACACAACACCATGACCTCTAAAAATACCTGGTATCCCTTTTGCCTCCAATATCATATTAATTACAGTTTCTTCTTCCGGACCATACTTTGTTGAAACATACTCTATCACAGTCCTTATTGCCTCTCTATAAACTTCTATAGATACCATAATTTTAATTAATCAATTCTTATATATTCTTATTTTTATTATTTTTGACCCTTATTGTTATTTATTATTATACACGTCTCTGAGCCCGCCCAAATGATTATTATATTTTGTTTGGGAGATTGAAATATAACTAATTATTTTTACAAGAATTTGTATTAGTAAAAAAGCAATTAAAGCAAATAATAACAATACCAATAATAATATAATATTTGTACTCAAGATTTATTGCTTTTATTAATTATTATTGTTGTTATTATTATTACCATTTCATTTTTTCTTTTACCATAATATTAATATTACACGTGTATGCATTACCAAGAATAGATTATTTCAGCTTACAGGAATTTAATTTCTTTCATTTTTTATTATTTTCCTCATATTCATCTTTTTTTAAGCCAGTTATAATTGTGGGTATATATATTTAGAAAAATTTTCATGTAATCACAGTAAATGAATTAGTGGAGGACTAATATTACTTATAATACTTTCTTTTTTAAGCTTAATGTTATAATTGAACAATGATTTGAAATGATTAACAATATTCTGGATCTCATTAAACAAGGAACTGAAAAAGAAAGAATTGGAAATTTGGAAGAAGCATTAAATATTTATATTTTAGCTCTTCAAAAATGGGACCACATTTGTAAATACCAAAATGATGAAAGAGTCAAAAATGTTCTTCTTAAAAGAATGGAGCAATTAGTTTCCAGAGCTGAACAAATAAAGAATCTGATTAATAGTAACGATGGAAAGGGAAGAAAATTATTTTCAAGTTCAAATTTACCTCCAAACTCATCATCTTCATCTTTGTCAGAAAATCTTTTAAATAAATCACAAAATCCATCCAGTTTTTCTAATATCAGTGATCCCCTTAAAGATGCCATTCGTAATTGTATTTTAATGGAAAGTCCAAATATTTCTTGGGATGATATTGTAGGACTTGAACAAGCAAAGACTTCTCTTAAAGAAGCAGTTATTTTACCAGTGAAATTCCCAGAATTATTCCAGGGTAAACTTAAGCCTTGGAAAGGTATTCTTTTATATGGACCACCAGGTACTGGAAAAACTTTTTTAGCTAAAGCTTGTGCAACTGAAATGAAAGGTACATTTCTTTCAATATCTAGTGCTGATCTTACCAGTAAATGGCAAGGAGAATCAGAAAAGCTAATTAAAGCTTTATTTGATGTTGCTAGAGAAAGGGCTCCTTCCATTATTTTTATTGATGAAATTGATAGCTTATGTAGTAGCCGAAATGAACAAGAAAATGAAGCAACAAGACGTATCAAAACTGAATTTCTTGTGCAAATGGATGGAGTCAATTCTAATTCTAGTAATTGCCCAAATAGTAATTTTAAGCCCATTTTAGTACTTGGCACTACAAATATACCTTGGGAGATTGATTCAGGAATCCGTAGAAGATTTGAACGAAGAATCTACATTCCTCTTCCAGATGAAGACTCTCGTGTATTGCTCATAAAAAATGGTTTAAAATCGATTAATCATTCCTTAACCGATGAAGATATTAATTATATTGCAAAAATGACTCATGGTTACAGTTCCAGTGATGTCTCTATACTTATTAAAGATGCCTTATTTGAACCAATACGTAAATGCAGTGAATCCAGTTGGTTCAAAAAAGTTATCATTAATAATGACACAAGTAATGCTGAAGATTTTAAAGTTTATTGGACCCCTTGCTCCCAGCCATCAAATCTTGATAATTTTGACAAAGAATTATATAAGAAAATTTCATTATATGATATTCCAAATAATCAACTTTTACCTCCAAAATTAACTAGATGTGATCTTGTTCATGTTTTATCAAAAACCAAATCTTCTGTTACCAATCTTGATATTGAAAAATTCACAGAATGGACAAATAAGTTTGGACTTTCTGGAGAGTAATAATTACATTGAATTTTTAAATAAGAAAAAAAGTGATCATTACTTCTTTAAATTAACATATATATCATACACTCCAGTAAAATTCATTATCTTACTTTAATATTAATTTTTTTTTTTAATAAAATAAACTCATCCAATGCTGATGATGATGATGATGATTATCTGTTCAGATAAATATTAATTTGCATTAAAAGAAAACTTCGGCATACAGAGTCACTGTAACTGATATAATTTTTTTCTTGAAAAAAATTCAGTGATGTTATGGTGCTAAGTCATGCCTATATAAATCCAAATTATCGGATCTTTGTTAATATTATATTGTGTTTCTTGCGCATATTTCTAATATTAACGTTATCCCAAGTTTGTACACTAGTTTTTTTTTAATTAATTATCCTTTAAGAACATATTAATTTACTTAGCTTACATGACATTCTTTATTCATTAAAAGGAAAAAATCACTAAATGTGGGATTTTCTTTTTTGTATGTGATTTTTTTAGAATTATTTCCGAATATTGAACAAAGTGATTTTTTTCCACATGCAAAAATCATTAAGGTTTTTTTCTTTATTCTGCATGCACTCCTGCTAAAATCTCTATACCGGCCTATAATCTGACGTCATTTGTTGACATCCACATAATGTTTACCGCCCACCCCATTCAATTCTTTATTGTTGAGGGTATTTCTTTATGTACGTCTTGTCTAACACCAATCATTTATTAATAGTTTTAGTTGTGTAATATTGGTGAGGGAGATTGTATGAGGCGTGAATTAGCGTAGAAAAGTTCAACCGTAGAGGAGAAAATAATAGTAATATTGAGTATTTTTTGTTTATAGAACTTAAAGTGAATACATATCAAACAAATAAAGATAATAATAAGCAAACGAAATAGAGTAAAATTACAGTAACAATAATATTGCTTCCAAATCTTTAACATGAATTATTGTTGGATTTGATAAAATTTGAAAATACTTTCAATTTTCCGCTAATAAATATTTATTAGTAATTTTTTCTCATTTAAGTTAAAGTATAATGAAATATTTGATCTTTCAATATAATTGAGATTTGTTTAATTTTTCATTTTTATAAATAAATGATTAATTAAATTTCCAATTACAATATTGGTGCTTACATGAATATTTTGGATTATTAATATATAATTAATAAATAAAAAAAAAATTTGTGGGAATAAATCTTGTATTAAATTTTTAATAGGTTTATATGGTTTATAAAGTTTTATATAAGGAATTCCAAGAAGGTTCTACATATGACATTTCAGTTGATGATAATGATAATTATGAGGAATACTTAAAACATAATGTAACTCATATTACAAGTATTCAACATAATTATTATGATATGCTTATTAGATTGATTGGTGTGCTTCAAGTACTTGGACTACTTATTCAAACAATACTTATTTGGTATAATTTATATGTTGGATTTTTAAGCTTTGAATTTCTGGCAATACTTGATCTTTCACTATTGTCAATCATGTATATCTTCATTTCTCCGAATGTAAATTTACTTGTTATTTTTGGTTTTTTATGGTTAGTCTCCCCTATATTAATTACATTAACAGCTTCTTTCAGTGATGATACTATTATTGCACTTTGTACTATAGCATTTCTACTTTACCTCCTATCTCACGATTATACAATTATATACAAAGATTCGAAAGAAATTGAACATCAAAATACTGATGTCGTTGCGTTGAACCTTTCAATACTTGGGTCCATATTACTTGCTTCCAGACTTGAAAATAATATACAAGTTTACTTTTTCCTATGCTTCAGTATACATATCTTATATTTTAGCAGAATGGTAAGACACAATTTGTGGAACAATTTACCAAAAATTTATATTTATGTACTAACACCAATTACCTCTATTACTCCAATTTGGTTTTTATATTATCCACTCAATATTGTTTACACTATTATTTGTGCTGTAATCATTTCTGGAACTATATTATACGTTTATTGTGGCCTAAATTATAAAAATGTTATATTTGGTCCTTGGGACGTTGCCACAATTAATGAATAGATATAGATCTTACCATTGATTTAAAATAATTTGCATGTATCCATTATATTTCACACATAATCACTAGATCCTTTTCTTTAATTATAAATACTTAATTTCTATTATTCTTGATATTTTTTATATAGTTTGATTAATACTATTACTAACCAACTTTTGTACCAAGTTTGGATCATATTCTATTCCTTGAAATGGTGAATTTTCTTTATTCCATGATTGTTTTAGAACCTCATGAATATCAAGATTATCTTCAATATTATTGTCTTTGTTTTTAACATTGTAATGGCTATTGGTATTGTTATTATTATTATTATTATTACTGTTAATTAATTTAAGTATCTCAGATTTTGTACGTTCATCACAGTCTCTAAAATTCTTTTTTCCTTGAACCTCCGACAAATCTACTTTTGATTCTCCTAAAAAACAAGAATCCCACCAGCCTTTCCTTTTCTTCTCTACTAGTATCACCAACATGACTTTTTTATCTTGTGGCTCACCATCTTTGTACTCATCAAAATACCAAGTAGCCGTTTCTGAATCTATATAAGAACTAAATTCTCTCGCAAATACACACACTTCTTTCAATAAAATTTTAATATTTTTCATATCAATTATGATTTTCAAAGAACTCTTAATTGATTGAATATCTTTGTTATCTTTATTTAAATCTATATGAATTCCAAATAATTGTATTAATTCATACATTCTAATCTCACACATAATTTCTTCTTCAGTTTGGGTCCATTTATAATTATCCCCACATCCTCCCAAATGTGAATTCAACATAACTTAATTCTCAATTATTATTTTATTCCTATTTAATTAATATATGGTAAATGATGAATATAATGCTTATAATTCTTTGAGATAAAAGCCAATAAATATAATTTAATTAGTTAATTATCAATCAACTTTAATAGTCAGCATAAAATAACTATCACTTTTTTTATTATACAAATATTACCAATTTATTTATTCAATGAATTATTCCAAAAATCACAAATATTATCTTTAGACTATTTCAAATATTGCAAAATTTTGGCGGGAAATTGTTTTTTAGTTATTAGTCTAATTAACAATATATAATTAAAAAAACCATAATTATATTCCAAATTAAAAATTCAACTTAGTAAAGATAATAAAGGAGATTTTTTAATTAATTAATTACCATTTAGTTTTTTTCAGCCCACAATTGAGTCTTTTTACTTATTATATATTTACCTATTTTTGCCAATCTGGAAATGGATCTTTACTAAGTGACATAATATTTGCTTTATTGTTGGTGTATTAGAGTATAGGGAATAATGCTAAGTATTAATTTGGTTAATTATGTGACAAAAAGGGGAATTTTCCGAACTAATACTTTCTCAAATATGATGCTTAAATTTTTAAGTCCAAAAAGAGAATTATTTTTAAGATTACCACCAGTATGCCAAAATGGAGGATCTGGTTACTTTTTAATAAAGGCATTGATCCAAAGTAAATTGAGTAGCAATAGGAGCAGGAAAATCCCACATAGGAAAACTATTGAAGTTAATAACAAAGAAAATGCCAATTTTAATACCCAAAATGAAAGGCCAAAATTTAACAGGTTTTTTATTTCAATACTTGGAATTTCAGGCCTTGGATTATTTGCGAAGATGAAGTATGAGGAATTTAAAAACACCATAACTCTTCAGGAATTTGTGAATTTATACTTGTCTAAAGGTTATGTTGAGAAAATTCAAGTTAATCATGAAAGAGGTAAAGCTTATTTGAAAGAAAATATGAATGTAAATAATTCAAATGCCAATATAATTTACTTTAGTATTGGAGATATTTCTTCATTTGAAAACAAAATCAAAGAAGTACAAAACTCAATGGGTATTAATACATTGAACTTTGTTCCAATAGAATACTCTCATTTAATATCTTTGAGAAAAGTTGTGAATGATTTACTTCCAACAGCAATTGGAATTACTATTGCCATATTATTATTAAGAACTTTCTCAAAATCCATAAGTAATTCAGCTTCTGACAGATTAATTAAGTCAAATTATTCAAGTTTTAGCCAAGTTAAAAATATTAACAAGAATGTTAAATTTAGTGATATTGCTGGAATGAAAGAAGCCAAACAAGAAATATATGAATTGGTGGAATTCTTAAAAGATCCCAAAAAATTTCAAGATCTTGGTGCAAAAATACCAAAAGGTGCTCTACTAGTAGGACCACCAGGTACCGGCAAAACATTACTAGCAAAGGCTGTTGCTGGTGAAGCTAATGTACCTTTTTTTTATATTTCTGGAAGTGATTTTATTGAGATTTTTGTTGGAATGGGAGCCAGTAGAGTAAGAGAACTATTTTCACAAGCAAGAAAGTTATCTCCAAGTATTGTTTTTATTGATGAAATTGATGCAGTTGGGAGAAAACGTGCTAGAGGAGGTGGATTTGCTGCTTCATCTAATGATGAGAGGGAAAGTACTCTTAATCAGATTCTTGTTGAAATGGATGGCTTCACGGAAAATAATGGAGTAATAGTTTTAGCAGGAACTAATCGTTCTGATGTTTTAGATCCTGCATTAACAAGGCCAGGAAGATTTGATCGGATTATTAATATAGAAAGACCAACTCTTGAAGAACGTAAAGAAATTTTTAAAATTTATTTAGATCCCTTAAAGTTGGATGAAAAGGTGAGTAGAGATGAACTAATTAAATATCTTGCTTGTTTATCTCCAGGTTTTGTTGGATCAGAAATCAAGAATTTATGTAATGAAGCTGCAATACACGCAGCAAGACGTGGAAGTAATTCTGGAGTTGAGCTGATTGATTTTGACAAAGCATCTGATAGAATTATTGGTGGAGTAAAAAAGCTGGATGGATATCTTTCACCTAAAGAAAAGAAAATTGTTAGTTTACATGAATCTGGCCATGCAATTGCTGGTTGGTATTTAAAACATGCTGAACCTGTTTTGAAAGTTTCCATAGTCCCAAGAACAGGAGGTGCTTTAGGATTTGCTCAAATGGTACCAAACGAATTAAGACTTCTTTCTAAAGAAGCTTTGCTTGATAAAATTGCTGTTTTATTAGCAGGAAGAGCTTCTGAAGAGCTTTACTCAGAATCAATTACTACAGGTGCGTATGATGATCTTCAAAAAGCTACTATGATTGCTAATTCAATTATAACTTTATATGGAATGGACCCTCAAATTGGATTAACAACTTTTAATTCAAATATGAATATTGATGAATCTTCAAATTCAAATAATGGTGGTAATTACTCTTTATATAAACCATATTCTGAGGCCACATCGCAAACTATAGATACTAGAATACAGAAAATTATTCATGACCAGTATTCTCGTGTTAAGGAATTATTAATTTCAAAAAAAGAGCAGGTCCATAAACTTTCCGATTTACTTTTAAATAAAGAAACTGTTACTAATGTAGATATTACTGAATGTATTGGTCCAATGCCTTCAAAATCAATATAAGAGTATTCAAATTTTTAATATATCTCTGTTGATATTCTTTTTACCAAATTAATGATTTTCATGTTTCCAAACTTTACATTATTTTTTGAAAATTGATAGGCTTCTTTTTTAGCTAACAAAAGTAAATTTTTCATCTCTTTCCTTAATATTCTCAACTCTTTCCTTTCTTCTTCTTGTATTAATTCTAATTGTACAGAGTACATTTCTTTTAATTTGGAAATTCTACCTTGTAAATTTTTTTTTCCTCTTTCATATTCTGCATTTATCTTACTAAATTGTATTTCAATATCTTTAATTTGTTCCAAAAATTCCTGTATTCTTCTTTCTTCTTGCTTATATTCATTATTTATTTGTTCTAAAGCCTTCTTCTCTGATTTTTTAGCAATTTGATGAAACTTTACCAAGTATTGCTTTAATTCATAATGTATTTCATCTGAGACCTTTCTATATTTTTCAAATTCTTCTCTTCTCTGCTTTCTCTCAACTTTTTTTAGTAAACCAACCAAGTTCTCAATATTTTCATTATCATTCATCATATTTAATTAATTAATTAATTGTTTTAATTTTAATAATAATTTGTATTTGCATGACTAAATTTATTTTCTCTTCTAAATCTATATCATTTCTGCGAATTTAATAGAATTCTTGCATTTTTTTTCCACATAAATTTATCATTAATGCATGCAAATGCCGGTATATAATAATTGACCACATGCTTAAATAATATTTTTAAAAACACGTAAGTGTATAAATAAGAGAAAAACAAAAAAAAAAATTATTTATAATAATTGAATTAGTATTAGAAGACTTATCTAAACAAAATCAGTATCATTTGAAATTAAGTCATTTTTAATGTTGTTTCCCAATGATAATTCCTCAAGTTTGATGATATTTCCGTATTCAGATCGTACTTTTTTCATTTCAACAAATGCAGATGAAATCAGTTGATTTTTTGGGTCGTCCATGTCTAAATTTGAGTTATTTTCTGATGAGTTACTTAATTTGGAATAGTTCTCATCAAAATTCTCTTTCAAATGTTTATGAAGATCAGAGTAACCTAAAGAGAGGCGTTTTAATACATCACGATAAACTAGCAAGGTCTCGTGTAAACATTTTTCTTGTTGTTGTATGTCATGGAAACTTTTACCATCATTCTTAATATATCGAATGATTTGTTAAAGTTATAATTACAATAGAGTTAATAATATTATATTAGCTGTTTTTTCATTTTTTAAATGTATTTAACTTACCTTCATATTTTCTATTTTTTCTTTGAATTCTTCTTCCTCTTTCTTATACATTTCTAAATCTTTCATCATTCTTTTCAAAGATGAAGTCTTGATTTGTAATTGCTTAACTACATCAGGCTTTGACATTTTTAAGGCTAATTCTTCAATAGTTTTTAAAAGTTTATTTCTTTTGTATTTTACTTTGTTTTTTTTTCAAGTATTCAGAAAATTTCAGGTTTTTTTTGGGCTTATAACAATTTTTTTTTACCGGCAAGATAATTTTTTCAAAATAATTAAAATGACCCAAAATAATTAAATGTTAGTTTTTAAAAATTCTCTAAATTTTAAAATAATTAAAGAAAAAACAAAGAAAGAATTGGACAGGGAATTATCATTCTAATTTACAATTTAGCGAAAAAAGCTATTTATCAGAAAATTATATTCAATGTGGTAATTTAGCTCATATCTTAGCTACTTAGAAAAATAGTGCAATAAATAAATATTAAGAACTTTGGTCATCAAATAGAAACCGAATTCTCTATTCTTGATTCATTATATATTTGAGAATTTTCCACACACATTACTATGATCTCTAATAAATGTTGAGGCTTATGTGAATATTATTGCAATCCTAGCCTCTAAATGTGTCATTATTTGCAAAAAAAAACCTTTTAAAAATTTACACTTATCAGTTTTCTTCTAGCGTATTATACACACCCCACACCATTATATAATATTGCATGCATTGAAGTTGCCGCGTAGCTTTAGAAACAACCACATAAAAATGTAAAAAATTAATTAAATTTTTATCTAATAGTAATTTTTTTTCTATGAAAAAAATTGGGTGAACTCCTGAATTAGTATAATAGAAAATTTATGATAGTATTAATTGTAGACAACAAGAGAAACTTTTGAAATTAAGCTAGTCAAAGTTTATTTTAATATTACAAAATTTCTGAATAGCTTCTGAAAATCCGTCGTCGTCATTAGATGCGACTATATGTTGGGCGGCACCTTTGGCCATATTACAAGCATTAGCAACAGCAACAGCAACTCCCGAAAGCTTAAGTAATTCGACATCATTTTCAGCATCACCGATAGCTAGACAGTTTTCAGGATGAATATTGAGAGTTTTGAGCAAATGCTCTGCAGCATTTCCCTTAGAACAGTCTATATGTAGGATTTCCAATATTAGGGGATGGGAAAAAAGAACCCTTGCTGGCTTGTTTTTAAGAAAAGCATGTACCTTATCTTTGATTTCTTCAAGTTTTTCTCTTGTTTCACCGATAATAAACTTTAAAGATTGATTAGGATTTTTTTTAATAACATCAACGACACTTTCAACCTTTACTGAGAATTCTCTACTAAGGCTTTCAACATATCTTAGGTGACAACCTCTAACGTTATGTATAAACTCATTCAGTAAATAAACACTATAAGCGACTCCTCTATGTGTTTCACCTCTAAGTTTAGCCTCTTCGTAACCCTCATCTTCAGGTTGCCACTCAATTTGTATTGAATCCAATAAATTGCAGAGTTCTATCATGCATTCATCTGGAATTGTCCAAGTCCTCATAATGTCATCTATTCCATTTGGACCTATTAAAACTGCTCCATTAAAATATATTCCCGGAAAGCCATGATGTTTAGCAATATCCATAATATCTTCTGTGAACATTCTTAGGAAACCCACTTTGGAACGGCCAGTTGCTGGTACTAATAAAATATGAGAATCCATCAAAGCTGAAATAGTTTTTGCGTTAATTAAAGATAATTGATTCTCGCTATTTGCTAGTGTACCATCTACGTCTGTGAACACACATGAAATATTTGAGTCCATTATTATCCACCTATTAAATACTCTTTTTATTTGCTATATATTAAAAAAAGAGATTGAATTTAATATTTATTTACTTATAATTTTTAATTTTCTAAAAATATATTTTGTTAAAATATATATTTACATTTCCTAATTTATTTTTATTTTTTTTCAGTCAATCTTTTTTAATAATTTATAAATACATATCTAGTTACCACATTTGCCGCCGGCGCCATCGGCGGGAGTGCATGTTGAATTATTATTAATTTTTTTTTTAGCTTCATCCGCAGATTTTAATAATTGCATTTTTATATTTGCAAAGTCTAAAATTGGTTTTAGGATGGTTTCGTTTCTAAAAGAGTCCATTTTGGAATTGATTGAATTTTGTAATTTATAGTTGTACATTGCGTTAGTTCGATGATCTATATTACTATAGAGTAATAATGTTTCTTGATTAAGATTTAATTCTACTGGTACTATAGCATAGCCTAGAGAAGGCTTAAAATGTACATCTGGGTTAAAAACTCTCCAGAAGTATTCAATTTCAAAAGGATCTTTATCTAGTTGAGAAGCTATTAAATTCCAATCAATATCACCACATGTGATTACTGATTCGTCCCCTTGTTGTTCCATAACTTTCTCCAATAATGAACATATGTCTGTGAGAGTGAATGTGATTAATCTTTTTTTATCTACAATAATATGTTGTTGTCTTTCTGCCTCAACTTTGCCTTTCAATGTAGGCGAGGCTTGGCCAGATTCTTCAATATTATTCATAGATGTAGCTCATGAAAAAACATTGGTAATTAACAAATTAATCTAGTATGTATTTTTAAATATATTTTTACATTAATTAGTATTAACTATAGTGACTCAGAAATGAAATAAATAGCAAAGGCAATAAATTAATTCCGTTATTACCACACAATTTCGAATTCGTCTATATCAGGTTCAATTCTATCAATTTTTTTTTTTAAAGAAGATATCAACCATTCCGGTAAGAACACGGTTGGGGGGGCGGGATAAAGAAAAATAAGTGAATTTGAATATTGGAAGAAAATCACATAATCATAAATTAATAGAAACTCACAATGGTATGTAGTCAATATTTTAATATTAGTAATATATCCGTGTTTAATTGGCGTATTTACAATTTAGTATTGGTAATCATTCTTTCTATCTGTATATTTTTATATTTCCCCTAATTACAATCCTTATTCTAGGTATTATCTAATGAGATAAAATCATAATTGTACATTTTATCTATAAAAACAACAAAAAAGATCTAGAAACTGGGTTTGAATACATTTTTAGTATTCATCCTATTTTTTTTTATTATTAATACTAATAAATATTTACAATGAATAGTATGTGGGAAATTAAAATGCGCGCCAAAATAATTTCTTTATCTATATTAATAGAATATAATGTAAAATATCAATCAGTATTGAATAACTTACTCATTTATGATTATAAATTTATGCTAGGGTTGCTTTATTTCTTTTTATACAACTACTAGAAATAGTTTATTACCAAATAAAAGTACTACTTTTAAGCCATTTAACTCTCAAATATCGATTTTTGATTTTGCTTATTAAAAAGAAATAAGGTGCGATTCTAAATATTAATGAATCTTAAATTTTAAAAAAGTAGATAAGAATATTCAATACGTTAATTCAACTGTAATGCTTAATTTGGTTATATCATTAATTACTACGAGCAATAATGAATTTTTCAAGAAATAAAAAAGGGTCAATAGATAATTCAAAATACACATATGAACCTGGTGATCTTGAAACAAAAGTTACCGAAAATGGCTTAGATGTATCATTTAAAAGAAGAGTTGTTTCTGATTTATTGATATGTCCAATATGTGAAGGATTTTTTAGAGGTGCAACGACAATAAGAGAATGCCTACATACATTTTGCAAAACTTGTATTATTAAACATATAGAGTCGAAAGGTTCAGAATGTCCAAAATGTGGACAAGATATTGGTATATATCCTTTGCAAGGATTAGTATTTGATAGAACAATACAGAACATTACGGATAAGATTTTTCCAGAATTTAAGGAGAAAGAGAGAAAGTTATATAGTGAATTTCTGGAAAAGTACGGAGATGAAGCTGAAATAAATGATGAAAAGGATTTGATGAGCCTCACAAAACCCATAGCTTCACAATTAAGTGAAATTAAGCTTAAACCAGTCGACTTTACTGAACAATTTTATAAAGAATTACTTTTACCTGAACTGGAAAACAATGAATCACAGGACTCAAAGAAGCAAACAATATTAGAGAGTTTATCAATGAAAATTAAATTGGAGTCAATAAATAGTGAAATTTTTGAATTAGAAAAACCATTCTTAATGGTTCCACCTCAAATTACTATTTTTCATCTACAAAATTATATTATGCATAAATCCAATGAAAAATTTGATAGAATCCCTTTTATTTTTTTGAAAGGAGGGCAAATTCTTCCCAGAAACCATTCACTTGAATTTGTCTGTAGGTCCAGGAGAATTCCTCTGAATAATTTACTTACTTTGCAATTTGGGATTCAAAATAATTAATTTCTATTTTTTCCCCCAATTTTAAAACAATATAATTTATACTAAATTTCTTTTTTTCTTCTAATTTATGTTTATTACGTGTATAATTATTTTAGAAAAATGTTTTTGCATGCAAAAACTAATTTACATGCACTGGAGGATAATTACGTGAGAATAATAGATAAAGTCAAAAATTTAATGTTTATTTAGTTAATATATAATTTTCGTAGAATATATTGTTATATCTAAATTAATTAATTATAATTGAGAAGAACTTTTTCTTCTTCTCTTCATTTCCTTATTTCTTCTCCTTTGTAATTTAGCTAATTTATCAAGAATTCTTGTAGTTTCAATTTCTTCGTGTTCATGACCTCTTTCCTTTGCAATTCTGTCAGTTTCTAAAGTTTGTATAATTAAATCTCGAATGGAATGAATTATACTTAAACTAGAATGGCTGGTTTCAGTCTCTGATTTCAAATAATTAGCTTGGTGTATTTCTTTAAGTACCTTCTTTAAAAAATCCCCAGAATAAGGTAAATTCAGTTCTCTAGCACTAATATCAAAAAGGGTAATTGAAATTTGTGAAGGAGTATATATTAGAAAACATCTAAATATGAAATAATATTTTTTTAATATTAGTCATAATAAATCTCATTTTTTATTTAATATTCCAAACTTACAGTGTATGTAAAATCATTAACACATATGTTTCTGCTTTTAATATAACTTTAGTTAATAAACTAATTAATTGATTTTTTTTGTTATATGTCTTCTTATTATCAGGATTCTCCAAATCTTCATCAACTACTAAAACATCTATATAATACTTCTTATATAAAAGCCTTAAACCTTCCAATGTATTTCTTGGGTTTAATATATATAAGTGAAATCTTAATGTATTACAAACTATTAATTCATGTCTAAATACCTCTTGAATGTTCAAGCCTGGAACATCTCCAAAAAGTTTCTCTAAAGTAAAATGAAGACCATATTCTTCTAGTTTTAAAGCTAATGATATACTTGTAAAAATTATAATTCTAGGATCATAGTCCATTACACTTTGGTTAGTAAAGAATCTTTGGTATAGTATTGATGCATTATATTTTGATACAAATGGAAGTTGTTTATGGTTGCAAAACTCTACTAATTGTCTACCGTAATAAGAAATTAAAGTTTCCTCCTCTTTTGATGTCAGTAACATCTCATCAATCTCATAACTTTCATTTGATATTTGTCTAAATACATCCTTCCAATTATCTCTTGCTTTTTCATTAATTTCATTTCTTTTTGTTCTCAAGAAATCTAAAGATCCAAAAACCCAATCTTTCAAATGATGAGATTCTGAAGGATAAAAGCTCATTATCTATTACTAGTAAATGCACTTTAACCTTTTACTTAAACATATATATAATATTATTCAAAGTTTCCCGCCAAGTTTTTTTATATTAATGTCAAATAAAGAAGTTATATTGGAAAAATAAATGAGGAAATAAATAAAATTGATGGAAAATTAATATTTTCTATTGAAAAATATTTATTTAAAGAAAATATTAAATTTTATTTTATATAAAGGTGGAGAGGAGGAGGAAATAAATAAGAAGAGAGTTAACTTGGAAATTTAATGATTAGGATAATACTCGATTACAACTAAATTATTTCTAAATAATATAATTAAAAAAGTAAATTGACTACAGGAATGGAATTTGATATAAAAATAAACTTTAAATAAATTATTTTGAAGATTAATTAATGTTAAAGTAATTCAAGCCATCATAAAAACACCTTATTTTAGATTATTTATATATTGATATATTAAGTATCAGGAAAATAACCAATTAAATAAAAAAATATGTAAAAACATAGTGAGGTGAGAAAAATTAAGTATTAGTGGGATTAAAATATTTATTAATTAAGATGAATGGAGATATTTTGAGAGATGAAAAAAAACATTATTCTTGCCCATTATGTATGACAAGTACATATTACAAAAATGATATAAAAATGTATTTTGGTGATTCATGTGGACATCAATTTTGTTCAGAATGTTCAACAAAAGCTAATAATAAAAAATCATCATCAAGTATATTAAGAGGAAGTAGTCAGATATGCCCAGTGTGTCACAGTTTTGTAAAGTACATCCCAGATTTTGAATATGGAGAGACGGATTTTTTAAAATCTGAGGGTCAAGCAAGGAAACAGGTTTACGCAATATTGAATGAAACTAGAAAGGATTTTAAGGATACTCCTTGTTATGATAATTTTTTAGAAAAGAGGGAAGATCTCATATATAAATTAATTTACGGAAATGATGCAGAAAAAAAGTACACACAAGAATTCCTAAATCAGTATTCAAAAGAAAATCAAGTAGCTATATTGGACAGAAAAACTAGAGAAGAAACTCTTTTAAGAAATGATATTCTTGAAATTGTTCAAAAAGAAGGTATTTTTTATGAACAACTTAATCAACTTTCTCAAAATACTACTATTGATCACCTTCAAATTGTCCATCCCCTCCAAAATGAGTATCCTGAATTCTTTCAAAATTATAACAATAATAAAAATAGCCAAAACACGAATAATAATCAAACTATTACTCTTGGTAGTAATATTCCTAATCCTATTGATAAGAATATTACTTCTAAGGACTACTTACATCATAATTCAAAAAAACAAAGCTCAACCTATTCGTCTATGGAGTCCAGACAACGAGCTGGTGGGTTTACTGAGAATATTGTTTGGAGTTTATGTAAAAATGAACTATTTTTTGGATTTTATGGATTTCATCGTAATTCTGATCTGTGAGAGTACTTATGTTAATATTTAACACACATATGTCTACATTTATTTCATCTAATTATATTATATTCTTTTCCAGACTCTTTTTTTTCTATATAAACCACATTTCCCACAAATCTTTCATTTCTTTTTTTACATTGTGTTCCTTCATTTCTCACCCCACCCAACCCCACTCCCTCTTACCCTCTGCAAATTTAACTCATTTTATTTTAAGCGGGCAAAACTCCCGCCTAAGTGCAATTTGGTATTACATTTAACACTGCCAGTTCATGACTGGGCGCGAGTGTGGGGGGTAAATGACAGAAAATTTGAAGTATTACATTTATTAAAATTAATACATATATACTAACATTATTACTAATAAAATCAAAAATGCAAATGCAATATAATTGAAACATAAATAAACTCCTTTAAATTCTACTTACATAAGATATTGTTAAAACTATTCGATTACAAATTCCTAAAACACCATATATTCTCTCGGAAACTGCTATCATTATTACTTAAAATTTTAAATCCTAATGATTTTATCTTAATACATAATTACCACACTCACCACCAGTTCTGTAACTAAACTTTATCCATTACACAAACAGTTCTAACTAACTAATCCCACTTCAACTACATCTTTAAATAAATCTTAAATATTTACTAACCTAAGTCAATTACTCATTCCTAAAATATTAAATATATCCCCGATATTAACCTTATTTTTTTAATTACGTGTCAAAATTTTATGCTCGAATCGTACGTCCTGTCTCTGCCAAATTTATATATAAAATAAATATAATAAGAAAATAAAATATAAGTAGTATGAATAATTAATGAAAAAGGAAAATTTGAAAAGCGTTTAATTGTCAGGTAATAGTCAAAAAAGGCAGGATTAAAGTTAAAAATTAAGCAAAATAGAAAAGTTTTATTCATCTTTTTTCAATTCATTCATTGAAGAAACAAGAATATATAATTGGACAAATAACTGGTTTGAGTATCATTTGGTATTTTTTCCTTATAATTAGTACGTATATGTAAATACTATTACAATAATTCATCTTTAAATAATATATGTTCATATACATAAATATATTCAATTTTACAAATTAATATTAATGGTTTGATTGTATACACAAATTTGTTTTTTCTTATAAATATAAATATATATATATTTATATTTATAAATGCAAAATTAAATCAAACATTTTTTGTTTTGTTTATAATTGGAGAAAAAGTATTTATTCAAAAGGGGATAGGACCAAAAAAAAAAGAATTAAAGTAAATTAATCTAAAGAGGATATAAATATATGTACTGGTATTTACACACATATTTATATCTTGTATATTTATAAATTCATCATTTCTATTGTATATATATTTATATATATATATATATATATATTTACATAAATATTTAAGATTGAAAAATAGAAATGCAAACTTTTCAAATTCAAAGGAAAATCACAAAAATATTTGTGGTTTTTGTTATTTTTACTGTTTTTATTTTTAATACTGAATGTTTATTAAGAAAAGGAAATAATATTGTTAAATTTAAAAAAGGAGATACAAATGGTGGATATGGACTTAATTACTCTCCCCCTAATTACAAAAATGTAATTGTTTGGTTACATGGATTATGTGGTTCAGCTATGGACTGGGAAAGATTTGTATTATTAGTCAACAAAAAAGGATTTCTACCCAACACAAAATGGATATTACCAACTTCTAAATTTAGGCAAATTACTGCAGTTTATGGTAATAAATGCCCAGCATGGTTTGATATTGTATCATTTTCTCCAACTGAAAATATTGAAGATATTGATGGAATATTAGAAAGTGCTAAAAGAATACGTGATATTATTAAATCAGAGATAGAATCAGGAATTGAACAGAGTAGGATATTTTTGATTGGATTTTCTCAAGGTTCAGCTATGGCACTTATAACATCAATGATTATGAGAGATATTACATTAGGTGGTGTAATAGGAGTATCTGGTTGGATTCCAATGATTGATCATTTATCATTGGGATTAGATTCTCCTTTAAACAATGAAATCTTTGATTTTAATATAAGTGATGAAAAAAAACATAAAACTAAAGTATTCATTTTTCATGGAAGTAAGGATAAAGTAATACCATTTAACGTCTTTTTACAAACTTCAGTTTTTATGAGTATTGAACTTGGGATTGAGAACATTAATCAAAGAATTTACTATGATATTGGACATACTATTACTGCAATGCAAGGAGTACATATGATGTATGAGATTTCAAATATATTAAATCCTGATAATATACATGAAGAATTAGTTACTATTAAACACAGTACTTTATCAAATAATTCATATTCTATGGTATTAAAGATATCAGATCCTAGAGATAATTGTATATGTTATAAATTTATGCCTTGTAATCCAAATAAAGATGGAAATCTTTCTTGTTCTAATCCCAATTGTAATTGCACCAATAAGTTATCTTTTTATGATCAAACCAAGTTTTTTGATAATTTAAACAATAAAGATTTTGGTCAATTTAATAATCCATATACAATTCTTCAAGGAGTTCCTTCTGAGAAGAAACTTAAATCTAATAATAATTCTTCTAATAGAAACAAAGGTAAAGAAACTGAGCAAACAGATTCTGATTTAATTACTCAAGATTTAGATCAAGAGAATAATAATGATTTATTTTTAAATATTTCTGGGTATAATAATAGAAAGGTTAATAATCAAGTTACCAATGAAAGTAATCAAAATGTTGATTGTAATAATATTGATAATAATGATGATAGTAGTGATTTAGAATTATCTTTAAATAATAGTACTGAATCAGAAGTACCTAAAAAGCATATATCATCACTTAGAGATTGTGATTCTTTTGATGATATCATGAGCCATAGATACTTGGCAAGTATGGATAATGGAAGCAATGAGAATTTTGCAGGATCTTCAAATATTATTGACCATAATAATAAATTGTATACTTCAATGGAAGGTGGTATCGATGAAATTAATGATATTTATGATGAAGAAGAGGAAGAAAATATGGACGAAATTAAAGAAAATGAAAATAGGGAGGGAGATAATACTAATAGTAGTAGTAGTATTACTACTACTACTACTACTACTACTACTACTAGTACAGCTTCTATAAACTTGGATTCTTCATCTAATACAGCTTCAATATATTCACCTATTTATATAACAAAAACTCCTATTAATGATTCAGACACCACGAATAAAGTATTTTCTAAGAAAATAAGCCATTATAATAAGGCTCCAAATGTAATAAAGCACTACTACATATCTGATAATGATGATAACCAAGAGGAGAGAGCTAATATTGGGAAGGATATTTTCGATATTCAACAATATATTGACTTTTTATGTAATCAATCAACTAATTATACAAATAGTAATTCAGAAACAATGATGTGTGGTGATAATATTGAAGATTGAAAAAAATTCGAGGGATAGAAAAAAGGAGATAGACATAATTAGTTTTACAAAATTTGAAGCTGATTCAGTGATTTAAGTATTTATTGGATAATGATATACATGCATGTTAAATATGTGTATAATTTTAAAATATACTATTGGATTGTTTAATTATCAGAATGAATACCAATTTCATCTTTTTCAAGATCTATTCCATGATCCATATTAGGATCAACTTCAGAATCTAAATCAGAATCTAGGTTTAGATATTTGGCTATATCGCAAATAAGATTTGAAGCTCTATCCCTTCTTTCTTGATCAGTCAAATGTTTAATATCGCATGTCATTTTTCTCATTATAGATGATAAGAACTCAAAGTTATCCAGAAAACTTTCGAGATGTTCTTCTTGATATTGAAAGCTTTCATGTTTGTTGTTTTCAAGATTTGGAACATCCATTTTCCGTCTATACATGGTTTTCCAGTTTGTACAATATAATGCTTGGGTGACTCTTTTCATACCTTCATTTAAGGAGAATATGTCATCTTGTTTTGATATCTGAAAAGCATTCGATACTAGAATGATCAATTCATAATTAAACTGATTACATTGATTAGTTATTTTATCTTTTAAGTCATTTTTCATACCTTCATTGTTTTCGAATATACAACATAATCTAGTAATTTCAAGATCTGATGGGTAAATTTTATCCAGAATTGATAATAGATGACTGTCAGATCGTATCTTGCTTTGGTAGAGATCTTTTTTAGATATAATTAATAGTATAGCTTCTGGAGCAGGAATAGTAGTGGTGGCAGTAGTGGTGGCAGTGGTGGTGGCAGTGGTGGCAGTAGTGGTGGCAGTAGTGGTGGGAGTGGTGGCAGTAGTGGTGGGAGTGGCGGCAGTAGTATTAGTAGTAGTAGTAGTAGGAGCAGTAGCAGTGGTATTAGTAATAGCAGGAATAGTAGTAGTAGTGGAAGTAGGAGTAGTAACAGCTTCAGTATTAGTATTTAAGTCATTGTCCATGCATTTTAAAGCCAAATACTCATCTACCGTCCAGAATTTAACTCCAACCTCTGCAGAGTAATATTTTGTGTTAATTTTAATCTTGTCAGGTAGTTTTCCCACTAGATCTCCCTCTTTTTGTTCCTTATTAGTTTCTTCTTTCTCATCTTTCCCCTCCAAACTACTCATTAAACCCAACAAAAACACAGCTTGTTTAACATAATCACCAATAACATACAACATTGCTTTAGTTCTTACCTCAATTACAGATAGTAATAGTTATATCAGTAGTTGCTTAATTCTTAGTTACCTTACTAAGACCGTGACCCCTTTTGAAAACACTGGTTTTAACACGAATTTATTTCTAAAAAAAATTCTTCGACTAAATCACTAGTTTTAATTGTTTTCATTAACTCTGTTTTATTTATTCATACTCTATTCACACACCTTTAAATAATTCCCACTTTCTTTATTCTTTTTTTTTTTTTGACATGAATTAATTTTGATAATTGGCGCCAAAAGGCGGTATAATATTTTTGAATATATTAAATTTGGGGAAAATTAAGAGATTTAGAATTTGGCGCCAACAAATTGGAATGTTAAATAATAGTCAAAATGAACAAAAAGAGGTTAAGGTAGGAGATTAATATAAAAACAAAAGTTGGAGTGAAATAATACAATCTGGGTTGAATTCTTACATTTTTGGTTTTAGTTTTTGAAAAAAAATACCAAGAGTTTAAGGTAATATACAAAAGTTATTTTTATTTACACATATGTTTGTAATATACGTATGTTGTAAATATAAATGCACTTTTATATAATTTATTTCAATTAAATTTGTCTGTGGAAAGAAATATTGTAAATAACAACAGGTTAGCTTAAAAAACCTGATATTTATTTGAAAACCAGAATTTTCTCTATTTAAATTTAACAATTAAGTTATAAGCAAGTAGCTATTAATAATAATAATAATAATAATTAAAAAGTTTTAAAAGAAATAAATAAATTGATTGTAATAGTTGAATTCAAAGCTGATATTGTATATTAAAAGAAAAAGATATTATAAAGAAGAAATAACAATTAAAAATGTATCATGTACAATACACCTTAGGAGGCCAACCAATATACGACTTTTCAAGAGGCAAGTCATTACCAGAATACCTCGAAGATGCTAAAAAACAAAAAAAATCAATAAAACATGAATCTGAATTCAAAAACCGTATAGAAATCTTACAGAATTTTGATTTTAGTGTGGCATCCAGTAGAATAAGAGTAAGCCCTGATAAACAATTTATAGCAGGTACCGGTACCTATCCACCAGAATTAAGAATGTTTGACATTAAAGAATTATCAATGAAATTTATGAGAAGATTTGACTTTGAAGTATATGATTTTATATTTTTATCAGAAGATTATAAAAAATTAGCTTTTTTAATGACAGATCGTGTAATAGAATTTCATTCACAAGGAGGACGTCATTGTAGGATAAGGGTACCAAAACAAGGTAGAAGTATGGAATATTTATCAAGTGCTGCAGAATTATTTATTTTTGGTTCAACAAATGAGGCTTATAGATTAGATTTAGAATCTGGAATGTTTTTAGCTCCTCTTGAAACAGATTTAGAGTATATAAATACTGGTAAAATATCATCTACTCTTCCATTATTATTATTAGGAGGGGAAAAAGGTAAAATTGAGTTATGGGATTTGAGAGATAAATCTATGGCAGCTTCATTAATAATTAATAGTAATCATACTTTTAATAATACAGATAACATAAATGGTAATAACCAAAATCATATTAATCATTCTTACAAAAATCAGGAAGATAACTCAAAATTTGATTGGTTTAATACAATTAATTCAGGATTTGAATCTATTACAACTTCAACATTTTCTAAAGATGGACTTAGATTTAGTATAGGACTTTCAAGTGGAAATATTGTTATTTATGATGTTAGATCTAGTAAACCATTACAGGTAAAATCTCATAGAAATGATTTACCAATTATGGATTTACATTATACTTATTGTCAAGATTTTGGAAAAGATGTATTAGTAACAGCTGATAGACAAAATATAAAGATTTGGGATGAATTATGTGAAAATATAAATAATAATGGATTAATGGCTACAATCAATTCAGACTTTCCTATTTCATCTATATGTACTTATCCAGATTCTGGGCTTATTATGTCAACAGGAGATCAGTCAAGAGTGGGAATGTATTATGCACCAATGCTTGGAGCTGCACCTAATTGGTGTTCATTCTTGGATTCTATTACTGAAGAGCTTGAAGAAGAACATCTTAAAAAGGATTATTCTTTAAAATCTTCAAGAGTTTATGATGAATATCAATTTGTTACTCAAGAACAACTCAAAGAATGGGGTGTTGAACATTTAATTGGTTCTTCTTTCCTTAAAGCATATTTACATGGTTATCTTATGAGTAGTAAATTATTTAATGATCTTAGAGATATTATTAATCCATTTGACTATGATAAGTACCGTAAAGATCTTGCTAAGAAGAAGTTGCAAGAAAAATCTTCTATGAGAATGAAAATACCTACTAGTAATAATAAACAATCTACTAATGTTAAAAATACCTCAAAATTCAATCAGGAATTTGCTGAAAAACTTGGAAAACAGGCAAGAGGAGAGCTTGAATCTTCAGAAGATGAACAAAATATACCACAAAGTAGCTCTAAAACATCAATTAAGATTCGTAAATCTAAACAAAAGCTTAAGAAAGGTCAACAAGAACGTGCTCAGTCTCTACTTTCTGACGATCGTTTCTCAAAACTATTTAGTGATGCTGATTTTATTATTGATGATAATGAAGTTTCATAAGGGAAAGGTTCTTAGAAATTATTTTCATCTATACTTGCTTCTTCCTTCTTACTTAACTCTAACTAGATACATTTATATTAATTCTATCCTTTTTGTTTTTCTTTTAGGTTTATGGCTAGGTTTAGTCTTTAATTAGTTGTGGTTTAAGTTTTAGGTTTAATATTAAACTAATTACTATTTTTGTAATTGAAGGTAAAATGCATAATTGACTTTTAAAAAAAAAAAATTAATGAATCTATTTTACATGGTACCAAGTATACAATAAAATAATAAAAAAAGGCGGGCTTTTCCTGCATATAAATATAAATTAAAATAAAATGAAATATTTTTGAATTTATGGAAACAGAGATAAATTTTGATAAATCTGGTCATGAAGGAAAGGAGATATTAGGGAATTTAAGACAGGATACTATAGAGGTATCTTTGGATGGATATAGTCATGAAGAAAGGAATTTCTGTCATATTAATGAGAAACTTGACCAAAACTTTAGCTTGGAAAGCAGTTTTAGACAAGATGAAGGAGGAGAAGATGTAATTACACTTGGAAATAACGTAACTGGGGTGAATATAAATGTACCTACTGGAATACAAAAGGATATTGAAAAGGAAGAAAACGAGGAAAAATACATAAATAACAAGGATAACATAAAGGAAAAAGATAGAGAAGAAGAAGAGATGAATCCTAACAAGAAAGCAAGTGAATGGAGAAATGAGCTACTTTCATTTCCACAATTATTTAACCAAGTATTTTTATCTTTATATAGATTTAATGAGTACATTGATCAGAGATGGTCAGTATTAGACGAAAGCCATAATAGATTATATAACTTATTACTAGAGTTATCCAAGGCTAATAGCAGTACAAATAATTTGATAGCAAATAATTTTGATAATATATTTATTGTTGAAAAATATATACATAATAAATATGTAACTCCTAAATCTAAAAGAATTGATAATATAAATAACAGTAGCAATAATGACAATAATAATAATATTAACAATTTAAGAGTTTATTTTAGAACAGTCGGTATATATATACCAGGTACCGAATTTAATTGTGAGAATATAGCTCATGAGAATGAACATAAGATGAGACTATATGAAGAAATATACAACAGATTTCAAACATGCAAAAATGACATAGAAATCACTTTTGAGAGGAAATTTGAAATGATAGCGGAACTTGACTCTAGAATTAAAAGAATTGTATTTTCTATGGAGAAATTTGTTAATAATAACCAGTGCCTACTGGAGTCCCATACAAAGCCATTATATAACATAGATAAAAGTGAGATATGTGAGATTGGCATAGTTAAAAGAAAAACTGGTGTTAGAGGAAGGCCTCCAGGTTCAGGAAATAGAGGAAGACCTCCAGGATCTACTAAAAAGGCTAAAAAGATTCAAATTTGATTGTGAAAATCCTCAATGATTCTTTCCCGCCTATTGCATGCATGCATACATGTCGGCATTTAAGTAAGTAGTATATTTCATTAATAATGCATAATAATTGACAAGTATCAAACCTATAAGCATTTTATTTAATTATTGTAGATTTTCTGTCATTAATAAAATTTCAAAACACTTTAATTTTACTTGATACTTTTGCAATCATTCCAGTCCATATATTTGGAGAATGATGATTATGCTTAAAGTTAATATAGTTGAATATTCTAACTTACTTTTGTTTTTTTAATTATAACTTTAGTTTCAAATTATAAGATTTAAAAGGCAAAAAAGAATAACTTGTTTTTGATATACTGAATAATTATTAAGACATATTGTCACTAATAGGCACCAGAACCACAATGATGATGAACATGTTCTTGTTGTGTATGGTGAGATAATCCCAAGTTTACTGGCCCAGAAATATTTAAATTCGGGATATATGAAGGAGATAACTGTACATGAGTAGGAATTACAGAACTATATTGAGACCCTTCCAACAATACTGGTTGAGGTGTTAGTTGAGGGAAAGGAGTAGGAGTAGGGGGAACTGGAACAGGGGGAGGAGATGTAATTACTCCCATTTGAGGAGGAAAATTTGGTTGTGGTTGAGGTATTGGAATTTGATGTGGTAATGGTGGTGGTGGATGAGGAAGAGATGAATTACCACCTGGTAACTCTTTATTGAATATACTGTCACTCAAATTGGTCAGAATGATTTCATTCATAAGCTTTTTCTCCTTGAGAACTTTCATGTTACTCCTATATTTAAGAATTTGCAGGCAGTGGTCACTACACCAGACCCAAATTAAGCACGGAATACATATAAATACTGGTACCAAAACTAATAACCAAACTAAATATTTGGCATTATTTGAATGATACCTATTGTAGTAGATTCGATCAGCTAAGTGACTAGATCTACTCAATTTATCCTCAGTCTCAACATTTTGTGATAACACATAACCAATAATATTTAAACTGATTAATACTAGAATTAAAAATCTAGTTGCCAGTAATCTCAAATTATTCATATTGAATATTTATCTTGTTATGAAAGTGATGATCAAGGCAAAAATCAAATTCTAATATAAATCTCTTTTTTTGAGAAAATAATGATAAAAAACCAGTTGCTAGTAATTTATATCACTTATCTGAGTACTTTCTTCTTTCTTTTACTTAATTAAATATATCTATACTTCTAATATATGTGTATATATTAGATCCATAGATATACATAAATATATATAAACAAATATATATATATAATATATATATTTGTTTATTAATCTATATACTTAATTTTTATTCCTCTCTTCCTATTCCTCCTTTAACTTTATTCTCACTACTTTTTTGTTTGATTTTTGCCATTATATAGTAAAGTTTGTCTTATGTATCAGAGCGCATGTTCCCGCCTTTTGGCGGGAAGCAGCTCAATGAAAAATTAAATAATATTGGGAAAAGAATGAGAAAAAGAAGAAAAAGTGATGGAAGGGAAAATATTGTGATTTATTCGTCAAAAGTACGAGAAATATGCATAACAATGTCAATAGAGCGGTGCATTGTAGGTGGCCACTGTGTGTGTTAGTGGATGAGAAGAGTATATTACCAGAGATTAATATAATTAATATAGATGAAGGAAAAGTTATTCAGAGTTTAAAAATATTAGAGAAAGTCCTTCCAAGCTACCTGTGTTGGCACGAGGAGCTACTTGTTTTAGTGGTTGGTTTTGAACACTATTTTGAAGTTTGGACTCTTGATCATGATTTAAGATATATTGAGCTTTTAGATGAAGGAATAATTGCTCCAAGGTTTGACATTAAATATGATGATTATTATAATAGTGTTAATGAGATATGTAAATATAACCAAAAAGAAACTCAGGGTTTTGGAGTTACTGATATACTTGGGGTAAACCATAGAAAAAGATTGAATATATTCTGGAGTCAAAGGTACAGAAATATTAAATTGAGACTTTTTAAAAGAGTTGATTTATCTGAAGTTAATAAAAATGATGCAACATTGAAAAGTATGCACTGGTTGGATCACAATAAATTGGTATTAAAACATTCCTCAAGTAGTTGTGGAACTTTTTTAACGGTATGGAAATTTCAATTTGAGATTTTCAATATTGACATTTATAAGGAGATCATTTCAAGGAGGCTTGAGAAAAAATCTAATGCATTTTTAAATGATTTAGAGAATTTATATATAGAAATATTAACTGGTGTAGACTCCAGACCCTTATTAAGACAAGAATTAAGCTTTTCAGGACCAAGAATAGATTTAAAAGTTGCTTTTGATAATAGTGAAAGGTTTATTTTAGTATATCAACATTTGGATAATGAATTGTTTATATGGAGATATGAGTATTCTGATAGAAATGATCAGATAGATAAAAACACAAGAAATACTCGAATATCAGGTATATTACCAAATCAATTCCAATTTCAAAAGATATCTTTAAAACAAGGAGAAAAGATCTTAAGTGCTTCCTGGAAACCTTGTTCGTCCAATATACCTTACAAGTTAAAGAAACTTGGAGGAATATCGGAGTTATCTTCTTTTTCCATGATTTCGAGAAATAGTGAAGAGATTATTGTTAGGATTTGGAGAGAATCATCTTTAAATAAACCATGCCAATTTATTCAGGCTCTATATTTGAGATTTAATGACAGACCATTAGTAAGAAATGAAGATATTAATTTAATATGGGAGAGTTTTAGGGATAATGTAATTCATCATTTCAATTCAGTAGAAACTTTGGATAAATCGATAAAGGATTTCAATACAGAACTTGAAGATCCTTCTTATTATTATTCTACAAGCAGATTTCCTTTAATTGAAGATGATAGTGATGAATACTTCTATTATATAAATTCTGATTACGATGAAGAATTTTCCAGATCTTCAATTCCTTTGAATTCTTGCATTCACAACCGTGATATTTTCACAATGAATGAAAAGCAAAATAAAGTAGTTAAATTAATTATTTCCATAGGTAAAGAAACATTTTGCTTTAATGTATTCCAATTGGGTATTTGGAATGACGAAATTAATTCGTCAATAAAAAAATGGGAAATATGCAAATTTAACAATATTGAGAATAATAACTTGTTGAACAACTTAGAAATATTGAATAATAATAGTAATTTTTTACCTGATGATATGTCAAATATAATTATATTTTGGAAGAATAACAAACTTTCAAATAGATCAAATGGAAATATTTACAACTTCATCTTTAAATTAAAGGATTCAAATATTGTTGAATACATTTTAAATGAGAAAACTGGTACTTGGAACTTGTTAAAATTGACTAGAATTATCCCAGAAATCCAATCTAATCTAGAAAATAATTTAAATATCCACGGAAAACTTGCTGTAGAACTAACTAATACCAATGAAATTCTTATTCTACTGAATAATGGACATATTCTTCTTTTAGATAATTTAAATCCGAAAAAATTATTTACTTTCATACATGCAAATAAATTTGCATGCATTCAACCACATATTAACACATTAAATATTAATGTGGACACCGGTATAGAGATAAATAATAATATATATGATTTGTGTGATTTTGGTATAGAAAGTATAATTAATATATCTGAGGGAATAGTTTCAAGTTATTATCAAATTTTATTAGTAAAGTTAAATAAAGGAACTCAATTGAAAGTATTTGGATTAACAAGTATTTGTGAGAATGGCTCTTCGACTTTGGAATTATTAGAGGTTGAAATAAATTCCAGGGAAAGAATTTTTGGAGGTGAATTTGAAGATTTATCAGTAGATGATGCTGATTTATCAAAAAACCATGAAAAGATTTTGGAAAAGTTATTTAGTTATAATTTAATGGATAATATATATGAAATAGTATTTCTGGATAAACATTCTTCAGTTATTGGTGGATATTGTATTTGTGTATGCTTAGTTAAAGATTTAGTTTTGGAAGTTAATCATATAATAATGTTTGAGATTAGAATGGAGAATCAAGATTCTTTGTTGTTTAACCAAGTTGAAAGAACTTATGATAAAACCAAGATTAGATTGGAATTGAGGATAGTATCTCCTCCAATGTATCAGAATTTGTCCAATTTAAATTTTAATAATTCTTTTTTATTAATAAAGCAACCAAGTACTGAAAACTCATTAATATTTGTAACTAACGAAGTTTTTGTATCAGGAAGTGATTATTATCAAAAAATTAATAGCAACACTAAAGAATTGGGACAAATTTATATATATATATGTAGTATAAGTGATAGCCAGGATAATAAAATGGATATAATCGCAAAAATAAAGTTGAATAGATCATTCTTTGATTTTAGTAAAGATTTACTGTTAATGGATACTTTTGATTATAACTTATTAATTTATAACATTACAAATGGAGAATTACTTTGTTATTCTTTACTTTCTTTAAATATGCTCAATATTGAAGAAGATAGTATAAAGGAGACTATTTCTTTGAATCCTTTTCAGTTAATTTCGATGACTAAAGATCATGGTTGTCCTCAATTAAAATCCAGCAATCTTTCAAAAGAAAATCTAAAGCAGGATAGTGAAAACTATGATAATCAAGCTTTATATAATAAAGCCAGAAACAGTCAGTTGGTAATTCTTCAAGATTTTGAAATGACCTACTTTTGTTTTTTTATTAATTATGGGAAAATTGTGGGATCTATTTATTGGAACAAGAATGTATGCAGATGGGAAACCAATAAAGAAATTGACTTATATAACCACTTTAAAATGAATAATTCTGGAGAGTTAATAAAAATACAAAGATTAGAAGTATTTGATGGAATTTATCTATTTTTCAATACTAATGACAAAATTGTTCCAAGAATATATAAAAGACCTGAAAATGATGTATTTGAAAAAAATAATAACTTTTCACTGAAACATATTCAAGTATTAGAAGATTTTGTTTTTTCATTAAATGATAGAAAACAATCATTTTCGGTACAAATTTTTGAAAAGATTAGAGAAAATTTACAAGAATCACCAAATCTTAATATTATACCTTACAGTATAGACAATTCTTTCTTTGAATATGATAATGATCATGGGAAATCTCTGGATGATTTGGGAGAATATCAAAGATTGTACAATTCTTTATTTGAATTAAGAATAAATAATAAAAAAGGTCATATAATGAGTATAATGGAGTTTGAAGAATGCCAAATAAAGAGATTCTTTATTAGAAAGAATTATTTTGATATGGAAAGGAAAGGTGGATTGGTTCTTAAATCAGAGGATATTTGCTGGATTTCACTATGCGAAAAAGATCAAATAGTTGATAAAATTCTTTCAAATGGTGATAGTAATATAGTCGATTGGAAAGATTTGAAAAGATTTGGGTTAATTTATATATTAACAGAAAGTAATCAATTTCAAGAATTTGTTGAAAGGTGGATTCAAAAATTATACCAAAAACTTGTCAAAGTTATTGCTGAAAAAAGAAAAGAATTAAGTTTTGAATTCACTGATAATAAAACAAAGAAAACTTCTGATATTTCCCAGGATGAGATGCTGAATATAGTAATAATAATATATACATGTTTAAATAAATTGAATATAGTTTCTGCAATATTTAAAATTTTGGATCAGAAAAATGTATTTGATTTTCTATTAAATTACAATGTAAACAATGAGGAATTAAGGAAACAAGCAATTAAGAATGGTTATTACTTGATAAAACAAAGAAATTATTACTGGAGTTTATGTTTCTTTTTACTTAGTAGATCTTATGATGAAATTACAAATGTATGTATAAAATATTTGAATGACCCACAATTATTGTTACTTTTATTGAAATTGTTGATCAATTTAAATGGAATAAATGATAATGAAAAAAATAATTTGGTAAATCTGTACAATAAGCATTTGAATGATTTGTGGTTGTTGTCATTAATGAATAAAGACCCTTGGTTAAGTATAATATCCATATTAAATTATTCTAGTATAAATCATTTCAAATTTAATAATATTAATAGAATGGACATACTTAATATTATATTAAAATTGTCATCTCCAACCATTTTCTTTAAAGTTTGTGAATTAATGAATGGAATTGAATATTACTTTAAAATGAATATAAATCAAGAAGAAACTATTCAAAACAATCAGGTGGAAAATTTTATTATAAATCACCATAATAGCTATGACTTGAGTTACAGTTTTATCCACCCTGAACATTTGTTTTTATTTAATAATTATATTAAATTTAAAATTTCATTAAGTTCCCAATCAAAAGCTTACGAATCAAACGAAAATTCAAAATACCCATCATTTGAAAATATTATTGAAATAATCTCTTATTATATAAAAAAATGCATGAATCCTTATCATTATATTTCATGGTTATCTTATATTGAAGAAAATAATACTTTATTTAAAACTGAAAACCTTCACTACCATAACTATTATAATTTAATTATTAAGCCAAATATTATTAACAGAATTAAAAATTATGTCAGGTACTTACATAACAATTATTTCTTCTTTTTGAATAACAATAATCTATTAAATTGGATTAATAAATTTTCCAAAATCCCAGAATTTATCTCCATTTTTAATTTCAATTTTAATCAGGCAAAATCTAATATTACTATTAATCCTATTAATATTTTTAATTATTTATTATTAATTAATGTGGACAAATATTATGAAAAAAATCATCATATCAATACCGGCATTCACACAGAAAATGACGTAATTAATGATGACATTTGCAGAATACATGTTGCATGCAAAAAAAGACTATCAAATGATTTTTCTGAGTTTAGAGGACAATATTTGAATTTAATTTTTGAAATATTTTCTAATAAACAAAATTCTTGGGAATTGAATAATTTAGGGTTTGGTCACTTATGGGAAGTTTTATTTGAATTTTTTTCAAGGATTAACAATGAAATAATACTAACTTTTCAAACTAAGAAGGTTGATTTAATTAATATTGATTATAATCGATACATAAGAAATAAATGTGAATTGTTTATATTGATATTGCAAAATAAAATTAATCAGACTGTGATTGAGTTATTATTTCAAACAGGAAATGAGGCTAATACTGAATTAGAACCAGAAATTGGTTTTTCTAGTGTTTTAAATCAAGATTCTAAAATAATGATCAAACTTTTAAAGATTTATATGGTAATGGTTTTAACACAAGAGCTAATAGTGAAAATGGAAAGTTTGCAAAATATTAATGATGTTTTTTATAGCAATAAATTGTTAAAGTATAAGAATTTTGTTAAGATATTAAAGTTTGTTATAATACTAAAAAGTTATCACAAATTAGATTTGCATTTAAAGAGAACATTAACCAAAAGATTGGGGGTCAAGTTATTAAAGTTTTTGAGATTATTATTGAAATTTAGTAAAGAATATGGTTATATTAATGAAATTCAAAGTAATACTCATAATATTATCCAAGAAGAAATAAATAATAATACATTTCAATTTCAAAAATCTGACAAACTAATTTACTTTAATACTATTTTAATTGTATTATCAACAAGTATATTAAAAATACATCAGGATTTAATTGATGAAAATATTAATAATGAAAATGATATCAACTCATCAATACAAGAAGAATCTTTTAAATACCAAGTAACAAATCAGTTGAGTTTAGCTTTGAGAGAATGCTATTATAATAGGGTATTTAAAGAGTGGAAAGAAATCATAGTTTCATTATTACCATTGATTTTAACATATTATTATGATTCTATTGATGAAAAGATGAGTGTTTTATTTATTAGAGTGGCCACAAATCTTAATAATCAACAAGTCAATTCTAATAATTCTACTATTCAAGTTATTGTAACAAAGATCATTTTAGTATTGGAACAAATTTGGATTGGAATGGGAATTAGAGATTTACTTTTATTAAATGTACTCAGAAATCGAGAATTAATAATGTCATATGATGTGGGGTCAATAAACAATTTGTATTATTATTTATTGAAGAAGGTATGGAATTTTGAAGAAAATACTAGTAAGGATGCGAGTAATGCTTCTACAACTATTGAATTGGAGTCTAGTGAACAGTTTTCTGTGAGTTTATTGACTTGCAAATCTTCTAAATCATCATCATTATCCTCTTCTTCATCTAATGATATTAATAATCATAGTAATAATAATAATAATAATAATACTAAAGGTGATAATAGTGATTTAGGCTTTAAATTGGAGAAATTGAAATTGGATTTTTCAAATGAATACTTTAAATTAAGTGATGAAACATTTAAATATAACAAAAAAGAAGAGTCTATTAAAATGAATAATCCATCATTATTTATGATCAATATGTCAATATACAATCATCGTATTGTTCCAACTCCTAAGTTAAATTTGGCTCCAAATCTCTCTATAAATAGTAATCAAATTAAAGAGATGGTATTACTTGACCAGAAAACAGAAAGTATTAATGAAATAATTGATAATGGAATAACTAAATATGAAGACGATGATTTTTACTATTATAATTGTGCATTCAATCAAGATATAATGAATAAAGAACATGAATTATTTGAGTCCGAAAATGAGGATGAAATTAAAGATGGAGATGGAGATGGAGATGAAGAATTTGAAGAAGATTATTATTACAAATGGTATAAAAACAGAATACAAAAAGAAGGTGAATTAGAAGGGACAGGAAAACTACCAAATACATTATTAGGCCATTTATTGTATCAGGAAAGTCCTATAATAATGGATTGTAAGATGGATCCAAATAATTCCCCATTTTTGTTATTGGGTGAGAAAACTCATTTAATATTAAATTCAAAATTATATTTCATACATCCAATTAGTTTTATAAGAAAGAATCATTTAAATTCATATTATTATGAAGAAATTATTTTTCAAAGAAGAAAATTTGGACCAAGTGAAGAATTTTATTCAATTTTTAAATCTGGAAATATCATCAAATTAGAAGTACTTTTCAACTCTTATCTTTTAAAAAGACTTTTAATTTTTAAGAAATTGCATGAAAATCAGGATAATTATGGTTTAATATCATATAGGAAATTACAAAAGAGCAGATCTAAAAAAAGTATATCACCATCAATATCATCTCCTTCTATTATGCCAATATATGACATAGATTTTTGTGTTAATATAAAGAAAGGTATTAAAAGTATTTATCTTGATTTATATTCATCAAAAGAAAATGAAAATAATTTATTCAGTGAATTAAATAGAGGAGTATTAGAATCATCTATAAATTATAATAATCAAGAAATACGATTTTTGCAGATATTTATGGATATACCATTAAGTTTTTCAAAAATAAAAAATCAATTTAATAATGTTAAAGCAATTATATGTGGTGAAGCAATACAATTAAGAAATCCAAAAGTAACACATATTGTTTATCCATATTGGAGTCATTCTTTGGCATTTAGTAATTATCACAAAGTAAATCATCCTAATTATTTTATTGGAGATAATAATAATAATAATAATATTACTGGTAATACCAGTGATAATGGTAATAATAATAATAATAATAATAATAATAATAATAGTAATAATAATAGTAATAATAATACTTATAGTAAATCCAGTCCAAAGCCTGTAATGATATCTAACAATTTATCAAAATCATATTATAATTCAACAAAAAGAAATGTTAATAATGGTATATATGGTAATCACAATTTTTCTAATAATAGTTTATCTTCAGCTTTTGCTCTTAATAAGAATTTGGATCCTGGTAAAAAATCTTTCAAATCTAATGATTCTTCATTTTCAAATAATAAGTTAATGGTAAATAATCATCATTTAGGTAATATAACACATGTAAGTTGGTCTCCAAGTAAAATACATATAATTCTGTCAACTTCTAATGGATTTATTATGGTTTATAAACTAAACTCTAACAACAATTATTTAATTGATCAAGAGGATGAAATTTTTCTTCCTTCTTCAGCACTTTCATCTTCATCTAATATTGGTAAAATCAATTCTAAAATAAATCCTAATAATATTAATTTGAATTCAGATTCTACTAAGAATATATTTTTAACTCCTCTTTCTGGAAATTATAGTTCTAATAATTATACAAGTTCTAATACAAACTCTGCTTCTAATCCATTTATTCCAATATATATATTCCAAGTACATAAGTCCAATTGCTACTGGTCTTGTATTATTGATCATTCTTGCAGATATTTTTTAACATCAGGTAATGGTATTAATTTTGTATATAGTAGTAATAATCACTTAAATGATCAGGGGGAAGAATTTGGAATGTCATTAAATTTTGGAAAATATACTAAATATAATTCCAGAGGTGAAAGAGTACCTGTTGTAGGCAGTAATATTGTTACTACTACTACTACTAATACTAATACTAATACTAATACTAATACTACTACTAATATTCAATCACTGAGTACATCAGCTTTTCCCCATACTAATTCTATAAATATTAATAATTATAATTATTCAAATAGTGGAATAATAAGTGAAAGTATAGAAGGTTTAGGAGGGAGTTTAATTAATAGTGGTACATTAAATTTGGCAGAGTTTATGGGAGATAATACTTTAAATTTAAGTAGTAAAATAGAGATTTCATCAGTATTATCAGATGAGAATTGTTTATGTATATGGGATATTTGGACTAATTTATCATATAATTTATCTCTAATTAGTAGACCAGATTTATTAATAGCTTTAGAAAGTTCTCCAATTTCAGTAAGTCATAACTGGAAACAAGCCAATACACTTTTAATTATTACAAATACTGGAAATCTATGGTTTATATCTTATTTATTTGGAAGACAATTTTTAAATCCAAGTTTATTTAAACTTAAACAAAAAAATATTCTTACTTCAAATTTATCAAATATGTCAATGAATAATAATACTATTAGTAGAAATCCAAATTATATTAGCTCAAAGCTGACTGTATTTTCATCTGATGGAACATGCATTATTTATAATATATTTTTATTACTTAAATCATCATTTAAAAGATGCTTTAATAATAACCAAATCACTATTGTACCAATTATTAAATTTAATATTAATCATTCAGTTTCAATCAATCCTCTTAATATCATTAATAACAGTTTGTCATCTAACCAATACAACAAAATCATTTCTAATGCAATTTTTATAAGTAAAAATACTCTTTTAATTATTGACTCACAGCAGAACTGTAAAATAGTACAGTTACTCCCATTTTTCAGCTAAAAGAAAAACATGATTATATTCTAGAGACTTTGTTTTTAAAATTTATATTTATACTTGACTATAATAGCTATATATTTTTTCTTCGTCCTATCTTTTAAAAAATGTTACTCTACTTCATTTAAGCTACTTCTCTGTATATCCTATCCTATCTTATCTTATCCTCTATTTTCCCTATCTCTTTCCTAATCATTTCTCCTATCTTCTCATTAATGGTGGCACATAACTCATAGATCCGTAACTCAATCTTGCACTGACTCCCCCTCCACCAATTCCCTTCCCCTTGATCTGGCCGTGGCTATGGTTATTGTTGTAGAGATGGCAATTGCTTGGAATATTTCTGCTAGTCAAAGGAGGTGGTACATATGAAAAGTTTTTACTGTTATTTCTACTCGTATACTGCTCAACAACACTACTATTACTTCCTGTTCCAATTGTCTTTGCTCCAGATGCAAATGCGGGAAAACCCAGCTGCATATTTCCATTCATTCCTACTTTAGGAGTTGGAACATATGATGAATAATACCCTCCCACTACTGGCAAACCATAATTTTGATGTATCATCATCGAATTTCCTAACATTCCTCTTCCATCTGACAAACTATTATTCAATTTTGTTGATGGTGGTAAGGCTGCTTTATTAGAAGAAACTACTGTATTAATATTTGGATTAGTGGTTATTGAAGGAGATGTTGCTGCAGTAGTAGTAGCAGTAGTAGCAATATTATTAGTACCAGTGGTTGTGGTTGTTTTTGTTGTTGTTGCTATTGCTGTGGCTGTTGCTTTAGGTATGCAATTTGAGGATGATGATTGAAACAATGTGGGCCTAGACTCAGTACAATTCTTTTCTTTGACTTTTTCTATTGTTGTTTCCTTTGCTTCTATTACTTTTTTATCAACAGAAACAGATTCTGTTGATTTTTTTTGAGTGTTATCTATTATTTTAGTATTACTCATTTCTGGAGAAACATATTGAGAGTGAAATGGTCCTATTCCTGAGTAACCAGAACCATAATATGTATTATATCCATAGCCATGATGATGGTAATTTTGGTAAATTTGTTGCTGGTATTGTCCTTGATAATGTAAGTTTGGATTATAAACTGTTTCTGTAATTCCCATTATTCCCAAACCTAAAGATAAACCACTCATTTGGTTTTTATTAATTGATACTCTCGGCTGGATATTATTATTATTACTATTATTATTATTATTACAGTTCATCAAAATCGCAGATGTATTCATTACATTTCTCCCATTTATACTACTTGTAACACCTCCATACCCTTTTCCCATTCCTCTTCTCTTTTGAAAAATATTACCAGTCAATCCTCCTACTGAACTTTGATGATGATGATGATGATTATTATTATTATTATTATTATTATTACTAGTGTTATTATTATACTTATTAGTTGCTGGTATAGAATTATTTATCATAGATTTCTGATTTTGAGCCTTTATCAATTTTGAATTATTAAATGCTTCCACATTACTTTTATTATTATTAATGGGAAAATATCCACTCGGCTTGTCACCAGTACAATATAATTTCAAATATTTTGTTTTATATAAATTCGGAATAAATGGTATTGTATAATCTTGTGGGTTTTTAACCGATTTGACAGAATTTTCTAATTTATATAAAGGTCTTCCCCAATCCTCTAATATTAAGTTTTCATCTTCATTCACATCCCTTAAAAATGGATGATCTAATGCTTCTTTTATACTCATTCTATTGATTGGATCGGGATGAACCAATGACTCAATAAATGAGCGTGCATCCATACTTAATTTCTCATTTATACCCAAATAAGAATATAAATAATCTCTATAACCCATACTATACCACTTCCATCTAATATCATTATCTATATTATGAACACTTTCAAATAACTCTGTACCAAATAATAAATAAAATGTACTCCAACCCAAACACCAACTATCTACCTTACTTGCAATATATGGTTTACCTTCAAATATCTCAGGTGGTCTAAATTTTTTACCCACACAACCTAAATATGGAACAGGTATCTCAATTTCTTGATTATACCTACCAAATCTCACAGCCTGACCTGGATCACATACTTTAATCTGAAATTTTTTCCTTTTATCTTTATTGATATCTAAAACCTCTTTTTTATTGTATTCCTCATCGTCTTCTATTTCCACATTTTCACTATGATTCTCGTCATTTATATCTTTTTCCTCATATACAGAATATAATAAGCAATTCTCTAGACTAAAATCTTGTAATGCAAATCCTCTTTCATGGCATTTACTTAAAGCTATTGCTGCTTGTTTCATACATATTTTTGCTTGACTTTCATTTAAACCATACCTATTTTTTCTTAATAACTCCAATAAATCTTCTCCATCTGCTAAATCACTTACTATACAATGTGAATCTTCTGTTTCAAATACATCCCTTATTGTTGCAAGATATTTATGATTTGCCATTTCATCTGCAAAAAATACTTCTGCTAATGGGGTTTCTGGTAATAACCTATTCATTTCTTTAGTAATTATATCATTTTTACTTAGTATTTTGATTGCTACTAATTTCCCACTATCTTCACCATATCCTTGATATACCTTACCATATAAACTATCTTGTAATGTATCTGTTATCTTATATGTTTCCAAATTTCCCTTAAATGTACATTTTGATGGCAATCTTATTTTCTTTTCCGCAACATCTTTTTTCTTATTTATACTCATTTTTGTTTTTTATTATTAAATCAAAAAAGAAAAATTGAATTTTTACTCTTAATTCACCTTTCTTTTTCTCAAATATGTTATTTCTCTTTTAAAACATATATATTGTTTCTTTTACTTTTAGTTAATTTACATTATCTTTATCGACCCTTTTAATATTCTTTTTCATTAACTTTGATTTAATGTATTTATTAATTTTTAGATTCAGGACCAAATATTTTTCATTACATATCTATTTTATCCGCTGAATTATTAATTTATTTTTAATTGAATTAATTCCTTCTTTATACCCCTTCCCCCTACTTTGCCTTTAAAAAAAATTATAACAAGAACTATTTAATAAAATTTTATTCCTTCTTTGTCCCTCTGTAAATTGATTAATTAATTATAATTTTTTAGAAAAAATATAAAAATATATTTACAAAACTATATATATTTTTATATTATTACTTAATTAGCCATTTTTTACATTGATTTTACGACATGACACACACTAGCCGCCCCACACTTTATTTATAATTTCAATCTACCCTTAATCTTTCATTGAATTTAAATATATTTTTTAATATCTCCACATTACTTTTGAAATAATTAACAATTTATTTCCATTCATTAAATATGAAGTTTTTTCTCCAATTCAATTATTAAATGCAACTTTTATTTCTCTCTTAAAATAATTTTAACTTAGAAATCAAATAATTCCAATCATTTTCTCTTTGTTTTGATATTAACAAGAAAAATATTCGAAACCGAAATTTTACAAACCATTAATGTTTATTAAACCAGATTTACTATACCTTATTTATTATTAATCATTCATGTTTTTTTTAATTGCAATTTTTCCACATGTAAGTTAATGTGGACAAATTTTATTTAGTATAATATGAAAATAAATTTTGTGCATGCATGCGAAAATGCAAGTAAAATTTTTTTTTTCTAATACCGGTAATTTACGCAATAATTTTTAATTAAAATAATTGATTTTTAGCTCCTGTTTGTGATGTTTTATATGATCTTTACTAGAAAAAATTGAAAATACATATTTGTTAATATCAAAAATTAGTAAATTATCTTTAAATATTAACTATTTGATTTTATTAAGAAAAACATAATTTAGAAATATTAAACTTTTTGGCTTTGTTTAAAAAACGCACTGATCTAATTTATATAAGATAATTTTCTAATATTTTTTTTTATTAATGTAGAAAATAATTTTATTTTACTATAAAATCTCCACGTGTATTGTGTTTTTTTGGCGGGTAAGCAAGCTTACAATATATACATGGAAAATATCATGTAGATTATTATTAAAAAGAAATAAATAGAAAAAGAGGAAAATAAAAAAAAAAAAAAAGGAAATTAAAAATATATGTAAATGTATTTTTACTAGCAATTAGCCCTATTGGTTTATTACTTAAATTGACATTGAAGTAAAAAATATCTATTTCTTTTTAAAAATATATTTACCTTTTAAACCCACTATTGTGTATTTGCATAGTGATCCTAAAAATAGAAATAATTGAAAAGTTTGGAGTTCAATTATAATATAAATAACAGTATTACAGTAATTAAGTCAAGATAACGTGAAATTAAGAAGGAAAAGTGGCTATAATATAATATAAAATGAGCCAACTATTTAACTTTGGAAATTGTACAAGTAATATTAGTAGTAATCATAAAAATGGGATACGTGGCAATATTAATACTAACATAAATTCTAATAGCAATATGAAAACAATTTTGCAACAATATTCACCTGTAGATTATAATCAATGTAAAGTGTCATTACCAGATTTTTCTGAAAAAAACAATATTGGAGTTTATTATAATACAAATGATAATAATTATAACAATACCAATAACAATTTTGTTACATCCCCAAATATGTATCCAAGATATATTAGTCAACATAAAAGTATTCAGAACACTCATTCTTATCAATATATTAATCAAAGTAATGATAATTATAACAAACAAGTGAGATACGAACCTATTCCAAACAGAATTAATGTAATTGATGAACCTAGTGAAATAATAGATAATGGGTACTCCTCTAAAGTAAATTATCTACCATCAGGATTTGTGACTAGAACTGAAGTTGGAGCTGGAGCAGGAAAATTATCATGTGACAACAACATCTCATCAAATGGACTTGATTTAAATTCAACAATAAAAACTGAAGCTGGAGGTTATGATAACACAAAAAGTAATTTAAGTAAACTAAATAGCTCTAACTGGAAGGAATGGAGTAGCTATTCTAAACTTCTACCTCTAGCAGTTATTGAACTAGATGTTCAAAATGAGTGTAATTACTTATCAACTTTATTTAGTTCATTCTCAAATACAGTTAAAGGGTTTATATCAAACTTTGAATTTGAAAAGCTTATGGAATATGTTAATATCATTGAAGTTGGATACAGAGGTACCATATTTGGAGTTATGGATAGAAATCAAGATGATTACATTACTCAAGTTGAATTTCTTACTGGAATGCTTATTTTTAGACCATATAATGCTAAAGAAAAAAATTCACCAAACTTTAATAGGCTTAGATTACAATTCATATTCTTTTATTATGATTCCAATCGTGATGGATTACTTTCTATTGATGAGCTTGCTAAGCTTATTGAACACATTAGCATCATTAAAGTTACTGTTAATAATAAAAACGGCAAACCAAAGAAAAAAACTCAAATCTCAACCGAGAAATCAAAAAAATTAGCATCTCAAGTCATTCATGATTACCTCAACAAAGATTTCTGCTCTTATGATGACTTCTTTCAACTTGTTAATAATGGAATTCTTAATGGTACTGTTAATCTCTTAAGATGTAGAAATGATATTTTTCTCCAAAAGAAAAATAATTCTTTATTATCGCCTAACAATCAACACCTTTATAGCAGGCCTCCAATCACAAATTCTATGCAAAATTTTACTAACCTAAATCACCAACAGCCATTTTCACCCTTTTCTAATTCCATTACTCAATTTCAAAACCAATTTTCGCAAGTATCCCAAATCTCACCTTATAATACAAATAACCATCCACCTCAAAATTTTATTGCCAAAAACAGTTCTATTTATAACACACCCATTAATATCTCCACAGAACATTTCCCTAATCCCAAGACAATTAACAATATTAATGATGAATACCTCAGGACTATACTCTCAAAACCACACTCCCCATCAACACTTAACACTAATAACCATCCTGTACCAACTTTATCCATACCCAATCCTAAAACTAATGCTTTACCTGTCATCCAAAAGCAAAATATTGACGAAAAATTTGGTTATAATTATAATAATACTAATAACAATAATAATAATATTAATAATACTACTAATAACAATACAATTACTCCGCCCCACAACTCTTTCTTATCGAAAAATAACTCAATCTCAAGCACAATTACCCGTAAACAAGAAGAACAATTTACTGCGCAGTCCAGCTCTCCACCAAACCAACTAGTCACGCCAGATCCACTCTCTAATTACAGGTCAATTTATGAGTCATCTTCTCCATATTACAACATCCCCTCAGAAGGCCATCCAAACTTCAATTTCTCACCCTGTTAAAAAAAAATGTTTTCACCTGCATCTATCTCCCGCCAAAGTCAATACTACATGCAAAAACACGTAATTCTAGTATATTTAATAAATATAAAGACAAATTTCAATGGAAAAAAAAGTTTTTTTAATTTTGTTATTATTATCGAAATATCATTGAATATCTCTATACTTTCTAATTTTCGGGATTTATTCCTTTTCTTTAATTACTATCTCCTACACTAACTTGACATTTCTATTTATGCTATTTTAATTTTAAAATTAAAATATTTTCCCGCCATATATCTTTGTTATGTTAACTAAATTTTTTTCATACAATTAACCATTTTATAAATAGTAAATAATTAGAAATGTCTCAAACCGGTAAGTTATTTTCTTTATATTTATATTGATCATCATAATCCATTTAAAACTGGTCTCAAAAAATGAATTTCAACTCCTTGATTCTTTCCTTAATTACGCTTACTAAACTTGCACACTTTTAATTCATATTCATAATCATAATTCTAGTTAGTTAAAAATACATATTAGATGGCATTACAAATAAACTATAATTTACTTGTGCAATTTAACAATCTCAAAATTAATTCCAGAAAGTTTTCTCCTTTCCACACTTTTCTCTACCTTAATATGATTCATTTACTGAATGATTCATATCATTCATCTGAATATTATTGCAATTATTTGCAGAACCGTTCATATTCAAAGAATTTACATTGTAATTTACATTTCTATTTAAACAAGGAAACAATTTTCTCCAACGCTTTTGTTTTTGCTTTAGTATCATCTGTCTCTGTAATTCATTATTATCCAAAATACTTTTCCTCTCACTATTAACTACATCCAATCTTTCTTGAACTGCTGCTATTAAATTATCCAAACCATATAATTGATTACTCTGATAAAAATCACTTAATCTATCCTTCTTTTTTGTTGCTTCTAATAATATGTCCTCCAATAATTCTTTTTTCTGCATCAAAGAATAACCATTATATTCAGAATCAATATCTTCCAAGTCAGCATTAAGCCTATTTACTAACATTTCTGGAGTTTCCATTCTTTTAATGAACTCATCATCAAATTTATTATTAAAATTATTTTTATTTCCAAAACAATTTTCTATTCCTATTTTATCCCCTCCTTTCCCATTAATTAAATTCAAATCTAAACCTAGGTTATTTCCACCTCCATTTACTTGATACCATTCGTGTCTAAGTTCATTTGCAACTTTTAAAAAGCAATTTAATGATATCTCTCTTGGAACTTTATCATTTAGACTGTTTAACATAGTTAAATATATATCATCCAAATCCTTTTCAAGATCTAATATGCTATATTGCTTTGTTGAACTTGCAATATTATTTTTATTATTTAACCCTTCCAAAGATGTATTATTACTTCTTATTCCACCATATAATTTATTTGAAATATTTTTTTTTGCTATCTCATTTAAATATGTTGTACAATATCTTACTGAAACATTTAAATTTTCCTTTATTGTTTCATTCTCTCTCTTTTCTAACTCTGTTTGTAATTGAATCTTATATTCAATATAAATATCAGTATCTATTAATGTACTTGTATATTCCTTATATAAATGCATACATTTTGATCTTATGTCCTTAATTTCATCCTTCAATACCGTTTCACCCATTGGTAGAGATTCTACTAATTTCTTGTTTTCTGTAAGATAATAATCATTTACATCAGTTAGGATTCTATCACAAAATTTTCTTTGTACAACTTCATTCAATTCTGGAAGATTTTCTGTCTCATTATTATTTAAAACATTAAAAAATATTGAAAGATAACGATTTATTGTTAAAGATGAATTGTACTGTCCGAGTTTATGACTTATTGCATGATTCTTACTTATTCCAAGTAATCTCTGCCTTAAACAAGAAACTTGTTTCATATGATCCATTCTTATCTTTCTCTCATTATTATCAATCATATATGGTGAAACTAATGTATGACATTCTTTCATTGTATAGTACGATCTTAAATAAAGTTTTAAATTCTCAAAATAAGTAATTTGTGAATCCTCACATTCATATCCACATCCCAATTCGGTCATCAATGTCTCAAAATAATCAATACTATTTAATATCATACTATTAGCTGTATCATACAACAAGAAATTAAAATCATGTAATAAATATACTAAATACGGTCTTGGTGTTGTCTTTAAAGTACATAATAATGTTCTGGGAGTACCATGATTTAAATTATTTTTATCTGATTCTTGATCTGTGATTTGTTTAAAATCATTAATAGTTTCGGATCTCAATGTAGGTTTATATCTTGGAGTTAATAATAGTAATGGATTACCTTGAGCCGTTTTGAAATCATCATCTTTTGAATTTTCTCCGATTTCTCTTGATGGAGTATTAAATTCGTTACTTTTTACACTATTATTACTGTTAATATTGCCTGTATTACTATTACTTTTAACCAATTTATTAATTATCTTCTCCTGACGTAATTCAAACTCCTTTTGTAAATCCATTATTGGTATAAGCTTTTTCAAAGATTCTTGATTAATTATTCCAGAATTATTCATGACTACTGTAGATGAAATAGAATTAGCTAGAATTAATAAGATATCATGTAACTTTGGTATCATCGAAATTTTAAAATCTAGTAGTAAATATATAAATTCTTCATCCTTATACCAATAATATAAATCCACCAAACTATTTTGATTATTATTATTATTTTGTTGTTTTTCTGATAATTTCTTATTAATTATCTTCTGCACTGATAATGATTCTAAATCTGGATTTAATAATAAAGTTGAAAATAAATCGCTAGGACAGTCCACCAAACTTATAAAGCATAGAGGTGAATCCCCAAAATCTGAATTTAAACGTTTTACTGCCTCCTGGTTGAATTGAATAGCTTTATTATTATTAGATGGTTCATAAGTAATTAAGCTCATTCTTGGGAATTTACTTTGATCAAAGAATAACTCTGAAGATAACAAAGTCGAAGATGAAAGGAGATTAGACATTTTTTTGGGCCTGTTATCCGGTGAATTACCTGCATTACCTCCTGATGCAATTAATTCTTGCATAGTTATCCCATTTGGTAGTAAATGTGGCTTAACTTGAGTATTATTTTTCAATGTATCTTTTAATATATTTTTTGGAGAAAATGCTAACTCATTTTCTAGTCCAGAAAGATCCGAGCCAGCAAGACAACTCTCAAAGATAGAACTTCCACCACCTTTCAAATTTGGAACAGCCTTTTGTAAATCTTTAACCAATACATGGCCTAGTGCAACCACAGCGTCCACCACATTCTTAGCTCTATTCGAATTATCACCGTTTTCAGAATCATAATCATAATTTTTATTTAACTGTTTAATATCTACCACACTCTGGTCATCATCATCTTCGTATTCTAATTCTCTTATCCCATCTGGTATTCTTATCACTGGATCTTCAAAATTCGCCAAATTTCGACTTTGTGGAGGAGGAATAAGAATTGGAGCTGCAACCGACTTGCTATTTACATTTGAAGATGGAATTGCCTGTGGCACCATTGAATTGTTCTTCCATGTTGGAGTGCCAACGCTGACTGTTCCAGACTTTACCAAATCATCTGAGTAATAATGTGTCTGATAAGTACCTGTCTGTGGATTAAATTGTGTTGGAGTAACCCAAAATATGCTACCATTGCTTGAAGCTCTTGGGGTTGCTATCACACTATCCATTATTTGATTATGGTCTGTCATTTTCCCCAGTATATAATATATATATATAATATATATTATATAATATATATATATATATTATACATATATTATATATATGAAAGGAACTAATATATGTATTTTTGGCTTTTATATTAGTACCAGCTATTCAATTATTGCACATAAAAATGTGGATTTATTTAAAATTTAGCTCCAAATAAATTACAATTTTCAACTAATTATTTATTTTTTTTTTTTTGTTTGCTCTTATGTTTACTCTATTTCTTTAAAAGGTTACTTCAAATAATCAACTGTTAATGCTTATTATTATTCTGAATTCATTTATAATTGAAAAAGTGTAATGAAGAAAAAAGAATCACAATAAAAATTGTGGAAAATCTCTGTCCTTTCTTACTTATTTTTATTATTCTTTAATATTATGATATTTATTTTGCCACTTTTATTTTTAATTTTAATTTTTACTACTATTACATACGTATAATTCTTTTTATTCCACACTATTATTTTTTTCTGCATCCACATGAACTATTCTTTGCATGTACAGTGGCGCCCATGCCGGTACCAAAAATGATTGCACAATTCTTGCATGCAAATAAACTAAATAAATATTGTGGTTATTAAACAAAAGATTTGCAAAACAATTCATTTTTATGATCATTTTTTCTTTAAGATAATATCAATTGTTTCAATATATTTGCTCTATTATTATTAGTTTCTAGGGTAGTAAATACTGAGAAATATTTAAAAGTGATAGAAAAATACAAATATTTGAATTTTCCTATTAAATAACTCAACATTGGTCAGTATATAATAGAATGCACCAGAAAAAATAAAGATAACTTAGTGATATTTACACCTACAAATACCTTTTTTGTAGTTAAAGAAAAGAAGTATTTCAGTATTCAAGCTTAATTCAATGGTATAACTGAAAAAATAAACGTATTAATGAGTTTAGAAATTTATTGTAAGAAACCAGCAAATAAAATATGAAAAGTGAATTTATACTGAGAAATTGTCTATTGGGAAAAATATGTGAAAATTCATTCTAAATAGTAGCCAAATCTATTCAATCTGCTTTTTTCTTTAATTCTAAGATCTTACTTAAATAATATCTTATGTGTTAAATCTTTGATAATTTCTGATATAAATTGTAAAGATCATGATTAGGCGGGAGCATTGTTTATTTAAATAAAAAGAAAGTCAATGGAGAAAAAAAATTTAAGATTAAAATACAAAAATAATAACAGTAATTATAAAAGTGGCAATAGATGGACTAAATGAAGGTTTCAGTTACTCCAGAACTGAAAGATTTCTTTTCTAAACATGGTAACAAGTCCTTTAAAAACTCGGAAAATATTGATGTAGATACGTTATATAAAGCCTATTCAAAAATTGTAAAGGAATACAACTCCAATAATAAAGAAAATGAAGATGAAAGAAAAAATTTAGACGCTATTCCAAGTCTACAAGAACTTTTGTTGAATAGCAAAAAGGAAATAGATTCAGAGCAGAGTCAAAGAAATAATAATGCTCAAAAAAATCTATCTATTATAGAAATCTTAAGAAAACGCTCAGAAGAACGTAAATATCAGTCATCAATCAAAAACTTATCCCAGGCAAAGTATGTTAAGACCTCAAATAATGTCCCTGATGCTTTTGGTGTACACTATTCTAGAGATATTTTAATGAGCATGAATGCTCTCATTGGTCTTATTCTAACATTCATTGGAGGGTTCTATGCTCCACTATATATGGGTCTTGAAGACATAAACACTAGAATTTTCATTGGAGTTGGATGTTCTATTATTTGTCTAATTGCAGAAGTTGGATTATTAATTATTTACGATATTAAAAGAAATATGAAAGTTTCCAAAGTCATGAAAGAAGACCCTGTTTATAAGTATTTGAATAGTAAAGAAAGATCAAAAACTACCAATATTTATAAACCAATTGCTACTGGAAATCAAACTAATATTAGTAAGCAGAGTTCCAAAAACAAGTCTTTAACGAAACCAAGAAAAGGCAAAAAACACAAAACCGATTAATGACTGATTTATAATATATATAAATCTACAGGCTATATTGTTTCTTATTTATCTAATCACAAACTATATTACTTAATACATAGTTAAATTATATCTATTTTATTATTCCTAATAACCCATTTTCTGCTCAAATTCCCTAGAATCTTTTATTTTAATTATCTTTTAATTTTTCTACCATTAAAATTTGTATTACATGTATTAGCTTTAAAATATAACATGTTTTGGCGCCAACACTTTAGACGATAAATAACTAGTTAAAGTATTAATGTAAAGGGAAAAATCAAAAGCAGCTAAACAAAGAGGTAATTAAAAATTGAAGAATACAATACAACCAGGTTATTTGGTTCCTCTTCCAGCTGTTATTTTGAAGGAGTTTAAGATTATGTAGTGTGGAATTTTTTGAAAAAAAGAAAAATACAATAGAAATGAGGCAAGAACCTGTAAGAGGCGACCCAAACCAGGGAATATGTGTATCATTGGAAAAGATAGAAGACTTGAATGATTGTTTGGAAGTTGCTTTTCAGTGGAAATGCAGTTGTTGGAGCACAAATGACGAATTTTTGTTGGAGTGGAATATTAATGTTCCAAAAGACTTACTGACTTTTATACCTAATGGAGGCTCTCTATTAGTTTCCCAGCTTGGATTTTTTAAATATAACGATATGGTTTATGTTTTGGTTGCTTGGACTAGAAGATATATATGGGTTTACTGTCATGATATTAAATCTTTTTCTGAAATGTATTCTCAAGGTCTTAATATCTCAGTAGAACCTAAAATGTATAATTTAGAGCTGGATGATGACCAAGATGTTGATGATCAGGCTGAATTAAAGGATGAAAATGGTCATTATGTTTCCCTTGCTATTAAAACTGGAGATGGAGAGTTTCAATTTGTTATTTCTACAAATACTTTACAACTACATACCCTTAGACTAACTGTTTCTGGTGAAATTGCTCAAGTTTTAGGTATTTCTATTTCATCCAATTGGTGGAACATTGCAACATATAATGAATGTTCTTTTGAAACAGAAAACCAAAATCCTGATTCTGAAGTTTTATGTGGAGAAATAGAATCAGAATCAAACAGTCATTTTAAAAGTATTGTTAGAATCCTTAAATCAGCTTGGAACAGTAGTGAAAGAATTCCAAAATCTAATCCTAGGCATATTCCAATAGTTGAAGAAAGTAATAATTTCGAAGGATTTTGCGAATACACTGAAAGTTCTAAGGCCCCTTTAAAAACTCCTTATGAGCACAGAAAAAGTTTGAAAAAGCTAAGAAAAATCATTCATTATGAAGATAGCCTCATATTTTCATTCCCATCAAGCTATATCAAATGGAATGTCTCATTTATGTGTTTTGTAACAGCAGAAAACATTAATGCATCTAACAGAAAAAAAACAAAAACCCTAATTCTTTTCAGACACGATTCTTTTGGAGTAGTTGAACTTTGTTGGGTTTTAAACTTTAACCAGATTGATGATCTTTATCCTTCAAATCTAATTGCAATACCGTATTTTGAAAACAGTAATATCAGGAACTCTGAAAATGGAATATCTACTATGAAAATTCACCTTCCAGTTTCCCTTGGAAATTCTCACAAATTTGCACTCTTTTTTGTCTACAAATCCAATAATTCGTTAAAACTTTTACAACTTACTCCAGCTTCAAGCTTATTACCAGAAACTAGTGAAAATACAAACCCTTTATTAATTTGGACACGTAAGCCATCATCCAACATGAATCTATTACACGAAGTTGTGAACATCTCCTCTTTTTGTACTAATAACAATAGTGGTTTTAACGGAAAGGATAGAAACCATTCACTCCTTAATGAAATTTACAGTATTGAGCAAAATATTCCATTGATACAAAATCCTGAAATCCAAGGGATTGTTTTAAATAAAAAATCCTCTCTTAGGTCTGGAACCATTTATAACTGTATATTAAGTTCCAGCAAGAACATTTTCATCATATACATCTCAGAAAATGGTCATCAACTGATCTGTAGTAATATTTTAGATCACTCAAACCAACCAAACAAAATTTACTTTACCACCTACACACAGAATACTCTTTACCTTCTTGTAAATTATCAGGACGTCCCTCTTAAAATTGATCTTTCCTCCCCAAATGGTAACGAATCACAAGAATACCTAAACATTACAAATAATACAGAAAATGAGATAGTGGGCGAACATACAGGAAACTCAAATAGTGAATTTAATCAACTGATCTTAAAATACAGAGGATTCAGGAATGGAGAAATTTCAAAAGGCAATATTATTTTTGAAAATTATAATTCTGAGTCTATTCTTAATTATTTAGAGAAGATTTACAAACAAATTGTCTCAGATCTCAAAGATACAAAACCAGGAGACACAGAATCGTCGATCAAAACTATAAAACACACCAAGACACTTAGCCTGATTGGTCAGAGTCTCAATAATCGGATTCTTTCTAATAACTTTGAATCTAAAGACGAAGAAGCTGTTTTACTTTGGGGGAAATGCTCCTTTCTACTTGATTTGGACTATTGGAAAGATCTCAATTCCATGGAAAACTGGAAAGAATTTTCTGAAGGAACATGTTTTGATCAAATTACATCCAAGTTTCCAAATTTACAGTCTCTTCTTGATAACTATCTAGATCCTGTTGCAATTATTAGTTCTAATTAATTCCATATGATGGCGCGCGCGCCATCTGCATGTCTTTCGCATGTTTTATTACGGTACCCCACACTTTGGCATGTTTTTTTTTGTAATATAATCAGGAAAGGAAAAAATAGGAATAAGAAAGATTTATTTCTTTATTTTATGAATCTGTAGGTGCTCATATGTTCGTTTCAGAAAAACTGCAAAGTATAGAGTAATACGTTTTTTAAGTTAATAACCAGAAATATCTGAGCTATTGTAGGAATACTAGTAAAAAAAAAAAGAGATATCCAGTGTTAGTTTGGTTTTTACCTCAGAAGGTCTGCTTTTAGAAAATTATTATAAATAAAGTAAAGAAAGAAGGCTAAAAAAGAAGGTAAGAGTGAATAATGGATTCCGAATTTTGCATTGAAGATATCATTGTATCCATATATGGAACAGAAATGCTGTTAAAGCAAATAAAGGAAAGACAAATTCGAAACTGCCTTTATAACTGGAAATATAAGAGTCAGCTTTGGAAGGAACTTTCTATACAAAAGAAGAAATATAATAAATATATGTTGGACGGATTTTATGCATTGGCGAGACAAACGCAGTCTATTTGTATGTTATTTCACATGATAAAATTGATTGAATATAAGCAAAAGAGATTTTCAATGGATAGATTAATTTTCAATTTAAAAGAAAGTATGAATAACGAAAATATAATTAAGGAAGAGTCCAATTCAGTTGAAATTACTGAACTAGAAAACTACTCTGAGCTATCATCATTAGATGAGAATACTATAATGTTAGAGTTTCAACAAAACTTGGTTAGGTATTTTCATGGAATAAATACTATGATAAATATTATAGAATCTAAAAAAAACAAAATAATTTACATTTGCTTTTACAAAATGAGGAATTTTAAAGGGTATGAAAAGGATGAAATAGTAATTAATAATCAAATAATAGAAATAAAAGCTAATAAAGACGATAAAATAGTTGGTAATGAAAATTCGGATGCAAAAGATGAGTTTGTGGTTCCCAGTCCAATTAGAAAATCTGAAATCCATGATAAGGAGAATATATCAAGAAATTCAATGAGGAAGCAACTGAATAATGGGTTATCGCTAAATAGGGAAGAGCTTTACTTTGAACAAATTTCAGAAAAGAAGCAATTTTATACAAGAAAGCAGAATGCATCATTTAACAATGGTTCTATTAGTAAACCTTTGGAAAGAAAGACTTCTAATCAGTCAGACTTTACCGAACAAAGATATAGATCAGCGGAATTTACCCAACAAAATTACTCAAACTCTAATTTTCATGGGCAAGTAGGGAACAATGTGATCATTGGGAAAAATATTATTGATTTCACCCACGCAAATCCCATATTGTTTTCCTCAATTAAATCTCCTGTAAACTCAAATCCTGTTTTAACTATATATCCAGCACATTCTCCAAATTTTAATTTTTCAAATCCTGTTATAAACAGGAAATATCCGCACTTTAATAATAACTTAAATTATTCTAACCAGCTCTCTTCGGGTCACACTCCACTAAATACCACAAAATATTCCAGAGATAACCTTCCCAATACAAACAACTCAAGACTGAATAAACAATATAGAAGTGAATCAAATCAAAACTTTGTAATTAAAAGATACTCTTCAAATGATAGAAAATCACCCAGATCAGCTGATATTGCAAAAAGTATTTTAAACCCTTGTATTAATTTTACACATGATTCCACAAATCTCATTCAAAACATCACTGATAGCTTTAAATCTGTAATTTTGAATTAGAATACCTTAGATTTAACTTTAATAATATTTATAAATATATCTATCTTTAATCACTTTTGACACGTAACTATTGCATGCATGCAATTTATATACAGAAAATTTTTTTTATGTGGACGATAGTAAAACGCCGGCACATGATAAAAATTGCCATAAAAAATAATAATAGAAAAGAAATCAATTGCAATATTAGTAATTAATTTAATTATTTAGTTAAATTTTAATAACTAAATAGTGGATTATTCATTATATTTTATTCAATTACCTTTTTTTCTTTTTTTATTCATGTGGATAAACTTAATTATGTAACATAATGGCTTCAACTAATGTAAATGGCAAAGATGTAAAAATCAATTGAAGCAAAACAAAAAAAAATAAAGTTTAAACATAAATTATTCATGTTATTATAAAGCCTTAAAAATCTGTAAGAAAATAAGATATATAATTAATTTAAAACTTGTAACGACAGACCGTATATATAGATGGAAGGGGGGGCAATGCAGGTATGCAGATCCACAAGAAAATAACAAAGAAAAAAGTCAAGAAAACGCCAAAGACGAAATAATTTTTTTGTTAATATTTTAGTAATAAAATTAGTAATATGCAGAGCAGAATACTCAAATATAAAAGGAGATTTGGATAAAGAAAGAACTAAAAAAAAATGTCAAGTAAGAAAAATGCTACAAACTTTACTCAGGAATCTCTCCTAGCTAGAGAAGAAAAAGTCCTACAAGATGCTGAAATTGTAATTACTACTCAGAGAACAAGAATTGGGGAGCTACGTTCAGAGCTGGAACGTTTAAATGCGGAAAAATTATATTGGTCAAATACCCATATGAAGGAAATGAGTGATGTTATACAAGAAAATACAAAACTACGTTTACAGTTAGACGAGATGCAGGCTGATTTGAATGCATTAAGACACACACAAGATAGTACGGATAACTTGATAACAAATTTGACTGAAGCTTTGGGAGTAGCAGAATCTCAATTACTAGCACAGGAAAATGAATTAAAAAGTTTAAGAGGAATGGCTGGTAATCTACCCATTGAAAACAATCATTTGAAACAAGAAAACCAGCGTTTACTGGCTGAAAATGAAAAATTAAAGCGTCAACAGGAGGAAAACAATAGGAAATCAGGTGAACCCAGAACTTCAAAAGGATCTGATAGCGCTGCAATACAAGCAGTAAATGCAGATTTGAACAAACATACAAAATTGGCGAGAGATTTAGATTTCCGAACAGAAGAATTGAGAGTTAACAAAATGTGTTTGCTTCAGTTGGAGAGTGATTTACTGGAGCATCAGTTATTAGTGGAACAACAGAGAGTAGAAATACAGAGATTAAATACGGCAGTAGAAGCTTTGAATAGAGAAAAGTCCCTAGTTCCTCCTGTGGTTATAACTAGTAGGCAACTTGATTTATTTTCTCAAGGAATGGATGCAAATCCATTAAAAAATATGTCACCAAAACAATTTGCTGAACAAGTAGTATCCGAAATTACTAAATCTTTACCAAAGATGCAAAGAATGGGTGTAATGATTGGTGGTGATGAAGATAAATATAATGATGAAAATAATGAATTGAGTTATTCTAGTACACCCGATGATATAGATATTATTCAATACAAAACTATGGAAGAGCAGAGAATGTTAATTTCTCGTTTACTTAAAGGTTTGGATCAGTTAGGCTTTACTAGAAGTGATGCAACTTGTTACAAAGAGAAAGCATCTGATTATAGATGGTTTTATTCTTCCGTTGTAAGCCACAGTGTTAATTACAATACAAGATCAACTTCAGGTTCTGATGAGAAAAATGATAATATATCTCCTCCTGGATTCTTTAATTTATTTGTTCGCGTTGAATCAGGAAATATTGCAATATTTCAAAATATGGAGGAAGAGGTTCCATTATTTTCCATTAAACCATGGAAATGTAATGTTGAAATATATGAAAAGAGTAAACAGTTTGTCTTAACAAGGACTTCAACTACTTCTGATCAGATTGAGAATCATATATTGCATTGTCAGACTGAGGATGAATTTAATCGTTGGTACTATGCTTTATGCTATGGAGGTTTTATTGAGTCTGGAAAAACCGAAAATTCTCAATTTTACCAAGGTGAGGATTTAAACAAGATCAATATTAGATATCCGAATAATAAATTAAATAGAAATCCAAATGTTAATCGTAATATTAATGTTAATATCAATAATGATAATAATCTTAATAATAATAATACTAATAATAATAATAATAATACCAAAGATCATGTGGTTATATCAGTTAAGATTATGGATTCAGAAAACAGTAAAAATTATCAAACCTCACAAATGTCTATATATAATAACTATTTATCATTTAGTAATGGAAGAAATCCCATCCATACTGTTAATTCAAAGTTAAGTATTAATAACAAAAAAACAATTATTACAATAACTGATTCAAGTGACAATAGTGGTAATAATAATACAATATTTATCACACCTGAAGATCTCAGAGACTATGAAGATTTGAAAAAATCACTCATTTCTTGTACTTGGATGGAAGTTGATAAAAACCTTGGATTACTTGCTTCTAAATTAAATACTAAAGGAAACGATTCTAATGTTAAACAATCTGGAATATCTGATAAAAAGTTAGTACCAAAATCTACAAATTTCTCAAATAATAAATCTGAAGAAAATAATAATGATAATAATTCTTCAAAAAATCCAAATATGAGACATGGGGTTATATTAATCAAGGATTCTCAAGTTAATCTATACCATGATGAAATCGATACAATACCATTTACAAAAATTGATGTAAAAGAATGTACTATAGAATGTGATCGAAGGAAAATGAGTATATTATTAATCAAATCAAGAAATAATCAATTTGAAAGTTTTTATTATATGTTCTCATCTCTTGAAGAGTTTAATAGATCATGGTCAAGATTAAGAGAAGGAGGAATACAAGAAATTAAGCCAGAAGATAAACCTGTTTTGAATCAAATGTGCGTTGTTTGTAAAAATAAAATGCATTTCTATAAAAACAATGAGAAAAATACAAATCATTCATTTTTAACTATATCTCCAGATGATACAAATTGTCATGTAAATTCAGATAGAAATGAGATTATATTATTGCATTCACAAAATGATGGAACACGTAAAAAGATTGTATTAGATTGTGCAAATATGGATGAGTTTACAAGATGGAATATAGCATTACAATTTTGTGGATTTATAAATGGTGTAACAAAGTCTTGTATGAGTAAATATACTTTTGATATATCATTATTTGGTATAGTTAAGAGTAATGGAACTGAACAATTAAAAAATATTGATACAAAAGAATCTAAGCCAATATATAAAGACTTTTATAATATAACAGATTATCAATCAATTGAGATATTTAAGAATCAAGAATCAAGATTAAAAAATACACCATTATTTATAATACCATTTAAAGATACTGAATATTCTGGTGATGCAAAGAAACGTCAAATAGTATTTTTAACAAGAAGAGGAAAAGCAGGTGAAGTTAGAATTATTATTAATTTACAAACATTATCAAACTTTGATATAATGAATAAGGATTTGGTGAATGTAGATTTCCCATTATTAGAGACTAATATTGCAACATCATTAAAAGCTGAATACATTATTGGAGCAAAAGAAGGTTTATTATGTGTATATTCTACATCAAAGAATAGAGAGAAATTGGCTAGTATAAGGCATGCTATGAATGAGAATAGGTATTTCAATAAGGGAAGTAACAATAATAATAATAATAATAATAATAATAATAATAGTAATAATAATAATAATAATAATAACAATAATAATAATAATAATAATGGTGTTCATGATAACATGGATTCAGTAACCAGAAAATTCCCAGAATGTGGATATATTAAGTATACAACAAATGATTATATTTGTGTGGCAAGTAGAGCAGGAAGATCTGTTGTATTAAGAAGAAAAGAAGATGATTATGATGCATTATCAGTAAGATGTAAATCATTAACAGAATATGAAAAGTGGGAAAGATCAATGTCAATAGCAGGATTTATTAATACTGATAAAATAAATAATGCATTTTTACCACCAATAATATATTTATTCCATTCATTGGATTATGATTATAGAAAGCAACCAATATTACCAAATTTGGATTCATCAATAGTAATATCACCATCAGAAGATCATTCATTGTTATCTCCCGATGAGATTTCATTATTAAATGAAAGAGAGAATCAAGAAATTGGTAAAAGAAGAAGAGGTGGATTAGGAGAGACTGGAGATAATTATAGAAATAATAACTTGGATGTTCCAAATGTTGATACAAAGAAGAATCTTAATCATCAAAAATTATTAGATACTACAGGAATACATAAACAAAGCCCACCCACAAGGATAATAATATCGTCATCAAAAGTAAAGAGAAGAGAAGGAGAAGGAGGGGAAGAAGAAGAAGATGAAGATGAATATGAAGAAGAAGAAAAAAAAATGAAAGGAATTCAATTTAACTTAAAGGATTTAAATGAAGGTTATGATATAGATCAATGGAGTAATGTATCTGAAATATTTACAAGGGAAAAAATAATTAATAAAAAGGTGGAGGAATATTATAAAGATGAGCAGGACTATAATAATTACTATTATAACGACGAGAATAGGCAAAATAAAGAAATTGATTTCTTTAACACATTTTTAATGGATATGGATATTAATGAGAATAAGGAGGAAGAATCTGAGATTTTGGTAAATATTGGATCATTAAGGGTTAATAATGAAAGATTTAAGGAAATTGATGATTATAATGATGAGAATGGGGACTATGAAGAAGAAAAAGATGAAGAAAATTCAAATAAATCAAAAAGAGGAATAAATTCCAGCAATAAGATTTCATCAGTAAATAATAAGATACCAATGGAATTAGAGAATCAAGAATATAAAGTATACAGTATTAATAAGAGTTTGATGAACGATGAATTTAATGGGAAATTTAAAGAAGATGAAGACGATGATGAGGATGAAGAGAATTTAGATAGAAAGATTCATCTTAATTCACTAGGGTGGAAAGTAAGTGGTAATGATTATGAAGAGGAAGATGAATATGAAAATGAGGACGAAAGTGAAGAAGAGGAAGAGGATGAAAGGGAAGATGAAGAGGAGGATGGTGAGTATGCACTGGAGGATGGAGATGAGGACGAGTACGAAAACGAGGACGAGGACGAGGACGAGTATGAGGATGAGTATGGTGAATATGAAAACAAAGATGAAGATGAAGATGAATATGAGGACGAAAACGAAGATGAAGAGGATAGTCAATACCAAAACGAGAATTATATGAATACTAATTTTAAGGAAAAAAAAAAGGGAGAACAAAAGACTAAAGGAAAAGAAATTAAAAAAAAAGAACCATTATCATCATCAGGATTTCATCATAGTAGATCGAAATCGCAAATAAGCATAAATCCGGAGTCTCCAATGTCCCCATCGCCATCTTTATCATTTTCACTAAGTTCTTCTATTTATCGTAATAATAATAAAAGTTTTAACTCTGCTTCTTCATCCACTTCAAAAGAAATCAATTCTATTACTCAATCAAGGTGGAAAAGAGGTAAAAGTGGGATTAAATCCATTTTTGGAAAAATGAGGCTTAAAAGAGGATAAGGACAAAAAATAAAGGCTAACAAAAATCAAAATTAATATATAAATAGTAGTTTTTTTTTATATTCAAATGGAAAATCTAATCATAATTATTATAAAGATTAAAGTTGGATTTGTACTTTCGAATTCGAATTTTTGGGTTTATTGGAAAATCTGTTTGGATTCGGTACATTACATGGGGTGAAAAACGTGTTATTACTAGAACTGTTATTTGCATTATTTAATAAATCGTTACCTGTATTCGTATTCATATTCATATTATTATTATTACTAGTAGAAATCCAAGGAACGGATTTTTGAATAATTTCTTGCAATGTATTGAGATCAAAATTAGTATTTGAGGAGATAGAAGATTTTAAATTATTTAGGTTTTGATTGTCAATTAAGGAGATATTAGAAATAGGATCTGAAAATCCGGTACCTATTGAAGATTTACGTGGTATAACAAAATCTGGATTATTATTTGAATTATTTCCATTATTATTCTGCTCATCATTATAATCATTCATATTATTATGTTCATCATCTTTATTATTATTATTATTATTATTTACTTGATTATTTTTTTGATTGCATAAATATGCCAGGGATGTCATTGGAGAGTATTTATATACATCAAGTTTTTGAGGTAGAAGGCATGTCTGAAGATTAGTTAATAAAAGATCAACAACTTCTTGAGTAATACCAAGTAAATTTCTAATTGAACTTGTTGGAATATTTCTAGGAGGAAGTAAAGCAACAAAGTCAACTATTCCTTTAGGTAATAAAGTATTGAAAGATTTATTAGTATCCTCCATAAAAGAATTAAAATCTTGCATTTCTTCTATATTATTTAATACATCTCCATTGTTTAAATTACTTAAAGTACTTTTTAATATTTGACTTTGTAATTGTGTTGATACACCAGTTATTGAGTTATTTTTAATTGGATAAGTCTCAAATTTAAATTTAACCATAGTTGAGGTATCTGGTTTTGAACATAAACTTCTTCCCACTCTAGACCATTTAAACTCATTAATATGAGTAAAATCTGATGTTCTGTTGTTTAAATAATAATATTCCATTTCCTCATCATCTAAACCTTCTATACTATCCAAGTCTGAATTTTCATAACAGTAATAATCTTCATCCTCATCCATAACTACCCCACCACTAGTATTAAAATATCTATCAATACTATTAGCATTAATATTAGTACCTCCTAATACTGTCTGAGAATTTCTTATTCCATCAGATTCCCCAACTCTTCTTCTTAACATCCTTGTTCCTCCTAATCTTCCTTGAGTAAGCTTAAATTCAAAAGGTCTTTGAAGCAGGAAACTCTCAAAATCATCATCTAGATCAACATGGTTACTCTGATCATTATAATATTTAGTGTCTCTACCACCAGAAATATAACCACAGTTACCAGAAGAAGAAGAAGAAGAAGAAGAAGAAGATACATTCAGAGATGTGGCAGGTTTACCTTCTTCTGAAATTGCTCTAGATGAATTACTAATACTTTTTGACTTAGTCTGGCAAGTACAATTAGTATTAGAAACAATATTTGAGCTAAAGTTGTTATTATTATTATTATTATTATTATTATTATTATTATTATTATTATTCCCATTAATTGCCAATTTTGATGATTTGGAACAATTACTACAATATCCCATAGCCATTCTCTCATCCTCAACTTGAGAAGATAAACCCACTCCTTGCATAAACAAATTCTGTCCTTCCTCTCCTTCGAGATAAAACTCTGACCAAGAACTATTTGGGTATATAGAACCAAGTCTAAAACACTCAAAGGCTGTTCTGAATTTACTTGGGCAAGTTAATATGAATTTGTTAGAATTAATAGGTTCTAAATTTCGTCTTGAATTTCCAATCATTCCTGCTCCAATAGTATTTGTTCCTTTTTGGTTCTGAATTACATTATTAAAGTTATTGGTAATGTTACTTGCACATCCAGTATTATCATTTAAGTTAGTTGATGATAAAGCTCCCATTATAGTATCATCATCAATTGGATTAAAAATATATGAATGACCATATACTTTAGTCTTAGGATCAATATTATCATTACCAATATACTCCTTATTTAATTCAGCAAATTCAGGAGCTCCTAAAATAGCATGCCATGCTTTTTGCTGTCTTTTACTTAAAAGCATATCAATTTCAACATTTCTTCCATCTTTTTGTAATTGATAAATCCTACTTAAGTAATTTAAAGAATAAATGGAAGATCCACTCATTCTTTCTAAATGAAACCATTGAAGCCAAAGCTGTTTTGGAACTTTACCAGTCTCTTTGTAAATCTCATAAATGGATGATTGAAGGGTATTCCTTGCTTGTTGAAGCCTGCCAGTATCTAATAGAAAAGATACAAAACAAGACATAAATGGAACATCCAGAAATAAATGTCTATAGTACATTCCAAAATAAAAAATCTGATAAGCACCCTCAAGATTATTGTATAATCTCCATTCATTCAATGCTTGAGAGTAACAAATCCATTTAATATCAGCAATCCTTGGAGATCTTTTTACGTAATCCAAAAAGACTTCTCTCCAAATAATTTTATCGTTAGTAATTCGAAGTATGAAGTTCAAATACTCAATAATTACAACAGCTGAGACTCCTGGATTATATTGTTTATGATTTAATCCACTAGTTAACATTTGAGAAAACTGTTTACTTATTGTATTGCCATCTGTTCTTTCAGTAACAAGAAAATCTGTAGTAAGACCTAATCCATTAGAATTCTCATGAATATTTCCTCCAGACTTAATTCCATTACTAGTTACAGAATTTCCATTTCCACCAAATACTTCTCCTTTTTCAATAGGATTATTGGATGTAACTTGGCTGACTCTCCTACTACTCATAGAAACATGGTGGTCACTAGTTTCAATTTGTCTAGCAAGTTGGTGATTAATTTGGTCATTACTTATCATATTTACAGCATTTCCACCAGCATTATTTACTCCAGTAGCACTACTAGCATTACTTAAACCAACATTATTACTGTTTTTAACACCATTTGAATGACTAATATTAACACTACTATCAGCATTACTTTCATCTGTTACTGGTACTACAGATTCTTCTATTTGAATGACTTCTCCAGAACTCTCAATATAAACCATTGAATGATATAAATGCATCACTTTATCTAATTTTTTTCTTAGCTCATAAACCTCAGCTAATACCAGCTTCAAAATCTCATCTTTAGGTAGAAAACGCTGTATTGCTGAACTTAAAAGTTCAGTTGCCATATCCATACCAGTTAATTGAACTGGATGAGAGTTCCAAACAAAAATAAAGTACTCGTACCAGACTTCTGGGTGATATGAAAAGTATAAAAGACAATTTCTATAGGAGTAAGAAACTCTATTGAAATATTGTGGCTTTTCTAATCCCAAAGGATTACTTTTCTCAAATAATATGTATCTTTTCCAAGGAATAAATTTACCCATCCATTCATTTCTATTACTCTTATCTAATGGCTTTGCTGGGATATCCTCATGTAAATTATCCACTAGCACCATCATATTCTTATGAACAATCTTGGAAACATTTACCAACTTTTCTCCAGACTGTAACAAATTTTTAGTAACCAACTTACTAGCAGATTCTGAAACAGGAACAACCCCTCCTACAACCATACCAATGTTCATATTTGGAACATCAGTAGTGCTTGAACTTGAAATAGAATTTTCAAACAATGAATATGCTATAAATGCAGTTTCTAAATTACCAACAGGAGTTGTTAACCATTGTATAAAGAATTGTCTCAAAGTTACTATGGTCGCAATTTTATCACCCAATGCAAAACATTCATCAATTTGTTCACTGATTATTGGTATAGTACTTGTTTCAAATGGGTTTAATAGTAATGTATTCCCAGATAAACTTGCCTCATTCTTTGATATTAAAGTATTGTAAACTAATAATCTTAATTTATACATTCTTTGCCAAATAAACCCACTCCTAGGATCTGATCCTATTGTATCTAATGCCAACTGATATATCTGATAACGATCCTTTAAGCTATTAATTTTTTCATCCACGAATGGTATAAATAACTTCCATATCATTATACAAGAACATTGATGAATACATCTCTGATAAATACCTAATAAAACTTTCTCATCTGTGCTCTTCTGGGACTGAAGGTATTCAATATATCTTTTCCAAACTATTGGACTTGTTGGAAAAAACTCCAAAGCTCTTTCAAAAACCTCACTCTCTGATTTCACCGTGAATATATTTTCCCATAATGAATAATCGTATGGGTTTTTCTCTACGATTGAATCTATTAAGGAAGTAATTCCCTTCTTCATTTTAGAAATCAGAGTGAAATCCAGTCACCCTTTAACTTTTTGACCTAGACCCAACTATTACTTTTATTTATTGTTATTATTTTATTACTTTGTTCTTTTTTTTTAACTTTAATATTTGCTTTTAGAGACATTTTTGTCTTACCGCTTAATTTTTTTTGTTCAAAATATGTTAACTCTGCCAATATCGGCTTATAAAAAAGCATCATCTTTACAATAAGGTGTTTTTCATTAATAAAGAGAAAATTGCTAAATAAATGATAGAGACTACTATTTTTCTCAGTGTGCCCGGATATACCTGTTGTTGTTTTGCTTATTCATTACTTTTACTCATCTTAAGGCTTCATATTTAACTTGGTATTATTATCATTAGTTTTGTTCCTACCAATATTTCTACCAAAATTCCCCATTATTTTTATCATTAAAACTACCCCCTCAACGAGAAATGTATTTGATTTGTTATTTTATTCCAAAATGATCCTGAAATAATTCAATGACTTATTACTTTCCTTCATTAATTTCTCCTCCTATATTATCTTAATTCTCATAGTGAAGATCCCAACACTAGCAATAACTCTTCTCTTGTCATTCAATTCATTCATCACCTTCTTTTTAATTCATCTTTTTTTTCCTATCACTAAATAATTCATTTATTTTCAAATTACTTATTACCAATATTATTATCTTAAATTTTCACCATCTTTTAATCTATTTTTATCATATTTCATTTCTTTTTAATTTCACTATTTCTGTTATTAAATAATTTTTTTTTACACACGTAATTACATGCAATATCAGGCATTTTTTTTCAATACCGGTATTTGCATGCAATCAAAATTTAATGTGGAATAAATTACGTGGCAAAATTTACAATAAAAAATTCAAGAAATTCGAATCATTCTTTCGTTAATCTCAAAGTAAAGATTTTTACGAAATAGTTAAGAGTAAATTATCGCTTGAATAAGAACATTTTTATGTGGGCACAAATAAAGAAGAAAAAGGTTTATAATATTATAGATGGAAATACAATAATAATGAATTTCTAAAAATAATTTACAAACATAGTTAAATTTGAACTATATAAAAACTTATTAATAATTTTTTAAAAATTTTTCTGCTGAAAATTATATTAAAATTCTAGCAAAATATTTTAAGTTAATTTTTTGTTTAAATAAGCTTTAGGAAAAAAATTAAAAAGTAATTAAAATGCTATTTATGTAAAATTATAGAAGAAAAATTCATTTTTGTAATTTAAAAAAAAAAACTTTACTTGAAAATCTATGGTGTGGATAATTTGTAATGACAAGTAATGCATTACGTGTAAATATTGACAATTACCACCGGTAGTATTTATTAATTAATTACAAAAATTAACATTTAATATAATGAAATGTTAAAATTAAACCTTCAACAAATAGTATAACTCAAGTGTAAAAATTGAAAATACTAATGAAAGTCAGGAAAGTAGAAAATTTTAAATATAATGAAAATATACTCAAGATTAAAAAATGAAAATGAAGAAACTAGTAATTCTTTGACTTATTTTCCACAGAAAAAATTGAGTAAAATTGGAAAGAATTTCTCATCAAACATTTTGAAATTTGAGAAAACTTTATATGAAGAAAATTATCTTAAAATTATATCCGAAGAAAAAATTGAGATTCAGTTGTTAAAAGATGAAAACGGTCTAAATATGGATCATTTTAATGAATTTGTTATCTCAATAAAATCTCCATACAAAGAAAGCATTGAAACTATATCTTATTTTGATCAGAAACATAATATTGGAAGTATTGAAAGATTTAAAATAATATATTGGTTAAGCTTACACAGTAATCTATTAAAATTTCAATCTTGTACTTTTCATCTCTCATGCAAAATTTTTGATACTTTTTTGCTTGAAACTCCTGTACAATATAGTAATTCTGAACTTGCTGCTACTGCAGCTGCATGTTTTTTATTGGCTTCAAATATTATTGAGACAGTATCTGATATGATTGTTCCAAGTATAAAGCAATTTTGTAATGCTGCAAAATGGCTAAATCCTAATAAGATCTTAAAAAGACAATTAGAAATTCTTACTTATGTAAAAACAAGTTTTGGTATTAATCATACTCCACAAAAACTTTTATATATTTATATATCAAGAATTAAGTATCATTCAATTTTATCAAAAGAATTTCTCCACTTATACAAAAATGGAGATATCATAGAAATATTTGACTCATCTTTAGCTATTTGTGATTTATTGCAATACACTCCTCTTCCAACTACCAAAAATGGCCAAACATTCATTTCAATTCTTCCTTGTTTCATTTTATGGGTTAAGCTCGAATCTAATATTATATTCAATGAGTTTGATTACCATTATATTCGGAGTATCTTCTTTAAAGAAATATGTTTCTTTAATAATTATCTTTGCAAAGATATAATTAATATAATATATAAAATCGCAAAAGAACTTGTAAATGTTAACGAAAAGCTTATTAAAGATTACTGGTACAAACAAGAGAGGCAAGTAATAAGAAGTGAAACTCCAAATATCCATCTACATATTTTCCCAGATAAAAAACTTTAGGCAATGATTAAATGAAAATGTAGAGAATATGGGATGAATTTTTTTTTTAAAAACAACAATTAGATGTGAATATAAAGAGTATAATAAACACCCTCTAATTAGCAATTTACAAGCTTTCTAAAGTTATAACTCTTCTTTTGTTATTTTCTTTTGTCTTCAACTTTAAATTAATGAAGAAATTGATGTGCCATAAGTTTGAAGTTATAAGCTTAGTCACTTTAATTTACCTCCTCCAATTCCTTCCTAATAATTAAATAGCCATCCTCATATTAATTCATCAAAGAAAGATTTGAACCTCAATAAGAATATTAAGTCTGTATTTTAATGTTCGAATAATAATAATAACAAACAATAATATAATATCAATAATAAATTCCCGAAATCCAAAAATGGTATATCCAAAATTTAATATATTAATGAGAATTCTGTATTTAAATGTTGTTCTTGCTCTTGTTAAAATCACCCGTATTAATTTGAAATAATCTTTTCCTTAAATAATTTCTTCAAATCTTCCCAAACTGATTCTATGGAACCAGTAGCATCCACAGTGAAACATTTACCAGAACTTTTGAAATGTTCTATAATTGGGGTTGTATTCTCATGATAAACTTCAAGCCTCTTAATGATTGTTTCCTTATTATCATCAACACGTCCACTAGTTTCTCCCCTATGCAAAAGACGTTCAACAACGATTTCATCATCACAATCAAGAAATAAGCAACCAATAACATTAACTTCAGTATCTGGAATAATCCTGTACCAGCCATCAAGGTTATTTTGATTACGAGGAAAGCCATCAATCAAAAAATACTTACCATTCCAACCATGATCTTGCATCTTTTCCTTTAATAAACCAACGGTGATTTCAACAGGAACTATCATTCCTTCCCTAATAAAATGGTCAATTAATTCACTAGTCTCATCCTTTTTGGACATTGCTTCTCTCAAACAGTCTCCTGCACTTAAATGGATAAATGAGAATTCATCAACAATCTTTGCACATTGAGTCCCTTTACCACTACCAGGAGGGCCCAAACAAAAAATTATTGATGGCTTATTTTGATCCATTTCTTACTCAAATCTATGGTTAATCCAAGATATGTTATTTGATAAGATCTTTAGACCTTACTCAAAAGTACAATACTAAAGTTAATAGCAAAAAAATATAATTTATATATATAGTATTATACTTCTTGAAAAAAAAAAAAAAAATTCACTTAAATGCGAAAATTCTGAACCACAGATGCTTAAACCAATTTGCTTTTTTGCTTCCAAGATATAGTAAAATGAATTAACTGGTATTAATTGTTCCTTTACCAGTATAATTTAATCAATCCCATAACTATTCACTAATCTCACATGTAATTATTTATTTAATTTTCATGATCGTCCCCTCACCTCATTGTTGTAAATTGTTTTAATTAATCTGGAATTATACGTATTATGAATTTAAATATAAACCAAAAAACATATATAAATATAATAATGTGTTGGCGCCAAACCAGAATAAGAACTAAAATGTCAATATGAGTTTTACCATTAAAAGGGGTAGAGAACAAGTTTGAGTGTGAATAGTTTCATTTCTCTATAAGGAAATAATTAAATTATATTGAAGTAAATTGCTATTCCTTTTGTTGACCTTTCATTATAGTTCCTTACTTGAATCCTCCTGTATCTTTGGTTATTTATACCAATCTTGATCATTTTGAATTCAGAAATTTTGTTAACATTAAACCAGAGGAAAATAACATCTGGTCATATAATAACGGCAATGCGAATAATAGTCATTTGAGATGTTTGTGTTATTATTCAATTAAAAGAAACTTCAATTGTATAATAGTAATTGTCACTTAATTAATTGATATTTATTTGATTAATTCAAATTAGTGGATCTCTTGACATTATCCTTCAATCCTGTAGATTCTCCAGAATAACTGTTTTCGTAGTCCCTCATACTCCTTTGTGCTCCCTTAAGTTTTTTCAATGCCTTTTTATACTTAAGTCTGTTATGTACTCTTGCATTACCCTCAATCTTCTTCCTCTTTCTAGTCAAACCTTTATTCTTAATCATTTCCTTTGTGGATGCCCTTCTAGACCCTGAATCTATAAGATCATCAATATTAGGCATATTTCGACTATCAATTTCTTGCTTTCTCCTTTGCTTTTGCATCTTCTTTTCTTCATTAAACTTGGCAACATCTTGCAAATACGAATTATTTTTAAAAAGCTCTTCTTCTGCCTCAGCATAAGATTCATCCATTTGTCTTTCAAAGTTGATATTATCAGAATCGTACTCAGGCTTGTACTTGCTCTTCTGACTCAACTCAGCTTGTGCTTTTCTTCTCTTAACCAATTTTTCCGTAATGCTCTTGTCAGAATTTTGTTGAGCTAAATTACTTCGTGTAATCTCCTTATTGAGCCTTGATGCATTAGTTAAATACTTTGTAAGTGAGTTCTTTTTTGAATTAGTTGCCATATCTGTAGCCCTTTCTGCAAATTGAGCCAAATCATCCAAAGTATTAACGCCTCCCTCAACCTGGTTCATTAGCCTTTTATAAAGCTTCTCTTCTTTCTTATCCTTTTTAGTCTTTGGTAATCTCATCATATTATCTTCCTCGAAATCAATTCTTTCTTTTATTTCTCGTTGTAATCTTTCTAATTGAGGTAGTTGTTCAGTATCTTCCTTTCCAACTTCCTCAGGGCCTTCATGAATGCTAGATCTCATTTGGCGAATAATATCAGTCCTTAATAATCTCTTTCTCTCTCTTTCTAACTCCCTCATCATTTTCTCAGTCTTACTCAATTTTTTATCGTTAAATTCGACAGGTATATTTTTTGGGACCTTATAAATACCATTACCGCTATCAGAGTCTTCAGTTGCTTCTGCATCTGAATCGACATTAGTTGACTCATCAAATTCATCTTCAATACCATGTCTAGAAGTCTCATCCCCCTCAATGTCGCTATTATCATTATCTTCATCCTCAAATATGAATCTGTCTGGCCTTGGAGTGGATGATAAAAAGTTATCTACTTGAGATGATTTCTCCGCTAATTCCAAAATTCTATCTATTTGTGGTTGTAGCCTGATATCTATTGGCTTTAATTTTTCCATCATTGTTCGCAAAGTAACTAGTCTCAACAAAATTGGATGCTCCTTAATATTCACGTTAGGAGAAGTCTTTAACATCATATAATAACACAGATAGCCAATGTACATCAAGAGCAAAGTATTCTTAGAATCTAAATACTCCATTCCTTTCTCTGTTACCAAGCCTGAACCTTCTTTTGTCTTTACCAAATCCAATAATACCTGCATTCTTTCTTCTACTTCAGTAACTTTTTCCTTTACATTTGCTAATAGTGGAGCTAACTCTGAATTTAAACTCTCTATACCATCTAGTCCCTCCTTTTCCAATGCTATTGAAACGTCTGACTTCGTTTCTTGTCTTGTATTTGACAAATTACTTAAACTATCCAATAATGTTTCTGCGTCATCTATTAATAATCCAAATGAGTTTGCCTCATTTTCTCCCGATTCATCCTCTTCTTCAAATCTACCCTGGTCGATGATATCATCCATCCCAAAGTCTTCTCTACTCAATCTCATCATTCTACTCGCCTGAATTCCACGTGCCTCTTCATCCTGCATTTCCACATCAGACCAGTTCTCTCCTTCACTGTCTGTGCTTGAAGAGCCTCCATCGTAAAAATCCTGCTTCTTATTTCCCCAATCCTTAGTATTTGACTCCTCTTCACTATCTCCTTCCTCAACTTCCTCTTCATATTGGTCTTCTGTTTCGCTATCATCAGGTGAATCATAATCATCGTCAATTTTCATCACCTCCAACTCATCGTTGCTAGTACTATCATCTACCTCCTCCTCAACAGGAATCCACAGAGTTTTATCCTTCTTTTTGTTTCTTGTTTGTACTGCCATATTTCTTTTGTATAAAAAAAATAATTCCTCGTACTCTTAAATGTCAAAAATTGCCATTTATTTTGACCTCCAAATGTGCCGGCGCCGGCGCCAAAATCCAGTTTTTTGATTTTAACTTGCAACTTATTAATTTTAATGGCTATTAGTTTATTCTCATTAACTTTGGTTTGATTTTTATGATTCTGCAAGTAAATTTATATACTTTTGAATGTGATTTGAATACATTTGAGCCACTTCCTTGTTTGTAATGTTAGTATGATACTGTAAACTCCAACATAATTCTCCATTAACTGTTACAATATTATGAGCGAACATATTCAAGCCAGCCTATAAATTACAATATTTTATATGAAGGAGGTAATTGAAAGGAATTATCAGTTATTTTTGATTTAAATTTTGTAAATTAAACTTACGTTATGTTGTGCAACGCAACTGTATGATGATTCTACCTCCATCATTACTTCCTGCTCAGTTGTAATTGCATTTATCTTCTTAACCAGCTCTTTCAACGGGCTAGAATCCCATAAACCTCCATTACTAACTAAGAATGAAGAAGGTCTAATTGTCGGGTCTCCAAGTTGCATCAGCAACATATTTTTATCAGACCTTGTGGGAGAGTTTGCTAGGTCGTGTATAAAACCTAATAAAAATTAATCTCGATAATATAAACCTTTAATTAATGCACTAACTTACCACTTATCACATGCCACTCAAATGTTACGGCTGATGGATCTTTTGAATCCACTATTGAATGTATTTTCTTGTTTGTATTATTAGCCAACTCCCACATTTTTTCAGTATTTGTTATACAGTCCTTCTCAACTTTCATGTCTAATCCCATAAGAACTGCATATGATCCTAGCCCAACAGTCTTAATCTGTTTAGATTTTCTATTTTTAGGGCTCATTACTTTAGAAACTGCCTTCTTGAACCACGATGAGCTCATCTTCTCCCCATTTGGTGAGCCCAACTTTGTTAAGGACATATTTATCTTGCTTAAATTATTAAAGAACTCCTTAGAATGACTTTTGTGGCTTCTTGATCTATTTCTGTGTGAAACCTCACTAAACTCGGCATTTTCCAATGAAGATATATTTTCATCTCCATAATTTGAATTTGGGTTTTCATTTGAATGATTCTTAATCACAAACTCGTCATTCTTATCCGTAAGAGTGGTTGTGGTCGTTGTTTCGCTATTATTACTATTCTGCATCACTTCCAACACATTCATCAAATCTCCTTCAATTACTTTGCTTGTTTCTGGACATAATGAAGGATTATCTTTAGTTACCCATCTCCTACAATTAATTGCAACCATTGTTCTAATTGGAATCATCTTATTACCGTCACCACCTTGAATAAAGCAATCTCCTCCTCTAATGTTGAAAGGAGCACAATTATTCATACAATTTAATTTTAATGAAGTTAATTCTTGACTTTCTGGCGATTTATCATAGTCCTTTAGCTCAGAAATATCTCCAGAGCCCCGATTCATTCTATTTTCTCTTAACTCATAAATTAACCCCATTAATCCCAAAGCTGAAACTGCTTCTATTGCACCATTTAACTGAATCTTTCTTTCCTTACATTTTGACATTAATTTTTTAAGTAGTTCCTTTGAAATCTTTATTGGTAAAATACTTGTCCTGGGAGACTTTTTAAAATCTGCATATAAATCTCTTGAAATCTCAAGGCTACATGGATTTTCAAATGGTGCCACCAACTTTCTATACAAACATACTCCATGTGTTGCCGTTGCCCTCCATGAGTAAAATGGTTTAAGCAGTCTTACCTTTAATGAAGAGGGAAAATACTTACAAACACTCTTTGGAAGGTTTGTGGGTCTGTTTTTTGGAATAGCAATATCTGGAAACTCATTTGAAAGAGCGCATAAACCTAACAATTCTGTCCAAAAATATTGACGACTTAGACCGTCCATTATTGCATGGTGAAAACTCCCAACAAAACATGTTTTGTATATATCTTCGCTTTTCCCAAGACTCATCATTCTAATTCTCCATAATGGTGAATTTTCATTTTCAAAAAATTCGTTCTGTTCTTTTACCAACATATTTTCCCAAACTGGCTCACCTTCAAACTCTTTGTTTTGATTGTCTGATTTAGATTGAAATTCTTCTCGGACTATTACTTCGACGTTATCACAAAGATCTATAAAATATCTCTTTAGTGTCTTTCTTCCTTCGTTACTTGTTATTTTTGAAACTATTCTCACTCTTAATGATTGATGTCTTTGCGTCATTTTTTCTGCTGCATCTTTAACCATTTCAAGTCTAATAGGAAAAGAAGACTTAACAATGATTGGATTTAAAATTATGACATTACCAAGTTCATTGAACGTTTCCCAGAATGTTTCTACCACATCCAACGCTCTAATTTGGGGATGAAAATCCATTATTATTCTTATTTATATTGGTTTATATTTACAAAAATCTGTTATTTTATGATTTTCCTTCTCCCCCCCTGCTTTAAAATGGTTAATTAAAGTAACTATTGCTCCTTCAAAATTATTATTTCTTTATTAATTTAATTTCTCTATTATTTATTTACCTTCCAAAATAATTGATTTCAATTTATTTATAAACGATTTAGCTCAAAAATACTCACATGAATATTAATTGCATGCATGCAATTTTTCCATTTGGAAATTACTATGAATTAACAAATTACTTCTTAAAAAATTATTTCAAATATCAGAAATACATTTATATTTCTATTAATTTAATGTTTGTAATCAAATGTCAAATTTTTTTTTAGTTGTTTTAGAATTGTTAATTTAAAAAAATATGTAAATATTTTTTTATTTTTTAATTTAAAAAATTATTCTCGTATTTAATTAAAAAGCTTGTGTGATTAATATTATTACTGTCCTCATGAATTTTTTTTAATACCGTCATTACATGCATTACGTGTTTGACAATTTTTAGTCTGGTGTCAAACAAAAATGCGCCATATATAATTCCTCACAAAAAAATGTGAAAATAAATTAATTAGCTAGAAAGAAATTCAAAAAAAAATGAGCATTGAAAATGACTCAATTATAACACTTCCAACTGAAATCATTAATAGAAAGGAATTTTCATTACCAGATTCACAGAAGCTTTCTCATTTTTGGATAGTGAATCATGTAATCAATTCATTATTCTCGTCAAATAACACACACAATAATGAATTAGTAAAAAATAGCTACTTTAAGGGAAGTTTATTCGAGGAAATAAGGTTTCAACTTAATGTTATAGCTAACAACCTTGAATTGATCCGAATCAATGAAAAGGAGAACAGTAATCAGTTCCAAGTTTGGAAAGAGCTGGGGAGCTGCGTTTCAGAGTTTATAACTGAACTATTGGAAAAGTGGGATTTAAAACTTTGCGAACTCCAACATCATCATCTTAATAATTGTGAAGTTCTGCTTAATGAGCTAGTTTCAGAATTTAATCAAATCAACAGAAAGGTTAAAGGAATTGACGTGATTGAAGGTTTTGATAAGGAGGAGGATTTGTGGGGGGATGAACAACTGTTTTGGGAGATTGATTCAGTCTACCCATTTCGTGAATTTCAATTTGGATTGATGAATGAAGAAACAATATGCTCAACTCCAATTACAATTGTTTATCTGAGTAGTATACTACATCCGTACATATCTATATGGTCAAATATTCGCTCTTTTTTCAACATTTTGGTCAATAAAGTATTCCTATCAAATTCAACCAATATAAAAAATGTAGAAATTCAAAAGAGCGAATTAAATATATTCATACTTGAAACCTTATTTGATAATATTGAAAAATCAATTCTAATTATTGATGAATATATACTGAATATATGGACTTCTTTATTAAGAAAATGTATTTGTTCTTTTGCTAAGTTAGTCCCAAATACTCAAAGTTCGCTAAAGAAATTTCCATCCAGCAAAGGAAATAATAGTGTAGAATTTTATAATTCTATATCTATTCTAAGTGATATATTAAACTATTTCAACAAATATAAAACGTGCTACTTATATAACATTGGTAATATTTTTGGAATCCAACCAAAGAATGAAATATCAAAGCTAGATTTTGTACTAAGAACAATCAAAATTGAGAACCAACTTTCAGATATCCCTATTGAGTTATTAAATGACATTCATCTTCAAGATCAATCAAAAGCTTTCCCTATTAATATGTTGTTTACAAGTAATCAAGATAATCAATCTCAAGCTATACAGAGAAGATACACATTCCAAAACAACATTGGAAAATCATTTAGAGAGTTAAATAGGGATCTGAAAATGTACTATAAGGAATTATTCATTAAGGAAGACAATGAGATTAAAGCAAAACTTTGCAACCCAATAATAACTAAACTAATCAAAAATCACAGTAACTTTGAAAATCATCAAGGAATTCGAATAATTAATATTTTATCCTGCTTAAGAGACCTTGTAATTTTAGAGGAGTCTTCTACTGAACAATTAATTAAAACTCTGCGTTTAGATTCAAAAAAGAAGTTCCCAAATATAGATGTTGATCCAACAGAAGCTAATCTTTCAATTAAGCTTTTATATAATAAAGGGCTCAAAGATGAGGACAAAGAATTAAAGAGGAAAATCATGTCAATGTTTTTATTAGAATTTGAAGTTAGTAACACAAAAGACTATATTAAAGGTCAGCTACCCACATTCTACTCCTTAAAAATCAGACTCAATAATATTAATCTTGGCTTAAATTCAAATATAAATTTATCAAATAATCAAATTTTAATTTGTGGTATCCCAAGTTATTTAATATTGCAGTTTTTTGGTAAAGATATCATGGAGGATTATTCAAATATTTTTAGTTTTTTACTGGAAGTTAAGAGATGTTCTTTATTTCTGAATCAAGTATTTCAAACTTTAACTGAAATCAACAGAGAGAAACAGGGGATTTTGCTTTGCAAGCAAAAGGTAAAGAAAATCGCTAAAGATGGTTTTGACTATATTAAATTCTGTAATAATAATTGCTCAATTATTATGAAATGGGTTGACCTATTGCTTTACATGTCTCAAAAAATGCGTTTTTCAATCCAATTTATTGTCGATATTTATTATAGTTATTTTTCTATACAATCCCCAATCATTTGGGAGGAACTCAAGAATAATCTCAGTAGCAATAACTCTGTTTCATTCATGATTAAAAGTCACAAAATATATATTGAGAAGCTACATAAATTAGTCTTGGCTCCAAACAAGAGAAAAAAAGACAACTTGGGTATAGACCAGTCATTCCAATCAATTTCTATCAGTTTTGTATTGTTATTGAAGCTTGGAAGAAAATTAAATATTTTAACTTATAAAGTTAACCAGCTCGTTCAATTCTTAAGTAATGTAAACAATGTACTAAGGAATAGAAAGTATGTTCCATGTATGATATTAAGAAGGAAAGTACAGCAAACCGTTAAAAAAATTGTATTGGCTTTTGAAGTTTTACATTCTGAGTTTAATGAAGCCAAGCAACAATTTCTCAACTCATTAAATATATATATTATGTCCAATCCCAATAAAGAAATGGAATTCCTACTACTACAACTAAATAATTAATTTTTTTAATTGAATTTATGGATAGCTACTAAACCTCCAAAATAAGCAATAGCTACATAAGGTTGGCTTATTAGTCGAGGATAATTAAAGGGGTCAACAGAAGTTATACATTGAACTTCAAGGAAATCAACAGCATTCAACTCTTTTATTTCATGATTCCACAAAATCCTTATGGATTTTTTTTTCATTCTTTTTACTCTTTGAATATAATTATTGGTAATTAAATCCTTCATACAATTAAACATCTTTAAGTTGTTGGCTGCTTCCAACTCAGCATCTCCATTATTATTTAAATCATTATAATCGCTGCATTCAATAGATGATAAATCATTTTTCAAGTCAAATACATTGTCATTGGTTATTTCATCTGCATTCATTTGCTCACTTTTATTTGGATCTACCACCAAAGCTTTTATTAAAATCGTATCATGAAAAGACTTTGATTCAAACTCAAAGCAAGGTCCAATAATTGTAGACCCATCATTGAACCCAAAAATTACATTATGGAGAAAAGAACTACATGTCCAAGATCTTGATCCTAAAATGGGGGAGATCTTTTCATCTTCGTATAATGAGTATTTCTTCTTCTTATTATAAGCTTCGATAGTAAATTGGGTATAATCACCGCTATCAATCGACAATACTATTGCTCCAATTCCATGAGATAGGTAAATAATATTAACAAATCTACTCCAAATAATACATGTTATTGGTCTGTTTGGCAATTCAAATTCTTTGATTATATTATTATTGCTTCTTCTGAAATCTATAATTGAAATTTTCCCGTTGTTATCACAAACAGCAATTAAGTTTGATGAGTGAATAGGACACCAAGATGCTGAAAGGATAGGAACGTTTTGGGAAACTGATATAATTTGTTCTGAAGGATTTATAGGCTCCAATTCCAATTTCACACCAGATTGAGAATCCATCTCGAAAGTCCAAACCAATAAAGCTCCTTCGACAGTAGTTCCGGCAATTCTCAAGGATACTGCTTCGTTATCTGGAATTCTAATCGAAGCAGAACAGATTGTGTAATATGAGCTTGAATATTTCCAAATAACTAAGTCTTCAATATAGAATTTATTCATAGTGGTTCCATTAAGTAATGGAATTGACAACAAATATGCAATCCCATCTCCCAAAACACAAAAAATTAGTCCTGCTGATTTTTTTACTGGGCTCCCACTTTGGGGAATCCACTCAAGAAATCTGCAAAACTGTCCATTGTGAGAAATCTCAAGAACTTGTCGAGGTGCCAAACAATCATTAGCTTCATTTCCAATATTTTCAAATGGAATACTCCAAATTTGAATGATTCCTTTATCACTGTATCGTTTATTGATTTGGGAAACTGGAGATTCATGAAGGTGAATTCCAACTGCAAGAAAAATCTTATTTAATGAATAAGATGGAGGACTGAAGGCCATTTTCCAAACTTGACCGTTTGTGAGAAAAAGAAATGGTATAAAATTTGAATTTGTTTTAATGCCAGAGTTCAAATTCACTTCCATTTCTTCCAAATCATTAAATGAAACTCTAATTGAATGTTCAGAAATTGATGCAGAACCTAAAGTATTCTCAGCCAAATTATTATCTTGGTCTTGCATTAGGGATGAAGATTTATCCAAAGTGTACCAGCTCTTGAAATTATCTTTCAACTTGAATATTGGCTCTATTTCAATAAAATTCTTCTTTATTAATTCTTTTTTATTTAAAGGAAAAAAACTAAAGTTATCTGTCTCTAAAAGAGCTTCAACACAGTCAATTAATGAAGGTTTTTGCTGATTTTTTTTAGGTCGCCCTCTTCTTCCAAGGCATACATTATTGTTCTTATTCATTGTATTAGCTCAGCTTGAAAATTATTTTGGTGATTTAAGTGCTCATTTCCGCATAAATGATTGGTTTTTCTTCTCTACGAATTATTAAAATCAAGAATTGAAGAGAATAATTCACCAATTTTTTTCAACAATTATTAAACAAACTTGCAATTTTTGCTTATTAAGATATTTATTAATCTTATCTCCTCCCCCCCCCTTTTTATTTTTCCCACTTATTTATCGTCATCTCAATATTCTTTACTCAAATTACATTTTAACTTGAAACTAAATTATATTTATTATGTAATTAAATGACCTGACATGTAAGCACTAATGGTCTAGTGGTATGATGAAACGTTGCCATCGTTTCGACCGGGGTTCGATTCCCCGTTAGTGCACTTTTTCAACATTTTTTTGAGGGTTAATTTTTAAGTGTAATAAAAATTAATTAAATTAATTGCAACATCAGATTTTTTTTTTTTTTATTTAAATAAAATGGAAAGAGACTAAAACTAGAGTTTAATCAATCTAATTAATTAGAAGAATGAGTCCAGCTGAATCATCTGTTTGCAGAAATGATGATCATTCTTTTCAAAGTTTTAGTAGTCGAAAATACCGTAGAGAGAAGGAATCTGCTGAAATTAGAGCTGAAATGAATATTAAAAGTAATCAAAGAAGAGGAGATTTCTCTTTTAAAGAAGGAAGCTTTAGTTCTCCTTTTATTTCCAGATCAAGTTCAAATTCCTCTAATGGAAAAAGATACAGCCCAGCCAAAGTAAATACAAGGTTTAAATTCAAATCAGTCTCAAGATCTAGATCCAAATCCAGCTCAAAATATGGCTATCGCTCTGAATCTATGTCATTGTCAGATTCAAGATCTAGATCAAGGTCAAATCAAAGGAGAAGGTCAAAACAAGGACATAATAGAATTTCAAAAGAAAGAGGAAGATCTAAAGAAAGAGTTAGAAGAAGTTATGAATCTAGTCCGGGAGAGTATTTAGATAATTACTATTGTAGCCAAGATGAAGACAGTCCCTCTCGTTTAAGAAGTTACGAAACAAGGTCAAGAAGATTTCAAAATTCAAGATCTGTCTCAAGTTCGGTAGATAGATCAAGTTACAAAGGAAGAACTTACCAAAGATCTGACTTAAGCTACCTTAAAAACAATCCAAAAAATCAATTCAACTTTGAAATTAGCAAAATTACTGATAGAGAACACAGTTTAAAAAATATAACAACTTCTTACTCCAAATCTCTTCCTGGGTCTCGAAGTACAAGTAGGAGTAGGAACAGAAGCAGAAGTGTGGAAAAGAATAGAAGCGGGAGTAGAACCAGAGGAAGAAACAGAAGTAGAGACAAAATTAGGTACAGAGATAGAGGCTGGAGCAGAAGTAGAAGTAAAAGTAAAAGTAAAAGTAGAAGCAGAAGTGCAAGTGTTACAAGATCAAAACCTCTTTCCAAACAAAAATACATCTCCAGATCTCAATCAAAGCCCAAATCTAAATCTAAGCTTAGATCTAGATCCAGGTCAGGCTCCAGCTTAGATGAAATATCTGTTTCAAACTCAATAAGCAAAAGTGCTCGACACAGATCAGAGTATTACAGGAATGAAGATAGCTATGAACAAGATTATGATCATGATCACGAATATGGAAAAAACACTAGTGGTTATAACTACAGTAGTGGGTATCTTAATAGACAAAGTCATGCATATAGTTATGGCCATAGTAACAGTTACTATAACGACTATGATAAAGGAGGATACAACTACGGTGACAGGAACTGGAAAAATTACCAAAACTCAAGATATTCAAATAAGTATCGAGATAGAAATGAAAGTTATGCACAAAGATCATTTTCAGAAGAAAGAGAAAGGTCAAGAGAAAGAGAAAGAAGAAGAAGAAGGATGCAAGCAGAGTAAGTTTTTTTTTTTAAATATCTCTAATTAACATTATTTTTACTCATTTTAGATGTATTAAAAAGGCTGGTGGATTCCAAAAGCTTGCTCAAAGTGAGGGAAAAGAACCTACTCCTGTATTTTATGATGGTTTCCAATGGGTAGCAAAGACAGGAAGTACAGCATCCATGGATCCAGCTACCATGAATAATACTAGGAGATTTAGGAGACTTTATTTTGGCAACTTACCCTTAAATTTAGGTCTCACTGAGTCAAACTTCCAACAAATTGTTTGGCAAGAAATGGCTTTAAGAGGACTCTGTTTGAATCCCAATGAAAATCCTATCTTATGTGTTTGGTTTGCACAAAAGAAAGGTAACTATGGCTTTATTGAATTCAGAACTGTAGAAGAAACTGAAAAAGCTCTTCAATTAGATGGATTTGCCTGTATGGGATCCAAAATTAAAGTCTCCAGACCTAATGACTATTCTCAGGCCCTTTTATCATCTTCTGGAAGTACACAAACACCATGTTTATCATTATTCAATCCAAACAATATGTTAAATTATCATCCAATCATTGCTGGAACAATTACAAAAGATAATGCTATGGCTTTAGGACAACAAGCAGCATTACAATTATTATTCTCCATAGAAGATACATACCCTTTAGGTACCCTAAATTTAGATTCAAAAGTTATCAGGATCTCAAATGTTTTAGATCATTCCCTAATTCAAGATCCTGATCAATGTCAAAAAATTAAACAAGATTTTTGTTCTGGGATTGAATATAAAGACTCTATTCTCTCCTCTAAGATTATCACCATTGATGATATCTCTAGATTATGTCAAGAACTTGCTGAAAGAGATATCCAGTTGGAACCTGCTGATATCCTCTTAGAGTTTGATTCTAGTTCAAGCCTTCAATTAAGTGTATCTGCTATGTCTATAGCAAAATATGATCATAAGATTCCGAAGATGAATTTCTTTGATGAAAATTTCTATCATAGTCATCTAAAAAGATGAGAAAGTCAAAGTCAAGTTAATTAATCAACTAAAGCTTATTCAATCTACCAAAAAATGTTTACTTTACTTATCTCTAATATATATCATAGTCATATTTAGCTATCTATAGCTTGTTTAGCTTTCTATTCTCAATTTTTATCTTTAACTTTCTTTTCCTATTTTTTTTAGTTCTTTCCCTCATTGCTTTCTTTCTCTTAAAAGCTATCTCTGGATTTATTACTCTATCTAATTTTAATTTAGTCTTTCTTTCTATTCTATTTGAAATTACATTCTTTCTAGCTTCTGAAAGACAACCTAAAAGAATATTTGACTTTCCTATATCATTAAAAACTTTGTCCCATCTTTCTACTGTTCTTTGACCAAATATACAAGTTTGAGTAATAATCTGATATACACTCAATTTCTGAATATTTTCAACCCAATCAAAATTGGTAATATTGTAAATATGGAATCCTTTTTCTGTGAAATCTTGTTTCTTAACCATAGTAGAACTCTGATAAAGAGCTCTAATTGCATGTTTTAAAGAACTTTGTATCTTAGGATCTTCTAAATTACATCCAGTATCTCTTATTATAATTGGCAAAAATCCAATTATATCGTAAAGAGATCTTAAGCTTAAAAGTAACCTTACTCTAAAACTTCCTGGTCTGGTAGAATAAAATCTATTGCAACAAGCAATCCTATCTATTACCCACCAATAAGCCTCATTTCTAATAGTTGAATTCTTATCTATGATTAATTTTGAGTTTTTCAAAATTGAATCTTGGTCTAAATCATCTTCCTTTAAAATACTATTATTGTCTTGGTTTTTATAGTTATAACTTTTATCTTCCTTATCTTCTTTAATATCAGCTTCTGGGATTTGACTTATAAGGAAGTCATCTAAATCATCTTCAACATGATCATTTTCTGTGAAAATGACAGATTTTGAAGTTTTTGAAGATGATGAAAATGTATAACTATCAGAATCATTTTCATCATCTTCTCCTGATTTTTCACCTTTATCTATAATGAGCCAATCCTCATCATTTACCTCATTCTCTTTTGAAATCTTAATCTTTTTAAATCCTTTTTTTGGCTCAATATTGTATAGAGAGGATGTTAATTTAGAATTCAGTAAATCTTGTTCATTATCTCCTAATAATTCTTCTTCTTTCTCAATCTCAGAAAGCTTTTTTGGAGGACTCCAATCCTCCTTTAGAAAATTAGATAAAAGAATTAAATGTTGAACACAGGCCAAAACTTTAGGTACTAACCATGGAGCTATTTCCAAAAGAGAGTTAAACTGTATAGGAATTACTCTATTAAATAAATTAGTCATGATTTTTGGATTCAGAGTAAAATCCAAAAGAAACAATTTTTCATGTTTATTTGAAGGTTTAACAACTCCAACCAAACATTGCTTTAACAAATTAGTCACTAATCTAAAAACTGAAGATTTAACCCAAAGATGTCCACTTTCTAATCCTCTTTTATTATTTTTATCTATAATCAAAATATTCCAAAGCTGAGACCAGATCTTCCTATTCTCAAGTTTCTCTTTTGTAAACCAAGCCAAGTTAATAGTTTGAAATACTTGAAATTCTCCATTTATAAAGAAATTGATCAAATTAATAGTCTCATATTCCAATCTATATATTACAGAATCTGAGTTACTATCTATATGATCGGTACCTTTATTTATTCCGTCTTTATATTGATTTTCCAGATCAATATTTGAAAAGATTGAGATAAGTTGACCCAACTCAGAAAATACCAAATTCTCAATATCTACAATTTCTTTGATTGAAATAACTTCTCTTTTAGAAATGAAAAATTCTATAATGAATTCAATCAAAATAACTAAACCACATTTAATATTTAAGTTATTTCCAAGAGTACCAAGAGCTTTAAATATTAGATTAATTAAATTAACTCTGGCTTGATTGTCATTTTTGTACATAGACAAAATATCAAAAACTATATTTTGAATCATAGATCTTGGTTTACTTTCTGTCTCAGTAGATAAAGCTAATGTAAGACCAGTAAGAAACATAATATTATAAGATTCCATAACAAGTTTGATAGGGAAACGAGTAATTAAAGTATGAATTGCTGTAAGTAATGCTTGTCTTCCTTCTGATGTAGGATACTCTGGTAAGTTCTCAAGTAAGACTGAAATTCTTTGTCTTTGTGATTTTTCTGACATTGGATAATATAATAAAAGATCAACATATATATTGCATCCCAAAGCTACAATCTTTGGTTCCATACTACTATATTGAACAATTAATGGAAGAATAGAATCTACTAAAGAATAAAGAGATCCCAAAGAATCACTAGAAACAGTTACCTGATTTTTTCCATATAATATAATTTGTCTGAGAAGCTGAAGAGATGTAATTCTAAGCCTGTTATCATTAATTGTAATATGGAGTTGTTTTAATACATTAGTATAAAACATAGTAGTTTTCTTTAAACCATGTCCAAAAAATAATTGATTAAACCATCCAATAGACTTTGGTCTAATTAATAAGGCAACAAAAAGTTTCATAGATGATGAAATAAGCTCAGACATACCATTTGAAGTGTTGATAGAGTTAACTCCAGATCTTTCCATAATTTTTAGAGCAGTTTTTGAGATTAATGATCCCAAATGGTCAATTTCTAAAATACCAAGATTTCTAGCAGATTCCATAGATTCAATAAATAATGCTCTAATTAGACACTTACAAGAAGATGAGGTTAGTTCAGTAGATTCACTAGCAAAGTTGATAACCACTAAAGGTAAAAGATGATCAAGAAGGAGATTAATAGGGAGATATTCTTCATTTCCATCATCAGATACCAATTCTGGTAAATTAAGATTATTAACAACTTTAAGCAGTTGGTTCAATAAATATAAACAAGAACTGCTTAATACTACTGACTTAACTTTAGTTTCAAAGCCTTTTTGGCGTTTAATGACTTGATGGGTACCTCTTCCAGTAGATGCTCCAGGTTGTACTTTATAATATCTTTCCTTTCTTTCCATAATATCAATTTGAGGTTTTTTGTTAATTGGTAAAAGAGATTGAGAAGGAGTTCCAGTTTTGAAAGAATCTAATAAGTTAAGAGGATCTTGAAATAATCTTAAGATCTTTTTATTTAAAGAAGAAATTAAGATACGAATATCATTTTTTAACATATTTTTGTCCAAAACTACTCCTTTAGCCAAATTATATATAGAGAATTTAAGCTTAGTATTTTGTCCAAAGTTTTCATTATTAATAAATCCAATACAAAATTGAAAATGAAGATTTTTCAACCAATATAAGTATTTTTGGCTAAAAGAATCTGAAATAATACTAGCTTCTCCTCTATCTCCTAGTTTTCCATTTAATAAATCTTCTAAAAATTCAAATAATTTTTCAGCTCCTTGAAAAGAAACATGTTTTGATAATATCCTAATAATTTGAGGAGATCTTACATATTTCCCTTCATCAACAGACCCAGTCATTGGAGTATCAATAGTATCTAATGATGTTGTTCTTCTGTCAGGATCTGCAATTCTATTAAGTTCTTCAATAATCATATTCCCTATAATTTGTATACAATCATCAAATAATATATGATTTCTTTCAGATTTGTTTAAATTAGATATAGAAATTGTAATTTCATGAAGTATTGAGTGTACAGTAAAGATTAAAACAGGAATTTGGTACCCTGTTGTTAGTATACTAGACATTTGAGTAAATATCCAAGGTAGATACTGAATTCCTAAAGTTTGACTGATAGACTTTAAGGATGATCTAGAACTACGTCTGATTTCCCTATCTTTTGATTTGAGGGCCATGATAAGCTGAGAAAGTAGTCTTGGGAGCTCTGAATGGAATTGCTTTGAAGGTAGGCATCTTAGTACTCGAATAATAATTAAAACGATATCTGATCTAATGATTCCATACTGTTGAGACGAGGACTTTGATACCCCACCCTTATGGCTAAGCTCTGCACTAATTATATGGCTTTGGTCATTCTTAGAATCTATTTTGTAGCTTCTGTCAATCATTATGGACCTTAAAAGAGGCAACAGTTTCTGTTTGATGCTTGTCTGCATCTCATTTAGTTGTTCTTCTAGATTTCTTACTGGATCTTGATCTTTATGTTGGAATTGTACCTCATTCAAAGTTTGGTCTTGGTTTTGGATCTTATTCTGGTCATAGCTACAGCCATCGTCCTGTTCCTGCTCCAAATTTTCATTAAGAGAAGCCTTTTGTAAGTCATTAATATCAAGAATATTTGAGGTAACTAGTTCGTTAATTTGGAAGTCAAATGAATTCAGTAAAGAACATATTGCCTTAATAATGTAATTCTTTCTCTGAGGAAGCAGTCTTAAGAGCTTTATTAAATACCCAGTAAGATCAATACAGTATCTCCAATCAAAAAAGATAGTAAAAGCTTCAATAGACCTCAAAGAATTGTCTCCTAAGCTTAAACTATAAGTTTCTTTCCCTGAACCCTTTTGGAGTAGTGCATCTAAAGCTAAAGGAACCCCAAGTATCTTAACAGTGTAAAAGCTAATAGGAATTTCAATTTTATATTTACCCAAATAAAAAATCTCATCTTCAAAATGATCTACACTCTTTCTAAACTTCTCAAAAGAAAATCTTGAAAACCTTGCAAAGAAATTCAGAGACCTTGCTCTTCTATGTTTCTGTATATGTGTTAACTCTTCTAGTAGTCTTACTTTTTCGTTATCTTCAGTGGTGTTATAGCTTATTATTGGGAATAAACTCAAATGAAACTTTTCTATTAAAAGATCTCTTGAAATATTCATTCTAGAGCTGAATATATCCAAAAATGGAGTAAAGTTCTCAATCATTACATCAACCAATTGTAAAATATTCCTTCTCACTATTAGATCTTGAGAAAATCTTACTATATCCTCTTCATAAGGCACTACAAGGTTTAAAAATATCTTCAAAATGTATCTAATCATTAAATCTTTCTCCTCATCTATTTTGATTTCTGGATACTCAAAAGTCATCTTTATTATATTACACCAAGATAAGATCAATTTTTTAATAAATCTACAACTCAAACTTGAAATTGAAAAATCACCACCCTCATTTCCTCCAATTAAGTATAATTGTTGCGATATCAAAGGGTATAAAAGCCTTAGATCTTTATTTAAAATTCTTATACTATTATCCAATTCCAAAATATCCTCCAAGTCCTTTAATATATCTATCTGTAAATCAATATCTACTGATGAATCCAAAACTCTCTTATTTACTGGCTTATTTAACCCATAAATAGCCATAGGAATTATAATATTCAAGTTACTACTAAGATCTTCACTTTGATCAATCACTTCTTTATGTTTCAAAATTATTGTCTTCATGCTAAATCCTTGAAAACCAAATTCTTCTCCCTCTTTTTTACCTTTTCTACTTATATAATTATTATAATCATCTTCTATAGAATCCAAAATTAAATTATAATAAGCCCCTTTTCCTAATAAAGATAACTCAGAAAATAAAAGGATCTCAGAAATCGTGCTTCTAAGCTTTAAATGTGGAGTTTTTAAAAGTAAATAACTCATTATATCTGAAATTAAAATCAAAAATGAATTCTTAAACAAACTTTCCTCCTTTATTAAATCTTCATTCCTTAATGTTATTAAAGAACCAATCCTTTCTATTAACTTATTCTTACAATATCTATCTTCAATCTCATCCAGTAAATCTTTCTTTAAATTTATTTTTAAATTCAAAATCCTTAACATATTTGAAATTAAGTTAAAAATACTTAAATTATTATTAGATACCCTCTCATTTTTTGAATGAACTTTATTCATTGTAGAAAGTAAAAGTAATAGTATGATCTTGATAATACTTAAATCCTCATTTATAATGTCTTTCTGATTTTTATTCATTATATTCTCTATTTTACATGTCTTTGTATTAATTTCAATTAATGCCATTATTTTAAGAAGAATTAACTCTTTAAAAGTAATAATCTCTAATCTATTACTTGTTTTCTTTGAATTCCTAGTTAACATTACTTTTTGAAGAGAATCTATAATATTTGGAATACATTCAGATATTAATTCTAATCCTTTCTTAGAAATAAATATATAATTAGATTCAGATATAGTAATAGTATTTTTGTCTTGTTGAGAAAAATCCATGATTACTAAATTGGTGTTGTTATTAAAGTTACTTAATATTAAATTGTTTTTCTTTAATATTTCCTGAAACAAGTAAAATCTTTCCTGTCCTCCAAATAGAATATTTAAGTACATATCTATTATATTAGAAATAATAAACTCAGAACCTGAATTAAATCTTTTTCCTTTTCCTGTAATACCATTAGAAATACCAGATAAAATATTCTTTTCTGATATAAAAATACCAAAATTAAGTAATACTTGAGGAAAAAGGCAAGAATAGAAATCTAAAAGAGTTTCTTCTTTAGATAAATTAATCATAAAATTCATAATTGAAGATATATGAAGATTTGAAGAAGCTCTTAAATTGATCTCAAAGCTTGACAATAAAATAGGAGAGATTGGAGAAATTAAGTATTTTAAATAACTTGAAAATTCTGAATAATTACTTAATATGTTTGAAATTGAAAGAAATATCTGTTTACAGGTCATCCTAACTCTATTTAAAGCAATTTTTCTTTGTGATTCTTCTTTTTGATCCAGAGAAGAAGAATTAATAATAAGATCTTTTTCTTCATCTTCTTCAAAGTTAGGATAAAATTGATCAGTTTTTAAATTGTTAGTTTCTTCATATAATAAATGATTTGCTTTTATCATAACATTATGATTTAAATATAAAATGTTTGTAAGAATAATTAAAATTATATGAATATGGTCCTTAATAGTATGAGACATAAAGTTAAGTAAATGATCCAAATAAGATAAAAACCTCAAAACAACTTTATACTGAGAATTATATATATTGATATTTTTAATTGATATTTTAATTTTTCTGGAATATAAAACATCTTGTTTTTCTGTAGTTAAAGGGAATATATTAGTATTATATACAAATCCAAAATCTTTAGAAACTTTTTGTTGATTAGAATTAGATTGATTCCATGTCCAGAATTTGGATATTTGTTTTATATTATCTTGTCTAATAATAGAATTTAGTAAAGTAGATTTATAGTAACCTTTTAACTCAATTTGAGGAGTTTTAATAAATAAGGAGAATCTCTTTAAAATATCCATGATATCTGAGTCCTTTAGATGATCTATTTGAAGATAATCTTCCTGTTTCAAATCAGAAGAATTGTCTAAAGAAACATTAACATTAACAAGTGGATCAATAATAACAGAAATAAGTAAACTCATTTCTTCTTTTGGAAGTTCAGAAAGATAGGAAATAATGACTTTCCTTTTATTAGAAGAAGATAAGGCTTTATTTCCCTTTTTTGATGCTCTTACAATGTTATTAGATTTTTTAGATCCTTCCTTATCTTTTCCAAGCTTAGATAAAAGCACTCTGATTACTATGGGAATTACCTTAATTCTATCTTCTCTTCTAATTATATTTTCATTTTCTGGTAATAAAGAAAATGTTAGAAGATTACTTCTCAAACTTTGAATTTGCCCGTCTTCTGAGGAACCTGAAATCAAACCTTGAAACATAGACTTGTATTTAATTAAAGTTTCAGAATCTTTTCCATAATTACATATTAAATTAATTAAGGACATCTGAAGCTCAATATGATTAATGTATAAAAGACTTGGAATACATTCAACTAAGAACTTATCCAAAAGAAAGTCTATAATAGGAGGTTTTTGAATAGTAACTTTTTGATAAGATAAAATTGATTCCAATACATTAATAAAGTTATTGATTTTTTGGATTTGACCTTTTTTAGATGATAAATCTAAAATATTGGCTCCAATATCAGTGCAGAATTGCTTAATAGTATCTTCCTCTTTAATCAAAATAAATTGGTCTTGGTTTCCTTGTAACTCAAATGAAATCTGTAACATCCAATATAATAACTGTGCCTGAAAGTATACAAAATCTGGATATTTATCAGAATCTGAGAATTTGATTTGAGTTAAAAGTTTACAATACCACTCAATAAGGGTAAACTCATCTGTATGTGGTAATCCCAAATCATGAGTTTTGGATTCTCCTTCCATTAAATATGTATTACAGTAGATTTGATTAAATGTAGTAGAAAGAATGATCTTTAATAGAAATTCAGATTGTGAATTTTTATCACATTCATTTTCTTGTACAGAGTTAACTAGTTTTGTAAGAATATCAGTACAAGGTTTCCAAATTAAACTGAGTTTAAGATAGAGTTGTGAAATTACACTTTTAATTGCTAATTTGATTAGAAATTCATCAGATTCAAATGATTTAGTCTCTAGTTTTAACTGTATAAAGTCAGAAATCTGTTGGATTTGCCTAATTTTGGTTCTTTCATTTTCAATATTAGCTTCAGAATCCTCTAAATTCATGATCATTTTAACTAATTGAAGCAGATCAGAAATACCAGTAGTAGATTTCTGTTTAGAAAAGAACTTAAACAAAAAAATGGTAGTTTTCTTTCTGACTTCATAAAGAGGATTAATTATCCAGTTTAGTGAAATGATCTCTAAGTCACTAATGAGCTCTGGATTTTGTAAATCATAAGATGGTTGAGATTCTTCTAAAGTAGAATTAAGAAGAATATCCATGATTGAAATCATCTCAGAATTGTATTCTAGTGGGATAGTAGAAATATTATATAGAGAATCTTTAAGGATCTTTAAATATGAGGATGATGTTTCATTATAATTCATCCAGAGTTTGATTTTGGATGTCATATTTTTCAAGGAAACTTGATCCATTTTAAATTTAGAAAAGACTAAACAAAATAATCTGAATACTTTGATCCACTCGAGATTTTCAAAGATATCTAGAAGACTTGTGTAATCATTTAATCTGGACTTAAAAAGCTTATTATACAACTTAAGCAAGTAGGACTTGAGATCTTGAACAAAGTTAGAATCTAAATCTGAATTAAAACTAAAATAGTTTTCTAAGCAAATATAACTTAATAATTCCAGTATTATATATAGTTCAGATAACTGTAAATTATGGTAATTTAGGAGAAACTTGCAGTTTTTAAGTATCAGAATGGATAAAGATGGATTATTTAAATATAAACTTTTAATATCCAGAGATTTTTCTTGGTTAATAAACTTATAGATATTTGCTAATATACGGTTACTTAGCTTATAGTCAGGAATATCGGATTTGATTGAATCTTCAAGGAGAACTTTTTGGTATTCTAAAACAATCTTGAAGAAATGATCAACTTGATTATAATTATGATTAAATATAGGAAGAATACTTAAAAGTGAATCCATGATCAAAATAATTAGATCTGATCTAGTTTGTATTTGTTTAGTATTGACAGAGATTTCAAAAATTGTCTTTAACCAACTCCAAGGTTGGGAATCTGAAGATGCCTCCTCTATAATATTTCCAAAATTAGAAGACAAAGTAGATAAAAGAGTTTTAGTGAAAGAATGATTTTGGGACATTTTAAAGTCAGGATAAGCCAATTTATGAATATAATTCATATCACGAATAATTATTGAATCCATAGAAATTTTCGAGATTAAGTCCATATAAGCAAGAATAAGATGAGACAGGAGTTCAAAAGACTCATCTTGGATCTGAATAATTTCTATATATAACTTTTTAAACATTCCATTTTTTATAGTAGCTAATATAAACTGCAGGATTATAATAGAAAAGTTAAATCTGAAGATTTTCTTTTTATAAGCAGAAGATTCAGAGTTAATAGTTGCTTTATTGACCTTATAATGGCAAGTATTTGTTATCATTTTGATAGATGTAATTAAGTTAAGTGTTTCAAATTGTATAATAGAAACTGACTTAGTTTCAGAGGAAGCTATAGAAAAAGAGTCAAAAATTTCCAAATAAATAGATAATAGGGTACTCAGAATTTCTTGAAAACTTTCTACATTACTGGTATCTGTAATATGATTATTAATGTGATCTAGAATATCATTTAGAATGAGTTTAAGAGAAGGAAAAGAATTTCTGAATTCTAAATTACAAGAACTCTCAAAATTATGATTTCCAATATTTTGTCCATGATGAATAGAAGTTAGAAAATTTGAGATAATACTTTGATCGTGTTGATTGGATATGGTTTGATTAAATAAGTATTTAGGCTCTATTTGGAGTCCAAATCCAAGATGTCTGAATAAATATCTGAGTACAAGTTCGCCTTGGGTTGAGATATAACCATTAATTGAGAATATAACATTAACAATCACTTCAGAAAGCCATTTATTTAAAAGATCAATTTTTGAGGTACTGTGATTATACTCATTGAATGAAAATAGAAAGATCATATCTAAGGATTTAACAATTTCCTGGTCTTTGCTTTTTTTGAGAGCATATGCAATAGATTCAGAGGAAAAATGTCTAATAATAGAACTATTATGATATATCCATCTTTTGTAAATATGCAAATAATTGGTAAGGTCATTCATAATATATTTTGAAAGATAAAAGAATATGGTACTTGTGCAAGAAAAAACAGATTGTATGACTTTTTCATTATAAAGTCCAACGCCTCCTTGGCCTGTTATAGATACCTCATCGAGTGGAGTTTCTAGACGAACAGATAAAGCCTCAAATATACTTGGAAGCATTGGCAAAAGCTCTAAACGTGTGTCTTTAGCCAATGCTCCAATCAGGAAAGAAATAGCTTCAGCAGTTTCAGGATATTCGCATTCATTTATTCTTTGAGTAAGTTCTTTAATTATAAAATCCAAGTACTGAATGATGTGAACCAGGGAGTGTCTATATGGTTTCAAAATTCTAACTAATTCCACAAATTCTGAATATCTAACAGTTCCTTCCCAATATTTCAAACTATCCCCAAAAGCAGTCCTGGAAAGCTGATCTTTTACTTGTTGTTCAAAAGAAATTTCCGAATTTTCCAGTTCAGATTCAGAACTGATCAATGTATTATCTCCAAATTTATCCTCAGAATACCATTTATCTTCCTCAACATTATCCGAACCAAAGTTCCAAACCTCATCTTCTCCAACCTTTAGCTCAATCGCAGAAATTCGATCAATGTAGCTTTCAAATCTAAACTTATTAGCTTTCACTCCTTTAGTCTTTACATTAATATCAACATTAGCCTCAGTCTCAGCATCGGCTTTTAATTTGGATTTATTTTTCATTTCTTTGAGTTTCACTTCAAATTACGGAACTCAAAGTATCAGCTCCAAATCTGAAATTAGCAATTTGCACTCATTTAACTGAAAAAGCCTTGAAATACTCCTTCTTTTTTTCCTTTTTTTCTTTCCCTAGTTCCTTTGAAATCTTTTTTTCTTATTTCAATAAATAAATATCTCTTAATGTCATCAAAAAACTGAGCGCGCAAATTTGCGCGGTTAATCTGGGTAACGAGTATTTGGAAAAAACATTAAAATAAGAGTAATAAAAAAAATGGGGAAAAAAAGAAAGAAGAAGAAATTAAACATTTTAAGGCTCTTGATGACCGATGGAAACAGCTGTCAATCTGATTTGTCGGAAGACTCGGAACTAGCTGAAAAGGATACCTTTGGAAATGTTGCAATTAATAGTTTAGTTAGTGGATTAGAAGATGATGAAATAGGTAAGTTGTGGAAAAAATCGGGATAAGATTATTACTCCTGATTGTGGGAAGATTGATTTCCCTTTGAATTTATACATATATTCCTAATTTTTTTAAATGTCTATTTAGACCCTCAAGAAATGTTAAATCGAAGAAATTCACAATTATATATAATGAACACAATTTCGAACAGTAAAAGCAAGACAGGAAATATGTTCAGTAAGACTGCTTGGGAGACTTTGAATAAATCTGGTACAAGATGGGCTATTCGTAGCTTTCTACGTTTTGGAAGGTCGTCTTTTATCTCAAGATCAATGATGAATAGTTTTGGTACTTATTTGATGGATGCTATTTGGTGGTTTGAAACTAACTTACCTGTTATAGCTCTTACAATTGACGATGTACCTGGCCTAGACCCAGAAACTAACGAGAATATTCTTACTTTACTTGGAGAATACAACATTAAATGCACTTTTTTTGTAACAGAAAGGAATGCAAAATATATTAAGAATGCTGACCACTTTTTAAAAAGGTGTATATCTGAAGGGCATGAACTGGGGAACCACTTGGCAAAAGATATTCCTACTAATAAACTTCCTATTTCAACTTTCACTAAACATTTATTAGAATGCGAATATTTAATTAGTAAATACTGTCCAGAACACATTTCCAGTAATTCATTTATTATTCCTCCAATGCACATGAACAATAGAAGAACTTCTTCAGATAGTCAGATGACTACTCCAGAAGTATCTTTGTCACCTTCCTTATCTTCTTTTTCCTCCTCTTATTCATCAATGGTTACATCCTCTTCTACAATTTTACAAGAAGATCAACAAATATCAAACAATAATCCAGAGATAAATCATAATAATGTGGCTCAAGAGGAGCAGTGTAGAAAATATAAATGGTTCAGACCACCCTTTGGGAGACTTACTAAACAACAATACGAACTGGTTGTATCTAGAGGTTACAATGTTGTAATGTGTGATGTATACCCAAATGATGTCTCATTTCAAGGATTCCCACAATTTCTTGCTCAGTTTTGTACCAGTAACTCTTCTCCAGGTTCTATTGTTTGCTTACACATTCCTTCCAATAGTTTCAGATCAGCTAATATTGAAGTTCTAAAACTAATGCTTCCAGAATTATCCAGAAAGTTCAAATGTGTAACTCTATCTCAATTAGCAGAACGAGTTTACAGAGAGCAGAATTCTAATAGTCTATAGAATGTTTACTATAATACTAATTTAATAATTCTTTGAGTACTACTTTATAAAAGTTAATTGTATTTTTAGTTAACCTTTATTTTGGTTATCACCGTTTTGTTATATTAATTTTGATTTAGGCAGAATAATCAATTCGAGGAATTACTTCCAGATCTTCATATTTATTTTGGTGATTGGAAACAATAAGACATTTTTGATGATGTATTGTTCCACATGTAACCTTATTTGAAGAATAGTCAATTTGAATAGTAGTATGAAATATCCCATACTTTTTCTGACAAAGATCTGTTGCATACCTTAAAGTAACTCTGGCACTTTCTTCTGAGGCTACTACGATGTGACAAGATAATGCAGGAATTCCAACAGAAAGGGACCAAACATGCAGATCGTGTACTTCAAGTACTGAAGAGAGTTTGAGGAAGTCTTTTTGAATTGATAAACAATCAATTCCTACTGGAGTTCCTTCCATTAGGACATTAGTAGAATCTTTTAAGATTCTGAATGTTGTTGCAAGGACGAAGAATGAGAATAAAATGGTACATAGAGGGTCAGCAATAGTCCATGTTGGTTTGTACCAAATAAGTAACCCAGCAATCATAACTCCAATGTTCTGCAAGATATCCCCTATCACATGGATATAAGCAGATCTTAGTGCTAAGCTTTCTTCATCAGAGGAGTGTTTGTTAGGATAATGATTATGATTCTCTAGGTGAGAGTAGTCATTTTGAAAACCTATGCATTCTTTTTTAGTAGAAGAGTTTACTCTTTTTAGAACAGGAGATTGCATTAAATTAGTGTAATGATCTACTTCATCATCTATATCTTTAGTTTTCATTTGGTTTCTTTGTTGAGATCCCAACAAAGTAGCGTTGTTAATTCCTCCAATCTGTTCTCGAGCCTCAAATTGTTGATCTTTGTTATGAAATTCATTTTGGAGGTGAGCCTGTTTGCATTGATGTCTATATTCATACTCATGCTCATGCACATATTCTTTACAATGACTGTGTTGGTGTCCACAATCAGCTCCAATAGATCCCATTCCATGGTTGTGAACGGATAAGACAAAGCTAATGAATAAATTAGACAAAGTGCCAAAGATAGCAGTAACAAACATAGAAAAGCCATCAACACTTACAGGGTACAACATTCTCTGAATGGCTTCATAAACAAGCATAATTGTCATCATCCATATCAGTAGAATGCTTAGCAAAGCTCCAATTATTTCAGCCCTATTGTAGCCAAATGACATCGTTTCAGTTGCCTTTCTTTTGGACAGATAAATACCAAATAAAGAAATGAGGTAACTACATATGTCAGAAATAAGGTGAGATGCATCTGATATTAATGCTAGGGAATTTGATAATATACCAACAACAACCTCTATTACTGCGAAGATTATACAAAAGATAATCGCATAGATTAGCCTCTTCTGAACACTTTCCGTACTTATAAATACCTTAGACCCACCTCCTTCAAGTAGTGGCTTCTCCAGACAAAAATCTTTCATTTTATCTTAAACTAAATTTCCTTCTTGCCTTTTAATATGCTTTGCATATTAATGCCAATAAAGAAAGTTGGCGCCTAAGGACTCTCAGATTTTTTGATGGAGTTGAAATGAATTTTGCAAAACAGAATTGGTGTTAAATTTATTTAATGGAAAACAACATGATAAAATAGTTATTTTTGAACTTAAGTAGATATTTTGAGAGTGAGTTTTGTGTAGACAAGTAGAAATTGAGATTAAGATCTGTTTAAGTTAGAGGGAAAGGTAACTAGTAAAGCTATGATAACAGTGGGGCAAAAACAAAGAGATTGGAGTAGCGAGAAGTGAAAGTGGGTTGGCTTATTCAAACGTTGGCCAAGAGTTTATAAAGATAGTTTTTCTGAATTTACCTTCTTATACACAGACAGCTTGAGTAGGATATATCTATATGATTAAAGATAAATGAAATAAAAATAGGAATTAGACGGTGGACTCCTCTGTTCATTTTAGAGTTCTTAACGTTAGCTACAAATCAATTTTTTAGAAAGCTGAAAATCTAAATGATAAAATATGGCGGTATTTAAGCCAACATTTTTTTATGCTTAATTTTTTGGTCAAAATATATTAAAATGAGAGATCTAAAAATGGCGCCTATTTAAAGATATTATGTGGGCTCGAGACCAGTACAAAAATATAAGAGAAATTGAAATTTCTGGTTGAGGGAGAATAAATGTGAATGTTTAGGAATTAAATTGGGCAGATAATAGGTTAAAGGCAAGATTTGTAAACAATAATTTTTGAATATCAAATTTAGCAGACACTAGAGCTTATAACTATATAATTTTGGCCAAGTATTCAGAATATAACAAGATAAAATGTCAAGAAAGTATTTTGTGGGTGGGAACTTTAAGTGTAACGGCACAAAAGAATCACTAGAGACTTTGATTGAGGCTTTTAAAAAGGTAAAGTCAAGTAATTCAGAGGTCTATATATTCCCATCAGCTTTGCATATTTCATTGGTTCAAGAACTTTTTGGTAATAACCATGCAGGAGTATTCAAGGTTGGGTCACAGAACATCTCATGTACTGGAAATGGAGCATTCACAGGAGAGATTTCTTGCGAGATGTTAAAAGATATGGGAGTCGATTGTTCTTTAGTAGGTCATTCAGAAAGAAGACAGTATTATTCAGAGACTGATCAGGTTGTAAATACTAAGGTAAAGAGGGGTTTGGAGAATGGTTTGAAGATTGTTCTTTGTATTGGTGAGTCTTTAAGCGAGAGAGAGACGGGAAAGACAAATGACGTAATTCAAAAACAGTTAGTGGAGGCTTTAAAAGATGTTACTGATTTATCAAACTTGGTCATAGCTTACGAACCAATATGGGCTATAGGAACAGGAGTAGTAGCAACACCTGAACAAGCTCAAGAGGCTCATGCATTCATTAGAGAATATGTTTCAAAGATGTACAATTCCCAGGTATCTTCCAGCTTAAGGATAATCTACGGAGGATCTGTCACTCCTGATAATTGCAATGAATTAATCAAATGTACTGATATTGATGGGTTCTTAGTTGGAGGAGCTTCATTGAAGCCAACCTTTGTTAACATTATCGACTCTGCACAATAAGAAAAAGTGGAAAAGAGAAGGATAATAGACTTGGTAGAAATGATTTAGTTACTTTTATTCTGGTTTTCATTCGAGCTAATCATCCTAGCTAACTTATTCTCGGTATTCTGACAAGCAACCTCTAATTGTTCAAGGATTTGCCTATCCATTTCTATTCTATTTATCCTGGAGGCTGCCATTTCCGTTTGAAAGTGACTCATTGTATCATTTAATAATCTTTCCAGTAGGAAAACATAGATTAAAAGACATTTTAATTGTTACGTTCGTAATTTAGCATACTTTTTAACTTACTGCTTCATGTTTTTAACAGAGTTTTCCCTTCTACTAGACTCTTCCTGAACCGATTTAGTTATATTCTCCGACTCTTTGTGAGAATCAAATCAGTAAATTCATTCAAATGGACAATGGTTAAATAGTGTTGAAATAAAGAGGAGATTTATCTTTTGTTTCACTCTTTAGCTCTCCACATACCACCTTTATGTTAATGTCTGTAAACTTACCATTTGTTAACTCTTCTATAAAGCATGTTAATATACTCTTTCTATTAAGAGAGTTCAGAAATAGGGTAAATTATTAAGTAATTTTCATTCTTAACTAACCTTTTCTTTCTTAAGCATTCAACTTTTTGTGTTAAATCATTTAATGACTTTGAGATTTCCTCAAACTGATCTTCTCTGTGAATATCAATTTCTGATGATTTGTTGAATTCTAAAGTTTCCATTCTGTGGATGTGTTCCTTAATTTTGTTTTCAATTACAGTATCAGATTCATTTCTAATTTCCCGTAACTCTAGAATTTGATTTGATATCCTTAACTCAAGATCCCTAAGCTGGCTTTCTTTTCTGGACTTAATTTCTTGAAGATTATTTTGTTCTTTGCTTATGAGTTTTGAAAGCTCTTTAATTTCTAAATTTAAGTCCTGAAATTTAAATAGTATAGATTATATGATCAATAGTCGTAGAAGGATGCTCATACTTACCTTTAAACGGGATTCATGGTGCCTTTTTAAACTATAATATTGATCTTCAAGAGAACTAATTTTATGTCCAATTGCTTCAGAGTTAATCTTTAATACCATATTTCAAGTTTGTTTGAATTGGATAGTAAAGGTTTTAAATGTTCAATTAAATTACATTTCTCAATTAAGTATGGTAGTTGGAAATTAGAGTTAACTTACAATGGCAGACTTTCCATTTTTAACAGAAAGAATTTCTGAACTCATTAAATTGAATTCTCTGGATTTACTTATATTCTTTCAATTCTGGTGAAAATTCAATTATAGTATGACATATTTCAATGTGTGTAAATTAGTTTTATTAATTATCTACTAATTATTTTGCCGGCACTATTTTTGTTAATGGTAAATATTAAAAATAAACTGAAGTTTTATGTAAAAGAACAAATGCATGCAAATTGTAGAAACTGTTAGGACTAATAATAGTAACGGTATGTTCCCTCAGCTGTTTAATTATAGAAAAAAAAATAAACGAGCATTAAAAATGGTAAATTATTAGGTAGAGTAAATTTCTAAATCCACCAATTCAAAAAATTTGGGATTAATTATTAGAAACTGTCATTATAGGAAATTCGTATCAAGCTTGAAGAATATTCTTCACACCAAGCTATTCTGTGATTTCCAGAGTGGGAAGGGGAGGAAAAGGAATGGACGCCACAAAAAACTACTGAGGATAGATATAAAAAGAAGCTAGCTCTCAGTAGTATGGGCTTACCTTAAGAAATCGAAAAGTTTCCTTTAAAACCTATGAAATAAAATATTTCCGTGATTTTGCCATATAGAGAAATTTCTGTATAAATTTTCTATATATGTTATAGTGGCCACATTAAAAAAAAGTGAGGATACTTCAAAATATGGCGGGAAAATATAAAATTATATAAAAATTGACTTTAAAAGGGAAAAGTGAGGAATAAATAGGAAAATAGCTTCGGAAGATGCCAACAGAAAAAATTAATGGAATATGATCAAGGAGGAACTAATAGTGACCATGCAGTTCGCTGTATTAAACAACTCTCTGCAATCCCAAACTGTCTTTCAATTTGCCATTGGTCAAAATCTTCAGAGATTTTGAGTCAAAGACTTGATGGAGAGTTTCAGGAAGAAGGAGAAAATGATTCAGGAATGAGTAACTTGGAGCCAATGTTAAATCGGGTTGCAGTTGGTGGGAGATCTCTTTTGCAACTGAGTACTGTAGATTTTGACCGCATTTCAAGCTTTTACAATATTTCTAGAACTAATTTGGTAGATATTGGTTGGTCTAGAAGCTCTCACACTCTTCTAGGTTTGACTTTAAGTGGTTCTGCAAATATTTATGTGGGTCTCAAAGGTAGACACTGGCAAATGTCATCGAGATTTAGGTCTCATAATGTTGCAGGTTGCTGTTTGGAATGGTTAGGTGATTCCTCTAACATGTTTACTTTAGGCTTTCAAGATGGGGAAATTAAACTAGTAGACGGAGAAGCACTTAGAGAGTGCTCTGGGGTTAATATTAATTCTTCAGAAGAACTCTGTACTCCAATTTGGTCGGCTTCTGCAACTTCTTCTCCAGTTAGAGATATGCAATCTAGGAATCTTGGATCAGATGGATTATGGTCCAATAATGAACTTCTCCTGGCTTATGATGACGGTACTATTTCTCACTTGGATTTTAGAGCAAAGATCTCTCAGTGCAGTAGGATTCAGACTCTATCAAAAGGCCTTAGTTGTGTTCGATGGAATCCACATGATAATAATGTGTTCTCAACTGGTTGTAGAAATGGGGTCCAAATATGGGATATACGTAAAATGGATGGAATTACATCTGTCACAAACATTAAGTCTCAGTTTGTTGTAGGAAAGGCAAGGTGGAGACCGGGTTTTCCTTCACAAATTGCATTTTGTTGTTCAGCTATTGATTCTAATATCTATGTTTATGATCTTCTAGACCCTATTAGACCTATTCAAAGATTTTCTAAACACTCTGATGTAGTTAGAGATTTTGATTGGCTTGAGTCTGACGCTATTATGAGTTGTGGGGCTGATAAAAGGCTTATTCTTTCAGTATGGGAGGATGCAACTAAACCATACAGAAGAATTAAAACATCTTCATGTTTGTATATTCCAAATTTCTACAATTCCATGGAAGTTTCCCAAAGAGTTGTTTTCAACATATCACATGAATTCTTTAGGAGGACCGTTAATAAAAACTATGATAATTACAATAATTTGGTTTCTGGACAAGACTCTAATAATGCTTTTCCAGATACAAATGCTTCCAACTCAAACTCAAACTTCAACTCTAGTTTAAACTTAGAACAGAAAAAACAAAATGCCGAGTTCAAATGTAAGGTAAAAGATCTCATGGATAATTCAGACTCGATATTCAAGTTTTGCAGTGAAAGAAATGAGTTATTTAAGTACTCTCTTTATTCAGTAACAGGTTTTCTTCCAGATATTGGCTTAGTACAGTTTCCTGGAGATTTGGCATCAATATTGGACCCTAGGTGTGAGCTGGAAAGGAGAATACACATTCACGAGCTCACTAATAGGAAATCTGACTGGATGAAGGTCATTCACAAACTTGGGATCTTTGGATTGGCTCCAAGTTGGAGTTCTATTTTTTCTAGTTTGGGTTCCAAGAAGGTTTATAAATGGAAAAATAAATGGGGACCTCGTATTCTAGTATATAAAAACAAGAGCATTTCTGAATTAAGTGGAGTAGTTTATGTTTCCTCAGGAAGAGGAGACGATCCAAGTAGTCTTCTATTTAATGGAAATAGCTTAAAGAACCTGAGCTTGGAAGAAAAAATAGAATGCGTCTTTGAATTTTTTCTCGAAGTCTTTGGTGTAAGGATACTTCAGGAACAAAAATACAGGCATATTATTCAAAGAAAAGGTTCCCAAAAAGAAGTTTTTGATTCTATTTTGAATGAGCTAAGTGTCCAGTCTAACATGAACAATGTTGTTATTTGCCTTTTAATTGTAAATAACTTGTTACCTTGTATAACACCTCCTGAATCACCAGTATTAAAGGCCTACCTTTTGATGCAGGTAAAATGGACTTTGAACCTCGTAATTCTCCTTAGGAAACTTGGACTTTTCTGCCTTTCTGCCCAGGTTATTAAGTCTAGTCAAATAAAGGAAATAAGAAATTTAGGCAGGGAAAATATATCAGAATCAAACTTTTATTGTGGAAGCATTATACAGCCAAACGATCAGGATTCTTCAAACGAATCGACATCTTATTGTAACAAGCAAATAAATTCGGAGAAAATTCTATTAGCTAAAAACTTTCAGCCTAGATCAGATCTTCATTCCTGCTTAAAGTGTAATTCAAGTAAAAATATCTGTGTGATATGTAGCGAACCAGTTTTGGGGCTCTGGGTTGGATGCCCTTGTTGTAGACATGGAGGGCATCCAAAACATATTCAAGAGTGGTTTCTTTCAAACTCAATTTGTCCTTCTGGCTGTGGCCACTTATGCCTTTACTAGAAAGGAATTTGACTGTCACATATATATATTAATAGCATTCTTAATTAGATGTAGTAATAAGATTAAAGATAGTAACGAGTAACGTTTATCAACCTAAATGACTAAATGAAAATACATCTAGTATACATAAGACTTTACAAATAACCCCTCAGAAGCAGCAGAACCTCCTACACCTCCTTTATAGATTCCCAATTGAGCCTCAGAGTTAGCCTTGGCTCTATCTAAGAGAGCCTTTTGGGCAGCTGGAATGTTGGATGGATTTCCCTTCCATGCTTTCAAAACTGAAGCTTGTAGGGCACGTCCATATGAGAATGACAAGAATAAGGGGCAGTCCTTGATCTTGTTCATTTCACATAAGTTGAGTGATGCCTCCTCTTCAGATTGTCCACCTGAAAGGAACATGACTCCTGCCATTGCCGGTGGGATAGTTCTTTTTAATGTTCTAACGGTATAAAAAGCAACTTCTTGAGATGAGGCTCTTTTTGGGCAATCAGAACCTGGGGTAACCATATTTGGCTTTAGTAGAGAGCCTTCTAGTAATACATGGTGGAGGTGAAGGGCCTTAACTACCTCAGCCAATACTCTTTCTGTGACTTTGGCACAAACTTCGATATCATGCGCTCCATCAGTTAATATTTCTGGCTCTACAATTGGAACTAAACCGTTTTCTTGACAAATTGCAGCATATCTAGCCAAGGTATGAGCAGTCTCAGAAACTGAAAGACAACTTGGCTTTCCCTTAGACTGATCGATGACCAGTACTGCTCTCCACTTTGCAAAACGGGCTCCAGCATCGTAGTATTTTTTGCATCTAGCTCCTAATCCATCCAAACCTGTAGTGGAAGTTTCACCATCCGAAAGTGGTAAAGTGGTTAATCCCATATCGACCTTGATTCCTGGCAAGATTCCCTGCTTCTTCAATAAATCAGTCATTTTTTCACCGCTTGCTGTAGTTTGGAAAAGAGTTTCCTCATACATGATTACTCCTGAGATGAATTGGTCTAAGCCTTCAGTCTTAAAGAGTAATTCTCTGTAAGCTGCTCTGTTTGTCTCAGTGTTTTCAACTCCAACTTGATCAAATCTTTTCTTAATTGTGCCAGTGGATTCATCTGCTGCTAAAATTCCTTTTCCTGGGCTTGCGATCTTTCTTGCATTTTCTGCTAATTCTTTTGCTCTTTCCTGACAGATGGTCATTTTCTTTTTTTTTGCGATTAATAAGACAAAATTTCTCTTTAGTTTCTATTTTATTAAATTTTACGAATTTATTTGTAATTTTTTACAAAATTGGAATTTTGTAATATTTCTCCCTTTTTCCTTTTAATCTCAAGCATGCTCGCAAAATGGATATTATATACCAACTACTTTGGCGCCATGTTTAGATATATTATTTGCATGCAAGTAATTAAAAAAAAAAATGAGAGCAATTGACTACAGTGTATAGAGACAGAATACGGAATTAATTTTAGATAAATTAGTTTAAGGACATAAGTGGGATACAATGCCTAAAAATTTGATTAGAATTTTAGTAATTCCCGTAAATTACTAAGTTTGAGAAAAACATAAGGGAACAGGGGCCAACTCTTATAAAATAAAAACAAATTAGACAAAATTAATAATTTAATAAATTAGTAGAAAATTGAATGACCTACTGTTACTAGTAGAGTATTGAGAAATACTATTATTAATTGTTGATTATTTGTGTTAATAGATAAAATTGACTGAAGGGAAGGTGAATCCCAGAGTGAATTGCTCCAATATATATATGTATTTCTCCAAAGGAACTAGTTTTATATGTTAGAGACTAGGATAATTAGATGGGTAGAAAGCCAACAAAAAAAGATTAAAAACAATTGGGATCAAACATTTTCCATTAAAATAAACTGAACTGGAACACCTCTTGTTATACATCTAGCATAGTGATAAACAAAATCTCCCATAAGTGCAAGTTGCACAATCTGCATTATAATAACCCAGTATCCAACATGTTTCTTGAGAACCTTAGATGGATCATTAAGTTCAGTGTAGGAAGAAATCCAAAAGATAAAGGCTAATATTTTACTTACAGCCTGCATAGCAAGGAAGTGACTAGTAAAAGGAACGACCTTGCGTTCTTTCTGAAACATGAAGAGTTGAGGAAGGACGACAACACTTTCAAGATAAAGAGCAAAAGTCCATGCAATATCTGCAGGCATCCATGAATTTAGAGATGGATGAAAGACTAATGCCATAATAAATGCAGGGATGATCAAATACATACTATTAAATTCATCCGAATTTGGGTCATATGTCTCTTTGTATCTGTATCTACATAAGTATACAATAGTGCCTGCTATAATCATACAACTTGCTTCAAGAGTCTGGTAAAGCCAATCTCCACTCCTGTCATAGGGTAGATATCCTTCGAATGGAATAATAGAACATAATCTTGCAAAAATTAAAATCACATATGCTTCCATCATTCTAAGAGACACTCCTGCACAAGATTTTGTGATCTCAATCTTGAGGCAAACCATTGCGAAGCTAAAGGCTGAAGTTAAAGATGACAGAGTCAAAAGAAATGAAAAGTCTCCATCAGAAAGAAAAAAGAATACAATCACACAGAATATAGCCAAAGAAATATAAGCTTTTACTGAAGATTTATGTTGGGATACCCAAGTTCTACATTTTTCGGGATCACTGATTATTGTTACTGCAGAATTGACTACTTCCATAATTTCTTGAGCAAGCTTACTCAAAAACCTATACACTTAATTCTCAATCGGATTTCTATCTCGATAAATAATCTCCAAAGGATTATTCCCAAACCTTGTTCCTATTAATTAAAAATTAATTTCTGTATTTCTTTAAAATGTGGGTTATTAGTTTGGCGCCTCAAATAGTTAAACCATTATAGTTACCTTGGCGGGAACTTTCTTATTACATATAATTCGAATATGGAAAATACCTAATTTGGATGGTTGCAAGTTGATTTGCAATAACAAAACACATCTAAATAATAAATTAAATTTCAGGACAAATGTAATTATATATATTTGCAGTCCTAAGCAGTGAACCTACAACGTTTCTGCGTTTAATGAGTACAGTAGTTGATATAAGAATGAAGTTACACTACTTTCAAGTTTCGCTTGAGCTTCCAAGCATAATGGCAATTTGTCAAATGCTGGATGTTGGAAAAGGTCTCCAAAATATAGCTCTGAACGAAAAAAACAACGGTAATATACAACAAACAAATAAACTTAGTTAAGAAAACACCGATTTATATCCTTCAAAAATAATCATTAAAATGACTTAGTCTATAAAGAGTTTAGAATCTCAAAGGCTTTCTTAAGAAGATCAAATCCTTTGGTGCTTTACCCTTCTCAGATTGAATGTTGATGAGCTTGTCATTGAAAACGAGATGAAGAGCTCTCAAGGCCTGTTTCTTGCCATCTGCTTCTTGCATATCAATACCCTGAAGAAGTGGCTTAACGTCCAAGTCAGAAACCACATAACGGGTTGGCATCACATGATTCATATTGATTGACTTTAAAAATGGCTTAATTGTAGACTTCTTCTTAAGCTTTTCCTTGGATAATCTTTTATGCACTTTTAATGGAGCCTTCTCAACACCTGCTACTAAGACAAATGGGAATGGACGGTCCTTTGTTCCTGATTCAAAAGTATTTACAACAATGGCCTTCTTTCCTGCATAACGACCATTAAGCAATACAACCACGCGACCTTGTTTCATTAATTTAGCCATCTTTGACAAATTTCTTCCTAGTTAGAACTCTGAAAAAATTAACCTAAAGAATTATTTATTTCCTTGTTTTATTCCAGCCTTGCGGTCTTTTTTTTTAATTGCTTTTTCAAAATTAATGTTTTGACACTACTTAAGTCAAAAACTATTATTTTTCTATTTGTTTATTTCTTCTTTTATTTGACGCCTATTTATTTTTTATTTTTTGTCTCAATTAAACCATTGAGACAATTTAACACGTGCCCCGGCTACTTTAAAATTCAGCGGCCGTCTGTGTCTACACTTTGGCGGGGCTGGGGTTTTTGTGGGAATAATATAACTAATTAAATGATGACAAGAAGAAGTACCATGTTAATAGCAAGCTGAATCTAATAAAAGAAAAAAGTAAAGTAATAATAAAAACCATTGGAAAACAGCTTAGCATTAAACTGTGTGTGTGTATTAGGGAGTTTTGAATATTTGATTATAGTTGGATGAGACCTGAATACATTTAATTTTGGGTTAACTAATCAATATTGTGTATTTTAATACGAATCTTATATAAGAAATAAATATTAAAGATGGTTTCTATTCAAAAAAAGCTCCAAAGGTTTACTCTTGGTGACTCCCTCAAGGGAGAGTTTGTTTCCATTTGTTTAGTTCGAGACATTCAAAATTCTGAAGAGCTACTTAAAATCCTTATGAAAAAGAATCATCCAAAATTGGTAGAATTGATTAAAGATCAATCTAATCAATCAATCGTAGTAATGAATGCAAAAATGGTGGGTTAATATTCAGATATATCTTAGTTTCAAAGTTACTAATACAATTCTTGAAATGTTTAATATTTCAGATATATAGCTTGGAACACATTTTAATTTCTGTCTCAACGTGTTTATTAAAAAGGAAGTTTCAAAGTAAGACAAAGACTAGAACCTTTGAAACAGAAGTCATATATAATATGTCTCCCTCAACAAATGTAAGTTTGAAAACTTAATTCTTTAGTAATTTGAGTAATTATGGTTAATGCTTAATTTAGATTTCAACGTCATTAAAGACATTTGGTATAACTGATACCACCAAAGATGTGGTTTGTTTGTTTATTAATATTGATGAACATGAAGCAGTAAGTAAAAATAAATTATCAGTTCTTTAGTAAATGACCTTTTAATTGCATTATTAGATTGGAGATTTCCTTGGGCTTATTCAAGGCCAGGTAGATTTAATTGATAACTTACCTCAGGTTCATGAGATTTCGGAAATTATAAAGGTAAGCATAAAGGGTAATTCTCAGATATATCTTAATATTAAATAATTCGACTTAGATGGTAGGAGTTTCCGAGAATCAAGATTTACAAACCATTAATATTAATGAAATACTTAGAGGCCTAATTAGTACTAAAGATGTTTAGAAGAACGCACTAGTTAATAGACCGCTAGATCCTTGTTCCCACTGAGATACATTATCTTTTAAGATTTTAATAAGTTTTTCTGTATTTTCAGAAAAAGGTTCAGATTCTGATCTAGAGTTCTCTGCTGCCTGGATAGCTCTGTTTGTAAATTTCATAGCTCCTTCTGGATTATCCAACAATTCATACTTTAGAATAGCATAATTGAGGATTGTTGCTAAATACAGAGGATCTGATGGGTAGTTTTTCAAAATTGATCTTTCACGTTGGAGAGCATCTTCATATAATTCAACTGCCTGTTTAATGCATTGTTTCTTCTCCTCATCTTTAAGGATTTCAGCTCTATATCTCATTAGATCCCCCTTAAGTTTAATACAAAACGCTTTAGTGCCTTCCCCTGAATACATTAACAAGTTATCATCAATAATATGTAGAACATCTTCACTTTCTAACAGGATTGACTCCTCAAATTCTTTTTTAATATTTTCAATGACTTGTAAAAATTCATTATCCAGGCTCTCTTTTTTTTTCAGTTTTTCTTCTTGGCTCTTAATAGACTTAAGAGAACTTCGAATTGAAGTAACTCTATTTCTCAGGGATCCTGCTAATAACAATATGAGAGAATTATCTTTAAAGTCTGAAGATTCAGTAAGTACTTTAATTACATCATTATAGTTACCAATCATATCAGCCAATTTGGCCTTGTATGCACCTTCTGATAGCTTCATTTTTTATTCTAAATTAAATAGTGATCTTTTAAATAATTTATTTTAGTATTGAATTAATACTAGGTAATACTAAACTATAAATTGATAAACACTAGAATTTACTGGAGAAACCCCAAAGATAGCTTGGGTGGTTTCTACAATTTGAATTAGGCCCTGACCATAGTAAAATATAACAAGAAAAGGATTTACCATCAAATTGTGAAAAATTGGCAGAAAATGAATTGGGTAAACAGGAAAATTAATGATCAAATAACTTTAATTTAAAGCCTATAATTAAAAATATAAGTTAAAAAGCCTAAGAAAAATAGTTTTTGATAATTTGAAAAACATATCCAACCAAAATAATCCAAAAGAAACTGCTCCCAAACACTCGACTAAGAATTCCAGGTTTCCCTTTGTTTTCCTTTCCTTTAGCTGCAAAAGCAATGTTTAAAACATTTTGAAGCTGTTTCTTCTGTGATTCATTCATTGTAGAAGCCAATTCCTTGAGAGGCTCACTGAGTTGATGTATTACCTCCAATTCAGGGTTTTCTTGTTCATTATCACTATCCACTTTAATCTTTGGATTAGTAGCAGTATTAGATGATGATGGATTGTTTTTCTTTTTATTCTTGCTTTGATTACTAGTTGTAGATGTGGAGCCTATTCCGTGAGTTTGAAGCTGAACAATTAGGGACTGAGTCAGATCAATAATCCTTTTATTTGTGATCAAGTTTCCCTTTAGCATACCATTTAGAATTTCATCATAATCTCTGTAGTTATTGGAGGCATAGAAGAAGGAAATAATTAAAACACATGTAAAAAGAGATCTCAAAATTCGAATCTTCTCAAAGGGTAGTAACCCCCCAATTACTGGTAAAAATGAAAGTGGATTTGGATCTTCAGAAAGTCTCATATGAAGCTCAGCACAGAAAACTGCAATGGAATATACTGGAAATAATCCTCTTGACTTTCTGAAAATAGAAGGAAAAGACAAAAATAGACCAAATAAGCAAGAGTAGACATGGAAAGCAATACCTAGTATAAGGCATAGAATAATATTTCTGTCTTCAATAATCCCATCAGCTCTAAAGTCACCATACTTGTTATAATTATTTCTTTTAGATTCAGAACTGAACACAGTTTCAATTTTTTGAATTTCATAAAAAAGTTCAGTATAGTTTGACTTCTCGTCTAGCTTGTTTTTGTCAGGGTGATATTTCTTTTTAGCAACTCTAATTGATTGAACAAGTTCGGCTCTGGGAGCCCATCTATCTACTTGAATAATATCATAGTAAGTCAGAGGTTTTGAAGCAATAGTGTAAGCTATAATACACAAACATAGAGAAATGGATATAATGTGTCTGAACTTATTAAGTCTTGGGAATAAAAGATGATTGTTTTTCCCCCTGGAGAAAACCATATAAGTAATTACTGATCCAACCAGGCCTTGAATAAGAATGCTTTCCATCATCTTTGAAAATGATAAAAAATAACTCACTAGAATTTAAAACAGTATCAAAATAATGAAGATCTAAGTATTTCCAACTATTTTCCGACTTGAAAAATTGAAGCACTTGGTGTGTTTATTTACTGGTACACACAAAGTGATAACTTACATTAACAATTAAATGCTATCTTTTATAAAAATAAAATCGAGAGAGCTTTTGATTTTCTTTATTAAAAAAACAAGCAGCTTCCAACTTTATTATATTATTTTAAATTTCTATCAATATTTTTTATCCTCAATACGTTGAATTTTTTTCTTTGAAAAAACACTATACCGGTATTTTAAGTTACCACGTTCGGCGCCAAAAAAGTGGACATGGATAAATAATTAAGATAGTTATATTAAAGGAGTTTGAAAATTATAAAAAATTCAATTGAGATGCTAAGGGGTTTTATGAGTTAAAATTTATTGAGAGAGCTATTTGTGTTGATTAAGTTTACTAAAGGCTTAGCTTAACTAGGATGTTTTAAACTCATTGCTACACTGTTATTAATTTAAAGTACATTGGATAATTTGAATTCCTTTTTATAAGTGTAAATACACTTTTATAATAATGGAGAATTTGGGGAAAATGAGCAATCCAAACCAAAATCTTGGAGTCCAGAATTTTCAAATGGGAGGAGGAACTCAACAGATTGAGCATGATTATGATGAGCCAACAATTCCAGTGGATTGTTGGAATGAATCACAGGAAGACTATAAGATTGGAGGTTACCATCCTGTTTCAGTTGGAGAGGTTTACAATGGTAGATATTTGATAGTTTCAAAGTTGGGATGGGGCCATTTTTCAACTGTATGGTTAGCAATTGATACCTTAAGCAAACCAATTACTTACTTTGCTTTGAAGTTCCAAAAAGGAGCCCAAGAGTACCGACAGGCTGCATATGATGAGATGGAAATTTTGACGGCTACTAAGAATCATATTAGCGGAGAAGAGTGGAGAGAGTCTTTAAATAGGCATTTAGAAAGCTGCCTAGAGAATTTCACTCGTCCTATTTCAAAGAACTTTAATGGTGTTGTTGGTTTTATTGATTACTTTGAGGTTTCTGGCCCAAATGGTCAGCATGTATGCATGGTATTTGAGGTCTTGGGGCCAAATATACTGCAATTAATAAGCCTGTATGATTACAAAGGAGTTCCAATTGATATTGTCAGGAAGATTGCTGCTCATTCCCTGATTGGCTTAGACTATTTACATCGTATTTGTGGAGTAATTCACACTGATATTAAACCCGAAAATATTGTTGTTTCAAGCTCTCCCATTCCGATGGTTGACTTTAAGATTATCATGGCTGAGGACCAGGTTGAACCTGATCTTTCAGAGATAAAGAAAATAGATAATTATGCTCAAGATGGTTCCAATTCAGATGAAAATCTTAAAGATGTTACTGCAACAACTGAAATGGCTACTTCAGTAGTTGTTGAATCCATTACTACTAATAGTAATGACTCAAAGAATGGAAATTTAGACCAATATCACGGTTTAAATGCTAAAGAAAGACGTAGGTTGAAAAGGAAGAATCAAAGAAAAAATAAGCAAAAGTTGAGTTCTCAGGTTACAGAGTCCAGTAATGCTGAAGACGCCGTTGAAGGTATGTCTGAGGAGATCAGCAACACTGAGGTGGGTATGAAAGGGAAAAGATTGTTTACCCCTCCATTTTTAAAGCTTCATCTAAAACCAATGCCTTCTGACCCAACTCATTCAAGTTATTATCAAATCAACTTTAATTCAAAGAAGGCAGAAAAGAGCAGTATCGAACAAAGCAAATTAGAGAATTTCAGCTTTAATTCAAATATGAATAATTTGAACCAGTTTCCATTGATTAAACCACCATATCATCACCATTTATACGAGGTTTACCATCCTCAACAATATATTGCAGCTGATGAACAAAGATACACTCATTTACTTCCTCTTACTCAATGGAATAAAAGTTATGTTTGTGACTCAGAGCTCACATCACAAAATAATGGTAAATTTTCTGGTGACTCTAAGGAAAATTCTAGGAATGTTCGTTTTGAGGTAAATGAAGAAAAACTAATTGAGGTTTCTAATTTTATTAAACATATTAGTACAAATTCCAATACATTTGTTAGAAGTGAAGCGGAATATTTCATAGTAGATCTTGGAAATGCTTGCTGGATGAATAAGCATTTCAGTCAAGATATTCAGACTAGACAGTATAGAAGTCCTGAAGTTATTGTGGGGGCAGGGTACGACTGGTCTGCCGATATCTGGAGTTTAGGATGCACGATCTTTGAGCTTTTAACTGGAGACCTTCTTTTTACTCCTAAGGCAACAGAAGATTTTAGTAGCGATGATGATCATCTTGCTCAGATGATTGAGTTGCTTGGGGAATTTCCAAAATCTTTGATCAAATCGGGAAAGCATTCTAAAAGATTTTTTAATAAAAACAACAAATTACACAAGATTTCAAAACTCCAGTATTGGGATCTTAAGTCAGTTCTTATCCATAAATACTGTATCAACAAATTTGAAGCACACAACTTCTCTTCTTTCCTACATTCATTTTTGGCTCTTGACCCTAGAATGAGACCAGGAGCTCAGACTTTACTTGACCATCCATGGCTTCGTCTTAGAGGTGTAAGTTCTGATTATTTGGAGAACATGTTAACTCGAATTGAAAGACCTCTAACTTTAATGGATGAAGAGAACATCTCTAGAGATTTACAATCTCTTTCAATTTCTGAGAATGATCAAGGGGATTACAAAAATCTATCTATTAAACAGGAACTATCCGAGTGGTTTAACCAGTTTAAGAAAACCCTTGATTCATGAATGAAAGAATTAAAATGTATATTTGGGCTTATTTTCTATATTGCTCTTATTTTTTCCAAGTTTTTCTTTGGGGTTTGCCTCCACGTCATTTCCATTATTAGCGGGATAACTCTATTTAGGTTTAGATTTAGTAGAAACCCGTGCTTTTATTCAAGTTTTTACAGATATTAGTTCATATAAAATTTGTGTGTTTTATTAAATATTTGTTTCAGTGACTTTCTAACTTCTTGTTCAAGTTTAGACAATGTCTAAACCAACTATGAAAAGCATCGATGAGATGTTTTACAGCAAGTCAGCTGAGGATGAGGAACATTTTAGATCAAAAACCATGGGACTTGTTTCTATGGAAACTTATAAAAGACATATAAGCGATATTCGGAAAGGGATTAAATCTGAAAGTAATTCGAAAAAAACAAAAATCATGACAGAACCTAAACGTAAGAGGAATAAATCTAATCCTTTATCATTTGAATTTAATCCGGGCAATGATATGCCTGACCAAATTCTTGAGGAAAATGATCATTCTGAACATATATTTAGAAAAGGTATTTCCTCATCTAAAATATATTCGGGATTGGAGGGTTCTCCATTAGAAAAAGAATTCAATGAATCTCATGATAAAGACTCAGATCTAAACTTTAATACAATTGGGAAAGATACATCTATTGATACCTCCTTTCTTCCTGACAAAAAAAGGGAACTAGAGGAGATTAAGGTAAAAGAAAGACTTAAATTAGAAGAGCTTGAACAAGAAGAAAAGTTAAAGCAAGAAATTATTGAGGTAGTCTTTTCTTATTGGGATGGAAGTGGCCACAGAAGGTCTGTTCGTGTTCCAAGAAATACCACTATTGGGGAGTTTCTTGAGAAATGCAGAATAAAGCTAAAATCAGAATTCAAAGAGTTTTCGAGACTATCCAGGTAAGTTAGAATTCATGATAAGGAGAATCAACAATAGGATTTTAAATTCCTTTTGGTTTTGATAAATTTAAAAACTTGGTTTCTTACTTTTTACCTTAAATTTGCTTACTGTAGTGCATCTTTAATGTACATCAAAGAAGACGTAATTCTGCCTCACACAATTACTTTCCACGAGCTCATCAAAACCAAAGCGAGAGGGAAATCAGGTAGGTTTAAGCTTGAAAGCAATTATTAAGCTTTATTTAGCCGTTTTCGGACTAATTTTAGGACCTCTATTCCACTTTAATGTATTTGATGATATCCGCGAAAAGAGCGATATCAGAAAAGAAACAACTGAAGTAAGTTGAATTATTTCTTCCACCTCTTTTTTTCTATTTATACAATTAAAACACTTTTGTTAACTATAATTTAGTCTCATGCAGGAAAAATAGTTAAAAGACAATGGTACGAAAAGAATAAGCATGTTTTCCCTGCATATAGATGGGAAAATTATGTACCTGGAAAGTTCAACAAACCCTATAGTATGAGAGGAGACTAATTAAAAAATTATCAAAGTATAACAACTATAATAAATAAGTAAAAAGTTGCCAGGGGGAACTGCCGATTATGCACCTTAAACCAGGACCCGTGCTAATTTAATGGGATTTAATGTAAATTCATCCTCTTTCCACAAAGCATACAAATAAGTACTAGGTAATAAGCCATAATGAAATATTTTCTTTGCATATATGTACCAATACGTGATGAATTGATGATAAATCTGCATTAGTTAATTTAAAAGTATTTTTTTTTGAATAATAAGGATTTAATGTTCTTACCTTTGAAATGCCACTCTTAATGGCATATAAATATATTTGATTCAATTTTAGAATCCTTTCATACAAAAGTTTTGAGTATATTTGTGAGTGTTTCATTGTTCCCAGTACTAAAGAATACGATTTTTTAAAGTTTATAAATAATTATTTGGAACTTTTCTTCCTAATTTTGAATTTTTGAAAATAAATACATTAAAAATGAATTATAGGAAATTATTATAAAATCATTTGGCGCCATAAACCCCCACAGTCATAATTGACTGCAAATGTGAAAAAACATTAATTTTAAGTGGAATCAAAGGAAAATTGCACTGATCTAAAAAAAAATTTTTCCAAAATGTCCAATATCTCAGCAATTAATTTCTTTTCAGAAAGTAAGTTTAGTGTGTTGCTCTCACTATAAGATTGTATTGGGTAAAGTTCAAGAAACAGCCAACTTTCTATATTTTTTTAGACATTGGGATTACTGGGTTTGACTCAGAAAATGCCCCTTTTATGGCTTTCAAGGTATGTTAAATAATTACTTTATTTAAATATAGCTTTTAGTGTTCTTTATTAATTATATATTCAGGAGCTTTTTGATAACTCGATCGATGCATGCAATAACAAGGCAAAGACTGAGTGGCATGATTTACCAAAGAGAATACAAATTTCTGTGAATTTTGAAAATCTAGAATTAGATGATCAGGTAGGTGATGAATTGGATTTATGCTGGCACATTTGATTCAATGTTTTTTTTTTGTTTTTTTGGTTAACTTAATCAATTCGCGTTTCTTTTATTAACTTTTAGGCAAGAATAAATATTATTGTGAGAGATACAGGCTGTGGAATACCTTTAGAATCAATTGATCTTTTGGGAACTCTTTTTGGGACAAAGTGAGTTTAAAACTAATTATATTTGAATAATTTAAATGATAAATTGTAATTATTCTTATAGTAAGAAAATCAATAAAAGAGATTCTTATTATACTGGACAATTTGGAGTGGGTCTTAAAATGATTTTGCTATATGCTACTCAGCATGGAGAGGGAAATGTTAAGGTTAAGATGAGGATGGGAAACAAGATTTGGAAATTTACACTACTTTGTAACTTAAGTGATGGATCTTTTTATGTTGGTAACAGTGAAAGCTTTGATCATAACAGTTGGGATTGGATAACTGAGTTTTCAGTATCTATGAAGCTGAGTTTAGGACTTGAGTACTTGCAAGAGAAATACTTTTCTATGGAGCTTTACGCAAAAACATCTTTAAAAAAAATTCAAAGTTACTTAGCACTCTCAAAATTTTGGAATAGTCATATTTCATTTAATTTTGAAACAAATATGAAGATGGATGCCTCTGAATTGAGAATTGGAGATATAAATTTATCATTTTTTGATATATTTAAAGACAACTTTGTTCAATACTCAAGTAATAAAGGTTCCAAATACAAAATTGATACAGTTTTTGGTTTTTTGAAAGAATGCCACGTTAAAAAAGAATCCCAAATTGATAATTTGGAGTATCAAAGTCTAGATAAAGAGAACCAATCTAACTTAAATTTATCCAATATTTCACAAACCCCTTCTTTAAAACCAGGACAAATTTACATTTATCGTTTTTCAAACGGAATGCCAATAATATGTAAAGATGCAGAATACTGTGAAATTGTAACATCAATTAAAAGCTTCATTAAAAAAAAAGGTTCCACTTATGGGATGAAATTAGTTAAAAAGGATGAGTCTGTTGAAAGTTATCCTGAGAATCTTTCGATGTTTTCTGGGGTAAGTTAGTTATTTGAATGGTAGTGTAATAAAACCTGCAAATTATAATCATTTTAGAGTGAATTTTTACTTCCAATAATGGTAATCCCAACCGTTGAATTTAGTATTAGAGTTCTATTTATTAATGTTAAAGGTCACGGGATTCAGTATGGTACTTTGGGAAAAAGTAGTCTAAAAAGCAATGTTGGACTTTCCACAGCTATACAACAATCGTTGAAAAGTTTAATGAAAGGATGCCAACTGAAGTTTCCATTAGAACTGATTAATATCAAAGAATTTAACTACAAAAGTTCAGTAGAAAAATATTCGCCGATAATTTCCAAGAATTTGGCGTCTATGGTTATGAGGTCGGAGTCTATAGTATTCAAAAGTGGCTTATTTGAAATACTTTCTAGATGTGATCCAGAAAGTTCAGAAAAATTATCAAAGCTACTAGGTATGTTTTTTTTATAGTAAACACACACAATTAAAACTCTATTTTTTCGTTTTTTTTAGAAGGAAATGATGAGGAAAAGCTTCGAGAACAACTCAACATAATTTTTTGTAAGTGGTTTATTAGTAGAATGGAACAAGGGCCTAATATAAAGGCTCAATTGGAAAGTAATGAAGGGGATTCCGAAGATTACATATTTGAAAAAGAAGAGAATCTTTGAAGTTAAAAAATTACATGCTTTTCCATTTTATTTTTTTTTAATGAAAATAATTATTATACATGTAAATATTAAGGACCAAATTTATGTATGGTGGCGCCAAAGTTGGTGTTAAATAAAAGTGTATCCAAAAAGTAAGAAACAAATCAGGGGGTTTAAATTAAATGAGCTTGGAAACACTCTCTGCTCTGTATCCAAAGGCAACAAAATCAAAAAATGAGGCAGAACGACTGCTAGAGCAGTTTGAGTTGGGGTTAGATCGTTCAATTGCCTTACAACAAAGGCTATCAGCAATTCTTAATGATTTTTGTAGGCAAGTAACAGAATTAAAACAAGTTCTTGAAGGATTAAAATCCTCCAAATCTATTGACCGTTCTCAAGAAAAAATTTGGGATCGAAGAGTTGATAATTTAATATCAGATTCTAATTCTTTAAGAGAATCTGTATCAAAACAGTTAGATCATATTCACAAAAGCCAGATTGAAGAACAGAAAAAACTATCTTATTCTTCTCCAGAAAAGTACAATGGAGTTGGAGCTCTAATACGTGAAAAGGCCATCTGGCAAGAGAGCCATATTGCTATTGATCATGCACTAGAGCAAGCAAAAAGTATTGTTTCTAACCTTAAGAACCAAAATAGAATGCTTAAGTCTGTCAGGAAAAGAGCTCTGGATATGGCAAGTAGATTAGGAATCAGCCATTCTTTACTTTCAAATATCGAGAGGCGAAACCTAGTTGACCAGATTCTAGTCTATGGATGCATTTTCCTTACATCACTGATTTTTATTACTATTTATTTATTTATACACTATATTTATCGCAAGTGAGCAATTAATAATCCTTTAAATTACTATTTAAGATTATTTCAATTATATATTACAATAAAACTATTTCACTCATAATTTTTTGTTTATCTTTAATTCTAACTAAAAAAGAGACAATTTCTAGATTATATTATTATAATTTCCTAATTATATTGTTCTATAAAAAACCTTTTAAATCTCATTGACAACTCATTTAATCTAAAAAGTTGAACATCTTAAGCTTTATAGTATTTCGTTACTTTGGGCGGGAAATTGTTTGTGATCAAATATAATATTATTAAGAATTCCAACTTATCTTAAAAAATAGGAGAAAGATGCAAAAATATATAAATTATAGAATAAGGGTAACTGTTCAAGATGACAGAATTATGGTTGGGAATTTGATGGCATTTGATAGACATATGAATTTGGTCTTGTCTGACTGCCAAGAGTATAGACGGGTAAAAAAAGGAGAAGAGTCAAAAGAGCTAAAGAGATCTCTTGGATTAATAATGCTCAGAGGAGAAAATATTGTCACTTTTGTTGCAGAAGCACCTCCAAAGAACCAACCAAACAAACCAGTTGAACATACTTATGCAGGAAATGTTCAGACTATAGCTAGAGGTCCCCCTTTAATTCCTCCCCCTATTATGCCACCAGGGCAATTTCCATTAATTAATCCTTCAATTGGAGGATTACCTATTCCACCACCAGGAATTCCTCCATTGCCTCCAAATATTCATGGTAATAAATAGATGTATATTAGAGGGAGTAGTTTTAACAGATTATAATTATATAATTAAGTATATATAAAATGTTATTTTAGAAGAGTCTAATTAATATCTAATAAATTACGGAAGAATTTAATTGATTCTTCATCTTGTTCGGAGAATTCCTCACAATTATCCCTAATTATTAGCTTTGGAATACTATATGTAGTTTCAATTCTCAGGCTCTCAAGTAATTCACTAAACTTTTCGGCCTGACCAGAGTATCCACTTGAGAATGCAATAGCTGTAGATCTAAGTAATGAAATAAAAAAAGTAACTTTTCTGGGAGAATCGTAATAATAACCCTTACTAGATTTTGGTGTCATTACTATAATTAGTTTAAATATTATATTCCAAAGCTCCAATGGTACATATGAATTTTGTATTCTACAAGTTAATAATGTTAGAATACAAATAAGAGTCTGAATAAAAGCAGAGTATCTTTCAAAATTTTGTGAATTTGGACTATCTAAATAACTAATAAATGAAATTTTGTCTATAAAATTTCCTTGTAACTGATATATCTCTTCTTCATAAATCTCTTTAATTAATCCAAAAATAATAAGAGAGATTCTTCTAACTCTATCAACTCCTGGATTATCTTCAAATGAATATTCAGGAATTGAGTTTGTATCTAAAGGCACAAATTCTGGCATATTCGTACCAGATTTATGTTTTTCTTCAACTCTAAGTTCTAATAATGAAATTTTTCCATCTTGTATCTTATCTAAATGATCAAGATTTAAATAATTTCTTGAAACATACTCAAAGGATCTTGAACCATCTTTAATTTTCGAAACAGTAACTCTATATGTATCTATTCCTGGAGACCACCAAGCGGAAGTAACTAATAGTGTTGCGTAATATAATCCACTATAAATCCCTTCTTTTTTATTTTCTTTCTTTATTAAACTACAAAAAGAAAGCATAGATGTTAATAAAGTTTCTAATATTCCTGGAATATTTGCCCAGTCTATTACAGATAGATGGATCATTGTAGGAAACACTGATGCAAAATGGAGAGGATTCAAATACCTTGATGCTATTTCCAATAGTTTGAGATACTTATCAAGATCCTGATCTGGTTCGTTAATTTGCCATTTTGATGATATTGAGCAAGAGTAATAAATAATCCAATATAAACTTGAAGTCTTGGAAAGAACATTACCTTTAGGCTCTAATTGCCCCTTATTAAGATTCATTTCGTACTCATCCCAGATAATTCCCTCAATATCCAATACAAACTCCATACAATGTTTTGCAGTACTTTTCAATGAATCTAATAATTCCACTACTTGAACTCCTTTAATCTTCTCACAAGATTCCAAAAAATCCAGATTCTCATCTTTATTCAGCTGAGTAAGAAGAGAATCTAAGATTCTGAAGCTACTTGTTAATAAATCAATTTCTCCATCATCTTGTATTTTCTGCTTATCCTTTGTTTCTTCTACACTAAATTTATAATCCTCCAGTTCTATAAGTTTAGATTCTAGAAATAACCTAATTTCCAAAGATGCAATTTCCACTGAGTGTAAAATGTGAATTGAAGTATTAAATCCATTAAAATCAAATCCAAGTATGTCCTTGATTTCTTCTTTTTCCAAAATTAATCCCAATAAGGACATTCTTGCTTGATGAAAAGTTTTTGAATCAGACTTAAACTCCATAAGTCCTAGTGAAAACTTTATGATAGATAACTTTTCTTTAGATTCAAGCATCTTAAAACTAGATTCCAATTCTGGTATAGAATTGGTAATTAGTTCCTCCAAATTAATTTGGGTACTTTCTCCATTAATAACTTCCAATAATTGTTCTAAATTTTTGTCTCTCATTTTATATTAATATGGGTAAAAATATAATATTTACACAAAAACAATCATAATTTTCAATCAATTAATTGTTTCAATTTTGACCTTATTTTTTTTATGAATATACCGGCACCTTTATTAAGTTACCGGTATACCGAATCTAAAAATGAATTACATTGGCAGTAAAAAATAAAGAAAAGTATTATTTACAGCAAATATTTAACTAAGTAATAAAATATGGGAGAGTTTAATAAATTGGTAAATATTTTTAAAAAGTGAGATTAATTAAATAAAGTTGGATAAAAATGACAAATTTTAATCCATTTGAATATTTGTAACTAACTTCAAAAAACATGAAATATTTTGAAGTCTATTTTGGAGAGAATCCCAGTCATTCTTGACAAGTTTATTGAGCTTAAGGACAATGTCTTGAATGTCTTTGAATTCTGATTCGTTTTCCAAAATAGTTGTGGAGTGAATTGTAAGAAAGATGTTAAGGTAAGTTTGAATCAGCTCAGAATCCGTCCTATTTAGTATGGATATATTAAAGTAGTGAATCATCTGAGCAATTTCTTCAAAAGAGCCACCGCTTAGAGGTCCCAATTGTCTCAAAAGAAGATTCACACCAGAAGGAGATTTGGATTTTAAAAGCTTAGTAATTTTCAAAAAGAAGTCTGAATCATTCAAAGAAACTTTCTTTGCCAAAAGTTCCTGGAGTTCAGTCTTGAGTGGTGAACTTGGATCTCTAGATTCTGATAAATCTTTAGAGATTGATTCATCTTGATTAATTTCTTTAGAAAGCTTATGAACAGCAGATGAGAATTCAGTAGTATTTGGTAGAAAAAATGGAGCACTCTCCGGTTTTTTTGGTGGCTCGATAGGCTTGTTTCTTTCTTTAATCTCATCAATAAATAGGATTGCCTGAAGAGTTGAAAATGGGATTCCAGAAAATGACATTAGTTTACCATCAGTTAAAGAAGGATCAGAATCTCCATTTTCGGGTAAATCTGAGTCTGACAAATTTGAATGATCAGAATCAGAAGCCTTTGTTGATTCCTTGTTGTTTTTTAAGGTTTGGTCTGAATCCTCAAAATAAAGTACCCTATTAGGAGGATCATCTATATAATAGGGTTCAGAAGGAGGATTCGATAATCCTTCTATTTCAACTGAAACACTTAGAACATGTTTATTTGCCCAAACAGAAAGTAATCCTTTTGATTGATCATGAGATGTTATTAAGAATGCATCTGAATGATCAAATACACAACAAATAGCTGGTGATTTAAATTTGATCCAGTCCAGAAGGTTTGATGAAATTATATCAAATATAAAAAGTTCACTATTCTTTGTAGAAATTACAATCCATCTGTTATCTGAAGACATAGTGATATCCAAGATAGTATGGTTACCGCATTGGAACTCTCTAGATATTACCTGGGATTGAAAATCATAGAGAATAACCCTGCCATCTGAAAATCCAAAAGCTAATAAATACCCAAATAGCTTGGAAACGAAGGCTTCTTGACCTTCTACATTTGATAAAATAGAAACTCTACTCAAGATAATCTTGGTATTCAAATACTTTATAGGCTTAATCGACCATGCCGATAAGTAATAGTTATCTAAATCTCTTAAAATGCAAAGGGCCATGGTGGAATGTGAAATATGTATAGAAAGAATTTCCATAGTTGGTTGATTAATTTCAGAATTCTCAGGAAAAGTTAATTGTCCAGAATGAGTGCATGATTGTAGATTGAATCTGTGTATGGATCCATCCGAGTAACCAACTATTACATAGTTACCACATCCTGAAACTGAAACAGCTTTTGCTAAAGGTAGGGATTTTTTTTTAGCTGTTAGTCCGTGTGATACAAAATTTGAGGGACTATTATTCTTAGATTGTTTGTCAAATCTTTGAATGTTCTCAAGCGTAATTAACTTTGGAGTTAACGCAAAGTTATGTCCACTCCAAACAAAAACTTCATGCATGCCTTGATGGATAGTTACTATATTTGGCCAGTCAAAGTGCCTGGACTCTGCAAATGACATATCTATAACAGTAGGTAACCTGTTGAAAGGGAATTGATACTTTTCATTAAACTTCTTTTTAAGAGAATTCTGTGAAAAAATACGATTTTGATGTTGTTGTATTGTAGATGTTTTTCCAAGATATCCACAATTCTTAAAGTTACTAATACAAAGTAGGTCTCTACTCTTTTCTGGAAGAGCGTCGTAGAACTTTGCCTTAATTATTGAGCTTAAATGCCCTCTCCTAGACCTAAGTTCTCTAGGGGGAGAATTCTGATTATCAATAACAAATTCAAGTAATGCATTATCTCGACCAGAGGTAACAAACATTGAAACTCCAGGAACAAACTGAACCTTGACTACCTCAGATTCATGAACGGAGTTTAAAATACTTAAGACTCTTGCATTTTCCAAATCCCATAATACTATATCTCCATTTTCACATCCTGAAATTAAAATAGCTTTTTCAGAACAAAAGCTTATACTAGTCACGCCTTTTTGCTCAGGCATGTGCTCTAAAGAGAGCAAAACCAAATCATTTGCGATATCTAGAGTATATATCATCCCGTTCTTAGTTGCAATTCCAACCACATCTGGATGAGAACTTGTTACTGCTGTGATTATTTTCTGTTGATCGCTATCTTCTAATTTAGTTTTAATATTTTTTGAATTATTCAAAACATCTTGTATTGAAGAAAACCTATGTATCAGCTTTCTAGTATTTATGTTCCATAATTCACATTTTTTTGATGTAACTACCAATACTTTGTTTAAATATGTGACTGGGTGTAAAACTGTAACAATCTCCTCGGAAACATCCATATCCAGTAGAATCTCGCATCTGCGACTACTAGAGGCCAATTCAGAAACTATTATGGTTCCCTTGTCCCAGGAAATCAATAACTCACCCAAGACAAGCATTCCTTTTACTTTCGACTTATGCTCAACTTCAAATGTCTTTTCATGTCTATTATAACCTTCAATTATATTTCCCATTGACACAAAAACCGTCTCATGCTTTGCAGCCAGATTCTCTATTCTGTTACCCGTCCTCTGGGATATATATTTAATCCTTAGTTGGTCCAAGTCGTAAACTTGGTAATAATGACCAGTTGCAACCACAATAAAATATTCATCTCCTAATTTCTCCAATACAAAAGGAACTTCATCTGTCACAAACCCTATACTATGTAAAGGAACTAACAAATTACTCGAATTCACTTCCATATTACTTCATTTAATTCAATTTCAAATCTCACTATTAATTGTCAAATATTACTATTAACCACACTTACCGCCATTCTAAACTGTCTCCCGCGTATATCCTTAGCAGAACAGTAAAAAAAGAGCGCTCATGACTAAAAAGGAAACAAAAAATTAAAAAACTAAGCAATGATACTCTAATTACGAAAATACCGAATGCACGGATGACTTCCTGCAATCACAGCAACAATAAGTCACCGAATAAGAACCTTCAAAATGAGCAACTGAAATGGCTAAAGATGGTTGAAACAGCACTTCCAAGGGATGGTGATGAACACTGGCGCTCAATAAGCACAGACGACCAGAAACTAACAACCTCACCTAACAAATCAAGCCCAAAACGGGCTTGAATTACCAAAAGCTAACTCACTAAACTTGGCATAATCGTACGTCGCCAGAAAACTAAACCTTCCTTTGAATGCGTTAGAGCACCACCTTAGCCATTCCACAGTCACTCATAACCTCGAGCACATAGTACCAAAGATTAATTAGAGTGTCTCTTCAGAAATTAACTTTTAACCTAACCAAAACATTAGGGAAAGCATTAGAATCTGAAACATAACCTGGTATCAACATAGAAAACACTGTACTCAGCTTGTCTAAAACCTCAATCATCTTCAAATAGTCCTTTTCTGGATGTACCCCTCAACCTCATACATTCTATGTAATTTCTCTTCTTCCTCTTCTGAAACAAAATATTCTCTTTGTCATGCCTAAAAGAAAGATGTTTCAGCCTGCGTTAGATCACTATATTATATATATATAAACATTATGTATATTGCTTTGAATACACAAAATCCAATGATAACCATCTAATGGCAATAATTAAAAGTTTAAAAGAAAATAAGACAAGCTTGTTAGAGACGTTTGGGGAATTGAATTTATATAAAGCAAGAATTGAAAGAACGGACGACGGCGTAGTTATGATAATGTACGAATAAACCAAATAAACGTTTGATTTAAAACATATGGACGACGAATTGTTTAGCAGTAATATATATATCCAGCAGTGACAATCTCCTCTTCGAAATAACAAGCCCAGAAAACTGAATGATTATAATGTACAAGTACCCCTTCCATGTGACTGTCAAGCGAAGTTAACTTAAGTCGTTATATATTTAGCATTATCTAGTCAAATAATACCGGAACCAAATGGATAAAACAACTCTATATATACACTCAATTGTACACCAAGATTCTATTCCTCAAGGCACTAACTCTTTCAAGTTGGACATGTTGATCACATTTATAATCTTAAGACATCTGAGACTCCAAATAATTTTTTTTTGCAAAAAGGCTTTGAAAAAAGATAAACTCAGAGAAAATGTTACGGTAATTTTGAAGAAAAACAATTGTGAAGAAATGTCTACCAATAATGAACAATTGTCGAGGCCAATTAGAATAATAGACTAAGATTAAGAACTCAGGGATCAACTCATAATATAAGTCATTTGATACATGCTCATCTGACAGCAAATATGTTAAGGGAAATTCTGACCAGTCACAGGGAAGATTGAATCACTAAGTCAAGAAAGGATTCATTTCATTCTCAACTAGTGATTTACCTTAGTATACCAGTAGCTTGTTAACAAGATTTGTCACTGCTGAATGATGATAATAGTAGAAAAATATGTTCTAGAGTTAGGTAACAACAGGTCCAATTCATAAAAATGTGAAAAACCATGGGAATAAATCAAGCTATGGAAGTTAGTTATTGATATAATCTGAATAGTCTCAGTTTAGTTAAACCAGATGATAATAAAAAAAACTCAAAAAGAAGACCGCAAAAGTTGGAGTGGCTTTTCCACTCGTAAAACACATAATTCAATACTATCATCGCTCATTAGTGATAAAAATCAAATGTTAATATCATCTTCCATTGTAGAAACCGAGATTTGCTCAGCCAACAATATTACCATGATAAAGCCAATTAAAGCATTTTGATCGCCATGATAGTGCCATTCAGATCAGAAAACTATAAGGCTTTAAGCCCAAAAATCCATTTATAAATAAACAATATATTTACTGGATACAGATTTTAAGGTGTGAAAGACACACCTATACTGATTCTTTTTCCATCTCTATTCGCAAAAAATTGCGTTGCTCGACATGACGTTGTGGCGCCACTGTGCGCGGGAATGGTTTTTACGTAATATTTGTTTTTAGTTTTAAATGAGGAAAGTAAATCTAAAATTAATTATTAAAGTAATACTAAATAGATTTTTGTGACTAATATAGGTAACTATTGCAAACATATTTCTAATATTTTAGTGTGGGATATACGTAAGTACTCTTATAGTTCGTCCCTTTTATTTAGCTCACCAAAATCTGTTGGGTAAATTTTCCACAAAGTACTATTAGAGTTAGGTATAAATCTTTGGTGGGCCTCCGACCAATGAGAGAAGTATGCACTTATGTATACGTTGTTGATAATGCTTTTACTAGAAAATTTGTGTCTAGAACTTGAGTTAGAAACATGTGTTAGAGCAATTTCTGGAATATACGAGTGCGTGAAATTTGATGGGATAGAATTAATTGGTGATGTGTTGTTGAAAAGGGTCTCATTCTGGTGAATAAGCAACAGATAGTGAGGCTTCTCTTTTGATTTTGGTGGATATTTTTGATAAATATAGTCTTCCCATTGTTTGGGAGCATTTAGTTTCCAATCCCACCCAATTATCACACCATAGTAGTTCCACCATAAATGTTGCACAATTTGGCCAACTAAGAACTTTGGGTTCGCTGTGTTTGAGTTTCTAATCCTAGGAGAATTGCCCATAGTAAAGAAGGTTTGGATAGTATCCCCCTTTTTTAATGAAGTAATATATTCAGTCTTAATTGCTTCAAATTGGTTGTTAATTCGGGTAATACTAACCACTTCATTTTCTTTTTCAGTTTGTTGAGATCTGTGTGAATCTTCTAACGTAGATTTATCCTTTATAAATTTGTCTAAGATTAGGTTCTTAGGCAAACATTTGATTTTTCTATGTTGGTAAATTGGAGGAGGCATAAGCATGGGATGTGAACAAATTACGGGGGAAAGGATTAGCATCTCATAGCTGCATGTTGAGTACTCAATAACGTTAACTATTTTAAAGTAATCTGACATGCTCTCAAAATTTTCCGGACATTCAAATACCAACTTAATACTCCTTTGTTGATTATTCTCTACACAGAAAGTTCCATTTGACAACCTTACTGTGATAACATATTTTCTATAAACATAGTTTCCTGAAACCAGCTCATTTTTATTTCTAGGCTCAATAGTTGCCGTTACATTCTCAAGTAAGGAAAACTTGCCAGGTTTTATTGTGTTTACTATGTTTGAAATTAAATTATTCGATAAATATTCATCCAAATCATTTGTTTTATTCAAAAGTTGTGCAGTATTTGGATGAATTCCTAAATGAAATAGCCTAGTTTCTTGATTTGAGGTATCTTTTTTGAATTGAGATACAGCATACAAATTACACAACTCATAATTCCAAAACCTGAAATCCGTAAAATTTTGACATCTATTTTCTAATGGTAGCAGTAGAGTCTCCAGTTTATCCAAAGAAGTTATATTCTTACTTTCATCTACTCTCCAATCACAAAATGAGGGAGATAAAAACTCTACTTTAATTACTGGCTTAAAGTCTTTGTTAATATCTTCTAACACTTGATTTATTCCCGATTGATTATAACTACACTTAAATTCAATTGAAGCTGAGTACCCAGAATCACCCTTTAGGTTTTCTATTGCTGGGTTATAGTACTGAATTACTGTTCCGTTTTGATAAAATGAATCTTCATTAAGTTTATAGTCGCCAATAACATTAAATTGGCTTTCTAATATATTGTTATTAGTTTCTTTGTCAATTATTTGTCTTTTATGGCGAACTGAAACTCCAATACATATTTCAAACATGTCCACTTGGATGTGAATGCCATTGTTAATATCCTTCTTTTTTGTAAATATAAAACATCGTTCCATTAGCCACGAAATTTTACTTTTCTTTAAGTAATTCTTGATATTAGAATCCATACTATCCCAAGATGGGTCAATTTCCTCAGATTCCTGAAGATAACCATTTCTTCCGTATTCACCAAAGCCGCATAGAAATTCCTTTCCTCCTAATATCATGAAAGTGTACTTATTATCTTTCATATTAGCTAGCCTTGAATTTTCTAGCTCTTTTTGATTCTGAAAATTTTTTTCTTCATTCTCAAAAATGTAATTAATATCACTATTTGGAAAATGAAGCTCAACTTCACTTGTTTGATATTGAAAGATTTTTGTATATTTATCAAGATTTGCTCTATATTTATTACCCTGACATTTATCGAAAATACCAGGGAAAAGTAACAAACCCCACAAGATTATTTTTGAAATCAAATTCATCTATGCTAATATCTATGCAAAGATGTTCAGTTACTGTGTGATACTAAAATGATAACAAATTTGGAATATTTACATTATTTTGCACCCTTTTGTAACATTACACGAACAAGGCTATGAGGGATTAATATATGAATAATTAAACCGCCAAAAAGTTTTTTTATTAGTCTAACCCTTAGTAGTAGAATTCAGATAAATAATTAAATATATATGTGAATATTAAATTCTTGTTCAAGAACTTTGAACAACTTTCTAGAACTAACAAAGAGGTTTATATTCACCTAACAATTTAAATATTACTATCTCTAATTTTGAGTTTATTGGTTGAATCTGTTATGTAATAGCAACTACTTCAAAAACCACTGTTTAAGACTATGAATCCGTGAAATCAGTATTAATTAAAATTTAGAAAATTTCTCAGAATTGAGAAATCTATGAATGCTTTCAAGCTAATTTGATATAAGAGACTAGGAATTGCAATGAATAAGAAGACAGGTAAATAGACTAAATAGGAGGGTTACTAATTTTGCTAAACTCTAAGCAAAGAAAACTTGCTTCAAGCTTAAGTACCCTATAGAATGATTCCGGGCTTTTTTCTATATTAGTAAAGTTGCGGGTCCCAAATGGTATTGCAACTAAATCTATGCTATTACTTGAAATTTGAGCGAGTTCCTCTCTATCATCTTGAAACCAAATGTTGCTATACCCGTTCTCAATTGATTTTAGCTGTCCTCGTTCCATCATTTAACTGTTAAAATCCGTTACTATAATATTGAATGAGATCTTAATATTCCTTTCCGAACTTATTAACAATTATAAAAGAAATATCTCCAGTTATTCCTGCTACATCTAAAATGTTAGCATGAGAAAATTCCTTGCTTTTTCCTCTTTTTATTCTCAGAGAAATTTTGGTAAAACAATGTTCTACAAAAATGTCTTTGAAAAACCCATGTAGTCCAAAACTCATCAAATCATTCATTAAATCATATTTATTTGAGACTGAACTAAAAATTTGTCCAATTAGCTTTCTTTTCATGTTCTGAAGAACTCTACGATTTCCATAATAAACGTATTTTTCACTTTAATCTATCTTCTAATTCCTAATAGTAAATTCGATCTAGCTATTTTTTCAAATTAACTTGATTTTTTGTATTAGCATTCAAAAATTTGAATCTGGAGAAATGATTTGTTTCTCAAATTAATGAAAAACAAAAATTGAAACCAAAACCACCTTTTGGTATGTCCCTCAATTGATCATTAAGAAATCATTTTAGATAGTTAAATATCTCAGTAAAGTAGTGGTTTAATCGAATAAGATTTCTGTGAAACTAAGAGAAGTGTTTCATGATTTTTTTTACACACAATTTTGATTCAATCCAATTTCCTTTCCCTCAATACTGTTGGTTTTCTCTTAAAACCTCAAAGCCTGATTTCCATGTCCCACTGTTAATTATATAATAAAATAGAAATATAATTGAAAATGATTCATTTATAAAGAATTTGTTTGAATACACACAAGTACTCACTATTTTTTAAAAACAATTCCAATGTCTGACTCCCATAACTAAGAATTAAGTAAAAGACCGGTTGAAATACAAAGATATATATTGCACTATAAAAAAACTAGGTTTTATACACTTATAATTGTCAAGAATTAACTCAATTTTTGAAATTTTTTCAAGTTATAAAATAAAGGTTTTTGCCTTATTTCAAACAAAAGAATTTGGCGCCATTCATAATTCGTGGATAGAAATATTATAAAAATTTGGAGGAAGAAATATTAATCAAGAAATAATAACTGAAACGAACGTAACTGCTTGAGTTGGTTGTTTTTTTATAAATAGGCGAGCCATTTAAATATATTTTGATCAAAATTTGATGAATTGTTTAACCGTCCACTTCTCGATAATGTAACTAGTGCCACAAACAAACCCACACAACGTCAGCCGTCTCTCTTTCATGTTAATATTGAATCTTAGTGGGTATAAGCAAGGATAAGAAAGGCAATAGGTAGCAAAAAGGATCTTAGGTTGAATATTAATTGATGAAAGGTGGGAAGTAATTTCATGACGGAAAGATCGATTTCAACGTGAGCAAGCATCAATAACGGTGAAAGGAGTGAGAAAGGGTAATAGAATGATTGGTCTGGTAAAAGAAAACACAAGTAATATTTCTAATAATATAATTGCGGATGGTATTTATACAAATGAGAACTTTAAGTCGCATAGTATAAATTCACAATCTCAGAAGGACGAACGTAAACGAGCTTCAAAAAAAAATAAAGCAGTGGGAGATTCTGCGTTCAGAGCGTTTGCTAACAACTTTATGTCTCTATTTGGGTATGGTGATACTCTTAAATCTGTTAATGAAGCAGGCTTCTCGGAGATAACAGCTGAGCAAAAGCCAGACAATTCAAGGCAAAGTTTCAGTGATGTAATGGGTGTTGAGCATACTAGAAATGAGACTGTTGCAATTGGAACAGATGTTGAGGATGGGAATTCACCCACTAAGGAAAGTAAAGTTGGTGGTTTAAGGCTTGAAGTAGGAAACTCAGTGGCCTCATTAAATGCTGACAACAAATTAAGCCATTCAAGTAAAGTAACTGAAAAGAATTCTGAAGCAGTTTCAAAACCATTCCCTGAAAAAAAGACTGGTCATTCACAGCTACAAATTATAGCCCATGTTAGTGGTAGGCCAGTGCATGCAAAATACTCCTATGGGAAGAATAAGTTTAAGGTAGCTCATAAAAATGCCGAGAACCCCAATGGAAAGCATTTTGGTTCTGATAAAGAAGGGAAGCAAATCTCAGATACTCAGAATTTCAATTCAATAATAATTCCTTCACCTGTAATCCAGTTTAGACAAGTCCCAGTTCAAGTGGTGGGCCAGAGGCATCAGATTGTCTATAACACTCCGTTAATTTCACAAAGGATTATTCCCCAAACAAATAAAATTATTTACCAACCTGTATATACTCATAACCAAGTTGAAATGGCTAGCAATGGGCCAGCTGGACCCATTGGACATGGTGTGATGCACAAGAATATGTACTCTCATGAAACCTTTGTTGGAGCAAATACTGTATTTTCGGGAAAAGAGTTGCCCGGAAGTTATTCAGCTGGAATGGGAGCAACAAATGCTTTAAAAAACACAAACGTCTGCCTGAATAATCAAATATTAGGGTTTGGAACACCACTTGTTGGTTGTAGAAGTATGTCTCATGTTCCAAATAACGGTTTTATTAGTATGGACTCTGATCAGACTTCTGGTGGGGAACTTTTGGATGTAAACCAAGAAACCAGACTTCAATCAAGTAACGAAATTGCTACAAGTAGTGTGGATCATCCTAGAAATGGAACTGGAGGATCTTTGGCTTCTGTTGGAAGTTCATGCCAACCAACTTCATCTTTTAGACTTGGAATTCCAATAAAGGTAAAAACATTGGATGAGAATAGTACAAAAAAGAAAGAGAACCAACCCTCTGCTAAAAATGGTATTCAGAGTTCGAAACAAGTTGTAAGGACAAGTAATGGAAATTTCCAAACTCTTTCACTTACAACAACAACATCTAGTGATACAGGAAGTGTAACCATGAGTAATGGTTCACTCAATCCAAAGACCACATTAGAGAAAAATGCCAATACTAATATAGATGTGGTAAAACCAGGCAATAGAGAGAACAGTAAGATACTAGAAAAGATAAATGAGAATGAAAATGGGACACAAAAAGGGTTCATTCCCCAGGCTAGCCCAGTGGTTAACTATAGAAGTGCTTTGGATTATCTTGTTACCCCAATGGTAAGATATAGAGATATTGCAAGTAATCTCAAGGTTAGAACAGTTCCTCCCCAACTCTCAAGTAATGATGCGTGTAAATTTTTCAAAACTGAGGTTTCAGGAAATGGAATTGCGGGTTTATCAAACAGTTCAAATTCACCTAGGAATATGAATTTCACGGGTAGTAATGAATATAGAGAGACAGTATATACTCCAGTAGCTCCTTTTCCTATCGCTTCAAACTATCCGGTGGTCACTGGACCTGGGAATTCTGGAGTTATTGAAATGGTGAATTCCAAGATACAACCAAATGGTAATGTTTTAGTTACTAGTGGAAGCTATATTGATAATTCCATATTAAAACAGATTCCTACCCTTAACACTCATGGAAGCAATCCAATAAACGGAGTAGTATTCCCCGGAAACTCGCAAGGTGGAAGAATTTTTGATAGAAGTTTAAATTCTCACATTTGTAGAGCTCCGGTTGCTGTTCCTCAAAATCTTGGATATAGACTAGTTAGAACAGCTGCGAAAAATCATGTTGGAGCTGGTAAGATCCCTGTGGGAGGAGGAGTTTCCATTTACAAAGAAAACTATACTAAAGAGGAGAATTTCAGTTACAATAAGAATCATAATGTAAGGAAGGGATATGTAAATAAAATGTATCAATATTTAGCAGATTCAAGTCAATTCCCTCCTCTTCCAAAAGAAATTTATGTGGATGATATCGAGTTTCTAACACGTCCTATTTCTTCAGAATCGATTGCAAATATGAATAAAAAGCTCTCTATCAATACTCGGGATAGTGAGACAAATGTGAGTTTAGTAAAGTGTTCTACTCCTGGTGTAGGAAGGGAATGGGATAGCATTAATAGGGGAACGTTTTGCACAGTATATAAGGTAAGGCATGGAGAGTGTATTGCAGCTATTAAGTGTCCACAAAAAAGGATTCATGATTTGGACCCACTAATGTCAAGATATAGATGTTATACAGAGTGGAAGTTATTGTACAGATGCAATAGGCATCCAAATATCTTAAATTTGATTGGAGGAATTCGAATTAATGAGTATGAGATTTGGCTGGTGACAGAATACATTAAGACAGGGGATTTATTCAAGTTGATTCATGGTAATGGTTCTCGAAGTAAAACTTTTAGAGAAAGCGTGGAATATAGGTACAAAGTAATGTATCAGTTGTCAGATTCGATAAGATTTTTACATTCTCTATCTCCGAAAATAGTTCATAAGGATCTTAAATCAAATAATATTTTGATTGATGAGAATTATAACATTCGAGTTTGCGACTTTGGGGATGCTGAAGAACTTCATTATAATGTTATAACTTGTTGTACAGCGGTTACATGGCAATATGCACCTCCAGAAATTGTGGGTTGCAGTGATCCAGCAAAGCCTAATTCAAATGCAAATGAAAAGGTGGATGTCTGGAGCATGGGTTGCATATTTTTGGAAATTTTATGCAAAAGGACTCCCTTACAACACATATTGGATAAAGTTGAGGAAAGTGGTAAGCATTCAACGCTCTATAATTTGATCCATTCAAATAAAATTGAGGGAGAACTAAAGATTCCTCCACTTCCGGATTCTTTGTATAACTTGATTACAATGTGTCTAAGACCAAATCCTGAACTCAGGGCATCTTCAAAAGAAGTTTTTGATTATTTAGTCAACAATGAAAAAAAAATATTGAAGCAGTTGAGTTACATCAACCAATATAAACTGACTAGTAGTGGTGGCCATTCAATTACGAATAATCAAAACAATGATATTAATGCTTTATCTCAGTTTAGAGCTGTATAACAAAAAATGTTATATAGAAATAAGAGGATAACATATATTAATTTACTGAATGTGAAAAGGGTAAAGATAAAAAGAGGGAGTATAAATAAGGTTTTTTAATGAGAAATATTTAATCATATTTATATAGAGAAAATGTTAATTTGAAATTATATAAAATAGAAACAGAATTGAATTTTCAATTAGAATTTACATTTAGACAAATTAACACATTAATTATAGTTTCTTTTGAGTGCTTTCAAAAATGAAGCTTTTCAATTTTCGAGCAATTTGTATTTTTTTATTGGTAAATTCCTATTTGTGTGATCTTTAAAAGATACTTTTAAGTTGGTATATAAAGTGCAGGAACTTTTGGCGGTAAAATACATTCCTGAGTAATGTAATTATAATAGAGTTGTATAATAAATCAGAGGAAAAAAAAATTTGTGCGTGTGAAGACTCCAACAGGAATAAAAAAATCTTAGTTGCCACATTTTTGGTTTGTACTGAAATGTTTGAATAAAGATGTCTCAGTATAACTATGTGGTGACAGCCTATGAATCGGGGTCTTTTAAAGGGATATTGAAGGTGGATTTATTTGGGGATGGTATTAACAGAATATTAGCAGTAAGAACAAAAAGCATCGACATATATGAAGTTAATAGGGATGCAATTTTGATTGATGATAAACTTTTAGAGGACGAAATTTTAGATATGCCTGTCTTGAATAAAGTTGGAACAGTAGAAGTATATAAGGATATAATAGAAGTTGATAGGTGGCGTCCAAAGAACCAAGATTTTGATGACGTATTAATTTTTACCAGGGAGTATGAGCTAATTTTAATAAGAGCATATTTATTGGATTCTGGTTCTGATAAAATTTTGTATTTAAGTATACTAGATCAAGTTTCCTTATATAAAGAGAATTTAAGAAAGTCCCAGTTAATCAAAATGCTGGTTCATTCTGAAAAAAACAGAATAGTAATTCTAGCCTATGAAGGGTGTTTACAGGTTGTGGGGTGCGAAATTTCAAATAAAGACCAAGAAAATAAGACTATTTTCACATCCCCTTTAATTCTCAGACTTTCGGAACTAACGGTAACTGACATTTGCCTCGTGAATACCACCAATGAGAGGAGTCTCCTGGGAATCTTATATGATTCCGGATACTCAAATGATCCTAGATTAATGAAAATGATTGAGTTACCAATGGATCTACGTAAATGGTCTTATAACACAAATTTGGGGCATGTAATGCAGCAAAATGTCTTCAAAATAGTACCGTTACTATATAGGTCTAAAAGACAGAAAACAGTTAAAGGTTTATTTTTATTTGGAGATGGAATAGTAGAGTATCGATCAATTGAGGAGATTATGCCAAATAAGACTAAAAGTTCAGAGGCCATTTCAAGTTCGCAAGCAGTGATAATGGCTCGCTTTAATTCAGCAGCATTCAGTGGAATGGACATTGGACTATCTCCTTTATCAATAACTGATGTTTTGAATTTGGGTGATGGTTCTAGATGGTTGGTTTTGGACAATTTGGGTCGCCTTTTCATAATGCTTGTGGAATATGACCAAAATGATATTGACAAAGTAGTTGATATTAGATTGAGTATGATCAATCGCTACTCTCCATTCTCTAGAATCATAGATCTAGGGGATGATTTGTTCTTTCTAGCCTCAAAGCTTTCAGATTCCTTATTATTATATTCCAAAAATAACAAAATTTACATACTATCGAGCTTGCCAAATATTGGTCCAATAAGAGATCTCCTTTTCTCAGATATTAATAGAAAAAGTGAAGTAAAACAAGAGGCTAACCCTAATCTAATATCTAAAAGGGACCCCTTACCACTCATTGCAGCTTGCGGATTTGGATCAGGAGGAGCTCTGAAGTCTATTTGCAATGGAATTGGTCTCCAAAACCTGTATGTAAGCAACGAATCATTTGTGGGACAAATCACAGGGATATTCTCGCTTGCTAGTAATTTTGATAAAGTTGTCGTAACAGGAATTGGTGATTCTTCTTGTTTTAAAATAACATGGAATTATGAAAAGGACTTTGATGATGGTGCCAGAATGGACCATGTTAACAGTTTTAATAAAGAAAATCCTAGCCAGGAAAAAGGAAGGAATTCAAATACAGTATCTCCAAAAAAATGCTTTATTAGCTTCGAAAAGTGTGAATTACAAGGGCTTCAGAAAGATGAAGAAACAATCAGAGTTTGTGTTTTTAGAGATAGTTACTCTTATCAAGTGACTCCTTCAGGTTTGTTTCCTATAGGAGAAGTCAATTATCATCGTAAAAACTGGTTACTTAAAGACAATCTTCCTCCAATTCAGGATTCTAGTTTGGAATATATTGAAAAGTTTGAGTTTTGTGAGAAATCTCAAGTTGCCATAATTTGTACCTGTACTGGGTTGCTATTATTATACAAGTTTGACGATGAAAGTATTCTCAGTTTGATTTGCTTTAAAACTAAGACTGAACTGTTTGAATTAATTTCTGAGAACTTGGGATTCAACTGTTTATCTGAAGAAAGTAAAGATTTGAGCAATGAAAAGGATATACTTAATAATTCCATCTCAAGAACTATGGATGAAATTTGTATTATGGGGCTCTTTTCCATAGATAACTACATACTCTTATTTTTAGGAACATGGATGAATGGAAGTAAATTAAGTTGTTTATACTACGAGAGACAAGAATCTGGAACCATTTCAAATGCTGAACTCCTTCTGAATATAGAAACTGAGTTTCGAGAATATGAGACAATGGTTACCTCATTAAAGGTCTTTGAGCTAGAGAGGATGGTTGAAACTCAGAGCCAAAGATGCACAGAAGAAGACTTTATTGGACTGATAATTGGTACAAATAATGGATACTTACAATTACAATATATTCCAAAAGATGAAATAAGGAATTTAATAAAAAGGAAACATAAAAACAACCAACTAAAAGATATAGAAGACCTCTATGAATTTAAACATTATAATACTTGGAAAGTATCTAATAGCTTTATATCAGAAATCCATGAATTGGCAATTTCAGAAAGCTTGAATAGACACTTTTTTATTTGCTGTGACCAACCCAAAGTCTTGTTTTGGAGTTATAATTCCGGTAAAGGTAAACATGGTCTCGGTGTATGGAGCTTTTTTAATATACATTCTTCATGGATTCCTTTTGCATGCCAAATAAGACTGCCCACAAACCCTACAACAAAACAAGAATTAACAAAAAATAAGTGTTTGGAAAAGACATATATTTTGTATGTAAGTCACGAGGAAAAAGATGCTAACGAGATTCACATAGATGAATTAGCAAATCAAGATACTGAGAAATCTGGTGGAATTCAAATTTTTAAAAAAACCAGCCAACAACGTTTACTCAAGATTGGTCTTATAGATACTCTTCAGAGATATAATTGTAGAAGTATCCCTTTGGAATTTACTCCAGAAAAGGTTTGCTTTGTTGAAGATCTTAATATATATGTGGTAGTGGGGGTCAAGGAAAGGTTTAAAGGTAGATCTACAATACTTAAACCCATTAATGATTCCAATATACTTGATAACAGAGAAAAAAGAGAAAACAAAGAAAGTGAATTAACATTTATAGAATCTGTAATTTGCCTTATATCAACACAAGATATGAAGATTCACTATTATAAGACTTTAGAAGCAAACGTATACCCTACATGTTTAGAATATGTGACTTTACGTGCTTCAAATGATGAAAATGAAATTAGATCTTTCTTGGCAATTGGAACCAGTAGAATAGAAACCAAAATGAATCCAAGTTCGAACTCAAATTTAGGAACAGAGAATTATGGCAAGATTACACTTTATACGATTATCAATAGAAAGCACTCCTATAATCTGATTGAGTCTGCTGTATATGAGACAGAAGTTGCTCCATTTGTAATAAAAGAGTTCAAAATGTCTCAATTGCTCATTTCCATAGAGAATTCTCTGATATGCTTAGAACTTCATGTATCCAAAAATTTGACGGAGTCTTCTAGTTCAAGTTCTTCAAGCTCATCAGACATTTGGATGGACACAGAAACGGATCTTGAACTGGGAAATGTCGAACTTAGGAGGAAAGAAACTTATTGCACTCATACAATGATAGTGTTTATTAAAGTTTGGAAGGAGGAATACATCCTTGTTGGAGATTTAATGAGATCAGTCGGACTTTGGGAATTTGACAGATATACAGGTAAATTTCATGAAGTTTGTAGAGATAACTCTTTAGCTTGGGTAGTTGAAGGTTTATTTCTTTCAAAGGATATGTATTTAATTTCTGACGAGAATCGAAATTTGAGAGTCCTTATGCGAAGTCCAAACCCAGAAAATGATGAAACCAATACTAGTTTGTCCTGTATTGCTCATCTTCATGTTGGGGAATCAGTCACTACCTTCCAAAGGGGGAAATTTAATCAGGCATATCCTGATACTAGAAAAAGCACTGGAGGGCAAGATTTTATGGAAGAAAGCCTTGGAAAATTAATGTTTGACGAACAAATAGCATTTGGGACCTCTCAAGGAGGTATTTATCTTTTGTTCAGTATTAAAGATGATCCAAGAATTTTTTCTCAATTAGTATTGATTGAAGAAGCAATAATTAGTGCTTTAAAAAATAGTAATTTGAGAATAGAATTAAAAAATAAGGTCTACAAATTAAAAGATTCAGACTTGAGGAAGCTATTTATTAGAAACTCAAATTCTTCTTTATTCTCTGGAATAATAGGAGTTCTTGGTGGGGAAAAATACTTACCATTAAGATGGGAGTTAAATAGTACAAAAGAAAGTTATAACTTTGAATATGATTGTTCAGGAACTCCCAGAGGATTTGTGTGTGGTGACACTGTAGAGTTATTCCTTGATTTTCCCTTGGATCTACAAAAGTCTGTTTTAAAAGAATTGCATTCATTCAAATCTGCAAGAAAACTGAAATTACCAGATGATGTAAACCAACTAGAAACTCTAATTGAGCAACTTAAAAATATGCATTAATTATTATAATTTATAACTATATATTCTATACTTAGCACAAAGATTCTATAATTGATTTATATATTATTTTGTTTTTCTAAAATTTGTATTTCCTCTCTTTTGAATTTTGAGATCAAAATTTTAAGTAAGGAAGACTACAAAGAAGATTATGAAAGCAATTAATAGCAAAAATAGCTTGATAATCAAACCTCTGTTGGATTTGACATAGTTATAATATTTTATAAGTTCTGCATGGCCATGCTCAACATTAGAAAAAGTATTTGTAATATCTTCATCTATTCTCTGAATCATTTCCTCTTGTTGGGTGACCATTCCTGCAACTTTCTGGAAAATTTGTGCTAGTTCACCAATCATCCTTTGTACATTTTCCACTGCCTCTGCCCTTGATCTTGCATAAGAAAAGGATTGATTTTGGTGCTGCATCATACTCTGGGCTCCTCCAAATTCAAACCCAGTACCTCCTCCATGTTCCATACCATGTTCACCACTTTCTATATCGAAAGGAACTCTACTCATCTTAGAGTACTTTGTTCCACTACTAAAAGAAACTTTTGATTCTCCCATTGAACTCCCAGTTATACCAGGAAGCTGATTTGAATTGGATGAATATGAATACAGATTCCTTCTCCAATCCTGTTGCTGAATTACCTCTGTTCTTTTCTGAAGTGTATCTTTAAAGTCTCGTGTAATATCAAGCATCCGTGCCTTTAAAGTTTCAACCATCGTGATGTAATGTTGGCTACTCTGATAATATCCTCCGGATGAGGGAAACCCTTGTTGGGCATGTTGCTGTAAGACTTCGAGTCTGGAATTTAATTCTGTTACGCTTGTCTTTATATCCTCAGTAAGTTGATGAATTTGGCTGGTTCTATCCCTAAAGAGCCCTTTTTGTTTAACTATCCTATTCAATTCTTCTATTTTTAAAGATGTAGAGTTCATTTCTTGGCTGATTTCAGATGCCAACAAATTAAACTGACTACCCTGAATTGAATTAGAGTATCTGCTCGATTGGCCAGTATTCCCTATCCTTCCCTCGCTTCTTGTGCTATCATATTTCTCCACAAAATTAAAAAAATCTGCAGTTCGGTCGCTATTTAGCATCTTTTTTGTCCACCATCAAATTGATTTGATCTTTTGCCTATTTAGCTTTTTTTTCTATTTGCCTTTATCAACCTACATGTGGCGGATTTACTTGGCTAATAGCATGAACAATAAATATTACAGACATAATTGAAAGGGGGGGAAAAATAAAAGGCGCCATAAATGAATTAGGTAGATCTCTGGAATACAAATAAAAAGTTTGATTTGATTGTAACAGATTGACTTCAATAATACACGAACTTTACACATTTTCAAATCTAAATTTCCTTAAGTAGTCATTAATAGAACTTTTCTTTACAAAGTTAGAAATATTTTAAGAATTTGTCAATCTTGACTATTTATGGAGACCCAGGTACAAACTTGCACTTTTTTTATAAAGTCAAAATCTAGGTATTGTAAATTTCCTAGATATAAAGACTCAAATTTCTGCAATTTACATAAAGGAATAGAAGATGAGCTTTGCGATGGGGCTCATGAAAAATTAGATAATCAGATTATTCCTTGTTTTATTGATGGGAGACATTTTGTATCTAGAAATAAAATAAGATCTCATATTAGAAAGTGTTCTAGAGTTAGGGATATTGCATATGAGCTTAGACAACCGTTTTGTATACATATTAATGGACCTCCTCATCAGTTATTGGATCTTAGAGAAAGATTACGAGCAAAGAGAATTTTGGGAATAGAAGACAATAATCAACAAAGTATTGAAAACGATTCTTCAGATTCTAAGAAAAAGTTAGTTATTTCAAAAGAAAGATTGGAGTTTGTTGATAAGCTCCATGATTTTTGTATTAGTCAATTTGGTAATAACCCACATTTTGAGTCAAGACAGGTTAATATAAATGACTTAAATTTGAATAGGCATGATCTACAGGCAATAAGTATTTCCAGAGAATTCAGCAGGAGATTAATTAACGATGGTAATCCTATCTCTTATTGTAATTCGGAAAATGACTTTACAGTGGACGGTGATAATTCTTTGGTAATAGAGTATGGAGCTGGAAACGCTGTTCTATCTTATTGGTTCATTAAAGAATGTCAAAAATCCCAAAATAAAAAAAAATGCTCTAAATTTAGGAGTGTAATAATTGACAGAGAGTCAAGGAGGAAGCAAATGGAAAAGTTGGATGAGTCTATTTCTTCTATAAGATTAAGACTAGATATTGAACAATTTGATATTAATGCTTTGATTTCATTATGCAATGATGAACAAATTCCTAAAGAATCCATAATAGAGAAGATGTATTTAAGTTTAGGGAATGGAAATATACCATGGATTATTAATACCTTGCTTGAGCAAAAAATATGGGTATATGATTCATCAGGAAAGCAAATACAGACAATAGATGAGGTTAAAAAGCTGAGTAAAGAGGAACTCAAATATATTTTAGCGACTTTATCAAATGGAGGCGGACCTGATATCTCAAAGTAAGTTAAACTATACAAGTTTTTGTACAGGTTTACTAATTAACCTATTTTAGAATTGAAGAAACAATAATCAACAATTTTGCAAAAAAACCGGTTCACAAAATTTTTGTGATTTCCAAACATTTGTGTGGAAATGGGTTTGACTTGGGCCTTAAATCAACCCAAGGTGCAGTAAAGGAGATGAAAAGTGGCTCTATGCTTATTATAATAATGTCTCCTTGTTGCCATCATAGATGTTTAATTTCACAACACCTTGGGATTGAAATGCTCGAACAACCTGATTTGCAAAATAATCCATTTGAGAATTCAGAAGATTGCTTTAAGTTTCTTACATCTATTTCTTCCTGGTCTACCGGAACTAATGATTATAGAAGTGATTATGGATTCAAAGCTAAATATATACTAGATTCATGCAGGTAAGCTGTCAAAAGTAACGCGATCAAATAGGTTCTCACATTAACTAATTAACACTAATAGGCTATTCTGGCTTAAAAGCATAGGATTCACTAATTTAGTTTACCACACATTTACTAGCAAATCCGTTTCTCCAGAAAACATTCTGATTACTGGCATTTATTATAAAAAGTAGGCGCCACATTACAATAGCTAATTAAATTATTATATTTGACCTATTGCAATTATTCGTCAAAAATCCCATCCATGGATAATGCGAATGGTCAACAAAATATAGTATCATCCTTCCCACCTCCTCCACCATATTTTCGTCTCTTTGACCACGAAGACAAAGTGACTAAGATAAAGCCTCCTCCCTGTATTGAGGGGCCTTTTACTTGCTTTGGCTCTCAACTTTCTTCCGAGATTTCTATTCATCCATTGGATAGTGACACCATATTGTATGATGAATCCAACGATGATTTGACAGCAGAACTGATGAAGTTAAACGAAATGTTTCAGATGGAAATACTTAAACTTTTGGAGAATTCAGGGAAAGGAGTAGTAGATACATCCTCAGTCAAGAAAATAATTAAAATATATAATAATATGAATCATATACTCGAGAAGCTTAGAGTAATACAGACATATCACCAAATTTATGATGAACTAGAAGCGCAGGTTAATGAGAAGAATCAACTTTTGAATCAGATAAAACAGCATCTAGAAGAGTACAAAAGTTTATTGGCTGACTCAAATAAACAAAATGCAGACAAAATGACTGACTAGAATGCATTTATAATGTCTAATGACTTTATCATTTATATATAATTAGAGTTTTAAGATACTTTAAGTTTTTAATTTTTTTTTCTTGTATAGAATTCTTTGTTTATATCCACAAATAAATATTTAGGCTGATAGCTTAAATATTTTAAGAGAAGGAAAAGAAAATTTCTTCATCCTATACCTTGGTAAAAATAGTGAAAATACTACTACCGCCAACTCGATCTCTTGGAATTAGCTGTAGCTCCGACCCATGCTTAAGAAATATTTGTCCTGCAGTATTGTTTGGATTTATTCCAACTCCTTCTAAAGTTATTACTGCGCTTGTAGCAGAAGATACTTTAAACTATTAAGTTTTGAGTAATGATCGTATTCATGCTAACTAAAACTCCTCTGAAATAAACTTACTTGCTCAGATGCAAACTTAATTACAGCAGTAAATGGAGCATCTTCTGGCACTGACAGTCTGATGACTAATTAATAGCTATAATAATATTATTTGTAAAAACTCACATCTTGTAAGGCCTATTTCTATCTGATGCAAGAATAATTTTGAAGGAAACTTTTGTGCCTGAAGTCATTAACCTGTATAAAACTATTTATTGTTATTATTGTAGATTTGCAACTTTATTGAAATGCTAAATTATTAATAAAAGATTTGCTTTATTTTTTCCAATTGACGTGTGGAAATAAAATGGAGGGAAATTTTTATTATTTAATTTACAATTGATAATTAGAAATAAAAATTAATAATATAAAATTTATGGATTCTTGAAATGAACAATTTTTTAATCAGAATAATTCTTTTATGCCTTTTGTAAGTTCTGATTCAACTCTATTACTTTATGATTATTAATTTCTAATTAGTTTAATCTTTGCTTTAATTACTATTGTACATTGTGAGGAAAAGATGGATGTTTTTGGAAAAGTGGATGCCCCTGAATCTTCTTTAATGAAAACCCAGATTTATTTGACGGGGAGAAGACATCCGATTTATCCCAATTCAGCTGGGCATTTTCAAATGTAAGTTAAATAAATTCGCTGAAAATGCAAAATTATTTTGTAAAGTAACAATTTACCAAAGGGAGAATACCTATTAAGAGTACTGGGCCCTGAATATGTATATAATTCCTATATTATAAATATAACCGAACAAGAAACAAAAGATGGGACGAGACTTGTTTGCAAAAAGTTCATTTTTGATTACAAAACAGGAAAACCGGGAAGCACAGTAAATAGCTATGTTTTGAATATAAAACCTTTATATTCAACAAACAAAACAGATGATAGCCAGGGTGGCTTAAAAAGCCTATTTTCTCTATTGAAAAACCCTCTGGTTTTGATTTCTGCTGTTTCTTTAGGAATTACTTTTGTTCTCCCCATTTTACAGGACAGTCTCGATGTAGAAGCTATGGAGGAAATCACAGGCTCAGTTCCTGGAGGTAAGTTATTATTAAACTTTGTAATTAAATTTGGTTAAAGTACACAAATTAAAATTCAGGCAACTACGTTTCAAATTTTTTGACAAAGATCTCATAGCCGTTCGTATATAAAAACAAGGTAACTAATAGATAAATTCGGTAGTAAGATAGACTTAAATGATAGTTATGATAATTAAACTCTTAAAAAATTTTTACCATTTAATGAGTATCTAAAAGGGATGATTGGGTTCTCATTTAACAATCCAACTTGAGGTGAAAGCAATAATTCCTCAGCTGAAAAATGTTCCCATCCTGTACCTCCAACGGAAACAATACAGTAAATGGAATAAATTACTCTCAAAATGCAGACTCCAACTGGAGTAGTAATTAATATGAATAGGTAGTGTACATATATGATGAAAATTGTTAGATAAACCTGATATTTGTAGTTTGAAGGGCTAATACAAATATTGACAAACTTGTCAATAACACCAGTAGAAATAAGGTAATCCTGAAAATTGTCACAGCTTGAGTCATCTTCGAGTATTAAAATACCACAATTTTTAATAAGATGATTACTGTGGAATTGATCATTAGATATACAGATTTTGGAGTAGCTTTCTGAGCATTGAGCTAATAAAGGCCTCTTCCAATCTCGGAAAAATTCGGATTCAAATATACAATTGTTTCCATATGAAGATTCATTAACAAAAATGTGGTTTATATCTTTAAGCATAATTATAGTGGTTATAAGATTGATTAGAGTTAAAAATAAACATGAGATTGCAAGTTTTCTGGTAGAAAAGATGGATGTGAGTAACGCCAATATAGATGAAGAAAGTATTGTAAAGTAATAATAATATAAAGTTGTTGTACCTGAGGTATAGACTAGAAAAGGGAGGCCATTGAAGTTCCTGAAAATAATTTTGTAAATTAATATACTAAAGATAATACCAATAATACTCCATATTTGAAGGGTCTTTCCAAGAGAAAGATTGAGATAGTTCTTATATGTAGAAAGGATGAAGGGCTTAAAATACTCACGATTCTCATAATTCATTTTATCTGGATTCTTAAAAACTGAATTATTCCAAGTTCTTAGAAAGTTCAGGATTCATCTGGACAAAAAAATCGTAATTAAATTTAAAATAATCTGGAAAATTAAAGATATTAGCCAACAAAACTTAAATTTGATCTGCAAATTTTCATAGAATATAAGTAGAACAACTGAATAGTTAGATCAACCGAGTATCGTAATTTTCCAAAATTTGAAAAACAACCATTTAACTTTTATTTAAACTCTATTGTTTTTATTGGGCTATTCATTGTAAAATACGCGCGTAGTAATTTTTAACCGGTAAGTAATATAATGTCAAAGGTCAAATTTACAAAACGCATAAATTCCTAAATAAAAGAAAACAACTGTTTTGTTTTTATTTGGGAAATTTTTTGGTTCTATAGCGTTAATTCAGGTATATATGCTTATAGGTTTGGCTTTTAAAAGGAGAGATGGAGTACCAGAGCCGAGATAGACTACTTTCTGCAGTTTGGCCGCACATTGAATCATTCAATACATTTTTGTCTGTTGGATTAAAAAACATTGTAAAGAATTTACCCAAGATTTATGTAGACTCGGGGTTTGTTCAAGATGATTGCGAACTGAATGCAGCTTATAGTCCAATTGAATACCTTAGAATAGGAGTTACATCTGCAAAGATAGGAAAACCTATTTTTGGTAATTCTGAATCAGCTGGCACAAAGTTGACTCCCCAGCATGCTAGAAATGGTCATATTAGCTACAGTGCTCCGCTCTGGCTAGAATTTGAATGTTATAACTCCTTTTCAGAAACTGTTTCAAAACAAAGTGTTTATGCTGGAACAATTCCAATTATGGTTAAGAGCTCAAGCTGCCATTTGTTTGGTCTTGGGACAAAAGAGTTGGTGGAAAGGGGTGAGGATCCAAACGAGGTTGGTGGTTACTTTATTATTAATGGAAATGAAAGAGTTATTAGATATGTAATTCAACAGAGATGTAATTACCCAATAGGGCTTAAACGCCCAAGGTTTGCAACATTTGATTCATTTGGATCAGAGTATGCTATTTTGATGAGGTCATTAAGAGATGACGGAACTTCTACAGCAAACTATCTATATGGTACATCCGATCATCAGTGCATTTATAGGGTTTTATTAAACAGGCAGGAGTGGCTAATTCCATTTTGGCCATTACTAATGGCAGTTGGGTCGATTTACGATTCGAATATACTTAGGAGCAAGATTCTCCAATATTGCAACCCAAAGGACGAAAACTTGTTTAACACAATTAATATGCTTACTCTTGAATGGGGGTTTGATAATTCAATTGGAGTTGATTCGGAATTTAGTTCTGCATCTTTTGGAAATAAGGGGCCTGGAGACACTGATATATTGGAAAATAGATATTTACATTACATAGGTAGATTGGTTTGGGAAGGTGTATCTTTTCATCTACCTCCAGGTAGCCTTTTACAAGAAGCAGGAAGATTTTTAATTGATAACTATGTTTTAGTTCACTTGGAGGAGTGGAATGCAAAGTTGGAGTGCCTAATTTTAATGTTTATAAAACTAATCAAACTACAACTTAATGAGATTCGTGAAGAGTCAATAGATTCTTTTGCATATCAGGAATTACTATCCCCAGGGAATTTATACTCAGCTCTATTTAAAGACGCAATTTTTTCTTTTCTACAAAAGATAAGGTCTACATATCTGATTGAGATGCGTTCCAAAAATAGTGAGAAGAATAAGGAGACTAAAGATGGGGGGAATCTGCTTAGAGATATGTCATACTTCAAATCAACTTTATCAAAGAATATTGCAATGATACCTAAACGTCTCCAATATTTTATGGCAACAGGTAATGTGAAAACCACTCAATTGGATCTTCAACAGCTCTCAGGATGGACTGTTGTCGCAGACAGGTTAAACTTTAATAGATTTCTATCCCACTTTAGAGCTGTACATAGAGGGCAGTTTTTCACTACTATGAAGACCACAGATGTAAGAAAATTAACGGGTGAAACATGGGGATTTCTTTGCCCAGTACATACACCAGATGGTGAGCCATGTGGGTTACTTCTCCATCTCTCACAAGATTGCATTCCTGTAACTCAGTGGGATTCACAAGAAACACTTAGACGCTTAAGAAATTACTTGATTTCTCATGGTATACCATGCGATGATGGGTTAGGATCACTTTCTTCAGCTTGGGGTATAGAGTCCTCTTCAAGAGATGATTTACATTCCCCAGATTTATCGAAATCCATTCCTGTAATGTTAGATGGAAGAGTTATGTTCCACATCCCCAGAGAGGATTTCACAGCTTGGGAGAATAAATTAAGAACTTTGAAATGGCAAACAAGCCCATCCGTATTACCAGTTCATGCGGAAATAGCATGCGTTCCTCCAGATTCTGGTATGTTTTCAGGAATCTATATTTTCACTGTTCCTGGAAGGCTTGTAAGACCAATTATGCATCTTGAAACCGCTCAAGTGGATTGGATTGGACCATTAGGCCAACCATGGATGAACATTGGTGTAACTGAAGAGGAGACTCAAAAATCAACAGAACTCCTTGAAATTCAAAAAAGATTAATTGGCATCTCAGATACTGAATCAGAACAACAGTTAAAAGACGATTTAAAAGTTTTAAAAAAACTAATTAAGGATAATGACAGAGTACTTTCATCTGTACCAGTTAATTACACACATATGGAGCTACACCCATCGACAATTCTTTCTATTACTGCCAGTCTCATTCCTTATGCTCACCATAACCAAAGTCCAAGAAATATGTATCAATGCCAAATGCTTAAACAAACTATGGGTACCCCTTGTCTTAATCACCAATATAGAACAGACAATAAGATGTATAGGCTTTTAACTCCTCAAGAGCCCACTATTATTACTAAAGGTTATTCGTCTTTTGGGTTTTCCGAATATCCAACTGGAACTAACGCAATTGTTGCTGTAATGTCTTATTCAGGTTATGATATGGAAGACGCCATGATTCTTAACAAATCATCTTATGAAAGAGGAATGTTCCATGCTTGTGTATATAAGACTAAGATCATTTCAGCTGCTCCTCCTAGTGCTACAAAAAAGAGTGACGCAGAAAGCTTCTTTTTTCATAATGTTGGACCGGATGGGGAGTTGGTTGTTAAAGAGCTTTCAGCAGATGGACTTCCTAATATTGGCCAAAGACTTACAAAAGGTTCTCCAATTTGTAGAGTTGAACGTATAGGTTCTGGAGGACCTTCTAATGCAATTGTTCAAACTTATCATGACGATGAAGTTGCATATGTAGAGAAAATTAATAGAATTGCTAGTGGAATTTCTATAGAATTTCAACAAGATTCTCTAAGTGGAGGAGGCGGAGATGGACCTTCTAATTCTTCAGGCTACGGAGAAAAGGTATCTATTAAACTCAGAGTTGTTAGAAATCCTATGGTTGGTGATAAGTTTGCTTCAAGACATGGCCAAAAAGGTATTCTTTCAATGCTTTGGCCACAAGAAAACATGCCATTTAGCGAATCTGGTATGGTTCCTGATATCCTATTTAATCCTCATGGTTTTCCTTCACGTATGACTATAGGTATGCTTTTGGAGTCTATGGGAGGAAAAGCTGCTTGTATTCATGGAGCTAGAAATCTGGATGCGACCCCATTTAATATTAATATTTCCGATGATCTTTCGAGGTCTGAAGAGAATTGTGTGACTGATAAAGTTAATGAGAAGACTACTGTGGATTACTTTGGTAAGGCTTTAGAAAGGGCAGGCTTCCAGTATTATGGGTGTGAGCCACTTTATAATGGAATGACAGGAGTGGAGCTCCCATGCCATATCTTTATGGGAGTTATATACTATCAAAGACTTCGTCATATGGTTGCAGATAAGGCTCAAGTTAGAGCAACTGGACCAATTGATGCATTAACTAGACAACCTGTAAAGGGAAGAAAAAGACATGGTGGTATTAGGTTTGGAGAGATGGAGAGAGATTCTCTTATTTCATATGGCGTTAGCTCTATTCTTTTAGATAGATTGCTTATTTGCTCAGATGAGCACAGGGCTTATGTTTGCCCTAAATGTGGGCTTATAATCTCACCCATTTCAAAAAAGGCTATTGCACAATCAATGTCTAGCAGCAAGCTCTCAAATTGCATTCCACCTATTGCAGTTTGTAGAGTTTGCAAATCTCCTTGCAGAATTATTACTCTTCCGTATATTTTTAGGTATCTTTCAAATGAGTTAGCGGCGATGAATATAGTTATTCGCCTGAACTTACAGCAAGAAGACATTCCTATAAGCAATTAAGAGGCATACTAATCACAAACTAAAAAAGAATCTTATTTCATTATCATCTATTATTATTAAAATAACTTATTTTTCTTAATTTTTATTATTACACACAAAACCTTATTTTTTTTGTCTTATTTGACATTTTGCATTATTTTTTCAAATAATATTTTGTTGTTTGGGGGAAATGTGTCTCTTATTTTGGCGGCAACTCAGTTATATTTTAATTAAATGTTATTTATAAAATAAGTGAAAAAAGGCAAACAACTTGCAATTACATAGTTATATTTAATTAAGCAAGATAAGAAATATCTAATAAATAATGCCACCAAAAAAGAATGAGCAGAAGGAGGTTAAAGTACTTTTGGGGAGACCCAGGGGAAATCTAAAGATGGGATTAGTAGGTTTACCTAATGTGGGAAAATCAACTACATTTAACCTACTTTGTAAGCAGGCTGTTCCGGCTGAGAATTTTCCATTTTGTACAATAGAACCACATGAGGCTAGAATGAACGTTCCCGATGATCGTTTTAGAGCACTTTGCAAGCACTTTAAACCAAAAAGTGAAGTTTCAGCAACTTTGACCATCTTTGATATTGCAGGGTTAGTCCCGGGAGCTCATAAGGGGGAGGGACTTGGGAATGCTTTTCTTTCTAATATTCAAACAGTAGATGGGATTTATCATGTAGTTAGAGCATTTGAGAGTGACGAAATTGTTCATACAGAAGGAGAAGTTAACCCTGTTAAGGATTTGGAAACAATTAGCAATGAATTGAGAATGAAGGATTTGGAGAGAGTTGAAAAGTTAATTACAGAGTTAAATAGGCTGACAAAAAACGGAACAGACAGGACCAAGAAGGAACAGGTTGCTGCTTTGCAGATTCTCAAAGATGTTTATGCTCACCTTGAGGCTGGGAATTGGATCAGCAGCAAGCATGATTGGAAATCTTCGGAGGTTGAGTTACTCAATGAGCATCAGTTTTTAACAGCAAAACCGGTTGTTTATTTGGTAAATCTCTCGGAAAAAGATTACATTCGTCAGAAGAATAAATTCCTTCCAAAAATTGCAGAGTGGGTCAGGGAACATATTGACGGAGTAATAATACCGTACAGTGCTGAATTTGAGGCGGCTTTGGCTGAGCTTCACACTGAAGAAGAAAGGATGGCGTACATTAAGGACAAGGGAGCTTCAAAAAGTATGATCGATAAAATCATTAACACCGGTTACTCTGCACTAAACCTATTACATTATTTCACAGCAGGTGAAGATGAAGTTAAATGTTGGACTATCAGAAATGGCACAAAAGCTCCACAGGCTGCAGGAATTATTCACACTGACTTTGAAAGAGGATTCATTTGCGCAGAAGTTTACAAATTTACTGACTTAATGGAATTGGGAAGCGAAGCTGCTATTAAAGCTGCAGGAAAATATTTACAAAAAGGCAAAGATTATGTTGTCGAAGACGGAGATATAATATTCTTTAAATTCAATGTCAGCAACTCTGGGAAAAAGTAGAATAAATATGATATAAAGTAATATACTATTAGCATTAATAAGTTTTATAATTTCTTTATCTAATTTTCAGATTTTTTTTTATTTCTCCCAATAAATTGCTTAAGGATTTGTCTCACAAATATTTGAATTTGATTCTCTATTGGCATACTTCTCATATAGCTTGTTTTGAACAAGGATTTTGAATTCACTAACATTAATTAACCGATCCCCTTTTAGCTTCTGAATTTCATCAGCAACTTCTTGTGCAGCAATCGATATTTCAGAATCATCACCTTTACTAATGCTATCTAAGAGTTCTTTCGTCGATGGTAATTGCAGAAAAGAATGTCTTTGGATTTTTAATAAAAGTTCTGGCATAAAATGACTCATATTAGCTCTACTTGTCATAATTATCATTAAACCTAATACTTTTCTTGATACTTGAGAGTTTAATTGATCAATCGTTTCTTTTGCATTACCCTCTTGCAGATTCATATCTATTAATTTTGGTAGAGCTTTATTCAATTCTACGTCCTGGTTAATAGAGATAACTGAATCCAGAAGATATAATAAAGTAGATGCCAACTCTCTATTAATTTTAGATCTAACTTCACCTTCATTTAAGTCTTCTTTTTTTGAGAAAGTTCCCAAGGTTTCAATATCATCAAAAACTAATATACATGGCCTAGAATTCATTGCATTTTTAAATATACGCCTAAGATTCCGTGTTGTGATTCCGTGGAGAGGGCTTATTAAGTCAATAATATTACAAAACAACACCTTTACTTTTGGACTAATCGATGTCATACTTCTAACAAGAGTGCTTTTTCCACTCCCTGAACTTCCCCATAAAAACCAAGATATTGGATATCCATACATATCAAGCTCGTTTCCAGAAAATTCAGAGTGGTTATTAAATTGTTCTAATGCACTTATGGACTTTTTAATCATTTTTCTAAGTTCGTTTAGCCCCACAAAATCGTTGTCTATTGAGATTTTGGTTGCAATCAAAGAGTCAATAGATGAAGAATAGTAAGAACTTAATTTCTTTGAATTATATTTTTGCAAGAACTCTTGCACGTCCTCATTTCTAATTTTCATCATACCATTTAAATCTGCATCTTTTCCTTTTATTACTCTCTTTCCAATATACTTAACAACAAGAAAATGTTTTAGCTCATAACACAAGTCAATTAATGTAGAATATGCACTATTTTGATATGAAATAGAAGCAATTATCATCTCAATCACATCGTTTGCGACCTCAGTACCTTCAAAAATATCTTTGATTAGTTGAGTTAAATTAGATTTGTTAGTTTCCCATTCAATAGAAAGGTAAATCTCGAACATTCCTTTTCCTAAAAGAACTTGGGGTGGTTTAAAATATGGTGAAACCATGATTAAATGAATGTTAAAGTTTTCCTGCATCATAGTACGTTCTATAAATCTTTTCAATACTCTGTAGATGGACTCTTCAAATTCATTAGAAGGATCATTTGTGGTTGTATTAAAAACTCCAAAATGTATTACTTCATTGCGTAACCCATCATCAGAATCAAGATTATCTTCTTCAACTTGGTCATTAGTTAAATCTCTTGAGGATAGAACATTTAATCTAAAATGTTTTGGCAGTTCAATAATTATGAAGTTGTTGGATTTATATTTACAGTTATTTATTATTTTCTCAAATTCATTGTTGAATATATTTTCAAGTGGCAAAATTGGAGCATTTATATATAAGTAATCGTCAGTAATAAGATCAATTAATTTAAGATCAATAGTTCCTATTAATTTTTCTTCTTTGCTTTTTTCCAGTTCTTCATTAAGAACATGCAGAACTAGATCCTTAATGTTATTAGAAAGAGAATCAGCTACTTGTTTATATATACAAAAATTTGTTGAACGCGGAGTAAAACCTTCATTATTATCTGCTAAAATACCTCTTATGTACCCTCTGAAAATATGTAGTACATTCGAATTTAGCAATGACTTAATAAAAGCCATTTAATATTTTTAGAATGTTAATCTCTAACAAAAGTTATCACAGAACATTTGGCGCCAAGTACATGCCTGATTCTAGAGGCCTAAGACAAACATGCAACAAACAAAATACGATAGTGAGAAAATATTTTAATATAAAGATGAAGTAACCCTACCGGAAATATTTATATTTTGTAATTCATTCCGAAGATATTATGATGTAATATACCTCATCGACGTTGGATGAGAGGAATGGGTTTAGATTCAAGATACCTCTTATTTCATCATATTTAAAAAGAGTCTTTAGCTTGTGTTTTTGCTGAACTATGCTAGCAATATCTGCATCAAGCGTGTCCCTAAGTACGGTTAAAGAATCCCAGTACTTAAGATATCCAACTAGTGAAGGCGGATCATTATATATAAGTCTAGAATTGTGAACTCCAAAATTAGATGCTGATCCATCCTTAGGATTAACCTTGAATATGTGGCATTCAAAAAGTCTTTGTATTTGTGATGCCAAGTTGTTAAGGAGAAGAACTAATGCAGACGCATCGTCAGGGGAAACATCTTTTACATCGTCTGATGTGGCAAGCTTTAAAACTTGATTAAGAGTAGTACTTATCGTTTCATCAACAAGAATTCCAAAGCTTTGGAGATAAATCTGGATAGGTAATGTGGAAGAAAACATAGATGAGACTCTTTTAAGCCGCTGAACTATATCAACAATTATAGTTTCAACCTCAATAAACGTCTGATCCATGGACATATTCTTCATTGATTCCATAGAAAGTGCTTTTTCTTCTAGCAGCTCACGAATTGATGCAGACTCTTTGGTCAAAAGACTAGAAATCGCAGTTTCCTGAAGTTTTCTAAGGGTCAATAGAAGATCAACAAACGAGCCAACTTGTGGAATTGGTGGTGGAAATTTACTACCATATGTGAATGGAATTAGAATTAAGTGGTGAATTAAATAGGTGCAATCTGTATAAAATGTAGCAGTAAAAAGAGGATCGTTTAGTCTTTCTTTGTGAATCGTTGGCCTAAGTAATATAAATAGCATCACCAATTCTCTCACAAGAAAGTAACCTTGCTTTGCAGAGCTTAAACAGTGTTTCTGAGCATCTAGGAGGGCTTCATCCAGAATTTGATGTACTTTCTGAATTAGAGAATGCGCGCAAGAGCTAACTCCACAAATCTGAAGTTGAAGAAAACTCTCATTTTCATATTGAATTGAAGAAAATGAACCAATTTCCATACTACCGATAAGATCTCCTTCGCCAATAAGATTAATTAAATTTGACAAATCGTTGTTCTTGTCTGCCTTTGATTTCTCTACCCCACATTGCTGAAGGAGGTTCGTTAGAGACCCAATTTCTGTGGAGTCGTCAACCAAAATTATAGAGGGGTCGTCACGCATAATAATCTCTCTGGCAAAGCTCAAAGCATGAATCTTCCTTTCTTCATATCTACTAGTCTCCAGTTGGTTGACATAATTTGAAATGGTGTCTTCTCCCGCTGGTATAATTTGAAGTGATCTTGCCTGGACCTCAAATTCTCTCAAAATCTGACAATCTTTTGTCGAGGGTGTTGAAGAAATACCATGTAATAGTCTAGGAGAAATCCAATTCCAGGTATATTTACCAAACAAGGAAATGACTTGAATGTTGCCTGTAAAGCAATCTTCTGACAAAAATTTAAGGAGTGAAATCAAAACAGGTACTGCATGCTCATAAACTGAAAGCTGGCTATCAACACCTTCTGTTCCATCAGAATCCATATACTTATCATTTGACTTGCTAGATACAACCTTATATTCCCATTTGTATTCATTGTGAGATCTAGTTTCAGATGGAAGCAGTTTGTACCCACAATTCTTCTCCGCAGAAAGCTTGCTTGATTTAGAAACCAAAGGATCAAGAATATTGTCAATACAAAGTTTTGAAAGATATGCTACATGCTCATTCACTACACCAACAGATATAAGGGAGTACCAAACATCTTGAAGAGATACTCTGATCTCATCCCCGTCATCTGTTGAACAAGAGTCCTTAGAATCGAACCCAACGTTAAAATCAGAAATTTCCATAAGTAAGCTCCTTGGCAAACTCATTCTTATTCTGATTTCATTTCGTTCTAAATGGAATATATATCTAAATAGTAGTTCAACAATGCTCACAAGCCTTCCTCTTCTATGGAGGTATTCTATTTTGACCTCCTCAAAAACATCTTTTTCTTCTTCAATTCGTTGTATAGCTCTGTTTCCCGTGATATTCTCTGATCCAATTTGATTGATATCGCTATCATCAAAGTTGATTTCATTTAGCTTCTGACTGGCATTACTTAATGCATCAGCAGCCAAATCGAATTCGTATTCAACTAAATAATTATCGAATTCGGCAAAAACGGAGTGAAGCTGTGCTATTGTTTCAAAGAAAACACTGGCTTTCTTGAGGGTCGCAAGTTCCCTCTTAATACTAGAAATCTCTTCAATTTCAGCAGCTCCTTTTGAAGATTCCAAATCTTCTTCAACCTTGGTTTCAATAGATGCAATAGTTTTTCTCAATGCCACTGCTTCAGTCTGAAGCGAGTCCAATTCTTTCTTGGATTTTACATAGTTAATACTGGAAACATCAATGCTTTCTAGTACTGATTCTCTAACACTTCTGAGCTCATCTTCAACCGTTCCTAAAAGTTTTCTGATGCTTTCAGCAAAGCTAATACTGGAGTTCTCAGAATGCGCCTCAGTTAGCATCTTGACTTTAATGCTGGAAAGTAGGTCGTCCATTCTGCCCTCTTATTCTATCATCTCCATATTACTTAAATATTTCGTATTATTTGACACCTAGATTTCCTATCCTCAAAATCAATAATAAAGGCTGACAACTTTAAGCCCTGATTCAGTATATTAGTGCTTTGAACGATTATGGGCCCAGACTTACCAAGCAGTATATTATTGTTAAATTAGAAATACGGTATCTGTCAGTCTTCAGTTTGAAAGACCAATTATTCCCCTCACTTGAAAATTAAAAAAATAGTCTTTGAGGGGCGTTGGTGAGGAGCTTCTTTACAATGAGATACTGGTTAATATTTGGGCTATATTGGGCGGCAAGGTGCACCTCGTGCTGTAAAAAACGAGGAGGCATTGCGGGGAGTTGTCAGCGCCAAATTGGCTTTGTCTACACCAAAAGTTATAATTTAGTAATAAAAGCACAAGCAACACCAATTCGTCCTTAAATTGAAAAAGATAAGGATTCTCGAATAGGAAACTACATTAGTCTAATGATAGATGAAGGAGCTTCTGAGCTTGAAGTTGTGAAGGTTAGAGAAGAAGAGGTTGGGTATAACAAAGAGGTTGAGGAGGAGGAGGAAGGTCGAAGCCTCAGCACTTTCTCGGATAAGGAAGTAGAGTCTAAGGATCTTGCAAGCCTCGAAAAGTTGGGCCCAACTGAAACTGTGGAGGAGGGCTATATTTCTGCAAATGCTACAGAGCTTCCAATACCGGATCCTAACTCTAACTCAAGTGGGCATCTTACTGGGGATGTATCTGAAGATGATGAAACTAACTACGAAAATGATAAGAAATTAATAAACGGTAAGGTAAAGGATCTGAGTATCGGATCTCGCACCGAGGAGGGCGTATTAACAGGGGGAGAAGCTGCTTCTGAAGAGGGGGAAGAGCCTGGCGAAACTGAAACTGTGGCCGATAATTCTGTCCCAGGTAAATCAGATAAACAGGGAATAAAGGGTATCCCTAGGATTCCTAGAAGAAGGTCGAGGAGTCCTAGTCTCGAAGAGGGTCAGAGCGTCGAGGAGTTTAGCAAAATCAGCGGTTCCTTTTCGCCTCATAATTCAGGTACAATTGACTCAAACCATAAGAAACGCAGGAAGAGAACAAGTTCGGGATGGGACGCTCAGAACAACAATAGCTGCAACTCCCCGAACTTGGCTCCTATACCAGGAAATCCCCATGGTCACTTTTCAGGTGTATCTGGAGCCTTATCTGGGAATAACGGAGTTGTAACTAATTCTAATTCGAATTTGGGTATGGGTCCTGGACACTCTAACGTAGGATCCGGAACTGGTATTGTAGCAAGTTCTACAGTGGGCTCAGGAACAACGACGGGAGCGGGGCCCAGGCAAAACAGTCAGATCTCTCGTATCTATGTGGGTTCACTTGATTATTCACTAAACGAGGCTGATATCAAGCAGGTCTTTGGCTCATTTGGGCCAATCGTGAACATTGACATGCCCAGAGAAGGCAACCGCTCTAAAGGCTTCTGCTTCATTGAGTACACATCGCAGGAGTCAGCAGAGATGGCTTTGGCCACAATGAACAGGTTTGTACTAAAAGGAAGGCCAATTAGGGTAGGCAGGCCTACCAACGCAGCAACTAGTAGTGGTAGTCAATCCGGAAGTGGAGGCATAGGGGGTGGCTCAGGGAATGTCGTTAATCCAAATATTGCTGTTTTTAATAACAACCAGATTACACATCCAAATCATCAAATTCAATCGGAAACCACTCATGGAACAGGAATTGCAACCCATTCACAGAATAGAATTTATATCGGCTCTGTTCCTTACTCATTTACAACTGACGATCTAAGACATATTTTCAAGGCATTTGGCGTGATTCTTAGTTGCCAGTTAATTCCCTCAATAGAAAAGCCAGGTACCCATCGTGGCTACGGCTTTATTGAATTTGGTACTGCAGATCAAGCAAAGCTTGCAATCGAAACTATGAATGGCTTTGAAGTCGGTGGAAAACAACTCAAAGTTAATGTTGCAACAGCGCTTAAACCACAAGTAGGTGGTGGGGGCGGAGGAACTCAATCAGGTGTTTCAGGAGCCACAGTAGGCCAGATACCAATGATTAATCCTATGCAAAATGTAATACCCTCCCAAATACCTTCAATGGGTATTCCTCATCAAATGGTTTTACCTTCAATGATGCAAATGCCTAATGTGGCCCCACCCCCACTCCCGATATACCAACAACCACCTGGATATACATTAAGCAATGGACCGACTCCCTATCAAATCCCCAATACCATTTCAGGATCTACCAATAACTCCAATATTATTTTGCTTACAAACATGGTCGGCCCTGATGAAATTGACGATGAACTTAAAGAGGAGGTTAAAATTGAGTGCAGCAAGTATGGAAAAGTTTACGATGTCCGTATCCATGTATCAAATAATATTTCCAAGCCTTCAGATAGAGTACGTATTTTTGTCGTTTTTGAATCACCTTCTATGGCACAGGTTGCTGTGCCTGCACTTAATAACCGTTGGTTCGGTGGCAACCAAGTTTTTTGCAGCCTTTACAATACTGAAAGATACTACTCCTCCTTCCTCGATGACTAGGATTTTTACCATCGTTTGACGCCGCTTATATTTCTTTGAAAGATATCAGGCTAACTCTTTCAAAGCCTATTGGGATTATATTTTCTATAAACCGAATGAATATTGATAAGAATTTACTCCTGAAATACCCTTGATATATGAGTATTTTTCAAGCAACGATATATTTGTGCTCGAGATTAGGTTTAATTTTTTTATTATATGATCTAAAATTGGAATTTTTTTAATAATTTAGAATTTGAACATTTTGTTCAACATCTATCAGTTTAGAAAATCAGAAATTGGCATATACTACCTTGTATGTGTTTATAATTATGTTACAATTTTCATTTGTAATTTTCGGTCTAATAGTAGGAGTCAACTTATACTTAGAAACATCTATTCAATGTACCTTTATCTATCTTTATGTTAAATTGTTATCTAGTCATTTATTTTGTTTCACTCACTATTTACTCGAGGCTAATCTAAATGGCAGTGTGGGGGTATCATTATTACATCAATTTTTCATATTTTTTTTTCAGGTAATGGATAACCTTAAGTTATTTGGGCGGGAACATGTTTGTGTACTGCCTTGATATAAATAATAATTGCTATTTAAATAGTAAAAAAATTAAAGGAAAACAAGCAAAAATAAAGTGGGGAACTGCTTGTTAATATTTGCTTGTTGAAAAAAGGCATATAGATGAATATAACATTTTAATATCAACAAATATTTGAATGATGAACAACCAAATTTAACGCTATAAGAGGTTGAAGAATAAACATTCTTTTAATTCTTATATAAATAACTTACGTTTTACCATTTTAAATTAAAGCTTTAGAGTTAGTTATTTCACGCATATTATTGATTGTGGATTTATAACAATAATATTTGAAAATTATTATAATGGAAAAAAATGAATTATTTATTCTAGATGACCCATTTAACCTTGAGTTAAATCTCAAGAGATCAAATATGGAAATGGAATCAGAAAACTATTCAAATAATGAGAATGGTGGGAAAAAAACTTGTATAGATAACGAAAAACCGAAGAAAGGATTTGGGTGGGAAATTCGTGTATATAATGAGGAAAAAAAGAAAAATCAAACTTTTCATATTTCCGAAGAAGTGGGTAAGAAATTTAACTACTTTAAAATATTGGGTGAGAGAAGTTCTTTGGAAGATGACTTAGAGTTTAAAATGAATTTTGAAACTGCAAAGATTATCTTTCAGGATAGTGGTCATAATTGCAATGGGATATTTAGAAAGCTTACACAAGATAATTTAGAAACAGTGCTAATTACCCTAGATTACATGGGATTTCTTCCAATGGTTGGCTTAGATAATAAAGAACAAGACAGTGATGAAGTTGATGTTGATTTATTTTGGTCAATGTTAGCGAGGAAATTGAGTTGTTTTGATTGGTTTGGAAGTGAAACCTCAATTGCCAGTATGAAAATGAGGCAAAAAGTGCTGAACCTATCATTAAAGCTACAGAATGGGTTTAAACTCCTTCTTGAATTAGTGCAGTATCACCAAATGAGAGATGTAGTGATTTCAATTGAAGGAGGAAGAGTTATTAGAGAGATGTTCAAACAAAAGAGTGAAATTTATAGCATACGGATAATCAATACAATCTGTGAGTCTCTTGGAGCCCAGTGGTCACCTGAAATTTCCAAAGTTGAGGATTTCCTTAAAGGAGTCACAGAAGAAAATAATATATTCGATGCTATTTCACAAGTTTGGCAGCCAACCCTTTGGTACATTAGTGAACGTAAAACTATTAACCAATTTGCACAGAGTTCTCCACACGTGATTACGGGAGAAATAAGTGGTTTTCCTATTGAACTTGAACTTTATGCAGACCAGGATAGTGAGGGCTCTACAACCACTGTAAATTTTGCAATGGAAACTCTTCCTCCAAGTCCCGATGCCTCCATAACTAGTGTGACATCATTGGGTATCTTTGCATATCCAAAAACTCGTTGTACAGGCTTTTTCAATTGTTTTGCAGCTAGAGCCAAATTTTACTTTGAAAAAACTTTTCTTGGGGAAGCTACTTTTGACTTATCTTCGGACGGTATCAAGGCATTTTGCCCAGTAATATCAGGTGGCCCTAATAAAACTGGGTTGCTAGTAACATGCAGGATAGATGAGTTTGTGGAGCAAAACAAGGAGGACTTACAAAAAGCTTTAATGGAAAATCAACCAAGTTTTAGAAGCACTGAAAGCTTGAGAGTTTTGCAACCTTCAGTTTATAATGGCACATCACTTGACCAAATTACCATCAGTAATTTGGATGTGGATATAAAAATCCGGTTCTTTCCTTTGAGAACTCTAACCCTATACTTGCTTTACAAAAGAAGTCTAGAAGTAGACACAAAGTTTATAACTAGATTTTCCTTTTCGCTTCAACAAGATGTAGCTGAATGGCTCGGGACTTATTTCACCTGTGTTTGGATACAAATTTCGAAGCAAAAAGACTCTCTCTTTACAAATAAATATAAATCCGTTCTCTCCTTATCATCCAAATCTTTGAAAGGTCGGAAAGGTTCGGATTCTGGTTCAAGCATAAAGTTTTCAGAAAACAATACTCCGAACCCTTCAACCAGATATTCATCATCTACATCCTCTTCTGGATCGCTTGATTTCCTTTCATTTATTGAAAGTGAAAGACCTTCAAATGGTGAAAGTTCTCAAAGTAATTTATTGAGAGCAGGATCTAGGAATTCAAATGTTCAGACTGTTGACCTCATAAGTGAGCTTAACCAAGAATCTGAGTTGAAGAACACCCCATTTTCTTCATGTTTTTCGGATACCCTTTCTAATTCATATTCCAAGATTGGAATAAATAATTGCTATATTGACCCAGTTTCTCCAGGAATTTCTCCTTTTCCTCTTATCAATGCTTGGTTCAAGGGGGTTGGAAAGCCAAGCGATAGCTGGTGCATTCACAATATACTTTCGGAAATACTCTCAGATGATTTGATCACTAGGCATTTTACAGACGTACTAACACTAATACAAACTTGTGAATCTTGGGTTGATGCAGAATCTCTAGCAAATATCAGACAACAGTTTATTCATTTTATGAATAACAACAAACTAGATTCTATTGGTGCGTTGTTGTTTGATTGGATTCGTCACATCCCAAAATCCCAAATTCTCGAGCTAAAAGAGTAAAAGACTAATATTGCTAATGATATATTATTTTTTTATTAAATGAAATAAGACAAAGACAACATTTTCTTTGACTAATTATTGCTTTTTGGTTTTGTTTTAAACAAAAATGAATCAACTTTAATTACTGTAATTTTATCATCTTAGATTAAAAATAAATTTATTAATAAAGTTCTAGTAATATCAGATCTAGAAATATGTTTTGAAAGTTTAATTTGAAATTAAGATAAGTCTAATACTAGATCCATGGCTCTTTCGTCCACAGTGATGTTTACCCCTCCAGAACCATGAGTATCTAACCCACTTTGTGCTGTCTCCGAGCGAGCAATTCCTCTGCTTAAAGTGTTTAATTTTTCTTGTAAAATTTCAAAAGCAAGTTCCACAATACTTTCAACAGGTAGAGCTCCTGTAGATTCGACCAAGAAATGAAATCTATCGGGCTTAGTGTCGACTCTAATTAGAGCAGGATTGATATAACCATAATTCTTAGTTAAATTTACACACTCATTACAAAAAATACATGACTTTGAACTAACAACTTCTAGGTCAGGAAGCTCCTCAGTCTTTGTCTTAGTAGAATAGGAAGAGTTTTTGCTTAGGGCATATTCATTTTTTGAAGCAGTACCTCCTAGAGCAAAAACATCTTTAGGGCAGCAGCTAACAATTTCCTTACGTTGTTTCAAAGTTAAATTGGTAGAAAGTGAATAGTTTATTCTTACATCTGCCTCATTCGTAAATGTGGCGACTGAGACTGGAATCCATTTAGCGTGAAATTTTCCTATGCCTTTACAAGCCGTCATTCTCATTGCAATCCTCTGTCCCGGGCCAAGCTTAGCTATTAGAATACCGTTGTTCGTCCCATCTACAGAGTCTTCCTTTTTTGGGACAGGCATTGGAATCGAAGTAGAAGTTGAAACCGGTTGTATATCGTAGTGAGTTACATTCCTTATACTACCACCCTCACATGTTACATCCAATAAGTATTCAACAGAGCATTTATTGCAACGTTCTTGACATTCACATCTATCCTTAAAGTTGAAATCTCGAATATTTGTGCTGTCTAAAGGAATTAGTCCCATTCTATGAACAATAAACTCATCGTGTAAAACTGATGTGTTATCTATCATCGTAACAAGATCGATTGCAAGAGTTGGAATCTCTGCCAAAATTATTCTTCTTAAAGTATTTGCCATACTCAAATCTGTATTAGAAAGAGTGAACCTTATAGAGTTTGGAGTCAACTCTGTAATCTCCGCTTTTGGAGATCTCATTCCCTTCCCCAACATCATCCCAAAAGCAGAAATCACAAATGGAATTAATTATCAAGGTATTGACTCTCCTAATACCAGCTCAATTTGAATTTTGGTTGAATTATATTTAATAATCTTATTTTATTTTAGTTCCTGCCGAAATTTATATTGACAAAATACTTAAATTTTCCCGGTACCTTTATTTACCGGCAAAACTTTTTTACTACACATGAATTATTAGATTATTGCAGTTCTAAAAAAAATTACAAATCATCAAAGTTAATATTATTCAAAAAAAGTGTTTAGATCAACTAGAGATAATTAATATTCTATTTCAGATAAGATTTCAAGTTTGGGAGAACTCTCCGTTCTTTTAGTTAGAACTTCAACTCCAGTTTCAGTAACTAACAATGTATGCTCAAATTGAGCAGATCTTTCTCCATCTAATGTTGTTGATGTCCAGTCATCTGGCCAAGTTATATCTTCAAATCTACCTGCATTAATCATGGGTTCAATAGTAAATACATGGCCAGGTTTCATTGTTCCAACAGCCTTATTATTTTTATAATGAGGAACATTAGGAGCACAATGAAATAGAGTTCCAACCCCATGCCCACAATAAGTTTTGACGACGGAAAAGCCATGCTTGTCACAAATTGACTGAATTAAATTGCCTATTTCTCTGTACATAGTCCCAGGCTTGCAAATCTTGATGCTTTCTTCCAAGCATTGATATGCAATTTTCATTAATTTCATTGATTTTTTGTCAACTTTCCCGACCGGAAAGGTTTCATTTAGATCTCCATGTACTCCTTTATAATATACAGAAATATCAACGTTTACAATATCTCCTTCTTCTAATGGTCTGAAATCAGGTATCCCATGGCATATCACCTCATTAACAGAAGTACAGCATGATTTTGGGAACTCCCAGTAATTCAGTGGAGAAGGATAGGCATTTCTAGAAATTATAAAATTATGTACAGCCTCATCAATAGCTTCAGTTGTTACTCCAGGCTTTATCATGGAAGCGGCAATATCAAGAGCTTCTCTTCCAATTTTGCAACACTCCCTTAGAAGTTCAATTTCTTCAGGAGTTGCTGCAATAATACTTGAACTCTTTTTTCTTTTCAATTCGGAAAATGGCCTACCTTCTTTGTCATCTGCATAATCTGGCTTCAAAATATGGTCTGGAACTTTTCGTCTGCTGCTTATTGGGTAAGGTCTTAATGGGCCTGTAAAGCCATTAAAGCCCATAAATTTCGAAATATGTGGACAATTGACCCACGTTCTAGGATCATCAAGTATTACGTTATTTTTAACCAAATCAGACGAAACTTTGGTCAGCTCTTTACCACTTCCTCCTAATTGATGTTTTAGTTTATGAATGGCCCAGTTTTCTTTAAAACAGGCTTGGGAACAAAAATAAGATGTTTTTAGTCCTAACTTTTTGCATTGAGGACATGATAGTTTTGATTGTATTTTGGAGCCACAGCCTTCACATGAAATGGTCTTAGTATCATTTAAATCGTCTATACCGTCTGCCATTTTACAGATATTACTGGTTTTAAAGTTTCCAAATTGGCTTAAATAATTTATTTTTGTAAGATCTCACGACACGCGCGCCATATTAAAGCTTGACAAATCAGTCACATTTTGGTATTCAAGTTAAAAAAAAAGAAATAATCAATTCACAAACACTGAAGCTGCTTCCTATGTCTGGGGTAAGTTTAAATTTAACCTAATTTACTAAAAACCATATTTATTATCTAATAAAACTTGATATGTTTTAGCTTGTTGCTGTGAACCCCAAGCCATTTCTTTCTAGCCTTATTAATAAGGTTGCAATAATTCGTTTAAAATGGGGGAACATGAGATATAAAGGCACATTGGTTTCATTTGATGAGTATATGAACTTTCTCTTGAATGATTGTGAAGAATGGATAGATGGCACCAAGAAAGGAACTTTGGGGAAAGTATTTATAAGGTGCAACAACGTATTGTATATAAGTAGAGCTGAAGAGACAAAAGAAGAAACTAAAGCTGATTTACAAAAAGATGAGGAAATGATAGAGTAGCTCTTTTAATCGAATATATATAATTGTAAAGTAATCTAATTTTCTAGTAATATTTTACGGCAAAAAGACTAGTTTCGAACTTTATCTCAAATATTGTCAAATTTATATTCCAAAATAGTTAAAACCCACTCCTTCTCTTTCTTCCAGTATATTTGGAGTCCGGTCGAACTTCAAAACCTTTAAGTCTCTGAATATTCTTCTTTTCTAAAATCCACTCCTTCGACTTTACCCTATGTTCTCTTTTATTACCCCTTTTCCTTGTCTTTAATTTGTCTTTTGATCTTCCTAAATTACTCACCGAATTCATTTCTTCATCATTTTCTTCTGTAAGGCCTTGTGGAAGAGTTTGAGGTACTGAGGAATAAAACCCTGCCCATAAACACAAATAGTATTTTTTTGCCTTTGAAGAGTTAGGGAAATCAACTACTAATCCTCCTCCAAACCCTGACTTTAAGGCAGCTGATGTTATCATCTCTACCTGTGAAGGGGAATCTGGGTAAAATTGGAATACTGCTCTTGAACCTCTATTTAATGAGTTAAAAAGCCATTTAAAAAAAACTAGAAGTCTTTTATAAGGTTCATGTGATTTTTTATCGGCATTACAGAGCCACTGTAAAACGGAAATACTTATTGCTCCATCAAAAACACCAGGTCTGAATCTTAAAAGTTCACCCATATCAGCAAGTAAAGCATCGCCAGTAGACTCTGAATCATCATCATATATATCCAATACATTTAGCATACCAATACTTATATCTATTCCAACCCAAATGTGATTGTGATCCTCCAGAACTGAACCACTAATTCCGGTTCCACACCCAATATCCAAAATCATACAAGGATGTTGAGGTAGCAAAAGTAGCTCAATCGCTCTCTCCGTTAACTTGGTTTGAATGTCGATAATTCGGCTACTTTTAGAGTACTTTATAGCTTCTGATTCATTGTAGTACTAAACAAGTTTTTCGTTAATTAATTTCATAAAGAAATATAGAAATTAAGACTTACCAATTCTGGTGGAGCTTGAGTTTCAGGGCGAGTCATTGTTTTATTACTAAAACAATTCAATGAGAAAGGAGTTAATTTTATATAGGTTTATCTCTTTCAAATAGTTATGCCTTGCTTTATCAATTTTTAATTTATTTTTTATGTCAATTATACATTTGACACGAAAAAAAAAAGGCCCGCAAATTGAAAAGAAAAGAGGGTAATAGTAAATTCTGACAACACTAAGTTTAAAAATCGAATATTATTGCAAAAATTAATTTTTCTCCAGCAATTAGGCAATTTATTTATAAGTTTTTGATTTAGTTAAATATTATTGAAATGAATTGCGTAAAGCAAGAAGAGAACTCTAGTTTAGGAGATGCATATGGTAATATTACACGCCTATTCAGTACCGTCACAAATGGAACAACAGTAGAGGCAATCAAATATATTGTGGCCTTAGTCGGGAACTCTAAAGAAAAAATGGGCATTGAAGAACATCTACTAGGTTATAAGGATGGTAATGGAAGAAATGTTTGCCATTTTGTCTGTTCTGCAAAGAGAAACGACACTTTAAGGGCCATTATTAAGCTTGCCCCTGGAATAGTTAATAGCCTTGATAATAGTAATGAAAACCCGCTTTTCTTATCTGTGAGGGCTCAAGATATTGAATCAGTTACGACATTACTAGAAGCTGGAATCGAAATTACTAGAAGAAATTCAAGTGGTTGTAACGTACTACATTATGCATGTCAGGTTGCAGACATCAACTTAGTAAAACTTATTATTTCTAATCTAGAGAGCAAGGGTCCGTCTGAAATTGATTCATTCATCAATACATGTAGTGAAGAGTTTGGGACTCCTCTTCAATGGGCATGTATGACTAATAATAAAGAACTAATTAGTTATCTTTTAAGTAATAAAGCAAATCCAAATAAGGCACCATTAAATAGGTCAATTCCTTCTCCTCTTATGATAACTATTGGTATAGGGAATACCGAGCTTACAGAATTGCTATTGAAATCTGGAGCTCTTTTAGATCAAGCAAAGGATTCTGAAGGGTACACACCAATTTTTGGTGCAGTTGAAAAGAACGATATTAACCTATTGTTACTAATCATTGAATACATGAAGTTACAGTCATGTGACGCTTCAAGTCAAATTATTAAAGGAGACTCTGTTTATTCCTACGCAGTAAACAACCGCTGCTCTGAGGAAATTATGGGAATTTTGAAAAGTCACGCATTAGATGGTATAAAAATTGAAAATCCTCAGCAAAATGAACGAGGGCAATCCATTCAAGCCGAATCTATTGAATCTATTGAATCAAATGAATACTCTCCAATATTCGATGAACAAAAATCTCCAGATTCTGAGGTTCCTCTAGAAATAATAATTGAACAGGATCTGGAGGACAAAAACAATTACAATGAAGAAAATGCTGAACAAATTAAAATAGAAGCAAATTTTCTTTTTAAAGAAGGTAAATTTAACGAATCTATCGCTATTTATTCAAACGCTCTGAATCATTTAAAGATGAAAAAGAATGATTTATCTGAAAAGTCCATCACACTCAAATCAAGTATACTTTCCAATAGATGTCTTTCTTATATTAAAATAGGAGATTTTTCTAAAGCATTATTTGATGCTAAGTCATGTATTTATATAAACCCAAAGTGGAGCAAAGGTTACTACAGATGTTCACAAGTTTACCATATGATGGGTGATATTGCAAATCAAGCTTGTTATCTATGGGATGCGATTACAAATGAGAATTCAAATAGCACATTAAAGCAGGAATATTTGGATTTATTTTCTCAAATAATGAAAAAACACAGAAAAAACTAACAGCGATAAAAAAAAAATTAATTTAACTTATTACTATAAACATACTTTTTATATCTCTCATATATCTTAATTTCCCTTTTGGAACTTTATCGACTTTATATCATTCCATCGCTTAATATACCATTCACGGCCTACATTAGGATAATAATCCAAAGTATTCTCAACAATCTCCTTAGCACTTGAAGAATACGAATTATAAATACTATTTGATTTTGTGAGCCACAAATCAGGCGTGGTATACTGTTTTTCAGGTGTATAAAATAATTGTTTCCTACCTTGAGGCTTATTTGTGAACTGTCTCTGCTTTGCAAGCATATGGAAATGCTTTATATCTGTTCCTATGCTTTCTAAAATACTATTTATTCTTTTTTCGTTTGCTTGGATTTTTTGAAACAAAACTGAGGATTTTGCTACAATTTTCTATAATAAAATAATTTTCAAATTTAAATCCATTCATTATTGAACTTACAGAGTTCTTTGCTGGATCTAAATAACTAACTGCACACAACTTCGATTTGTTTGCATTTCTTTCAGGAGGTGGAATTTCTGACTTCTCAAATAAATCATCATAACCCCAATATGTATCATCATTTCTGGAGAGATTATTATTATCAAAGAATAATTAACGCATTTTTAACTCACTCCAATTTATCAATTATCTCATATATACTTGATGACTCCATCTTTCAAGAATTATTCATATATTTTTTTTTTTCTGCAAATTATCAGTCATTTTTGTTTTAATGTCACAAAGCATGCGTCACGTCTTGATCTCACACCAAAAAAAATTTCAAGGGAAGTTGTTTATAATGAAAAAAAGTCAATTGAGCTATTGAAATATACCATTCTTTGTTTATTAATTCAAAATAAAATACGTGATTATAATATCTTGTTATTATTAGTGTAACTTTTTCTACGTTGTATTATTAATACAAATAAGCTTTCTCATATCATACCCATCCTCATCAGTATAATACGAGGGAATTGTTTGATGTACATAATACCCAAGTTTTGTGTAAAACTTGACTGCCTTTTCATTAGAAGGTCTTACAAACAAGTCAATAAAATGGCAATTCAACCGCGTGGAGATGTCTTCCAAGAACTTCATAAGCTTTGTTGCAACACCTGAGTTTCTGTATTGTTGTGAAACTGAAAGGGCAGTCACATGGCCGTGCCACTGGTCGCCCTCTCCTTCAACTTTGGAAACAAGATAACCTACTATTGACTGGTCAGGCGCTTCACATACAAAGCAAAGCTCTGGCCAAGTTGATAGATAATCCCCATAATAATTTATGTTATATGTTTCTGTAAAACTATCCAAATTCACCCTGTTAACTCTGAAAATGTCAGATAGTCTCATAGGACGATAAACTAGAGCTGTCTCGTGTGGCATATTGGAGGCAAATATAATAACTACGCAGTTTAACCTCGAGGGAAATAATAAATACACTAATATAATTTTAAAATTCTAAAATTAAACAAAAATTTATAAGCTTAAAAAATCTATTAGCGCTAAATGATTAATTACCTTTTGAATTCAAATCATCGGTATGATAATAATGAGGAGCAACCTCAAGCAGCCACTCCATCTTTATTTCAGTAAGATTTCTCATATACTCCTTTGTGGTAAGCACGAGTTCAGTGTAAGTAACGGCAACAGGCTTTGAGTTAAACAATGTTGAAGAAGGATGAATGTCAACTACATGGCGCCATTTTATTGTAGTGTAGTTCCCGCCTTTATTAATACGTGCTGATTGTGAGAAGAATCCAGCTGTAATCGCTTTCCTAATTGATTCTAGTTCATTAGGGTTGCTTGAAATTTGAATATCTAATTTTTCGCTTAAAAGAGAATCTATCTGAGTCTTGATATCACGAGCCTTTTTGAGGCTTTTTACTTGGAGGAAATTATCGTAACACCAATATCCGGAAAAATCATTGCTTTGCCATTGATTGTATACATTGAGCAGTGTTAAAAGATCTCCCCCATGTACGGTAAAGGCTTTTCTAATACCGTCCGCCTGTTTAACTTTGTCTTTTGGTCGAATAAAAATTGTATTTCCAACGGAAAGCATAGATACTATTGTAGTTGCTTCGTTAACAACGCTGTACTTTTGAGATGCTAAGACCATCTTGCTATGCATAGGGTCAAGAGGTAATTCAGCCATGGTTTTTCCGACCTTCGTTAGTTCTCCCCTATCGTCAAGCGCACCCAATGAATATAAAAGTTCTAATGCCCGAATTAATGTCTCAGGAGGTGGAGGATCCATGAAATCAAAATTTAATAGATCGTCAATGCCGAGCGATTTAATTAGCAAAACTGCACTACCTAAATTACATCGTTGAATTTCAGGAACATTTGATACTTCCATTTCCGTCATAAAACTGAATTTAGTATAAAGTCTGAAGCATTTTCCTGGGCGAACTCTTCCTGCTCTTCCTGATCTCTGGTTTGCAGCAGCCTGGCTACAAGGAACAGTAATTAAACTTTCTAGACCTGTCTTTGGGTTATATGAATTTTGCTTACAGAACCCACAATCAACTACAAACCCTATGTTATCTACTGTTAATGCTGTTTCTGCAATATTAGTAGCAAGTACAACCTTTCTGAACCCGTAAGGTGTTGTTTGAAAAATCTTTGCTTGTTGTTCGGATGGTAGTGAGGAGTATATTGGAAGAATAATTAGCTCAGGAGTATTCGGGTCTTTATTCACTAGTCTAGTTTCGAGCAATGCTTGTGTTTCTTCAATTTCTTGTTGCCCGGGTAAAAAACAAAGAATATCACCTCCAATAGGAATTATCTTTTTTGAGTTCTTATTTTCATCAGATCTTTTAATTTGGGAAAAGTGAATTTGCAGAACTGTGACAACGGTCCCATCTATAAAATTGGCTTCAGGAGATTTAGTATAATATATATTCACTGGAAAACGTCTTCCTGGTATGTATATTATGGGGGCATTATCAAAGTACTCGCTAAATTTGTTCGCCTCCAATGTTGCGGATGATATGATTAATTTAAAAGGGTTTTTATTATTTTCACCATAGTTTTTTATTTTGTCACTTTTTTCGTCATCATTGTTATTTAGATACATTTCTGAATTCCTGAATCTAGAAACGTCCTTTACTAATCCAAACAAAATATCTGTGTGAAGGCTTCTTTCATGTGCTTCATCAATTAATATGCATGAGTAATTTTTTAAATCTGGTTCTGAGAGAAACTCTCTCAGTAAAATCCCATCTGTCATATATTTAACTACAGTTTCTTCGCTTGTGCAGTCTTCAAATCTTATTGAATATCCAACCATACTTCCAAGCTTAGACCCCATTTCTTTAGCTACCCTTGCAGCCACGCTCATTGCTGCTACTCTTCTTGGCTGTGTGCATGCAATTATTCCATTTTTGGAATACCCTGCTTCGAACAAGTATTGGGGTATTTGAGTTGTTTTTCCAGAACCAGTTTCTCCTACAACTATCAATACTGGATGCTCTTCTAGTGATTTAATTATTTGTTCTTTATATTTCATAACAGGTAAAGAGTTTCTAACATCATTAATCAATTCAATATCCTGGCTTTCTATAATCATGTTTTTTAATGAATCTTCGGAGTTAATTTCAGTGGCAGTTGTTTCCAATAATTCAAAATCGATCAAAGAGCCATCTGAGAGAATTAGTGAGTTGATATTTTTTTCATGGTCTATTATTTTTTCACTTAGAACTTTATTAGCTAAAGAAATATCTCCAGAACGTGCTTGGTTTGACTCCCATAGATCGTGGTCCGACCTATTAAGCTTTCTACGTTTATCTAACCTATCTTGAGGTTTAATTATTACAGAGCTTAGTCTCTTATGCAAATCTTCGTCGTAACTATCCGGCATAACATATGTTTCAATTAATGACCCGTCGATATCCCTCTCTTCGACCATCCGGCCAGCCTCGGCTAATATCTTCTGTTCTGCCCTCAATTCTTTCCTCTTTTTTTCATTCACTTCTTTTCCAATCGAAGCATATAGTAGCTCTTTACTCTTTAATACTCGTTCTGCCAACTCAAGTTGACGTTTCTCACGATCAGCCAGATACTGGCGTCGTCTAAGCTCTCTTTCTCGATCTAAATCGCTCATATTCAAAATAAATGGATTTCTATTAGGGCAGAATTCATAACTGTTCAAATAATCAAAAGTAACAACTTTCTACAAGTCAATAACCATTCAAATTTTACAGCAACCGCTTAAAATTTTAGGATCTTGCCCAAAGCGGTAACTTTAGCAACAAGTATTAATAATTTAAGTTAACAATCTTTTTTCTAATCTTGAGAATAATGCGTATGAAAATCTCAAACTCCTGAAGAAATACTGACCAAAAATACATTAATTTGATTTATTCATATTTTAACAAGATCTACTAATCAATCATTCGCAATAACACAGTTTCATGCTTACAAATATTACAAGTTAACTATCTGTATAACATCTAAAATGTCCAGAATCAAAATTAATAAGCTAAGAATGATAGGGTATTGGAATTGGTTGTGTGGCGATGATCTTTGTAGTATTTGCAGTGAATCATTCGAGCTAACATGTCCCCAATGTTTGAGGCCAGGAGACTCATGTCCACCCGCATTTGGCGAATGTGGCCACTCTTTCCACCTTCACTGTATACATGAATGGCTTTCACGTGCAAGAAATGACTCTGGAATGTGCCCAATGTGCAGAAGAGAATTTAAATTTCAATCTAACCCCAATATCCTGCAGAACACAGGTAAATAATTGGTGATTTTAGTATTAAATAGCTCTTTCAACAAGATCGGTCCTCGATACAGGAGGGTGGTCTAGGGGTTATGACGCTTGCCTCACACGCAAGAGGTCACGGGTTCGATTCCCGTTCTTCCTATTTTAGCTTTGGTTAGCGCCGGGGGAGCCTTTGCAGCTTAAGCTGTGAGAGGAGAGGCAAAAATCAGAATGATGGTTTAGAGAATCTTAGGGAAGTGCCTAAACAATTTACGGCTAGAGTTCCTGTTATTCACTGTCACTCTCGGACGACGAGAGTGAGATACGATTGTTCGTGTTTTTCGAAGTGTTTTCATGGTCGAAAATTTGATCTGAAAATTCGTCCAGCCAAGTATCGCGCGGGCCTTCATACTCCTTTCTTTCTGTCTCAAATTTTAGCCTCATAACTACGCTAGAATCATTCAAAGCATTTAATTTATCTAGTTCTTCCGTTTTGTACTTTTCATATGACTTTGCAACCTGAATTAGGCACAAATCTTTTAATGATGGTGGAAAACTAGGATATTCTTGTTCACTTGTCAGTTTGTCAAAATCAATATCTTTGAAAAATATGTGTTTCTTTATCTCTTGAATTGTCGCTCTCTGAGTAGGTTCCTGTTTAAGTAAAGACTCTACTAATTGTCTAGCATCTTCGGGAAAATCGGGAGGGAACCTTAGACCGTTTTGGAGGACTCTGCAAAAAACAAGAAATTCACTGGGTGCATTAAATGGAGGGTATCCACAAATTACTTGAAACACGGTACAGCCAAAGCTCCACAGATCAACTGCCTTTGTTGGTGGCTTATTCCGTATAGTTTCTGGTGCCATGAACTGTGGTGTTCCAACAAAATATTTAAATTCTCTTCTCCCTCTATTCATCTTGAATCTGCAACTACATGATGAATTACAATTTTTGGAATCGCAAAAAATGTCGTCTAAATGAATTGAAGATCCAAAATCTGCCAGTTTAAGTTGTTGATTTTCCATTAGCAAACAGTTTTCTGCTTTAATGTCGCGATGAATTATGTTTAAATTATGTATATGTTCGATTGCAATCAACAATTGAGCCAAATAGTAAATTGCTTGTTTTAATGGTTTTATTCCAATAGGAAGAATTCTTTGCCATAGTTCTCCACCAGTACACAGTTCATAAATTAAGTAAACATTATCTTCATTAGCAAATGAATCTAACAATTTAATCACATTTCTCGAAGAAGAATTACTTAATAAAGTACATATTTTCTTTTCATTCAATATTTCGTCCTCTTTTCTCAATGCTCTTAATTGAGACTTAATTGCAACTTTAATCGCAACATGTGTATTATTGACTACATTAAAGGCACGAAAAACTTGAGTGAAGTTACCAGTACCTATTAATTCATATAACTCAAAATCATCTAGTTTAACCTAAGAATCGATCTAAAGTTCATATAACTGCATAAAAACATATCCTTACCTTTAATGTCTCATTTTCTTTCTTTTCAGAGTTTGTTGTATTAATGAGATTTTTCAAGAACCCTCGCTTCATGACGGTTGACACTAAATCTTAAATTGCGAAAGATCACTCTCGAAAAAAAACATTAGAAGCCTCCTTGCATTTTTCTATTTGCCTCATGTATTATGCTAACTCAGCTCATATACTCCCCACAATTACCGCTCTAATTTAGCTGTAATTCTTTAAATAAATCTTGAAAACTAATCAAAACAAATATATCATGAAAAAAACATCTCTTTTATAGTTTAACGTAGCAAAACTAATGGGGTTCACATCATTATACATCACTAATTAATTTCTCATGTGTTTACCTCACGTGATTTTCATTATGTTATTAAATTATGATATATGATCAGAGCATTTAGATTATTCATTTTTACTCTTTTTGGCGGCGCAACTACCCAAAAATTTTTATTTGGATTTAGTACCTAATGCAACTTTTTTAGGCGGTATCTAAAAATTACGTATTCACCTTAGTGGCAATATTAATTCGCGAAAATAGACTATAGTTGGCAATCCTTGTTGTTGAAATTAAGCAAATACATTATTTGGTTGTCCAAAAGCACATCCATTCCACTTGAAACATCGCCCTTTTTACTATATGAACTTTTAAATGAAATAATATAATTAATTTGTCCAACATTACACAAAGTATATTTTGTAGTAAAAATTGGTTCTTTTTTAGAAACTAAGCTCTTGAAGTAATACTTCATATGAAGAGTGTCCCTTTTTAAAAATGGTTCTTCAACGTATGAGAGCTACTTCTTATCTACGGCGTACAATGTCAGATCCATTTTCACGTCGTAGAACAACCTTACCTTATATTGTTGGAATATTTAGTCAGCAAAACGACTTATATAAACACTTAATTAATACAAGTAAAAATAAAAATGTGTTCAAAGAGACAAAAATACCTAACTACACATGGAAATCCGACGCAATCGCAATTTTAGACATTTTTTTTACAAAACTGAATATATTTTTTTTATTTGTTCCTTTTGGTGTTTTAAGTTATTATTTAGAATGGGGTCCTCTGGCTACATTTTGGTTCAATTTTATTGCCCTAATCCCTCTTGCAAACCTTCTTGGAATTTTTACGGAGGAATTAGCATTACATACAGGTGAAGTGGTTGGTGGTCTTTTAAATGCAACATTTGGGAATGCAGTTGAGGCTATTTTAACAGTTCAGGGAATTAGAGCAGGACTAATCACAGTTGTTCAAGGCACACTATTAGGTTCAATACTTTCTAACCTACTACTTGTTCTTGGAATGTCTTTTTTTGCAGGTGGTCTGTTTCACCATGTTCAGAAGTTCAATGAAAAGGGTGCCTCGTTTTCTACATCTTTGCTTATGTTGTCATGCATGGCAATTTCAATACCCACAATTGTTGCTCAATTTGACCTTCCACAACATAATATTCTCATGATTTCAAGGTTAACTGCACTTTTACTTTCATTCACTTATGTTTTGTTTTTGTTCTTTCAATTATACACTCACATTAATCTATTTAGAGATGAAAGTATTGCATCAATTGACAAAACGTACTCTTCCTATGTAATTGATAACGTCAACTCAGTCAAACACACGAACATACGCTCCGATATCGAGGCATATAATAACATGTACAAGAATTACCCCGTGGTTTCCCCAAATTTCAATAACTGCCAATTATACGATGTTTGCCTTGAATTACCTACGATTTCATGGCAAATTGGAACTATTCTAATATTATTGTGTACTGTTCTTATATCTATTATAAGCGAATGCCTCATTGACTCAATTAATGGATTCATTTCAGAGTGGCGATTCTCTGAAAACTTTATTGGAGTAATTTTACTTCCACTCGTTGGAAATGCTGCCGAACACATTACAGCAGTATCAGTTGCAATCAAAAATAAAACCGATTTGACAATTGGAGTAGCAGTTGGAAGTTCAACTCAAATTGCTCTCTTCGTTGTTCCTTTCAGTGTAATTGTCGGTTGGCTACTAGGAAAGCCAATGACACTTTCATTTACCCCAGTTTCCGCGATCATTTTATTACTCACAAATCTCATCGTAATTGGAATTGTCCAGGATGGGGAATCAAATTGGTTTGAAGGTATTTTGTTAATTGTCAGCTATTGCATTGTTGCTGTTTTATATTGGTATATTTAATTCTCAAAGACAGAAATTTAAAATATTGTAATATTTTAATGATTATTTCATTAATAAAAATATATTAGAGGATTTAGACTTTTATTTAATAATGTTCTTATAATAATATAAGTAGCTTTTTTTAAAAAATGTTTTGATAGGTTAATTAGTGAATTAGTTTCATTAATTACAATTCTTTTAGGGGACTCGATGGAATACTTACAGTTGAAAATTCTCAGTTTTTTATTAATAAATAATTCATTAATGTTTACTTCACAGGGGAAAATATCAAAGATCAAGATATACCCTGTTAAGTTGCTTGTATCCTTTGTATTTACTTGATTATCTAATGTATAGTTCTGTAAAAAATTACGGAAATAAATATTTAGGTTTAGATTAAAATCAAGAAATGGTAACTTAACTACCAAATTTTCTATTTGGTATTTTTTTGAAAACTGTGGTATACTATTCATTCTTTTTTTCAAATTAAAACAATTAAAATTTATTATAATTTGTTCTTCACTATTTTTATTCCTTTGATTATTCACCTCAAATATTATGGTCTCATAATTTGAAATTTTACAACAAAGTTTATTTAACTTAGAATGGATTTTATATACTGAATCAAATAAGTTGAACGTATCAATTTTTTCTTGAATATTAATCGATAGCAGTTCAAAAACAATATGAAAAACTGGGAAAAAATTAATTTGGTCTTTTTTTCTTGATGGAATAAGAGATAAATTTTGATTAGTTCTCTTGGGTGAATTCCTAGGAGATAAACTCCACTTTACTTTTAATACTTTATCGGAATCGATTTTGTCAAATAAAGTTAATACAATTTTTCTTATACATAAAAAAAAATCCATTCCTATTTTTTCTGTGGCCACCAATTGGCAATCATTATGTTTTTGAATAAAATATGAAGGAATGGTTACATTATATGTTTGAATCAATGAAGGTTCATGGAAAACTATATGTGTAACTTCATTCTCAAGCTTAAATATACTTAAAAAAAATTGGCATACATTATTTTTACCACTTAGATCACAATAAGTAAATTTTATGGGTTTTGTTATTGTTTTCATGCATAAAAATGCTGGAATTTGTTCTAATAAGACTTGCATGTTATTTGAATCATCGTAAAAACTAACATTAACGAAACTATTATTGTCTTGAGTTCTTTCTTTAGCCCAAAATAAAAGCTGATTATTTATTTTCTCTGGAACTAGGCAAATTGAAAATTTATGATTAAATATTTTATTATTGTTTAAAGAAAATTTTGAGAACTTCTCAATTAAAGTTTTCTCCCATATTTTGTTCTTTAAGCTTTCCTTTCTATGAATATTTAAGTCAAGGCTATTAAATTCAACTAAATCATTTGTTTGCGTCAATAAATATGTAAAGTTTGTTTTATTTTGGAAGACAAAATAATTTGAGCATTCACTTTCGTTAAAATCATTTATTTCTAGATAAATTCCAGTATTAAAGTTTGAAGCACAACCACTTCTTAATGTATTAAAAGATATTTTAACTAATTTCCATTCCTTATTTGGGAGTTCATCATTATAATATAAATTTACCAGTTTATCATAAGGCTCACAATTTTTTAAGTTGATTAGACAGAAATTAATAAATCCATCAAAAGCAATCTTTATTTGCTCTTGTAAGCAGTAATTAAAATTTTTACTAGAAACTAAACTTGTATTGTCTAGGTACCCAGTTTTTGATTTGATTGGAATATTAATATATTTCCCATATGTAATTTTAATGTTGAAGTTAGATTTATTTTTAATTGCCCATATAGGCATTAATTTCACAGCATTAATTTTAATAGAGTATTTATCTAAAGTATTTAAGATGAAATGATCTTCTATTAAATTCTTGTAATTTTCTAGTTCTATTATAATATTTTTTTCTCTTTGTCTTGATATTGAAGATGTTTTCAAATAACCTTCTAAATTTATTTTCAGCTCAATAAAATCTTTTGAATCATCATCACCGAATAAACATTTCTTAATAAAATTTCTTTTTATTGTTGAATTATTTAAACTATTTTTGTGTGGTTTTTCCCCCAGAAAATAATATTCTCGATTTTCTATATCAACAACCTTTAAAAGATAGCTAAAGTTGGAATAATTTATTATTATTAATGAGCTCCACACCATTATAATATAACTAATGTTGTCTTTAATTAATGAAACCCTGTAATTAATATTATTTATTTGAGGCTGAGCTTCACTTAACTCGACTATACTTTCATTTGCTAAAATTTGACTTTCAAAATAAATAATTTTTTTAAAATCGATATAGAAACTTCCAATTGCTTCTGTTGAATCCTTAATGAACAAAACTGAATCATTATTTGTGTCAATGTTTTCAATAAATATTCGGCTTATATTTTCTATTTTGTTAGCATACATCACTTTGTTGTTTAAAACGCTAAACAAACTGAAATTTAGAGATTCTCCTGATATATTAATAATACTAACAGTATTGAAAATATTTATATTGAGACAAGATCCACCCAAATAAATACACTCCAAACCAATGCAAAGGCTAGGGTTAATTAGACCGTAGTTAAAATACAATTTTTCAGGTTTTTTTAATATATTTTTTATTATTTCAATAACATTTATTGAGTTATTTCGAGAAAATATTAAATCACTACCAATTCTATTTAAAGTATTTGCATCTCTAAGAATCATCAATTCAGGGTAAATAGCAATTAAATCAAATGGAATCTCAATTGTTTGGTTTTTTCCAATTTTGATGACTCTCTCAAATGCATTTGAATAACTCAAAACCTCAGGGCCAAAAAATAAAAGTAAGTCTTTAAAAATTTGTGAAGAAATGCACACTTTAAATCCAATAATGGCAGAATTCGTCGAAAATTCACACATTTTAAAGTACGGTATTTCATATTCGACATTATTCACATTAATCTCGCCAAATTCTATCTTACAGTTGATTGAATAAACGTTATCATTGAAATAACGAGAATAATAAAGTTGATTATAGCTTGAATAAATTCTGTCAAAAAATGAATTATTTAAGTCAAACAAATACACCGAATCATATAATAAAGGTATTTCAATGTTTTTCATATTAAATTTTGCGTTGCTTAAACAATTAATATGAAAATATGGGACAAGCGATACTTCTTCGTTCGAAGCTAACATAAGATTATTAATAAAGCTTGGGGATTGCCTCATATCCAACAAGTAATCAAATAATTTCGTTCCTTGATAATATTTTATCGAATATATCTCATTTTTTTGATTATTAACTGTTGAAATAAACAAAATGTCTGTAACAACGTTTATTAAATTTTTAGAAACTTCAAATTTAATTATTCCAATTTGGGATTCAAATTTTTGTATTAAATAATTTAAATTTAAGTGAAAAATTAGCTTTTCAGCATCAAAAATAATTTTAGAGTCTAAAATCTCTAGATTGGCTTTAATTAAATTATTACTTACTAGTATATTCAAATATTCTCCACTAAAATTCCTGCTAGGATACTTAATTAATATCTGAAACTTTTCAATACCCAATATAAAAAAGTTAAAGTTAGAGAAAGAAATACCATTCAAATTAAAGACTAGATATTTTGAATCAAGCAGGGTTTTCATTAATAATACATTTAAGCATTGAAATCTGATTTCAAATTGACAGTTATCATTAACCTTTTCCAAAAATTTTAATACTTTGTATCTGCTATTGCAAAAGTTATTGAAAGAAAACAAATTATTGGAATTAAAATAATCACGGGAGTTTATTAGAATGAATATTTTATCGTTAAAAGAATTTAAACTTTCAAAAATAGAATCTTTGATAAATTCATAGCAAACTGTTATTTTCTTTTTTTTCTTTAGCCTTATATGTAAGTTATGAGATATACAGAGACCACTAATAAATATTGGAAATATTTTTTCTTTAATGTCCGAACTTTGAATTTCATGTTTATCAATGAATTCGTAAGTTCTCAGTTTTTTAAAAATTTCATAATAAACAATATCACAACATAATTTTCTTTTTTGAAGTTTTGAATATAAAGTTTCATTGTAATGTGGCAATTTAATTGTTTTGCAGTTATAAAGCTGAATTTCTCCTGTCATAATTTCAATTTGATTGAATTTTGAATAAATATCAATTTCAAGCTTGTTATTAATTGAAAATATAAAATTGCCATTCCCAAAATACGTCAATAAAGTATTACATATATTTTCATTATGATTGTAATAGTGTATGCTTGCATTTTTTAATAATATAACTATATTTGATTGAACAGTTCTGCTAACTTTTCTAATAGGATTCTTTTTAAAATATGATATTAAATAACTCAGCTTCATGATTTGATTCTTATTTACTGCTATTAATAGTTTTGGAATGCAAATTGTTAAACTTTTTTTACCTGTATTTTCATAATGAACTTTAATTGAATCTCCATCCATTTTTAATAACTCATAATTTAATGAATCATCTTTAGAAAAACTTTGTTTAATAATTATTTTATATATTTCAATCGATTTCCAGTAGTAAATGCTTTTTTGAAAAATAAAATTTATGTATTCCACTTCAAACACAAGAAACATTGAGTTGAAATTCGAGAGGTTTTCTGAATATAAATAAATTATTGGGTTTGAAAGATTCATATCGTATGTTTTTTGAATTTTAGATATTGATATTTCTCTTGAAAAAATGTATATTTCACTTTTCTTTTCAATAGCTACCTCTTGGAAAATAATATTTGAATTATAACTTACGAATTTAATCAAGATAGATTTTGTATTTATTTTGAACATATGTTCATTTAAATAATTGTACTGAACTAATTCAAAGTCCGTAATATTTAGAATCTTCTCATTTGAGTTAATTATTAAATTGATTTTACTCTTTTCAATAAATAGTTCGATATTATAATTATTATAAATTAAATGAATACTTGAATCAAAATTGAAATTTGTTCGAAAGTTCAAGTTTTTATTTTCAATTGTTTCTTGAGGAGTATAAAATTGAGAATAATTAGTTTTTTTGTCACTAGCAATGAAGAAATATATATTATCAGGGAATTCAAGCAAATCTGAAATTTCGTTTCTAAGGTAAAGGTTTTGGTGAAGTAAATCTTCTTTCACTGCCGATTTAATGATCAATAACTCACTATTTAATTCTATGTGAGTCGCAAATATTAATGAGAGACTTTCTTCACAATACTTGATTTTACTTGTGTAAATACTCATTTTTGGAATTTCAACGTCATAGTTGTTGAAATCATTTAAATTTATAATTTTGGAGTATAGCCTTAAATGAATCATTTTTGTTTTTAATATATAATCTTTAATATTAAAGTAAATTATAAACTCCGAAATCTTGATAAAGTTTTCTGAGTTAATTAAAAAGTAACAATTTAAAAATTTGATTAAAAGTGGATATTTATTTTTAAAGCTTGAATCTAAAGTCAATTCTATTGAATTGGTTTTTAATAATAATTGATTACTTCCATGGGTTTTAAAAACTATTTTTTTAAAATTCATCAATATTTTAAGTTTCCAATTAAAAGTAGTTTGAATTAAATTATCTACATTTTTACTGATGTAAAAAGACTTTAAATTAATTAAAATATAATTTAATAATGGAACTGATAGGTAAAGACCGGAGTAGGTCTCATCAATATTTTCTTCAAGTATTGAGATCGATAAACCATTCTCAGAATTAATGACATCTATATTAAAAAGCCCTGGGAAAGATAGGACAGTCTCTCTATTGTTGAATACTGAAAAAAAAAATGTTTTAGACCCAATTAAATTAAGTATATTATAAGCAAAGATATTGTCAAAGTGCTCATTAAATCTAATTGAAATCCTTCTGACCAAAATACTTGTTTTTTTTAATGTATTATCTTTTTTTGACACTATTCCAATATTAGTACCAAATAAAAATGTTTTGCTTAATAATTCATATTCCGTTAATAACCGAACATTGTAAAGTTCAATATCAAAATACGAAAAAAGAAAATTAATAAAATTTGGTTTTCGAACATCTGAAGTTTCAGAGCTTTTCCTTTTTAAATGATATATTTCTATGTCACCTAGCTTTAAGCTCGCAATTTTTCTTTTAGTAAATTTAGATAAAAAATTGAAAAATAAAGTAATATATCTGTAGTTCAAAAAGCGAATAGAAACGATTAAAACGATAAATGCAAACCAATTAGTGATGAATATTCTCGATTTTTTAACAGTTATTCGAAATGATTTGTTTTCCTTGTTTTTTGGTATTATTGCCAAACGATCAAGTTCAATATCAAACAAATTATTAAACTTATAACTTGAAAGGGAAATTTCCATAATTAAAAAACCGATCTATTGATTTTGGAAAGAATTTTGTAATCATATTAATCATTTTATTATAAACTTTTGTAATATGAACATTTTTCTATTGCCGCAGAATGTCTTAGGTTTAGGTCAAATTCATTTCATGCAAAAAAAAAAATAGAAAATAAAGATTAAATTGAAAAGTTCTATAAATTTACAGATGAAACGGAAAGTAGGTTTCTAGATAAAAATTTGAGATTTTTTGTACTCGAGTTCTTTAATTTATATATCTGTAAAGAATTTATTTCTGAGTTTGAATTGTCCACTTGATTAAAACTTGTCTCTACATTTGTGTCCCAAATAGAAACTATACCATTATTGGTTGAAGATGCTATAATACGACTTCCAAAAGAAAAGTCAAGTGATTTAACAAAAATTTGTTCTTTACAGTCTAAAACCTCATTTGGGAATTTACACAACTGGTAAAATTTAGTAGCTCTATTGGAATTACATAATTTACGAATATCCCAAATTGGCAATGTTAACTGGCTTTGTGAATAAAAATGGGATATTTGATTTCGAATTGAAGAAGATGCTAGCAAATATCCATTGTGGCTAAATTTAACCTGATTAATAATTCCGGACATAACTTTTTGATTGTGAATTACACCTTCCTTCTTTCCTGTACGCACATCCCAAATAATAATTTGATTATCGCTACCGCCAGTTACAGTCATAGAAGAATTAGGATGTATTGAGACTGATCTAACATCTCCTAAATGTCCTGTAAATATGCGAATTGGGTAAGTTCTTGATGTACACCATAACCTTGCAGTTCGGTCGCTTGAACCACTAATAAAAGAAATTCCATACTCGTCCCAACCGAGATCCCAAATGCAAGAATTTGTTGAGTGCCCCGTGAATGTAACCAGCTGATTTAATGTTGGTTCTTCTTGATCCTTAGTAATAATTGAAAGTTTAATAATGCTATCAATTCCGCCGGATAACAAAAATTCTTGACTCCATGGGTGAAACCTTATGCACTGTACTCTATTTCTGTGGATCCACACGGGCTCAATTTTTGACTTCTGATTTTCTATGTCAAAAATTTGTATGCAGCCATCATCAGTACAAAACGCGCCAAATTCATGGTTATGTGAAATGTTCATGTCAATAATTTCATTCTTGTTTGGACATTCCAAACTACTGCAAATAATAGAGGGAAGATGGGTAGAATCAACAAACTTTCTATTTGATATTTCTTCGTATAAATGTTTTTTATACCTAAATGTAAATGAATTGTTCAAATCATTTATAGGATTGAAGTCTATTTCGATTGTATTCTTGATTTCTTCTGTGATTTCGTTATCAAATCGATTAAATTTAGATTTTTTTACTTCATTTTCTTTTGAAATGATTCCACTATAATTCTCAGGAGGAAGTCCCCAATTAATAATAGAATTATCTTGTGAATAACCTTTACCTGACATATCAGTTTCAAGAACTTTTGGCGTATCTTTTGTAATTACGGAAATGTCATTACAAGCATTAACTTTTTGGTTATTTTTCGAGTTAAATTCAATTAAGAGAGAATTTTCTGAATAAAGCTCTCCAATCTGAAAATTTCTGATTTCTTTCAAACAATCTAAATCGTCAGCTCCACTAGTAGATGCAACGTTACCATTATGTGAATTATTGTCTAAAACATGAATGGTCAATTTCTCTTGCATAATTCCGGAAATTAGGGTATCGCAGCAAGAAATTAGGAAATTATTCAATGATGAAATAGATAATGGGTTTAGAATAATATGAAATCTGGATCCAAAGAATGGTTTCAATAATTCTGAGTTTCTTAATTGTCCTAAATTATTAGAATTTTTTAATGATTTAATGATTTCTCTATATTTGGAAAATGAGAAATCATCTGCAAACTTATTTAAGAAGTCGTTGTACTGTTCGTCAGATGAATTCTTATATAAAATAGAGCATATATTCATAAAAACAACGAAACAAACAGAAATAAGCTCCTCACGAACAGAGGATAGCGAGTTTAGAACCCAATTTCTGAACTTTGAATATTTTTCAGAAATGACTTGAGTGCCAATTTTATCAATTTTTTTAGTGAAATTAATTAAATTTTCAACCTCAGAATCAGTCATCTCGCTTTCAAGAGAGCCTCTCTTTGATTTTCTATCATTTTCAGCCATTTCAAATAGTAAAGTGTCAACTGTTTCAAAATAACCATTCTTCCTCAAGTACTTTATAACTTGGGAAATATTGCTATCATTATTCTCAACACTACTTTGAGTTTGAGGCACAAATGTTTTCATTAAATTAATATTGCTATTAGCCATTTGATTGGTATAAGTCGAAGATTGAGATGATATTTGTTCTGAAGTGTTTTGGTTTTGTGAAGAAATTTGTCTTTGATAGTTTTGAAATGCATTATTAAGTGAATATTGTTGATTTGACATATTTATAAATTAAAAAAAAACTATGTTCTTTTATTCCATAAACAATTAAACTGCTATTTCTACCCATAAATATTTAGCATATACATAAATTTAGTAAAGAACTCAAAATTTACAAATGATTATTGGCGTAACTCTTACGGTAATATAAACGACTTATTGCGGTTAAAAAATTCGCCAGATCAAAAAAATTATATATATATAAATATATATAACTAATTCATAGTTTCAATAATTAAATCGATAAATTGAGCCTATGGACGGGTGTAAACACTATAAATCCAGGTGCAAAGTTATTGCTCCATGTTGTAATAATGAATATTGGTGTAGACACTGTCATAATGAGAGCCAAGAAGATCATCATGAAATTGACAGATTTAGTATTAAAGAGGTCGTTTGTGGGAAATGCAACAGGCGTCAGCCAGTAAGTAACTCCTGTATTAATAGTATGGATTTTGGAGAAAATTCCGGCGAAAAATGTGATGTAACTCAATTTGCAAAATATTTTTGCAGTAAGTGTAACCTTTGGGATGACAATGGAATAGAAAAAAATGTATTCCACTGTGACGAATGTGGAATTTGTAGAGTGGGCGGTCAGGAATCTTACTTTCACTGTAAAGTTTGTTGCATGTGTTATCCATTGAGCATTAAAGAGACCCACAAGTGTATTGAAAATTCGTGTAGGCGTCCATGCCCATTATGTTTAGAGGATCTATTTTTTTCAATCAAAACTGTTTCGATTTTAAATTGTGGCCATACAATACACGAGGATTGTTTAATTCTTCTTGGAGAAGCAAAGGGACTCACCTGTTTGCGTTGCCCAATTTGTAGTAGGTCTTTAGGAGATAATTCTCAGATTTGGAATGAAATTGATAAAATGATTGCCGACTCCCCAATATCTGATTCATCCAAGGAGTTGGTAAATATATTCTGTAATGACTGTAATATCAAATGCAATACCTACTCACACCCCTATGGGCTTAAATGCCAAACTTGCGGTGGATATAATACAAGATTTGATGACTAATTTATTTTCAGAAGAAAAATTGCTGAATTAACTGTTTAACATTAAAATGCCAGAATTATATAAACTATAACAGAAACTGTTGAATGGAATACAATAGCAAAATAACTGATGCTGCCAAATGGCTTCTGAAATCCAGTCTAAAGCTTCATTACAGCCCAACCCTGTATATGAAGAAACTCCAATAATACCATAATCACAAACTTCGTCTCCAAACATACTTACCATATCCTCGATATCAAGCCTTGTTGCTAGTTCTCCAGGTGTCAACGCCCCTATTATATCCTGTTTTGTTGCAATGATTAATATAGGAGATTTTTTACTTGCCTTCCTTATCAATTGTGACAGTAACCTCCTAGCAAGAGGAATTCGACCATGATCACTTGAATCTATGAAAAATAAAGTTCCATCAATATTATTATTATTATTATTATTATTATTATTATTTATAGTACTTAAATTCGAAATTTGCGTTTCATTCACATTTTTTCCTCTTTTATTGACAATGCATCCGTTCTTATCAATTTCACTTTCACCTTTAATTTTTGAATTAAAATTATGTGACCGACTAGGTTGGGCAAAAACGTCTTTATCAACTATATTTAATAAACAATTTTCTCTTTTTATTACAGCCGAATCAATTCCATTTGTAGTTACTGGATCTACATACCTGCCTTTTAAATGTCTAAGTAAAAATGCAGTTTTACCAGATGATGCAGGGCCTGCCAATAAAATATTAAAGCAACGAGAATTACATTTTCCAAAGAAATCGAGTGTAAATGAAAATAGACTTTTCATAAGAATAAAAAAAATAGAAATTACAACCTTCAAATAACCTTAAAAGTTATCTTTCTAATTTTTTTACCAATACATTAACACTTATCCACATAAAAATTAACTGCGGTAGTGTTTTTTTAATCCAAGAAAAAAGTTGCTTCATTAAAAAAAATTCGAGCAAAAGAAATATAATAAAATTATGTTATAACATTATGTGAGATTCTGTGTAATAGCGATCTACTTTTTAAAAATTCTGAGTGGGGAAGAGGTAAAAGCTTTAAATTTACTTTGCAACTTGTCACCTCTACATGATTCTAGATTTTTTTTACATATTGCACTTTTAGATTCGAATCCTATAGATCTAAATATATTTTGATTGTGGGGCTCATCAAAATCATGATTAATTCTTAAAGGAGAAAATTTGTTAAATTGCTTAGTTTCTTGGTTAACGTTAATAATCCTTGTTTCTTTTATTTGTTTCTTATTCTTAACTATCCTCTTAAGAAACCCAGTATCTTCTCTAAGAAAATTATTTTTATTTAATGCCCTGGTTGTTGAGGAATAAATTACGACTTTGCGTGGCTGTTTTTCATTAGTAATTGGCAATTCATTATTTTTAATGTTACAATCATAGACTTTTTGAATCATGGACTCGAATGACGAAATTCGTGATGAAGATAGTGAAGAATCGTTTGATAAATTGTTCATGTAGTCCATACTTGTTACTCCCTTCAAATTTGCATTTTTTTCGTAACTCTCTTCAAGATCAGAACTCATATTTGTTAAATTATTAGAACTCGAATCTATACTTGACTCATTCCTTGAATCTAAAACACTTTGAATTTTGCTTCCAAGAACTAATGGATCACAATTGGATTTACAGTTAATTTGGTAATTTACTATTGAATTACAAACCCCATTCTCAAGTAGCTCGGCAGAAATTGCAAGTATCCTTTCTATAATGTTCAGTTTTTTGTTTAAACTTGAATTAATACATGAAGAATTGAAACCTGAATATTGTTCATCGTTATGATCCCTTTCCCAGTTGAGTTGTGTTAAATCGGAATTGCTTGGGTTTTCCAACGACCTCCTTAAAATACCTATAATTAACAAAATGCATTGCAATGGGTGAATAACGGAACTTCTAAAATTTTTATTTAGAGCAGAACTATTCAGCAAATTTCCATGGTAAATACAACAATGAGAAAAATGCCATAAAAGACGAAATAAATACTCAGACTCATAGTTTAATCTTAAAAATGAATATTTCTCATAAAGTGATCTGTGAAGAATGATGTAATTTGATGGAGACATACCCATATATATCCTGTCATGATATTGCAACTGGTTAATAATTAGTAATGGGTCTTGTGAATTTAAAAATACAGATTCCCATGTTAGAGGTAACTCACTGTTCCTAGAAGTTTTTTCAATCAACTTTTCGCTATCATTAGAAAAATTTTTTTCATTATCATCAGGTTGAATAAAATCTGAAGAATTGTCTATTACAATGATTTTTCCTTGGAATGACCTTATTATTGTTTGCTCTGGAGATTCGATTTCATCATGGAAACCTTCAATTTTATCGCCTTCGATTTCCAATATTTTTCCAGAATTAAACTCATTTGAATCTACAGATTGATTCTTTTCACCAAATTCTATATTTTCAAAAATTGAATTTATTTCTAAACTCTGGTTTGAAGTTGAATTTATCGATACATTTTTTTTCTCACTATTTGACTTTTGATTTTCGGTATTTTGCCTCCCTCTGAAAGCCTGGCTAATACCAGGAAAGGAAAGCTTAGGAATTCTAAAATTAATTTGAGACATAAAATAAGAAAATGAACCAAAATCTTTCAATATTTCTTCCCAGTTTAATTGATTGTTTTGCAATAAGAAGTTATTTTGTGTATTTGGTTTTAAATTTGAATGTTCAACCACATTATTATGAAAATTCAGACCATCTGTAATTTTTATTGAAGTATTTATTACAATCATTAAATTACTAAAAATGTTGTTACATATATCTGGATGAATTAAATTTTTAATTTCATTTTCTTGCTCTTGACTGCTCGATACAGTTTTCATGCTATCAATCCATTCATCTCTTGTCTTAATTTTTGTTTTAATTATTTTATACATAATTTTTAAATTTACAAAACTTGGCAAATAAAACGGCACCAATAAATTGATGAAATCATTCCCATTAATATTGATTTCTTCATTATTCAGAAATAATAATCTTTGAAGATAGTGCTTAGAATTTGTCTCAAATAACTTAACAAAGAATTCAAACCATCCGAAGGGGACCCAATTCCCAAAACCAGTAATTAACGCAAGTTTTTCAATCTTTGGCCTTGTATTAGATAAAAGAAAATGTTGTAGGCTTGAAAACGATAGCTCCTCCAATAAGCATCTCGTTTCTAATTGATTAATTGGGTCATTAAAAGAATCAATATTTGTATATTTCTGGGAAATTAGTAAATCTTTATGTTTAGGTGATCTATTAGATTTAACCTGATTATATACATGAAACCTATAGATATTCCTTACTATCCACTCAGCAATTGGCTGGAAAAACGGTTTCGGAGGTACGTATAAAGGCAAAACAATATAAAAAGGTGGAGAGAAATTGCTAGATATGGGATATTTATCCAATAATCTTACTGCAAGCCTGCCATTTATACCATCAATATTTTTTAGTTGAATATAGATATTACCTATTGTAACACCTTCTAAAATCCATTGGTCAGTATCTGAATTATATGAATAGATAGAATTCATGAATAATGTTGGAGTATATAAATAGTAAAGTCTTCTAACCCACATTATTATGGACAAAAATGTATCATTTCCGTTTTTTATGAACGAAAAATTACCTTGTTTAAGCTTTTTTAGTATTATTTGGAAAAATTGGTAGTACTGGTCAAATAAATAACAATATAGATTTGTAATTGGCCAAAAGTTTAAGAGTAATTCTTCATTTTTTACGAAAGATCTGAGATTCAATCTCTCCATTCGATTCCGACACTCCATTCTAAAAACACTTGGATTGTTCAAAATAACATTTCTTTTCCTCAAGTTATACTTACGACTTTTTTCAAATGTATTATTGTAAATTGAATAAACGTTAGTGTTAATATTATTATAAGAAATACACTGCTTAATATTTTTATGAAACATTTGGTTTGAACTAATTAAGTTTGAATTGACTAATCTATTATAACAATTAAATTCTTCATTGGAATCACCATCGCTTTGATTTGAGTCAGTTTCATTATCAAACTCGCTGTCATAATCGTTATTGTTTTCAAATTCATCTTCCTCTGATGATGAAAGATAAATACTTGAGGATGAATTTGCTTTAGATATATTTTCTCGCGAATATTTTATATACTCTCCTGCCTCTCCATTAAGCCAGATATATTTAGGTGTAAAATCTCCTTCCAAATAAATCGTATTTTTCGGGTTGATAATGGCAGAATTTACTTCTTTTTTATTACTTCCCCAAAATGGTAGAATCGATTTTATATCCTTCGGCCCAATAATTCTAATATTATTAGTTTCGTCATCAATTTGAATACTTGAAGATATATCGTTTGATTTTTTCTCACATGATAAGTTAATATCTCTGGACATTTTAACATTTGTATTTCTAGTAAGGTATACGTCTAAAATTGTTGGTCTAAAAGGGTTGAGTTTGCTGTTATATGACTTATTTATATTAAACTTCACCTTCTTTCCATTTCTTATAGAGTTACCATCAAATATTGGGAGAGTATTCGGTAATACAAATTTATTTATGAATTGTTGAATAGGTTGTATTATATCAACTTCTATATCAAAATAGTGATGATTTGCATCTTTTGGGAAATGACAACTTCTAAGGTGAGTGTGGTAACTGTTGTACATTTCAAGACTACCATGCCAACTAAATAATGAATCTTTTTTCCCATGAATCCATAAAATTGGGCAAGAACAATCCATTATTTCGGATTGAATGTTCCATCTTTGTGAAATTAAAAACCGACCTATTTTTCCTGCTAAGCTCTCCGCAGCATGTTTGATGCTTTTATATGGGCATTGCAGAATTAGTCCGCCTAGTTTTTTTTTTTGTTCATTCAGAACTTTTGCTTTGCGTGTGCTAGGCCCAGTTCCTATTGAGCATCCCCATAAAATTATGTTTTCTATTGGCCAATTTAATTCTTGTGTAGCAAAATTTAATAACACATTCATACATTGGTCAACACTTGACTCATCAGACCTACCCTCAAATTTTCCATAACCTGGATAATCAAATAGCAGCATATTTACTCTTAATCTCTCACTTACATAACGTAATCTACCGTGTATCTCGCCAATGTCAACTCCATTTGCGTGTGCATAGATAACTAAAATTTTTGAATTTGATCTTGGAGCAAACAAAAAACATGGTATTTTTCTGCCCCCATCTATTGGTCCAGGTATTAGAATTGTTTCAGGATAAGAAGTAATATCGTATGAAGAATATGTTCCGGGGAACATTGCAACATCTACGAACTTTTGAATTACCATCTTGATGTATTTTGAATATTCTCTATTTCTCTTACATTATATTAGATATTGGGGAAAGTTTAATGGTAGATATTTAGTGATCAGTACTCACTAATTTGCACTTTTAAATGAAGTTTAATGAACCGAAAACAAAAAGACTTGACTAGCTCAAATACATTATGATTAATTTTTCAATAATTAACTGTATCAGTTCACAAGTTCTCACAAACTGATTGCCCGCCTATGACTCCAAATTATTTTCTATAATTTATCAAAAGAAAAATTTCTGCAAAAACAAACAACTTCACAAATTTACTTTTAATCTTGTACGAGAAAACACGATTTGTCAATTTATATTATCAATTTTTTCCAGTAAAATTAGACAGAATCTCCAGTAATGCATGTATGCAGCCATTAGGCGGCGTGGGGTATGAAATAGCTAATGTCTCCCGCGTATAGATGTTTAACTCTTAAATTATAGAGAAAATAAAATAAAAAGCTTTTTATGATAAATATTTACTAATGCAAATTATGAATATTATTTCTAATATTTTTACTAAGTAATTTTCTATGAACTATCAACTATGTTTTACTTTAACTAATTATTTTTATACTGCCTTTGCTTCAAATGTTCATATACACTGCCAGAGCCAACTCCAAAACTTAAACCGTTATTTCTGTTATACCATTCCTCATTATTTGATTTGAGTGAAGTCTTTAATCTTTTACTAAACTCTCTTAATTTGTCGACTGTTTCTTTATCGTTCTTTTTGAAACTTTCTGACTTATTATTTCTCTTAAGTTCTTTAGTTTCATTATTCTGAGCAGATGCTTCTTCATTATTTTTGATGATTGGATCTTCCAAATGGCATGTTTCAAATTTTTTGCCGATATTTCTGCTAGTATTGTCCTTCAAATCATTTTGATTTTTTTTTAACGATTGTTTATAATCAGAATTAAATACAATGCGATTTTTCGAATTAGATTCTTCATCATCTTTATAGAAAGATAGTAGATTTCTGTTATTTATTAACTTATTTTTTTTTAAATCAACATAAAATTTAAAATCGGTTGAATCTGAGAATTTTTGCAATTTTTCGTCAATAACCTTGTATTTTGCAAAAGGATTCATTATTATCACTGTTTTAATGATTTTAACAGGTAATTTTGGAGAGAACTGATCATCAACTTCAACATTCTGTATGTCCATTAAATTGTAGATTGTGTCATTCGCAATTTTTCCAAACAATGTATACTTATTAAAATCTTTAATTTTATCCAATGTAATAAAAATATGATATTGAGATTCAATACTTGTTGAATATTCGTCCTCATTAAATAATCCCAACATTCCTCTGTGTTTAAATTTTAGCCTAGAATTGCATTCTAATTCAAATTTGTTTTTCGAATCCATTTCTAGCCTTCCTAAAACAATAAACTGGCCCTTAAATACCTTTTTTATTGAATTTCCATTAAAAAAACCATTTTCACACAATTCAAGAAATCTCCTTGTAATGATTGGGCATTCTTTACACCATAATTCAATATCAATTTCCCCTAATGTCGTTTCAAATATTAGCTTGCCACTTGTTGGTAAGTCGGAATTCATTGAAACAAATTAACATTCGATAAAGTCATACCGCTAAAACCTAATTATTATTAAATAAAAAAACTAAATCAATACCCTTTTTAATCTATTTTATCGTCTTTTTCATTTGGAAAAAAGTGCATCATGAATCCAAACTTGTAATCATTTCTTATGTAGTCTATTTCGCCAGAAATACCAAATCCTTTGTTATCTAAACACTGTAGTGATATTTTCCCACATGTATCTATCATCCCTTGGATTCTTGCTGTTTTGAACAAGTATTCATACCCAAAGCGCAATTTAGACTCATAATTTGGTATTGATACTTCTACTTCGCTTGCTAAGGACAATCGATCACTTACTTTTCTATAGAAAGAGGACCTGAGCGAGTGAATATTTGACAAAATTTTTCCTGGACTACTGAAATCTGGTTGTCTTATAATTTGATTAAAGAAAATATTTTTCCCATGGCAATATCTTGACCCCACAGACATTATTGAGGAGTTGTTAGCTGTAATCCAAGTTAGCTCACCACCTAATTGTAGTTTATTTGTAATCAATTGGGAAAAAAGTCCATTTAACAAAAAAATGCCTTGATATGCAACTTTTAGCGAATAACTGCTTTCTTTGCCATTATAATCAATGGAAGCTTCACTCATATTTTTATTTTCGTCTGATAAGCTTGAATTGACCGAAATTCTCCCCTCTATATTATTTCCAAAACAGCGAGAAAAACGACCACTAACAGTTCCTTCATCATTAACTCTAGCTAAAATAAGTGTATTTTTCGATGGGCTTTGATATGAAGGTCCAAGTTGATAAGAATAACCCTTGATATTTGAAGTCCCTAAAAGCAATGAATATGAGGTTTGCAAACTTGAGGTGATAGGCTTGGAAAATTCAGCTCTAAAACCATCAAAACTTTCTCTCTGAAATAAACTTTGAGATTCCAAAGAAAAGTTTTCAAATTGCAACGATTTATTTGTTTTTTCATCATACCCCCCATTCGTTTCGTATTCAAGTCTGTTCATCTATTTAATGAGCCAAAAAATATATTTTTATTGAACTAATATTGTTTTATTATGAAACTGATAGTTTATATAGTTAAAAATAACTATCAATTCTTTATATATCTAATTTTCAGATTAAATAAAATTTTTTGATTCAATTAGTCAAACTATTTACACAACTTATTATAGCGCCTAGGTAAATATAAATCACTATAAACTAAGTAATCAACAACATGACGGGAAATCACAGTCTTCATTACAACTACATTCATTTTTTGTCGTCGAACCTAGTTCAAATATACCATACCCTATCGATAACCCAAGAACAACGGAAAAAAATAATCCCCAATTAAAAGTCATAGCTATCAGCATCATTAAATAATGCATAGAGTAATACAAGATAGTTATTAAAACATTCAAAAATATAACTTTTACCCCTAATTTTTCATACTCCATTCTATTTTTTTTGATCCTTTTGATATATTTTTTGTTAATAGAAGAAATGAACATTGTAAAACATCCCATTAAAATGATGAATAAACACGAAATGAAATAATCAAATCTATTCGATGTTTTCCAAGATTCAAACAAAATAACTGATTCAAAGCTTTGATGAAACGTCATTTGCATTGCGATTGAAAGCATACTTCTATTATTTATTTGATTTATATCGTCTTTAGTCGGATTTTGAATAATTTCACCATGCATTTCATGGTTATCTTTAATCAATCTTATTACATTGTTCTTGCTTGAGCAACACATTATTAGATAAATGTCAAAAAAAATATCTATTATTAACAATTTATTTTTTTAATTTCCAAAATACTATATAACTCGAATATACATAATACCTAAAACAAATTAATAATTACTGCCAAAAAAAATATATATGTAAATATATATATATTTATGGTTAAACAAAGTTGTCACGCTCGAATTGTTCTCTTCTAGTATCAAAATTTTTTCTACTTAATAATAATTTTGTTCCTACGGAATTTGATACTTTTGAATCACTTTTTTTCATTTTTACAACCAATTTAACGTCATTTTTACTTGTTTCCGATTTTGTTTTTTGATCATTAGTCATATCTTCAGACCTTATATTGTCTATTTTTTTAACCTCCAACTCTTTAAAATGTTTTTTTTCCTGTATTAATTTTTCTTTAATCTGATTTCTTTTATCGGATAAACTTTTCCCATCTAATACTAGTGATTCGACAATATACTTTTGTAACTCTTGTTTATTCAATTCTTCACTTGGCATAGTGCCTAATTTTGAGATCTCGTCTAAAAATTCCCATGGAACATCCCTAGGATCGCTTTCAAATGTATGATGTATGTGCTTCCACTCACTATTTTCTAAATCACTATTTTTTACATTGTTTAACGAATTATTTTCTTCATGATATTCCATAACATTCAACTGATTAATATTAGAGTATTTTTCCGGGAGTAACTCCATTAACTTTAATTTCTCAGCTTCAATATCTTTTTTCATCTCATAACCCGGTTTCAGTTGTTCTTGCCAAACATTTTTTATCTTCTCAAAATCTTCTTTTTTTCTTGCATTGTAGTTTAAATTGAGAATGAAATCTCTATCCCAAAATATTTCAGGTAATAATTTTACATCTTTATTTAACAGATCAAAATCTATGTAATCGTGATTTAAGTCTGACTCATATTTAATTTCATGTTCCATCTCTTCATTATTAGAATCTTCTTTAGTTACTTTAAATAATTTTTCATTAATATCATCCAAAGACTTATTATAAAATGACTTAATTTTTTTTGGATTTGGTGGTCTCTTAACCCATGGACTAACATTATCATCCTCTAAATTACCTTTTTGAATATTTGGTGCCTTACCAAACGCATTCTTTCTTTCCTTATCTTTTTGAATAATTATATTTATTTCTTCATCATTCATATTATCAGGTAGCATGGGATCTCTTTTCTTATTAACTACGATTTCTTTTTTAACTTGACTCAAATTTTCGGTTTCATTATTATTTTTAAACATTCCTTTTTGTTTTATTGGTTGTATTTCAGGTGTTTTCATTGTTGAAAACGATATTGAAACACTCGAAGGACAACTAATCCATCTACTATCATCGTCCAAATCCCATCTTTTGATTTTTTGTGGATTGTCACTAAATGGATTATTTGTATCATAATCATCGTCATGTTTTTTGTATTGATTAATTTTTTCCTTTTCATCCCTAAGGTATGATGCTTCTGCAAACCAAAATGCTGGGCTTTCTGGATCTGTAGGAATCAAGTAAGAATAATTATTGTATCTTCTGTCCTTCCCAGTCGTCCTTTTAATGTTATTATCTGTTTCGTCTTGGTTTATACGTTTATCAATTTCATTTCCTTCGTTATTTACTGTTATAACCGCATTTTTCTTTAAATGAAGATCTAATATTTTTTGATTTTCTAGACCTTCAAATACTTTCAGTGATTCAGATTTCAAATTTTTATATAAATCTTGTCTTCTTGCTTGTTTTTTCGATAATTGCAAATAAACTTTGTCTAACTCGTCCAATATTCTGTTATAACTTCTTTGAGTTTTTATTATAGATTTTTGTCTGGTTGCTAATGTTCGATGCAATTTCTGTGTATATTCATCTCTATTTTTTTCAAATAATTCTTTCCTTAAATTAATTTCTTCGAACTTTTTTTCTAACAAATTGTATGTATCAATGTAGAATTTTCGATCTTTAATTTGACGAGACTTGACTTTTTCAGGATCTTCCAATTCAAATGAAACTGGTAGGCTATCAATACCACCTTGTTGTAAACATGAATACGTTGCGAACATTCTTTGTTGGCAATCTGTTATATCATCTAATTCAGACTCTAATTTTTTTTCGTCTTTAACTAATTTTTTATCATGTTTTTTCCCAGTTTCACAGTGCAAAACAATGGCTTTAGATAAATCATTTAAAATCTCCTCGTTTTTAATAAGTTTATTTGTAACACTTTTTAAAGTGTTATTTCTATAATCGTCCAGTACAGTAGCTCTGATTTTATCGTTTAAAATCATGTTATTATTGATCTCAAAGTTTTTTGATTCGTTAATTATTCCAAGCATTTTAATTATTTCCCTGTTTGTTTTCTCTTCTCTTTCTTCTGGAAATGGGGCCAAATTAGGTATTGAGATGTCAATCTCATTACCCATTCTTTTCATTTCATTAAAATGTTTGAATACCATTGATAATGTATAAGCTGGTTTAATATCAATTGACAAATTGTCAAATTTCAGGATTGTTTTATTTAACAAATTATTTTGATCAATTTCACAACTTTTATCCATCAGTTTGTTATTTGGTGAGAATTTAGATATTGGATAAAATGCAGGAGTTTTGATATATTGCCCATATAATTTAATATTAATTTCTTTATAGTCATCTAAATTGCATTTATGTACTTTATAATATACCTCATATTCTCCATTTTTCAAATCTAATATTTGTTGAATTTTGATCCCTCCAACTCCAAATACTTCATATTGGTCTCCTCCCCTTTTAGTTTTATTCCCCATCCTATCCACAGAATGTATTTTAAATGTAGATATTGTTCCATCTATATTGTAATATTTCAATCCTTCACCTTCAGCCCAACATAATTCCGGATATGATTTCCCCGGAGTTACTTGAACTACAAATGGGGATTCTCCTATTGAGTTCTTATTTTTGCCTTCAAAAATTTCTAATTTGTGTGGGACAGCTTTTTTACAAATGTATGATGCTGTGTAAGTACCATCATGATTATCTATTACACTTCCTTCAAATATTTCATTCATATCAAATAGTTCCAAGGAAATAAGTGAAACTTGATCTTGGCCATTTAAATTGTCTAATTGTTTGTATGGTGTTAATAAAATCCTGAAATTGTATCCCCCATAAGTTATCCTTTGATTATTTTCAGAATATGTATAGATCATTACCTGAGTAATTTCACCTGAGATAGCTTTCTTCAATCCAATTCCTGTAGCTCTGCAGTTTTTTGCTACATCTTCTGTTATTATTCCAGATGCTTGTTTAATGAGTTGATTAATTGTTATTTCCCCCTGTATTTTTCTTGTGGAAAATAAATCTTTCATAAATGAATCATCCGAATTATATTTATTTTGCAAGTATTTCTTATCAAAATAATTTTTTTTAATAGCACCGAACGAATATGAATCATATTCGTTTTTATCTCTGCCATCTTTTCTACTAAGCTGAATATCATTTGAATCATCATTTCGCATATTAAGAGTTTCACACTTAACAATTTGTTGAGTAGGGAGGAACTCCATAACCATTAGACTTGAATTTTTCATGGAGTTCAAGTAAGGTGCCTCATTTTTTTTAGTTCCACCATATATTCCCATGGGGATCTGAGCATTTATTTCTTTTGCGATTTTGGAATTCAGTGGGATAAATTTATGTGGATCCAACCTAGAAAAAAGTTCACTCTTTGTATCACCATTTTTACTACAGACTGAGTGCACCATTACTAAAAATTATTTCATTAATTATTTCGTTTTTAGCTTTTTGACTTTAAATACTTTTATTGATCAATTAATATAGCCTATTTGGAGACATTACGTGGCTCAGTGGACATGTAAATGCATTTATGGATTAAATAATCAATTATTAAAATAATAGTAAAATACTACTCAAATTTATTATCTATTAAAATATATTTAATTAATTCAACTATCTTATTAATATAGTGATTTCAAATATGGAAACTGAAAATTATTAGTTCCCTTAAAAACCTTCGGTTTTAAATTTTTTGGAAATGGTAATATGTACTTAACATGACAGCATCCAACTTCTCTAATAACGTTTTCTATTGGAATCTTTTCGTATTCGCGGTTGCTCATGTTTTCTTCTTTATTGCTCTCACTGAAACGTGTGTTTAATGGATTTTTATTAACTAGCCCTAAGAAATTATCCATTTGTTCATTAATATCCATTTCTATTTCCTCTAAGTATTTGTCTTCTGAATAGTTATTTAAATTACCTGTAGTATAAGGCTGATAAACTTGGGAATTAGGGAGACTGACACTCTCCAATGAATTTTCACGAGGTGAGTTTTCCGAATTAAAATTAGGATAATCGGAATGATTGGAATTTAGGTTTAAATTATTATCAAATAAAGGCAACCCGTTTTTATTTGAATTATGGGTGAAAGAAGAATACTGTTCAATATCTCTCAAATTTATACCATCATTAGTTTTCTTTAGTGGATTGTTGCATTGTTCTGGGATATTACTATCATAAAGAGGTCTGAACAGTTTGGGATCTAATGTAAATTGATGTTTTAGATTTGAAGTTTGCCTTTTAATTTCCTTAAGATCATCCAAAATATTATTTTTAATGCGTTGGTTTTCATCTTCTATGATTAAATTACTTTCAAAGTTTGACTTTTTATTGGGAAATTTATTGTTCTCTGTAATAAGTTTTTGTGGTGGACCAGGAAATCTTTCAGTTTGAAAAGAACTTCTGTCAAATTCGGATGTAGTATTCGAGAAATTTTGATCGGGAATAGTTTCATAAGAACTTATTCGTGAATCAGAAACTTCAAAATTATCATTATCTGAATAATTTTCAGAATTTTGGTTGTTGCTTTGACATAATTCTTTATGTTTGAATCCAAGGGCATTTATATCTGTAAACTTCTTGGGAATATTAACAAATATGTCCCAACTTCTACCATTAGGTTTAATCTTTTCATTTCTTCCAGCACCTGGCTCATAATATAGGAATAGAGATTTGTCCGTATTGACAGAAGTCTCACTTATTCCATTAAAATTTACAGATGCATCTGCATAGTGACAACGACATTTACTCCTTTTCGATAGCTGATCACAGCAAGGGCAACTATCCTTTTTTTTCGAGCAATTACTTTTATAAGGGCTAGCTAAAATTTGTTCTTCTTCATCTTGGTCACTTTCGTTTGAAGATTTAAAATCAAATACAATATCTTTTGGGCTGTGGAATTTATCATACTCAATATCTGAATCATATGATGGTGCATAAATATCTATTTGTGGGAAATTATTTGAAGCAGGTATAAAATCATGAATTTTCCCTCTTTTATGGTTTACATCTCTTTCATATAAATGTTTACTAGCTTCAATAGCTTTTTTACTGGCTTCTATTGCCTTTTGACTTGCCTCAATAGCTTTTTTATTAACTAATGGATAATAATTAGAAGATTTTTTTCCTTCCAGCTTAGACATGTAATCATTTATACTATCAGTATTTCCGTTGAATTGTAGAGATTCATCTCCAATTATTTTTTTTTGATTTTCCATGATAGATTTTTGTAGTTTGTTAAGCGAAATAGTTTTTTTTAACAACTTTTCGTATTGTTTAACTGGATCAAATATATTTGAATCAGGACCAATTCTTTCGCTGACTTGATTATTAAAATTATTTGATTCACCGATACATTCGTCGATATTCGGATATTTGTTACTATTACCAACATTTTCACTAACAAATATTTTTTTCTTCGTAGTATTACTTAATTTATCTGATTTTTCACATAGATTGACATTAAAATCTTCATTAACGAACTTATTTTTGTTATTTTCGAATGCTGTAGAATCGAATATATCAGTAATATCAATTTCAGACCCATTATTTTCAGTTTTTTCATCTCCATTTGATGAAAGTAAGATATCGTCAAATTTTAAACTATTTTTTAGTTGATTAGGAGCTTTGTTTTCTGAAATATCTTTAAAATGAACATCATTTATTTTTTCACTTCTTATCGTAAAGTCAAGATTTTTTATCTTATTCTCCATATGATCTTCAATTTCATTTTTCTTTTCTTCTGTTTTTCTACAATTGAATTTAACTTTTTTATTATCGAGCAAAGTTTCTTTTTTGATATTATCTTTTCCTCCATATTTCTGCTCTATTTGATTAATATATTTTAGCTTTTTCCTTTGTTCCAGTTCTTTTTCAGGTAATTTATAATTTTCAATTTGGAACCATTTTCCAGTAGAATTATTAATTTGGAAACCATCAAGGTCAATTACACCTGACCCAATGATATTTTCGCAATAAATTCTAATAATGTCATCTTCATTGCCACTCATCAAAATTCTTAGTATTCCAGAACCTTCAATAGAACGATTAATAAATGTCAGAAGTCGGATTATTCTGGTAACTCTTCCGCTACTCTCACTTTGCCAGATTCCCCTTTCTGACTTAATTACCATCTTGCTATTAATATTTTTGGAATCCTTCATTATATTTTTCCTACAAATCTCCACAAGTTTTGATTGAACAAATGGTTTTTTGAAACAATTTCTTTGAGGATATATCGGAAATTTCATGCTATTACCAACATACTCCAAAAATTGCAATGTATCAAAGATTGAATGGGGTTGAACAGTTGATTGATTATCATATGGTGATATTAAAGGACGAATGCAACACTTTTTTTCTAAAGGATACCTTGATAACGTACCAATTACAGTCAAGTTTGAATCAATTATAGTAGATGCAATATAGCTACTAATATTTGTAATATTGATTCGATTGCTTTTCTCATTTGTATGACAATATTTCCTGATCTCGAATGCTAAATCGAGCAAACCAAAAAGCGGAATTACTGTCTTTACTTTAGTACTTGTGCTAATACAAGATGATATTTCAAAAAATCGTAAGGTCCCACAGTTTACATGCGTTGTATTTATTACTTTTTCATTTTTCCTTATATTGTTTTCTAATTCTGATCTGTCGGCTGATTCAACTGAAATAGTTATCACCAGACTGCCGATCATATCATCTTTAATCCATCTTTCACCAAAATCACCAAATATTGTATTTTGTATTTGCTCAGGAGTTTTTTTTTTCTTTCGATCATCAAGTCTTTCTCTACGAATTGCATCTAAAACCTTTTTCCTTGCTACTGCAGACAAAATTGATGCAACCAGTTTTTCTTCATTTTCAAATAGATGCTCGTGTTCACCCTTAATAAAATAACCTAATTCACCCCCCAAATTTTTAATCAATTGTAATGGATTTTCTGGATTAATTAAATCACGAACATTATCCAATTTATAGTTTGAAGAATCTTCTCCTATTTCTAATACAGATGCCTTAACAACAAAAAGTCGATCAAAGTTACCACTAGTTTCAGTGTTAACACCTCTTTCATTAATGTGAAGACCATTTGTGTAGCATCTTATAGCAGCAAAAATATCATATATAGATTGAAGTACTATACCAATACTTCTTTGAGAACCAATTAACAAATTTGTTTTACCTGTTTTATGAGGGCCACAAATTATCACATTTGTAGAAATGCCATCTAAAACATTAACAGCATGTTGTTGTAACATAGTTTTTCTATAAATTTCACTATTACATACATCCTCTTTAAATATTTCGTCAGTAACAGTGCAACATCTAGTTTTTGAAATAGACGATTTTCTACTTGCCCTAACCGATTTACCGTGGTCTTCTGCGTTAAATACCCATTGGCATTCTTTTGAGTTTTCACAAAAAATTTTTTTTTTAGATGGGCAGAATCTAACAAATGTTCTAATGGAACTTTTTTCTCTTTTCAAATTTATTACCCCACCTTCCATTTCATTATATTAAATTTACATTTAATATTTATTGTATATGGAAATTTCGTTTTATAAAATTTTGATTCCAAAATAGTAAAATATAGACATGACGTTTAATGATAAATTAATCAAGTTGTACATTTTACACACATTCACATTAGAACAAAAAAACATATCTTTATATTTTGGATTTAATTAAATATTGTTTTAAAATTGCTAAAAATAAAAACATGAGAATACATAAAATCTATTCGAGTTACTAGGTTAGATTAGTAGTTTATTTTACACGTATTGAAATATTTATTTACTTGCATATATGCATGTGGAAATTTATCGGTATATTATCAAGCGGATATACATGCAATACATAATTGCATTTTTTTTGTAGGCGGATTTGAAAATTGATGAACTAAAATTTGTAGATAAAAATTAATAAAAATTTAATAATAAATGTGTGATCTTTATCGTGAGGAGATAAGGAAGATAATTAAAGATACAGGATTTGACTGGAGAAAGGTATGTAAATGAGATATCAACAGAATTTATTAACTGTCAAATTAAGAACGTTAAAATTGTTGATAATTTAATTGGTTCAATAAAAATGAACTTGAGTAAATGTGGGAAAAGAAAGAGAACGGAGGAATTAGGATTAGAAACTTGGGAAAAAAAAGAAACGTTAAATAAAGATGATTCTCAATATGAATGTAATAATTCAGGAATTCTATTAATTCCCACACAAATTGACGAATTTAAACAACTAAAAAATTCGTCAGAGTTATTTATTCATTCTGAAGGTCTTCACGATTTTACAGTAAACAGAGGTATTACTGAGAACAAGCATGAAATTTGTATTTTTGATGAAACATTGTCAAAAAATTTGCTTGAAGAAGAGATTTTGCATAATTCAACACCAATTCCTACAATTGTGTAAGTTACAGTGTTTTATAATTACTCTAAAGTATTATCAGTTTTAGTGGGTGCGACAACATCTGTAATTTTGTAAACAAAACTCAAAAATCTCCAACTATAAGAACATCTTCAAGTATTACATTCTTAAGTAAAAATATCGGAATAAAGAAACGAAAGTTGATAGTACCTCCAATCATTTATGGAAGAAGGTCGAGAAGTGATAATAAAAACAAATCAATAAAACATGATAAAATCACTTCTAAGCCAAAAAGAATGATGAAATTAAAAGGCAATAATTATGTTAAAGAATACTTTGTATATAGAGATGAGGATTACGGTAAGATATATGGGAAAATTAATAAATATGCATTCAATGATCAAATTAAAATGAATTTTTTCCAGGAATAATCGACAATGCTGATCAGTTATTGCTTGAAGGAGAGAATGTTCATAGGCAAGATGATGATAGACAGACGACTAGTGAAGTACAAGACTGGGCAATTGGGCTTGTAAAAAGATACTTAGGCGAAACAGTAAAGTTAATCCGCCAAGAAGTAAGTTAATTCAATATTATTTAACTTCTTTAAAATTTTTTCAGCCTTTTAAAATGAATACCAAACCGGACCGTATAAGAACCTTAAGACAAAGATTCGGATTTCCAACTAAAGTTAGAGAATTATAGAGAAGTCATTTATAAACTAATTGTACTATATCCGAATAAAATTAAACATAAAATTACAGTGAAACATACTGGATTTATGGTATTAAATTAATTAATATTTATAGCGGGTTTAATTAATATTTAACAAATATTTATGTCTGTTAAAAAAAATTGTAAATGCAGATTTAACAATGAAATTGAAATTAATGAAGCAGTCCCATACGTAGTTTGTGCAGTAATAAAAGAGCCATGTTCAATACTATCTCTAGATATTTCTTTTAAAGAGAAGAAAAAAAATTCAAAGATCACATTAGGTCTATACAATATATTGCTTTTATTGTTAATATTGTTGGTTTTTTTGTTAATTTTATTTTCCGGAGGAATAACTATAGGACAGATGGCACCCCCTCCAATTTTTATAGGGAATATCTACGGATTACCTATTAAAACAGATTCGTTTATTGTTTCAGCAAATGGGACATTTACCGCAACTCTAAAAATGCCAGTATATAACAAGAGTTTGTTGAGTGGTAGGCTTTCGATAAGGAATATAGATTTTGCCCCAGTTTCTACAAACTTTATTTGCACTCCAAACAAAAATAACAATATTTTTTCTCACTCTATATTAGATGAAAATTTGTCAAATGGTTTTATTTTTCCGTTAAATAAGAAGTTAACTACAAATAACAATAAAATACTAATCGCAAAGAAGGTTACATTAGTTACAGAAGACGAAAATCTCCGTCAATTAGAATATGCATTAGGGCGTTATGGAGAAGCTGAAGTAAAATTAGGTGCTTGGCTTCCTCCTGGAAGAAACGAATTCATAATGCTAATTAAAGGTAATGTGGACTTAGAAAGTGCAAAAAAAGTTTTGGGTGAAACTATAGGTTCAGATTGTAAAAATGGGATAGCAAAGAGTTTCGTAGTAGATATTAAATTAGATTTTAATATGAGGTATTTCCTTGGTTCAATATCATCTGTACAACAAGATATAGGGTTTGTATTATTTCCTGGTTGTAACAAATAGTTCACGCTGGGGATACAGGAACAGGAGTTGTGCGATAAGACTGAAATTATTTAAATAGTCCAAACTTGGATGTGGCCTTTGAGAAAATTTTGTTTACTAACCCATTTTTCTTTATTTTACTTGATAAATCTGGAGATGAAATAAAGTCTGAGGCAATATCGAACATTATTGGTTTTACTTGAATTGGGAGGAATTTTGGATTAAAAGTTTCACCATCGAGGATTTCATTCATATTTTTATAATCTAATGCTTTGTTTTGTTCTGTTACTTGAATTGCAACATTTGAAAGGTAAATATTATACGACTTATTTGCCATATCATCGAGATTGCGATTAATATATTTAATTAAAGTAATAATCCTTTGAAATATTTCATCTTTGTCTAAATAAATTTTGCTAAAATCTGCTTCCTTTGTTTCAAGACGTGACTTTACCAAGTCACAGAGTACAAATGCCTCTTGAAATTTTCTTTTCTGACCAAAACAATGTGACAAGAATAAGCTACGGCAATTGTTAATTATTACTTTCAGTATCTCTGCTAAAGCCGTAGTATTTTTAGTTTTACTATTCGAGGTGATTTCAGAAATATTGAAGTTAAGTATGTCACAAATGCGAACTCCCTCTTCAGGGTATCTTAAGGAGTTTATTTTTTTTGAGAGTGAATTCTGAAGCTCATTAGATATATTTCCCCAATTTTCATCGTGGAGAAAAACTAATTTTGTGTAGAATTCAGGATTATTGAAGTATTCCATTAGTTGAAAGACAAATATTAAATCTCTCTCAATAGAAACAAATGAATTAAATTCTCTGGCATACGATTCAAACGCAATCCAATCATTTGATTGGTAATTGCTTATGAGTGTAGTTTCATTATTTGCACTAGCTTTTGCCATTTCCTCGTGAATTTTATTGCTTAAAGTAGTTGAACACATTAAAGTTTCAGAAAAACATTCAATCACCACATTGCTTGAAAGTTTGAGAATCTTCTCGGTGTCTTCAGTAGGAATTGACTCCTTGACTGCCTTATAGTTTTCGTGTAGCTCGACTAATAATATTTCCAAATTTGAAATCGGAACGCAATATTCTTTATCATTGTAAGAAAATTTCATATTTGAATTATTAGCAAGTGAATCACCTATTTTTAGCTCATTAATTGTATTATCGCAACAAGGGACCAAAATATCAAGACGCTTACAATGGTACAAGCAAAGTCTAATGAGTGGTGCCATTTCCACTATTTGATCATCATATAACTGAACGCATTCTACCTTAGAATGTTTGGAAACATTAAAATCTGGAAAAATGTTAGATTTTTCAAATATAGAAGAATCTAGCTTAAGTTGTTGATAAAGTTTCAAAGATTTGCTTAGTTCAATTGCACCTTTCTCCCAATTTGAACATTTGAGATAATAGTTTCCAAGAATATAACTCTGATAGGCTTGAACTTCAACTATGCTCCTAGTAGTACATCTATTCTTGACAACTTCTATTAATAGGTTAGACAATTTACATCCTCTCCTTAGTTTACGTATTTCATAAAATTTTCCTCTATTATTTGGTGTTTTTAGCTCTGTAATTGCACTGTTAGTTCTAGATCCTAGGTCAGCTCCTGTACTCCAATTCCTTTCAATTAAAAGAATAAGTAGCAATAAGTGTTTGTGGCTTGTGTAGTCACCACATTCATTGTAACTTTTTTGGAATTTACTTCTTCCACACTTCATTTTTAATCCAGATCTTAATCGGTGAAGCTTTCTAGAACAATACCGTGTATATTGTGCAAAATCTTTGTGCTTTAAACCATTTTGGTTTCGTAAATATTTTACAATTACCAATAATGGTAGCTCAATTTTATCAGTGATTTTCATATCAAAATCTACAAGATTGTCTTTAGTACCAGTTACTTCATAATCTAGTCCATCGAGCATTTTGTTGTTATTTATTGAATTCATTATTATACATCAAAAGTTTGTTCATTACAAACGAATATAATGAAAGCTAATTATTACCGACCTCAAAACCGTTGGGTAATCAGAAGAAGACACAAATAAATGTCAAATTTAGGAATAAAAAAAGACTAAAAATATAATTTGAATTTTACATAATTATTCTGCGGGAAATCAATACACAAGCTAGAATCATTTCTAAAAATTATTTTAAAAAATATCATTATCTTTAAAAACTGTTTTTTCAGGGTTTTGCACTAAAATTTACTTAGGTATTTATTTTTATTGTGATTAGCTAATGTAGTATTAAGAATTAGTCTTTTCTTAAACCTAATAAAGAAACATTTATTCCTGAGGAATCAATAACAATGACTTCTGCAGAGTCACCTGTATGTACGTCTCGCTCACTAGCACTGGTAAGCGAATCCTTAATGATGTTGATGATCCCAACTTTATCAATGGGATTAAAAGAAGTCTGATTATTTCCTGATATTTGATTATCAAGGATTGAAGTGATTAGAGAGCCTCCAGATCCAAGTGCCACAAATTTATGTTGTTCAAAACTACCTACCGCATCATAACCATACACCACACCTTTACCCTGTTCATCTAACCCCGAAAGCAAACAAAACGAATAATATGGGAAGAATCTTCTTGAGTACAATATACAAGAGAGTAATTGGGCAATTGCATTTATTGAGGGTGTTTTGTTATGTTCAAATTCGTATAGTTTTATCTTTGCCTAACATAAAATTATTAAACTATTTGTGATGAACAGTTTTAAACTTACCAATAGCATTTTTCGAAGCGCATTTATATCTGCAAGCATTCCACTGCACGCTAGAATACACGTATTTGTTAATTGACATGTTTTAGAAACCGATCTGGACGCGATTCTATACATTTTGCTAAGCCTCGTATCTGCCGCAATAACAACGAAATCTTCCCCTGCCACAGCTACACATGAACCACCATTATTCATATAAGGGTTAAAATTATGTTCCATTTTACCATAAGTTTTTTTTTCCGTCTCAAAAATTAGCTGATCGCAAAATCCCTCAACCTGTATGGGATCTTTATTTCTAATTACTGAATACATTTCAAATAATTCTTAATGCCACTTCCTTAAATTTTGAATAATTAAATTGTGGTAATTCTTAATTTTCGATACGATAAATTATTTCATCTCTCTTTGTGGGGGAAAGAAAAATAAGCTAATAAGGCGCCAATTGTTTAATAGGAATAAAATATTAGATTATAGCAAATTCAAGTAAAGTGTAGATAAAAGTAGTAATTGTAATTAGATTAACAACTAGCAGATTAGGGAAATCTAGGAAATATCGTTTTAACTTATGGACATTTTTTATTTATTATATTTGGACCAAACTCTTGATAATCCTAAAAATAATTTGAATAAGAAAATCACATATAAAATGAACTTACCCTTTTTGAAACTGTAAATTGAGGAAAAGTTCCGAGAGAAGAAAGAATTGAAGCTCCGATCCATGCAGATGCCAATCTTTCAGATGCACGTGGGGAGGCAACAATTCTAGGAGCTGGCCCTAACTAAAATACTGAATATATATTTCAACATAATCTTTATATAAACTCACCGAATTATTAAAGATTACAGAAGGTTTTTGATCAATAATTCCCTGATGTAGCTTGGAATCAAATCCACTAATCAATGTTGTTCCCCCCGCAAGAATAATAGATGATGTAATATTTGACATTTCTTTGTTGATATTTGATGTCTCAATTATTGAATTTAAAACCATTTGTACAATTCCTGGATAACCTTGGTTGGAACTTCCAGATTTGAAAAGTAAATTGGGAATTGTGTTACGTATAGATGTAGTATCAATTATGCTGCCATCGGGGAGATGAAATTCATTGTTATCGTTTGAATTTTGGGTGTTTGGAAAAAAAAGATTAGAATGCTTAATCTCTCTAATCACATGCATGATTCCCCAATTTAAGTAGGATTCATCAACGTTTTCCAAAGGAACATGATAGTTACTTGCTACATTATCATTTCCACTTTTGAATATTCCAAATTCGGGAACAATGTTTACCTTACCGTGGATTTTTTTATATATTTCGTTATCCAAAAAGTCACCTGCGACTGGATACTCTTGAATACTTCCCTGAATGCAATGCCCATCTTGAACACAAGAAACATTTGATGCTGATGCGCCTATATCAACCACAATTCCTGAAGTCCTTCCACAAGCAAAACAGGAAAGCACCGGTCTTTTTGAAGTAAATAGCGACGTAACTTCAAGTCTTTCAAATGCAATTTCTGCAAGTTTAGTAGAATGACTGGGGTTTGATATTGAGTGAATAGGAATCACGAGTGTATGACCACTTATCCTATCATCAAATGGTTCAAATATATAATTGTGTCTAGTTGAATATGAAGAGGTGTTATTTGTGAACTTTTGCGACAAAGACAACTCTTGAATAATTTTTGTTAAATATTCCTCATTTATATCAATTGTCTTTTCTTGAATATTATATTGAAATGGGTGTAAAACTTCAATATAATCTCGTTTTTCCCATGGTTTAAGAGGAAAAATGCTGTTACCAAACCTATTTGAATCGATTACATCGACATCTTTATTGGGTATTCCAATGCATGTGGGCACTATAGTCTTTGGTAGGTCATCACCTCCATACCCTATTCTAATAGATTGAGTTCCAATATCCAGAATGATACTGGAAGATTGGTTTCCTATTCCTGAACTCAAGAGTACGTCTGACATATTTTAAACTGACCTAAACGCAACAATAAAAAATTTATATTGTGCCAAATAAATTACAGCAAAGACTTCAGAACCACCCTATATCTTTTGTTGTTAGTTTTTTTCTTTGCATAAAAGTTTTCTAGAAGTCAAACTTCTATCAAATACCCCAAAAAAGTTAATTGAGCATGATGCCGCCAAAGCCACAAGCTGTATATTAAAATATATAATCATTTAAATCATTTTACTTTTACATCAGATTATCGTTGTGCAAAGCTGACTATTCTATGGGTTTAACTGAAAGGGTAGAGTGTACTGAAAAAATAACTGACTTAGAACGGTTAAATTACTTTATCTGCGGTAAAACTCATTCAGATATTATTGAATTTATTGAACTATTGAGTGAGAGTGTTAAAGGAAAAGTATTAGTACAGCAGCAGGAATATGAAGAAAAAAACAATGAAAGATCTGATCTTGGATTTAAATCAATTGTAATTATTCTCAAATTGCTATCTAAATTAGACTCTAACATAGACGAGATTCCACCAATAAAACAACCAATGAGATTTGGGAACAAAGCTTTTCAGGCTTGGTATGACAAAACAAACCAGACGTGTACATCTTATATTTCTGATATTCTGAAGGAAAATTCTGAAAAATATTTGCAAGAAATTACGAATTATTTTGCAGAATCATTCGGAAATAGATCCAGAGTTGATTATGGAACTGGCCACGAACTTAATTTTATTCTTTTTCTTATGTGTATTTATAGGCTTGGAATATTCCAGAAAAGTGATTTTCCTGACCTGATATTGGTTGTATTCCATAGATATATTCTTTTAATGAGAAGACTTCAGTCTGTATATCTGCTAGAGCCTGCTGGTTCAAGGGGAGTTTGGGGTCTAGACGATTACCAGTTTCTCCCTTTTTTGTTCGGTTCTGCTCAGTTTATAAACTCAAGTGAGCTGTTTCCCGTCCTTACAAGTCAAATACTTGATCGTTCAATACTAGAAACCTATTCTGCAAAATTGCTATACATTAATTCTATACAGCATATTCTTAATATGAAGACAAACGTATATTTTGCAGAATGCTCTCCTATTTTATATAGTTTAACTTCTGTTCCAACTTGGGAAAAAATTTACTCTGGTATGATTAAAATGTACGTAGCAGAGATTCTAAATAAATTCCCCATTGCACAACATATCTCATTTGGGAATTTAATTCCGTTCGAGTAAATTCGTTTTCGTAATCGGAAAAATAGCTGTTCTCAGACTCAACTTACCAGCTTGGTACTTCGAAAAACAGTAGTGGAGATCTGAGATACTTTAATATCAAAATCACATTGGCAACTAATGGTTAACAAAAACTAGTATTGAGAACCCAGTTAAATCGCATAATTACAAATAAACTGATAAAGTGCTAATGTCATTCTCTATTACATTTAGAAAAATATGAAAAATTATTTTAAATAGCGTTAAGACCTAAATCAGAGTAGTTGCAATGTTTCTATGATTGACATAAAATCAATAAATTTAGTTTATCACCCACCCATAATGGAAAATCACTTTCATTTATCCAATTGGAAAGCCACAAGGCATTGGGATACTTTCTGGATTAGGAGATCTCATATACATAGGTAAAGCAAAATTCGTTGGATTAGATGAGCTGGATGCCAGCGATTTGTTTCCACCACCACTAGAGTAGTTAACAAGTTTTGGGTTATTTGTCCCACATGACGAAACGACACTATATCTTCCTTTCCTATTGGGTGGTGGAGTTGCGAACAAATTCACAGTATTATTGGTGGCATTTACGGATTCTGAATTAATACTTATAGGTTCTTCACTCTGCGTTTTAAAATGTGGTTCCACACTTTCACAGTTATTAGTACGGCTTTGCGGTCTAATAAGATTTTTGGATTGTGGGACGACTGGTTTTGTGCCAATGTTTCGTCCGTTATGTAATAGCTTTAAAATTAAAGCACCGGGATTATCCCCATTAGTTCTATTGTAGTATTTATTGTATACAGTGGAGCTTGGTCCATTAGAATTAGGGCAATTACTGACCATAAAATCTCTTTTCTTTTTTCTATTACTATAGTGTGAATTATAACATCCACCAGAAGCTTTTTTTTCTGATCCCTTAAGAGGCATTGTGATAATAAATGAATATAACCAAGTGAATAAAAAATATTCTAATTGCATAAATTAAAAATCATCTATTTGCTTTATATTACTTCCAGTATATATATATTTACATTTATTCGTGTTAAGTACAAAAATGCAATCGCAAACTTATTTTCGTTATATTGCCACTATATATACGGATTTAAAAAATAATTTAATTTTGGAGTGAATGTTGTTAGTGTAAATAAATTAGTGTATTTCTTTAGTACAATTTGGAAAAGCAGGCTTGTTATTAAATAGTAAAAACTTAAGTGGATATCACATAATTCCAATCTTTTTTATTAAAAAAATATCCAACGGAAAATATTGAAAATCCACGTTGTAACCAAAAATAAATGAAGTACAGACTGAAATCAGTAATCAACTTCGTAATCTATTGTGATTGATTTAACATCACTTGTGGAAAAATAAGTAATGGGTTCGTCCAGTGTTGAACTCTTATCTTATTATTAAAAACCAATATAATCAATTATTTCCTCATAATTTTTTTCCCCCTTTTATCTTTACTCGTATTAATCCTTCACATCTCTGTCTATAGGCGGGATCTATCTACGACAGTCAAAATGTTATTTTATGCATTATTACCGATAAAAATATTAGTTCTAGTATTCTTGCATATAATATAATAACCCAACTTCTTGACCTAGTTCTGCCCGAAATATATTGTTGCTTCTAAAATCAACTATTAATATATTCTGTATTCAATTTACTCATATACCTCTTTAATTTATTACCACACAAACAATTTACAAATGGAGCGCCTGACTTGTTAGTTCTCAGCGCCGATAAAATTTAAGTCAAATTTTTTACTTAATTTAACAATTAGTCGAAACAATAATTTTTTTCATATTGAATAAAGGTAATTAGTTTCAGAAAATTTAAGTTCTCTAACTGCCCAGGATAATATCATCTGTTACTTTCATTTAACTATTTCGAAATTACTTTTTTTGTTAAAGGTTGATGTATTTATTCTGAAAAGAAATTAGGGATTTGAGAATAATCACTAAATCGTCTTATATAATGCAGAAGGCTAAAGCACAAGAAGATAGTTTATCTCAAGAGGGCGTAAATAAGAACTTAACTTTAACTTTTGAAGAAGTAAATAATTCAATACCTGCATTTAGAGATGATTTCCCAACTAATGCAGGTGAAATTAAACAGTTAAGAAGGGAAGATTTGTTAAATGAACATAGAAGAAAGCATTTAGAAAGCTATTATAAGAGTTCTGCAGAATGGTCTAATTATGAGAAGCGGCAGAGAAACAATGAAGAACTTGAGATCAAGTCATTGAGTTCATTTATTCATGACTTAATTTTATTGTCTCCAAAAACTAAGGAAGAGTATGAAAACGTAATCAACATTCTTAGAAGGCGTCATAAGATTGCTCCAAGTAAGGCTCAAATTATAAGAGTGTATGAAGAATTAGTTTCTCAAATGGGGATAGAGTTTTCGAGTAATGACATTAACATGCTATTTCAGGAATATAATTCAAAAAATAATCAATCTCAGATAGGAAGCAACTTGGAAAAAACCTTGCTTTCTAAGAAGGCTGTTAGAAGTCAGTCTGGAGTAGTAGTTATTACGATATTAACTTCTCCTGGGGCATTCTCTTGCAAACATGATTGCCATTATTGTCCAAATGAACCTGGGCAGCCTAGAAGTTATCTTTCAACAGAACCTGCAGTATTAAGAGCCAACCAAAATTCATTTGATGCCATAAAGCAGTTTAGAGATCGATCAATTACGCTAAAAAACAATGGACATATAATAGACAAAATTGAGATACTAGTTTTAGGAGGAACTTGGAGTGGATACCCTAGAGAGTACCAAGACACCTTTATTCGTGACATTTATTATGCTGCAAATACTTTTACAAATAAAAATAATATTTATGATAACAGAGACTATATTGATAGAGAAAAGCTTTCTCTTTCTCAAGAAGTTGAACTTAACCAAACTGCTGAGTGTAGAATAATAGGGTTAACATTAGAAACAAGACCGGATTACATCACACTAGACGAAATACTCCGATTAAGAGAATTTGGATGTACTAGAGTCCAGCTCGGAATTCAACATACTGATTATTGGGTTTTAAAACTCATTAATAGAGGTTGCTATTTGCGACAAATTGTTAAATCAATTAGATTACTTAAAGATACAGGGTATAAAGTTGATATTCACTTAATGCCAGATTTACCGAATCCCTATGATCATACAAACACAAACGAACTCAATTTAACTGAAGATGAAAGTATCATGCTGTCAAAAAAACTCAATTTACTTAAAGACTTACAGGCATATATAGGATTTGATAATGCACAAACTTTGGGTGTAGTTAATGACTATTTAATGCTTTCTAATGTTCTAAGCGATCCAAAACTTCAATGCGATCAATGGAAGCTTTACCCATGCGAAGTTGTACCATTTTCTAAAATAGAGGAATGGTATGAAAACAAAGCGTACCTTCCATATGCAGAGATTTTTCCAGATACACTTTGTTATCTATTATTATCATGTAAAGTTGGGCTTCATCCGTGGATTAGAGTTAATAGAGTCATTAGAGACATACCAAATCAAAGTATCATTGCAGGTAACAGTTGTACAAATTTAAGGCAAATGATCCATGACAAGATGAAAGCCCTAAATTTAAGTTGCAGATGCTTAAGATGTAGGGAAATCAAAGATAAACATATGAACCATAAACATATAAATCAAATAAATACAAATTCTAATGACAACTCAAATGATAAGGAAGAAAACAACAATAAATTAAAAATCAAAAAAACCAAAAAAATTAAGAAAAATACAAGAAATAAAGAAAATGGCTTAAATACAAAGGTTAGAGACATGCAAATTGTATTAAGAATAAGAAAATATGATAGTTTTGGAGGGGCCGAATTTTTTATTTCTGTTGAATCAAAGGATGAGATTGACCTTTACGGCTTTATCCGTTTGAGGGTTAGATTCAAAGATGAAGAAGTATTGACTCAAAATCAATGTAGTTTAAAAAATGAGAATGAAGATGAAATGAATAGTAAGTATTCCATGGACGAATTTATTGAAGATAGTGAGGAGATTTTGGAGAAATTTCCAGTTTTGAAAAATTCAGCGCTAATTAGGGAGCTACACATTTATGGAACTGTTGTTCCACACTACGTAAATGAAAAAGAATCCGATTCTGCAGTACAACACAGAGGATTTGGTAAAACTCTGTTGAGAACTGCTGAATACTTAGCTTTTATCCATGGGTTTTCTCGCATTGTAGTTATTTCTGGTGTTGGGGTGCGTGAGTATTATGCCAACAATGGGTACTTTCTTCAAGATACATATATGGTGAAGAATATAGATTCTCCGTCCATTAATAATGAATTTGATATTTATTTTTTGGACTGCAGTTTAGAAACTGATTTATTTAAAACACTAAATTATATAAGATCTATCGAGTGCAATAATCAGTTGAAAGGACGCAGTGATAATAGCAATATACCTGGGCTGGCCAGGTATAAAGAAATGAAGTTTGAAAACTATGCTAACACCATTAATATTCAGATTTATAATAACGCTTTGAAAATTTTGCCTGTACAAGTAAATAATATTCAATATAAAAATATGAAAAATTCTGCAATAAAAAATGTATTAAATAATATTAAATGTTTAGTATTCAATCATTTTAACAACCGATTCTCTTGGATTGTTGGAATAAGTATATTTACTTCATCCATATTTGGTTTAAGTTATTTGAGATCTAAAGGAAGACTAGTTTAGTGAATTAATTTGCCTAGAATAAATAATTAAGTAACATCTAGATTGAATATTGGAAGTCTGTCTGAGTGTTCTCTGCATATTGAGCGTTCCCCACCGGCTTTTCCACAAAAAATTTCATTACATTTGTTAAAATTTTCTGAAAAGTTACTTTTAAAACCATTCCTTGCTGATAAGATGCAATCCCATGCAACTGAAAAACTGAAACGTGACTCTTTTGTTCCGATGAAATATTCACCGTTTAAAAGAATTACTTGACTTACTGCCGAAATAACCCCATCTTCCAGCTTTTCTTTAATATTAATTATGTGTAAGTCAAGGTTTCGTCTCGAAAAAATTTCCATTAATTCATTTTTCTCACTTTCATTGCTATCTGTAGAAATCACAACACGTTTGATATTAAGATCCTTTGAAAGTTGTGACAATCTATCAACAACTTGATGAAATGTTGGAATATCATCGTTCCTTACAAAAACAAAATCATTTCTTCTTAAATGAACACTTATATAAGGTTTTTTTTTATCAAAAAAAGTATTTGAAGACATGTATAATTGTGCATGCTTCTTTACATTATCATTATAGCTAATTATATCTAAAACTTTATATTTCTTGAGCTCAAATGGCCATGGAACGAGAATTCCGTCTGAATACTTGATTAAATAATTTTGGAACTTTTTTTGTTTCTTGTTAGACTCAAATATTTTGTAAATTTCTTCAGAAACTTCTCTGGGCCTCATTAACTTAAAAAAAGAAAGACAAATTGCGTTCTTAACTTTTATCAATTCACAATGGCCAGCAAAAACTACATTATCATTTCCAATATATCTGTTAAACATGCACCTTGAATTGAAATGTTTTAATTCAGATATTTCAGATTTTTTGTAATGTTCAACTAAAGTATTTGATTTAAACGAATTATTGTTCCAGTCAAAGTTTAGTCCAATAACATCAACACCTATATTAGCCATACCAATAAAACCTTTGTAGATGTCATACTCTAATATTGGCAATCCATTTTGCTGAATACTAAAAAACGTTGACCAGGGTAATCTGCGTTTGGAGTCATAAGTCCAATGAGCAATATTGCAAAATGGGGGTAGAATAAGGACGGCAAATTTGGCTTCTTTTTTTAAATACATAGCTTCATTAAGATTTGAAACAACCAATGCCATCCTATCAAATACATTCCTTTGAAGATAGAATCCCTCTCCATCTTTAACATCATAAATTACCCAGCATACATCAGCCATCCAATCGGGACATTTATTTCCTATACTTTCACGCAAATTCCAATTGTTAAGAATATTTACGCATTTATTCTTGCAATTTGCGGCAGTTAAAGTAACTAGAAATATTATGAAAAGCAATCGAAAATTTGAAATTGAACTAAAAAGGTTTGAGCATGCAGAAATAGTCATAAATGTAAATTTAAAAGTAAAATAGTTAACTTTAGAAATTCAAATAAATTAACTTTTTTAGGCGGTATTGATTATTCCTTGATTAAATAGTCTACGAATTGCACAAGATCCATATTCCTCGTACTACAGTTTATCGAAAATAGACGGTGAAAAGTAGTTAAAATAGTAAAACAGTGTTTTGGAAGTTAATGTAATTCATACCTGTTCTTTATTAAAAAAACAACCTATCATGTCTATGTTCTTTGCAAAATAAGAACCACCGAGCCATGTTGAACACGTTCCCAATATTTTTTCTTCAATGTTAGATGAATTAGATAAGTTAATAACATTAATATCTTCTAGGCTAATATTGCTTCTTTTTAACACAATCTGGAAAAAATTTTCACGTAACAATATTAGATAATAAATGGTAGAAATAAGATCTTTTAAAACATACCTTAAAATAACTTTGAAAATTTGTGGAAAGTAGAGAGTTGATTGATGCTCCGCCGATAAATATGATATTTTTTAATAGAAGTCGTAAATAATCAACTGGACATTTTTTAACAACGGAAATAATTTCGTCGCATAAGCATGGAATAATCATATTTGAAATAATGCCATCAAAAATACCATATGATTTAATGCTGTCAATGTTTTGGTGCGTAATTGGGGAGGAAGATTTGAAGTTTATTCCAAAATGATCAAGTAGCGAATCTGTTATTGAATATCCTCCCAAATTAACAACTCCAATATACTCTGATAATAAATATCCGGAGGCAATAGGAAGTATTCTAATGCTTGAATCACTAAAATGTACAACAATTCCAACTGAGCCCTTATTATCTTTTTTTTGAAAAATATATGGAAGACCTCTTTGAATTGCATTTACTGAAAGTAATTCCTGAGAGATGCAATTGAATGAAGGCACTGAGAGTGATTCGAAAAAAAACTCCATTGAATGATCTTGAAAGTCAAATGGTGCATTATGAGGTTCAGACAATAAAACCGGGCACATTGTAGTGTCATAACACATTTCTCTAGAAACTAAGTCAGTCCAAAAAGTTTCTAATAAATTCCAATCAAGTCCATCAAGATAATTGAATGGCCGTGTAATGTTTTGGTATTCGTTTACAAGAAGTGATTTTTTTTTTGAATCCCAATTATTGGATGAACTTAGAGAATTTTTTTCAATACAAGATTTGTTATTTCTAAGTTTATCTGAAAAAACATTTTTATCAAACACTATTTCTTTCACTTTAGTTTTTTCAAACAATACAGTATCAATAATGACTTGAGGAAGCTTATTAGCTGAACTACCTATTCTTGTTTGAAATTGGCCAGTATCGATCACAATGGGAAAATCAAACGGATCCATTTTTATTTATTTTATTGACTTATTTTTTTTTCAATGCTTGCAAATTGTTTCAAATCAGCGGTATTGCCCACAAAAAAAAAGTCGGAAAAAAAGTTAGAAAGGGTTGCAAATTGTTTAACTAAAATTTTATAAAGTCTGTTTAATGTGTGTAATCAATTATGTTACCCACAATGAAAGAATCCTAAACTAATATTCTTTATTGAGTCATTGCCTTTTATTATTTTGGTAAAATGTTTTAATATATTTATCTTGAATCTTTATTTCGTTCAAATTACAATAAATAAACTCTCCGCATGAAGCTCTATAAACTCTATCCCAAAGAGCTAATGAAATATTATCTTCTGTCTCAAATCCTGTGATAAGAATGCAAGCAGAAGAAGGTTGGTCAAAGCTATTAGCCAAATCCTCAGCTTTGTGTAAAGTTGAAAACAAGTTTTTGCATGCTAAAGAAAAATCATAGTCGTCACACAAAGAAAAGTAATAACGGACAAAACACTTGAGAAATGAAAGCTTGGATCCAATATCAATCAATACTACGTTTCTTAAATCAAATTTTATAGCTGTATATTCTTGAGTATCTGAAACAAATGCTACTAATTTAGTACTAATCGTTGGCGAATAATGTTTGATATCCATTCCAGGACTAACTGTAATTGAATCATAGGGTGGTGGGTAGTTACTCGAAGATAATTTATTATTATTGAAGTAATTTATTCTAATGTCTTTAATCCACTCATTGCTGTTTTGGTAGTTGTCAATCAAAGTTTTCCAAATCTGTTTTCTAGAAATTCCGCCGCATCTAAATATACAAATAAAGTTACCATCTTCATTATACTCTAAAACTGTAGATTCTATTCCTACATTGCAACATTCGCCTCCATCCAAGATCCAAACATTAATTCCAATTTCATTCATATAACTTTGATCGAATTCCTTCGACACATGAATAGGACTTGTGGGACTTATATGCCCTGAACGGTTTGCCGAAGGTGCAGCAACAGGGACGGGCAACAATTTAAGCAATTCTAAAGTTAATGCGTTGTTAGGACATCTAACTCCAACTTTGCCCGAAATTGCAACTTCATCTACAATATTAGCTCTTTTTTTAGCGATCAATGTTAATGGGCCTGGCCAGAATTTATCGGTTAAAATTTTATAAATGACTCTAGTCTTTTCAGATAATTCGAAAACATTATCTTCCGCAAATTTGAAGCTGTGTACATGGCATATTAATGGATTGTTTCTTGGCCTTCCCTTAATTTTAAAAATTTTTAATATTGAAGATTTGTCGCAAGCATTTCCACCCAATCCATACACAGTTTCAGTTGGTATTGCAACCAAGTCTCCATTTAAGATATATTTTGCATATTTAGACAGATCGTTCATGTATAATATGATTCTTATTCTTAAATTGCTCAATAATATAAAATAAAATCGTTCGCGCTTAAGACATTTTTTTACTATCAAATTTAGCAATAATTTTAGTCAATCAATGAAAGTCTACTTGTCTAATCGTTGAATATCCTTTTTCGTCTTTTGAAACATGGAAAAAGTGGTCACATTGTTGTTCTTGTGCCATAACTCTTACAAAATTTTCATCATGAGTAATAATTATTAACTAAAAGAATAAATGTACTATACAATTTCTATACCCAACTCACTTGAAAATTTTTTTGTTGTTTTCTGAATTTGATCAAATATGATAATGCTTCTGCTAGACCTTTGATATTAAACCTATCTAAATTAGTCGTAGGCTCGTCGAGTGCTAAAATTCCGCAATTAGCACAAAATGATTCAGCAAGTGCAAGCCTAATTATAATACAGGCAAGCACTCTTTGACCTGCAGAACACCTGCCTATTGAAAAAAATGATTAATTAGATCAACAATTTTTGTTTAGTACTTACCCTTCATGTCGAGTTCTATACCATTTTGTATCATTACTACCCTGTAATTAAATGACTTAGTACCAGGAGTTCTCGATGATTTTTGGTTACTATCTGCTACAAAATTTTCTTCATTCTCTTCTACATCACTTCTTATTGCTATATAGTCGATATCATGGCCTTTATATGTAATATTCCATAATTCCTTTATAGTTCTGTTTATTTCTGTCATTTTATCTATATGAAATTTCATTAATGCCTTCTGAAGGGACTTGTGGTACTTTTCCATATCTTTAACACACAAACTCATTGTTTGCTGTTCAAAGACTCCGCTTAAGTACTTCTCCGACAATTCTTCAAGAGAAGTATAACCTTTTGAGTCGGAAATGAATTTATTTAGCCATTCATCATTGGCTTTATATTCACCTTTCAACTTTGATAATTCGCATTGTATCTTTTCTATTTCAATTTGAAGAGTGTCTAACTCATTCTTTTTCTTTAAATATGACTCTTGAATAAATTCTTTATAGTGATCAAAATCATTTTCTGTCAAGTAATCTGATTTACATATACCTAGTAGAGAATATATTTGATTAATAATTGCGTTTGCATTTTTCTTAGATGAATCATGTTGTTTCTTTTCCTTGTTCAATTTCGCCACAATATTTAATTCCTCAATAATTTGATTTGATTTAATTATCTTATTATTTATATTTGCTTCTTCTTCCTGTATTGCAAAAAGAGATTGAATAAGATTTTTATTTGAAATGTCTTTGTTAGGTACTTCAAAGTTTTGCCTATAAAAAAATGTTTATCCTTAAAATAGCATCAAAAACCTACCTATTTGCAAATAAAAATTCAAAATCTTGTTCTATCTCTTTAATAAAGTTGTTCAAACATTCTTTTTTTTTGCATAATTCATTCTCCAAATTTTTAATTTCCAATTCAGAGATTTGGATTTTGTTTGTTATTTCTTGAGATTCTAATTCAAGACGTTGAATATTTTCGTCAATAATCATCAACTCTATCTCGATTTGAGTAAGCGAACTTTTTAATTGCAATTGTTGATCTTCAATATCTATTGGAAATTTTTCAAGTTTTTCCAGTAGAAACTTGTAATTGAACTCTAACATGGAAATATCACTCTTAATTTCACAATTACTTATCATAAATTCAAACTCCTTCCAGTAGTTGGAAGTTTCGTTTTTTTTGGATTGATATTCAATTTTTCTTTGTTCAATCATTTCATTAAAACTGTTGGTATTTTCATCATATTCAAAAAATTGATTATTAAATGTATCAAAACTCTTAATACGCTCTAAAATACTTATTTCTCCATTAATTACCCCCAAATTGTATGTACAATTGTATATATTATTCAAATAATCTGTACTAATTGGTTTTTCATTAATATTAAAATTATCCTTATTCTTCTGTATTTTTAATTTTAAACTATGCAACTCATTATCTAAATGTGTTTTTTCTTTAATTTGCTGGCTTATTATATCCAAATCTCTTTGTACTTTAATCTGTTCATTCTTTTTATTGTTAATAGACTCCTGCATTTTTTTCTTTTCTTCAATTTTAAAGTTTAAATCTTCTTTCAAATTAGTTATTAAAGAAATCATATCGGATTTGTTTAACTCCATTTTCGAAATAGTTTCATAAATTGATTCCCAATTTAACTCTTTATAATTAATTAGTTGCCCATTTAGAATAGTCAAAGAGTTTTCTAAAAATAACAATATTTCTTTCATTGTTGTTATTTTTTTTATTTCAGTAACTTTTCTAATCAATTCTCTTTTTCTTTGATTGAATTCATCAATTGAATTGTTTGTTCCGAATTTCTCTAACTCGTTTCTAATGTGATTTTTTTCATCTTGTAGATTTTTAATTTTAGAATTCAGAGATTGAATTTCTTTTTTTTCAAGATTTAAGATTGAATCAATTTCAAACTCATCCTTTAATTTACTATAATTTGAGTTTAGTAGATCATTTTCCATCTTGCCAATTTCCTTAATGTGTGAGTCGGCTAGCATCCATTCAGAAGCTAGTTCAGTTCGAAGCTTATCTAACTTATCTACATTTACCATCATTTCTTGTTTGATTTCTATATGTGAATCTAACCTGGAATTTAAAATCTGCATTTCCTTATTTATCTCGGTTTTTCTAAGTAAACATTGATTTTTCTTATTAATGATTCCTTCCAAAAAATCTATTTTCTGTTTTAGGTTTTCGTTAAATAAAGCTTTATCTTTAATTTTTTTATTATATTCGCTCTTTAGCTTTGTAATGTATTCCAAAGCTTTACTATATCTAGTAGATCCGAATAATTCGTCAAATTTTTTTTTTACTTTAACCATGTCCTGTAATGGCCAATTTGAGTCTTCTTGGTGGCAAAAAAGTACATTTTCAATTATTGAATTAGAAACCCCAAATAAAATAGGAACTTGAGTATTAATGTCGGCACATTTATGACTTATGCTGGTTACCTGCCCAGATTCCTCATCTTTAGTCTGTAGGACACTCTCTAAAACTTTAAATTGTGGTTTTAAATCCCCAGACACTTTTGAATCAATTTTCCTAGTCTTAATATGAGATAATTGAAATGACCTAACTACTTGAATCTTTTTCCTGTTTTGATGTTCTCTAAAGATTAATCTTATTTGAGCTCTAACCTCAGCTGACCCATTTAATTTAGGGTCGTGAATGAAATACTGCCCACTCTTAGAGTTAGGAGGAAGTTCACCGGATATAGATGCTTTCAAGCATTCTATGATAGTAGTTTTACCTGATCCATTTTGGCCTACAATTAATGTAATTGGCTTTTCAAATGCAATACCTTCTCTACGATCTGGAGAAAAACTCCTTACCCCACAAATAATTAATTTTTCGAGGCTACTCATAATTGATCAGTAATATCTGTAAAAATATAAAGTTACATTTAAAGAATTTAATCTTTTGTTGTAAGGTATTTTGATGTGAGTTTTTTACGTCTATGCAAAACCGGTTAAATGTACGAAGAATAATGCAAATTAATGTAAATGAAAGAAAATAATTAAAGGCAAGTAATAAAATATACATTAGGAGATTAATAGACAACTACGTTTAATTTCTAATCGCATCTCTATTGGAATGTTTAATATATTCTCTGTCTTCAAATGCAAATAGTAATTCATGATGCCTTCTATATGACCTTATTACGTCCTGTGCTCTTTTATGTTTCCTATCGTCATTCTCTAGTACGGACAATATGCTATCAAATGTAAGTTTCTGTCCCATATTTTTTGAATTGGATAATTTAATTGCGCATAACATCTTAATTATATAGTGAGGTTGATCATAATAAATTTTTGTACTTACTATTTTATCAATGAAATCACACGATAATTTAGCAACAGCAAAAACTGCATCAGCTGTAAATCTTATATCTGTGCAGTCCCAATAGGCATCTATTATTGATTTTACTTGATTGAAAATTAAATGGAAATATTTATTTAAAAATTGCACTTACCGCATGATAATAATTGGACTTTTTCATTTTCTATTTTATCTATCAGAATACCTTGACTGCTCTCATTAGAACGGTTATGTATCAATGTATTATTGAATAAAAACATATCATCCTCTCTCATTTCTTCAGCAAAAGGATTTACCATCGAAACCTTTGAAACGCAAAAAAGTGACTTGGCGGAACAACTATTCATTAATATTAGTATAGACAATAATAAAAAAAAAAAAAGTGACAAAGAATTCAAAATTATAGAGCCATCTAACTACCTATTTTAGCGAGAACTTTATTTTAAACGTAGGAATGATATCAGATGAAGAATTTAGTCAACTTCTTAGGAGTTTACTCCATCTAGATTTTGATTTCGAGTATAATAATTTGCATTTCGAGAGCCGCCTCCAGCAGAAGCAAAGAAGTTTGAGCCTGCAGTATACCCGAATGAAGTAGACTGATCCCCGTATGGCCCAAGAAGTAAAGGAACATACTGAGGCGTCTCATCTGCGGAATCAAAAGAAATTTGTGAATGTTGCCAAAATCTGGTAACATCGCTTGGGATATCAGATAATGCCATTACAACGCACATAAATTGACGTCTCCATCTAGAAAATATTCCTTTTTCTCTTTTTGGGTTTCTATGGCTGGTTGGTACCCAGGCAAAATAGGGCCTTAGCTGTGCTGGGAATGAATCCTGACCAGGGCATCTAACCTTATAACTAGTTCTAAAAATAGTTCTTACACGTGCCTTACATCGTGAACAAGGAGTATATAAAGACATAGGCACACAGAACCCTGGATTTTGACGGTAGAACTTGCAGTCAACCATATTATCAAAGTTAACAGGCCCACCTATCCATTGTAATCTTCCACTATGGCCGAATTGTATCCCTTGGTTAATTCTTTGCATTGGCATTGGCGTTGGAACCTGAACTTGACTAGCTACAGGTGCCAGGTTCACAATATTGTTATCTAATGTCGCATAGCTTTGTTGGCCATCGTTACCAACCAAAACTACGTCAAACTGGAGATTTGAATAATCTATATCCGAATTTGATTGATTAACGTCAGTTGAGGATTCTTGCTCAGATTCAACATAAGAACCTGTATCTTGTCTATGTCTCAACAATTCAGCTAGACCTTCAATAATAACCAAATGAGCCTGATCATCTTCCTGAGTTTCTGAAGTTTCTGAAGTTCCGGAACAATTCAAAAAATAAACTTGTTTAATAAAAAATAATATACCAAAAAACAAATAGTATCTCATCTTTAACACACTTTCAACTTTTAAATTCAAGGAATTTGAGCCAATCCCAATTAATTATCAAAAATTTGCAATTAAAAATGTCTGGTTTCAATTTAAACTATAGACTTGTATTTCTTTTTTTTTTGCAAATAAATCATAAAAACAGTCCTTATAGGTAACGCGTTCGGCTTAGCCCGCCTTTTGTATATTATTTGGAGAGAAAGGAGGGATTATCATTTTGCTCGGATTTCTTTTTTTCTGTAAGACATTCATTCTGAAGAGTTTCACAAATATGCTACTATTTTGTTATTTGAATTGAGTATTATAGTTGTAATATTGTCAAATTGCACATATATGAACACAGAAGTGCTTTTTCTTATCATTATGACTGATTGAAACTTAATATTTAGAATTGATCATAGTTAAAGTAACAAATAGTCGTTTCTTAGTAGTTTTGAAACTAATTTATTTGAGATAAACATAAATATATCGATATAAAATTTTAGTTTTCTATAATAATTAAGAAATTAAACCATGTACAACCCTACTCCACAGAGTAACACAGTAAGCAGGACACCGGATCCTATTATAACCATCAACGTACTCTCGCTTAAAGATTCATTATGATTATTTGATGTCGAAAATGGAATTTCTGGTGGTAGTGGATATGAATTTTCATTTGACGAAAGTGGTGACTCATTTGAAGGACGTGATGCGTATTTAGCTGCAGGATTTGGTTCCACTGCACATAGATACTGATGCCCAAATCTTTTTCTAATGTGATATGGCTTTAAAACCCACATATACAAAGGAGCCAAACTTGGGGGAAATGATTCATCTCCTGGACATTTTGCGGAAGCGACTGCATAAACTACCTCGGTTCTACAAAAATGGCAGGGATTTATTACTGTTCCTGAAGGATTACAAGACCCTGGATGCGTTGAATAAAATAGGCAACGATATACTTGCGATAAATCGCCCAAATCCAAAGAATGTTCAATCCCAACATGCCTTCCTCCTATCATCATTCCTGTATAGTGAGGGCCACCCTTCAGTGAATCTCCCATTTCTGCAGAGCCTCTAAGCTTGATTAATGCAATATTCTTTGATCTGATTTCAAATTTTGAACCGGACCTGACAAACATCCGAGCCAAAGCTAATAAAAACGTAATAGTAATTATTTTCATTGAAAGAATTTATTGAGAATACATAATAAAGCTTTCAGACACTCTCTAAAAACTCTAATTTTAAAATAATCTTCATTAAACTATTTCGCTACGGTCTTTAATCTTCAAAATTCAATAATTCAAATAATTAAGGTGCACATCTTAGTGTGCGTATGTGTGATTTGTTAAGGAATATAAACGGAAATATACTGAATAACTGTACAATAAAATATCAAGAATTACGAATTCACAAGAGAGTTTTTACCTTGTTTTACTGTAGTTTTTACTTAAATATTAAATATTCTATTATTGATAACGGCTTATCATTTAATAATTATATCTTTTTTTAATCTGTTTCTCTGTGCATGAATATATAGAATAACTAAATATTTTACTTCAATAAATTAAGTAATTCCAATAGATAAATGGAATTTCTTATTTGACATTTAGGTTTGGCCTACTAAATGTTTCATGAACCCCCAAAAGGGAAAATGCGGTATTACACTAATGATCTCAAATTTATTACCCTATTATTTGTTAATCATAAATAACTTGAATATTATATAGTATTTGTTATGTTTCGGATTAAAAATTTCAAAATATAAGCTACTCTCTTACATTGTTTTAGCCATATTTATTTAGTGTTGGCATAATCACTTAAATGCCGATTTCTATCATTTTCTGCTAAAAATAGTTATAAAAAATTTCCATAAGCCTTTCAAAAAAAGTATGTTAAGTTTAATGGTTTAATACATGTAAAAATTTCATTTGAAATAAAATAAATATTTGAAGAAGTCTTGACCATCGGCCCACCAATATAACCCGAGCTATTTCTATTTATCGTTGTTGTAACGATAGATGTTGAGGCACGAGTTCTAGAAAAACGAATATTAATAATTTGTTCGGATTCTCCACAATTAAACGAATATATCTCTTTAAAAGATGGAATACTCCAAATAGAGATAAAATAGCAATTCATAAACTCAGCATTAATATATTTAGAGGTTGTTTTAAAACTTTTAATTGTATTCAAAGATTTCTCAATTGGATTGTTTAAGTGTGCGCGATATGCGCCGATCATTAGATGTCCGCAAGGGGTAAATAATGGGCAAATAATTCTGAAATTTTGCATGAGAAGAAGCTTACCGGATGAAAGAGAGTAAAATCTAGTTTTTGGGTAAATTTCTTTATTTGAATCAACACAAATGATAAATCTTCCTTTCGGATCTATTTGGCACATGTGAATGTCACTATTCAGAGGAATTTTGTTTATTAATATTGGTTTATTATTTAAATCTAAATTATAAATTGAAAATATCCTAATTTCATTTACAATCCCTTTATAAATTGCCAATAATATGTTACAAGTATGAGATATATTGACCCATGTTAACGGTGAAGGTAGTTCTTCAATAAAATCAATCAAACTTTTCCGAGAATATATATGCTCGTAATGAATTGTACTATAATGCACTAAAAGCCACCTCTCCCCACTAAAATTGGAATTCTTATATCCAGAGCACAACTTCCAAATATCTAAACTTCCATCTTCTAAGCCAATTGCAAGCAGATTACCGGATATTTCAAATATAATAACTTTTGGCAGATTTGAATGGTTTACTGAAGGTTTCTTTAGAACTATTCTTTTAGAGAAATTGTCAATTTCATAAAAATAGATCCCATAGTCTTTTGTAACACAAAAAATTGTATTTTTATCGAAAAATGCCCACTTTATTATTTTGGTTGTCCTTGCTTTTAAAGCAATATTATTGTTGCATGAAGAATCCTTTGAGTCTTCAAGTAAGTTAAGATTAATTCGCGTGATCAATTTTTTTTTTGTATAGATCAACTTTTCATTAGCAGTATTAGAACTTATTTTCCCTGAATAACTATAATTTCTAAGTTCATAAATTTCCAAAAAATGGTTTGATATTACAGCTATTAAAGGGGAGAAAATAGCTATTATCTTTTTATCACATTTGTAAATATTGATATCCTGAAAAATAGAGATAAGTTGTATTAGGTTCCAACTTTGTAACTTTCTTCTGATAAAAATTTTCCATATTACTGACTTATCGGCAAATTTCGTACAGTAAGTGTTCTGATTAAAACTATTTAAGTTTTGCAAATTAGCCGCAAGAGTATTTAAATCAAATCCAAAATATTCATCTTTATCATTTTCAACTAAGTCGTTCTGATTATTCTTATTCATATTAAATAATCTCAAATCCTCTAAAACACAATTAAATTCGTTTGCAAGCAACTCAAGAAAATTTTTTCTTCCCCCACAAACTATGCTCCAGTACTCAAAGCTCGTCCAAAGAAAGTTAAAACTTCTATTTAGGTGCAATAAACTAAAAATGTCTATTATCTGTAAGTATTTACTAACCGTTGCAAGAATTTCTAACGGTATTTTTTCCATATTTGAACGAAAATCCTCTTACGAACCCATAACTGTAAATTCATTAAGGTCCCTGTATTCACTTATTTGTAAAATAAAGTAAAATAAGCGCGTAATTATAGTAATAATTCTCTTCAGTTGGAAACACAAAAGTTTCATAAAATCAAATAATTTAATTCGTCCATACAAGGACCTTAAAGATTATATTTTGTTAAATTACAATTAATTAAATTGTATTGCAAAAGGATTTATTAGAACTCGTGTTTGAAAAATAGTCTGATAACTTTCATATTTACCGCATGTCCAAGTTCTGGAATTTAATTTTTTTTCCAACAAGGAAAAAAGAATATTAATCTAATTAAAATTTAACTGAATATCACTAGAATGTCACAAAATTTTATTTTGCGATTTGGAGAACCCTTGAAAATTTTTTTTTCATTAGGTGAATTGCACTAAATTATGAAGAAAAATAAGTTACTGTTAACAGCAACCTCCTCGCTCATATCTGCAATTTTAACTTCTTTCCTACTTCATCCACTAGATGTCGTAAAGACTAGACAACAAGTGGCAGCAACATCAGATGGTGCAGTTGTCGCGTACTCAACACTAATATCTTCAATTAGTTTCATAATTAATACAGAAGGAGTCTTTGGATTATATAGAGGATTAAATGGCCAGTTAGTTGCATCAGGAATTTCTTGGTTTATTTTTAGATACCTTTTTGATTTTATCCGCTATTCTATAGAAGAATGCAAGTATTTTTCGTTCAATTATAGAGTTAAAAATCAAAAATATGTTTATTCTACAAATATTTCTCCGTTTTCAAATTCATTCGCAACAATCATTGCCAGCATACTTTCCACTGCATTAGTTCATCCACTTTGGCTAGTTAAATCCAGATTAGAAATGCAATCACTAAATACTAAAAAAAAGGGTTGGAGACAATATTCTACAGGATTAAACGGAATAGTTGAATGTATTTACAGTATTTATCAAAGCAATGGAATATGTGGTTTATATTCCGGATTTATTCCATCTTTACTTTTGATTCCGCATACATTAATACAACTTGTGATTTACGACATACTGCGAACTAAATCGATGAGCTGCGCTTCAAAGTGTCTTTGTTTGAATAATTTGCATTTCTTCTTCAATGGATTCATTTCAAAGTTACTGGCATCGACATTAACATATCCCCTGCAAGTTATTAGATCAAGAATGCAAATGAGCAAATTGGAAGATATAAAACTAAATGTATATGAAGTCAATATATTAAAACTAAGCCGTAAAGAATTCATCAGTTTTGTCAGGGATCATTATTTTCCAGGAATAATGACGCATATTCCTAAAGTTAGTATCCACAACGGAATAATGTTTCTAATCTATGAAGTAATAATAAGGCTACTTGAATCGCTCATATTGGTAAATTAGTATAAACTCGTTAAATTAGTTTTTTATTGCTAATAAAATTAGTACCTTGTATTTCCGCCTAACAAAATTATGAGTCAATTTCCAAAAATGCTTATATTATAGAGAATTATCAAATAAAATAGTCGGGAGCAGGCCTTTTGGCAGGAATTCCTCTCTGTTCAGCAGGAGCTGCCTCAAATGTTTTAAAGTGGTAGTTTAATTGTTCATCTAACTCCATTACAGTAGCAATATTCCCACATCTGTAACAATAGTTCGGTGCACTCCAAACAGTGACTAGATTTTGCTCAAACCACCACTTATAACCATCCATAGCAAGCTGATGAGCTCGTGTAATCAGTTCAATATCGTTACAATGATTGAAACTTTTTACTACATCCGACCCAAAAATATATCCAGCACCTCTTGGGCTAATTCCCCATCCATTTATTTCTTCTGGGTCGGACCAAAGAAGATCGCACATAGATCCATCATGAGGGACTTCTTGCTTTCTATCTAGGCTCCGTATTTCATCAATTGTTGTAATACTAGGAGACAGTCCTCCATGGACGCATAAAATTCGGTCTTCAATCAATGAAGCAAGAGAAAGGTAATCAAATATTTCTGTGCAATACCTCCAAACATTTACACTCCCATATTTACGAAGACATTCATCATAAAATCCATAAACTTGTGTAATTTGTCGCGTCTCATGGTTCCCTCTAATAAGCATAATTCTATCTGGGTACCTGACCTTAAGAGCAATAAGAAGCAAGAAAGTTTCTACACTATAATATCCTCTGTCAACAAAATCACCCAAAAATAAGTAATTTGTATCAGGAAGTTCGCCACCAATTTTAAAAAGCTCCATTAGATCAAAAAATTGGCCGTGAATATCTCCACAAATTGTTACTGGAGTATCAATTCTCTGCACATTTGCCTCCTCTACAAGGATTTCTCTAGCCTTCATACATAATAATTTTACTTCAGATTCCTTGATCGGCTCACAACGTCTTAACTGCTCAATTTGTCTGTCTAAATCACTCATTTATATACTTAATTATTTGTTGATTGCATCAATTTTGTCCTAAATATTAACAATAAATAAGTATTCATTCAAACTGCATCATGTGGTATTAAAATATAATTTATATTCTATTTGATCTACTCAAAAAATTTGATTTTTTCACTCAAAAATATGTTATTCCTGACAAAAAGTTTTTTAAGAAACTTTTTTCTTGTGCCTGCACTGTAAATGTCTCAAAAATACGTATACCGGCAAGAGGTAAAAAGTCGTTTGTTTAAAAATTATAAAAATGTAGATATAAAGATAAAAACAGATATACACAAGTAAATTTAATGATAAATGTTAATATTTGTATTTATCTGTAAGTAGTTAAGATTTCATATTCGAACTATTTTTAGGAATGAATCATTTAATCAGATCTCATAATTCAAAAGGAAGAATAAAAACAATTATTAAAAATGCTCCTATTGAATTATGGTACAACATATTTGACCAAGAAATTACAAATGCAATAATACAGCATCCATTTGTCGAACAATTTACCTGGATTAGACCAAATTGTGAAAATGTTGATATGGAAGAACCGCTTTTGCAACACATAGTTGGATCAAAATTTTATTTATTTGAGAATATTTTCCCCAACAGCATTATATCAATTCCATTTATTCAAGAGTCAATTGTTAACAATAACGCTGCATTTATTTCACTCCCTAACTTGCTAATTGATTCTAACTGTACATTTTCTGTTTTTCACAAACAAACCAAAGTGCCTCACAATGAAGAAATATCTGAGTTGCTAGCGATTATTAGAACACCAAATACACTATTTAGAAATGTGATAAACGTTGATAAGTTTATGAAACAACCACCGCATATGAAAAAAACGAACTATTTTTCATTTCACAAAATCGAGTTGAATGACAAGTCATATTGGAACGATAAATCTGAGAAACTGGCTAAGCTTCACGATAATTTCCAAGGAAATAATCTTTATGAAGAATACTTTAGTTCAGTAATAGATGAGGTACCAAATGCCCACACTGAACTTTATCCATTTTTTTTTAATCCATTACTTAATGATTCCAAAAACATAATTCACCCAAATAATTATAAGAAAAATGATAAATATAGATGTATTTTTTGTACTGTTAGAAATATAACTATGAAGGATTACTGTTATTGTAGCGCGATACAAGAATCTAAAAATCCACCTACTGAGCCATCATGCAAAAGCTTTTCATATGATACCAAAGGATTAGGAAATAATCCATTTTATCTTTCATTACAAAAGCAATTTGGTCCCTCATTTTTCACAAAAACGGGTTTTTTGTGCTACTTTGATAAAGAAAATTTATTCGATTTTGAAAGTGAAACTCAACTTTTAAAAAATCTTGAAACTATTTTGTGCTTAAACGGCTCCCCAAATGCAAAAATCACACCGATCAATGTTAAATTGATTACAGAACAAATTGATAAAAAGTTAATAGAAGGCAAAGGTTATAATAGCAAAAGCTTAAATATTGTTTTTGAAAGCAACGAAACAAATAATAAGTATTTGTCAGAAATGTTAATTTTCATTGATTTGAACATTGTAGCATCACTAATGCAAATTTCACTTAATGCTAAAATATCTAACACTAAGATTTTTGAGCAGATAATCGAATACTTTGATATATTGATTCATCAAAACTTGTTTTCTGATCATCTAAGACTAATTAACCCGCTTTATTGTTGGGATTCAAGATTTGAACAATCTTCTAATACTGATATATTTGATATTTCTGAGGTGTGTAATATATTGAAATTTGTTTCATTTAAAGAAGCTCCAAAAGAAATTATTAAACTAGATGGTTTACTAAGGCCAACGATACTACAGAGACTTATTTGGTTTGCTACAAGTCAAGTTGCAACTGGGACATATTTGTGGAGTTTAATCCACTTAAAAGGTGTTGAAAACTCTCCGGTTTCAATTAATTATAAACCTCGTTTTAATGACGAAAACAAAAACTCTGTTAATGATTTGTATTTATTAATATTCCGTATAAATGGAGAAATTAACATTTTGTGCATGTCTGTTGTTAATCATAATGATGCAAATTTATAGTCTAAAGCCACTACTGTTGAACCCGGCAACTATTATCTCATATCGAACAGTTTATAGGAGAAATAATAAACTCAGTATTGAATACTTGCTGACTAATTTTATCTTCAGATTCTGAATTGCATTCTTCTGTACTTAAATTGTAAATGCTTCCTTTAATCGTACTGTTTGGATCATTTTTAATTACCATCTGCAAATACAATAAACCATTGTTTCCGACCTTAATTCTTAAAAGCGAGCAAACGCTTAGAGACTTTTCAAGCTGAGATAATGACCTAAGAGAATAAAAGTAATAATTATTTTGAAGAATTTTACACCCAGCAAAAACATTATGATCATCTGAAAATTCCCATATACACTCTTCGCCTTCAACAGAGCACGAGAAAGATAGAATACAAGGCTTTGCTTGATTCTGAGGATAAAATGCAATCTTTATCTAATAAAAATGTTAAATAGAATTAAAAATTAATCAATAAACTTACCTTGCTCTCAGGCCTTCCGACATCACAAAGATCTTTTAATAGTTCCTTTAATATGATTGGGAACATTATCACATAATCCAATTCTAAAATTGCAGCATTTCTATAATCTAAAAAGTTCAAATAATGCAATTCCTCAGTTTCATCAGATATATTATAAGTACAGAGGCTACAATCAGTTACAGCGCCATCGTCATCGGTAATGCTTAAATGTAAGCTAACATTATCAAAAGTTAGTATAACCATTTTGGCATCTAATCCAAAAACTTGAATACAATTTAAAATTGTACCTAAACATATCTCAAAGCGTAAACAATTTGTTCCATTTGCCGCATATACATATTTTTTAAAAACATCTTTTTTAAGCCAAGAGCAGCAATAAACGTCTTTACTTAAAGTACTATTACTCAATTTTATTCCCTGTGCTGAAATTATGCATGTCAAAAATTGCCCCTCTCCATTTTTTTTGTTAGCCTTACTTAACTGTAGGCTCTGAATCGCTTTTACTAATGATTGAACGTCAAACAAGCATGCTTCCATCAGCTTTATTATTTTGTCGAGTTTTTTGAACTTCTGATTAAATTATTGGCATAAAGGCGCTATATTTAGATAATCCTAAATGTAATACAAAAAAAAATAAAATCTAAATAATAAATAAATTATAATCTAAAACTCTTTCATTGCTAATAATGACTCTATATTTTTATCTGAATACTAGAAATATACGCCCGTAAACCAAATTTATTAAAAATAGCTAGGAAAAAATGTATTCGGAAAGTTGTCTATTACTTTTCCAAGCTTTATATCTACTTGTTCTCTTCCAAATACAATAATAAAAATCAACTATTTCTTTTGTGGTCTTTGTTTTGATTATTCTTTGTATTTTGTCGAATTCCTTACCATACTTACAAACTCCACATTCAAAAAGAATTACTTCGTGTGGACCCCATAAATCAATTACCTCTCTGTTTCTAAATGGATGTGTAAGTAATTGTAAAGGAGATATGATACTCTTTGCATTAGTAATAGGTTCAAGCAAATGGGAGTTTTTTATGTTTGTTTTTGTACTTGACTTCGTGTAGCCATTATTATTTGACTGTCTCTTCAAAAATGCATTGTATTGTTCTTCAGGGTCAATATTATGAGAAACAATCAGTGATTGAAATATATCGGAAACTGATTCTGTCTTTGAAGTATTACCTAAATAAAATTCTTCACAAAGAGATAAGTAAGATTCCAACTTTAAAATTTTTTTTCTTACTAATTCATTTCTAATTTTTGGTTCTGGAATTTCTTTTAAATCGTATGGTAAATGAAATGAACTGCTACAAACTATTTTAGAGCTATCTGAGTTATTATCAGAGTGAGAAACAATGTTTGTTTCATAATCATTAACAGAATAACCTGAAATATTTTTTTTTGATGTTTGATCGTATGTTTTAGTTTGAACTTGAGAATCAATACCTTTGACAACTGTTTTATCAACCTGGTTTTGAGTTCCTTGAGACGAAGATTTGTTGCTCGTGAAATTTCTAGACTTGTTCAACGTAATTCCAGGCGAATTCTTTTTCATATTTCTAGAATATCCATTGAGGTTTTTTTTGTATACGCCGCTACCAGGTGAAATTGAGGTGTTAATGGAAAAATTTTCAACCGCAACTATTACATTCTAAGAAATTAACAAACTAGATCAAATAAAACAATCGTAATCTCGAGGTTTGAACAATCAAAAAAACTCTTAAAGACAACATAAACCCGACATTTCAAAAAAAATCCGCAGACTTGAGCTCATAACTCCGGAAAAAAAAACCCTCTAGAGGTTGTGACTCCAATCTAAAAGCTACTTGAAATAAAAATCAAGACATGAATTTAAGTTAGCTTTCAATTGTTCGATTTTACCATCGAAACTATGATACTTTAATTTTCCAAGTTAGTTTTGGTAAAGTATATAAATAATACACTATCAGCTTATCAAATCAAAAGAAAAGAATCAACTCAACACCGTCATTTCAACACATCGTATTGCTAATGCACTTGAAGATTCTTTATTTTAAATTTTTCAAACTATCAATACATTAGAATTAATCAACTCAGAGTATTCGCAATTTAATTTGTTGTATAAGGTGGGGTCATACGTCTTGTCGCGCCAATAGGCAGGTAATATTCCTTTTCCACGTCCATCCCCAATGACGTCTGCTTGCATGCGTTTATGTCTGTAATAAAATGTGTGGTTTATTGGCACGTCTGTCCGCATGTTTATTGGCGTAATGTATCATATACGGGTAAAAGGATTTTGATCTCATAGTGGCTGAAACCAGTTTATAGGTTGAGTAGATTAGGTCAAGAGTTGGTCAAATTTATAAAGATCAAGAGGAGGTAAAAAGAAGAGATGGCAATCAATTGAATAATCTGTGGTAAGTGACTGATAATAATTGAAAGAAAAGTTCAAGAGACAAAATATTACTAATTAAATAAGAAACAAGTTGTGTAAGATTAAGTGGATTCATACGATAGTTAACTTTAGTTTTGATTCAGCAAGTACGATAGTATAAGAAAAGGTAGTGTAAGAGATTATAATATAAAGGTTTATTGGCACTGAATAATTGGAAATCTTTAGTTCAAGCAACAAGAATAGTTTACTCTTGTTATTTAAATTGAGTTAAGAGATTTAATTGAATAAATTGTTTTGTTAGAGGAAGATATCTTTATCCGTATATTGGTTTGTTTTACATAATTTGAACTAGTATTTGGGTACTCAATATCACCTAATTGGGGTTATTATACTCTTGAATAATGAGGCCTGAAAGATTGAACAAAGTAATACAAGGTCATGCGAGTAGTTCTAGTAACAACATAATTTTATATGGTGAGAATTGTCGTAAATTGCCTAATCAAAGTAATTTACAAGTCATGAATTCACAAGATATCAAAAATGCAGGTGTTACTACAAATAAACCGATAACGAGAAGTATGGCGTCGTCTACAGGAAATGTAATGAGTATATCAAACTCATCTATGTGTAACCAAAAACATTCAAGCAAACTAGCGGATGCCAATTCCAAAAATTCAAATACTGTGAAATCAGGCTCTAGAACAATTCCCGGTTCGTCTTATAATGAAAAAATCAATGGTAAAGAAAATTCTACCAATAAGGAAAATGCAATTAATCCTAACACATTCGCAGAAAAACAGTTGAAAACTGTTGGGGCACAATATACTAATACATTGGAAAAGGTTATTAGTGTGGATATGAATAATACTGACGCTTCTTTTTTTTCAGAATACGCAGAAGCAATATATCAAACATCGAGAGATCTCGAATCTAAAAAAGAGTCATTATTGTTCACTGCATCACAAGTTGTCTCTGCGCAACCAAGTGTAGGAAAACAAATCTTAGAATGGAAAAGGAGTGGAGTAAATCTGCTATTTGGCCTTCAGATTACATTTAATGTTCCTGATGAGGTAACTGTTATTGCCAATTCTATGTTAGATCGTATTTTAGGACTTAAACATTTTCAGAGAGCTTCGGAGATGACGCTTGTGAGTGCCACATGTTTCTGGATAGCGCTAAAGTATGAAGCTGCGTATGTGCAAGGTGAAAATTTAAAGATACCCCCTCTGCCTGCGTTGAGTGATGTGGCAGAAAAATGTGGGCTTAATATTGCGGCAATACTGTTTTGTGAAGGTGTTGTACTTGATGCTCTGGACTGGAGTATTGAATTTCCAAAACCAAGTGACTATATTAAGCGGTATTGTCTAGTATTTAAAGATCAGTATACTGGCAATAAAGCTACTAGAGTTGAAAGCCTATCTATTTATCTTTCTCATCTAGCTATCCATGAACCTGCGATGATGGGAGTCTGCGCCTCAAAGCTGGCGTGTGCATGCTTAATGTTGGCACACAAAATAGAAGGCGTTGAAGAAAGTTGGGCGCCTGCAGTCGAGTACTACACAGGATATACAAGGGATTCACTTAAAGAGCTAACAAGATATATGATAAGTAATTTGAGAACTATTAGAAACACAGAAAATGGGGAAAGCCACGCTTCCCCAAGTCACTACCAGAATGTCAGGAAGAAATGGTGGAATTCATGGGGTTCTAATGAGTGGGGATAAATTTATATAATTTTAATATTAATTAGTCGAGATGTTTTTTAAAATCTTCGAATCATAAACGTAGTGTTGGAATATCTATTTTGCAGTCGCTTCTATTATAATTTATCATTTTCTCTAATTTTTTATTGCGAATTAACTAACTGGCTCTAAATAACGATTACACCCGAGTAGAATAAGGCAATAAAGACCGTTTAGATTTTTATTGCCAGATTATTAAGATTAAGGCTTTGTGTCATTAGTTTCGATGTAATTAAACTCGAATTTTCAAGTTGAGTTTCTTCTAGATTTTTCCCTAAATGCATTTTTTTTTGAGACCCAGTTCGACCAAGGTAGTACCATAATTTTCGAGAATGGGAAAACCTCCTTGTAATTTTCAATAGCATTTTTGGCTTGCTGAGGTGTCTCCATTTCAACAAATCCATAGTGCCTAAACATGATAATAAAAATGTTGAAAATGTTTATTGTATGGAGAATGCAAAAAATACAAATAGTTAAAACAATGTACTGCAATTTATGCATCTCAGAATTCTATATTACAATGTTGGGTTTATTTAAAAATAAACTAACCTCCTGATATTAGATTTATTAATTTTTGGTAATTTTACAACCGATACTTTGCCAAATCTCCCCAAAAGTGACTTAACATTATTATGGTCCCATTTTTTTGGTATTCCCTTAATAAAAAGCATTTGATCGTAAGGAACAATTCCAAATAAATCAACATCAATCGGTTTAAAGCGGTGAATAGTAAGAGTTTCGATATTAACATACACAACTTTCGAGGAAGAAAGAGAATTAATAACATCTTGCACAGAGGCCTAAAAAGTATGTTTAGCCAATACAAATGAAATACCTAGATTTTTGCTTACATCGAGTTCAACTATCTTGTTAAATTTAGAAATTATAGAAATTGGAATTCCAAAGTCATGTAAATATCTGTATTCCATAAGTTTTTTTCTAAAAAATTTATCATGCCTGATGTTAGGATCGCTGAAGTAGAATTCAATCTGTCGTCTGATTTTATCAAATTTATTTGTCTCAATATCCATAATTAAATTTGTATAAATTCAATTTCATTATTTGTATTGTTTAAATATTCCGTTAATCTGGAAATAAATTGATTTTTGTTTCATAATTGGCGCAAAAGAATTTAATAAAAGCAAATGTTCAGCTTTTATTATATTAATCATTTCTGTTTCTGGTAATTAATAACATGTTTTAATATTTAGTTAAATTAAAAAACGAAAAAATATAACTTTTTAAGAAAAAATTTGCTTTTCTTTATCATATCATTCGGCCTAAGCATTATCAACTTTAAATAAACTTGTATCTGATGAAATAATAACAATATTCTTGATCGAAGACGTTTTGTTGTCAAAAAATTGCTTAACCAAAGAAATCCAAAAATTTAGATCCATCTCATAATCTAAATGTAAAATTAGCTCTTTATAGTACATAGAATAAAGTGTAAAGTGGCCAAAAAGTAGTAATTTTTTAATGTAAATTACATTAAGTAGTGAATTTTTTTTTAAATTTTTTTGTTCTTTTAATTTACTCGATTTTGACATTCCAATACCATACTCAATATTAGTAGTCTTTATCTCATTTGTGAAAATATTGTCGTCAACTTGAAAATTAATTAATTCCAAATATTCCTGTATCGACAGACTTAAAATTACTTCTGGACGAATATTTTTATAATTTTTAGGAAATATATTTAACAATTCCAAAGTATATATAAGTTGTTTATTATCGTTAATATATATACTTTTTGGATCTAAAACCATATCAATTCTCCAAAATGATGGAATAAGATTATGGTTGGAAACTATTGCAATTCTATCCAAATTATTAATGTTAACTGTTTTCAGTTCCTTAATTGGCAAAAGAAGAGAATTTCCTAATTCAAATGTTAAAGAATTATCCAGAAATAAAAGAGGATTAATTAGGCTGAACATTATATTAGAGTTCAACTTAACAGGCAGAGAATTAACAGAAAGTATTGGGTCAGTTTTCCGAGAAGCTCTTGATATTGGGGTTGAAAGCTCATACCCATCTTCATTTTGAATCCTCTCTTTATTATCCGGCGAAAAACTTTTATTAGTTTTTGGAGATGTTGAATTACCTGATATCTTCATATAGGTCGGGAAGTAATAAGCTTTGTATATAGATGTTTTTAAATGCCTTAGATAACCATAAAAATTCAAACTATGAGAAACATTGGTTTTTGATGTTTTAATGACATGAAAATGCACAGACTGAATTAAAAAAAATATTATTGGTAAAAAAAGTATCGAATCCATTATCAGTTGTTGATTATTTTCTTTTTTTTTATAATTGAACAAAAAATACAAGTATGAAGTTGCAGTTGATAATATTAACGAAATCAGTAGAAAATTCAATTTAAAACCCAAAAATTCCTTTGAACTCTCTGCCTTGATCCTTAATAATTTAGATGTTTGATGTTTGAACCATGAAAAAGAATTGCTTTTATTTAAATAATAAAAATAGTCGAATGAATTGCATTTAATAATCGGAAGTTTAATTTTTTTTCTATTAAAGCTTAAGCATTTAATAATATAATATAGTATAGGAAAGAATATGGTAATAAAAAGTAAATTTTTGTTCATTAAAATTTCAATGCCATTTGTAGAATAAATATCATTTGAAATTCCAAAAAAAAATAATAAATTAAGAAAATGGATTAAAGTAAAATAATACATTGTAATTTTACTTCTTTTAATATATATTTCTTTAAATAAGTACAAAAAATATCTATTTTTCCTCAACTCAATATCATTAATAACTGAAATAGGATCATTTGAATATGAAATAATTCTCAAAAATTCATTAAAACAATTATAATTGTACATTGAATTAGTATTAATAAATGAGAAACCAAAAATTGATATATAAATAAAAATCTTTGAAATAATGTTTATTATAGAGAACACTATTATTATTAATATTATATTTTTGTTAAATTTTAATTTATTTTTTTGTCCCATAAAAAATTGTTTATATTTTGGTAAAAATTTACTATTAGATTCCTTTTTTAATTTCTGAGCCAATATATTTTGAATTAATTTTGTCGAAATCAAAGCATTTTTAAATCCAGTAGAACTGATACCAGGTATATTTATTATTTCTGAGCCAAAAAAATGATCCCTGTAGAATGATGAAGTTGTCTTAAGCATTTGCTTTCCTTTAAATTTAACAAAATATAAAGATTTGTAATTTTTTTCTGGTTTAACTCTTGAAAATTTGAGAAGCTCTTCAGAACTAAAAACTTTCCCATAAGCGGAAGTTCCTTGGTCATTTTTTAGAGAATTTATTTCTGAAAACAGAGTAGTATTATGAATGTTAAGAAAAAATGATGAAATTGTGACGTATCCTATAAATATGCTTGATAAACTATTTGAATAAGTTGAAGTACCAACTGATGAAGATAGAGGGCAAAAAGATAAAATCTCAAACACAAAAAAATCATAAATATGGTTAAAAATGCCTTGACTCTTTATTAAGTACTGATTCGAAAACATTATAATTTTTATCATGAATGAAATTAATCCAATAAAGAAGACAAAGAGTAATAGTTTGTTCGAATAAAAGTTGTCAGATTCAAATTGTTTGAAATATAATCCACTGATAGAATATATGTTTTTGGAACAAGAATAAAGACTATTATTGTTAAAGTTAGTATTAAAAACTTCATTTATTGTATTATCTATAGACGGTAAGTTTCCGAAAGATCTTTCTTTAAGTTCCAAACTATTCAATTTATCATTGTTAATAAAATTTAATCCTTTTCCATTGACTATAGCCAACTTAACGAATGAGTTATCGTTATATAAATAAGATAAATATGAGAATGAATCATTGTTTGTAGTAATAATGAAGGAAATATTGAACTCTGAGAACACAGAATTATTGGGCGATATTTTTTCCATGAATTTAATGTAAGTTCTTGGAAGTAATAATTCAAAAATACCATCTATAATAACTATTGCTGATGAATAATCATCAAGTGAAATTAAAATATTATAAAAAAATTGAGAGAGTTGCAAAAATATTTTTGCTTCGACAAATTGTTGGATACCCTCAACTTTTGGATAAATATAGTCTCTATTTGTTTCATTATTTTCATACATAAATTCACTCTTGTCGAAATATTCAGATAATAATGAATTATATACCAATTCAAAAATTTTTTTATTAAATGAGTTTCCAGATAATATAAAATCAAATGGATCTATTGTAAATTCTGATTTTTGGAATTCATAAAAATTCGAAACGAACTCAAGCATATTTTTATTAATTAAATGAACATCAAATTTGAAAAGATCTGTTGAATAGTATTCAAATTGTTCATTACTATTTATACCAGGAAATCCAGAAATATACTTTGTCAATAATTCTTTATCTTTATTACTAGATCCAAATATAATAATGATTTCCTTAATTTTTATGGATAAATTAATGTCGTTTAGATAAAATTTACTTTCCATTAATTCATTATTAATCAAATCCAGATCGTTATCATCGTAATTCGAGCAAAAATTGTTTTGTTTCTTAGTTTTTTTCAAACATAAATTTGACAAATATTTAAATAGGTTGCTAGAATTTTGAATTTGTTTCTCATATTTGTTTTCGTGAGGAAGTGACAAATACAGGTTTTTGTAAGAGATAATTACTGGATTAAATAAAGTATCATTTGAACTTTGGGAGTTTGATTTATCTTTGTCTGAAACCGTATTATTTTTTTCATCAGAATTATACCCATTTAATTTAACATAATCTATATCAGCAACTATTTCTGAAGTTGAGTAATTTGTAAGATATTTGTTTAGATGGTTATCGTGAATATTGTTGACTAATAAATGCCTATCGTGGGGAATGAAACCATTTTTTTGCATTTCAAACTTGTTACTGGAATCTTTGATTTCATTTAAAAGTTCTGAGTCTTGGTTTTTATTGGGTATTTCAGAATTTATATTGTTAGAGTAAACTATGTTTTGCGATGAATAATCATGATATAATTTCACATTTTTCGTTGTTCGAAGGAGAGTAACAACATGATTGCAATTTATAACTAAAAGGATACAGGAATTAATGTACTTTACGGAATAAATTAGATAAATTGCGAACCAATAATTGAAAACATATATTTGGGAGAATTCAAATTTATGTGAATTTTCATTGAGGCATTGCAGTATTCCAAAAACAAAGTATATAATATATATGCTTTGAAATATTGCAAGTATGTAGTTTAATAATTTCTTTTTAAAATTAATAGTCTTTGATGAATTTAAGTAATTTTCTCGATGATTTCTTAATAATAATAATGTTTTTAAATTATCAAAGTAATTACTAATATTTATTAAAATTGACTTTTGCTCTGGAATAATTAATAATTTAATTCTCAAAAATTCGAAAATCGCAGTGAAAATTAATAATTCGATGACTTTACTCACAAATAAAAATATTTTCCAGTTATTGTTAAAAAAAATATACCCAAATATACCAAATCTAATAGGATAAAACAATAAACAAACAATAGAAATTATACCATTTTTTATTAAGCGAAAGGAATCTAAACATTGAATCTCAAGATTTAATAATTCGCAATTTGAAATTTCATCTGTTATATTTAAATTTATTTTTTTCTCAAAATTTGAAACAAGTTCAGAGGAATAAATGTCTAATCTTCGTGAAATTACTAGAGAAGTATAAGTTATTGCAAAATTAATTACCAAAATAAAAATGTGATTAATATAAGATAATATATATTTGTTGATATAAATATTAAATATAATAAAAATAATATCAATAATTAACAGCTGAGATACCGTATTCATGAATAAAGCTGTGGTTTGATTACAAAAAATTTTTTTCATTGGACTGGATCTGTTGTTTTGAGAGTAATTTTCGAACTCAATATTTTTGGGACTTCCATTGCATCTTTTTGACAAGAACATCTTATTTTATTAACTCTATATCGTATATAAATTATTGTTTAAACATAATTACACATTATCAAGTAAATCAAAAGTTATTCAAAGTTTTTGGAGACCTATATCTCGTGTCAAATAATTATCAATGTTAGCGCCATATAATGCAAATAAGCATGCAAATGAATTAAAAATAAATAAAATACAAGTAAATAAAATAGACAAAAAAAAATCAATGATGGCACTCTTAAGTTTTGAGTCTTTCTTTTTCACAGATTTTAAGTTTATATTTACGGCGATTATTTGTTTTGCAAAGACTAAATTAAATTGGCATTTAATAGACTTAAAATTCTAAATATTTAATTCAAAACAATTTCCTGAGAGAATTTACCATTTTCTTCGCTTTATTTGCTGCATTTAACATCTCACTCAATGATTTAATATTGTCACTTTTTTTTTCCAAATCTTTAAATTGAGAAAAATGACCTTTTATTTGATTGGTGATTAAATCTCTATGTGAACATATTTCTTGTTTTGTTTTGAATTTTTCATTTTCATATGAATTATTTCCACAGTCAAAATCTCCTTGAGTTATTTTATCACATAAATATTTTATCTGAACATGGTAATTCGCATTACTAGATTATATGAAACTTACATTACAAAGAGAGGGATTTAGGTCTTCGAAATATGTAATTAGTAAATGTGACATTGATCATAAATATTAATATGAGATGAACTAGATGTTATTTGATAAATTCACTCAAACACTCAAATTTGCACACAAATACCAGCACTAAGAATTTTTTAGTATTTATTAATATCGATATTTCCTCAGAATTATCAAATTTATCACACAAAAAAACTAAACACTAAGCATTTTTATTTGATGTGACAGAAAAATTTTCACAGCTATAACTATTACATCTTTTCATAATGCTAGCCTGTCTATACCACTCTCCAATGGTGGACGCACTTACTGATTTTATTTGAGATGATGACTGGTTAAGAAGATTTTTCTGAATTAATGAGTTATTTTTATTTAAAAGTAAATCATTTTCAAGGTGTGAATCATTACCAACCTCTTTTATTGAACTTCTAGTGTCAATGTTCTTATTTTGATCGCACTTTATACTTGCATTCTGCTTATTGGTACTTTCTAATAACTGTATTGGCTGCTGAGACATTTTTGAAACTGAACAAAGAGACAGTGAATTATTTAAGTCTTTTACTTCCTTTTCTTCTTTTTGAATAAAACACTCTAATTTGTTATTTACAGATGGAGGTTTGGATTCACTAGGCTTAGTTCCCATTTGTGAAATATTTTGAATAACTGGAACTTGCGAAATGTTAGAGGCATTGTTTGGGCAATTTAAAGTATTTATAGGTTGTCTTGCCATAATTATAGGAGTTGTCACTGGAATATATTCTGCAACTGGTGGAGGCGCAAGTATTGAAGTATTGGTTTTTGAATGGTAACTTAAATTTTGGTTAAATTGATTATTTAAATTCGAACTTTCATTTAAATGTTGGTAATAGGGGAACTGGTGTTGAGGAACCATCGGTGATAGTTGCATGAATGATGGATTCTTATGATTGACAGGGCTAAGTTGTCGCATCCCATTTACATTATTGTAATAAGTTGGTGTAACAATTGAGGTTGTGTTATGGGCTGACAATATCTCATTTGCGCTGTTGGAATAATTAACCATGTAACTTTGCAAATTAACTCCTTGAGTATGCTTAGAATCAATAATAGGAATCCTGTTAGAAGTATATGATAATGGGCTTTGAATAAAATGTTGAATATTTGTAGTTGGTTGCCCTGAATTTGACGAATTCTGTTGTACGGAAGGAGAGGTTGTAATTCTCATTGGTGAAGGAGTTAAGACCTGAGCCGTTCTAAATTTATTAATAGGAGAAGCTACCACCAATGCTTGCCCATCAGAAACTAAATTACCGTTTTGGTTCCGGATGCTATCCTCAATATTATTAAGTTCTTCGTTTTCATGTGTATTTACAAAGTCTGCGAGCGTATATAGCTTCCCCCTAGATACGATACGTAACAAAGGTTTATTCTTGTCAACCCCTGGTTTTGTTACGAGTTTTGCTTCAACCATTAACCTTCCATAGACATAAGTACCTTGCTTTACCCTAGTGAACAGAATTTTGTTTTCCCTACTATTTGTAAAAGTTGCAATTGCTCTATCAATTGGATCATCATGAACTGGAATATATTTCATATTTAAGTCATTAATTTCTTCAACTGAGAATTTTAAGTCGCCCTTCTTAACTAAAAGCGACTTATTCTGATTTGATTGAAATGTTAATTGGGTATTACCATTCGCAGTTTCATTTGGTTCAGTTGAGTTTGAAGTAAGATTTTTGCCTAAGTTTTCCAAATTCTTATGATTGTTACTATGATCGTTAGCACTTTTAAATTGTCTTTTTTCATTAAAATTATTTATGCATACTGTATTTGTGTTTTCAGTATTAAATGAAGTGAGATCTTCTGAGCTATTTAAGTCGATATTTTTTACATTGCTGCGTAGTTTTTCACATACAGATTTAAGTTCCTCAATTTTGTTTTGGTAATTCGAGTTTAGCTCATTTAGATTCGTAACTCTTTTTTTAAGTTGTTTATTCTGTTCTTTTTGTGTTTTCAATTCTTTATCTCTTTTTTCCAGGTCATTTTGCAAACTATTAACTTTAATGCATAAATCCTTTCTTATTTGTTGGCTATCCCTTAACCTATTTACAAAATCTCTGTTTTTTGATCTTAATTCACGTATTGTGCTCTCATATGAAGTTAATCTATTGTTCAATTCCGCAAGTATCCCCGCAGTTGACGCTGTATCTTGCAGAGCCATTGTATATTTATTCGTTTTAAGAATATTTAATTAATTTATTTGGAAATATACGTATTAAGGTTTTGCTTTCATAGTTGAAATCCACTAAATTAACCTCACACAATCAATTTTTCTTTTTTTAGAGACATTACTGTGTGAACTAAGAGTTATTGTTCTAAAATCGCAAAAACCAAAAATAATAGTTAAAAAAAGAAGAAAATATATAACTAATGTAAACAATAAAAAACCAAGAATTCAGTTCCATTTGCTAGTTTTCCACTCAACATCTCGAACCAATTTAATAAATTATAGAAAAAATTTCATTCTTTAGCGGCCTGTAATGTATTTTTTTTAAGATTAAAAAATGATTAGCAATTATTAGATACAAAATTATTAATTTATTTGAAACAATTTAGTAAGCATATATCTTGTATTTCTAAGGGGGGGGAAGTAGTTGGAAGCTACAAAAAAAGTGATGGATAGTAGATTTAATAAGTTTTATAACGCATTTAAGCTTCTTGGAGTAGAGGTGGGGGCCAGTTTTAAAGAAATTAAATCGTCTTTCCGTAGCCTAGCGAAGAAAACTCATCCGGATAAGAATAGAGGAGGGGATGAAAAATTGGCCCACGAAAACTTTACAATATTAAGGGATTCCTATTTGCTTTTGTGTAATGAAGTAGAAAGAAAGCAGTTCGAGAAGGAATGGGCTTCGTTTAACAGTAACAATATATCCCAGAAATATGAGGGAAAAGCAAATAATCATTGTTCACTAAATTTCAATGCTTCAGAAGCAAAGAAATTACCGAAAAAAGGAAGTAACGACAAAATACGTTTCGAATCATTAAATAAAGAATCGATACATTTGATTAATGCATTTAAAGACCGTTTCAAACCAAGAATCGTTAAAATACACAAGGGAATTAGTAAACAGAATTTGAGAGGTGCGCTAAATCACGCACACATAGACAAAATAGTAGATAAATTCAGCGAATTTGAAAAAATGGTAGTCTTTAAACTTGCCGAAATAATACAAACATACAATAATTGAAACCATTAAAATTTGAATTGTCTTATTTTTTTTAAAGCGCGTCATAATAATTTAAGGTTTATTAGAGGCGCTTGGAGACGGATTATATTTTATTAATCTGAATTGTCTATTGAATGTTTTCATTTGAGACGTGGAATAAAATTTTAAAGAAAGACTTTAACCGTATAAATTTTACAGGGCTTTTTTTTTAGCTGTCAAACAATTCAGATAGTCTTAAATCTTTTCTAATTAACTTTCAAATAACTGGCTTCCTTATTTTTTTTTTTTTATAATGCCAAGCAAGCGTCGAAATAACGGTCGTTCTAAGAAAGGTCGTGGCCATGTTGTAGCGATAAGATGCAGCAATTGCGGAAGATGCGTATCTAAGGATAAAGCAATCAAGCGTTTTGTTGTAAGGAATATTGTTGATGCTTCGTCACAGAGAGATATTCGTGATGCATCGGTTTACTCGACATATGCACTCCCGAAGCTGTACAACAAAATGTGTTACTGTGTTTCATGCGCTATTCACTCAAGAACCGTCCGTGTTAGGAGTGTTACCGACAGAAAAATCAGGGCTAATCCAAATTCTCAGAGGTTTAAGGCTCAAGTCTAATAAATGACTGCTAAGATCTAATAAGTGCTTTCATAAAATTATATATATGGACATACGTTCTTTTAATTATGAATTGAACACATTGGATCAATTGTTTCTAACCCTACTTATAAATAGTAGACTAAATGTAGTATTTACGACTTATTTTAAGATATTTACTACTAAGCCACAGTTTTTTTTTCTCATTTGTGTTATTGTTACTTTTGTAATATGAACGATTTAGGTGACGTTTATGCTCTCTAAATAGACATGACGAAGTTGATCTCTAGATGATATCCTCGGATCTTCTAACGAGACAATATAACCTCATGTCAAGGGAAAAGTCGCCAACCAAATTCTTATCTGCAGTTAAAGACATAAGGAGACCACCAAAAGATGCATATAAACTTCTTCTATCTGATTGCTTTTCTTCTACACGATAAATTTTCCCATACATGACGTAGTCATATTGGTCCATAAGCGTTTGGGGCCCAGAGTTATCCCATACAATATCATCAGGGTTTATTGAAACTTGGGATGATAGGCCAATGTATAAACTCTCTTTTTCTCTAACTGGGAATAGCTCATTGTTTATATCTAGAATTAAATCTGCATCAAAGCCAACACTCCTACCTCTAATCCTCCCGATGCGATCGAACTTTCCGCTATCTACACTGTTGATAACAAATCTATCTTCAAAAAGGCACGAAGGAAGTGACATTGGACCTTTAGTTAAACATAGAGTAATTTTTTTTTAATAGGTAAATAATGCCCGCTTTAAGTTTATGATAAAAAGAAACGAAATAAAAAAACATCACAATTCAGTTCATTTACTACATTAATATGACAATTGGGATTCCATTAAAGCTTTTGTATGAAGGGCTTGGACATATTGTCACAATAGAAATGAAATCAGGTGACCTTTATAGAGGAACACTTGCGCATGTTGAAGATAATATGAACTGTATGTTAGAACATGTCAATGCAACAATGAGAGATGGTAAGCCAATTGCTCTTGAACAATGTTATCTTAGAGGAAGCCAAATTAGATTTTGTATACTCCCAGATATGCTAAAAAATGCCCCGATGTTTAAGCTGGCAGCAAATGCAAAGAATAGAGCTAGTATATTAGGGGCAGCTGGAAACAAAAAGGCATTTGCAACAAAATCTTTATTGAGAGGAGCTAACAAAGGGAGGCCTGGAAGAGGGCTACCTACCCATAGTCATTAGTTGGTGAGCTGCTATTCCAAAAAAATATTAGAATCTTATTAAAATTTGATAACTAAGTGTTCATTCCAATTCATTCAGTATTTTTATTCATAGTAATTTTTGAATATTTATAAACGAATCTCAGTTTAATTTCGCTCATCCTTACATTTGATGGTATCATTTAGACCAATTCCAATCCTTTTTTTTCTAGGGTCCAGAATGATTTGTTTATTTTTTAAAAAACTTATTCCAAGAATAATACGATTTTGATCAGAGGTTTGCTCTTTTATTCCAATACACCATGCTTTTTTTCTTTTTATTAGGTAGGAGGTATATAACCAGTTGATTAAATTTTCTTGGCCTCCAAATTTTATTTTAATTGTAGGAAATAACGAACTGATTCTTATAGGGTCAGATAGACATAGAGATTGGCCAATCGTAATGCATTCGTTCATATTAAGTTTATTTAAGAACTCGCAAATTTTAGAGAACTTACTAAATAATTTGTTGTACACTTTAGTTGGGAGGAATGAAAAGGTTGAGCCTATATCAATAATAGCAAAAAGTGGTTTTTTTTTATCCAATAAACTTAGTTTTCCATTCCCAATTGATATCCCTTCAAATCTCACTTTGTATAAATTTGAAGGGTAAAGAATCGGAATCCAATAAATATAGTTGAATTTATTATCTGATAAATTCAAATGATCATCAATGATTTTTTCATTGTATTCTCCAATTTTAATCTTTCCACCTGAATATAATAGGCAAATAGAAATAACGATATTATTGAAATCATTAATGTTTAGAGTATTTCCTATTGAAGTTAATAAGAAATTAATTATGTTGATACGATCATCCATAGTAGATTTTAATCCAATCCCAAACACTCCGGTCGCATTTTGATGGTATATTTTTTTAGTTTCTAGCTCGTTACAACCCAAATAATCATATTTAATTTTGAGATTATCCTTAGTTATTCCGTATTCTTCATGAATATTTTCAAAGCTCACAATATCGGAGAAGTATTTTCCAGAAATAATACTCCCTTCATTGAAACGATGAAAATATGTGCACTTTTCGCTGCCAATTAGCTTTCTATTACAACTCTTACCAGTAGTCGATTTTGTTATATCAAATGGGGGGTAATCATGCATACCGCAATTTGAACATGTAATACATGTAAAACTAATTTGTGAGCTGCCAGAGTCAAGAATTAGGCTTTGTTTTTGAGGTGGATTTCCTACAAAAACGTGAATAAAATAGTACCCTTTTTCATCCCCTGTACTATGAAGATCAATTACGAAGTATCCAATAGATAGCTTAATAACTAGCTCTATATGAAGTATCACATTTATCATTTTTTTGATCCACGATTTCCTTTTATTACTCATGCTCACCTAATGGGGTATAAATTCATAAAAAGATTGAAAAAATAAAAATTGGTGGATTGGAACTGCATTGAGTTTTTAAACTTCGGAATTTTGGTTTGATCAAATTGTTTAAATAAACAAAATGAACATATGATTGCAAAAATTTAGGTTAAGATTATGAAATATATAGTTAACTCAAATTCAATATTCATTGTAACTACACAATATTTTGAAAGTAAATAGAGTTTCTAAATACAAACTAATTTATTTTTCAATATATACACAGTGATTTAACTAGGATTAACAAAAAATTCTATATAAGTTTCATTAATATTTAGTAATTTCAATTATATTTTGTGAAAAATCTTAGTAATTAAGGTCAAATTTTTTAGCGCAACAATAGAGGGAATGAAAAAAGAAAGCATTATTTACCCATATTAATAATGAAAAAAACCCCACAAAAATTTGAATTTGAGTCGAGTTACATATTCTAGTTTCGTTACAGATAGCTATTCTCAAATTTGTAATAATGGGTTCTTTGGAAAAGCTGGGAGTGATTGGAATGTCAGATAGTGCTATTTGGAGTGTAGCGTCCCATCCAAAAGACAGAATTGTTGCATCATGCGGTAATAGCATTGTTATCTGGATGGATCCCAGTTTAAAGGAGCACGATTGGTACCAAGAAATAAAAGTCGAAAATGAATATTTTATTATTGATAGGATCTGGGTAAAAGCTTATGAGTTTGGAAATTTTGAACATAGGAGACTAATTAGAAAGATTATTTGGTCACCATGTGGAAAAATGATAATTTCTGCAAGTTTTGATAGCTCTATTTCAATCTGGGAATTTGTATCCAAAAATATTGGGTGGGCTTGCATTTGTAGGATTCTTGGCCCTGAAAGCGAAGTAAAGTGCATTGATTGGAGTCCCTTTAATAATTTTTTGGCTGCTTGTTGCAGAGATAAAGCAATTTGGTTTTTTTCGCTGGATTTTGGTTTAAATAGAAAATTGGGGACACCTATAGAATACGATTGCATAGGAGTGGTAAATGCTCACACAAATGACATAAAGAAGATTAAGTGGCATCCAACTGTTCCAATGGTGTTGCTTTCATGTTCATATGATAACAACATAATAGTTTGGGCACCTGCTTCTCAATTCTTAGCTGAGTACGAAGTTAAAGGATTGGAGTGGGTTAAATTGTACACACTCAATGGACATTTTTCTACTGTTTGGGATTTTACATTTAGTCCAAATGGAGAATTCTTGCTATCTTGTTCAGATGATTCTTCAATTATTCTATGGCATAGCGATCAAGGGAATGAAAATAAATTTAAAAATTTAAATCCAACAAACTTTGCACTAACTGACACTTTCAAAATTATCCTTCAAAACACTTTAAATGCAAAGGGGCTTTCAAAATATATTCAAATTGACCAAGCAAGTTCATTCGTTAATAGCTATAACAAGGAGTTATACAGTTATCCTATTTATTCCATTGAATGGTGCAAATATCTAAATTGTATTATTGTTTCATCTGCGGATAAAAGTTTACATTCATTCTCCATTACTGATCTAAACAAATTGAAACATATTTGTGAAAAACCAAATGCTCATAGTGGTGAAATCAACTCAATTTCTTGGTTAAATGACGATAAAAGAGGAGAGTTTATTTCAGCAGGTGATGATGGAGAAATTGCATTATGGAAATTTAACTTTGAATAACAAATATTATTATATTCATTCATTTTAGAATTATTTTAATTACTTCTTGGCTTTTTAGATGTGTTTTGAGACCACGATTTGCTGCCAACAACTGTACAATTTATTGAAACTTGACACACAACTTCCAAATCGTTCCCTACTGGGAGTGGGACTTTACCTCCATAATACCATCCAACGCTTCCTGTACTAAATTGTCTTGGTGAAATAGCAAGTTTCTCGTTTGAACCATTGATAGTTAAACTTAGCACTTGAGATTTTTCTAGAAATTCCTCAACCGACATTGAAGCTTGTTTTCTTTTTGTCGTTTTCTCACTTTGCTTAGTTGTCTTTGAGCTATCAACATCTATGTTATTGTATTGTTCTTCATTATTGGTGTGTGTTTTTTCAGTACTTTTCTTATGAATAATTGACGTATCGTTTTCTTGAGGTTCCATTGAGAAATAAGTCGAATTTTTTTCTTTGATTTCCAAAATGATTGTGTCAATTAAATCATTTATTTCACTCTTCCTAGATTTTAAGCTATCTGAAGGAAGCCCAAGAGCTTTTTCTAGCTCTTCTCTAACTTTCCTTGGTGTAAGTGTATGCAAGTTATCATTTTTCACAATTTTATCAAGATGTGTTCTGATTTCTTCAATACTTGTATTAATAGAATGATCAGATTCCTTAGAATTAAATCCCATTGAACATGTAACACTCGAAGTTTAAAATTAGTGCAATTATGTGATTAATATAAATATGAATATTAAATAATTTATCAGAATTCTGATTAAAAACAAATTTCAGCCATGCTTTTTAAAGCGCTATATTGAAGAATCAGTAATTATTAGCTAAAATTTAATGAAAAAATGGGTCCAGCACAAAGAATTAGTTAATATTTTCGTTAGTTGCAGTTTTAAATGAATTATAAAATCATAATTTTGTTTAAAAATTTTAGAATATGATATTAGATGATAGATTAAGTAATCTTGAAAGGAAGGTCAATGAACAAAATGAAGCTATAAAAAAAATAGCATTATATTCATTAGAAATTCTCGATGAAAACGATAGGCTGTGGAAACAAATAATGAAGGATATCTTTATAAAAAAATATGGATCTCTTCACAGGAAAACAAGTGAACCTACATTGAGATTTAGATCAAAAACTCCCCCTCCGCTCAACGAACCAAATTTTATAAAGGAAGAGCAGTCACTAAGAGTTAGAAAAAGGATTGAGGAGTTCAATAAAGATATGGTTTCATCAATATTAAAAATGGAGATGGGCCAAAGTCAAATTTTCTCAAAAAACGGCAGAAAATAACTTAAATAGATGTCTAGGAAAGGCTTTAGCATTACCAAAAGGCATTACTTCATTAATTACTAAAAAGTGGCCTTAAAAATAAAATTGGGTATCGTTGAAAAGAGAAAAATTGATAGAAAATAGGATAGCTGCCCTTAATATAGGTAAATTTGCCATCATAATGATCATTATTACTTGCAAAAATATTAGCTTTGAAACAATTTTTGGTTTCATTATATATGGATGCTGATTCTAAGTAATTCACTTCTTCTAAAGAATTCATAATCTTCATAGTTTTATCTTTATCAGAGACTTCAAACGATTGACTTAAAAAAGCACTGTAAGGAATTTGTACGTATCCTATTATCTTTTCAAATGGTTTGTGGTATTTGATTTCCTTTATTGAGTATCTATTACTTTCCATTTGAATTTGTTTATTATTTAGGCAAATTCCAAAATTATGAATGTTATCAGAGCCTTGCTTTATTTCTCTGGCCGTGGGATATAAACACTTAAAGAGGTGGCAATTATCTAGACCAGAGCTTTGAGAATGATCTCTGGTTGTAGTTGATCCTCTTTTAATATGAGTTTTTAAATAATAGAATTCATTTTCTGCAATCTCTAGGTCAAGAGGGTCATCATGCCGCATACTGGAATTATCTTCTTCATCGAAAATGTAAAGTTGATTTGATAAACCAGTGTTTAATGCACTTTTTCCGATACAATTGGAAAGTATGGCACTTTTGTTATAGTTGTAGCATTTGTTAAGCATATCTAGTCTGTTTGATATAACTTTCGGTGTTTCTTTTGATTGGGATTTTTGGTTGGATTTAAATTCATTTTTCCATAGGCTACGTATTTGAAGTTTACTAATGTTATTTGTTGCGCAAAAATCGTTTTCATTGTTTTTCTGAAAAATCTCACACTCAAAATTCTCAAGTTTGTTCTCACTTTCGAATGCTGGCAATTTTAAATTAGTTCTTATAGATTTATTCTCTAACTTGTCTTCTGATAACTCTTCAGGCTGTTGATAATGATCCGAATATTTGTTTGATGCAGAATTATATAATTTAGAATTAAATAAGCCTAGAAATTTATTATTAATGTGGATATCCCTAATATGATGTGAATCTATGTCATTGTTATCTTCAATTAAATTAAGAGGTTGATTCATATAATCGATTTTTAGTACATCTATTGGAATTAAGTTGAAGGCAGAATTAATTGCACTTAAATCGAAATCGCCAATTTCCTTATTTAAATCTTCAGACTTGTGTGGATTGCTTTCTAATAGGCCATACTTGGTTTTTTTGGGTAATATTGGTGATAAGTTATCTGACCATTTGTTCCTTTCTGTATTATAAAATATCTTCTCAATACTTTCAATTCTATTGATTACATTAGATAATGCAGTTTCTAGCTTTTTCAGAACCTCATTTTGTCTAAGTATAATAATTTTTAAGTCATCCATTTTAAACTAAGTAGTTTCGTTAAATATTAGTTTTTTAAATAGTAAAAATCTCATCTAAATAATTGCAAATTTCTGTCAGCGCTAAATCTGTAATACTATTTCGAGTAAAACGAAATTAATTAAATAACAAAAAAAATTATTTAAGATCAACAAAATTAAATGTATTTCATGTCATTTTACTCTATAATTATATACAAAACTACATTTTTGAAGACGAATTACCCAGATTAGTGACATGAGCAAGCGTAAATTCGTCTATTTTCTCTAAACTAATACTCGAAGTTTCATATGCGAAATTGGACTCATTAGCGACTTTATCCTGACTTAAATCTTCCAGCTCATTTTCATTCAATGAGAAATCAAAGTTTGGATTAGTTCTCGCATTTTGCAAAATGTTAGAGTGTAAAATTCGATCGTCTTGAAAACGGGAATTCAAATAATTATTCTGAATATAAATATCAAATTTATAATCTTTTTTTGGTGAATCTAAACTATGATTATTTCGATTAAAAATACTTAGATTTTTTATAATATTTGTTATATTAAATACTTTTCTTTTATTTATATTATGAATCGAATTGCCAATTGAAAAATTGAATTTTCTTCTAACTGAGACAATTCCATTATTTTTGGCATTAAAACGTTTATAGTTATTTTCATTTAGTGGAATATTTAAAACCTTTCTTTTTAATATTATAGAGAATATTCGAAGAATAATTGGGGTGGATAATAGTGAAATGACTGTAGTGGCAACAAGTATAAGGTATACTTTCCTGGATATAATTCCAAGTGATATTCCTTTTGATGCCAAAACAAACCCAAATTCACCTAAATTTGCTAGCATAAGGGATGTAAATGCAGATAATTTAACACTGTGCCCAAATGTGAAAAATATTAAAAAGTTTACAAATAATTTAATTAAAGAGATTAGCAAACAAACATATCCAATTGTCCAATAATTATCCCAAATAAAAGTTGCATCAATAACCAAGCCAATACTCGTAAAAAACAACATCGAAAAAATCCATTTCAATGACTCCGTAGATTGTATAAAGTCTTGCTTAAAATTGTTTGTATCTTCTTCATTAAAAAGACTTGAAAGAATTACTCCTCCAACAAAAGAACCCATTTCCATAGAAAGCCCTAAATATTCAGTAAACGAAGAAATACAAAGCACAATGCTTATAATTCCAATGAGAATAATTTCACGACTTTTAGTTTTCGTAAGAATAAACAGAATCACTGGGAAAATGATTGTTTTGACAACAAATGATATTAAAAAGAATATCATTAATATTATAAAAGGTTTAATAATTTTCCATAAAAATAAACAAAAATAAACAAATAAAATTGGTATTCGATGTATTTTTGATTGGTTAAACTCATTTGAGAAATCATTTGTATTCGAGGCTCTTGGAGAGACATTGTCAATTGAAGTAATTTGTAGAGCTGGTATTAGAGCAAGTAAAATTCCTAAAAGTAAATCCTGTAATATTAAAATGCCAACTGTAAGCATGCTTTCATTTGATTCAATTTGTAGTTCGCAAATTACAACTGCAGTTGAGCTCATCGATATAAATGACCCAATAAAAATTCCTTCATTGATTGGTGTTCCAATCAATATAGAATACGCACTACACAAACATACAAAAAATAACATTGATGAAACTGCACAATAAATTACAGATTTACCAATTGAAAGGACTCTCTTAATAGAAAACTCGAGCCCAAGTGTGAATAGAATCAAGCATACACCAATTTGTGCGATTGAAATAATTTGTATGGGTTGCGATATGTAACCAAATCCTGAAGGTCCTACTATATATCCGCCAATGATGTATCCTAGTAATAATGGTAACCCAATAAATTTGCAAACAGTACCAAATATAAATGAAGAATAGAACAAAATAACAATCTCAAGAAAAAGCCCATAATCGCTATGTAATAACGAAGCATTAGATGAATTACTTAATGTATAAGTATTACCAGAATTATCTGTATACTTGTGTAGATCGTTTATCTGATGGTTATGGGTAATGTAGTGGGAATTTGATTTTGAATTAACATTTTTTAATACAATTTCAGAAGAAATAATTTTACTATTGTTTGTTCTGTATTGTAGATTTTTTAATTCAATTTCATCTTCCGAAACAATTTCAGAAGGGGTGTCTCTTTCTTTGACTACATGAGCAACATTTCCAAAAAGAGAAGATTCTTCCTCAAAAGTAAATCCATCAGTACATATGTGATACTGAACTCCATTAAATGAAATAGAAAGAGATACTTTTTCAGATACAGTCCACGATGGGCACTCACAAATTATTGATGGCATTGGATTATGATTTAAAATATTGTCAATTATGGTTTTTATTTCAGTATCCGGTAAGTTTTTGTTGAGTTGAGTAATCAATGCACTTTCAAGGGTATTTTTGTTATAATTTTCATGAAGAAAATTTTTCATGGTTGAAATATCAAAGGTACTCATTGAATATGTTGCATCTACAATTTTAGATCTTTCTTTACTTTGAAAGAGACATTTTAAATCATCGGACGCAAATAACCCAGTTCCAAAGATCTTTATCTCTGATCCACCAGACATCCCTGTATGGTTAGGAGAAATTAAGCTAATTATTGGTACCTCATAAAAACGGAATATTAGTGCGTTTGAACTTTGGAGCATTATATCCGGATGTGAATGTATGCTAACCAAAACTGATTTACCTGACTCGCCATAAGATAAACCGGATGGTGTATCAACTTCTAAAAGAGTGTCTGAAATGGCAGAAGCTGGCACTACTTCATAAGGGCCTTCAGTAACATCGAAGTGTACAAATAATTTTGGAAATAATGAAAATCCTATTCCATAAATAGATATCTTTACTATTGAGTTAATTGGCCCGTTAGTGGGGCTTAAATTTGTTGCTTGGATAACAGAGGATTGGCGAAGATTAGTTATTATGTAGGCAGCATTTTGATTGCTAGGGCCACGTTTTGAGTTTAATTCGGAGCTATTATAAACCGAATTCGATGTTTTAATTCTGTGAGACTTTGAAAGTGCGAATAGAGTGAAAAGACTTATTAATCCCAAAAAAATAAAGGCTAGGGAACTAGATAAGATAGTCTTAATATTCATAGGACTTAAATTACATATTAGTCATAAAATATTAACTGTTTCATTGACATAAGATTAATATAACTTTTTACCGCAAAAAAAAGAGGGAAAGAAATAAAAAGATGAAGATTAAGATTACGAGAACAAAAATCTAATTAGTGATGACGCAGAGATAAACAACATTTAATTAACCCTCTTCTTTAATGCTTCTTTGTAAACCTCAACTGTGGGTAGTTCAATTTCTTCTTTTTGGCATTCACCCTTTTCTTTTTTTTTCAAAAGCCTCGAAGCCCATTCCCTTTCCGCTTCTAAGCAAACATGACGTATTGACCTTCCAGATAGCTTTTTTGACATCTTTGCAAGCACCATCCGTTCTTCAAACGTTAAATGCTTTGCATATTGCTTGAAAATAACTTCCCTTTCATTTTCATTTGGTAGATTGAAGAATACAGTTGAATCAATTCTATTTAAAAATGCTTCATCAATATCTCTTTTGCGATTTGTTGCACAGATTAAGAGAGTCTTCGAATTTAATGTATCAAACCCATCCAATTTTCTCAATAATACGGACAGTATTTTTTTTGAACCTTCGTGCATGCTAAATGTCTTATCCCTTGAAGAAGCTAAAGTGTCAATTTCATCAATAAATATTATACATCCTTTTTCAAATTTTTTTGCTGTGTCAAATATCTGTGCTAACCTGTTTTCGCTCTCACCATACCATTTTGAGACAATATTTTCAAGAGAAACATAAATTAGAGGTACCTCAATTGTATTACTGATTATTCTTGCAGAAGTTGTTTTGCCGGTCCCTGGTGGGCCTTCAAACAAAATTAATTTAGGCCTGTTCACTGAATCTTTTTGTATTCTTGTACCATTAACGATCTTATCAATTACATCTGGATATTTGAAGTTTAGCAGTATGTGCTCTTCAATTTGGCGTTTAACTTCTTCATATCCTCCTAGACAATCCCATGAATTCTTACCTAAATTGTAGTCATTACCCCGGTTAAAAAACACTTGCACACCCAAATCTTCTAATAAAGATATAACGCCATTATTACAAGTATTTGAATCATTATTTGTTGTTAAAAATTCCGATTTGCCAGAATATTGATCAAACATATTTGATTTATACTCTCTTGAATTAAAAGCGTTATTTAGATTATTAAATAAGGTATTAGAAAAAATACTTTTGTTTAGGCTATCAAATATTTGCTCAAAATGGCCAATTATTTCCCTTTCCAAGTGATTTTTCCCATAAAGTTGGCCATTTGAAAATGAATATTTATTAAATAGATTTTTTTCTTCAAATTTATTATTGTCATTCGTAGGTTTCATAAGAAAGTGAATAGCATCCAAGTCATTTTTTGATAAAGAGTTTTTTGATTTAATATATTCTAAATTTACAGGCAAGCTTTTCTCTGAAGGGATTTGAATGTTGATAATTCCTTTGTCATTTAAGGAGTTTATTTCTATAGTAATTCTTTTCCCATTAATGTCATCGAGAATTTCCCAATTATTAATAACAGTTGAATTCTGAACATTTGAACAATTTTCATTAATGATTTCTAAAAAGTTACTTATTTTTTTTGCAATATTACCACTTCGGAGCTTGATACCAATCTTTACAGAATCGTTTGTTTCGTTAAAAACAGGGTGGCATTGGGTACCGTCATTTGAATTAGTTGAAAAACTGTTAACAAACTCCTTAAAGTCTTTAATAGGTATGCTCGAAGCTTTGCAATTGACTAAACAAATATTTGGAGGTTTTACCTTAGGGTAAATTGGCTTGTTAAACATTCTCAAATTTTTACTTTCGTTTTTAAATGGTTCAATATTGCAACAATGGGTATCATCGATATATTTTCTTTTAAAGTAATGAAGTTTATTAAACCTGTTTAAAAGTTCGATCTTCGGAAATACTACAGGAATTATTGGAATATTCTGGAAGCTCATCATTTATGTGATTTGATTCAAATTGGGATAACAACCGCCAATTATTCGTTACAAAATAATATTCATAAATATTCCGATATATTAATATTTATAATTTTCTTTAATGAATAATTGCACTGGGGGAAAATGCACTATTGAAAATGCGTATCACATTCTGTTAAATGAAATAAATTCCCTTTCATCAAGTGAAGGTTATTTTGACATTTTCTGTTCAGAAAGCAAAGGAAAACATATTCACTCTAAAAAGGACATTCCGAATGGTACAAATTTTTTCCAGGAAGTACCTTATGTTTCATGGCCGATTAAAACTTCATTTGGAAAACTCGAAGATCTAATTTTTTGTGAGAATTGTCTAAAGATTAATCACCCAGATAATAAAGATGGCTTTTTATCATTAAGTATACTTGGATTAGAACAAAGGATTTGCAGTAAATCTTGTTTCAAAAAAATATCAGGAGTTGATTTTGAGGATTATGATCCAAACTCCTCCTCAATAAAAAGCGGATGGGGATACTATATGAATGGTACTAAGGGGATTTCAACCCTTAGAAAGTATCAAAGTTCTGTAGATATTATGGGGAACATTCCAATAACAGCGGAAGCAGTATCTCGTTGTGTTGCTCAAATGGCCGCAGACATTTACTTTTATTGGTGCAAATTGGGTATGAAGAACGAAAATTTGTATCATGCATTTAAATTAGGAACTAAACCAATAGAAAATTTTGTAGCACCCTCTGCCACTTTGTTCCCCGAAATTGATTTCAACTCTCTTATTAACTGCATTCATAGTGTACTCTTTGATCCAATGAAAGATTCATTTTCGGATAGTTTTATAATTGATTCATTGCTTAGTAAAACGACAATTGAACAATTAGTTGGCCAGCTTACTCTTAACTCACAAGGATTGAATGTTTGGGGCATTCATAGTTCCTCAGAAAAATTTGATGTTTTGCTTGATTGTAAACCTACAATCGGAATAATAAAAGGTGGGTGTATATGCGTAATTCAGTCATGCTTTAACCATAGTTGTGACCCAAATTGCTATGTGCATACTTTAGATGACAGTACTATATATGTGACTGCAAATAAAGATATTTTAAAGGGAGAGGAGCTTACTATTTCTTATATTGATAATACTCTTCCATTGGTTGATCGGAGAATTCTTATCAAAAATTATCATTTTACTTGTAATTGTGTATTATGCAAAAAAGAAGAAAGATCAAATCAAACTGATTCTGAAAAGAAGAAAAGGTTAGAATGATGTGAATGTTATTAATAAAAATCTAATCCTTAGTTGAATTTGTATTAATTTTTTTTTGCTTGTAATTTTTTTCGATGTACTAGCATGTGCATGCAAGATTATTTGCATGAAATATAGAAAAATGGCAATTTGCTTTTTTAATCAAACCTAAATAATGCCATTATTTGGTAAAAACCGAAATAAAACAAAAACTGGGCAGACACAAAATAACAGCAAATATTGTTTTGTGGATGAAATAGGCGTCGAACAAGGCCCATTTGACTCAAACGAAATATTGAATTGGATTAGGAACGGATTTTTTGATGGGAAGGGAGACTTGCTATTTCGAAATTTAACAAGCAGCCCTTCCGAAAGAGTTTCATTAGAACAAATACTTCCGGAATTGCTAAATGAGGCAGAAGCAAACTTTTCGAATAAAATATGCCCAAACAAAATATCAAGCATTAAAAAAATACAATCTGAACCTATTGAAGTCAAGGAAATAACATTAGTTGATGACCAAATTAAGCTTTTAGAAGAAAACGATGATCAACATAAAGATTTAATATTAATCGTAAAACCTTCATTAAAAGCTGCGGATATTCAAGTAAAAATGAACAAAACAAGGTCAAATATTTCAGCAATTTTCGTAGACCAAGTAAATGCAATAAATACAAAAATAACGGGAAACCAATTGGAATCTAATGATGAAAGAAACCATTTTCCAATTTCGTATTTTGAAAAGTATGCCGAGCAATTTTATGGAAGTGAAGAATTTAAAGGCAATGATTCATTAGCATTTGCACCCATATTAAAAATCAATGTGCATAGCACTGTGTTAGCAACTTCATCGCCTTTACTTAAAAATAGTATGAAAACGCTATTTGAAGAACATTTCAGACTTAGAGAAAGAGTTGCAGCAGGTAAATGTACAACTGAGGAAAGAGAACAAAGTTTAATTAATCCTATTTTAACAATAGAGTCAGACTCTCCAATTGCTTTTCAAGCAATAATACGCTATATGTATGGCCACACTTCTGAAGTTCTATCTATGAATAAATTATTGTTAGTATCTATGTGGAAAGAATCTAGGCGATTTATGTTTAAGAAACTTGAAGACGAATTGTTAGTACATTTATTTTCTACTAAACTGGATATTGTCGATTTGGTTGAGATTGCTGCTGCTGCAGCTATTTTAAAATTCCCAAAATTAGTTGACGAAATTGTAACAATGATTGCAAGTTGTGCGAGCTACATACTTCAAGGCCCATACTTAGCATTGAGCGTTGATGCATATGTGAAATTAATAAAAAGTAATTATATGATGATGGACGAAATTCAGGTGTTTTATGCAACACAGTATTTCATACAACAAAAAGAAGTTGAAGTTGGAATCTGGACAGAGTCCTTTGAGCAAAGTGATTACAAAGAAGAGATCGGGATATACAAATTTGTTAGATATGACCAAATGTCGGCAGAAGAACTAAAGTCAATACGTGTAAAAAAACTTGATAGTTTAATTTTGGATGCAACATTGAAGAAGTTGACAAACAATGAAGAAGAGGGCAGACTTAAACCATGGCTACCAAATTCTGAGTATAATGTAGTATATAGAGATGGGGAATATCCTGTTGGGCTAGTCAGATCTGGTAAGAACAACTCAAATACTAACGGACTTTTTCAATCGAGGTGGGCATGGACAACAGGAGATTCAAGATTGATTAGCGAAATGACATTTGCATTCAAAATATTAAAATCTTTTAGGGGTAAGCTTAGGCTTGGAGTTTGTTGCACAGGGAAACCGGTAATAACGGAAACACAAAATATTCGAATGTCAAAGGTTTTTTATTACGATTTTTCAGAAAAGGAGTTTGTTTCTGCATTTTTGGGTAGTAATATTTTTCAATGTACTTCAAGAATTAAGTCTTCAGTTATTAAAAAGGAAAATATTAAAACAAACAATTTCAGGTTTGGCAATTCGATTTGGAAAGTTAACCAAAACTTCAAAACTGGTGGGATATTGGGCACTAAGCTTCGCAGCACAATCAATGATGAGTATGCTCCGGATTTAGATAAAAAAATTATGGCATTTGAAAATCGCATAGAAAAAGGACAAATTTATCATTTAGTAGTTTCAATTCATGATTATTCGGTTTTATTGAGAATTGAAAGTATTGACTGTGGGACTTATATTGAAAATTCTTATAATCATGGTTTTCTTGTGGATAGACTTGAAGTTAGTAGAAAGCCTTATATAGAAACAAAAATATTTATTGAAATGTTGGACCCAGGTGATTCACTGTCAATCCCATCATTTCTAACTACGACAAGGCAACAAAAAACCAATAGATCTAAATAAATTGTCAAAATATAATGGGCGCCATGTGTGGATATCTTTTTTTTTAACAATTGAAATTTCAAATAGTGATGATGACCAGTAAACTTGAAGGATATAAAAGAGTAGAGAATTCCAACTTAAAGTCCCCTCAGAAGAGGGTGGAGAGAAGGGGCGGAGTTAGGACGAAAAAATTATCAAATGAATCTGGCTATTACTTTCGCGATGATAAGGATCAATTAATTGGACCATTTTCAGCTTCAATAATGATAAAGTGGATAAATGAAGGATATTTTGATAATAAAGGCGATATCTTAGTCAGGGAGGTGGATGATTTAGACTATGTAACACTTGAAAGCATTATTCCAAAACTTATGTCAATTGAAAAAGAGGTAATTTTGAGTAGACTATATAATGCAGTTGGAGAAAAAAATACGAACGACAACCCAGACTCAATCCAAGTAAAATCTTCAGCAATTGACCCTATTGGAAGGATTCCAGCGAAGGATATTTATCTCCAAGAGCCTACTTGCGATTTGGATATAGTACTTATACCAAATGATAAGGCAACCGAGTTGTTTGAAAAAAATATGAAGAAAATGGAAGAAATTAAAAAAATAAGGGGCATTCAATTTTCATCTTCATTGGTAGATAGCGAATACACAAAAGCAAAAAATAAAGGTAATGATAACATAATTTCACTTCCAACTTTAAATACGGGTGATTTAGTTAAGAGAGCTCAGAATGAATTTATTAATAATGGATCAAAATTGGTATCTATGGATGAATTGGACTCAAGAATACTACCACCAGTATCTTCCTTAAGAATACCTGTTCATAGCAATTTATTAAGCTTGGCATCCCCAATAATGCGTGAGGAGATTAATCAAATTATGGAGTCGAGACAGGAGATCAATGAGCAATTTAATTTAAATTACGATGATCCAAATTTACAAAATAAATTAGACAAAATTAAAACGAGTTTGCTCAGACCAGAATATAAGATAAAGGCAATTTATCCTGAAGCAGTCAGAATGTTGTTATTATTTATATATGGTCATACAACTTCTTTACGAGGCGCAAATCCGTATTTAATTTTAACTGTATTACATGAAGCAAGAAGGTTTAAAGTGCAATTGTTGGAGGAGGAATTGTTTCAAATGCTAAATTCTCCATTGAATATTGACGTAATCGTTCAGATGTCTTCTGTCGCGGAGTCTTTGGAAATGGAAGGATTAATAGAGCTAACAGTTTATTTGTTAGCAGATTGTGCTCAGGCTCTTTTCAAAGGACCACACTTAGCACTTGGCCCTGATGTATTATTGAAAGTATTGAAAAGTGAAAGGGTAATTATGGGAGAGATTGACATTTTTTTAGCTTTAAAATTGTACTTAATTCAGAGAGAGAGCAGTATGGGTTTGCTCTCAAACAAAGGGAAAGACTCGTTAGAATTTTTAAAAAATATCAGATTTGAACAGATGGCACCTCATGATTTGCTTAAAATCCGAACTAAAGAGTTAGATTCGTTATTACTAGACGCAGCACTTAATAAATTACTTGGAAATGAAGGTAGCGGACGTTTGGTACCCTGGAAAGAAAATAATGAGTTCACAACAAACACACATTTAGGTCTATATCCTATTTCATTGGCAAGAAAAACATCATTATCAGGCAAGTACAAGTGGGCATGGACAATTGGCGATTACAGGTTCGTATCAGACATGATCTGGCAGGTGCAGGTTTGCAAGACATATATGGGCAGAATTAGGGTAGGAGTGTGCTGCAGAGGGTCATCTGAAGCAAATAACACGTCTCAGGTACCAAAAATTTTCTATTATGATTTTATGGAAAGATGCTTTGGTAGTGCTTTTCAAACAAATGACGTATACAATTTGAGATCTAGAATAAATTATAAGAACGGAAAAAAAGACCAGATGATCTTAAAAACTAATATGGTATTGCAGGTCAGACTAAATATTAGTAGGTACAACTTGATATTAACGGTTAGTGATATTACAAATCCATCCAAGATAGAATTTGAGACAAGCCATACATTTGCTCATGGCTGCTCTGTAACCAATGTGGGGATTACAAAAAGACCATTTATTGAAACTGCAAATTTTGTGGAGATGTTCGATGACGGGGATAAACTTAAATTAAAATAGGTAATTTTTATTATTTTCATCGAAATTGCGCATATTTGTTGCGCAAGAAATAGAAATTACAATTTTTTGTGATAATTCAAAAAATTTAATTCAAATGGACAGATCATTTTGGATACCAATTTTAATTAAACACCTAAATCCGGAAACTTTGCAGGAAAAAGTGATAATCATAACTCATTCATTATTGTTGGACCTTGGTTTTATCCCGGTTAGATCCATTAATAATAAAGATAATGAGGTAGAAGATGCTTCAAATCAAACAAATATTTCTCAAAGATTTGAAATCCCCATTTCTTCAAGGGATAAAGGCATTTTGATTGAGTTATTACCTTCAAATTGGAAATCAAATAACGGAGAATACAGATTATTTTATATCAACAAAACTCATCAAAAACAGATTTGTGAACTAGTACCAGAATTGACAGTTGAGTTTATCTCTTCTAAAGTATCAGTTCTCTCATTGATAAGAAGTAGCCTTTTTGAGGAAACTTTGAAGCTGGAATTCCCCTTTCAAACATTAGGACACAGCAGTAGTGATTCCTTAATATTTGAATTATCAGGTTCGATTAAAGACAGAATTGATAGATTCTTTAATTCTAATAAAATTTATATTTTTAACAATAATTCGGAAATCGATACAAGAGAAAGGCATAGAATCTCTAATCTAAGGTATGAACCTTTAGTAGAAACTAATACAAAGATAACCCAAAAATATATCGGAAACAATTTCCCCAAAAGTTTGGACCCTTTAATTGATGAAAAAGGTGTAAAAGGAAACTTAGTAGGCCCAGAGAGCATTATTTTCAAAAACCAGCCAAAGTCATTTGGGATACCAAAAAATATTCCAACTTCTTCTATTCCTGGCGGGAATACTATTCCTGATAATGATATGTTTTTCCCCCCAGGAAACAATAACAGCAATTATATGTTTAATTTTAGTGATTAGTTGATTGACCTATTAACTTCCAAAAAAAACTAATGTCAAAAAATTAATAAATTTTAGTTCTTTAACCTAATTTTGTTACCGCAAAAACTCTTAATTATCGATTTTTATTTATTAAAAGTTTTTCTATTGATACTAATGGCTTCTTTAGGACTGAAAATTGAAAATGAGAATGTTAATGTTGTATCGAATACAACAAATTTTATTAAACAGATAGTAGAAGATGATCTGAAGAATGGAAAACATAATTTAATTGTTACGAGGTTCCCTCCTGAACCAAACGGGTTTCTTCATTTGGGACATGCGAAGTCAATCTGTTTAAATTATGGAATAGCGAAGATTTATAATGGTAGGTTTCACTTGCGCTATGATGACACAAACCCATACTCTGAAGAACAGCGGTACATAGATGCAATTGAAAAGGATGTTAGGTGGTTAGGCGTAGACTGGGGTGAACACAAATATTATGCATCTGATTATTTTGAACAATTATATGAATGGGCAAAAACGTTAATTCTTGCCGGTAAAGCATATGTAGATCATCAAACAATAGAGGAAATAAGGAAAAATAGAGGAGATTCCTCTACTCCTGCAGTGGAATCTATTTATAGAAATCGATCGGTTGATGAGAATATGGAACTGTTTGAAAAAATGAAGAATGGTGATTGTGAGGAGGGAGAGTGTGTATTAAGGGCAAAGATAGATATGAAGCATGGGAATCCAAATTTGCGTGACCCAATTTTATATAGAATTCTTAAACAGCCTCATCCCCATACTGGTGATAAATGGGTTATTTATCCTATGTATGACTTTGCTCATGGCCAAAGCGACTCAATAGAAGGAATAACTCACAGTATTTGTACTTTAGAGTTTGAGCTACACAGGCCACTTTATGATTGGCTACAATCTGAATTGGGAATTACAAAAACGAGGCAGATTGAATTTGCACGATTGAATATGACATATATGGTTCTGAGCAAAAGAAAGCTACTGTTACTGGTAAATGAGAACCATGTAGCTGGTTGGGATGATCCTAGAATGCCTACTCTCTCAGCTGTAAGGAGAAAAGGGTACCCTCCCCAGTCACTTTGGAATTTTTGCGATAAAATAGGGGCTTCAAAGAGAGATCAAATGATACATATTCAGCTATTAGAGGACTGCGTAAAAGAGAATTTACATAGCATCTGTCAAAGAAGGTTTGCTTGCATTCAGCCATTAAAAGTGGTTATTGTTAATTGGGATGAGTGTTTCCAAAAAGAAATTGTTGAAATCATCGTGAAAAACCATCCTGATGATAATATTAATATGGGTGAAAGAGTTTTGTACCTATCAAGGAATGTATGGATTGAAAAAAGCGATTTTTGGTTTGATGAAAATCAGGAAATTGATTCTCAGCATCCACCAAGCGACTTTAAAAGGTTGTTTGTTGGAGGCTCCGTTAGATTAAAGTATTCGTCTGTAATTACATGTAAAAATGTTATAATTGATAATAATTCTAAAGAAATAAAGGAGATACATTGTATTTTTCATTGCGAGCATGAGAATGATTCAAATGTTAATAGGAAGAAATTAACCGCAATACATTGGTTGTCTACAAGCAATGTTACTAATGTTGAGTTCAGACTTTATGGACGTCTTTTTACACTCCCTGAACCAGAAGATCAGGATAAAGATTGGAGGAGGTTTATTAATAATAAGAGTCTTGTAGTAATGCATGGGTTTTCTGAAAAAAATTTATTAGATGACGATTTCTATAACAGCAAAGGTGAAATAAAAATGAATAGATACCAATTTGAAAGAATAGGCTATTTCACAAGAGACATCGTCGACTCTAAACCGGAAAATAATGAGAGTAACCTTGTTTACAATCTAACCGTGCAATTGGGAGAATCCCCTGATTTATTAATCAAGATGCTCACGGAATCAGGTGCAAAGGAAAGCACCAAAGATATTGAAAGAAGGAGTGCTTATCATCTTAACAGGGAAAAAATTGCGGCAGAAAGGGCTGCAAGAAAGTTAGCGAAAGAAACTAAAAAAATGCAGAAAAACGACCTATAAGGATAGTTTGAGATCAATAAAAAAGATCTGTGGCAGTTTATATAATCTTCATGTTTCCGAGCTCGATTTCATCTTTAACGGAGTTTCTCAAGATATACCTACAATAAGTCCTTACATCATGATCTGGATCATTCTCATATGAATACTTCACCTGGTCAATTACTGACTTTTGAAAACTTCCCAGTCTGTTTCGATTCATAATTGAATCGATTGTTTGAAATGCCTTGATCCGGACATTAGGGACGATATCGTTGACTGAATACTGCAAGATAACTGAAATAATCTCCAACTGTAATTCATAATCAAACGAGCTAATCTTAGGTTTTATAGTAATACCGTTTGTTTTTGATGGATTAAGCGATAAAATTAAATTAGAAGCATTAATTAGGGGAAGATATTCGGCCAGGTGATTATTGTGTGGGCAAAAATTCGACCTACGAGGTGAGCCATTATTTACAAAGAAGTCGGTGTTTTCATCAATAACTTCGTTTCGAGTCAAGGACAAATAATTGTTATTTTCTTCTGAGGGATCTTGATAGTTTTGAGGTTCTTCGTTTATCGAATCGAATGTAGGGGCTACAATGAAAATGAGTTGTATAATGTGCTTAATAACATCTAGCAATTCCTTAAATGAACGAATACTCATTCCTGACATAATTGAATTGGCTGAAAGCAAGCCTGTTATTCTAATCATGTACGATTTTTCACTTGTTATCATTGGTAGTATATTCTTGTTCCAAAGTTGGTTTTTTGTCCATTCAAACCCAAACCAAAAAGACAATAATGGCAATGAAAAGATAGAAGTAAGCTGCCTAACTATACTCGTTTTATCTCGAATATTCACAATTATGAGTTCTATCAATACATCTATCGTTCCCTTATAGCAATTAAGAAAATCTTGAATGCCTTCACCTAAATTTTTATTTATTTTACCATTCCAAATCTCTTCTTCATCAAAGTGTGATGATAACAATTTATAAAGAGACAAAGTAAGAAAGATTACAGAACAATACCTGACTCGCCAGAAGTTATCTTTAATAATCGAACCTGAATGGGGTAAAATAATTTTATTGATCAAAAAATTAGTGTCAATGGATTCTGAGACTCCAGAACAGAGAGCCAAGACAGCACTTTGCCGTACTTGACCATCTTCATCATGAATTAACTTTGCAACTAAATTATCAAAAGCATTTTCGAGTTCTATATTCATATATTCGTCGATTTCAAAGTTTACTTTAATTAATATTATCATCTTAATGATTCTTGACAAGTTTATTCTTACTGAAACATTTTGATCTGTAAGCAGTGAATTTTTGTTGTTTATTTCTTTAATAATTACATCATAAAAAAGTAGCTTTGGAATATATGAAATTTCTAGTTTATTATCTGCCGCAATAGACTTAGATTTAAGTATTTGTTCTTCGACTGTTCTTAATATATTTGAAAGTGTACTAATTCTTGTTTCGGGTTCTTGATCCATTAATAACTGAGTTAAGATGAGTGCTAGTTTATCCAAATAATCTTTATTGCTTAAATCTGAATTATTTTTTGATTGAGGATGTGAACACATGTTATTCTCATCAAATGAAACATGTAAATTTTGAGATCCGTTCTCATAATATTCAGTGTTTAAATTTTCAATTCTCTGTGCTTTATTAAATACATTCGTTGAAGGATCTTTAATACTATAAATATTGACATTTTCAGCCTCTTTTAAATTAACTAAATGAAACAATTTTGAGTAAATATTAATTATCGGCTTTGATACGCTGGATCTAATTCTCCAGCTAACATCATTATAAAGTATAAATATAAAAGGTTGTAACTTTTCAAAAAAAATAAAGACATTTTTAATATATTCACTTTTCGATTGTGCCAATTCAGTAATTTGCAAAAAAAATGCCTCTATATTTTTAATTGCAATTAACCTCACACCTTCTTGCTCATCACAACAGAAATTCCGAATCATCGGAAATACGAGAATTTCAATTATACCTTCTTCGATTTCAATTTGTTCTAAAATATAGTTGAATACTTTAGACGCATGCTTTCTTAACATAGGCGCAGGGTGAACGCAAAAATCGGAATATTTAGTGAGTAAAATATTTTTTTCATCAAAGATTTCAGAAAGCCTTTTTTGTTCCAGTATTAGAGGGATGATATGACATGATAGAATTTTGTGACTGAGTATATCTGAATTCGCTAATTTCTGAAATATTTCAAGAGATTTATTGAACATTAACTTTAATTCATTGTATTTAGCACATCCATGAATACTATTTAAGTATTCTTCAATAATAAATGTTATAATATTAATGAGCGATTTAAGAGATTTCAAAGTTTCCATCCTTACATAAACATCATCAAGCTCAGCAATGTCTTGTAAAATTGGTACTATGGACATTATTTTTTCTATCTTAAGCAATAAATTTCGATCTGATTTACTTTTAGAAGTATGATCTTCAGTAGAATAATTCTTGTAAGCGTTGTAAATTATTTCATTTGAAGTATTAATAATGCACCCCTTGCTAAAGAAATCGAACTCATTAATATTTAGCTGGCAAATCTTATCTTCAAATAGTGAAATTAAACCCAAATTCGTACAGGATTTTGAAAGTTGCAATAGCACTTCTATGTTGTGCTCGCATTCGAAAGCAAGCTGTAGCCTTCGAATCATATCAACTGATAAAATAATGTAGTCTGTTTTTATCATGTCAATAAATAACTTAATTCCTTGGATTCTTTTGTTCGAATCATGGCTCTTCACATTTTCTAACGCAATTTCAATTTTGTCATTATTAGCATTGGTACGTTCAATAACCATTATTTTATCGAAAGCAATACATTTATATAATGGAACAAATATAATATTATCTTTTAATCAAGTTCCTAGTTAAATTTGAAAATTGTTATAATCTGACAGGCCTTATAAGAATATCTTCAATAATGATCAAATTATTGTTCCACACCCCTCTTAATATAACTTATTTTATTTAGACATCCAAAGAGCGGCAAAAACAAAATATTGAGAATCAATTCCAGTAAGAAATAATGCCATCTCTAGAAGATGTAAGTAAACCGATTTCATTATCATTAAACGGGTATATGCTGAGAGATGTGACTATATCTCTATGCCCATAATTTTTATTGTCATTGATACTGATTAAACTAGTTTCTGTTGAGTATTTACCAATAATACAGTCCAGCGAATTATTATCACAATTTATGTTAGAAACAGAAAAATTTTGTTGATATACATTACCAAAATCATCGTTAAAAATATAGTATTTATGTGTGCCTCGATCTTTATCTATATAGTTCCTATGAGTGGTAGTTAGTGGGCCAATTACATTTCTACTTATCAAACGCTCTTTTTTAATTAAGTTATCATTATAATTATTCATTATCACATATTGATTCAGATAATTTCCAAAAATTCGTACCCTTTGAGCTTTACAATACAAACAATTACATTTTTGTTTATTTTCACAACTTTCTGGATGCATTATTTTGGATGAAAGCAAAAGTGGGTTATAAATATGAATAAGTCTTTCTTTTACTTCGGTTATTTGAAATATTAAATCTTTATTAGAATAAATTTTACCAATTATCGGATCTAAAAGCGCAAAAATACCATTCTTGTTGAAAGCGAGCATAAATTTTGAAGAATGATTAAGATATGAATTACTAACATTTATGATTTTTAATTCACGATGACTAATTTTCCAAATTTTCGAAGCTTTCAAGTAAAATAAATTAACTATAACAATTGCATTTTCGTCAGTAACTAAACAAAGTAAGTGGCCATTTGGATCATTATCAGTTGAATAATCAATTACATTCCCCAAGAACGGAGGAATGGCAAAACGAATTTTTGTTATCAAATTTGTTGATTCAATAATACATATGTCTCCGTTGCTGTACGCGGAAATAATCATTTCTTTAGAATTAATCTCTATTCTTCCAACTAATAATATCACTGGGGACTTATAAATTAAACTTTGTTTAAATAACAAATTTTCATCCTCGTAGTAGTGCTCATTTATTGTTACAATACTTGTATCAATATTAATTTTAGATAAAATTCCAATATTATTCCCTGTAATAATGCTAAACTCATTTGACAAAGATGCAATGCTTGTTGCATAGCTGTTATTGTTGAATTTAAAAATATAATCATTGGATTTATCAGTGATTAAGTTCCAATAATGGAGTTGATCATATACATTTAATTTATGCAAGTAAACTCCAGCATTAATTGAATTATTAATCGAACAAGAATAAGTGTCTTCATTTATATGTAGAATTTTCTGATATATATTAAAGCCAATCCCTATAATTGTATTATTATCATTTTTGCAGGCAAGTTTACTATGGTTATAAATTGATCCTAAATATTTCCCTTTTATGGATGGTAAAAGTTTTTTTAGATCAGGCTCGCACAAATGATCATGAATAATTTTTTTTTTAGTTAAACAATTTAATTTGTTGCAAATAGCTTGTTTCCTAATACTGAATTTTTCCTCCTTTTGGATCAAAGATGAAATGAAAATAATTTCTTCAAAGTCATTAAATAAATTTAGTTGATTCAATATGCATGGTAAAGAATATAATATTAATTTTGTGTGAATGGGTGGTTGAATTTGATTTGTTTTTAAATTGTTAGTTGTTCGTATCTCTTTTTCTTCACTTATATAATCAATTTGGTTCCCCATAAACATATTTTTAAAACAATAAGCCAAAAACTCACTTCCAGAAATTTCACTCAGTTTAAATATATTAAACAAATAATTAACATTTATTTTTTGGAGACCAAAGAATTTATTTATTAATAAAAAAATAACCAACCAATTATTATATTTTCTTGAATATATAAAAACATATTTTAATGTATTTCCAAATTCTATATAAAATGGATAGTAATTATTAAATAGTGCAATTTTGAGATTATTTACTATAGATTCAATCATTTCATGAATAATGATTTCAGATTCATTCACACCTAATTTTTTGTTTTCAGCAGAAATGATCCTGTTCAGAATCTTATTTACTGATCTTAAACCTATTAATTTCACCTTAAATTCCTTATCATTTAAACATTTTTCAATACAGAATTTACCATAGGGAAGTATGAATATCAATTCCATTTTCTCCATAATGTGAATGATTAATTCACAAAAATTGCATTTAACATCGATATCTTTATCATTTAATTGGTCTATTAAGTAAGGCAAAATTTCAGAAATGAAAATTTCTGTTTTATTTATAAATAAAAAATACTCTAAAATTTCTAGCAATATTGATTTATTTTCTGTGTTCTTTTTCACAATCAATTTTTTTAAAGCAGAATTATTGGATGTTAAGATTTCAGTAATCCATACATTTAATTTAAACTTATTCTGTTTATTTTTCAAGATGAGTATTAGTACTTTATGGGCAATTTCCAGAAGGGTATTGACAACCAAAATATTATTTAATATTACATATAAGTATATCCATTTCTCAATATTTAATATTATTAAATCATTTATTATTCCATTAATTTCATCATTGACTAGCGTTTCATTTTCAATTCTTACATATTTCATAATGTTACAATTAATAAAATTAAATATTTCAAGAATGACTATAGGTTCTTTGTGATAGTCTTGGTGGCATTGAACCAAATCATTTAATTCATAATTGAAGAAATTATTGCCGTTAAAATTAAATTTAAATTGAGTAAGTTTGGAATTATTTTTGTTTGAATATTCGTTAAATATTAAATACTGTATAATTGTTGGGAGTATTTCCTTTACAGCGATTTCCTTCTTAAATTCTTCAGATAAAATCTCTAGCAATAAATTCATTGTATTTATTGATAGTAAGTAAATGCTATTATAAATTTCAACCATATTCAGATCATTATGGTTATTAAATTCGCTGATATAAAAAAGAGTTAGTTCACGTAAACTGATATTCATTAGATGTAAATATAAAATACATGAGCTATTATAATCTTCAATATATAAACTGTTTTTTTTCAATAGTTTAAAGAAAGATTTTCTATTTTCTTCAATAATTGAGTTATCACTATTTAATTGAATATTATTATTGTTAAAAGTAACATAATTGATATAATGGATGATATTTGGGCTTGAAGTAAATTTTTCGTTTTTATTATCCCAATAATTAAGTAAGAGTTGAAAAATTGAAAAAAACCCCTTAATATTCGAGTAATTAGAACTAATGTTTTCCAAATTAACCCTTTCGTCAAATATTTGGTACTCTATATCGGAGATCAAAACACTCAGAATTAAGTCTTTCATTAGTTCATAATCAAACTTATTTTGAAAGGTGTTTTTTAATTTATTTAAACTCCAACCATCGGTATATTCAATTTCAATATTTGAGAATATTTGTTCAATTTCATCACAATTCTCTAAATTATCCTTTGAAATTTTAACTAAATTAATATCTTTTATAATAAGTAGTTCCAAAAATATAGGTAAGATTATATTCAAAATAACTATCTGAATTCGCATATCATTAAATATTCTGTTCTGCATAATTACTGAGAGTGGATAAAAAAATAATGGAAATGACCTACAAAAGTGAAAATTAGATTTTTTTGAATGATCAAATAAGTATATATTCAATGAATTTATTTCATATATTCTATTCATATTTAATAATTTTAATAAAGTTACAAATGCTTCTGGTCTTTTTTTCCAATTATAATTTAGAAAAGTTTCTTTAATCCAATCTATATTAACTTTATCGTTTAATTTTGAGTAATAGTTCTCGTGTTTCAACATTTTCAATATGTCATTTATTGTAAATGTTATTTCATCATTTTCTATTTCATTTAATACGCACCCTAACGAAAAGATATCCATGCTCAATAATTTATTTTTTAATTCGTATTCAGATTCAAAAGATACTAAATTTTTTATATCATTTTCGGACAAAAATCTTTCAGGTGACAAATTACATCTCAAAACATTACTTCTAGCATTGCAATTTTGATTTTCAAAAAAAACAGTCCAAAATCTCAAGTCTGAACTATCAATAAAAATTGGTTTCCAAGGTGCAATATCAGTTATTTTCACAGTATATAATTGATTAACCAACATATTTTCTGTTTTAATGTCACCATGGAATAGGCCTAAAGAATGTAACTGCGTAACAGTTATTAAGGATTGAAACTCAAGCCAGTGCTTCAAAATAGCATTGAGTAAATTAATTTTGGAAAGTTCATACAATTTATTTTTAATTGTTGATTCCCACATTACTCTTTTGGTATAAAAATAATTTCTAGATGTACTAATCTGCTCATAAAAAATTATATTTGGGTAAACGTCTTTTTTGATATTATTTTGCATTTTGATTACTGACACTATTTTGTTGACAATAGACTCTTCGATTCCTTCTAAAAAGATTCCGTTTAAGCTAGGGAAGTATTTCAAGCTATTTTGTGATATAATTTCATTGAAAAAACTGTCATGTTCTGAAATCAAAACAGGTTCTAAGCTTTCTGCTATATTATCAATTTCCTTATTGCGTTCGTTCTTTAAATATTTGTTTAACCCTCCAAAAAATCTATAAATATTGTAATATTTGCGTTTTTCATCGATTACTTTGAAATCAAATGATATTCTACTTTCTTTGATTAGCTCTCCCCTTTCTTCAAGCCAATTAAATTCTAAAAATAAATTATTTAAATCTTCCTCATTTTCTAAAGGAAGAAAAGAAAGATTACCCATATACGAAATAATTATTTATTTTATTACGTGAATATTAATTTAAAGCATAAAAATTAATTATCAAAATTTCCCTCTTGTGCGTAATGGCCCCTTTTTTAAATAAAAATGTAATTTAGGCCAAGATATACTAAATATCTATTTTTGTTTAATTTTTAATTTTAGGCTTAAAAACAGTGAGATCATAATTTTAATCTGTATATTGAACTTTATATTAGAACTCGTTGGAGGAATTTAAACAAAAATATCCATCACAATTTAAAAAATATTTCCAGTGTTATTTTTGTGGATAACGATAATATAGGCTGTATATTTTTTCTTAATCATTAAAAATAAGTCTCACTAATCCGTAAATGATAATAGTTAATAATGGTGTTGAAGCGATTAATGTTGATATTGATAGTTTCAGTTCTATTTAAACTTATGTTAATTCCTTTGTAGTAAGTCGTCTAATTCTAAAATATTCTTTATTTTACTTGTGAATTCAAACTAGCCACAGCCCAGACTTTGAAGTACATAGAAATTGGATGGCAATCACTTTTAACAAGCCAATAAAGGAATGGTATTATGAAGTAAGTGCATTTCTTTACTCTTTAGTAATCGAATAATAATTTTCAGGAAACATCCATTTGGACCTTAGATTACCCAATTTTTTTTGCATACTTTGAGTGTGCTCTTGGCTTTTTAGCAAATAAGTTTGATCCCAAAATCTTAGTAGTAAGTTCATAATTAATTAATTAAAGGTACATAATTTAAACTTAATGATTTAGCTCTCTAAAGAACCATACTTTACAAAAAAAACTTTAATTTTTCAAAGGTTGAGTGTAATAATTACAGAATTGATTTCACTGGTTCCACCGATTATTCTAATATGCAAAACTAAATCAAAATCCGAAACTAGCTCATTATATTTATCGCTTTTCTGTACAATTTTCAATGCATCTTTGGTAATGGTTGATCATATACATTTTCAATACAATGGATTACTCATGGGGATTTTGCTATTATCAATTTATTTAACGAATAATTACCCAATATTATCAGCTTTAGTATTCACTTTCTTAGTATTTACAAAACACTTTTTTATTGTGCTTGCACCTTTATGGTTTATTTTTTTGTTAAACACTTGCGTTAAAAGATCAGAAGGAAAACCAAAAACTTTTATTAAGTCTTCTCTTAAAGTTTTATCTGCAGTTTTATCAGTATCAGCTTTTGCAATCGCTCCAATTATAATCAATGGGCAAATAAAACAATTTTTTTCAAGGTTGTTTCCTGTTTCAAGAAGTTTTATTCATTTCCTTCCTGCATCAAACCTATATACTTTATATGCAATTGCTGATAAGTTACTTGCAAAATTTAATTTGATCCCTTGTAAAATATATAATCTTGATCCAGAAGGTCATTATATTAAATCGATGAAATGTATCCCACCTATAAAACCTTTTTTCTGCATTGCAATTTGTATATTGTCTATTATTCCAGTAATGGTTCGTCTATGGTATAATCTGAGCAATGTAAAAAAACCAATGAAAGCCATTTTATTAACTTCTTCAATTTCACTTTTAATAACATTTCAATTTGGATTTCACATTCACGAAAAACAGATAATATACGCAGTTCTACCTTTAGGAATTTATACAATTTTATTCTCTAGAAATGACCAACAATTTCTAGTTTACTATATTTACTTAAGCAACTGGTCTAATTTATCTATCATGGTTTTACTCGAAACTTACCCTGAAAATGTTATTAAATACATAATTGTAACTGCCTACTACATATCACAATTATTGTTTTTTAATATTAATTTACGTGAATACAGCTTCCACAATTCTTTATTTATTTTTGGAACAACAATCATTTTTTTCCTGGAATTTTTCTTACAAAAATTGGTATTTGATAAACTTCAGCTTGTGTTCATTTTTCACGCACTATCTTCCCTAATCTGCACATTCCCTATACTATATTACACATCCTACTTTTATTATAACTGGGTTTTCAGCGCAACTAACAATTCAAAAACTAATCGATTTTCAAAATAAAAAACATTTTTTTTTAGTTAATTTTTTAATTTGAATATGAAATTATCGCTTTAATACACAAAAATTAAATATTATTGTATCCAACCAGTAATTAACTATTATTTGAAATCAATATTCATGTTTAATGGTTATTCTTAGCTCATTACTCGTATCCTAGTAAAATATACATTTACTATAAACTGAATGTAATCTTCGTTTAAATGCAAGCTGATTTTTTATAGTAATAGATCGAGATAATGATTTAATTCATTTAAATATTATTCTAATAGCTTAACTTGATTAGAAACCGTGAGTATAGTAATTAAAATTTTGATGAAAAAGAATGTAGTAATTGTAGTAACTATTCTAAGTTAATAATTACAATGCCGCGTAAATTATTTAGATTCGGTTTTTATTATCGAATTACATTGATTTATATTGCAAACGTATGGAATATTAATAAATGGAAACTGTATTTTGCTATAAATGCAAGTCAAAAAGAGCTAAGGTCAAAACCAGATTTTTATCTTGTATTGATTGCTTTAATTCATATATTGAAGGTAACGTTAGAAAGGAAATTAGGACAGGCCCAATTGAAAAATTGAAAAAATTAAATAGTGATTACCAACTTAAAAAGCCTCAAAAATTGGAGTTTTACGTTGCGCTTGGATTTGGATTATCTTCACAAACTTTATTGAACTTGTTATCAGTTATACCCAACACAGGAAAAAGGCCTGACTATTGTATTAAATCTTTTATTAATGTCGATACGTCTCCATTAATAAATAAGGATTCTTCGGAATATTATGAAAGTGTGAATTCATTCATTAAATCGATTTACAGCCATAAAGTTGGTGCGAACGAATACAAAACTACACCAAAATTACATATTATCCCTTTTTGTTCAAGCTTCACAAGTGGTGAAACTAAAGCTGATAAAGAATTAAGACAAAAGATTATCGATGAAATTAAGTTACATATAACTAGGGGCACTGATTACATTAAGCTTTTTATCCAGCTGGTTCTCTTGAGAGATATTAAATTTTACTTAGATAAAATAGACAATTCAAAGCAAAAATGCCTTGTATTAGCATCAACATCAGATTCAATGGGGTCTGAATCTCTCCAATATATGACATTGGCCTCTGGTATTCACATTAAATCGATTTATGGTCACCTTGACTTTAGGTGGCCCACTGAAAAATCTGTGTTTTTTTTAATTCGCCCCTTAAGAAACTTTACTTCAAAAGAAGTTATACTTTATTGGAAACTCAATATTTCTAAAATTTTAAATTGTTCGATAGGCCCAGAGATTTCAATCAACAGATCTCCAATTGAAGACGAAGTTTGCAAGTTTATCGTTTCCCAAAATGAAAAAATATGTAATATTACTCATATATTTATGAAGCTGAAGGAAAACAATAATGAACAACATGCAATTTGTGGGGAAAAAAAGAAATCATTTTGTGCTTTCTGCGGAATTATATGTATCAAATTAATAGATTACGAATATTGTAAAATATGTTATTCACTCCTTAAAATTTTAAATATCTTTAATTAGAAAGGAATTAGATAATTTACTATTTAAAAATATCGATTTAATTTTAGATTACTTGCTTATCTCCCGCGTTTGTAGATCCATGAATTAAAAATCCGAACTTTTCAAATTGAAGTATATAGTGTACAAAATATCACAATAGTTTAATATGTTGATTCTAAAACATGTACAAAAAAAGAAAAAATTTGCATAAACTTGTAATTTTGACTATAAATACATTACTAATTGCAACGACGCTTTTTACGATGTTTTTTGCAAATATTGGTTATTACAGATGGGGGTTTTCAAATGGATCTAATGTTAAGTATAGTGTTAGTTTAAATCGGATTTATTCAGAAGGAGTTTGCATCAACACATCGATCATCGATTTCGAAAGCTGCACCGAAATTATCGAATTTGAAAATTTTGAATCAAGCAAATCGTTTAACAATATAAGTTCTTTTTCTTCAAAATCAATCAAAAATATTATCATGGATATCAAGAACGCGAGTTTAATACTTACTTGCTTAATCGCGACATATTTGGCATTTTTATCATTTTCGACGCTTGTTCTATTAATACAAGAATACATTAATAACAAAAGATATGCACATATATTCTCTATTATTTTAATAGGAGTTTCAATTTTGTTTATTAAATCTGGGTTATTTTATTGGATGTTGATGCACATTTCTTGGGGAAAAATTTTGAAAACAGATAGCAGTAATGTTTCAATTCAAGTAACATATCATTCATTAGGTTCAGGATTTTATATTTTGGTTGGGATTTTATTATTAACATTAATTGAATTAATTATTCTAATTAAAATATTACCAAAAGATCGTGAATATAGTAAATATTCATTAATTTCTTAGTTAATAAGCAAAACAAATAAAAGCGGAGATAAGGTTGAATTTGCTAAATTAAAAAACTATTTATCAACATTCAATAAATTTTCTTTGATTTTTTTCAGTTGATCAATGCTACCTAAATGGTCAAAGTCACCCCCATTAACACTCATAATCCATTCCCTCAATAGTTTAATCATCATGGGACATGAAGTTTTAATAACGTGGAACAACTTCGTACGGTGTTCTAGGTCTTCAAGATTAAATTCCTTGCTATAGAAGTTATAGGCATTCTGTAATTCCTCAGAAATTACCAGTTGACTACTGATACGATTTAAATCAACCTTATAATAGAATTCATTTTTTCTAGAATTTTTATCAGGGATTGTTGTTTTAAAACATAACGATAGATCATGGGCATTACTTTTTTCCAAATTATTACTTAACACCTCATTAGATGAACTATTTGAATCCGCATCAATATGTAGAAACCCCAACCAATTGTTTACCCTAGAGATGTTTTTTTCTTCATACTTTAATTTAGTCAATGAAAGCATTTTGACTTCATATGGATCGCAAAATAATAGCTCAAGTGATAAAACTATAACATATTGCGAAGCAGATTTGTTTCTCGTTTTTTTCTTTTGATTGGCATTTACAACTCTTAGTGCGATTGATTTTGATAGAATGCGCAGGTATAATATCGATAATTTAATATATTCTATGATGAATTTCCCATGGTAAATAGAATCAATATTTTGTTTACAAAATTTTTCGATCATTTGGTCTTCACAATCATTCGCAGAAATTTTATTGATAATTAATTCAACGTTTCTTTTTTCATTATATTTGCTTGATAGTAATTCAAATGGTATGCAGCTCAACAATTCACAAATAGTTTTCCTATTGACAATGATTTCATTTAATTCGTTTTGCCAATGCTTAGATTCAATAGATTCCGTTATAGTATCTTGCTCTTTCTCAAGAATATTTCTATTTTTTTCATTTAATAAGTTTTTATCTAAATAAAAATAAGCTTGTGGACTTTGGCCAATCATAGTTTTTAAAGTTTTCCTGTTAACAATTGATCCCAGTAGTTCAATTGCAGTGTTATTTTCGAGATATTGTATACTTTCAGAAATATTAATGATACTATCTTTATCCTTAAAAAATTGAATCATGCGAATTTCTAAGGGAGACATATTTGTTTTGTTGCTTTCAAATTGTGCCTGATCTAATTTTCTGAGTTCAACTATTTTTTTGATCCGTAACAAAGCTCTATAATTTACCTTCGTTGATTTTATGCATTCTTTTTCAAGTGACTTTTGCTCCTGTTCAGAAAATGTCGGATATAATCTGACATTGCTAGAATTGCAAACAGCATATTTCATATCATCAAATGAATGAATAATAACTGAGCCATGCTTAATTAACTTTCTCAATATTTTTTCATGTTCTTCTTCTATTCCTACTGTTTTGTTTTCTAATTCCAATATTACGGTACGCCCAGGTAAATATCTTTGTTTCTTTGTCATCCTCCACCAGACTAACTCATTATGTGGTAGATCATTTTCAAGCATCTCTTATAAATAAAAAAACTGATTAAATTTCCAAGATAAGTATAATAATTCAATTTTATTGTGTTAAGAATATTTTAGTACATATTAAAATTAAGAATTTTAACAATAAACTTGTAATTTTATCCTTTGTGTTGAAAAGCTTGTAAGTGAATTAACTTTTTGCTGCTCATTTTTTATTTTATAATTTTTGCAGCGCAATTCCACATAATTTGCAACGTTTTCTGCGCTAATGATTGTATCATTTATTTGATTCAATAAATTAATACAACAAAACAATATATTCGAATGTATAATAACCTTAAGATTTCAGTAAAAATCTAATAATCCGAAATATTTTTGAGTTTTTATTTACCTTCTTTTCTTATTTATGCTATAGGTAGATTGAAGAGTTATTTTGTACAGTTAATTAAAGTATAACTTTTTAATATACTAAATACCAATAAAAACTCCTGAAAAAAATTTATAAAACTTTTTTATATAATGAATAATCTAATGCTTATAAATTTTTTCAAAATAACGAGGAGGGAACGATGAAATCTAATAATTTTTGATAAATAATCGAAGCCGTTCAATGCAAAGTGGAAGTTTGAAAAATATGGCATCTCCATATGATTATTTATTCAAATATATAATAATAGGTGATACGGGTATGAGTTTTCCAAATTTTTTGTTGTCAAAATTTATTATTTTTTCAGCTGTTGGCAAATCATGCCTTCTTTTGCAGTTTACAGATAGACGTTTTAGGGTAGATCATGATTTAACGATTGGAGTCGAATTTGGTGCAAGAATTGTCAATATAGATACGAAAAAAGTAAAATTGCAGATCTGGGATACGTAAGTGGTAAGGTAATTGTTTTAATTAATTATTTAATTTTTCAGTGCTGGGCAAGAATCGTTTAGAAGTATAACTAGATCATATTATAGAGGAGCAGCAGGGGCATTATTAGTTTACGATATTACAAGAAGAGACACATTTAATCACTTAAGCAGGTGGTTAAGTGATGTAAAAAGAAATGCAACACCTAATATGACCATCATTTTAGTTGGAAACAAATCCGATTTAGATAGAAGAGAAGTAACCACAGAAGAAGGAGTCGAATTTGCGGAACAAAATGGACTTCTATTCATTGAAACATCCGCAAAAATATCGAATAATGTAGAGGAAGCATTTATGAGAATTTCCGAAAAAATATACAGAAATATACTAGATGGTATTTATGACCTTTCTAATGAGGTAAGCACTTAAAAAATCAATTCAATTTTGATAAACAAAAAATTCTAGATCGATGGAATTAAATGCGGTAGGACAGTTAGTACAAATTTATTACTAGCTAGAAATGAAACTGATCATTCGAACGGTAGAAATAGAAATTGTTGTCAATAAAGTAGAATTTTTTTTAACTGTGAATTTATTTATTGCTGAGCGGTATTATTCGTTATAAATGTTTGACATTTTGTATAAGAAAGATACTAATTAATTAATGGAAAAATATAAATAAATAATATATATGTAGAGAGAGAAAAGAGAAGGAAAGAGAGGACTGTTGAGCAATATGGACTTATTTTCTAGTAACAACTCACTTATTTATTATAACGCCCAACTTATTTGGTTTCAAAAGAACAAATTGTTTTTGTTCTCGCTCACTAATAGTCAAAAAGCAGAAATTATTCTAGGTAATGAAATGGTAGAAAATGCTGTAGTTTCAATGGGCATTTCAGCAAATGGTATAATTGTTGCTTGTAGCAATAATAAGGTTATTTACATTGTTAGGATTTGTCACTCCAACTTTGAATTAATCGGCCAATATTTACACTCTAAGAGATTGAATACTTCAATATTCAAGCCAGATACAAACGAAATAATTATAGGTGATAAATTTGGTGATTTATACTTAATAAACATTAACAATATTCATTCAATCCCTAGCAATCATTGCAACTTATCCTCGTTAGAGAGCGATTCAGATGAAGAAAATTTACAAAACAATATGGCTGGTGGCATAATCCCTAAAATGGGTCACTTATCAGCAGTTACATGCTCAATCGCTAGTTATGACTATAAGTTTCTATTTACAGGAAATAAATGTGGAAAAATATGGATTTCCAATTTAAATTATTTAGAACATACTTTTTCAATATTATGTGGCCATAGTGATGCAATTTCATCTATTTGTGAGCTCAATTTAATTGACGAATCACATAAACTAATTGTTAGTTCATCACTTGATAAGAGAATCAAGTTATGGGACTATTTAGACGGAACCGAATTAGATTCTATTAATCTTGAGGTAAGTAATGACTTCTATGCCAAGCCTTAAATTACTCTTTGCAGTTTACCCCTTTAGAATTAAAGTACAGCGCTTTAATGAAAAAAGTCTTTGTCAAATGTGAACTTTTAAGTGGAATAATTGTTATATCATTGGATTTAGACGAAAAAAGCAAAGTTTTCAGATTCCGAAAAGAGTTCACTATTATTAAGCTGAATAACACTCCAAATTCACTTGAAATAAACGATATCACTGAAAAATCTTCCTCTACAGTACTTGAAGAATTGATTGATATGAAAGCCACTAAAGGATGTATTTTATGGTACAAAAACGATGAAATGAGTTTACCATGTCCCATTATCTTAAATGTTCAAAATTTACGTTCCGTGCACAGCAACGAGAACAAATACCTAAACTACACAATAATCCCAGATGCACTAACAAACCTTACAGGACCCAAAACGAACATTTTGTCTCAATCTAATAACTCACAGAATTGCGATTTGAAAAGAGTTAGAACAAGCGATTAACAAGTAATCATTCAATACTAACGCAATATCTTCAACATAATCATACATTAAGAATGCATGCAGTTGATTTGAATCAATTCAAATCAGAAATTTTAACCCTAACGAGAGGATTTAGTACTATTAATTATTCCCCACAGGGGAGTGGCTAAATATTGATAAGATATGAAGCGCCACACTTTCTAGATCCCCTATTAATAATTAAGAACATTTATTTATTTTTCATTAATTTGCAGTCATTCATAAAAAGTATTGAGATGATTTCAAACGATAATTTGAAAAGGCTTGCATCTACCTCTGCAGTGATGAGCTGTACATTGGGAAAAGCGACTTGTCTGGGAATGGATAAAATCTGTTCCCCACTAGCGGACAATGATGTAACCCAAAGAAAGACACAGATTATTTGTACAATTGGTCCAAGTTGTAATAGTGTGGAGGCACTTATTGGCTTAATTGACAAAGGAATGAGTGTTGCGAGACTTAACTTTTCTCATGGTGACCATGAAAGCCACTTAAAGACATTACAGAATATCAGAGAAGCAGCTAGAGCGAGGCCTCATTCTACAGTCGGGATAATGCTTGATACTAAGGGCCCAGAGATTAGAACCGGAATGCTGGAAGGTGGAAAACCTATTGAGCTGAAGGCAGGACAAACTTTGAAAATAACAACAGATTATTCTGTGTTAGGTAACTCTGATTGTATCTCATGTAGTTATTCTCTTTTGCCTAAAAGCGTACAAATTGGAAGTACTGTGTTAATTGCCGATGGTTCATTATCAATGCAAGTGCTTGAAATTGGTGATGATTTTATTAACTGCAAAGTATTGAACAACGTGACCATCGGCGAAAGAAAGAATATGAATCTTCCAGGTTGTAAAGTCCACTTGCCAATAATTGGCGATAAGGACAAGCATGACATTGTGGAATTCGCCCTTAAACACAATTTAGATTTTATTGCCCTTTCTTTCGTACAGAATGGAGCAGATGTACAATTATGTAGACAAATTATTTCTGAAAATACGCATTACTCTGATGGAATTCCAAGTTCAATTAAAATCATTTCCAAAATTGAGAACCTGGAAGGTGTGATTAATTTTGATAGTATTTGCAGCGAGTCTGACGGTATCATGGTTGCAAGGGGAGACTTGGGTATGGAAATACCTCCAGAGAAAATATTTGTTGCTCAGAAATGTATGATTTCGAAATGTAATGTTGCAGGCAAGCCAGTAGTTACTGCAACTCAAATGCTTGAAAGTATGATCAAGAGTAATCGGCCGACAAGGGCGGAAATGACTGATGTAGCAAACGCTGTTTTAGATGGCTCAGATTGTGTAATGTTATCTGGGGAAACTGCCAATGGAGCATTCCCATTTGATGCAGTGAATGTTATGTCTAGAGTTTGTGCTCAAGCTGAGACTTGTATTGATTATCCTGTGCTATATCACGCAATACATTCCTCCGTTCCTAAACCTGTCGCTGTTCCCGAAGCAATTGCTTGTTCTGCTGTAGAATCAGCACATGATGTAAATGCGAAATTAATTATTACGATTACGGAAACCGGGAATACCGCAAGATTGATTTCAAAATACAGGCCAAGCCAAACTATCATTGCTTGCACGGCAAAACCGGAAGTAGCTAGAGGATTGAAAATTGCAAGGGGTGTCAAGACTTATGTCTTAAACTCAATCCATCATAGTGAAGCAGTGATATCTAATGCTCTAGCACTTGCGAAAGAAGAAAACCTCATTGAAAGTGGGGATTTTGCGATTGCTGTGCATGGTGTTAAAGAGTCTTGTCCAGGGTCGTGTAATCTTATGAAAATAGTTAGATGCCCTTGATTTCACATTTGATATTGATAAATATTTGAGGAATTTATTGGGCTATAGATATTGTTTTCATTGTTTGTTTACCATTGTGAATATCGATGAATGTATTGTTTGCCATTTTTTTGATCTTTATCCTCTATTACACTTTTTTTTTGCGCTAAATACTAACTCTATTCTAACCACATCTAAAATAAACGGGAATTAGTTCGAGAAATACCAATTTCATTACTTTCTGGGCAAATGTGATTGTTTCGTAAAATTAATATTTTTTGGAAGTATGAATATTCCTAATGTTTCAATTTTGCGAAAGTTATATTTTCTCATAATTATTTTTCTGATATTTAATATTAATGAAAGCAATGCTCTTAACACGCAACTCCAAAATGAACGTATTAAATCTATTAGTGATTTGACTAAAACAGACATTATTTCATTAATAATTGTTGGCTGTTTTGCGTCAATTGCTGTATCAGCTGGTGGAGGAGGTGGAATTATTTCAATGCCTATTTTTCTAAGTCTTATGCAAGTTCCATTTTCACAGGCAGTTACATTTTCTTCTGCAATTATACTTGGAGGAGTCATATGTGCACTAATAACTAATTTGTTGCAATGTAAACATACGCTTCCTGAATATAATGATGCAATCAATTTCCTAAAGTTAGCTGTTACAGAAAATCAGATTTATGAATACTCATACTCACTTATACCAGTAGAAAAGGCACCATTGATTGATATTCAAATCGTATTATTTATTGCTCCACTTCTTACACTTGGAAGTTTATGTGGAGTATTTATTGGGAGATACGTTTCCAATATAATATCAATTCTTGCCTTAAATACTTTATTATTATATGTTCTAAAGGTTTCAATTTCAAAGTTTAATAAAATTAGAGAATCAGAAAAGAAAAACACCAAAATACCATACAGCGAATCTGAACTACTTTCTCCTACAATATTTCAAACAAAGCAAATGATTAGTGCTGAAAAGGTAAAAGATAATCTAAAAATTATTATGTATTTATATACCTTATCTATTATTAAAATAGATAAAGCTGAAATGGACAACATCAAAGAGCAAAAAGATATTATTGAAATTACTCCTTCATTCCACCGGAATAAATGGGCGAAGTTAAGAAATTATAAACTATGGATTTCGTTTATTTCACTCTGCTTTCTTTCTATTTGGATTTCTATTTTAGATAGTGGTGTATTTTTAACAAAAGGAACTCACATTCATTCGCTGATATGGTTATTTAATGCGATAATACTGCTGGTTTTCCCGAACATAGCCTTGCCAAAACAATCTTTGAACTTAATAACGTCAATAATTAATTCAAAGGAAAGAGTTGCAAAATTCATAAAAACTTTCCGCAGTAATTCATCGATTCAAGATTATGAGACGATTGATATTGTGTCCTATATTCAATCCAGATACCGTGATAACTTCTCAAATTATATTTTGGCGAGTTTGGAAATACTATTAGTTGGAGTTATAGGCGGAATTACAGGTGCAAGTGGAGGAATTTTAATAAGTACGATTTTTTATTCTTCTCAAGTTGATCCTTCTTCAATTGCTGCAAATAACTCTACCTGTCTGATCATCTCAACATTAACTTGCTTTTTTACATACTTGTTTGAAGGGAGAGTTCATTTTGATTTGGCAATTTTACTACTAGTTATTTCGATTATTTGCACTTTAATTGGAAAAAATGTTATTGATTATTATGTTAGAAAATATAAATTTTCTTCAATAATAGTTGGAATCCTTATTGTTTTAATTTCAACAAGTCTGATCTACATGAATTTAAGACTATTTAAACTAATAATAAATTTCTAGTAAACGTCTATCCTCAAATATTAAGTAACAGCCATTTTCTATTATTTTCTTTTTTTTCTAAATCCATAAAATATTTGAATAACTTCTTTTTAATAGAATTAGAAATTTTTTAAAAAAATTTTGAAAGGAATTCAACTTTTTTCTTGTTAAAATTTCAAGATTTGTTATACGCGTTTTCGAACATGGAATTTGGAAATAAATGATTGTTAGAAAAAAAAGAACATTTATTGTTAGGAATGAATTTAGCTATGACTAGCTTTCTTGATGAAAATGATAAAGTTATTTATTGCGTTAATATTATCTAAGATGGTATTTAATGTAAGTTCGTTAATTGAACCAAACAGATTCAATAGTTTCTACCCTTCGCTTGAGAATTCTCCGATTTTAACAAACTCATGGACCATTGGAATATTTATTCGACTAAAAATATCTCTATGGGCACCTCTTTTCGAAGAAGTTACAGATCAAAGGCTCTTCAAAGAAATGCTAACTTTATGTATTAATCGAGGGATCCCTCCGCCACAGCCACCAACTTTCATTCGAATACTTGAATATGAACATTTGACTGGGTTTACTGGAGTATTGTTTGAATTTCCAAAAAATGACCAAACAAATAAGATTATAAACCGAGAAAATATTCTCCAATTTTTGATTCAGTGCCGAGAAGATAAGCTTGGAGGAGAGGCACATATTGCATCTAACATATTATTGAGGAATTCTCCTGTTGTACAAAACACAAATTCAATACAGGAATTAAAATTTAAAAAGATTGAAGAAGACTACTCAATGGCAACCACATTCACGATAACTTTTTTGATGGTGGCAACTACACTTTCAGTAATTAGTGCATATGTTATTTACTACTCTGTTGCTAGAAATAAAAAGTGAATTATAATAAATCGAAACTAATAATCCTTTAATAAAAAATGACTAATATTGATAAATATTGGAAGATCTGCTTCAAAATGTCTAAGGTGATTGTAAAAAGGTTCAATGATATTATGTGAAAATAATGCATTCATATTACTCAATGTATCTTATTAATATTTGTTAGTCTTGACAAAAAAAATTCACGTTACTTATATAAGCGGGAATGCATTCTATAATTAGTAAGATAGAAATTTTGTTTCCCCACAAATAATTGAGAATAATCTAAATTGTGTATATTTTGCAAAGCATTCAACGATTTGCAAGAGAAAAAAGATATAATACAAACCTATATTCTTATAGGTTTATTTCGAAGATATCTGCATGAGAGATTGATCTTTTAGAATATTTATGTATTTTTGATAGTGAGAAATGCCAGAGAACTACCAAACAAATATTGGTAAAAGTTCTAAGATCTCCGATTTGTCTTCAAAAATCAGAGAGGCAGAGAACGACTTATCAATTTCTAGGGGAATTAAATTAAGAAACAATAGCTTAGGAAATCAATCTAAACATATGAATGGGCTGGCGTTCAACAAAAGTGCTCAAGATTCGAAAGAGGTATCGGAGCTACACATATTAAGATTAAAACAGATAGAAACTGCTCAGAGGTTAAAAGAAACATTAAGGAGAAATGTTGATCTTATGACTGAATTACAAAAGGCACGAGGAGTTGTAAGAAATTTAGAAAAAAAATTAAGTTTAATAGAACGGGCCGAAAGTGTTAATTTACTTCATGATAATGCTGCCAAAGATATAATTCCTCCATGTAATCATTGCCCAAAACAACAAGAAGAGATAAACAAATTAAAATTGCACATTATTGAAATGAATGAATCTTTCCAAAAAAGATGGGACGATACACAAAGGGAGTTACTTCAAGCAAAGCAATCTTTATCTGATGTTTCAAGCAAGCTTTTTGATTCAATGAATAATTATCAAATGAAAAGCCCTCAAGAAACTAGCCAAATTCAAAGCTTTAATGATGGCACGAACGAATTCATGGAAGAGAGTTCACACTTTAATGATAGAGTACTAGAAAGGTATAAGAACAATAATACCAATAATATTATTTATCATCGAAATGGATCTGAAGCTCAGTCACCTTCTACTTACAGGCTATCTAGACCATCTAGCTCAAATCTTTCTAATGATTTAAATGGCCGAAATCTAAATCTAAATTCCTATTCTAGAATTAGCAGTAGAATAAGCAATATTCAGTACAATGAATATGCTCATCAGCCAGAAACACCCAAAGCAAGTTTCAACAACAGAAATATTAGAAACCTACTTTTAAATCACGACCGGAGGAACGATCCAAATATTGTAATTAAACACAATAGACCACAGTCCGAACACCTAATTAAGTATTCCCTACCTGAAACAGCGAGAGTTTTGCCAAATAATCACAATAAATCCAGTAGCGGATTCTATCAGACAGCCAAAGATGGGATTAACTACGATCCTATTACACAAATTCGTTCTTTGGATTCGATTACAATAAATCCTGGATTGAATACTCATGCAAATTCGTTTCCTCCTGGACTAAGTTGCAATGTTTCTAACCGCAGATATGATTTAAATTCTCGAGATTTAATTCCAAATAATCTTACAAATCCATTAGTTTACCCAAATTCTTATTCTTCGTACATTTTGTCGTCCCAGAACAAAATCCAAACTCAAAGCGATTTATTTGTTTCTGGAGTTGAGACGTTTAGTTCAAACAAAATAAAAAATTCTATATTTCCTGGAAGTAAAAACACAAGCTGTGATACACAACATTTTGATAATAATTCAATAATACCGAATCAAATAGAGGGTGAGTGTTTAAACGAAACCACCAATTATCGTTCTTATTCAGTAACGGACTCTAATAATCTTCAAAGCTCAATAAGTCCTCCTTCAAATTGTCAAACTATAATTGAGCCAATAAAGGATCAAGCAGTGAATAACTACAATACATCTTTTAACGAAAATCTAGACGAATACCCCTCTTCACCTGCTACGAAAGACTCTCTGAATGAACTGGAGATTGATCAGAGTACCTATGGAAATATCAGGAAAACTCTCGAAGAGTTAAAAAAGACTCAAGACCAAAGAGTACAACAGTTGAAGGATGATAGAGAAAAGCTTCTCAGAGCAGTGCTAAGCGACCTACAGGAAATGAAAGATTTCAAAACAAATCTTAATAGTATAAAGGAGAATCAAGAAAGAATGATTAATACCGCACCAAAAAGCTTATTTTCTCTTGAAGACAGTAGTAAATACGATAATATCTAAATTGAAAATTATTGGTATAAATTGAAATGTGCTTTAAGAAAATCTCAATTCGTATATTAAAACCTCGCCTTAGTTCTATTGCACTTTTTAGCTTGATTCCATTTTTCTAAGAAGGAATCTGAAATTTGAATATTTTTTAGATGCTTTGAATATACTAGAGGTTTAATTACTGCTCCAATTCTTGTTTGTATCTTCGGCTGAATAAACTTATTATGTATTGCTGTGGTGTTCCATTCAGGACCAATTGGATGCTTAAGGGTGCTTTCATATAAATCACTCGAGTTATAAGGATGAGGTACTTGGTTAACACAGTACTTTGTCATTTTTCTATCAATTGATCTATTTGGACTAATTTGGTGTTTTATTCTTCCTGATGAACCATCCTTGGCTCTAATGTTTAATTCCTCAATTCCAGAAATTGATGAACACCAATTACCCCAGCCAGGTACCGATTTATTATTTAAAGATATATTTATACTATTTGTATCTGTTAATTCCTCAATATTTTTATCGATTAAACAATCATCACTTCCCTCTACAAAAATATGTTTTAATAGTTCAGTATTTGTTTGAAAAGATTCTTGATTTTCTGTGATATCTATATTGGCCATTCTTTCAAGTTCATCTTCAATATTCAAGCACATTTTCTTCTTTTTTTCGTCTTTATTTCCCTGAAAATCTAAATGTTTTTCAATAAGTTTACCTTTTTCATCACTCGAATTATTGTTTGATAGAAGCCTCTTCTTCAAGTTATTTCCCACAAAACTAATACCAACGATATTGTGATTGGAATCAAAATCATTTTCAATCTCATTCTTTGTATCTATGATCTCATTGATTGAGGGATTTGAGAGTCGTATAACTTCATCAGAAGCATCATCGGATAAACAATTTTCCGATTCTTTTATTATAATTTCACCTTCATTGTTTATATTCTCAATTTCGTTTAATTCAAGATCTAATAGATTGTTCTTAAATTCGATCTCGCGTTGAATAAATTTCAAATCAAATAGTCCTTCTGATGAATTCTTTAAATTATCAATATTTTTTCGAGCTTCTTGAATAAAATGTGAATTTGAATATATTTCTTGATCAGAACTTATCGATTCATTTTCTTCGTAACAATCATTTGAAACATTTTGAATTATTTTCTCAATTCTCTTTTTTTCTTCATGCTGTTTTTGAGCTTGATCTGAAACATTTTTTTGCAATTCCCTTCCACCAAATCTTAATGCCATCTTAGCCCACTTCTGTCTTGCAGTTTGTCTCCTCATTAATCTTATTTTGGCTCTTTTTTCCTCATATCTTTCTCTAATTTTTTTTACTAATTCTGGATACTCAACCTCTCCCAAACTTAGTAGTTTTTCTTCTTCAATTTGCATTTGTTTTCTATGGTTTTTCCTCCAAGTCTTTGATTTAATCTTTTTAAGTCTCTTGTTTTCTCTTTGCTGTTGAAATAAAATGAATTTAAGTTTTTTCATAAAACTTTTTTCTGATTGATTTTTAATTTTATCACAAGGAGAAATATCAAAGTGATTTAATATTCCGGTGCCTTTTGAGTAGTCTTTGTTTATTTCTTTCAAAACATTATCAAATTCTTGTTCGAATTCATCCAAAGGTTGGTAATTGCTTGCCAATTGTGCTGTAGAAACAAAGTCAATCTTTTCAGGCTCTCCATAAGAAATTGTTTCTTGGCGATTTATTCGATCAATAGTCGAACCCCAGTGCTTCATTTCCTTTTGAGCCAAGTCGTATTGTGTTTTTCTTTCTAATTGATACTGTTTATTAGGGGGGAGTAATTCTGCTATCTCACCTCTAATTTTATTTTTGGCCTCTAACATCTTTATTTGGTTGATAACCTCTCTGGTTTCAATAGAGCCGGACAAATTTTCCATTAAATTAGTAATGGTATTTTTCATATTTATTTTATCTTTCCTCCAAACCTTTCCAGAAGTTTCTGAGCTTTCATTAAAATTAGAGCTCATCAATTCTTTTCTAGAACAAACTGGGTTATTTTGCCCATTAAAATTAGATTCAGAGATTATGTTTGAAACATTACTAATTAATTTGTTAAGCTCCATTGTATTTCCATGATCATTCGAATATTTCTTTTTTCTTTCCATTATTGGATTCATAGTTAAATTACAAAGCAAAATAAAGTTGAAATATTCAGGAAAGTATTAAAAACACAAACTTTTCAAGCTAAAAGTATACAAGGCATCCATAACACCGTTTGAATTATTTCATAAAATTTTTTTAGAAACCTGTATAAATGAAATGTAAGACTAGAACGTTGGCTATAAGGCGCTGGCGGTATAGCCATAAAATTTTCTATATTAAGACTACTCCAAAAGAAAATCATTTTCAAGCCAAAATTTCTTTTGAATTATGTCGCTATAGCATTTATATATGCACTTAATAATAACCGTTTCATCATTCACCCTCCATATTGGATTTGACGGCTTATCTAATTCTGTATGTTCTTTACAATTCATTTCAATAGTCATTTCTTGACAATTATCTAATAATGGAGCATCCTTTTTATTTTTCAACAATAAATATTCATCTCTAGACTTCTTTTCCTTTGGCTTAGCCCTATAAATTGTTGTCCCTTTTCTAAATTGTGGAGAAGTTTTATTATAATTTATTCCAAATTCGTGAAACAGTAATTCGTTTTTGTAAGATGAATCTGTAAATTTAAGCTTTTCTGTTGCTTCTTGTTCAGTCAATTTTTTTATAGATACTAAAGACCAAAAACATGTATTGTATAGATTATTTATGTGGCAATCTACTTGACGCCATGAAAGATATGTTTTAATATCCTCATCGGTTGGGTATGTAATTATTCTCCCATCAAAAGTTGGAGGATACAAAAGCTTTGTGTTGGGAAAATAATTATCCCAATAAAAAACGAAGGAAGACGTGAACAAAGATACGACGTTAGTTAGTATTTTATCGCTTTTTCTATTCCATAAGTCAGTTTTTCTTCTGAAAATAAAGCTTTATTTTACAATATTAAAAATTAAAATATGTTTGCAAATAACTTACCTAAATTCATCGGACTGACCGTATGAAATAACAATGTCACCCAAGTTTTTCATTACATTTTCGGCACAGCGATTCATTAGATCTAGTCCTTGTTTATCGTTTGGTTTTTGAAACTTGTGATCCCTTGTAAACCTAAAAGAATTAATCGACAAACTACTACATTTTACACTTACTCATGAAAGCTATGGCCGTCAATTCTAACTACAAACCAACAATTTTTGACGATCCTAATAGGTTGTTCGTAAGTTTTAATATACTCGTATTTGCTACAAGCCATTATTATTTTTTTGTCTAATTCAATTCCGTGTTTTAGTTATTACCGCTGAGCGGTTATACTATTTAGTCTAACCTCTAAAAGTTATTTTTGGTATATAAATTGCAGAATACATAGAAGCCCACAAAGTTCATGAAATGCCCACATTTTCTATGTATTCTTTGTAACCCATTCCTTCCGTTCCTATACAACCATTTATTGTTAAAACTAGGGGATATTTATTAAGAATTAGTCTAGACTTTTGTATTTTATCAGGCCTGATGTTAAGAAATGGATCAGTTGGATTAATTAAATTTTCTTCATTAATTATTAATGAATAGAAAGGAGTATATGAAATACATTTTTCCACGTATTTCTTATCAGATATCTGGCATTCAACAAAAGAAGTTGGGTTTTGCCCATTGAAAGCTTTATAAATTAAGTTCATCCTTTGTGCGAGAGACAAACCACTCAATGCATAGCATGTATGATATAAGTCCCTTGGTTTTTTTGGTTTGTCAATTAAACCGCCTTCAGAAGATTGGCAACAAATTAATATATACGATATCAATGCTTGGAAATCGCAAAAAAAGCTTTGGATACAGGATTCAGAATTAGGTCCTCTAATTCTCAAAATTTCACCAATACAAAACAATAAACCTGTAAACCAAAAACTGTAACAAGAATCTACAAGTTTATTCGTTCTACCTTGAAATCCCCCTTCAATCCCGGATTGCCTTTGTACTACCCAGTATAATAATGAATCCACATCTACTATAGATGACTTTCCTAAAATACAAAGCCCAGAAACAACACAATATGTATATCCCCCGTGTGACTCACCACCAAAATCCCCGGAATAACCTCCATCAAATCCGCTGCAACTTAGTATATATTCCTCAATACCATCAAATAATTCTTCAGTAACAATTTGCAGCATACTTGCCACAGCAGAAACACAGTAAAACGCTCTCACATCAACTTCCCCATCCAATTGAACTTTGAAACCACCAGTCTCGAAGTCTCTTAATTGTTTGAAAAACTGATACATTTTTAATCTATCTATCTTAAGCAAAGCTTCAGTATCTCCTGTTATAATTATTGATGAAACTGCTAAATAGGTAGAAACTAAGTTAGGTATATGACTAAAATTTCCCCCAAATCCACCAGAAAGGTTTTGAAATTTTAATATAGTTTCTATAATTTCAAAAGAATCTTCAAAAAGATGAATTTGTTCGGTATTTAAACTAGATGCCTCATTTTTAGAGTGATCTTCTGAATCAAATGATAATTTATTGTAGTCATTTAACAACAGTTCTTCCGAATGAATACTCCAATATATCATCAATATCCTGGTTGATTCGCCCTCAATACTACTTTCAGGATATTTTAATTTTCTCATTCTCCTTACAAACCTGAGATGCTCGTTCTTCTTCAAGAGTTTTCCATGAATATTCGTAAATTTGTCGTGGCATTCAGACGAATCATCGAAAAACGAACTTTCAATAAAGTTTTTGTAACAACCTTGGGTATTCTCTTTTGACTTTATCCAGTCTTCGAAGGTCCGTCCTTCTTTGTATTCATTCATCCCCAACTCATACCAAGGGTAAATCCCAAAATTTGTTAAAAAGAGCTCAAAGTTCATAGTCCCACTTTAATTGTTGCATTGAGAAATAAGACGAATATGGCTGCTAAAATAAAGTTCTAAACCTACAAATTTTGGGAAAACAGAGTATAAGTAAGGAAGTAGATATGAATGAGAAACCGATCTTATAATTAAAAACTATTGAAAGACTATTATATCTAATCTAAAGTTAAATAATATCTAACTTAAATAGTTTCATTTGTGAATAATGGAATTGAATAATTTACCGCTAATCGTGTTTACCCCGCTTGAGGCAATACGTGTTATTTGGATTTAGATCAACATTGGGGGAAAATATAGTTATTATCAAATAACATGTATTTAGGCTAATAAAAAAAATTGTGTGTAATTAATATTAAATATAGGGTAAGTATTTTTTCTGTAAAAATTCTGTGATCGCGAATAACTACGCTAACGTAATATCTATCAAAGCCAAAGCTTTGTATCCAACGTTTATGTAAATTAATTAATTAAGTCATGGATAGCCAATCAAACACTACGAACCAAACGGTGAGTTTACTCTAGTTATTTCGACTACAAATACTCTATTCCCAGGCATATACTATGGTTAATGACTATGGAAGGCAAGCTGCAACCACGATTCAAAATTGTGGTAATCAATTGTTGGGCAGTGGAAGAGATTATCTGCAAAATTCCCACTTTATAGGAGAAGGGCCCAAACCATTAAGAGCATTGTGTTTTGTTGGTGGCATTTTCCTTTCTCTTGCTTCACTACTTGGAATCTTTAGTGTAAGTCAATTATTTTTATCCCCAGGAAGCTATTTGTTTGAAGCTGTCTTGTTTGGACTTGGTATTGTAGTAATGATTGTCGAATCAAAAGATATTGAGAAGTTGAAACCCTTCAGAGACTTTTGTCTGGAATGGGCAAAATTTCTGACGGTTCCAGCAGGTAAGGGCACCCTTTACTTGCTCTCTGGTGTATTGGCTATGTCTATCTTTAGAATAAATTTTTTGGAGTTGTTTGCAGGCACTTACATGACATTCTTGGGAGTAATTTGTATCATGGTCCAGTTTGGCTGCAGAAATCAACTTCAGGCAGCTGGTATTTCAATAGATTCAACTAGTTCTTTTTCTAGGGAAAATACGAATGAAAGATTTAACAGACTAGCCTAAATGAAAACATTAGAAGATATATAATATTTAAGTCACAATATTAATATAACATCTCGAACAATTGCTAAATGTTGTATTCCAATTCAATTAAACTCGATTTTTGTAAGGATCTTGGATTCCATATAGAAACATTGATAAATAGGGAGTTAGAACTGAGCTGAAAGTTGTTCAGCGATTCGCCATTGTAAATTCTTTAATCTTGATGAATATATTTGATCAGTACCAATTTGTGAGGTTTACAAATGGATTTAGTTGTGTAAAACTCTTTAGAACAGAGACTTAGACAAAATTCATTGATTAGTAGTAAATTATGTAAACTTAATGGTTAAAGTTCCGAAATTCTTAAACAGTTTTTAATGTTTTAGATCAACTATATATTCATAGATAACATGGGAGTTAATTTGGTTGTTTAAAAACGCCATAATACCCTGCAACTCAGATTATTTGTAACTAGACGATGGCTCATGCTGCATAAAAATAGTCTTTCTTTGTCCAAAAAAAAAAATTCCCCTTTAGAATACAATTTTTTTTTCTACTGAGATAATTAGGCGCTAGTTTATCTCTGACTTTATTTTTAAAATTTGACGAGTTCGTAATAAAAATATTTTATTAAAATACATTCTTTGAGAAAAACGTTGTGAAGAATATATTTGCCAGTATTACAACTTAAAAATAAAAGTTGACCCAACACTATGTTTGGAGTAATTACCATTGAAGACCAAATTAATGTTTTCCCAAATGAATTAAATAACTTCTCTGAAATATGTTTAAAGAGTCTGCAAAAAAATAGAAGCCCAAAAATAGATGACCCCCTGGTCATTCTGAGGAACCGAATAAATGATAAGTACCTAAATAAAGTCGTTAAAAATGTAGGGTTAATGGTCCATTTCGTAGGATTTGACTGTGTTGATCATGCAGACATCGATGATGAGGGAGGCTTAATATTTTGTGTCACATTTAAAATGATATCATTTAAACCATATATTGGGGAAGTCATCGAGGGAGTAGTTATTGATTCAGATTCAACAGGGTTAACAGTTAGCCTCGGATTTTTTAATGACATTAAAATCCCATGTAATGATCTAAGGGAGCCCAAATCAATTGATTCTAACACAAAAATATGGTCGTGGGACTATGAAAATCACAAATTGTGTTATTTTATTGACTTTAGAATAAGATTCAAGGTTTCAAGCATTGTATTTAACGACCAAGTTTACGACAACTGTCTCCCATCGATGGTAATTGTTGGAAATGTTCAAAATGATGGGCTCGGGATGATCTCTTGGTGGAGTTAATTTATTGATCATAGTTTCTCTATAGCTATAAAATATTATCCGCGGTAAAATATGTGGCTACGCGCTTTGCGGATTATTATAATTTATTTTCTTGCCACTATAAAATGGATTCTGGTGAACTGTTGGAAAATGTTCTATCAAGAATACAGTTACTTCCATGGAAGGAACAACACGACATTGAATTGCTACTTAAGGTATTACGGCGTTATGAAATAGATAATAGAGTATTAAGGCCATTTGACAAAGTTTACATTGATGAAAGTAATTATTTTGTAGTGTTGTTTTGTGACCCAGTAGAAGGAGGTGCACTGTCAGAATCTACTCAAGTTTTTGCAAACGGTAAACCATTAATACCCCTACGAAAGGTGCACTTTTTGGCACTGCCACCATTTAATGCTGCGCTTTCACCCCTTGCTCAAAAGGTTTCTACAATTAGACTCAATAGAATGTTCCAAGATCAGAGAGAATTTGATAGGGAAATTGAAGTTTCCAGCTCTGAGGTTGAAAATTTATGTGGAAGTGATCAGCTCTGTAAACTCTACATTGAGCCATACTTTCAGAAAAAAAAGAGAGAGCCTGTATATGTTGGAAGAAAAATGGAAATAGACGGAATACTTTTTCTTGTATGGGCGTGTGAACCGTCTCAAATTGGTGTTGTTGATCGAAATACTGAAATTTACATTAACTGGGATTGTTTTGGTGAATTTAAAAGAATTCATGTAATGCCTTTTTCAGATACTCTGCCTCAAACATATTCTTTTGATATTTTTCAGGACTATCTCAAACCTTTTTTGTCGAGGTATACTTTTCATCCCTTTTCGGAAGGTGAAAGCTTTACATACAATGGTGTTCAATTTAAAATAATTGCAACGGACCCTGCTGGAGTTAAAGCTCGAATAGGTGATAACACAACGATTTATTGCCAAGGTAGTCTAACACCGTCGATAGTTGATCTTCTACCAGTTCACTTATTAGAAAGTATAATACGTCTACCTCCAAGAAGCAGGCCATTTTCAATTCTACAGGCTCTTGCACACCTCCCTCCATCAGATGTCGACCGAATATTTGGTTCTGCTGACTCGAATAATAATCGAGGAATAAATAATGAAATTGTAAGTAAAATAACGCAAAAATCATATTATTATGAAGGGAATGAAACAGGTAGTTCGGATGATGCTCCACTCTGCACAGTTTGCCTATCCGAAGTGAATGAAGGAGAGCTTGTGGTTAGATTGGATTGCCAACATATCTTTCACCATCAGTGCATTAAGGAATGGTTCAAGATGTCTGTAATTTGTCCACTTTGTAAAGTAGATGTTAGGGGTAATAGTAGTTAACCTGTTATTATTTGTAGACTTTGATAAGAAATGTCAAAATTTTATTTTAGAATCAATTGATACTCTATACAAATAGATCGTAATCATTTATTGTAAAATTTCTTAATATCTTGTTCATTATTTCATCTATTTCCATCTCTGTAAGTTTTCTAAAACACGCGTCGGTTGTTCCATGCAATGGTTGATTAGAAGTTGAATGCTTACTTGGACTGTTAAAAGATATAACAATATCAGCATTCTTTGATACAATCCTTAAAACTAGCAAGTACAAGTTCAACTCTTCTCTATGCACTCCTTCTGGATATCTCTTATCTAAAGTCTGTATTCCAATACATTTTGAAATATGTAAATCATTTGAGTACACAGATAATGGCTCCGAGTACATTATTTTTGTATTTAATGAATTGTTAAATTCAGAAATATCATTAAAATAATATTCTGCAACGTTGTTTCCATATCCAACAGTATAGATAGGATCCAAAATTTCAACAATAATACTACATTCTGAAAATTTATCAACAAAAACTTCTTGATGATCAGGAATCACTCTCACATTACTAACATCATCAAATTCTTTTGGAATATCCAATGTTATTGCTCCACCATAAAGCTTTCTGTTTGTATACTCCATTATTAACAGTATATTTAAAAACGTGTTAATTTGCCGCAAATTCTCAATGTAAAATAAACTAAAAAACACCCATCTATTCAACTTGAATGTCTTTGATCCTCTCAAGTTCTTCATCTTCATCATCTGAAAGGAACACAGTTTCACCTGGATTCCAAATATGCAAATAGTTATTTTCGCTTATGCTTGCAAAGGTCGTTGTTTGCAAATTGTTCATCATGCAACACAAATCGATTACTGGAGAAGTATGTCCACTATGAGTAAAAATTAGTTCTGGTACTCCATCTTCAGCTTCATCTGGTCTCTGTTCCATCCCTATTTTTGATAAATCCCAAATCTATTAAAAAAAAAATTGCATTAGGACTAATTATTATCTATTTGATTTAAACTTACCGAAACAGTAGAATCTGAAGAAGCAGATGCCAATAATGACTCACTTTCTAATAAGAAATTTAAACGATTTATTTGTCCAGAATGCCCATTTAGTGAATGAAGCCGTCTATTCATCTTTCTAACATCGAATAATGCGATCACGGGGTCGCTCCCTCCAACAGCAATTATGTTAGTGCGGAATGGGTTGAATTCTATCGTGTTAAGGCTATTGATATTTGCACTACAATGGCCAATACAAGAGTATCCAACTGATTTTTTAAAACCAGTGTTAATTCTGCTATTATCGGAGTAAATTTCTTTCATTGTAGTAGCAATACAGTATGGTGAAGCTGATTCACGTATATCCCACATCATTATTAACCCATCATCACCAACTGAGATCATAATATTTTCATTTGAAGGGTTCCATGAGATATCTTGAACGCTTTTTTCATGGCCTCTGAACTTAAGAATTGGATTTAATTTTCTTTCAGAATTATTTGGCCTACTTTGAATATCCCATAAGCAAATAACTGTATCATCTGAGCCGCTTGCTAGGTAAGATTCATTGATTTTGTTCCAACTCAAAGCCCATCCTTCTAACTCATGTCCACATAAAATTAATGATGGGGTTTTTTCAGTTTTAATAGTTCCTTCAACCATTTTTTTATCTATCAAACTATTTAAATCGTAAATATTAACATCTCCTGCTACTGTTTTCGATGCAATAATATTTTTATTTACTGGAGAATGGATAGCTCTATTTACTTCACCGTCGTGTGGAATTAAAATTCTCTGGCTAAATTTATTTGTGTCGCTTTCTTTGCATGATATTGAAAAACCTGCATAATCACTGTGAGAATCAAATTTTCTATTTTCTTCAGGAATAGAACTATTTGGTAATAATACATCTAATATAATAATGTAATCTTGGTCCATTCCGGATGTATGAGTTCCTGTCAACAAAGAATACTTTGTCGTGTCGTTAATACTTTCATCAGAATAAAAACTTTCGTTATAAGAAAAATTATTTTCACACATCCACTGTACAGATAATGATGGCCATTCCAATATATGAGTCATTATATTCTCATAGAGCAATGATGCGTTTTCCTTCCAAATTTTGTATTTTTCTAATTTATTAGACTCTTCTGATTTTAAAATATTTTTTGTTTGGTCAAAAAAAGTAAAGTTCATCATTGATGAAAAGGGTGAGTTCTGAGCTAATGAATTCATAATATTATAAGTTTTATTTCAATTTCTGGTATCCCTTACTAATGTTTGTTAAGACTAATTAAATCATTAATTCAAGAATCAGGTTACACCAATTTACAAATTAGTAAACAAAAAAATATAGCGCTAATAAAAATTATTCGAAACTAATGTTTAATTTTTTTTTAGCAAATAATTATTCCCGAATAGTATCAGATTCTATATTGTCGATATCAATCGCAATTCCTTCAGTAATCGCATAAAATAGTCTTTCCTTAAGTATTTCTTTAGATGAATACATAGGTAATTCTAACTGGAAAAAACATGTGTGGCTAGTAGGAAGTAAATGATCTTCTCTGTTTCCGTAAAAAACTCTATTTCCAGATTCGATATTCAAAGTTGACTGTTCGTTTAGATATGTTTGATTAACTAGTTCGATGCCCAATTGCTCATTATCATTACTTTCTAATCCACATTCTATACCATTAAACTCTTCAGAACGTGAATTTGCTGAGTTTCTGCGAATACCATCACTACTCCCTGATTCGTTTTGTTCTAAAATTCGGTTACTTTCAACGATATTGGTTTCATTAACATAAATTGAGTTCTCGAAAGCGTATACTTTGACGATTTCCATATTATTTTCCCATTGAGCCCCTTTACTTGGAAGCCTGCTTCTTCCCCATACAAACCTAAGGAACATTTGTTGTTGTAATACAGACATCTCTGATATTATATCCCAAAACCAACTAATAATTTGATCACTTGAAGAATACCCAGTATACTTTGTATGTTGCTTCAATAATTCAACATCTATGGAGGGATTTCCACAAACCAATTTTTCTAGTTCTTCATGAGTTTGCAATTCTAAAACATTTTCGGGAATGATTTCCGTAATTCCTTTCCTAATGCAATTTGTTGCATGTAAAAACTCCCTCTCAAGTTTATATTCTTTGAATAATCTACAATATTCTCCAATTTCATCAATTCCTACAGGTAATCTTTCTCCACCCAATTTTAACTCTACGACTTCACCATTAATATTTAAACAAGACCAGCACAAGTCAAGGGAATAAAACTCTTCCAGTATCAATTTATTGTTACTTTTATCATCAAAATTGGCTTTTTCCCAATCATATTCTATTTGTTTTAACTTTTCATAAAATCTTACTGAGTACCAATCAATTTGCTTCAAGTCACGTAAGGATATACTCTCCCCCAATATTATTTTCCAGATAATTTTTGGTATGTCCAAGTTTAATGGAATTTGAGTTCTAATAGATATACCCATTAGCCTTCCAATAAACCTATATAATGAATCATAAATCAACTCTATACAACCTGCGGAGTTTCTAAATTTATCTTCGCTTTTTTCACTTATATTTTGTAAATTGGTATATATATCTTTCTCAATATCAAAATTATCATAGACAATAAATTTTTTCCCAAGACTTGGATTTGGAACAAAGAAATACTGATTTTCTCCACACCCATATGAATTTGGGCAAACAACAAATAAAGGTAATCTATTACTTTGAAGCTCTAGACAAATGTGGCTTAATAAATCTCGATATATTCCACCTGCGTCTATTCCACCCTCACCCTCATAAATAACATACCAAGGTCTTTTCTTGCAACGAAATCTGTAAACAGGCACTTTTTCAAGTATAGTATAGAGTTGACCAAATACGCTATTTAGTACAAACTGATCACCTAAATTTTTGGTTTCATTTTTTAACATAGATTTGGTTCTATTAATAGCTACTCTGATTTTACCATCTGCCTTTGGATCTTCTGTTATTGCAAGACATAAGTTAATTAACACTTCTTTTAATGATAAACTCAAATACTTTCTGATCATTTCTAACCAAGAGTATTTGAAAATGCTTGGTCTAGGTGAAAATACATCAATAAAACTAAAAATTGAAACAAACAACACTGAAATCCTTTTTAAAATGGTATTGCAAATGCTTAAAAAGTTAAGAACTGTAACTTTACAATTTGTGCAGCCAACTTTTTCTTCAAATAAAGACTGATTTATATCACTAGGTATTGGAAAAATTTTTTCCGGAAGTTTTATTTCATTGAATAAAAAAACGATGTAATCATTAACTGAAGGTATGATTTCTTGCATTTCTTGATTTGATATTTTCTTATATTGCAAACTTTTAAATTCTTCTAATTCTAGATTTTCTTCATCTTCAATATATTCGTTACATTTGGCTTTTCGAAATAATATATTATTATTTTTATTATCAAAACTTCCATAGTTTTCAAATTTTTTTATTATCTGATGGCTAGAGTAAATATCATGCAAAATATTAAGCAAGTTCAAATTTGTACTATTTGAATATGAGTCATAATTCGAAGTTCTGGATTCTTTTTCAAATACGGTATCTAACTCTTTTTTCAATTTACTTAGTGCCAAATCACTAAATATATTGTTTAGATACTTTAATCTAAACACAAATACTGAATCTTCAAAATTATGGTTAGAAATGATAATTATTGTGTCAATTGGAGAATCTTTGCATGAACATAAGTCCGAATTATTCTTTTTATTTTGGTTATTACTTTTAACAGACTCCTTGTAATCAATAATTTCAAGTTTTTCCAATACAATAATATCCAATTTGGCACGTATTTTGTTTCTATTAAGAACATTACTGTGCATTCTAATTTTTGGAATCGATATATTTAACATTTCTTCCTTTCTAATTTCCTCAGTTTTAATTTTTTTGTCTAAATTAATTTTAATGTTGTTATATTCGTGCTGCCAAATATTATTAAAGTGAGAAACAATTGGTTTATTTTTCCAGTTATTAGAAAATACATGAAGGAGACTTTTTGAGTACTTAGAGGCATTGCGAAACTTTGAATATGATGATATTTTTGGAATTTTGGAATTTGAATGATTGTCTAATAAATTTTCTGAGCTATTTACTTCATCTAATTGATCTTGAAACAATATTTCATCAAATGTATTTTTAATATAATCATGAATGTTTTCTAATTCCCATTCAAAGTGTATTACAATAAAGTTTGCTATTAGTCCAAATAAAGGCTCACCCGTTGCCAAATTTAAATACTTGTTATTCGGCCCTAAGTACCTTAATAATTTAGATGAACCAATATCTTGACCCAAAAATATATTGGGCACAGAGTTTACAAATGAGTCATCTTCAAAACTTTGAAAAACATTCTTATCAGGCAAATTATCTGTTCTTAAATAATCAGGATAACCAATAATCCAAGGTAAATCGCCACCTAATAAGGGAAGATTTGCTGACGGAATATTTTTGCTTTCGTCAAATAGTCCATTAATATATAGTTTTATAGTATAACTATCATCTAACCTAGAATTAGGAAATTTTTCAGTTTTATTTGAACCAATAGTAACTGTAATATGATTCCACTGATCAAAAATAATTTTTCGATTTGATATTATAATTGTAGTTTGATATTCAATGGCCGATGACTTATTCTGAATAAACGATGAAAATGAGGTTCCAACAACTTGGTTATGGTAATGAGTTGTTTGGTTATTCAGTATTAAATTCAATGGATAATTTTTATTTGGTGAGTTAATTATTATACCTAAGTTCCCCAATTCTGTTATCCAGAATGAAATGGTTGAAACCGTAACTCCCCTATATGCAATTAATTTCCATTTCTTATCTCCATTTAAATATTCGGAAATATTTTTTTCAGATAAGTTGTATGTTTCAAAATCCAAATTCATCTTACTGGTAAAATTCTCAAATTTTTTATTATTTGAAATTGAAAATGTATATTGATATTTATCGAGATTAATCGGAAATAACCAAAATGAAATGCTACATGGAGCATTCATTTCTCTTAAATTTGAAACAAATGCATTTGAATCACAAATTAATTCATTTTCGATATATTTTTTACGATTATTTACTGGGTAATTAAAATTGTTATCAATTACTTCCAAATCACAAATTGGAATTGTACCAATAAAAACTGGCCAATATTTCATTTGGAAAATACCCTCCGAATATGATTTAACTAGAAACTCTCTCATTAATTGAATTGATGGAGATTCAAATAGTGAATTGTAATTCGCTTTCTTGTTATTGTGTTTCAAATAAGTTGCCATGTTTTCTTTTTTGATGGTCTTGAACCAATATATATTCAGGTATTCTAAATAATTTCGAGGATCAAAACTATCATCTTCATCTTTTACTTTGGACGAAATAAATTTATCCTCCCAACCTTCCATCCAGGGACTCAAATTTTTTGGTAGGAACTCTGAGTCACCCTTGTTTTTTAAATGAGCCAATATATCCCATAATAGTTTAACTCTATCCTGAGTATCATTCAATGCTGAATTTGTCAAAACAACCAAATCATTGTAATTATAAGTAATGCTTCTTGAAACAATAACTTCATTTGTAAGAACTCTTTTTAAAGAATAATTTATTAATATTGGGTTATTCAATATTTTCAATGGCTCACTATAATGACTTAATTGATTTTTTAAAGTTTGGTTGTTGAGCCAAAGCAATCTATTTTTAGCTAATAATAACAATTTACCATCCATATATTCCAAGATCTCTTTAATGAATTGTGTAATATCAATTGAAAAATTAGAATTTTGGTTAAAATTCATTGAATCAAAAGGAATAATTATTATTGCACTTGTTATCGATATTTGTATTTCACTAAGTTTCTCGACAAGTACCAATGGCGTATTAGGTTCATAAAAACAAGAGTGATTATTCCATTTCTCCAATTCTGGTAAATAATAACTATCAGTTTCCGTATTTCGATATAAATCTTTTAAAGACAAATTTTTATTCTTGGTTTCATATTTTTCTGAATACATGTGAGTTAATGAAGAAATAAATGCTGGAATCGAAATATTAGATGTTGAAATAATATTGTACCAAGGACAAAAACTGAAAATAGATTTTTTTCCTGAAATTAACATCTTATGTGTTTTCAAGTCACCATTCAGAAAAAAAGTTGAAATTGATTCTTTATGATTCATATTGAGTTTTTTTAAAGGAAAAATTTTTCTTTCAGGAAATTTAGATATAGAATTCTTATTTGTGTAATAATATTTAATATTTGAGTCATGTAATACCAAATTTAACTCTGCTATGAGATTATGCTGTATTTGTAATTCCAGAGATAATTTTGAGTAGGGAATATTTATTAGATCTGTAAAATATGACTCTTGAGAAAATTTCTTATTATCTGAAAAAATCACATCGTAGTTCTTATAGAAAAATGATAAATAGTGCAATTGCAGCATTATACAATATTTAGTGTTAACATTCAGACCATGGTTTGTCACAATATGTAATTGATCCATTTGCATAGAATAAACTATGTTGGAGAATACGTTTAAGTAGTCCAATATAACGATACTCTTTTGAGAAATACGATTTGTAACTCTTGGATACTTAATAAAAATACTTATCAGTTGTTGAACTATATGAACAAAAGAATTTTGTATCGGAATAAATTTTTGATTTCTAGGAATAAACGACGACAGTTGTTCTTCTGTTATCGGCCTGTCTTTATAAATATGTTTGGGAATATGTATTTCAAACAGAATTGACAACAAAATCTCCACAATTTTTTCGACATGAGATAAATCAATATTATTACCTATATTTACGAAAATCATATCCAATAAAACATATGAAAAATGAATATTTTTATTTTCAAGAATTTTGAAATCATTTAATGAATATTTTATTGGAATAAAATGAGCTTTAATGCCATACATTTCGTTATTTTGAGAAGTTACCAAATGAACACTAAAAAAATTTGTTGGTATAAACAGTTTATATCCACTTAGTCCTCTACCATTACTTTTCAACAAGGTGATTTTTCTTCCATTTATGCTGTCATTGATAATAATTTTTAAGAATGAAAAATTGTCGAAATTGATTTCGCAAAGTGGATCAAATATTGCAAAAAAAAAGTTACAATCTTTAAATGAAATATCATATTTTTTATCCATCACACACTCGTATGGATGGCTAGTTTCGATTGTGATTATTGGAACTTCGGAATAAACACTGGTTCTAATAGTTGAAATATACTCATTAAGTATAATGTCAGTAAATTTGATAGTTTCTTTTTCTGAAATCGCCTTTAAAAATCTAATATAGCCATTCATGTATTCTTCATTAATTAAATTTTTATAATATATAGAAAATACCTCTTTTTCTTCTTTTGAATACATAGGGACAAAATAATCTAAAATTTTAGGGCCTTTACGACCAAAAACCAGTTTAAAAATTTGGAGAATATTGTGAAGTGAATTTAAATTTTTATTATCGCACTGAGTAATTAAATATTTTTTAAATTGATTTAAACTCCCTGATATTGTATCTCTAGTCGATTTTATACATTTAAGAAACTCTGATTTAAAGTATAAATGAAATATTTGAGTTAATTTGCCACAAAAAAATGTTTTACCACTTCGGTTATGAATTTCAGATAAAAAAATATGTTCAATATATTCTTGGAGTGACTTAACGTTTATTCGTGAACTAATGTTCATCTGTTCATCGCTAAGTCTAATATTATTGTTTGTTTCAATCAAGAAATTTGATGGCAAATTTACGAGATAATAAACAAGAGAATAATAATCAAAAAACTGTACTAATGTTGAATTTGTAACTTTATTGCATAACCAAACAACCCCTGTCAATTTAGAAAGTCTTCTTAAAAAATATATAACTCTACACTTTGGTGAACTATTTAAATCAATAATAGTACCAAGTTTATTTATTAAAGTGTTTTCTGCACCAGAATATTGGTTTTTTTCAACACCACTTATCCAATACTTAATATCTGGTACAATGCCAACAATCGTTCCAGGGAAAAAAGAAATATGTTTGGCTTCCTCAGAAAGAGCTGTTCCTGAAAAAGGCTTTTTCTCAAATTTTTGAAATGATAAATTCGATAATTCACGTTCTAGATCTTCGCTTAGAGAAATTTCTTTTTCATATCCTTGAAAATCATATTTTGAATTAAACCAAATATTACTTGAAAGAGAATTGTATATATTTTCGGTATTTGAATAACTACTGTTTAAAATACAACTTTTAAACCTATGAAGATTCTTTTCTCCAAATGGGCCAAATATAAGAAAGTACTTTGAAATGTCAAAATATATATTTTTATTTGAATGTAAATCTCCATAAGATTTACTGAAAATCAAATTATTAATTAACCCAGAATATTCACTAGAGTTACATTTGGTACCTTCGTTTCTTAAACTAATTAATCTATCAATTAAATGCTCTTCTCCAAAATGATCTGCATAATTAATGTATTCAATCTCATCCATATGAGTTTTTTTCCCACCATTTATTGATCCTGGATGAGTAACAGATTTATTTTGCATCGGTGTTGAACCTAAATCCTGAAATCCATGTTCTAAAAGCCAATTTGCTGATAAGTCTAAATTATCTTCGCAGTTTTCTAATGCATGAATATAAACAGAAAATGGAATATTAATACTGCTCATTATTTCTTGCAACTCAAATGCCATAGTTATTCTATTTAGTTCCGCTTCATTCAATTCATTATATTTATGATATCCGTAATTATCAAGTTTAAATTTTCCAAAATTATCTCTAAAAATTGATAATTCTTCATTTTCCAAAGAAAGTATATTGTTAAAACTGAGCTTGTTAATATATTCATACTTGAACAATTCCTGACCAAAATTTCCATTAACAATTAAATATTTGTTTTCATGGAAAATGGGGTTAGATTTTTCAATCCAAATAGCAGGTTTGAAATGCCCCATTACGTTATCAAATGCTGAATAGCAATCCTTATTGTTGCAGGGAGATTTCTCCATTGCAGTGTGTTTTTTATTCTCACAACGAATTATTCTACCATTTTTTGTAAAAAATGCAATTTGATTTAAAAAATCAATCCCACAACCAACAGTATCACCAATGTTAAAGTCTTCAACTCTAAATTTACTAAATTCGTTTTCATTACAACTGTGTATAAGTTCTCCGGTGCTTCTGTATGCATAACTACCGAATGATCCGGAAATTCCCTTTTGGCAACCATCTCTATATAGTCCAATGCTTATGTAGAATGGTAAATCAAATTCATTCAAAAAAGAAGAATTTGCTTTGAATTTAATATTTGTTGGCAGTTCATTACTAAACTCAAAATTAAATTCAAAATAATAAAAAGAAAGTGACGTTGGAATACCAAAATTTGCAGTAAACATAGCTGATTTTCCTATATCTTGAGGTAGATGATCATTTATATTGCAAATTAACGTACTTTCACCTTTGTAATAAAAGCAGTTGTTTTTAATTTCCCATTTTGTTGGAAGATTTAACATAATGTTTCTATAAGGTGAATTACACAATATATCAGCTTGTGTAGATTTTTTAAATATCGGATAGTAACTTGAAACTGCAAATTTATCTTTATGAGAAATATGTTGAATAAACCTTCTACTTAAAATTATCGAAATAATGTTTGATAGTCCATTAGCTTTTTCATTAATTGTTGGGATATTAATCGTCCCAATTTTAAATAAAATATTTAATAATTCAATTAACTGGTCAATATTTCGACCATTATTGAATTCCAACATAGAAATATAGTTGTTTTTAAGTAAAATGTTAATAAAACTCATACTCATCGAAATAATTTGTAAACCAATTAACTTTTTTTTCTCAAAATTTGAAATGATGGCAGTGTGTTCCTCAACTATTATCGAAAAATATTTTTCCAAGTTATCAATATTTGCATTTAAATTTGATAAATGCTGAAATACTATTTCTAATATTCTTATTATTATTTTTATTATGTCAAAATTTAATTTTGAAATCATAAATTTCACAGGGAAAGATATATTTCCTTTGTCCAATATGTTTATGGATTTATAAGAATATTTTTTTACTTGGGTTGATTTACATTCATTAATTAGAATAGAGTACTCTTTTCTAAGTGGATTATTAGAAATTAGCATCCCCACTTTCCAGATTTTATTCTTATTTTCAATTAGTTGGTTTTCTTGAAAATACACTAATTTTCCAATATAAGTTTCAAAGTCATATTCTTCTATTATTACGGCAAGCGTCCCAATACATTTGTAAACTTCTTCCCATCTTATATGTTCATATACACTGAACAATGAATCCAACAAAGAAGGAATTTTATATATTTGCTCACATAATAATTTAATGAATCCGTAGTGTACTAGTTCTGAATTTCTTTTAAGTTTGATTTTTTGCTTAATCTTTTCACTTTTTTCTGAATATAATACAATATATCTCAGTAAAAATATGAAATATTTATAAAAATCGTCATGATTACTTATCAGTCTATTAGTATTGTCAAACGAATGCCCCTGTTGATTATTTAATAAATCTACTGTTCCACTTTCTGAAGAATTAATCAATAATGCCGGTGGATAAATTTTAGATTCTTTCGTTTCAAAGCTATCAAATAGAATCAATGATTGACCTATTTTTTCCAAATAACCTTCAAAGCACTCAATATAGTTCAATTTACCGGTTATTTCAGCCCTAAATAGGTACTGTTTAGGAATTAGTCGATCTGAGTATTGTTTCAAGAAATCTTCTGTTGAAAATAATGGAAGAAATTTCCATAAAAATTTGATACAGTAAAGATGTAATATTTGATTACTCGATTCTAAGGCTCTGCAAATTATGTTCGAGAGAATACTTTCCCGAATATAAAAAAACTGTATAAATAAATCGTCAATTACTTTACAAGATTGTATTGAAGAGTTAACGTTATTTCTTCGATTAAAAATATATTTTATATTTTCCAAATATATTCTTTGTTCTATTTTTGTAATTTCAATATTTTTCAGTGAGTTATTCATCTTGGATGTTAGTATCAATATATTTCCCATAAAGTAAATCTCGCAAATTTTCCAAAGTTCCCTAACTGTTAATTGACCTTTAAATTGACCAGAAATAGAAATAGAGTGGGAAAGCCCAACGAATGAAGAAAATATTAAAGATAGCCTAATTACTGAGTTCTCTAGTACAGAACATTTTAAACATATTATTGAATAAATTAGAAATATTGGATAAGGAGTAATTGAGACTGAGGGTATACACTCACTTCCTAATTCGCAATTCTTGTTACAACCAGTTAATAAGTTTAAGATCTTAGCTGGAAAATTGGTTTTAAAAAAATCATTACTGTCCGTTTTTTTTAATGAAAAATATGCAAACAAACTCATTTTTAATATCTCAATTCCTATTGGAAATACTCTTTTACCATTTATTAATGAGTACAAGAATTTGTAAAAGGCATCTTTCACCTGTTTTTGTATTTTTTTACCACATCCCACCAAATAATCAGAATAATGAACCTCCAGAGTATGATTAGTTTTGTTTTTATTGTAGTATTCATTGGGGAAATAGAAATGATTGGGTGTACAAAATCCCAGTGTTTCCATTTCACTGTTATTATTTATTGGAAAAAGGTATGGTGTCTCCTTCCCCATGGATCTTATACTTTTTATTAATGAAGTAAGAAGAAATTCATTGCTGTTCTCGTCATTTATTAATGATTCCAATATTCGGAATGCCTCGAAACGTGAAATTGCACGAATTCTTCTAATGCCTAACACAATATTAATTCCAATAAGGTTTTCTACACACTCGTTATAATCAGTATTTTTTAAGTGGTTTGGTGTTTTAATTAAATTGTCAATTCCATTACAAATATTTTTAATTACTTGATCAATATTTAATTGTTCCAATTCAGTATCATCTAAAATACTTAAATTGATATCTTCGTTTGAATCTTGATTGTTTTCAATATTTATTGAAGTTTCCGGCATTTCTTCCTGGTATTTATTTAAAAATGATTCATATTTATTAAAACCAATAATTGATTCTAACACAAGAGAAATATTTCTATTAGAGTAATATATATATTTAGAACCATTAATATCAAAATGGTTACATAAATCTTTTTGAAATAAAGCTTGCATACACTCTTTTTTTCCATTTGAATTATAGTTATTTTTTAAGCAAATTCCAGGGTGTTTGCTTCCAGAAAAAGGTATTAAATTTAGAATTAAGGAGATTTTATAATTTATAGACTTGAGCAAAAAATCAAAACTGGTTTCAAAACCATTAATAGATTCATCTATTTTGTTTTCCTCGGATTGATGAATTTCGGCCTTATGCCTCTCTAAAATCATCCAAGAACGAAATTTTCTACCTAAAGTCCAAATATTTAAAAGAGGTCGGCAGAATTCCTGTTTCAAAACAAATTTTATTGTAAATTCAAATAAAAGATGGTTGTTAATATGTTGAATATTATTTTCCAATGGACTTTCCGAAATTAATTGAATTATTTTTTTTAAATCAACACCTAAGTTCATTAGATTCTCACACAATTGAAAGATGTTGAAATAAAGTCCTAGATGATGTAAATAACAACATATATACCCTCTTACAACCGATGAAAGTTTTTCATTGCCAATCTTCGCAGCTATAAAATCATTTCTTACAACATTGATGAAGGTTTTGTCGTTTATTAATTCAGTTGATAGAGCTAAGTGATTTTTTCTGGCATTGTAGTGAATAATGGATGAAAAACTTAAAATAAAGTTGGCTATGAGACCCCATTGCAAATTATTTATGATTTGATACTCAATATCATCTATATTGGGTAACAATCTATAAAATATATCATTGTTTATTTTTTTGTCCTGAATTATCTTACTGTTCAATTTACAGCCATTTTTGCTATTCTTCGAATAGATTAATTTCTTTGAAAAAGTATTGAAGTCAGTATAAGATATTGAGTTTTTTTTTCCAATATTCATAAGTTTTTCGTCACTTTTTTTTGATTTAGAAAAAAAATATGAATATTCTTGGCCGTTGCTATTGTAGTCAACAGACAATCCACCAACAAAAAGTAGAGAATCCAATATTCCAGCGAAGTCGTTTTCAATTCTACTATTTTTTGGACCACGTAACATAAAACTTAAACTCGATGTAACTGCAGCAACCGAAAAGATAAATACTTCTTTCAAATTACATGTTAATATTTCTCTATGCTGTAATTTTGTTGGATCATCAGATATGTCATGATGTATTTTTTTTTCAATTACTTGAACCCAATAATGGCATTGGAAATAAATTCGAAACCCCCAAAAATTATCACTCATTTGATTTAAGGATCTTAAGGATTTGCGAAAAACAACCAAAAGAGTATTTCCTTCATAAATAATAGGTTTTTTTGGCCATGTATGTTTAGACCCAGAAAGCTTTCCAAACAAAGATTCAGTATATTTTGATCTTAAAAAATTAAAATCATTAATCTCTTTATAACTTATATACTTTTCCCTTGACCCAAAAATTTCCAAAATATCTGTATTTTCTGTAGAGCAGTTATTATCGAATATTATAATTATATGAGAAGCATTATGAACCTCTAATAATTTCCAATAATATTTGTGTTTTTCTAAAACCTCCAATTCTAGCGCTTTATCAAGCTGATTTCGCAAATCAGTTACAATACCAATTGGGGAATGTTTTTCATGGTACTCAACAATGAAGGTATTTCTGGGATTGGAATGAAATTGCATAGGGCCATAACAATATAATTCCTCTCTTATTAAATTAGTGTAATCGAAAGAGTTCATTTCAATAGATAAAAGTGAACAAAATTTCCATAATTGTTGCATTAAATGAATACACTTGCTAACCATCCTCATAATTATTTTAATAATGTATATGTCCTCCTGCGAAAAATATGTTCTCTTTTTAGGATTAATTTCTTGATTTTTTACAGTTTCATTTAAATTTATATAAGATTCAGGGTCATTTGAGCCATATTTTGCTAGAAAATTAACTCCAGTAGTTAAAATCGAAATAATAATCAAACAGGTTTTGATAATACTAAAGAAAATGCCATCTTCAACAAACATATTCTCAAAAATTTTCAATATCAAGTTTTTATTGTCTAAATTAGGATTGATTACTTTATCACTTTCAAATATGCAATAGTTATTTATTAACTTTTCATTTCCACAAACTGATGATAAAATATTGTTTCCGAACTGTAATATTATTTCAATTAAATCTTCTAATAAATAATAATTTTCTTGAGATTCACTAATTAATGAATTGAAAGTTATATTTAATATTAAGGATTTTATTGTTTCAGTTAAGGATAACATAGTATTCTTATCTGTAAAAGTATCTAAGACTTCTTTAGGAAATAAATTATCTACATTTAAAAAAATTTCTGTGCAAGTAGACTCATCAGATAATAATGCTGCTTTATAATAGCTCCAAATATATCCAAGGATACATCTGACGAATATTACAATTTCAGAGTTTGAAGAAACATTTTTTTTATATATTTCATCCAGTGATTTAGGAAATGTTATACAATTTAGAATATGGTTTGAAATACCTTGCTCAAACGGTAAATTTGGTTTTGTTTCTGTATATTCATTGGATAATTTTTTTTTTAAAATAATTTCATTGATTTTCTCACAGGTTTCCAAATTTCCAAAGTTATTTAAAGTTTTTCTAATTAAAAAAAGTACGTCTCCTTCAAGTAAATTGTTATTAGATAATAATTTATTTAGTTCCAAATCGTTGTTTTTGTCATTCAATAATTTAAGCTGAAGTTTTCTAAATGTAATAATAAAATTAGTATAGCATTGTAATCTAATGCCAACATATTCTTCCCAATTAAAATTACCTATGATCGAAAATTCATCATCAACGATGCAATTTAATTTTTTTAAGTACTTGAGAATTTTATTTCTTATATTCGATGTCATTACAAAATTTTTCATCTCTTCAATTCCGGAATTAAATTTACAAAGTGAGTCATCAAACAATATTGGGTTACTCCATATTAATTCATCAACATTCAAAAATAGTTGTTCGCGCTTTCTCCACCAAGCCTCAATTTGATCATAATTTAGACCATAATTATTTTCTACAAAGTATTTTAATATTTCTTTTATGTGGATATTTTCATCCTTTTTTCCAATATTGTTTCCCAGCTGTAAATATAGCTTATCTAACTCGCTAACTTCATTATTTGATTGTTCATAAGTAATTGAATTAATATTATTGCCCATCAAAAAACTGAATGAATATGATTAAATCTGTTTATAAATCTTCCATATGGACGGCTATTACATGCAATTATGTAATGCGGGGACTACTCAAAAATTTACCGCCAAATAATTTGCATTAGATTTTTAATGTTACGAAATTACCATTAATTTTTAATGTTAAATAATTATCTCCCAGATGGTCAAAATTCTAAACCTCTCCGTTTTTCGAAATATTTTGCAACAATATTTCCATTGCGTGTTGAATTGCAGTAAAACAATTATGTGACTTGTCATTTGTGCTTGAAATCATCTTGTCGGGATGCCACTTCATTGCAGCTTTCAAATATGCTTTTCTTATTTCTTGCTCATTTGCAGGTAAATTTACACTTAATCCTAGTAACGCTTTTGCTGCCATAATACTTCCGGGTTGTCCATTAGTTACTTTAGAATTGTTACCCATTCCTGTTTTTAAACCTTTTCTTGGTGTATTCAAGTCACCAGAGACATAATAATTCTTTTTATTGATCTCAAACTTTGGTGTAAAGCAATCTGGATTTGTGTATCTTAAGTGGTTTTTTGATCTAGGAGTTTGGCAAGAAGTACTTCTCGGAGTTGAAGAGGTTAAGTTCAAATGGCTTGACCTACTTTTTATTGGCAGCTCTATTTTTTGATTAAAGTCCGAAAGATTTCTTGGAGTAGTTGGAAGCACATGAGCTTTCGGAGTTTTATTGTTAAAATTTGTACTTTCAAATTGTCTGATATATTTTCTATCGTTTCTATATGGAAAGTTAACTCTTTCCTCAAAAATACATGCATTATGTATATTATCACTCTTTAATTTTACATAAAAGGGCATTGCTTTGCCGTTAAAAAACTTTTTGTGTGTATCTAATAACCCTCTTAAAATAGAGATCAATGGTTTAATTATTGGGTTAATTTCTATTTCGTATATATCTTTCAGTAAAATTGATTCAAGTTTATCCAAATCATCGAGAGTAATTTCAGCCCATTTAATTTCGGGCAAATTAGAAAGTTGAAAACTCGTTTTTATTTCTCTAGAAAGAAAGTGAGCTAAAGTTTTTATTTCTAGTTCTAATAACGACATTCTTGTTCTGGATATAATCAATGGTTCCTCCTTATCACTTATTTTTAAATCCTCCTTTTTTTCTCCCCTTCTATAAATGCGATAAATTTTACTTATCAAATTCATTATCACTTTTGTTATATACAGTAAAATTGATATGTTATCGTGTATAATAAACATATTCGCGAGTATATAATCTTTTCTACATTTTTATTGAATAATTCTGGAATTACTTATAGATTGCATGTATTTTACAATATGCGGGAAATGCATGATAAAACATAAATTTAAAAATTAATAATTACTTATTGCATCTAATCCCAAAATACCTATCGCCGAAGTTACCAACCCCAGGAATAACCTGCATGTTTTCATCAACATTATAGTCAATTGAAGAGATTACTAACTTAATATCTGGAAATTGCGAGAGCACTTTTTCGATTGCTAATTTGGACGAAAGTAGTGCCATACAAATAATATTTTTTTCTTTGACATTATTCTTCATCAACACTTCTATCAAGCAACACAATGATTTACCGGTTCCTAATACTGGGCTCATAACAATTACAACCCTTTCTGAAACATCCTCCGGTAATTTTACATATGCCGCAGAAATTGTGTTGCTACATTCGTTTTCAGAACAATTCTTTAATAGTACTTTTCCTATTCTACATCCTCTGCATACAAATCTAAGCGCATTTTCCATCGCTTCACCGGATCCTATTAAACTAACACCGCAAATAGGAGTGTTGAACGCAATTCCCTTGAGATGAATTCCATTAGGAGTTTTAATTTCTTTATAGTCATAAGGAAGAAGATTAAGAGCATGTTCAAGTACAATTCTGGATATTCTATCAGTGTAGAATACAAAGTCTTCTTTTGATGTATTTACATCTCTTAGAATCGTCATAACGCCTTTTAGTTGTGGAGTTTGAGTGCAAATATGTAAGCTTGGATATTTTGAACTTAATTCATTGTAAAGTTCCAATTCAGTTGGAGATCCAATCAGATTCATGGATAAATTAAGAATATGCAAAAAAAAATATAGCGAATTAAATTATTCAAAACTTTTAAGTTAGTTACTAGATTTTAACGATTTAATAATAAAAAATACCTTGTGAGATAACATTCAATTAAAAATATTAAAAAAAAAAGCTATGGCGCTGTCGTTTTAACTAAATTATTTTTGTATTTAACTCGCAATTAAGTAATTTGATCTATAAAATAAGCTTCCAAATGATAATGACAAAAATTATAACCAATATAGCCAATATGGGTGCGTACTTTTGAATTAGTGCGTGAAATGAAAGTTTTTTCGCAGCTCTAGAAAATTCTAGTGATGCAAATTTTAAATCGTTGGCTTTTCTTTCAACATCATTAAGATTTTCACCTCTAAGTAAAATATCATCTACATTTCTCCTCATTATATTAGTTACCTAAATGATCAAATAGATAAGTGAAATGATCAATAATAAATAATTAACATACCTCAATTAAAGAGTCATTTAGTTTTTGCAATGATTTGTTTGAGTTAGGATCTTTATACTCTGATTTGCACCGTTGTATTATTCGGTCAAACTTTATGAAATAGTAAGGTTTATCTATTGAATTTATTAAGGTGCTAAATTCACTTCTATTTGCAAATTCCCTCCTTAGTTCTTCAATAAATAACCTTTTTATTTCATCAAGAAAAGAAAAAGCTAACTTCTTAGGGTATGACTTTCCCGACAAAGTCATATAAATAATACCATCATCCACAATATAGTGGAAAACATAATTGCCACTATCAATAGAACACTTTTCTACTCCCTTATCATTCCCAATACTCTTCAATATTTGTTTAGCTTGATGCTTATAACTTTGTAGTGACCTATTAGAGCTTAAATCATCCCAAGTCTCAGTAAGAATTAGGCCATCGCTAGCTCTCCCAATGAAAGTTGTTTCGCACATTAGTGATATGCTTTTTTTTGCAATTATTTACTAATCTATTCTATCTTGTAATTTTTTTTTCAACTAATTCCATTTTTTCTTTCAAGTTGTTTCAACCGGCAACATACCCCCTGCTAAAAATAACATAAATCCCCACAATTGCAATTAATGCATTCACCATCAAAGATAATACATACAAATATCATTACATAGGGTTATATAGTGATGGAAGGTTCAAATAGTTGTGTAGATGAAAATGGGAAAACTCCGCACTTTTATTACCAACGTTCTGTTATACTTGAACAAGAATTGAAAGAGTTTAAGTTAAAATATATTAGGACTCAAAATGAAAGTAATAGAAATAGGGAAATTCTTCAAAACCAAATTGAAAAATTACTTACTATTAACAGGAAACAGGAGTCTTTGCTCTTTGAATTTGAACAATATAGACAAATTTGTAGAACCGGAGTTGCAATAATTTGCAGATTCTGTGGATCAATTGTTGAGAATGAGGAAGTTATGCAACATCTCATTGATAGACATTTATTTGAAACGATGGAAAACAAAACATCGAATCTAGAATCAAATCAAATTTTTTTAAAGAATCAACTCGGGATAGAAAATACATTTGAAAGTATTGGTTCAAAATGTTTCGAATTGATTGCACAAGATGCAAATGAGGCAGAAATGATTAATATTAATGTTTCAAAACCAAATAAAAACGACATTTTGGTTGAAATTGTAGGATTTTGTGACGATAAAAATGATTTCTTAATTTGTTCTACAGATAGCTTATTCAAACTACGTACGCAGGTAAATTATAATATTATAATTAAATTAATAATACTTTTTTTAGATTTCAAAGTTATTTCCAGAAATTCCTTTACCAAAAATAATATATAAAGATCCTTTGAATATTCAAAGATTTTTGAGGTATATATTAAATATTAAAAATTTGAGAGAATCATCCATTGTTAAATCATTCCTAAATATAGAGTAAACTGATCCCAAAAAAGTCATTAAGAGCTTTTCTTGAAATTAATGTCAAATGAATTTCTTTTTTTTATCAATTTGAGGTATTTTAGAAAAAATCTATTTAATCCAAATTTATTTTATTTCTCTTTATTTTCATTGGTGATGGTGTTCGCAGTATTAAATAGTGTGCCAAAATATGGTAAAGACATAATTTTTGAATGAACAAATTCTTTGTTATTTAAATAGTAATAATATATAAATCCTGTTCCTGATAAAAATAGAATTAATATGATCGGTAACAAGTACCAAAATACTCCCCAATGGTTTTTTTTTTTATCATCATCCAATTTGATTTCATCGTCGTTTTCCAATAAATCGACCCTTTTTTCGCTTTCCTTCCCTTGACTGTTTAAGGAAGTTTTTTCTTCTTTAATAGTTGAATCTGCTGCATTTGATTCTTTATCTTCTACAGATACTTCAAGCTTTTTTTCACTGTTGTTGAATTCTAAGTTTTCATGGGTTTCACCATCTTCAGTCAATACATTTAACTCGCCAATAGAATCCGAGCCCATAATTCTAGCACCCTCTCCCCCACTGATATTAGGGTCTTGGTAAAATTGCAATAGGCAAAGCTGAAATTTTCCTGCCTTCTTAACTTGAACATTCTCAAACAAGGCAACATCCCCCTTAATAATAGGAAATACGCTATTTCCATTTGGAATAATTAATTGTCTTGACTCGTCAACCGCTGCAAAAATATTTTCTATATTACAACTCGTTTTTTTGGAGACAACAAGCAATCTTAAACATTGATGCATATTTCTACCCGAAATCGCAATCGATCTTTTTCTGTTGCTGGGAACAGTTTTAATAGTATTTTCTGGATCTATTTCTGTAGATTTTAGTATTTCATACAAATTTCCTCTACTTGGCTGTGATAGTGCACAACGAATAAAACCTTTTGGACATGTTAACGTTTTAAGATTAATAAATGGTACACAGTTAGAAATAAAAGTGCCATCTTTTAGAGTTTCTGCTCTAAAACAATGAGTTGACTCCTTTGGCTTATTATCACAACTACTTGGAGAACAACTAAGGGGGCAATCAAGGCCATTATATTCACCGCCTGACGAAAATTTGGAGAAAGTGTCCAGTTCAGATTCAGAATACTCTGCCAATGGAAGCTTTTTCGTTGGGACAACCTTGTAGTTCTGCTGCACCAAGAACATATTTTTTGTTTTCTCAGACTCTTTGACGGTACTTTTAAGTTCAGTGACGACCCCATTAATCTCTATCGATGTTTTTTCAATTAACATTTGTAATAGTTCACTGATTGCATTCAATTTATGCAAGTTGGAAGCAATTGCTGCTTTAATATTTATTTCTATTTCTTTTAATTCCTGCTGCCTTTTTGTTGCTAAAATTAATTTATTAAGTACTTCTTCTGATTCATAAAGACTGTTGGCTTCAATAATGTCTATTTTTCCGACATCAACTCTGCCGAAATGTGATAGTTCATTTGATCTGAGTTCCTTGATATTCATTTCAGGGAAGTTTCTTATACAATTCACATAAATCAACGGGAACGACAAAATTAAGCTAAGTAAGTGCATGATTAATTTTTCGTTTCAATGAAAAAAATTTAAAATATGAAGTTAATGTATTTAAACAAATATATGTCCTTATTGATTTATGAATCTGCAATTTGGCATTATACAATTCTTGAAAAAAGTTTCTTCTATAACAAAAGTTAAGCGATTTTATTGTGTGTTTGGTAGAAAATATTGTACACATCTTCTAAAGCTGGGTAAAAAATCACACCAATAATTTAAACTAATTTTCTAGTAACAATTAAGTATTTCTATATTCAATCACATTAATTTTGCAAATTTTTTTTGCTGTTATTTTTTCATTAAAGATATGGAATAAAAAAATTGATTATAACATAGAATTTTCCTAGTTTCTTTTTATATATTTTCTACTATAAAATCTAAAACAAGTTTTTAATGTCTCTGTTTAAATGAATTGCCTAGTTTCTAATGAAACGTTTTGAGGTGTCATTGCACCAATATCTGTAAATATCATTGAAATATAAGAGTTTTCTGATATATCTACAATAGAAGTAATTGGGCTACTGTTTAGCTGATGATTCTGGTACGTAATATCAGATAAAATATTATTTATATTCATATTAAAAGGCAATAAATTTGTGAACTTTGTCGCGTGAGTAACAATATAGACTGGCTTATTGAAAATTCTTTTGGCAATAGAAGATATTGTCGCAGTCCCGGAAATCGCAATAGCTGATCCATTTTCAAGTACACACTCTACATTCAATAATACAAAGTCTACAATATTCATTGCATTATAAATTGTATCCATAGATAATATAGTAATACTAACCCCTTTGTTAATCAGTCTGTTTTTCCATTCATTTACCTTCTTGTAATGGTATGAATATAAGCCATTTCGTACTGAAGATTCGATATTTGCTTGTTTTGCTTCGCTTGGTATAACAACTAATAAATTATAGTGTTTATCAAAATTTATCCATGCATTTTCGAGTACCATTTCAACAATTTCGCTATATCCAAATGTTAATATGGTCATTCTGTCCTTGACAAATATGGATAGTGATAAGTTAACCATCTTTTGTATTCCAAAAACTATTTTATTAACAAAGTTATTTGTTTTTTCGGTTATTATACCTTTCAAAAATACAACTTGCGATTCATCCGAATCGCAACTTTCGAATAGTAGCCTCAATATTTTGGATTCAAAAATTCTACATATTGGGGCAATTGAAATGTTCGTTGTTCCATACTCAGAAACAAGCCTGTATAAAACTTTTTCATTACTTAAGCTCAACATTAAAATTTCTCTTGCTGCGGTGATTTCTGTAATTAGTTCTGGAGAGTTTATTGCAAGGCTTTCTGAAACAACTTTTGATAATGAAAACAATGCTGATTTTAAAAGTATGTAAACCCCCGAATTTCTCTCAACAGATAATTCACTTTCCAAATACCCCCAAAAATACTCAACAACTTTATCAACATTGTTCCTACCTGTTTCAAAAAATAATCCTGCTTTATTATTTTCATTTGAACAGTAGTGATGGTCACTTTTTCTAATTGTAGTTAATGCCATAAATTTATTGAAATCAAATATTCTAACAAATCTAATTTGTATTGATAATTATAAATCAGATGATGAATATTTTCGCAGTAATTACTTTATTGTACCTCAAACGAAACTAGGCGCAGAACCAATTTTAATAACTAGTTGATATTTCACTCATAACTATATTACACGAAATGAATAAATTCAACTATGGATGATCTTTATTTTGGACTCCCACCTCCAGCTTTAAAAAAAAACAACCTAGATACTGAATCAGCAGCAAATTTTGGCTTTGAAACAATTTCTGCCATAAAAGAGCCGGACACATGGAATGTATTTATTGACTCATTAATAAAGTGTAATAACATAAACTACGATAAAAAGGATCTAGATGTTCAATTCATAGATAAAAATGATGGCCTTTCAGATCTGGAGTACAATCCTGCATCACCAAATGTTTACATTACGCACTGGCCTGAAGAGAAATCACCTTTGACGGAAAAAAATGTTCCAACTCAGGAAACCGAAATTAACTTTGAAATAGGTAAAAAGCTACTTGAAAAAATGGGGTGGAGACAGGGAGAGGGTTTGGGTAAAGATAACCAAGGTATAAAATTTCCTATAGCAATACGTAGAAAAAAAAACTTTATCTAATGCTCAACATGAAGAACTACATTCAGTCTTTTATTTTGGGCGGGAAGAAGTGTGTAATTAGTGAATTGTTGTATAAATGCGCATAGCTTTTACTATCCGGAGTACTTGTTTTAATACTATCAAGCCCATCGATTCCATTTTTCTTTTTTTCTTGGTTAGTTGAGCAGTCAGAATGACTTTTGGACGCAATCCTTATTGGAGTTGAACATTTTCTCTTTTTATTATTATGAGCTGTCCTTGTATGCGTTTCCTTTTCAATTGCTTGCCCCCTGAAGCTTGGCTGCTCACTTCCTTGAGAAGATGAAATAAAATTTAATGTTCCACCAGTCATTTTAATGCCAAATTGTGAATTGATGTTACCGTTCTCATTATCCTCTGAAACAATTTTGTAATTTACAGGATATTCTGGGTCAGCGTCACTCAAATATTTGCAGGAGCTCGGCAGTTTTCCCTTTCCATTAGAATTTGAATTTTGGGAGTTTTCAGGAAATTGTGCCTGTGATTTAAGATTTGGGGAGGTATCTGATTGTAAGTATGCTCGATTCTGCCTTATTTTTGTGGGCTCCACTTTACTTAAAAGATTTTTTTCTTCTCCTTTTCTCTGTAACAATAATTCAGATAATTTTCTAAAATCTAATTCAAGACTTGTATTGTTTTCGTTTACATACCACCTAGACCTTACATCTCCTTCAAGTTTTGCCTTTCGTACATTTTCTTTAATAAAGTGAATAACCGAGGCCTTTTTAATATCTTTATAGTTGTACACTTCAAAAAATTCTTCGATTATTTTTCTGATTGATGCCCATTTTCCATGAATAAAGTAAGATAAATCTTGCTTTAACTGCAGGTCAAGAACACTTTTCTTTTTACTTAAAATCTCTGAAGTATTTGACGAGATCAAAGATTTTGACTCATCTGGTGTAATACTCAAATATCCAGATAAGTCTGTCTTATTATATATACAACTAAAATCTTGTGTAAAATGTATTAAATAGCCTTTTAGTATAGAATTGACATATTCTTCATTCGGAATTGAAATTCCAACCCCAAAATCAATACTTGAATGATTAAGAAATGAAATTACAACTGGGGACGGATATTGAGATGAAATAGAAAATAGGTTTACAATATTTGTGCCGTTATCGTTTATCGAATTCTCAATTGTGAATTCATCCAATAGTTCATCTGACTGAAAGCAACCGTCCGGAACTAACCATCCTGAAGCAACTGCATCATTGTCATCGTCTTCTTCACAGACATCAGGCACATCATCGATGTTTTCAACATCCTCACCACCAAATTGTTCTTCCCATTCTTCATCTGTGTCAATATCGTAATTAATATTATCTTCTTTGGCTAGTGGATTATTTCCTCTGCAATGCCTTCCTCTGTGTGTAATTAATAAGTACATCGGAGGGCGCTTCCATTCACTCCTGTAGATTAAGACTCTACGGACCTTACTAGCTGGTTCAGAAAAAATTCCATCGTTGTAAATGCTTTGAAATTGTCTGGTTCGTACTTCTTCGAGCTCAATCCCCTGTCTCTTATATTTAATAGAACCAATTGTGGGAATAGTTTTATAATATTTACGTTGTTTATATAAACTTTCCCTCATAGAAATAAAGATTTTGTAAACTGAAAGGTAGTTTCTAAAATATTCTTTTATAATAAGGTCCTTATTCAATATAGAGGGAGTTGAAACGTTCTTCTCAATATCACACAACTTTTGGCCCAGTCTCTGAGATAAAATTTTTTCTCTATCTGATAATATTTTTTTTTTCATTTCTTTGTGAATGCTATCATAAATCAGTTCCGGCTTTCCATAAGAATCCTGTTTTCTGTTAAAACCACCTTTTATCCAATTCATAACTGACTCGTTTTTGTTTGTATTCACACTAAGTGAATTTTCATTGCTTTTTTGAATAGCTTCCAAAACAGGCTCTGTTCTTAAAGAGCTTGGTCTTCCCTCGATTAAAATAGCAACATCTTCTTCTACAACATTTTCAGTCCCCAATTCAATAGAAGAAAGAGAACCACCTAGATTAGGTGTTTCGGATCTAATTGTCTCTCCAAAAATCCCGCATGATAGAGCTCCAGTTGAATTATTAGTTTGCCCTACCATAAATGGAAATAGTCTTTCTGAAATATATGACGGGGATAGAAAAGATAATATTTGTGACTGTTGTAAGAGGTTATTTACATCTTTTAAAGAATCTAAAATCTCTTTGAAAACATCTTCTCTATTATTCATTTGTGATTCCATTTTATTCGCACCGAGCTCACTTCTATTCAGCCATTCTGACATTGCACCCCTATATGAATGTAATAGTTTGTTTTCTCGATCACGCTTACTCCATTCTTTAATAAATCTATCAATAATTTTTAGTTCTTTTCTACCGGATGCAGAACTCTGATAACACTGGTAACGTAAATCACCAATTATGTTTTCATTGTAGTCATCACAAGAATCAAATTTCATTGAAAAGGTATCAAATGCTCTCCGATATCTTTTGTACGGTTCATTATATACTCCCAAAACTCTCAGTTCGCCAAGAGTTTCAAGAAAAGAGTAAATTTCATTTTTAAATTGGCCATTTATTTCATTATTGTCCAAAATCCACTTTAGTCTTGTATGTAAATATCCATATCCATTATTATATTCAAATGGAATGACTCCGTGAAATTCTTTTCCAATGTACTTGTTTGATTCGTTGCCTAAGCTTTTTTTTTCTGAGGTAAATTCATTTTCTAATAATTCAATGGGATTCTCTATATTAATTCTTTCATTACTTAAGTTTGGATATTTTTCAATCATATTTTCAGTAATTATTTGTGTAAACCCAGCAGAGCTGGAACTTTATTAACAATAATCCACGATCAAGTTGTTTATGATAATGATTCCACCATCATCTGGATTTTTTAAGCAAAGTTATTAATATCTCTTTTTATAAATTCTGATTCCTAATTCTTAATATAGGGTGTTAATTTGTCCCCACAATATTGGCGCCATTATTGTTACTTAGTATACCTGATAAACGATTAAAAAAAGTAATAAAGATTAATAAATGGAAATTCAACTAAACAAGATTTTCCTGTTAAATACAAACAATAGTATCTATCTTTTTTAATAAATTATTACTCTATTTTTTCAGAGCCCTCTAGTAGTTTTTTTGAATATCGTTGGGCGACAAGCCTCGCTGAGTTTGATACATCCAAAACATTCTCAATTGTGATATCTATTTTTTTTTCAAACCTGATCAGCAATGGTCGAAAAATATTATTATACAACATTACAGCTCCTGTTGTTTGAGGCAAAAATAGCCAGAATAGAAAACAGAGCTTGAATAAGTAGTAAAATGGCATCCAGAAGAGTATAATGTCGATGAAAACTTCTAGAATGTTAAATATGGCATAAACTACCCAGTAAGTGAGCCACTGTTTGTCATCCAACTTCCCTGGTGTTTCTAGTGCCTTGAAACTCATATATGCAGGGTAAATAAAACCAACTAAGTTACAAATCAGTGCTCCAGCATAACCCATACTCACTATTAGAACCAATATGGATACCCCCCCAAACATTAAGTAACAAGGTCGGCATCCAAAAGATTCCGAAACTGACTTTACCCAGGAAATATTGGCAAGTTTACCATCTATTTCCTTGCAATATGTCTCCAAATCGATATTTAGGCCACTAAATACACTCAATGACTCTGGATTTTTGTTAGAATTTAACATTCTCCATTTATTTGCCATTATTTGTATCCCTTTATTATTTAAAAAGAAACTAAACTAAATATTCGAATTTTTATAAATAGCAACAACTATTTAATTTATTTTCAGCAATTATACAGTGGTGGTATGTACGTTTGGATCCTTATTTTCTATCCCAATCCTTTTATTTACCGACAATTTCTATGATCTATCTCACATATACCCGCTCAATTGCTGATGAAACTTTTTCAAGGAAAATCAAATTCAGTTTGTCAAATAAATATATGAAGTTAAGCTGAAAATGAATACTATTTTTATAGATTGTTTTTTTTTAGTATTAAATGCATTTTCTATCTACCTTATTAATATATGTTGAGATGAATTCAATAGTATACAGCCAAAATGTTTGAAAAATTTAAGGTTCAATGATTATAAGTTATCATAAAAAAAAAAATGGATTTTAAATAGGGTTCTAATATATACAAAATACAAAATTATTAACGCGAATTAATTTTGTGTGCAGATCAGTAATGGATTATTTGATTGTTTATTTACTGAGTTTTATTGATTATTAAGTGCTACAAAATACATTTCTTAGATTCTTATCTAATATTTAGATTTGCTTGGGTATTCATTAATAAAATATTTCCGAAAGTTATTGAGATTCTTATCTTTCTAAGTTCTGTAATATATTTTTTTTCATAGGTAATCAAGGGCTCAATAGTTAACTAAAAAGACGCTTCTTTAACTTGTTTGTTTGGTACTGTTACTTTACAGATCATTAAAAAAAATGAGACCAATTAAAGTGAATATAAAATATAATGACAATATTAATACAAATAGTTATTTTGAACCAAACTACTGAAATATCAGGTTAAAACTCGATGAAATTTTTCAAACTGTTTGTAAAATCTTCTGCGTTTCTAACTTATATTCAGTTATTAAATTTATTTAAGAAAACGAATATTTAAAAATAGAAAATATACGAGCAGGTCGATGATTACTTTTTCATGAGTTAATTAAGAAATAATGAAATTTAAAAAATATGCTAAAACTTTGCTTTTCACCAGTAATAAGTGCCCATATTTCGTGAAAAAATGAAAACACTACATATTTCAAGTATTTAAGTATTATTAATGGCATGAGTTGATTATAAAATTTATAATAAATTGATAAAATATTTTCAAAATTTATTAATTTACATGTAACTTTCCCTCCTCACATAAAAATATTATATTAAAATATGCAAAAATGTTATATAAATAACGTTTTATGTAGACAATAACTCTGAACAAATTAACAATAAAAAGCTATTCAAACTGCTTATACCTTAAGGATGAATATATGGAGCAACTTATTCTTCAATATAGATGAAGAGCAATTGATAAATATCTATATTAGAATCTTTCCCTTTCATAAATTGATGATTTACTTTATATTATTACAAATTTTGATTGGGTCAATCAATTTATTCTGTTTAAATAATGAAATTTTGGGAGTTTTAGAGATATTTTTTTTTGCAAATATTGGTATTGTTACAGCTTATATCCAAGTTCCTGTATTTTACATAATTTATTCTATTGTAAGTATTATTGGCTGTTTAATTCACTTTAATAATACCAGCTTTCGTAATATTACACTTTCAGATTTGAATAGTGTAATTTGCATATCAGTAATTATTAATCACTTGAGTTGCTCGATATTATCTTTAAAGATATTTCTAATAATTATAAACGGGATTAATTGGGAATCGAAATTTATGTCAATATGTGGAAATTTACATATCACATATATTGGATATCCTAGGTTCAATAACTCTTCAAGTAATATCGGCTATTATACTCCATTAGAGGAAAGTTTTCAAAGTAATGTTCTTAAAAAATCATCCAATGCTTCTGAATATTGTGATTGAATTATAAAAGACATTTAAAATTTTCTTACGGTTTCTTCTAAATTAGCTATAGATATTGTTAATGCTTAATTAATCAAATTTTTTAATATTTGCTTTCATGGTATCTAATAAGATGCTCGTGATTCCTTGAATTTTTTCTAAGTTAATTTGGTTTTCTATGTGCATACTCTTAAATCTTTCAAATCTTTCAATTGTGGAGAGAAAAAATTCAATAATACTTTCTTTTTCAATTAATCTAGCTGTTATGACTGGAAAATCATCAAAACAAAAAATAGACTCTTTATTTCCTATTGTATCTAGCTCTTTTAACAATGAATTAATTTGTTCATTTTCGGCAGTTTTATATGATTCAGTTTCATTAATTTCATTATTACATCGTTCAGTTTCATATTTTGAACTTCTTCTTCCTGCGTATGATGAGACTTTAGATTTTACAAGATTTGATATCTTCTTTAGGTCTGATTTCCGAATATCACCTATTACAAACCCATTTAATAAACTGTTCTCCATCTTTATTTTTGTTTGAAAATTATCTGCAACTAAATGGGATTTGGGGATGATAGTTTGTAACATATTTTCTAAATTTTGCAATTTGCTCAAAATCGTTTCACCATTCAATTCTTCGTTACTCTCTTCTCTAAGCAAAAGAAACTTGTTTAAAGAATCTAATCTGCGTTCAATCACTTCTAATTTTTTGCATAGTTCATCATTCAAACTTTCTTTAAGGTATCTGATTCCACTTCCTAAACTTACTTTAACAATTGAAATATCATTCAAATCTAGGTTTTTTAAGCTGCCATTTAATTTAACTTCGTTAAATCTTCCACCAAAACTTTTATCCTGAAAATAACTATATGAATTTTTTTTAAGCAAATTAAAGCCATTCTTTTCTAAATTCTTTATTAAAACTTTAAACTCTTCTATGCTTTTTTCAAATATTTTCCATTCTTTATCAATCAAGCAACCTGATACTATGTCTATTTCTTTCTTAACTTTATCTATTTTATAATTTAAGCTTGCATTAGATAAATATAAAGACTTATTATTGGCTTGAAAAGGAATTAAGCTGGTTTTGAGATATTCGTCATGGACTATTGTATCTTCAAAAAAAACGATACTATCTCGATTAAATAATTCCAGGTAAGCATTCAAAGGCTTTAGAAGCACGCACTCATAATTTAGTTTAGGTCTTTCTAATTGATTAACACAATATTTGTCAATACAAATTCTCTTTACTGCAAAATCTACAATACCTTCGAATACTGTTCTTCTTTTAGAATAAATTTCTATATTATTTTTTTTTCTGTTCACTAAAGTTCCAAAATTGTCATCAAACTGATCAAATAATAACTCATTATCTTCAAAATCATTAGATTCGAACCTCTCCTCACTTAAATTACGTTTTTCAAGTAGGTATTTTAATAACTCTTCATACAATGGCAATTCTGTTAGCATTCCATTGTAAACTCCTTTTGAATTTAATAATTTTGTTACTATATTAATATTATTCTGGCTAGATCTACTTTTTAATAAGCTAATATTATCTAGTAACTCTTTAATTTCTTCTCTTCTTTTCATTGAATCATTGCCAAATATTTTTTCAGAATTTTTATGATAGACAAGGATTTCTTTCGAATAATTAGTTTCATCAAATTTTTGAGCGGATCTGAATATTTTATTATCTTTTTTTTCAATTAGATGATTTGAATCTTCAAAATTCGATTGATTTATTTGACGAGAGTTAACAGTTTCACTGCATTTTTCCGATTTTTCCAAAACAACCGTTTTAATATCAGAAGGCATCTCAGATGTATTTTGATGGCGATGAAAATCTTCATCAAAATTATTTAATTTAGTTTCATTCAAACTTAGGAATTTAAATTTTTCAGAGTTGAAAATGATAGAATTATCTTTACTTAACTCCAAGTCTTCTCCTTTAAAACAAGTATCACCTTTTTCATTTATTAACTCCAATGAACCATGATGATTATTATTATTACTTGAGCTATATAGTGCAATGGTTGAATCTTCTATTTGTGTTTTGTCTGTCTTACTAGTTAAATTACACTCTCCTGTGATTTTTTCGGAATTGCTACAGTTTTTCTCATTACTTTGGAAATCAACATAATCAGTCGGTTTGCATTCAAAGCTTTCATTACTTGAATATATATTTTTTTTTGCCTCTGGTTTCACTTCCATTTCCTTTTTTCCTGTTTGATCTTCATTTTCTGGGTGTTTCATTTTTCATTATCTACTCCTTCAAAAATATTTTTTCTCAATTTTTGTTAGCTTGATTTCTTAAAAATCAGGAAAAGATTGCATAATATTATCCAAGCGAACGAATTGTATCTTTTATCCGTCCTTAATTTCTTATCATTTGTGTGGAGTTAGGAATATGGCATGTTATAAGCGCTAGCGCCCTCGATCATTTTCGTTCTGACAATAAAGTTGAACTATATTAATGGTTTTATTTGAAAGAGATGATTCAATCAATATTGGCCAGATTATACAAAAAAGCTCTGCGCCCGAATTAGGTGAAGATATAATTAATGATAACGGTTTAAATGAAGTAATTCCTAATCAACAAATATGTTCTTTCTCTTGCTCGTCAACTGCATTCGATCTAAACTATAACTCTCAAAATAAGAATTACAGCTTAAAAAGTGTAGATAGACAAAATAAATCTAATCAAAAACAAGGAATTAATTTTGAGAGCGCAAACATGTATATAGGCGAAAAAAAACCAAGGCTTTCATCAAGAAAATGTAGGTATAAATATTTAGGCCCGTGGAAAGATGATCAAAAAGAAGAATTTGCATCAGAAAGTGCTAAAAATCAATTTGTTGAGGAGAATAGAATTAATACTCTGGAAAGTGCTGCGAATGACGAGATTCAGGGATCGGATACTGATGATTCATCAAAAGATGAAGAACAATTTTTGAGCACGTTTCTTGGTAAGGATCTCACTGATTATCAAAATAGATCTTGGATTATCTCTCCCAATGAAATTAAAGAAAGACTTCCCAATGAACAATGTTGTGCTCCAAAGAGGCTTATTAAAGTGTTAAAGGCTCATTCTATGGGAGTTCAGGCTATCAGGTTTATTCCAAAAACTGGGCACTTATTATTGTCTGCAGGATTAGACTCACAAATAAAAATTTGGAACTCTGATAATAAGTGCACCTATATCTATCATGGACACAAAAATGCAGTAAGAGATATTCAATTTTCAAGTGGGAAAAGAGACTGTAAAAGTTTCTATAGCTGTGGATATGACAAGCAAATATTATTCTGGGATGCTGAATATGGAAAAATTAGGTGGAAAAATTCAAATGGCAAGACACCCTACTGTGTTTCTGTCCATCCAAAGAATGAATACAGCATTATTGTTGGTTTTAGTAACAAAAAAGCAATTCAATACGATACGAGGGCAAATGAAGTTGTACAGGAATATAATGAACATCAAGGAGCGGTCAATACAGTTACTTTTTGTGAAGACGGCAAGAAGTTTGTTACAACTTCGGATGATAAAAAAATGTTTGTTTGGGACTACGGTATACCAATTGTAGTAAAGCACATTGCTGACCCATTAATGCAATCGATGCCGTATGTTACATTGCATTCTGATGGACAATATCTGGCTTGCCAAAGCATGGATAACAAAATTTTAGTTTATGATACATATGCCAATTATAGATGTACAAAAAAGCGCTTCACTGGGCTAAAGAACTCAGGGTATGCAATTCAATGCGATATCAGCCCAGATGGGCAATATCTAATATCCGGTGACATTAACGGAAAGCTTCATTTTTGGGATTGGAAAACTACAAAAAATTTCAGAAGTATTAATGCTCATGAAGGGGTAAGCATAGGTTGCCAGTGGCACCCTGCTTTCCCTTCACGCATTGCTTCTTGCGGCTGGGATGGAACTATAAAAATCTGGGAGTAATAAAAAATAACATTTATTTATTTTCGTATTAATTCTAAGACAAATCATTGAATAAAAATCATTATTGTTATTAAATACCTTCAGAGATAAAATTTAACTTCTAATTATGTATTTTTTCTCAAATTAGATATGGAAAGTAATAGCTCAAGGCCAGGGGCCAATGAATTCTATGCATCAATATTTGATCAAATTAATAGCCTTGAACTATCAATCCCAAACTTTTCAGCTGAAAGAAATTCAAGAAATTTATTTTTTACATTTTTTCTTTTTTTTGTAATATTAATTTTAGTTTTTCAAAATAAATTTGAAGGTAATGGGTCTTTTGTGGTCAGTTCGACTGTTTCTTCATCTGTTTACTATTTCGGTGAATTTCAGATGAACACCGATATACTTAATTACGACGAAAGAATTCGTATTAAAGATGGTCTATATACTGAATACAGATCAATGCCAGCTATCTATGGGAATTCAAGATGGCAGCTTGATTGGACAAAGTCAAGTACTGCGTCAAAATCTGCATGGATCTCTTTAATCATTCAATTGGACGAAAATGGAAAATTTTACAGTTGGAATTTTGAAAAAGTTGTAACTGAAGACGACTCAAATATGGTTTTTCGAGGCAAAGTAAATGAAGTTCCCACAAAAAAAATCCTAAATTCGAATTCGACTAATTGTATTTTGGAAATTGATATTTCAGATGACACTAACTTATTCAATCAAATATTTCCGGAGAGAAAAAGTGAAAAATATCATTTTAGAGGTAGTTCTGTAAACGAGAAAGGAATTGTATTTGATAAAATGGAATATGTAATAAAATCCTTGGATTGTAACTTTGAGGTGACTTTAAAAGGTTCACCATTTTCGATGAGTTTGTTCAGATTAAATATTATCCATTTCTCATTCCTATATAATTTAAAGGTGCTTATGGAAATTAGAGGAAGTGTAACGCAACTAGTGCATAGTAACTCACCAACCATTGGATCAAACTACGTAAACAATACGTCAATTTCTTGTTTAACTATGCAAATTATTTTAGATTTATTGGAGAGCGTGTTTATTTTATATTGTTCATTTGCTTTGCCTTCACTACTGTTTTCATCATTTACACTTATGATACTTTTTAAATGGATACATATTTTTTTCATAGAAATAAAGTATTTATTTTGGATTTGGAAGTCAAATTATTTACAAAATACACCTATAATTGAAATGCCTACAATTACAGCACAATTCTATAGAAGGCTTTATTTATTTTTATTCGGAATAGTATTTTTCTTCATTTTATTATTCAGGATATGTGATCCAAGTGAAGTATTTAACATTGTGACAGCAACCACAAATAAGAAAGTAAGAATAATTACTCAGTCGATACCATATTGTTTTTATCTGTCACTTTTCTTTTTTTTAATTCCTCAAATTATAAACGATGCTTTTTTTAGTACTAACAATTCAACAAGTTCATCTCTGCCACTTCACCCACATTTCATATTAACATCCCTAATTGGTAAGGCGTTCGTTCCTATTTACATTTGGGGGTATTCTAACTCAATATTCAACACTCCATTATTTCAATATCTAAATGTTATACCAATTTCAACAAAAAATTCGACTCTAATGTCAATTTTTATACTTTCAATAGCTTCAATCCAAATGATGATTTACTTTTTTCAATTAAAATTTGGGCCAAAGTGTTTAATTCCGAAGATACTCAGACCAAAACCGTATAATTACTTCAGATTAACGGACAAAAACATTTGCAATGAAATTTCAATTGAAGAAGACTCACTCGAAGTAAATATTCCCACAATTAATGAATTAAAAACTGAGGTAATGATTGGATCTAAAGTCGAATTTATTCCAGATACTTCAAATACACAATCTTCAGGGTTTGAGGAAATCGAATTAACCAGTTTTAATAGCAATAAAAGACATACAAATAGACTTTGTGTGATTTGCATGGTCAATGTTTCTATATTTAATGACTTTGATCACGAACTATGCGCAGTTTGTACTCCATGTGATCACATATTCCACCAAAAATGTCTTAAACAATGGATGAATGTTAAACTAGAATGCCCAACATGCCGCAGGCAAATACCCCCATTTGAATCTAAGCAATGATATTATCTATATGCTTTAAAACGCCTCTTAAATGTTCAATAGAGTGCTTCCTAATCGAAGTAAGTAGTAGCAGGCTGTTTTTAACATACCCTTTATTTCGAAATAATTCTAGTAGTTTCCTCGAATATAGTTTTGATATCTCGTCATTTCTGTCGCCTAAAAGAATTCTAACATCGTAAATAATACCTGCTTCATCTGTAGAAGCGTGTAAAATTGATCCAAAAGTTTCTGTTTCGTTCAAGATCAATTGAATTTTGTTCGAGAATATTAATGCAACAATTTTTGTGTTTACTCCCTCATGTTCATATTCAGGGAATTGGTTTAATATTAGTGGAAAGTTACTGTTTTCATCCATTTTTTCTTAATATAAAAAATAAAAAATAACATAAAGCACACAAAATATGAATTTATATATTTATATATATATATATATATATTACTTTGAATATTAACTTTTATACAATTTTCTTGACAATAATCAACTTTCTGAAATTTTTGGATATTTCTGGTATTTCTTTTTTGAACTAAAATACTTTGTTTTTTCGCCAAAGCGGTATCTTTTTCTTTATTTTTGGAGCAAAAGTCATCCACTGAAAAATTAGGAATACAATGATTGAAGGCCATTTAAGTCTTGAATTTAGCTTATACCACAGTGTTTAATAAAGTTAACCTCGAGATAAGTTATTATTCAGGTTATTTTCTCTTATCCGTGATTTTTGAGTTATAAAACCTTTATTTAGATATACATATAAATAATCTGAGTATTTAAGATGAGTGGGGGTGACTTAGTTGGAATCATATTAACTGTAAAATGGCCATATCAAGAACCAGAAATTGTATTTTATCATCCTTCAAACTCCTTTTCAATATTAAACGAGAAAAATGTTATTCCAATTAAAAAATGTTTTGGGTTGGAATGTTCAAAACTTGCACCTTTGATTTTACCATCTGACTCACAGTTATGGAACAAGATGTCCGATTTGGTCATTGAATCAAGGGAATTTCAACATAGATTTGTTTTCTTCCCAAGCTCAACAATCAGTAATAAACTCTTAAGTCGAGTTTCATCTGTCAACGATCAAAAAAAAATAATTAATCCAAATAATGAAAATCTGAAATTGGATAAATTTATCGAAAGCTTCTCCATAACTTTAGTATTTATCGCATCAACTTTTATCAAGTATGAATTTGTAGAAGAAAAACTATTTAAAATTGTAAACGCTCTTCTATCATGTGAAGTTACAAATAATTTTATTTCGAGAGAAATTTTCAAATCTAATGAAGTCTCGTTAGAATGTATAAAAAATATATACAAAGCCGGCCACAATAATAAAGATAATATCTCAGTTGGGAGTGATCATAATAAATTAGGTAGACTTGAAAGAAGTAATCTACAAGAACACATTTCCTCTTTAATAGAGAAAAATAATAAGCTTGTAAAGAAGCTTATTAAATATTATTTGGGCCTAAGAATTGATTATGGTGATGTTATGGTTGTCCCACCAAAATCATGTTATTTGAATTGTTTTAAGAATAAAAATCACATTCGAAACCCATTAGAAGATTCATATGATGAATTAACTATTTTCATTGATAAAACAAAACTGTCTAATATATATAAAGAAAATGAACTCATAAATGAAATTTTAAAGGTTGCAGATCCGCATTTATCTATCAGGGATATTTCGATTGAACTTTTAGAGCATCCATCAGACATTTTGAAGATTTGTCAAAAGTTAATTTCTAAAAGAGTTGCAACAGTTATGGAAAAAATAAGATATGACAAGGTTTATGCAATTTACCCGGAAGTTATCAAAATACAGTTGAATCAATTCAACTTAGAATTTAAGAATATTATTGATTGGAGGGGATGCAACCCACTTATATTAATCAGTTCATTTTTTTGTAATGGAAAGAAGCTTTTTGATGTTAGAAATGAGCTTGTCGAATTCTTTCAAAAATTTGCTGGGGGAAAAAAAGTATCCGAGCAATTTGTTTATTATCCATATGGCTCATCTAAAAACATATACTCCTCAAGTCATGACGAATCATTAAAAATCGTAAAATCCATTATTTCATGGCTTTATGTCAATGGTTGTATTACAATAAAGTACCCAAACAACGCGGCAATATAACAAATTAAATTTTTCTGGAATTGAATTTTTAGGTATAGAAATAGAGCCATTTGAACAATGACAACTAATAGGCTCAAACTAGTTGAAAAAATCCGTGATATTATTAGAAACAACAGAAATTTTTCTCTTTTTACAAAGGCGATTAATGCAGATACGACATTTGAATGGACTAAGGTAAGTTTGATTTAATTAATATTTGGTCAAAAACAAAAAATTTTAGGACGAAGCTTCTCTTGTCACCTATTGGATTCTTCAGATTTGTGCGTTTCTTTTTGGCGTAGTATGTGGAATATTTGGATTTAAGGGCGTAACTGTACTTATTTCCGCAGTGCTAGGGCTGGTATTTATTGGAACCACTTACCTTAATTTGCTCGACATACCGGAGAGAATTTTAGACCCAACAGAAATTATCATAGAAAATGTCGCTACATGCCTAGTAACATTTATTCTATCATGGACAACCATGTATACACTAATTTACAAATAGGATTGCTTACAAACAATTCTTTATTTTAGAAATTTCTAACAACGTAAGTATATTCTCTAGTCTGCCATAACAACTAATCAAATAGAAGAAACTAAAGTACTTACCTATAAATATTTTAGATTCACTTTAAATTCCATAGGATTTTTTTTTTCTTTTTTTTGAGGGCAGAAACTTTATCTTTGCGTCTGAAGAGAATACCGGATTATTAATCAGGCACATTAGAAAATGAAAAGAAATATTAAAAATATATGAATTGAAGGTCTGTATAACTTATTTATATTTATTGTATGTGAAAGAATCTTCTTATTAAAAAATGAACTCAAACTACTACAGACACGAACTATCAAACTTAATTTGGATACAAAATTTAAGAAAAGGCGAAAAAAAAGTTGATGAAATTTTAGACTCATTTGTACAACAGAATATGAAAATTTGGAGTCCTGGAAAATCTCTGTTTTCTCCAAAAATTGCAGTTATTTTGTTCTTAATTGGGAGCATATTTCACGCAGTATTCGCAGCATTTTTCTATTTTAACTATAAAAGTAACTCATTTGTAGAATATATTAGCGAGCCAATACAAAAAAACACAACTAGTTTACTTTTTAGCGTAGAAAACGATATTAATGGTCCAGTTAACTTAAATATATATATAGAAAATTTTTACCAGAATTTCCGATCATTTGTTCAAAGCAGGCCTTCAGAAATCTTCCCTGGTTTTTCTTGTGGGACAGCAAAAACAATGAGTTATTTACGTCAAGTTAGAGGTGATACTCTAGATAACTATATAAATAAAATTCCAACGAATGAAATTGATGAAAAAACAAGAGAAATACCTTTGATACCATGTGGACTATCATCTATTACGTTTTTTAATGACAAATTTGAAATATATTTATTAAAAGAAAATGGCGAAAAAGAATTGATAAACGTTGAGATTGACCAATTATCATTGAAAAATGATTTTTCTATGTTTGCAATTCCATACGACAAAATGATGTGGATAAAAACTACGGACATACATTACAGAATATGGATGCATGGTGCTTGGCTTCCCAGCTTCAAAATGGTTTGGGGGCAAATACCACATCAATTAAAAAAGGGTAATTATGAAATTAAAATGATTGAAAACATGTGGCCGGCAGAAGATTTTAATTCAAAAAAAAGATTAGGAATTGAAAGAGTGTCATTTCTTGGTAGCAAAAATGTAAACGCAAGCTACTTCTTCCTTATTTGGAGTATATGGCTATTTGTCATATCTTTTTTATTTATTCTCATGATATCTTGTTCATGCAATACTTTAAACGTTATATTAAGAAATTTGTCAGCACTGTTATAATTAATATACTACATCCCATTCAATTTCATTATCGTAATCTTGCTTAGAAACTGTATCCTGGGTTAAACTAGCATAAAGGAGAAAACATAAATTAGAAATTATTATAATATTTATTATGAATATAGATATATTTTTTATGTTATTTTCCTGGATTGAAAAAACTTTCTTCGAGATACTAAAACCCAGAAAATAACATATCTTGTGGAAAATATAACTTGTAAGAGTATATTCCTGAATTTTACTGTGATAGTTTGTGTCTTTTATTTGATTAAAAACAAATAAGATTGCCGATATATTGAAAAGTATTCCTGAAAGTAAATTTATGGTACTCCTTACCATTGAATCATCTAAACAAATATTGAAATTATAAACAACCCATGAGAAAAGAAAGTACCAACAGCAATCTCTGAACATAGAAATTTCAGTAAGCAAGCCAAATAATGGCAATAAGATACATAGCACTATTGTTTGATATTGCTCCATTAAAAACATTCTTGAAATTATGTCAAATTCATGGTTTTCGTATGTTACCATACCAAATAGAAATACTGAGAAAAAAAATATAAAACCATTAAATAATTTACTCCGATTCATGAAAATATTCTGTTTACTAGGTTCAATATCTAAATTTTGTTTTCTATTGGTTTCGCAGCTATTAAATTCCAATATTTGTTTTACTTCTTCATCGCCTACCTCACTGCTTTTTAAAAATGATAAACATACATCTTTTAGTGCAATAATTAAATTAACAGACTTTGATAAAAATGATTTTAGTAGCACAGTTAAGGTAATTATCATGATTTGTATTACAACTACACCACTAACTCCGTTTATTTGGAATATTTTATCAATAGATTCACTTTTCAACATAATTTTTGTACTTCTTAAATAGATGATATTTTGCATTTCTGTCAATTTGTTCTTGTTAAAATTAGTATATTTATCTACTGTATTGAATAATAAAATGCAAAGGTACATACAAGACATCATTACGCATCTAGTTACAATTAGGCCATTATAACTTTTGATTCCTCCATACGTATTTCTTCGCCAAAGTTCATAATATACATTTAATAATTTCTTACTATTGTCAATCAATGGTAAAATATACTCATCTTCATAAGACTCTTTTGAATCAAGATCTATTTCTCCACACTTGAAAATAGACCAGAGAACTCCCAAGTTTAGAAAGTCAATTGTGATTCCAATGATTAAAATATTTCTTTCAATACACACAAAATTTATCAAAATTATGATTGAAAGACAAATCTTTAAACTTCTGGAAGATTCAATATCAATCAGAAATCCACAATATAATAGCAAAAACATCCATCCGAATAAAGTAAAAACATCATCATATTTGCTTTGTCCAAATTTTATTGATGTATATGCCAGTAATATAATATTTATTACTATCAATAGTGTCACCACTACTGTTTTAAAGATTACTTCGCTATGCCAAAGCTTTGAAAAACGGTGATACCGGAACTTTACACCTTTACTTACGTTTATATTTTTATTTAGATGCATATTGCTTAATATAACTCAAGTTCGGAGTTCTCATTTTGAGTAAGTAGATTATTTGTGTGTGCACACCTTGGTAGCGCCAATCTTAACACGTCAATTTTGAAAAAAAAACCGGTATCACAAATATTGAGTTAATTATCCCTATGAACTAAATATACTTTCAAGATCAATATATGAATGAGCAACTGCTTAAAAAAATTATTTTTTCCTTGAATAGAAAGGACTATTTCTTGATAATTTCCTCTATTTTATTTTTTTTAATTTTTAATTATTATATTACTAAGTGGATACGAAACAAAGATTTTAAATCAGTTCAAAACGAAATTAGCACACCAAATAATGATATTGAAAGCAAAATCAATTTATTAGTAGGCCAAAAGCTCAATAATAATTTAAGAAAAAAAATTAGAAATGAGGAGCTTGCAAATAAGCAATTGATTAACGCTAAACAAGCAAGGAAACAGAGAAGAGAGGCGAATGAAGCTAAAAAAAAACTTAAAGAAGTTAAACAAAAGCTTTATGAAGAAAAGATTAACAAAAAAGTTCTTGAAAGGCTTGTTGAAAAGAACAAAGCTCTTTTACAAGAACAAAAACAATACGAAAGATGGAAGTTTGAAATGGATATTAGTGAAGCTGGAAATGAATTTGAATTTGAAGATGAAGGCTTGAATAGCGAATATACGTCTTTAAGGAACTTCTTAAATGCAATAACCTCGGAAAAGATTGCAGATATCAACAACTTAAGTGCTGAATTTAGGATAAGTATAGAAGACGTCATTTCTAGAATTCGCCAACTTGAGGAGCAAGGAATTATAGACGGAGTGCTTACAGACAAAGGAAAATACATATTTATAAGTGAAAAAGAATGGGAAAGTATTAAACTTTGCATTGAAAAAGACGGAAAAATATCAAAAACGAAGGATCTCGTGTTAATTTGCAATTATGTAATTGGCATGTAATATTAATGCGGGTTTTTAATAACTTTTTAAAGAAAATTAAATTTACTCAAATTGTCTCAATATGGATAAAAATACGCCCCCCTTAAAGACACAAATCATCTGTGAGACACAATCAAGATTTTCATCACTTATTCATTTCTGAAGTAATTTATCTTTATCTAGAATGATCAAAAAGACCCTGCTTTCAACCACTCTTTTTATCTTTGCTCTAATCGGAGATGTGAGATCTCAGGATGTTATTCTGGAAAATAACAACGCAAATAGTACCGAATTTGATCAAGATCGCATTTTTGGGGAGATATTTAATTCTACAAGTGTAAATTTAACAGAAACTCCGCTAATTTTGCCATTTGAAATCGCTAGTCTCAATATATCTGGCTTTAGAAACCTTCGTGCAAAGAAAGAGCGAAGGAGATATAACTGCTCTTTCAATTGTATCATTTCTGATTTGGATGGATCATTGGCTGTAGTTGGCTCAAATTTTATTGCTGAATCGAATTCAATCATATTCGGAAATATTCTTTCATCAAATATCCAATTCTTCCCGGCTACTGGTAAATCATTCACGAGTTCAATGAAGTTTATTACTAATGGTCTTAAAAACCCAGTTTTTACCGGATTCCCAGGTGTGTATTACAATGGTGCTCTCGTTTTTGGTCCAGGTGGTATTAAGGATGTTTTGTACGAAACGAGAATCAGTTCGGCAGATGCATTAGAAATTATTAAATATGTTAAAAAGTTTGCAGTCTCAAATGGGAAAACATTAAGATTTGAATCTAGCAAAAATGGGAATTCTCAATATGTTAAGATTTCGAATAATGAAGATAAAGATGATGAACCTGCTGATTCGCTTCGCCTTTTAAATATTGCAATCGAAAATTCTAGTGGTTTATATGTCGATGGTTTTGAAGGTGAGAACATGAAAGAGTATATGAACCAAGAAATAGACAGTATGGTCCATAAAGGGGTTAATTTGTCCAAGTTTTTGGAACCAAGAGAAGGCGAAAAAATTAAGGGAATATTTAAAATTGTTATTGTGGAGAGCCCCAACGTGTTATTGTATCTGAGAGAGCATTTAGAAACATTCGTTAAAATGTATGGCTGCAAGATCTACAGATCAGTACCAAACATGCTGGAAATTATTCCTCAAAATGCTTCAAAACTTCATGGCGCCAAACTCATTCTGAAAAAACTTAAACTGAAGTTCCATCAAGTAGCATATTTGGGTGATGGTGAGAATGATGTAGAGATCATGTCCAAAGTTGGTTTCCCCATTGCAACTATGGGGTCATCTCCTGCAGTTTCCTATGTATCTAGGGCTGTCCAGACATTTTCGCCCGAGGCCAGTTTTGCTGGTTTAATCGGTGAATACTGTGAAGCCGAATGTAGTAAGAAAAAAAATTAAGCAATCGATTAGCCTTCCATAAATTGAGTCGTGTACTCGTATATAAAGATTGAAGCTGATACATGTACATTAAGCGATCTGATTATCCCATATTGAGGGATTTCGATGCATTGGTCTACAATTGAAACAATGTCGGAAGGTATGCCCTCTTTCTCTTTTCCTAAAATTAACACTGATTTTTTTGGGAAGATGCATTCTTTAATGTTGGTGCTTGAAGATGTTTGTTCTAATCCAAATATTTTGTATCCTTCTATTCGCTTGTTATGGACATATTCTTTAATCTTTTTAGGTTCTAATTCGTTTATTGGCAACCACTTCTCTGCTGTAACTGATATTTGCTTGAAAATAGGGTCGTTTATAACTTTTTTGTTGCTCAGCAGCAATTCTTTTGCACGAAAAATTTCACAAGTTCTGGTGATTCCCGCTATATTTGGGATTTTGTCTACAAGACTCCCTATTACTATCAACTCTGTTCTGTCTAATGACCGGTGACCCTGTCTTTTTGATCTGGGCTCACCAGAGATGGGGTTAGTGTAATTTAAAGGTTCGAACTTTAGCTGGTAGTTGTGTGAACTCTGAATTTCTACTGCGTTTGAATCTTCTTTCTCTTTATTGTTCTCTTGGGTGTAGTATCCACTCATCTCCTCGGAAATTATTTTTTTTAGCAAGTAGTAAAGGCTCCATGAAGGCCTCAAATCTCCAAATATTAAGTGAGAATTCAATATGTATGTTTCATGTTTGTCTTGAACTGCAAGTAGTTCCTTTTCAAAACTTACTTCATCTATGAAAATGTTACCATCTAATTTGCTTAATATAAAATCTAAGCATGAAGAACAGTTAAAGAAATTTTGAGATTCTTTTTGATCTGAGAACTCAATTATATTATCTTGTGGAATAATATTTTCTACTGTGCAATATTTAATTGGTTTCCAAATGGTCCAAGCTAATGATAAATATTTTAGCATCTTTAATATGTCTTTATTGTTGAAAATATTATGAAGTACAGTTCTTATATACTTTGAATCTTCTAAAATAAACAAGTTAATTAAAAATATCTTTTTCGATGCATTCAGTTTATTATTAACATAGTATATTGAATTTCTAATCGTATCAGCTTTAGTATTAATGTCTTCAATTTGGAAAGCATTCTTCAATACATTTGCTAAAGAATCAATGGCTTCAGTATCTGAATAATAATTGTTTTCAAAAGATTTTTGAACAAGTTCAAAAACGTAATTATTATTATATGCGTCGAATAAAGTAAATAAAACGATATTCCTCAAGAGAGATGAATTAGATATAGAATAGCTGACAAATAAATTAAAGAATAAAATATATTCATCAAGGAATTCACTAGTTAATTTTATCCATATTTCTCCTTCAAGAATAAAAACATCACTTATTTTTTCCATTTCGGAACCATTTTTCAATGGAAAAGGAGTGATATCTTTCAAAAAATGTATTAAATAACTCGAAATACAAAGATAAGAATATATGACTTGCGTGTGATTGTTTATGTTGTTTGAAAGACCTTTAATGATATGCCCAATGCATTTTTTTGGAAAAAATGTGACAATATTGCAACCAAACATGTCAATATATTGCCTAACATCTGGTGTATATAAATATTGTAGATGTTTAAAGTAAACCCCAATCAAATAATTAGTAAACTGGTCTTCACTTAAATTCAATATATTTACTAAACAACAGAGTGATTGCCAAATATTAATTAGTAGTTTATGATGATTACTATTTGGTAAAGGAGGAAATTTTTTTGCATTTTTAAAACTAATTTCTGTTTCATTAATTAACCAATTATTTGGAATATTTAAATCTACTTTATTTACTTGAGTATTGGTTGGAAACAATTCATTTTCAACTGATTTTGGGATTGCAGCTTCTAATTTTTTAGTTAACAAAATAATAGTTAATGAAACGAATTTTATTAACAAATATTTTTTATTTTTAATTGAATTTTCGATCATATTAGATAGATAAATAATTGTTACATGTCTTATAAAACTACTGTTGTCCTCATAAATCTTACATCTTCTATAAATATTAATCATTTCACTTATTCCAATGTTATCTTTAGAAAATTCCTGAAACCTAATTTTGCACCCATCGATTAACCCTTGTTCTTCAAAAGTAATCAATTCGACTAAAATGTTTGCAAATAAAAAAATATTATTAAAAGTTTTTGATTGAGTTAAACCAATGTTTTCAGAGTTTTTGAGAATTTCTTCAAAAACTTCTTCATTACAACTTTCAACATAACTCTTGATAAAATCTAATAACGGGAAAATAAATAATCGTATATTTCCGTTGTTTAATTTGATATTACCATAAAAATGATTAGCCACCTTTTCTAATAATTGATATTTTTCAAATAAGATTAAGTATTCTTTTTTTGTTAAAATTGAATTAAAAATTCTGAATAAATGATTTCTATAAATTCCATTATCTATCAATTCGTCACAATTTTTAATAATCAATAGAAATATTTTGTTAAAAAATTCACAAGTGAAGCTTTCTTCAAATTGATGATTATTTTCAGTACAAACCAAACTCAGCAATTGTTCTACTAACAACCAGAGATAAAAACTATTACATCCAGAATTTTCAATCTCATAAATCAATATTTTTGTAATGTGTGTGAACCAATCTAAATAAGATCCTTTGGTATATGAAAAACGATCAGTTGAAGATTTAAAGTTTACAAAATAAGAATAAACATCATTTCCAACTAAACTGGAAATTTTATCGTTGTTTTTTGAAATAATTAAATTAATGAACTGAAACTTTAATTGAGATATAAGATTTAATAAATCACGATAGTTTGCAGGGAATAATTGAATTAGTCTATTTTCCTTAATAATTCCATTACATTTACTTGAGTAACTTACTGGAAAACCTGGTGTTAACAGTGATGATTGTATTATGCAATAATTATCATTGTTTAAAGAGTGCGTGTCAATAATATCATATAAGAAACAGACCCTTCTAATTCTATCCCAAATTATTAAATTTTGGTTGTTCATGAACATTTTTGATAATATGCCATTGTTTATTAACAATAAATTATTAACAAGATCAAAAATTTTCTGTATTGATGTTTTTTTTCCGAGATTTTGCAAATATATTAAACACTTTAAAATCATCGCAAATGAAATTTGTGAATTAATATTTGATTTTATTTTGGTCAAAAACCTGCCAATATCACTTATTGCTAAAATGCACCAATCCCATAATTTTTTTAAGTAAAAATCATAGGAATTGTCTTTTAATATAGATAATAAATGAATGTCAAGCCATAGCAAATCTATATCAATCGAATGGTTTTCTTCGATATTTTCAAATAAAATTTTTATTTTTTCCAAAATCTCTAATATTTTGTTATTTATTTCATTATTTAAATGATTAATCTCTTCATAGTTGTAATATGAAGAAACAAATATAACGTGGCTTTTCATTATTAAATTAATTTCGCTAAAAGATCCAAAGATTTTTTTAAGTCTCCCAAAACCGACTCCTATATGAAGTACATCAAACCATCTTTTTGATATTTTTATTAATGATTCTGGATCAAAACTCGAATCAATGACCAATTTGTACTTTATAATATTATTGTAGATTAGTTTATTAATTTCATATGTGTAAAACAAATATTCAGGAATTATCCCCAAGAAAAAAATAAAATTTGTAATTAATTCCTCCTCAGAGAATTCATTACAAATAAAGTAATTTAAGATGATTTCTAACCACTTAGAATAAACTTCACGCCTTAATAATATTGGAACAAATTTAATTATTGGTATCGAAATATCAAGAACTTTTTTAAACAATTCTTTTGGAACTATAATTGATTCTTTGAACTTTTTATCGTCTTCAAATGAATATTTTTGAGTAATATCTCTCCTTAAATTTGTTTTAATATTACATGAATAGGCATTGCAAAAATAACTTTTAATTTTAGTTATATTAGATTCTGTTTGACTCCCTGAGTTATCGGAAAGATACAAATTATTTACCCCAATTCTCAAAGGGTAAATTAAAACTCTAATTGGCGTAAAAGCCTTTATATTATAGATTATATAGTCTATGTATTCACCAATCCACTCTGATTTAACCTTTAGTATGCAATAAATGAATTTTAAAAAAAGTTCTTCTATCTGAAGACTGATTTTGTTGTTAAGTACTGAAACGATATATCTTAAATATATATTAAAAAATGTATGACGTTTAATCCAACTTGGTAGACTTTCGTCGCTTCTAACTACATAATTAATCGTATTAAAAGCAACAAACCTTCGAACATTCAAATTTTCGTGGTTAAGCCCAATCTCTAATAAGCAATCTATCCACCATTCATTTCTTGAATTTTGGAGATCATACAAAAGTTTTTCAAATTTTTCCCAATTAGTTTTTAGTAAGTGAATACTGAAATTTTCAAAGCAATCCAAGATACAAATAAATGACTTGATATTATTTAAACGTTTGTGCTTATCAATCTGATCAAAAGTGTTTAAATTATTTTCCAATAATAATGTTTCAAACTTTTCCAATATAAACCTTGTACTTTTTCTTATTTCAAAATCTTTACTAGTAATACCTCGAATTAATGAAGTGGTAAATTCTCTATAATGGGAAATAAAACCATTAAAAACCAAATGTTCGATAAAATTAGGAATCCTCAGGGTAAAAACAAATACTTTTATATTTATATTACTTTCAAAGAATCTCATCATATTTCCGATAAGTCTACTTGTCTGTTCTCCAAAATTGTTGCAGTCCAAAAATAACGGGAAAAATAAATTTTGCGAATATTCTAATTTTGAAACAAACGAATTTATTAAGAAAATAGAACTGTCACTTTCATAAATCTCCGAAAAATTCTGAATTATTTTATAGATTATTTCGTTTAATTGGTGATTAAGTTCACTTCTATATTGCATATGATAACAGACATATAAAATTAGTTCAGTTAATGATTCAAATTCATTTTTATCCCCATTTATTTTAGTAAAAAAATTCCTCCAAATATCCATAATTATATAAAATTCTGAAAGATTTGAGCATGTAACATTGAAAACAATTTCATGGATTTGATCTTTAATTATGTTACATTTGATTTTGTAAAAATTAATTAAACAGTCTTCTAAGATCAATTCTTTAAGAGAGAAGCTCATATGCTTAGATATAAATTTTAATATGCAGATGTAACAAAGAAACTTTTTCTGAGATTTTATACAATCTGTTTCCCTAACAAGTCTCAATGTGACATCATAAAATTCTTGAATAGATTTATTAATCTGTTTTTCGTACTGAATTTTTAATAATATGTCTAATGTGTTTATCAATGTATTGTAGTTGTTTCCGCTTTTTTCAAGACTTTCTACTAATTGCTGAATTTGTTCTTTCATATTTTTTTTTCTTAAATCAAGTTTTTTGTAAAAGATGAAATTTATAGCCGCTTAATTTGTGAGGTATCGCAACTAGCGCTATAAACGTTTTTTAAATATTAGTATTTGTATCCAATATAATAAATTATAGTTAATAACAAACAATGTTAACATGTGTTTTTAGTTCCCTTAAAAACTGTTCATATTTAATTAGAATAAATGATTTTCAAATGAAAAAACAAGGAGTGAATCTGTTTTTTTTCTCAAATAAAAAAACATTTGTTTCATCTAAGATATGCAGATTTGTAAAGTTTTCCACATCAACAATACTTTTAAGTAGCCTAATGACAATTTACTCTTTTATGAATTTTGGTTACTACCTGAAAGATTCTATCAATTGGAATCCAAATTGGGACGGGGATAATAAACTTAAGCAAGAAAACAGCGGAAATGGTAAAGCCATAGGTGGCGAAAATACCCGTAGATGGCACCAAAATATACTAGTTAGACATGGCCAATACATTATTCCTGCTATAAAAGATGAAGAGAAAGTTCTAACTGATATTGGAAGGGAACAAGCCAATGAAACAGGTAAATATCTTTCACAACAATATAGAAACAAGGTGAATGCAATTTATCACTCTAACTTAACGAGGGCTAGGGAAACAGCAATAATCATCTCAAAGTACTTCCCTGGAGTCAAGCTAGTCGAGGATTCTAATTTGGCGGAAGGTGTTCCAATTGCCCCAAGTCCTTCCGTCAGCGGATTTAAACCGACAACAGAAGAGATTGTTAGTGATAAGGAAAGAATAGATAACGCATTTAATACATATTTTTCAAAAAAAGGAAAGTCATTTGACGAAAAAGTGGACATTATTGTTTGCCATGGCAATGTAATTCGGTACATGTTTTGTAAAGGGCTGCAATACCCCACAAGTGGCTGGTTGAGACTAAACCATTTGAACTGTGGCGTAACGAGAATGTCCATCTCTACTGATAGTCTCGTTATTTGTAGTGGTTTAGGGGATGGGGGGCATCTGAGCCCGAATATTCATACATACAACTAGAAATGCCTAATGGGTAAGAGTTTAGCCCAATTCTCAATTGCTGTATAATATTTTTTTACGTTTTAAGTTTCTAATACCGCTTTTAATTTTTTTACGAAGAGTGAATATCCAAAAAAAAAACCGCCGTGAAGCGCGAGGTTGTGGGTTTAAGGGGAGACGATGGTTGTCCAGATTGCAGCGCATGTCTTTGTGCAGCTGTTATTGTGGTCAATGCAGTTCCAATTCAGGCCAGTTCTATTTGAAACGAGATAGTTTATGAAGGGAATAAAACGTTATTTTTATTAAGTTTTCAGGTATTTGATTTAAAAAAAATTATACAGGTAAAATTGTTCATGTTCTAATGCATTATTGTAAATTGTGTACTTTATAAGATACTACTTAAATTGAATAGCACATTAAAATTAAGGTATTGAAGGATATTTATATAAACTTTTTGAAAGGTATCGCCATTTTTGGTTATTTTTTTGGGCGTTACAGCCTTTTAATGCTCTATGTTTTTGATCTACAAAATAGATCAATTTTATTCTGGATACAGGTATATTTGTTGGTGATACCTACAAATAAATCATTGAGAGATAGGAGATACATGGCGTTAGTTTTTAAACTTTTTATGAGCAGTTATCAACATGAAATCGCAAGTAGAAACTAATCAAAGGATGGATGGTGGATCTATCAGTAATCTTCCTCTGATTGAAAATATTCAAAGTAAAGACAATAGGCTAGTCAATAGGAATAACATTTTACCTAGCTTGGTCTCTTGCGACCTATTATCGGATGATCAGTCACTTATCGGCTCAAGAACTCTATCTGGTGATTCTCAATGTTTGGAAAATTATCCCTTTTTGACTGTGATAGGCCAGCAGGGATTGAACAATACTATTTCAGGTGGAGAACGTGTATTGATAGATTCTGTACGAAATGTAGGTTGCGATAGTAATGGTGAAGGGGACATGATTTTTGGATTGAAAAATAATAGGTATTTTGATGCTGATATTCAATCAATAAAAAGTATGGATAGTAAACTCAAACAAACGAATGAAAGAAGGGCTGGAAGGCCACCTTTAGATAGGTCTGATTATTTTTGCCAGATTTGCTCTGCTACAAAGACTCCTCAGTGGAGATATATTTCAGTCTGTTCAGTAGAGTCGAAGTTAAGAGTGTGTAATGCATGCTGGATGAAACAACGAAAAAAACGTGATGGTAAATGTTTGCCTCTCCAAATAGGTATGAGCAATAATTTGAATTGTTCAAATATTGGTGGGTTATTGAAAACATCAAAAATAGGAGTCAATAAAGAAAATTATGATTCTCAAAGACAAAGCTATACAAGAGGAGGAATGAGTGGAGTGGGATACAAGATCAGCGGAATTGTCAGTAAAAATATAATAGCAAACGGTAGAAGTATTTCAATAACTAATGGAGTTAGTAAAGATTGCAAGGCAGTTTCTCATGATCTTGTGGATAATTTAAAGACTTATGTATCTAATGATAACTTGAAAAATGATACAGTCAGTTGTAATGTTAACGCAGGGATGAGTAATGGCCAATGTATAAAACCTATTTCGTTTAGGTCGTCTCCCTACTCTGTGAGTACGGCTACAACCTGTTCTAATTCTACATTTGATTGTCAGTCATGTGGCAGTCAGCGATGTTACTGTTCTTCATTAATTGGACCCCAAGGTATTTCATTAACTAGCACAGTGTCTAGTGATCCTCTAGAAGGATCTGGAAAATTAGTTCCTGGTCCAAATAAAATAAAAATGCATTGCAATTTTAATAAGAGTATTTCTATTGATAAGCTTTCTTCACTTGATCTAGTTTGTGGTTCAGCAAATGCTACTGGAATGAATTACAAAAATAATGGTTCAAATAGCTCGTTAGATTTAAACAATCAATGTAATCAGAATGTTTTTATTGATAGTAACAAATTATCTGAGACTCACGTGGATGAGAGACGCAACTTGGTGGAAAATTTTTCTATTAGTGAAAAACTTTCGTTTGATATTAACTGTGGTATTGAGACAGGAGAAAGCAACATAAAAACAGGTATCGAAGAATCTTATGGAGGAAACTGTTTGAAAGTGAATGCCTCAAATATTAGTGAGGAAAGCCCTATAAATAGTATACAACAAAGTCCAAAGCAAAATTCAAACATAGACTCGTATCAAAGTCGAATTGGAGGCAAATTGAACAATGGCTTATTAACTAGAAAGTGTTCTGACAACAGAAATAACTTTATCTCTGGTGGCAAATTTTCTGTTTCAACACCTGTTCATCACCAAGCATCTACTACGGTTTCACCCAACACAAATTACTGTAATATCTCTTCTTACACTTCCTCTCCGTGCCAATCTTTCCCAACCTATGATGGCCCATTTTTGGAAGATCCAAACAAAACTATGTACATTTCTTCAGGTGTATACTTTTACCCTAACACAGAAACCAACCGATGGACTGAAGAGACACCTGTACAGTCCTCGGTGGGGTTAAATTCCTGCGTTGGAAATTCCAATACTGAAAGTGAGGAAAAAGTTGAAGCTTTATCCTTCCCATTAGATCAGGATACACACAATACTTTGTCTCAAAATAACGAACCAATTGAGCATGAACAGGCAAATTACACAATTTTTAATAAACATTTGGTTAACGCAGAGTCATGGAATTGCGACTATTTGCACATTGATATGTTTTGCATTCCAACAGCAGATAAAACTCCAATAAGTTCTGAAGCTTCGACTTCAGTTCCTCATTATTCAGTTGGTTCAAAGTTCTTTAATTCATCCGTATCTTGTACGCTTCCAACTGTATACTCTGCAGAAGTTCAGCAGGAAGATGAAAGTTCGAGTCAAAATGATTGTAACTCCTGGGACTTTGATTCTTCATCCATTTCTTGCATGGACACATGGCAGAATCCTCTATGGTACGATTCCTATTCGAATGGATTTTGTAAGTTGTCTTAACTATTTTCTTTAGGATGTAGATTTTAGTGGCTTTCGAGCTTTTATTTCTATAATAAATGTATATTTTCTACCGATTTTTTTTTCATCTGATGAAATATTTTGCACGCGGGCAAAACTTCATAACAAAGAGCAATTTCAATTTTGAAATTGCATGCATGAAAGGAAATAATGCCAAAGAAATGGCCACATGCAATTAAAATATTAATATTAACGAAAATCTTAACAAATCAATAAGAATTTTGGCATGATTAAGCATCCTTCAAATGTAAAATGAAAGAAAATATGAATAGTCAAAGTAACTTTGAAAGCAGAGAAATCAAATATGATGTAAGTTAAATTTTGTGTAGATTACAAGTTATTATTAACATATTACTAATAAATGGTAGGGAGGGGCAATTGATCAAGAATTTATCCGAAAGTTTGCGATGTTTATCAATATTCTCAGCACGTCCCAAAATAATAAAGAAGTTGTCACTGATACTCATAATCGAACTCTGAATGAAGCAGAAAAAGATTTTATAGGGCATTCGATATTTCAGGGATATACTCAAACAAGTGATTTGATATTTAATACTCAAGAAAAGATTAACGCGAATTTAATTGAAAAAACAAGTAATCCAAATGATTATAACCAAAACAACAATTCAAGTCCAGTTGATGAGTTAGGGAACCAGAACTGTATATCACTAGAAGCATTAAAGGGAAAAATGAGCCAAGATGTAGCCTTTGATTCTGATTTCAAAAATAAATCAAAAAATAACTTAGATTTAAACTGGCAAGAAGGAAAAGTATCCATAAAAAAAGGTAAAATTAAGGTTGAATGTAACTATGCATTTACTCCAACTAAATCCAGTTTAAGGGTAAGGTGTATATATTGCAAAAAAATTTATTTTAGTGTTAAAGGATTTATAAATCATAGAGGACGGTGTATTTATTATAAAACTTTCCAAAATACACAATATGAGAATAACTCTCAAAATTGTAAAAGCAATTCAAATAAATATTCACTATTAAATCCCATAGAAAAATCTTTTATGAACAACAATCAGCAAATATTAAACTCATTGGTTAGTACTCAACAAACTGAAAATAGTCAATACAATGCAAAAACTAATTCCAGTTTACAAAGCACAACAAATGAAGATGCAATATTATTTAATTATAACTTTGATAATAAATTCTCTTTTGAAGATAAAGAAATACAAGACAACCTAAATACAAAAAATTTATTAAGTAAGGCAACGAATGGAAATTTTCATATCATTGACTCTGATAAAAATGTTAATTCAAATTCATCACAATTTGAACTAAATAAAAAGTTAAACAGCAAGATAGAGAATAGAAGTTTGTACCGTGATAAAGTAGACATTGAAAACTTCAAGATGTATTTATATGCAGCAATTTCTTGCCTTCCTAAATATCTTGTGGCAAAAATATTGAAAAAAATAAATCCCGATGCTTCAGTTGTTATTGATGAAAATTCTGAACAAAATATTACAAAAGAAGAGTTAATTGATATCTTATTTCTTGGAATGGAGCCAACAGTTGTAAAAAACAGTTCTGAGTTAAAAAGTCAAACAAATGAAGAACCAATTGAATCGAATAAATGCCTATTGAATAAGTTGCAAAGTAATAAAACAGAAAAAATAGAGTTAGAACTTGAGTCAATCAAGCCAGAAAAGCAGAATAACAATGAAGTTTTAAAAGATGAAAGTTTTCAATCTAATATACCCGTATTCTTTAGGCATTCATTACCTAAAGATTCAGAGTGGAAGTGTTATATTTGTAAAGCTCAAAGAGAGGGAAAAGAGAGTATGAATATGTGCGTAAACTGTGGATATGTTTATCATTTGATATGTCAAAACCAGATTAATAGGACTACAAAAAATGATTGGTTTTGTGACTATTGCAAGACCTATGGAAATAAACTTAAACCTGGATCAAAATTTCAAATTGGAGAATTAGTATGGGTAAATTATAAAGGAACATTTTGGCCTGCACAAATAATGGAGTTTTCTAAAGAACAATTTGAAGCTTTTATTTTTCATATTGAGAAAAGAGTAGAAAAAAGTTCAAATGAAATATTATCTTGGTCAAAAGGGATTACATCAATAGATGGGCTTGCTTCAAAAGGTACTTTTGTTCGTGAATCTGTCTCAAGTGTTATGCACTGGCAATCCGTTTACAAAGCAATTAAGTACTATACGAGTTCCTTGAGGTCAAAACAAAGAAGGCTACCACAAATTAACAGCAAAAAGAATAAATCACCTGGATTCATGATGGATGATATAAGAAAAAAGAAAATAGGAAATCAAGCATTAGATGATTCAAATTCTGAGACACAAGTTTTTCATCCAATACCTAATCGAATAAGTGGTGAGTTAGAATAAGAATTTAATGAATAAGCTTTCTACATATTTTCTTCAAATTAATATTCAAAACGACGTCTAATAACAATTAATAGCTCCTATCAAATATATTTAACGAATTAAAAATTTATTGAGGTTAGGAATGAATTTATCAAATTTATTAAAATCTTAAATGAATAAACAAAAATTATTTATTTGATTGTAAACCTTTTATTTATTTTTTGAAAATTAAATTTTTAAATGCAAAACGTTTTACATGACTACATGCATGCAATAACCAATGTGATGAGTCATATTTGCCATATCAAAAAAAAAAAAATACAAATGATATGGCTGCTTTTTTTAATCATTACTATTAGTATAAATAATGAATTTTTATTTGGTTGCTCAAGCTCTGCTTTTAAATCAGGATACTCAGTTTTGAAACCAAAAACAGACAATAGAAATTATAAAAACGTTAATTTAAGAAATGGAATCACTGCATTGTTGATAGAAGACCAATTTTCAGAAAGTGCAGGTTTCACTGTAGGAATAAAAGCTGGATCTTTCAATGATCCCATTTATGCCTTAGGTTTATTTCATTTAATAGAACATGTACTTTTTTTGGGAACAAAAAAATATCCTGCTCCTGAAAGTTATGATGAATTTATGGCTCAGCATGGTGGAAAAAACAATGCATATACTGCAGAAGAAAGAACAATTTACTTCAATGAAATTGTGGAAGAACACCTAGAAGAAGGGTTAGATCATTTTTCACAATTTTTTATTGAACCGTTATTTTATGAAAGTATTGTTAATCAAGAAATTCATATAGTAAATTCAGAACATTTGAAAAATATTCCTAATGATCTTGATCGACTATTTTATACATTAAAGTCATACATGTACAGGCCAATGTCACAATTTACAACAGGAAATATTGAAACATTGATTGATATTCCAAAGGCATTAGGAATATCGATCCCAAAACAAATTAAACAAATTTATAAAAAGTATTATTGCGGAAAAAATATGTTTATTGTTATATCTTCCAAGAGAAGTATAATCGAACAAGAAAAACTTGTAGAAAAATACTTTTCGGGAGTTTTACCCGATAATAATGGGGAATGCGAATTCAATTCAAAAAAAATAAAACATGGGCCTCCAAATAAACCAATAATTAATGAGAGATATTTGGGTAAAAAGATTCATATAAAATCTGTGAGTGGACACAATTTACTATGGCTAATTTGGTCATTTCCAATAGATTTAATTTCTTCAGCTAAGCAACCATTGTTATACTTGTCATATGTTCTGAATTCTAAACATAAAAATTCACTATTCTGGATGTTACAAAAAAATAATTACATTACAAATTCAAACTCCTTCTATGAAAATTACAGTTTTGGTAGTATTTTTATCTATCAATTGGAACTAACATCAGAAGGATCAAAGAATGAGGTTGAAATAATTGGGTTAATATATAAGTTCATTAACAAACTAAAGAAAAGTAAAGAATTACTGGAGATTTATCAAGGTATTAAATTACTAACAGAAAGAGAGTTTGTCACGAACACAGAAATGGTTGAAAAGTCGCCTATGTATACTACATCAGAAATTTGCTCTAGGATGATTCAATATGGAATTCATGCGGCATTAAGCGGAGATATTCTAATCGAGGATATCGATAAGAATTTAATTTCTGAGATACTGAATACCATTTCGCCGTTTAATACACTATTTTTGTCAAGTGATGAACGGGAATTTTTAGGAGTAGAAGATAAAATTTTTCATGTGATGCACACTATTGAAGAAATTCCTCTGAAAACATTGAATGATTGGAAATATGCAAAATATAACGAAGAGCAAGAAAATGAAATAAAATTACCAATTCCGGAAAAGTGCTCACCTATCAATTTAAGAATTATTCAAGAAAAAGAATATCTCTCATATCCACAAAAGTTGGATTCTGCATTAGCTAATATATGGTGGCATGGACCTGTGAAAAAAAGCCATAAAATTGGAATAAAAATACTTTTAAAGTTTCCAAGGAGATATTATAAAGGAATCGAAACACAATTTTGGGGAGAAATAATTACATATATTTTAAACACTTTGATTGAAGAAAAAATGGAAAGGTACAACGAATGTGGAATTTCATTTTATATGGAGTGGGATGTAGAGGGAATCATAATAAATATTGATCTATTTGGATATTCAAATGATATAGATACACTTTTAAATGAATTAGTCGCACCCGAAATTGCAAATATTTCCAATTTTGATTGTGACGTATTGAATGAAATTATTCATGAATTAAATAATTCTAAATCAGGGTTTAAGTCCGGACAGGATACAACTATTTCCAAAATCATGTTAATAATTAAATCTTTGCAAACTAGTGGCGAATATACAGAGTGGGAATATAGAGACTTTATAAATAAAATGTTTATTGAAATTAAAAATAATGAACACAATTTGAATGATAATAAAAATTTTTTGGTTTCATTTATATATGAATACACACACAAAATTCGGAATTCAAACTCAAATGAACACAATATATGTGAATTGTTTAAAAACTGGTCATACAAACTACTACATAGACAATCAATTATTGCATATTTGCAAGGAAACATCTCCAAGAATAAATCTTCGTATTTAATTGAGAAATTTATACTAAATAGCAAAATATTACCACTTAATAATAAGTATTCAATGAAAAAGAAAATACACAAACTTGTCAAGCCGATTGATATTACGGTGATAAATCCAGTTATTGAAGATATTAACAACAGTGTACTTACGTTTTATCAGTTTGGAATTCCATCTTTTGAAGAAAAACTACACTTAATGGCATTACAACCAATTGTAAATGGGTATATATATGACAATTTAAGGACAAGCAAACAATTAGGATACATTGTTTTTGCAAATATTGTACCTATAAGTATTACTTGGTCGCTGGTTGTGGGAGTAGAGGGAGATAACAGCAATTCCGTTGAAACAATTGAGATGAATATACAAAATACATTGTACGAGTTTTCAATTCAAAAACTAGGTAATATGGGCAACAAAATGTTTGAAGATATAAAAATTACATTAATACAAGAATTGAAATCAATAGAAAATTCATTTAATCTAAGTCTTAGCCACTACTGGGATGAAATTCGTTATTTTGGGGGGTTTTCAGAAGGTTTTAATTTACAAAAAGCAATTGATTATATCAATGATAATATGACAATTGAACACCTTTATAATACATTCCGTAAACTAATCAATTCAGGTGAACGCTTAAGATCGCCCTCAACAATAAAGGCAGCTTATTACCCCAAAACTTCAAAATATTTTAAACAAGAATTTATTGATAGATATATGGTGGATGCGTTGAGTATGGCTCGTAGGTCGTTGAAAAAAGACGATTTCTATTAATCCAAAAAATAAATCATACAATTAAATGATACTATAAATGATTATAAATCTAATTGTGTCTTCGACTTTTGATTAATATACTATAAATCAGTTTAAATATAGAAGCTTATTCATTGTAATGTGGCTTCATTCGGAACCTTAATTAACGAATGAGAAAGTTCACGTATAATTTCAGGGGATATAAGGTAGTGATGTTGACTTCTAACTAAATCATTTAGCCTCTTGATTTGGGTTAACGAAAACTCGTATTTGTATCTTTGAACAAATACCAAAAGAGTTTTGTGCCAAGTTATGGGCAATATACTATTTGTCTGAATATTACTTGAATTCAAGTTGATATTATTATGCGAAAAAAACACAGAAGAGTCGTTATTTATAGATTTTTGGTCAAATTTGGTAAAATTATCTACCAATTCATCTATTACTTTCTTTGGCATTGAGTATTTTTTACTAAGTAAGACCATTATAAAATGTGTTTGACACGTATTCCATATTTTTATTTGAGAAAGCTTGATTATTGCTGCTGCTGTATGAAGAACGGGAATACTTACTTTGCTAAGAATACTACCAATTATAATTGCCTCCTTAATCGTACAAGTTTCATCTTCTGCAAGTGGCAATAAAATTCCTTTGAACCATGCAGCAGGTTTAAATATAGCTTTTTTGAGAGCTTGATAGTAATGATAATTCAATTTGCCATAATTTTGAGATATGTTTGTTCTAATTGTAGGATAAAGAATTTTAGAATAAAATTTTAACGAATCTTTTGGAGACAAGTTTGAGCAAAAAATTCGAACTGCTTCATTCATTGCATTTGGAGACCAATTGTTTGGATCAGTAAGATAAACCACTTCCTCCCAATTCTCAAGTTTTGGAATAATAGTAAATGCCTTTGGAAGTTTTCCAGATTTGTATTTACTAAGCCATTCACCGATAGAAGTATATACCTGAGCAACCTTTTCAGGAATGTTAGAATTTTGTTTTGATTTAGTTTCGTCTGACAGTTCTCTTCCTAAGTTGTTTTCACGCAATCTAGAAACAATCGAATCCACAATAACCGATTGATTGTGAATGTTTTTAATTAATTGGTCTTCATTCCCATCATTTTTTAGTAGTTCACTCCAGTATGAGTCATCCATTCCTGCATTATCAATTGCTCTAAGTTCATTTTCATCAATGCATACGAAACCGTTGTTATCAACAGAAAAACCGGATTTTTCTTCAGATTCGTTAAACTCTGTGCTAATTGCAGTTTTTGGCATTTCATCGTCATACAAATCATGAAGGAGCTGCTGATTTGCTTCATCTAGGATTTTCTTTCCAAGGCTTTGCGGTATTTCAAAAGGAAGTTGGTCTTCATTTGGAAAGTTATCATAGAGGGAGTCGTGAAAAGAATCTATAGGTTTGTTTTTTTTTGGCTTCGAGTAAGGGCAATTTGCAGACTCTATGTCTACATATAGAGGGTTTCTGTTTCTTGAAGGCTTGTTTTTACTTTTTCTAAACTTAGGCATTGAATGTATTTAAAAATATAAAAAAAATATTAGTTCGTTTCCGAATTCAAATATATCAAATATCTTTAAATATATCTGAGTTAATTTTTTAGATTCCTTTATATTACTCTTACAAGAATATTTTGGTCAAAACTCGCCAAACCGTCATTAGTTGACAAAATGAATGTATTATTATAATTGCGGCATACAATTAAGCGCCAAGTGCTGAGACAAATGCCAATATAAAAAATGTACACAATTAATAAATAGAAACATCAAAGTTTTTTAACAACTTACAAATAATATTGCGGCGTTTTATCAGTTAATAAAGTGTTAATTTGGAAAACTTGAATTATAACAATGACTTCATCTATTTCAACAGGAACGGTAGTTGGTTTGAATACTGGCTTTATTGTGACCAAAAGACCACAACAACCTAGACCAAGTTCACGTAAGGGGAAGCTTTCCGCAAGAAATGCCTTGGTTAGACAGGTAATCCGTGAAGTTGCAGGTTTTGCACCATATGAGAAGAGAATGATGGAGTTACTCAAGGTTGGATCTGCATCAACAGCAAAGAGAGCAATGAGATTTGCTAGGGCACGTTTGGGAACTGAAAGAAGAGCCAAGAAGAAGCGAGATGAACTTGTAGATATCATTCAGCAACAGAGAAAAAGGGCAGCATAAGTTAGTAAATTGTCCTACGTAATAATTAATTACATATCCTGTGAGATTTATTTCTCAAAATAAATTTATTACGTTAGATAAATCTCGATCTTATGAATCTTATTGAGTTCAGGAGAAACTGTTAAAGTAGGTATATTTAACTAACAGTTTGTTCTTTTTGCCGTATTTTTTGTCTTAATTTTCATAAAATTTGGTTTTCACTAGTTTCACTTACTGCAAATTTGGGATTTTATTTTCTATTGCTGATTCTTCGGAATTATCTCTGTAACATTCTTCGCTCATTTCGTTGTATCTGTATTTTGTGTCGAAAAATAACGGTTTGTTTAATATTTCTTTGTTATAACTTACCTCAAAATTTCTACTACAAGCAAGAAATTATTAGCGGAGTTCTGATCATTAAAAAGAACTGAAACAGTGTCGCTTTTTTCCATATTGGAATCGAAAATAATTGTAATGATTTGCTTATTATAATCGTTTAACGTATTATTGCTATTAGAATACAAGTAGTTAAACTCCGAACTGTTTAAAAGCGTATTTATCTGAGATTTCGTAAAACTGTAAATAAATTATCTAAATATGAACTTACAGCTTTAAATGGGATAATTATCGTATGGACAGGAGATTTAAATGTTATAATGTTTAAATTTCGGTTAATGTAATACTTTCCAGAAACAAAAGACTGGCTTGTATGATCATAAATATCAACTGATACTCCGTTTAATGCAGACTTTATAAAATAGTTCACTAGGTCATTAATATCTGTGGAATTTGTAGATATTCTTTTATGAATTTCTGTAGATTCGTCAGTTTTAGAAGAGTTTAACTTATATTGAATATCGTTTGAGTCCTCATCATTTATATGCATCAAAGAACACCAATCTGTATTAAAATTATTCGGGTCCGTGCATGAACCTCCACCAATTGAGTAACAACAACTTTTCACTAAACTCCACATATTTATGAGTTTTTTCATATTTTTTTTTAATAAAGGGGAAAATTTACATGTATATGCTCGAATTACAAAAAAAAGTTTAACAGAATACTAACCTATTAAAAAATACATTCAATAATTATATATGAAAGCAACTAATTTCATTTGTAATAGTAGTGACTCATAGGGTTACTTCCTTGTTGGACCAAGTTTTGCCAAATAAATGACATACTGTTTGGTAGTTGGCAAGATGTGTTAAATTTGTTATTGGCGCCATTCAATACATGTAAGATCGATTTGTTGGAATTATTTACCTGAGAATCTATCAGTTCTCCTTTGGTTTCTAATTGGTAAAGCTCATTAGATTGGTTTTGCCCGATAATATTGTGTAAACTAGAAGAAGTTTCGGGGATATTTGGGAATGGGTTAAGCGGCTTTCTTAATTTAGCAATGGGGCATTGTAGGGACATAAGGAATTGAGTTCTTAGTAACAAGTTGTGGTGAGGAGAACCAAAATCGGGAATATTATTCAGTAGTTCTCTAAGTTCAGGCACATTATTAACAATTATTGGAACTTTATGAATTGCCTCTTCTTTAATTAGTTGTAGTTGAGTAATTAAAGCTTCGGTTGAGCCAAGTTGCTTTAATTGAGGTATTTTTTGTTTAATGCCTTCGATAAAACGTTGTGTGTTTTCTTCCATTTGATCTATTTTTAATATTAGATCATTTTTTTGTATTGGAAGACTTTTTAAAAATTCTTTAACGTTCTTTAATATCTGGATATTTTCAAATTTTGGGTTTAACGAAGGTTGGTTGGAACCAACAATTGTACCTGGCGTTTGTGTAAGGGTTTGGTTGAAGCTTCCTGGAGGATTTGAAACTTTTGTAAGAGAATTCAAATTGCCTGAATTATCAAAAACTTGATTAACGAAATCTTCGTAGCTCTCAATTGAAGCCAATATATTTCCAAAAGAATATACGGCTGGGTAAATGCAAGGTAGGTTTAAGCCCTGCTTGAGAAATTCAACATAAACTTCAAAATCGTTTGGTGTTTCCATTAAAAATTTGTATCTTTCATTCCATTCATTACATTGATTTATGGAATCTTGAATTGTTTCAAAACATTTAATAAAGCGTTTTATACGTGTAATTGGTTTGTTTTCCTGATTTTGGAAACATACGCTTTCATCTTCAAAAACAAGACCATAATATTCTGGTGGTATGAGCCTAAAATTATAGATTTTCGTGAGATTGGCATCCGACTCTTTCCAAAATAAAATTTGTTGATTTATCTTAACCAAAGTAGAATGTAAAGGTTTTGGATTAAGTTGATTACAATAAACATTTGAAATTTGCTTTCCATAAAGTAGTAAAATTGATTCCAAATAATATGTTAACAAGAGATGAGAAATAATATTTTCTTCAGGAATTATTATTCCAGATTTGACGATATTAATTAATAAAGATTCAACTTCCGTTTTAAAGTTTTTCCCATTTAGTTTGAATTGCTCCGGATTTGTAAATAAATTACGATTATTTTGATCTGTACTTAGAGGCTTAGTAAAGTTTTCCTGGCTAAAATTTTTAATGCAATTAAAAATTGATAAACATTGTAACTGCAAAAATCTCGCCTTTGGTAAATTAAAATAAAAAATTTTGTAAGATTTAAGTTTGATTGGAAAGTTTGGCGAAAAGTGAACTAAAATATATTTGAAATCCTCCCAAGAAAGCCTCTTTTGATGCTTTAGAGTATTTATAAACGATAAGTCCTCAGATAATTGAAAATTTTTCAATATTGCGAGGTTTTCACTATAACTTGCAAACTTCGAATTGAAGAATACCAAATATTTCAATATGCAATACAACCACTCTATTTCAACAACCCCATCCAAGCCAATTAAAGTTGCATTAATGTACAAATTCAAAACTTCATCAATTTCTAAGGGTTTTGATGAGCCTGGCTCAATTATTTTAATTCTGCCTATATATTCTGGATCAATACTACACAGATATTCATTATTAATATCCTGGAAGATCATGTTAAAGTTTAATTGTAAAGTACGAGTTAAATTGTTCATAGTAGATGGAATGTTTCTTTTGATTTGTTTTGCAACCATTTTGTTTGGAAACAAAATACGTCTCTTCCTTCCTTTTTTTGGTTTAACAGAAGCTAACTTGGGATTTAGCATTTCCTTTGCTGAAATTTTGTTCTTTAATAATCTACCTTTACGGCTAGTTTGCGTACTATTAGAAATATTAATAACTTTATAGTGCTCAATTTCCTTTTCTTTTCCTAAAATTTCATTTATTTCAATTTCATCTGATGGCTCACTCTTTTCTTTAAATATTAAGTCTCTATCTATCAAAGGTTCCTGTATTTCAAATGGATCAATAAAAACTAAAGAATTAAATTCCGAAAGTTCACACTGATCCCATTTAAATAATCTGTAAAAGTCATTTACCCAAACATTATGCAAGTAAAATGTGTTTGCAATTATGTTTCTTTCGTGAAGTTTAATAAAAAAAATTTTTTCAGAAAGACTTTTCTTCATAATTTGTTTAAGATTTTCTAGAGAAGGGACTTCTCTCTTTAACAAACTATCAGAAATGCCATTCTCTTCTGATTGATCAATAGACTTACAGTGTATATCTGAAAGTATGTAAGCATTATTATTGTGGCAGAGTTCAAAATTGATACTGTTCTTCAAAAAGTTAATAATAGAAGCAGAGCGACTGATTGAAGTTTCGGATCTCAAAGTACATGAAGGACAAATCCAAGATGAAAATTCATTTGCCAAGCTAGAATTATTGGATAATTTCCCAGGGAAGTGATTGGTTTTAAAAGAATATTCAACACAATCTTGGTGGTACCAGCGAATGCATTCATCACATGCAATCCAGCGACTATTGCAACCTAAAGCTGGACTAATGTTATTTTTTCGTTTCCCAAAATTGGAACAAATAGAACATAATTTTGCAGGATTTTTTTCAATACTATTATATACTTCAATACAAAGAATGTAGTCTATCAACAGTTTATTTTTATAAATCTCCTTTTTTGGATAATTTCTTGGATCGATCAATCCAATATATTGGGATAAGCAAATTTTTTTATCATTTTCATCAATTACAGATTCTTTTGGGCCTGATTTGCTACTCCTATTCCAATAAAAGTAATCGTTCTCAGATCTAGTGTTTGAATCACAACTTTGTAAATTATTTGTTTTAAAACTTTTTTCATCTTCATCAATCATTAAAATTGATAATAATTCTTTAACATTAAAGTCATTTTTATTGTTTTTGTCCAATAACCACAAATAAAATGACTTAGGAAAAATACAATTTGGCGATTGATCTATCTCCTTATAATCCAGACAAATATTATTAAATACGTCTTCAAATTGTGAGTCATTCTTTGTAAGATCAGCTTGTTCTCTTTTAGGCCTTCCTCTTGGCCTTGGAGGTTTTTTTACTTGTATGCCAATTTCATTATTTTTTTCGAGGTTAAAACCAGGTTCACATTCATAAATGTTGAGACCAGATAGGATATTCATAATTTCTTCTTCTTGGATATTATAACTATTCTTATCAAGACTGATAGTTTTCATTATTTTGCTTTTTTTCGATCTTGGGGTAATTTCTTTAACTTTTCCTTCAATATGCATCCATGGGGATAAAATTGTATTATTAGGTAATAGTAATATTGCTTCTCTAGCAGAAATTGCCCACTTTAACGAATCTACTAAAATATTGACAAGCCTTGATTTCATTGGTATTTGGATTGGTAATTGGTCGCATGTCTCAATGAAAGAAATGAATTCTTTGAGTGATGAAGTGCGTTGAATATGCTTACATTCAAAATTAGCTATATCACTAATGTTAATACTGCTAATAAGAATATTATTTGAATCAAAAAAATCAAAACAAACATTTTTTTCCCAACTTTCAAAAATAAATAAATCATTTTGTTTCTTTGCTGGTTCAATGCAATTTATTTCATCGATATCATCTCCCAAGTTAGTTTTAATGATAATGGGGAATCTATGAACAATTAAAGTCATCCAAAGCAATGAGAACTCAACCATCTGGCATAAATCAGACAACTCTTTTAATCCAAATTTAATAAACCTTTTTCCGTAGTTAATTAGAAAAAGGGATAATTCTATAGTTGGCATTTCAATATTCTTTAATAGATTGATAATACCATCAATATTTTCTTCATTAAGCTTTTCTCCATTAATTAAGGATTTAGACCTTTTGTTTCTTTTGTAATTTATATTCTGCGTTGGAAAATTAGGATCTGGTGTGGTTTCATTTTTATATTCTGATTCTCTCGATCTCAAAAAGCCATTAGCGGACAGACATTCCTCTAATTGTTCAATATTAAATTTTTCATCATCAGATAAATGCTTGCAATATTTAACATTAATATATGATTTAATAGAGTTTAATAAATCTTCATAATATGATTTTACATTATTAGATAAAGCATTCTTATTGTTCCTTAAATAATGTAAGAGGTTCATAGACAAAGAGACATTATATTTCGAATAGTCATTACAAAATAATTCGTGAGATTGTTCATTCTTACATGTTACATCCTTGTCAGGCATTGATAAGTCAGTAAAACTTTCATCAATTTTGAGAACGTTTAGTAACCTTCTAATTAAATAATTATTTCTTTCTTGAAATGGAATTAAATCAGTTATATTTGAGTTACTGTATCTATCAAGGATTTGCTTCCAATTTAATTGAAATTTAAGTTTATTGACAAAATGACCTTTTTGTGGCGTAGAATTGATCAAAGAGACACCTGCGTCACTTTCAAGATATTCTTTGATCAAATAATCTAGTGAAGATTTTACGTTGTATGATAACAAGTTTTCTGAAATTTCTTTGCTATGAAAACTTTCAGTTTTTTGATTTTCAGTTATATTAAAATGAAACATCTTATAAATTTTCAACCATTCATTTGATATGTATACAGCTTTCTTAAATTTTTCAAACAGATCAATGTCTATATATTTATTTTCAGCCGATATTTCAGTTAGATCAGGTTCCTTCAATACAAATGATTCAGAATTTAAAACTATTTCTTTAAGTTCGTTAATTGTGAGTTGATTTTCTCTCGTAATTTCAGAAAAATTGGTTTGAAAATCTTTGGTTTCATTCATATTTGAATTGGTTTCTGGCATGATGTTCAATTTATTTTCGATAATAAAATCAACAATATCACTTGCTTCATTGAATGTGAGGATCTTTGACTCATTCAAAGTAATAGGAACACTGTGCGAGATGGTTGAAAAATAAGGATTTTCTTTATTTATTAATGCATTGAACATTTTTTCATTGATTTCACGTAATGATATTTCTTCTTGAATATAGCTTGTTATATTCATAGAAATTGGGTGTTTAATACAACTTTCTAAGAGGTTCTTAAGGCTTAAAGTAAAATTTTTAATTGAATCAATTTGATTTGAAATTTCTGATTCTTGGTCATTTTTATCTTGAAATCTATTTAAATATTTATTTAATAATTTAGAAAAAAACTTATCTCTTCTTTCATTAATGCATATGTTCAAATATTGAATTCCTTGACTACGCAGTTCATTGAAAGAATCTACACTTTTCTTCAATTCTCTAAAAGTAATAAGTCTTTCACCAATTCCATAATCAACCCGAACTAAAAGCTCTGCAATGCTATAGAGTATTTTATTATATTGGAACTTATTACTTTTCTTGTACTTATTGGCTTTATTAAAAGTATTGGAAGAGAGAACTGTAAGATATATTTCATTCCATTCAATTGACTGCATAACTTGTGTTTCAAATTCCTTGAAAATTTCGTGGTCAATGATTCTAATTGTTCTACCTTTTTGTAACAAACTATTCCAATACTCAATTCCCATTGAACCATTTAAAGAATTACCACCTTGAACATCTTTTATCCAACATTCGCATATAGATAAATCCTGAATTAATCTACCAGTATACTTTAACTCAGTTAAAATGTTTCTAAAATCAGTGATACCCCATAAAGACTTTGAAGTAAGTCTCTCATTTATATTATTTAGGTAATTTATCACTGTTTTTCTTTCGATCTGAACAATATTTGTGTCTTCAATATTTGAACACGCACCCTCTATTTCTTTTAAATATGAGAATTCTGAGAGAGTATATTCATCACAGCGGTTTAATTCATCAAGATATATCTGCCATTTGTCCCATTCAATAATTCTTATTGGTAGATCAGAAATCTCAAAATTTATTTCACTAAGTCTTTTATAAGAGTTTAAAAGTGAAAATGGGTGTTTCAAGTCAAGTGAATTATTAGATTCTTCATCTCCAACTTTAAGAATCGAAACAATTCGATCATAGTCATTCATCATTTTGTTTATTTTTGATTCTAGTTCATTAAACGATATTGGTAGATGCTTGAGATTTTCTAAAATATTACGCCAAGTTACAATATCTTTTTTTTCAGTCTCATATTGATGAATTAAATCAGTCCAATAAATTAGTATATTTTGTAATTTTTCTATAAATGCAGTGGCTTCGAGTTCTTTTATTTGATTCCAGTGTGATATATTTATTTGTTGAATATCTAATTCTTTGATGTTAATTTCAGGGCTTTTTGTACAAAAGATTGCTTCAGGCTGCGTTGCATTACTTTCGCATGCATTCAAGCTATGAACTGTTGAGTCGTTATTTTGTGAGACAAATTCGTCGCTTTCTTTTTTTATATTTGGTAAAGATAAAACCATCAGTTTCTTAGATTGAACTAAAGCCACACTTTCTGTTTTTGATAAATCAGAATGATCAAAATCAATATATGAGTTGATGTCGTTAAATCTTTTAATAAGTGAATTTAACTCGAAGTCATTAATAGGAGCTTGGATTTTATTAATGTCCATTTTCCAAAGGATAAAATGTAGTTCGGCAAAAAGAGAATCCTCTGTTTCTTTTGAAACTAGTATGCAACTGCGCTCTAAAAGCAAGTTGATTACAGTTGCAGTATTTATTCCAGAAATCTTAGAGCATTTTAAATATTCTTTTCCTTTTTTTAACCATTTTTCACAGCCATCCTGGCAGGATGTAAGTTCTTGTAGAATTGTCATTTCATATATAGTAAGCTCATTTCCTGTCTCTATCAATTGCTTAAGTTTTCCATAACTTAAGCGTTCTTGAAATTGTGAGTTCATGAAGTCCAAAACTTGTTGAATTTCAAGTCTTGAAAATTCATTCCCTTTTTTTATTCCAGAAATTGTATTCCAAATGCTTGAAGAAACATAGTTAATATCTTGTTTAGTGTGAAAATCGGAAACAGTTTTTAGGAACTCCTTACTTGTATTTAGCCAATTACCACTCTCTTCAATTTTTCTTCGCAGTTCCGGGAGGTATTCACTCATATCTAGATATTCGCATAATGTATATTCTGCTTCTTCTAGAATTAATTGCGCTTCCATGTAAATACACAAACCATCCATTAATCTTTTGTATTTCTTATTCCACTTTCTCCAACGTAAATATACAGGCTCCATGTATTTCATCAAAGGAATAATAATTTTAAGTGTTGAACTTTCGAGCCAAACTTTTTCAAATTCACTAGGTTTTGGGAGCTTCCACTCTTTGGACTTTTCCATGAATACTTTTGCTTGATCAATAATATTTTGTGTAGTTTCAGAAATGTCATTTGGTGCTGTAATCTTACAAGCAGCAACTAAATTGTATACAAAAGGTGGAGATTGGACAATATTTAGCCATTCTTGGGCCTTACTAACTCTATTAATCAATTGTTGTTTTGCTGACACATTTTTTTCATCCAAAAATTTTGCTGCAGGCTCATTTAGCAAATTTTCTGCAAAGTTTAATTTCATTGGACGACTTAGGCTTCTTTCTACTTTTTCAATCCAGTTACTTGCTGCTATTTGCTCATTTAGGTCATTTATTCCAGTAAATTCGATTAGTATCTCGTCCTTATCTTTAATAGAATCCTTACATTTATCCAAATTTTTCTCAATTATTGCCGATTGTACATTACTTCTCCAAGACTTCAATTTTTCTAATTGGGATTTTAAGAAATCCAAATAATTTGACCTGAAAACACAGTTTTCACCTTCTTTTAACAGCTCATACAGCTCTGTAATTGGGATCTTGCAAGTTGTTTTGAGAGATCCCAAATCAACCGTTGATTCGTTCTCTATAGAAAGTAATTTTTTGATTTTTTCTTCAAATGCTACCGAATATTCAACGGCATTTACAAGTGATTCCAATTCCGGAAGTCTAATTTTATTACTTAATTCTATTCCTTCCCTTAACAACTCAAGTCCTTCATTTAAAGTATAATTTAGGTTCTTGTAATTATCATTGAATATAAAACTAACACTCTTTCTCCAATTATCTATAATGTTAATGAAAATTTGTTGATTTATTGTCATTTCCCAAAGTTTACCATAGGAGACAGGACTAGAATCTACTGTTGATTTATTAACTGATTTGCTGGATATTTTTGTTTCATCAAAGACATTTTTTTGAGTTGAAAAAGTCTTTTGAGATTTGTTTATTGACCAGCTGAGCTCATTCTTAAACAAATTAGTCAAATCAAAATCATTTCTATTTTTTATTGAAGAAAAATTTGCTACTTTTAGATCTTCATCTCTTGTTAATATTAACTTTTCCGCGTATAAAGGAAAGCGTTGTGATTCTGAAGCATAATTTTTAGACATATGCTCTAATATCTTTTCACCCGAAAGGTAATTAAAATCAGTTTCCATGCCTCTAAGTAAAAATCTCAAGTTTTTAAGGGTTTCACAAGCTTTTTTATCGGAGTTCTCATTCTTAGCAAGGCTGGGCTCATATAGACGTTCACACTAAAAAAAAGCAAATAGAGAAAATAAGAAACAACCAATAAAAATGCATAAATTCATAATAAAATACTTTCATATTTCATTAAACTTACCCTTTTGAATGAAATCTTTATTTCGTCTTCGCCGTTAGGCTCTGAAAATAACGGAGGTACCCATGCCTGGTAAATACTAGGTTCTACACGGCTGCTCTTTCTTAATTTTCCACTACTCTGAAGCATCTCTATTTTTCATATTATTTTAAAATTTATATAGCCTTATAATCTATTTATGTTTACTTAAGAAAATATAGAATCATAATACAATAAAAATAAATGTAATAGACTTTAGGCAGGAATGTTGCAGCCAATACTACCGCATTTTAATCAACAATTAAGAAAAGCAAGTTTTTTGATTTAAGATGAATTACCGTCGAAGTTTGTATTATTATTATGATTTGCTTGCAAGTATACTATTTCATAAATTAGCTTAACAGGTAAAATTAACAATGAATTTAAGAATAGCAAATAGAACAAAAATTTAAACCATCAATAAACAAGTTAACAAAACACTATTGTTATTGGGAACATCAAATAAACTCCTAAGAACATTGAAATTAAATAATAGCTTGCCTTAAATTTGCAGTAATTGAAGCACTACAAGCATTATCTGTATTGATTTGTCTAAACAATGAAAGTAAATTCTAATGTTTAAGAATGCCTTTCTGCTATACATGAAATCACTTTTTGTATTAATATACATGGAATCATCGAATCAAAAGATATATCTTAACAATATATTTAGATAAATACAACAATTAAATTACTAAAAAAATCAAAAAAAAACATAAATGAATGGCGCCTAGAAATAATGTCAAATTAAATAGTTTAATGAATAAGAACTCCTTAAATAAATCATTAAAACCATAAACAATTTTAGTTTATCGGGGTGATATCGATAATTGAAGTTTATGTCTTGAGGAGGGGGAGAATTGTGGTAATGAGATCAAAGATAATAGGGATTGGCCAGACTTCTACGATGAAAAGAGAAGTTAGGTGGGCGGACATTGAGGAGGATGACCACATTTTTCTTGAGGGGACAGATGATATGGTTAAAAAATCTTCGGTTGGGCGGCAACTGGAACAGTTTGATGAGCTAGAAAGTGACCATTCTTTGGAAATTGAATCATCAAATATATTTCTTCCATTAATTAAAGGTAAATGTTCACGTCTAGCTAGGAGACAACAAAAACTTAATGTTATAGATGACGATATAGATAAGATTCTTAAAGAATTTGGCCTAGAAGACTCTTTTGTAGAGACTGAAGAGGCCGAGAAAATTGTAAACAATAATGGCAACACCTCTATCGGCTGCAAATCTTATCAACATAAAGTTTCAGAGGAATTCGTAGCAAAAAGCAGTGCAAGTGCATTGTTTGAGATTAAAAGCCGTAATAAGCAGAAGAAGAAAAACCCAGCTAATAATTGCTATTATTAGGTGCAAATATATTTTATTTATTGCCTTATTTTTATAAGCAAACTATAGGGAAGATATCTTTTAAGTATATGCATATAAATACTAGTTCCTCTTTATCTGATTATTTGTATTCCAAAATGATTGGTTCATTTTCTCTCCCTCCGACTTGACAATTCTTTTCTTTCAACTCAGGATGTTAGGGCCAGAATGTTGCGCTCAGTTACCAGAGGCTCAAATCGTATAGGTGGTTAGTACACCGCGTTGTGGCCGCGGCGACCCAGGTTCGAATCCTGGTTTGAGCACTTTTTCCGGTAGGGTCTATTTTTACCAAAGCCATTTTTTTTGAGATTAAAATCTTCATAAAAATTGGATTCCAAATATTCATAGAATATATTCACTTTTTACCGAAAAGGTATTGTTGTATGAGAAGTCTGCAAATAAAGAATATATTTAATGAAAGATAAAAATTTGCATTATGTACCAAATTCCCTGGGTTGTTAAAGAATCTTGCGTAGTGACAAATGAGGTTGCATACCATCTTATTGGAAAGTGTATTAGAAGTGTTGGAAGTCTAGGTAATAATAAATTTGAAGAATGTGGTTCTTCTGGGCAAGACACAGTAAGAGAAATAGAGAAACTTGCAACAGAGCAACTTCAGAATATTAGAGAAAGCTTTATTAACAAAGGTGAATATGACAATGAATGTTTTGAACTTCTTCGTGTCAAAGGAACAGTTCAATTACTACCTAATAGTATTGGAAATATTGAAGATTCAATTAGAAAATACTTATGTTGCTTTCTATTTCACTATATTGCAGAGTTTCACGGAGTTTGGGTATGCTTTCACAAAATAAGTACAATTAATACGTATGGTTATATACCAGACTCAGAGCCTAATGGTTCTTTTCTTGTGAATATCGAATTCAAAGCCTTAGTTTTTAAACCCAAAATAGGTGAATTGTTAATATGCCGAATTTCACATGTTTCACCATCTCATATATCTGGAATTACTTATGGGATTCTGAATGTGGTAATTCCAATGAAAAGCTTTAAAGGAGATGAATATGAATTTCAGAAGGCAGATTCACTAGCATACGAGACAAATACTTTAGTAAACAAAATAAACAAAGAAAAGAATTTGAAAATCGGATCGATTATATTTGTCCGTATAAAAAAGTATAATTTTTCTGATAATGGAGACTTTATTTCATCTATAAATGGTCAATTTGAATCTCTTATTGACTAAAATCAGTGCATTGTTTTAAATGCAACAGATGAAGGTAGAATCAGGTTTAGTTTATTTTCCTGAACAACTTAATTAACAATCCTAGGTATTTAATTCGTATTTGAAATGTTAACCTTTCAAAAGTAATTGAATAATTCAAACTCCACTTATGAATCTTGATTTGGAACGAAAAGAGTTGACAAATTGTAACTAGATTTTGATGTTGGGGTATCTCCGAGAGTTACAAAAAGCTCCTCATGAGAAATGTTATAAAAAGAAGGATTAAAACTATAATAAGAAAGGTGTGAAGCCAACTCGCCTTCGTGTTCTTCTGTGTTGAATAGATGTTGATTAATAATACTTACTTCTCGTTTTTCTACACTAGGGATAGTAGAATTGATACCGTAATTTCTCTCAGAATTAACATATAATTCTTTAGGATTTCCATAGAAACTACTTGAAGAATTTTGATAGTTAGTGCCAATTAAATGATTGTTATCCTCAATATTTTGGTTTGGTCTCACTAAGGATTGATTATCGAAAGAGGAAACTAATGAAAATTGATCAGTTCTTGGAGTTTCAAAGCTTTCGTTGGATATTGTATCACCTTCTGTAAGACGGTCTTGCATAGATATTTGTTTTTCCATATTGTTGATCCGGCTTAATGGGCTTCCTTCGCGAATTAAGATATCGTCTTTTTGGCATAACTTAAAGCTATCGCTTCGATTATTTGTATACGGAGGAAAATTATGTAGATACTTTGTGCCTATTATTTTTTGTTGATCAGAGATTTCACATAGTTGTAAATTAACCCCACAATCGATTTGGCTTAATTGAACATATTTTTGCTCGCTTACAACTGTAGAAGTGTTAACTTCCTTATTATTACTCATGCAGCCTAATTGGTTGTTTTTATTATTTACTTGTTTGGAACTCCAATTTTTGTTTAAGTGATATTCGTTTTCTTTTTCGTAATCTTCTATATTTAGACCATGTCCTTGTAATAGTTTTACTAGCCTGCCTCCATCCCAGGAAGGCTTTGAAGTTTTTGAGTAATTGTCAAAATTGTTATTAAACTTAAAACTAGAATAGTTAATTCCTCCATTTACTACCCCAATATTTGGATTCTTTAAATACAGACGCTTTTGATGATTTAAGTCAATGCCATCACACTGTTCTAAATATAAATGATTCCCGTGAGAGTTTTGTCCAAGTGGCTGCTCATAATTCCTCAACAAAGTTCTTCTATACCTCCTTCTTCCTCTCATGGAACTTCTCCTAATGGTTGACAATGAGCCTGATTCTCTAGAGTCCAAATATAAATTTGTAACATTTACTGAGTCATACATGTTATTAATATCATGATTGCTGTTAAAGCCAGTTGAATTCTCACAAATCAATTTTTGAGAGCCAATATTTCCAATATCATCAATATTTATGTGTTTATTAGAACGAGAAATTTGCAAATTTCCCTCTGTAATGTTTTCAATATAAGGCCCATATCCCGTACTAGTATATGCCCTTCTGTTTTTATCAGAACATTCATAATTTAAGTTTTGTTCCATTATCATTTGAAAAGATACAAACTTAACTTAATAAATAATAATTTAAAGATCATTTAATTTCTTAAATGGACACAAATCAAACATGAGGGGTTCAGAAAAGATGCATGTATTTCCCCCACCTTAAAAGTTGAGACAATAATACTTAAATGCGAGACCGTAATTGTTGAAAGAAAAATCAATTTTAAAGTAAATACTTAACCTGGTGGCCATGAAAAGTTACGGCCGCCTAGTATATGAATATGCAGATGAAATACTGTTTGGCATGAGTCTTCGCCATCGTTTATTACGACTCTAAAATCCTCTAAACCTAAAAGTTTGGCAACTACTGGAATTTTAGTCATTAAGTGCCCCAATATTTCTTTGTGTGCTTCAGTAGCTTTGCTTAACCTCGTTAAACCACTCTTCGTTTTTGGAACTAGCAATGCATGTACTGGGGCGACAGGGTTAATATCATGGAAAGAAATACAAAGATCATCTTCATAAATTTTCCTACATGGTATTTCTCCACTAACTATTCGATCAAAAATTGTAACTTCTGAATCCACCATTGAACAAAATGCAAAACACGTAGAGAATTAATATCTACTGAATATGTCCAAATTTACAAGAAATCAACTCAATAGTCAATATAAAAAGTTTGTCTTTGAGCGGGAATAACTTATATGGCTTTTAAAACCGCAATGTTGTACAAAAGAAATTGCTACTGATTACGAATATTAAGAAAACGCCGTAAATAATAATTATAGCGTAAATTTAAATACCAAAATAAAACATATTATTCTTCCATAAATAAATCTGTTATGTAGTAAACCATAACATTGTATCCGAGTTTTTTTTCGCCACAAAAATTAAGAACCAAGCCTTATTTTATTTAACATAGTAAATAATAAGCAACACATATTTCAACTACAATAAACTGAGGAAAATAGACCAAATAAATTCATTCGTAGCTAATACTAATGTTAATCTCTTCACTTTCAATAAAATAGTCATCTTCTACACTGTCCTCGTATTCTTCACGAGTGAAGTCAGTATCAAATTCTTGAAAGGATACATCCTGTTGGTCAAACTCGATTTCACTTGAATAGCTATCTTCAAAATGATGAAACATTGATTCCTGATCCATTTCAGTGCCGAAACTAGATTCTTCGTTAGAACACGAATTAAGCCAAGAAATAGTAAAATTATTACAGCAATTCTCGTCACTGTAGTTCCAAAATAATCTCTTAATTTTTCGATTGCCTGTTGAGTCATCTGAATCCTTGAGAGGTATGCATGTTGCTGCAAAATCCGCAATAAGGTCTTGTGCATATTCTTGTTTGTCTTCATTAATGAAATCCCATTGAGTTAGGTCATAAAACTGGCCTAATCTTTCCTGCTTAGTAACATAAACAGTTCTGAATTCAACCGTCTCACAGAATGCAACAGAGCATTTAGGTTTGCTTCTTTCCTTTACCTCACTACTTGGCATACGTAGGACGCCTTTTTTATTCTCGCGAATTGGAGAAATAGATAGCATTGAAATCAAATAATCACGATACCTTATTAACTTCCGAAAATTTTAAGGTGGAGGCAATTAAATTCTCATATTCGTACTCACAGAATAAAAGTAGTTCAGAAGGATCAGTTCTAGTGCAATTCTCAAGTCGAGATCGATAACTGCCTTTAATGAATGGTACGGTCTGACTGTTGATTACCACAAACTGTCATGATTATTACAAAAAATCCGCGCCTCTCCAATAAATACAAAAAAGCGCCACAATAGTGATTTATGTCAACTTCCAAAGTAAGTGTAAAGATAATTAACAAAAAATACAAAGTAACGATTATGTGACAAAAAAATGTTTACATTAAAAGAAACCAAGTATAGAGATGAGGGGTTAGATAAAATAATGTGCTATCAGATATCATTCAAGCATTATAGTATTTGAAGGTGCTTAAGAATGATTGATAAAAATTTAGTCATTTTTGAAAAGTTTTTTAAAAATTTATACCCCGCCAACAAAACAGGCGGGCGGGAGACAATACTTATACTATTGTTAATATAAAAGGGCATCAAATTGCTAGTGGACTAAGAAAGGTAGAATGAGGAAGGTGAAAGTAAATTGGAAAGTTGTGGGTATACGTCTTTCTACGTACGTGTATTTAGGGGGAAAAGGTTTAAAGCGCAAAAAGGTATAGACAGCCAGACAACAATCAATAATAGCCTATAATAATACCGTCAATCTAAGTATTATTAGCTCAGCAGTTAAGAATTGACTATAGAAAGTTTTATATTATTCTATTGCGAGGGAGAAGGGGAAAAATCGTCAAATAAAAAAAAACGAGAATAGTTCTGTAATTAAAAAAGGCTTTCAGAGCAAATCTTATATTAGGCAATAATACTGGGGATGAGAGTATAAAACCTTCTATTTGCTATGGATACAGATTCAGCGAATGACACTTTTTTATGGTCTTTGACAGAAATAGAAAATGATTGCTCATTATGTTTAAGACAAATTGGTATATCGAATAATATACCAGGGGTAGTCCTTCCATGTTGTCAACAAGTTGTTTGTGAAGATTGCTATAAGGATGAACTAATTAACAAAAATAATGGAAGCTGCCCATTCTGTTTTTTTAAGGGTAACAACAAAGGCCATAAATCATCAATGTCTATAAATAATCCTGGGATGTCTATGAATGGTGTGATTAACACTGTAAATCCAACGGCAATGGCATCAGTGATTGCTTTACCAAACGGATCTGGCCCTAACGCCAATTGTCTATCCTCGGTTGGAAGTGGATTGCCACTTGATCTTTCCTGTTGGCTACCACAAAACCTTACTGCCATTTGTAATCCCGGATTTCAATCAAATAATTCTAGTACATGTGCTACATCTCCCTATTATAAAAGTAATAGTACGAGTGCTGGAGAGGGATTTAATCAAGATGGTTTTATATATATGAGAGGGAATCCCATTCCAGGTGTTGTATGTGGAGTAAATTCAATTAATGTTGGCGTAGGTACTTCTAATGTAAATGTACAAAATTCTCAACCATCTCCATTTGGAGTACTTAATGATGGGTTTTGGAACAATTCACACAATTCTGTAGCATTACAGAACAATGCAACAAACCATAATGCTACGGGGAGCTCCACTAATGGCTCGTTTATATCAGACCCTTGGATGTCTACAAGCAGTGGTTATTCTCCATCTAATGGGTTTTTGCATGACTTTAACTCATATGACAATAATATTAATAATAGTAACTTAAATCCAAATATGAATTGTTCTAATACGGAGGGTATAACTGATACAAGTGCTAATATAAATCACATAAAACAATGTAACAGCGGAGTGAATAGTTTAATGAACAATATGCAGAACTCTAAGATAATTAATGTTATGAACAATTTAAATGAAACAAGAAACTCCATTATAGAAACTGACAAAAAAGTATGTGATTTAATTAATGAAGGAAATAAAGACAACTTATATCAACCAGGCATTAATGTTAGTACTTTTAATTCTGCTGCGCCAAATTTGGTAAATATTTCTAATAATAATACATCGGATATTTACCAAAACAACTCTATATATACTTGGACTATTCAAAATCCAATGGCATGTAATAGTATTCATTCATTTAACCAAGTGAATAATCACAGCAATATGATCTCGTCTGCTACATCCGTTGATGTTGATTTTCAGAGATTTTGTCTTGGCTTGGGATTCGATATTAATTCCCAGAACCAAGTTATAGGCGATTCACAAAACAAGAACATATTAATCAATGACCATATACATAATGTAAATATTTGCGAGAGGAACAATAGAGGAAATGTTAACGGAATTACTCTAGGTAGTCACCACAATATAAAGTCTTTAGATAATTCAGAGAGTACATGTACAAGAGAAGGAGACGGAATTTCAGTGGAAAGTGGTGTCAATGAGACATATATTAATGGCTCTAACCTCACTGAAAACAAGTTAGAGAATAGAGACTTACAGATTGGCTCTAATATGGATAACCACTTAATTAATATTAATGAAAGCGGAACTTCGAGTAATCTTAATAACTCAATTAATGATACTAATACTAACTCACAATTATTTAATAATTCTGCATTTCCTCCACTAACAAGTGCACTAATTAAACAGATACCGTCGTCAAAAGATTCGACAAAGATATCTAATAATGCATCCAATGCCAGTCATAATAACGTACCTAACACAGTAAACTCTCAACACAATGAATGCTTAAATTCCTCAAATAGTCCAAAACTATCCAACGCCTCTATTTCAGGTTCAAACCAGAACATTAACAATAATAACCCCTCAACCGGCTCAAACCCTAAGTTGATCTCGATGATGGGTGTGAGGAATGAGGGTTCTATTAGAAACAACTTAAATATAGGTAGTGCTCTGTCTACAAACAATTCAAAGCAAAATACAATTAGTTCTGGAAAAGCTGGAGTGGTAGTAAACTTGAACATTTCAACAGGAAATGTGTCGTATATTGATGCAGTTTTACATAAGAATGATAGCGGTGGAGGGGGGGTAACTACAACTTCATCTAGCACTGGGAGGTCGGAAAATCAGGCATCTATTAACAGCGATATATCGAATATTAGTAATGATAGTTCAGGCAACCTGTTAGCCGTTAACACGGATGAAGATTCTTCAGCTGCTCTTGGTGCACAAGGCGAACCATATAATTACAAAAGAGCTCTTTGTAGACACTGGATGCGGGGCTATTGTTGGCTTGAGGCAGATTGCAAGTTTGCTCATGGCGAGGCTGAATTGAGAACGAGGGACGGCAAGTTACGTCACCCTACTCTTTCAACTGGAGGCACTGAGGTTTCTGGCCAAAACCAGGGACAACCACAATCCCAGGCCCAATCTCAGTACCAAACTACAACACAATTACCAAATGTGAATAATGTTACAATACCATCTGGAAACTTAGCAGCAACTTCAACTTCAACTTCTTCTACATTCACATCATCTTCTACGAGTGGAGGGTCTAACATATCAAGTATTCAATCAAAGGGATTAAAACAGCAATCGGGGAACAGTAAAAATGGAGGTAATGCAAGCTATGCAGCAACTGCAGCAAGCAGCTTAACAAGTACTGTTTTAAATAGTGATTCCAATATTAGCTATAGTGTTATGGTTGTTTCAGGAGCTTCTAATTTGGACTCTAAACGTTGAAATACTTAAAAATACTATATATATTATTCTAGTACAAACTTTATAGATATTAATTTATATATTTCTTAACATTCAAACTTTTATCGATTTTAGAAAACGGACGATATTAATGAAAATTATCAGTAAATATAATATCATCTAAAAAAAATTATTCTAATATATTTGGATTATTGATAAAATCATAGTAGTGAAAGACCCCATCAAAATATGGATCATGGTCTTCATCACTTCCATAGTTTTTATTACGTGGATATTTGATTCCTTTCTTTTGTAAATACCTAAGAAAAACAGCGAAAATTTTGTAACTCTTTAACTTATTAAGAGATATGTTATCCTTCATTGTAAGATCGTCCTTGTCTTTAATTACGTAAACTCGTACTAACTTTCCTTTTTTGCATCCATAAAGGACGACTTGAGTACTGATAGTTTCATCAGATTCCTTATCTCTTAATTCCTCAAAATCTAGTGAGTATGATTCGGAAGATGAGATCTCAGTAAACAGTCTTTTGTTAACCCTGGTGAATCTCTGTCTTCTATCTTCCATTTTGGAAGAAACAACTTCAGAGTCAGCAATAGAGGGTCCATTTTGCTGATTAATTACGAACCACGTAATAAATTGTTGTTTAGTAAGTTCTCTCCCAGCGGTATCTTCGGCCAAAAACTCTTCCCCGCTGTCAAGAATCAAATCTAGAAGCTTGGCAATTGATTTATTACATCTTTGAGATTCACTCATATTTCTAATATCCATTAACCTCTCACATAAAGTCACACATGTGGAGTTTTCTGGAATGGTCTCTTCAAAATTTGAATGAGTATTCAGTTCTGCATCAGCACCACTTCTGGCTGTATCCGTATTATGCTTTGAAGAGTAACTGACTCCTTCCTTCTCAACTGAGTTACTAGAAATTGGTTTCCACTTCTTAGATGAATGGTTTTCCTCTTTTTGGCTATCAACAGAGAAGTCTTTCGATCTATCCTTCCAATCATAATCCTCAGACTCATGGCGTCTTTTATGCCTAGATCTATCTATTTCTGAATCAGAACTAGATTCCGATTCAGAATAATAGTTTTTTTGCCTTTTATTATACTTAATTTCTCTGTGCCTGTAGGTCCTTTCAGGAGAGGATTCATCAGAAAAATAGTTTTTTCGGTTTCTTTTGTAATAATCTCTTTCTCTACCGCGGCTCCTCTCATAATTTCTGTCACGCCTTTCATATTCCGAAGAGCTACTTATTTCGTTTGACGACCTAGAACTAGAAACGCTTCTTCTGCGTCTCCTGTTATGCCGAATCCTGCCTTCCCTATACCTTCTTGGAGGTAAATCCGAATTATCAGATGATACGGAAGATGACCTCCTTTTCGATCGATAACCTCTTGTTCTCTTCTTTTCCAAGTATCCTCTGTCTCTAGTTCGTTCTTTGCACCTATCTCGCTCCTTATCCCTATCTCTGTCTCTTTCTCTATCTTTCTCTCTGTCTCTATCTCTTTCCCTATCTCTGTCTCTATCTCTTTCCCTATCTCTATCCCTATCTCTATCCCTATCTCTATCCCTATCTCTATCCCTATCTCTATCCCTATCTCTATCCCTTTCTCTCTCTCTATCTCTTTCTTTTTCGCGTTCCCATTGAGAGTTATTTTGATCATCATTTTTGCTTTTATCGGTATTCTCATCATCTTTGTACCTTCCATTCCTTGAGTTCTCTACTGAACCTCTTTTGAAATCCCTTTTTCTATCCCTTCCCCCATAGTATTCACGCCTCCTCGTTCTTTCATTATCGTAGTCGTGATCTCTACGCCCCTCAGTATCTGCAGCTCTTCTTCTATCACCATCCTCCCAATCATAGCTTCCCCTATGCCTATCTGTATCATATGGCGAGTTTGAACGTGAAGATGACATTTTTACTAGTTAGATTCGGAATGAAAACTGTTGTCTAATTCTATTAGCTCCTCTTCTCAAAATTAGAAACCAATTAAATAGGCCTCGCCTTCCAAATAAACTATATCAGAATTGAGCGATATAATCAATGAGTGCAGTCAATATTCTATGCTGCAAAAAAAAACTATTCCTATGGAAGAGTAAATAATTTGCCCAAATTAATTATTAATCCTTATTTTAGGGCCAATTTTACATTAACCGCAATAAACATTAAGGCGCCTCATACATAGCGCCCCTCGCAAATTTGTTCTGCACAGGCCAAATTAGAGAATAGCGGTTAATGTCAGCTATTTAGGTTTTTTCGAAATAATTGAAAATTAGGATAATCAAATTGAACTGATGCAGCCCAACGAACAATGCAAACAAGGCGAGTTGGGACTGCTCCAGAGTGGCTCTTATATTCAGCAATATCAATATTCTCAGACTAATTCTCCAACTTATGAAGATAATGTTTTAGTATACGATGATAACTCTGTGGATAATACGAATATGCTGTTTAGATCTGATAGCGTTTTTAGTGAAAACAACTGTATTTCTGGATATACAGTGATGAGAAGTTCATCTCTGACCAATATTCCATCCAACAATTTAATTTGCGACATCTCTCATATTCAATCTGGCCCTGCTAGGGCAAGTAGAAATTCAACAATTAGAAGGTCATCTACTTCGCCGCCCCCTCACATGAACCATCCATATTCTCCAAATTCATATCATCAATCCTCTCCATATTACTCGAATAGCCCAGTCAGTTCTCCGAGGAGTCTGTCCCCATCATCATCTAGGCAAAGCCCTCAATTAGGATCGGAACAATCCAGAGCTGAAAGCGGTTTACTATTACTTACTGAGAAGGTTATTGAGTATGCAAAACAAAGTCCAAAATATGAAATTGATCTACAAACTGTAGAAAATAAACTTGGTGTTCCTAGAAGAAGGCTTTATGATATTACAAATGTTCTTGAAGCAGTGGGATTATTCACCAAGCCCAGACATAACATTTATAAACTAAATATGGATATAAGCTCTGGAATTTTACAGGATGAAGAGAATGATGAAAATATTATTTTCTATACAAAATCTCAATTCGAACTAGAACGAGCAATTTCAAATATTAAAGACTCTATTCAGGACCTTATTAAAGCAGGACAAGAACAAGGGCTACTCTATGTTGACAGGGAAACACTTTCAAAATTATGCCCTGTGAATACCAATACGGTCGTTTCTATATCTACACCTATAGATTCGTCGATTATCTTAAACCCCAATCAGCATTCTTACCAGCTCCTCAACTCTATTTTAAGAACAAAGAATAGTCATACTGAAAGTAGCATGATTTCAGTTCAATCACAAATTCTAGATTCACATTGGAGTATCTTATTAAAACATCAATCTTCACAACTTAATGTTGACGTTATTAATGGTCATGCAAATATATTAGAAGAGGTAAAGCAAACCATGTCTCCCATGAAACTACCAACGCAACCACCACATACTAACCCCAAAAATATTGTAGATAAATTTCTCTACTAGTCACTTTTGTTCGCCATTCATCTTTCATCTAATTATTAGTAATATAGTTTATACAAATCTAATTATTAGTAAAAAGTATTTCTGACCTAGAAGCTTATTTACGTTAAATCTGATTACATTATTACCGTATTTGTCGAGACATATAGATGTTACTGTGAGAAGAGGAATGTTTGCTTAGAATTTACCATCGAATCCGACGAATCCTGTCAATAAGAAAATCGGGAAGTAAGGTTTCTTTTCTATATTTGAACACCAGTTCCATGCGGAGGTGAGCCTACCGTCGATACAAGAACCGGCATCAAAGAAGTTATCAGCTCCGCCACCGTCGAATCCATGCTTGAAAAAATCAACAAGAATCTGTTGTTTAAGGCTCAAAACTCCTCCGAACGAATTCTCAATAAATATTTTTAAATGAACGCTTGAACACGAAAGCTTATCTATCTTTTCAATGCACAAAACTATCGGAGTTAATATTTTTGGTACCTGAAGATATTTATCAATAAAAACAAGAGCGTTCGGTACTGTCCTATCCCCAAGGTGGATTACAGAGGAGCCAACCCAATTACCTACCTCACGCTGTACTTTCGATATAATCTCGCACATTGCCCTATAAAGTCTAGGAGCTGACTGGATTCTATGAATACCTTGGCCAGTGTCTCCTAATCTGTACCCATTGTTCCCATCAAGCAAGTCATCTTCCGCAAGTCTCCAGAGTCTAATCATATTGAACAGAACCTCACGCCACATTGTAAGACTTTGTAATACATAATAGTATTGACGCGAATGATCATGATTAAGCCTTGCGCTTGAGTTAGGATCGCCGACAAGTGAAAGACTTAATTCCCTTGATCGTTCCTTTTGGGGATTGAAGAAAGTTGTCAAGTACTCAATCATTTTGTCAATGGGTCTTTTGTTATAGTATAGGAACACATCATGGTCATTTAAAGAGTAAATACACATTTCAAGCTCTTCAACCGTTATTTCCTTAATCTCTTGAGTTTTCTCAAGATTTTCCAAGCTTCCAGTGCTTGTTACTATGCCGGATTGGTTATTTATTTCCGTTTCTTGCGTCTGATTTGATCTTCCGAGCATAAATAAACTGTAAAAGCCACGAGATGTGGATTTTTTACTACTTTGCTCTGTATAGTCTTTAGATGCATACCTTCTTAGTAGCTCTTTGATTGCTAATCGTTTTTTTGTTAGCTTTCCATTAAGAACGTTTATATCGTCAATTTGCTCAATATTACGCGTTGCTATCGAAAGTAATGGATCACTTAAAATATCTAAACAATTCCTACTCTTTAGAAATTCATAAACTGTCAAAACGGGCTTATAACATTTAAACTGCAAGAGTTCTCTGATGTTTTCTTTCTGGGCATCCATCAACAAAAAAATCAGCTTGCCATAAGAGTCTCTCATCATTTCAGGGTTTAACATTTTGTATCTCCTTGCAATCTCAAAAACTGTCTGGAAAAATTTTTCATTGTCACTAAAGTTCCTATCTTTAATAAGTCTTTGCCCAAGCTCGTAATCAAATGAAACTGCAAGGCCACTTAAAACCGCGCAGACTTGCCTTATTTCGTTTACAATCATCTTTGACCTAGGCACTGATACTATATCCACTCTATCAGTATATTTGCTTACTTCTAACGTTCCTTCCACTAACTTTAAAAGTTGTCTTTCATTATGATCAATTCTCAATGGTACATTCTGCGAAAGTGTAATAAAGTCCTTCTCTGAACTATATATCTCATCATTAAATTCCTGCATTGCATCTACCATTTCATTATCGCTAGTTTCGGATCTGCTAGTTAACTCAGATCTGGAGTTTTTTTCGCGCTTATTAATTGCAGAGGCAGACCATTCATCTCCAAGGTACTCCTTGGCAATCTCTTCTAGTATATTTTCAAAGCTATCTCCACCTAGAACTCTGTCCATTATATGTATTATTTCCCTTTGGCTTAAAGCATGAAGAACGTTCAAGTTTGACTCCCGGATATTCTTTACATCATAGTTCCCATTTACACTCCACTCATTTAAAGATTCTTCTAAGTCTTCCGAATTTTCGAAACTTAGCTCATGACTGTCTTCCTCCAGAATTTGTTTCAATCTCTCAGAGGCAGTCATTCTTATATATTCTATTAGGTTCCAACCTCAAACTCAAAGTTTATTTAAAATTCTGTCTGCATTCCAAAGGGAATTACTTAGATTATCAGGAATTAATTCCTTTCCAGTAAATACCTTACAGAGCTTTAATAGCAATACAGGAATTTAATTCAAGTCAAATCTGCCAAAATATTTATTTAACAGTTAAATTAAAAATTATATCTTATTGTAATACCGAAATTCCCCCCTCTAACCCGCCAAATGCAATTCAATGAGATAAATTGAAAAATTTAAGTTAGAGAAATAACTTTGCATAATAATAATTGGTACCGGATTTCCATTTTGGCATTTAAGATTATCTTAGCCATCATTAGTTATAATTATATCCTTTTATCTTTTTAGACTTTAAAAAACTAATTCGAAATATGCCGCCATTCAAAATTAGCGGGCCCAAGGAATGTGGGGTGAAAAATATATCTGAACAGATTAAACCATTGCATTAGTAATTTTTGAAAACCGATAGGTCTATTAACAATTAATTTGACATGAATATTAAAGAAATACTCTAATATTCTGAGAATTTTATGTCATTCAAATCTTTAATAATTAGGTTTTTATTCTGAACGTAGAAATGGAGAATAAAACAAACAGAATCCAAGATCTTATTAAAGAACATCAAAGTACCTTAAAGTCACAAAGGAAATTACTAGATAATTATAGCAAAAATTACAACGATCAATCTTCAGGAGTTGAAGATGATGTGGATAGAATAGTTAATTCTATTTTGAGTGAAGGAGGCCTAAGCGATTCTCTGTTTACTGGGAATGAAGAACAATTAAATGGGCTTAACTTGGCAGTAATTGGTGATCTGAGCCCTGAATTGTCGGAAGAGTATTCACGGGTACCTAGTTCTTCATTGAAAAAATTAATTGGAGAAGTAGATGTAAATATACTTGAGACAACAAAGGACACATTTGATAAAGGAATACAAGCTGATCTTGTACAGAATAATCAACTTTGTGTAGCTCCGGAACATTACTCTGGCTTAAAGAACCACACTGGCGGAGGGTCAAATAAGCGTCTTTCAATATCTATTCCTTTAAGCCCAGCAGATTTGCAACAAAGTGAAACAGTTCCTGATTCGGGCAAACTCTCAGGAATAAAAACCGATACGAACCAAGAAAAATACTCTCCCTCCGGAGGATCAATGATCATAGAGGAAAATAACAACGAAATATTAAAAAGTAGCGAGTTCATGGATTTTTTTTCGAGAGCTTCTAGATTGATAGAGAGGGCTTTAGGAGAAGGGGCAGTATTCGACCCATTTTTCAATATAAATAGTGAAAATATTGAGTCAAATTTCATATCTGAAAATGATATTTCTACAAAAAATCCAGGTAATATCAGTATTTCTTCGACCAATGGTTTATTAAAAAATAGCATGATTTTTCAGCACGAAATTTCATCTAACCGCCCTGTAATGAATATTAAAAGTCACCCAACTTTTCCTGAATACTTTATTGCGGCTTACGGAACTAAGTTCCCACAAAATTCAAGCTTTGAAGGAATGATGCAGAGTACGGGAAGTGGTACCATGCTTAATTATGGAGGTTGTGTACAATTATGGTCAATTTCAACCCCAAAAAAACCAGAAAATACGTTTGTTGCTTCAAGCCCTGTTCTAACTACTTCTTTTGATCCATGCTGCCAATATAGGTATATTGGAACCAGTTATAACGGAGAGGTTTTAATCTGGGACTCTAGGAATGGAAAGATCCCTTGCCAGAAGTCAAATAGTATTAATATTAGTGATTCTGAAGGGAATAATATTGGTGGCCACTCATTCCCAGTTTATTGCATGGAATTGCTTGGTAACAAAGGTTCCCAGAGCGTTATAACAATTGACACAGATGGAAAACTTTGTAATTGGAATTTAACTAATTTAAGTGAGCCTGTCGAATCTTTTCAAATGAGAAAAACTAATTCAAAAGATGTTTCGATCCTGTGCATGACTCTTTCTAAGTTAATTAACCCAAATGCAATTATTTGTGGTTCTGAGGATGGTTCCCTTTATCAAACTATGATTAGAACTAATAAACCTGGTGTAATTTCGAGTACATTCCAGAATGCTCATAACGGCTACATAACCTCTCTTGATTATCACCCAATAAATGATTGTTTTCTTAGCTCTGGAGCCGATTGGACCATTAAACTATGGACACCAAACCCATTGGCTAACTCTTTTACCCTCCTTTATTCTTTTGAGTCGTCTGAGAACTACGTCATTGGAGTAGCTTGGCATCCAGTCCATCCCGGAATTTTTGCTGCAATTGATGCAGACTCGAGGTTAATCATATATGATCTCACAAACCCAAACTGTCAAACTCCCTTATGCAAAATAAATACATCTTGTTCTACCTCCACAAACTCCACCCCTAATACCTCTGATATCCCTACTTGTATCAGCTGGTCAACAGATGGAACCCGACTTTTTATTGGTTATATGAACGGGAACGTAATTATGTGCAATGCAGACTCCAAGCTTTATCAACCTAATAGAAATGTCTGGGACCTATTCAATCAACAGATTGAAACATTTAAAAATAATAATTCTGTTGATTTAAGTTCAAATATGGAAAATAAGGACGAAGAAAATGTGGAATAATGAAAAAATTGTTCAAAGTAGCCGGCCACTTTCCAAATATCATTAATAATGAACTTTAATTCTGCAAGCCTGTTTATTAAAATAACAATCTCGATTAGCTTTATATTATTAACTTAGATTTATTACTTATACAATTAATAAGACAATAAATATAACTAGCCTTAACATCTAAACGTTCCTAGTTGAATTAAAGTTCGAGTTTACCCAATATATATGCAATAATATAGTGTTACTTTAGTATTATATAGTAATTACTTTTTGGGCTGTGCAATTTCCATGTAGAAATTACAAATTTATTAACAGACAATTTGTCTTACGCGCCAAAATGGGTACAGTGTATAAATCCTTTGCCCCTCGCTTCCCCCACAAAAATAGATAAAGTAAAAACCCATTGATTATTTTCTTTGTTAGATGCATTATAAGGAATAATAAGTCCGGAAGATTTTTAAACAATATAACTTAAAAGACGAAGATGCAAGAACAGAATACTATAGAACAATTCAATGAAACTGTAAACCCAATATCAGAACTTGAGTCTTTGGTAAAAGACCCAAAATGCACCCAAGATCTTTCAGCAGAAACTGATGGTTTAATTGATAAGCTAGAAAAGGATGGAGTTAATGAAATGAGTTTTCAGAGTGCTGTTGAGGAACTATTGCTTTTGGAGAAAAAATGCAGACAAGTGTCTGACTCAAACTCAAGCTGTAAAATAATATATAAAATTATTTCGTGGCTCTTAGAATACTCCAAAAACATCGACGAATCGTTGTCAGTAATTCAGAAAATTTGTAAGAAGAGAAGCCAACTTAAAAAGGTAATCTCATACATAATACAACTTTTTTTAAACCTCATAATTGATTCCATAATCGTTTTAAGTCCTAATTTTGCAAAGTACAATTCTTCTAGGAAACCTATTGAAACAATGGCTATTTCAGAAGAATCTTACAGTAACCTCTCTTACAAAATCAAGGATATGGATGAGTGCCTTAAAATTATCACTGCTCTAAGTGATATCACGCAAGGTAAAATATATCTGGAGCTTGAAAGGGCTAGATTAATGCTCATTCTCAGTAATATTAAGCAAGAAGACAATGATCTGAAAGGGGCGTCAAAACTTCTTGAAGATATCACTGTTGAGACTATTGGGAACATGGATCTTAGAGAAAAAACTCAATATGTCATTGAACAAATGAGGCTTTCATTATTATGTAGAGACTTTGTTAGACTTCAAATATTCGCTAAGAAAATCAACCCAAAAATTATTGAGAAATTTGTTGAACTTAAAGTGATATATTACCAATACCTTATCATTTTATGGCACTTCGAACAAAATCCAAGAGAAATTTCCATTTGTTTTCTAAATCTTCTAAATTCAATTACTAACTTTGAAAACGACACAGAAAATAATTATGAAAAATTAATCAGTGAAATTCCAGAATATATGAAATCTCCTATTTCACAATACAATCTTTCCGAAAAAGTGCCTACAGTTACATCATGTATTGAAGGATATATCATCTACCTCATTCTCGGTCCGTATTCAACCACCATTAGAGAAGAACTCATCAAATTTAGCAAAGATTATCAAAAACACATTGAGAGAAACGCTCAATATATTTCAACCTTCTTGAATGATTATATTAATAACGAGCTCATTTTCCTAGAATCGACAAAAACTTTCAACTATACTATTCCCAAATATTTCAGTCAGTTATCGAATTGTTTCTTTTTTTCAAATAGTGATAATGAAATTAATAATGATGCATACTATACAGAATACAAAAGATGTAAAATCAACCTTTGCAGTAAAAAAGATAGATTTAATCTTTTCATGCAAAGAATTCAAGAAAGAAATATCTCAGTAATTTCAAGCTACTACAAAACTATCTCCTTCCAGAGATTGCAAGATTTATTAAATTTGGACGGACAAGAATTACAACTTGTGGTAAATCATCTCGTTGAGAGAGGTATCTTTTCTGCGAAAATCAATCAACCAGCTGGGATAATTACCTTTACTAATAATAGTAACACTAATGGGCAATTTAATCAATTTCATAAAAATATTGGGGAAATACTTAATAAACTCGATTTACTTAAAGATTTAATCTCAAATGACATGATGGTACATCAATTTAATACCAAGGTCAACATTAAATAATCAAAAAAAAAAATAGTAATAAAATTTTATGATCTTTTATTTTTATATAATTTTTTTTATATTTAGATTATTATTTTAAAAACCCATTAAAAATCCTTTTTTTCTAATTTTCCGAATCCGAGCCAGAATCTGAATCTGAATCCGAAGCTTTTTCTTTTTTAACGTTCTTAGTATTTTGGTCTTCTATATTTTTTTCACCTTTTTTTATTATATTATTATATAAGGTGTAGATTTTGGTTATTGTTGACTTTTCTTGTTTAATATGACGATTTAATATTTCTTTCTTTAAATTTTTATGGCAAAGCCAATTTTTATATAATAATCCAATCTCTATTGTAGATAATGCAAAGTCATATATTTTTAAATGGCCAAATAATCCAAATGGCGCAATATAATGCCCTTTGCTTGTTTTTAAATTACCAATACAATCAATCCATGGACTTTGATGATGCGGCAACTCCAATACATTCATCTTCTTTCCAATACATTGAGAATTAATATAAGTTGTTATAGTATTATGTTGTGTTGTATTAAATGTAACAACCATATGATACCAGCCAACATTAATATGATCTCTCAAATTTATATCCCAAGATAAAAATTGTAAACGATTATTACCAATATTCTTTTCGTGCACTTTTTTCCCTATTGAATCGTGTTTATTTCCTCTAGTAATTACATCATTTACATACATATTTGTTACTTTTCTTTGTATTGACCCCAATTCACCATTTAAACCTATCACTATAAATCCTATACCATCACTATTTGATATTAAACAATAAGGATGAAATGTTATCTCAAAAGGAACATAAAACCAAACCTCGCAAGACCAATTTTTACTTAATCTTACTGGTCTTTCCAATAAAACACTACCACCTTCAGTTGAATATCCCGACTTTTTTTCCAAAATAAAAATTTGAGTTGGATCAATACATATATTTTCATTTGTTGGGCCTCTATGAATATTAATAATCCCATTATTTTTTACATTTATTTGGCATATTTCATCTTTTTGACTTTGATTTATATTGCTTAAATTATCAATAATATTACTTAAATTATTATTATTATTATT